ATATATTGTGGTAGCAACCCCGGGGGATGGTCCTCGGTCACTGGCCACAAACTCCATCACTGGTCCTCAGGTCAAAGACGCCGTGCATGGATTCCCACTTGGACGTTCGCTAAAGGATAATTAAGAGCTCCTTGAGATAACCTCGTCAGTTTGGGTATTTCCTCAGCTAGATCAGTGATGAAGGCCGTTAATTACTCTTATAATGGCCCATAGTGAAACTTTCACACGAAGAACCACGGCGGTTGTGAACCTCTCTGTCTTAGAAGGTTATGTTATGAGATTGGCTTTCCTTGGTCACACTTTCGTAGAAATTTTACAGAACTCGTATAGTCGTGGAGGTAATTATGTCTGGAAGGAAAAAAAAGTTCCTGGACTGTAATTGTTTCTGGTAATGAACATCGTCTTTCTTACAGGCAATGACGCCGATTGCTCAACTCACGTACTCGTTATTTTAACACTTTGAAGAATCGCTTTTTAATATCAAATTGTTTCAGCCGGATAGTCCTTAACCATTTGTTTAATCAAAGCTGAGTTCAGCAAGTAGCTTCTGAGGCACGCATTTGATATCCCCATACATTACACACATCAGATACTGGCCACATTCAAAAGTGCCGTATACCCTTTCTGGTTCTTAGCTGGTATCGACAGTCGAGAACTTGGATGATTTAGAATCATAATAAATAGTGCTTTTTAGTGTCTATGTTTAGCCAGCATGCCCAGTATCTCTGTAAGGTTTTAGCGACAGCATTGCGTAGCCTGTTCACAAGCGTTGAAATATACGAATAAATGGACTTATTCTAGCGGTTCTTGCCCCTTGCGTTATAAAATATCGTCCTAGTTGAATTAAAAATCTCTATGAGCCCGATTTCAAGAGTTACTGCCTGCAATGTCCTCATGGTTAGTCTGAGGTGAACGGCGACATCTGAAGGAGAAGCCAAGAATGTCGTCTTCAATTCCTTTATTTACTTGATCACTCTGGTGCCTTTCATTTTGCAATTTAGGGCTTCGATATTATCTATGCTGTTCTACTAGAAAAGGCTGGTCAATGTTATTGTGCCTCTGGGTTGTTGAATGCCACAAATTGTCAAGACTTTACAAATGTAGTAAAATGCCACTCATTAATATTGGTTACCGCGGTCAGTCACTTTAGTAATTCGAATGAGTAGTACGATATCAGTGTATCAAACAGTCAGCGACTAATGGGTTTTATTTCTTCTTTCCTTTCTTTCCAAGTGGTGCAGGCAGTACGTTGGTTGAGATGGGTGGTGTAGCCTTGTCGGCAAGGCTGACGATCACACACATGCCGCAAATTTGCAGCGTGTGTGTGAGACACGGCTGACTGTCTCACTTGAGCCCCACTTCAAATTACAATGGTTAATTAGTGTTTCTAGGATATTGTTGCCTTTTTTTTTTTAGAATACAGACTCAGCAGGCGGTGTGCGAGGTATCTAAGACTCTCCTCCCTCTGTTCTGGTCAGGCTGCTTACCCCTATTGCTAACCCGAAGCCCTCAAATCTACTTCGACGCCCCGTAATCAACAATCGAATCTTATTCCGTGTTGCCGTGAGGCACTGTAGCATATCAATGTTACCAGTCAAGCCGGCGGCAATGATTGAATTCACACAAAGAGTGAGCGTCGTGGCGCTGCTGAGACTTTCCAACACACCCTCCCCCGCTTCGTTCCCCCTTCCCCGGCGGAGCTTTGAACATTTTTGATGATCAAGGTGTAATTAATTGTGAAGGCTGTGTGTGGGTCGTCGGCGCACTTTCATTAATTTTCGCACAGGCCAAGCACCAGGGGTATTTATTGGAATGTTTATATCTCTGGGTGAGGTTACTCGATCGTCTCCACTTTGAAATTATTTATACCTAACGCTCCAAAAAAAAAAAAAAGTGAGTCAAACCCCGAATTACGAAACACACCAAGACGGCATGTGCTTCTAGAAAAGGCCGAGGAACAAGAAGCACATGTTTTGTTCCTGTGCAAGTACTTATGTGAACACAAGAAAAAAGTAAGGGTGGAAAGCAATTTCATTTACCAACGCCTCTTCCGGCCTTCCGGATGATCTGTACTTCTTCCAGCATAGTAAGCTGGAATGCCTTCCCCTGGCTTTACCAACGGCGCCCTCATCTCGGTATTGATTCAGTTGAGAACGCCACCCTAGCAGCTTGTCACCGAAAGCGTGCAGGACTGCGTGAATCTCTTCTAGGATCATCATGAATATTGGTGGAAATAACCACAAAAGAAGAAAGGGGGGGGGGGGGTTTGTCCGGGCCTTCTCAGGGATAGTCCTGGCCTAGACTTCGTAAGCTTCCATTTTCGAAGCTTTGATCCTTGATATTAAAACGGCCGGGGGTGCTAGGCTTAACATTTGACATGGTATTTGTTCACATTACCATAGCAATAGTATTGCCATAGTTACTGTAGTTGTCGTCCTAGAACCGGGATTTTCCGAGCAAGCTCGTTCACCGGAAACACGCCGGGAAATTTGCCTTTCAACTTCTTCTTCACTGTGTGCACATTTGCACTGGGTTTGAAAGGGGACACGAGGTTTAAATTGAGTTGCTGGAGTTTTGTCCTCCTCCTCCACTTCCGCGGACGTGATCCAAACTATATTATCATCGTTATCCTCGCCCATGCGTGAATCGTGCACGAGCGTGCCAATCTTCACGGGCACGTCCCATGAACACCGGAGATCTCGACTCACGGTTCACCAAAGGAAGCGTGAACGTGAATGTGCACGTCGAATAAGAAGAAGAAAACAGAGTTTCCTCGAGGGACCACACCTCGGCCAGTGCATGCAGAGTCAGCACCTCGTGCAGATCCACTCACCCATTCTTCACCGGGACCAAAACCCGGCCCACCTCAGGTGGAGCTCAACCTGCAGCCCATCCAACCCCCATATCCACCACTACACCGATGAGGCCACCCTACCCATGGTCTTCCCAACCACCCCAGCCCCTGCAGTGCAGCTGGAGTGGGTACGGACCAGGGATGTCGTGGCAGCGGTGTCACGGACGTGGGGGAAGAAAATCGGTCTGCCAGGCTGCCGGGCTTGCATAACACTTCTGCTGCTTGCCGCCTGCTGCACCTCGACGGGGACGGGGTGGTGTGCAGTGTGCGCTGTGCGCGCCTCCCACGAAACAGCCGCCGGAGCCCCGTCGAGAAAGGTGGGAAACAAGCCGACAGTAAATCAGGTATGAGATCATAAGAAGGCCACTGGGACTTGAAGAATTTTTCTGTCAGGTTTTCGTCCACTTTTTTCCCTTTGTGTTGTTGTTCTTTTTTGTTTTCCTTTTCTTCCTTCTTATCCGCCCATCCCCATCTTTTCACCAACCACCCAACCCCTGTCCCGAGTCAGCCCGGGTTTCTTACTTTCACGCACTCTCTCTACTTTGATCGACGTTGCGTTCGCCTCGTCTGCTTATCAACCTTAACTAGTCCTTCCTCAGCTTGGGAAACCTTCCTCCCCCCGGCTTCCGTCCCGACTCGGTGAGCAGGCCCGGGAGAGCCCTTGTTTACTTTTTCTCTCTCGTCCCTTCTTCTGCACAGTGAGAACCGTTTTTGATTTACCATTTACCTCGGAACCACCGGTGACTGGGATGTTTCGGAGGACAACGGGTCATTGTTCCGGTGTCACAGTAATAAAGAATAGATTGTAGGGGAAACAAAGAAGAAAAAGATTGACACCGCGGGCACAAATTTGCGAATAGAGAGAAATTAGATGAAGAAGAAGAAAAAAAAGAAAGGAATCAGAGTTTATCCTCGTAGAAGGGCAGGCAAGGTTAGGTAGGTACTCTCTCTCCAACACGGGGGCCATACTTCCTCGGATCCGAATAAAATGTTTCATGGTGGTTGCCATTGGGCAGACGTGCGTCGTTCCCATCTTGTCGTCATTATTTTAGAGGGTTTTTAGATTTTTGGTGCTTTTTTTTTCTTTTTCGGTGGCCGGAGAATTTTCCACTCGGGCTGGTGAGCCGATTTGCAAGCTTCAGCTCTGCAGAATAATTGTGACGTGGTCTTGCCTTGCATGCTGCAGCTAGCAGTAGTGTTCATGTACGCTCTAACATCTCACTGCGTCGGGTGCATGGCCGGGGTTGCAGGCGAATCAAGGTTGCAGCTGGCCATGGGGCGCCGCGCAGGTGAAGCTCACCGACAAAACACTCAAACCCCGTTTTCGGCCATCAACTCCGGAAGGAATTATCACGGGGTTTTCTTATCTTTTTTTTTCTTCTTTCTCTCTCTTCTCTCACAATACCAAAAGAACCTACGCACAATTTAGAGGAAAAAGTTTATGTGTGAAGCCAAAATGTAATCATTATTAGTACATTCTATTTTGATGGTCCTCCGTCCGCCCGGCGGTTTTCCCTTTTGTCCCAACTGAGAATGGTATCGCTGATATCAATAAATAAGAAAAAGACAAGGAAAAGAGAGATGTTCAAGGAGATTTTGGAAATCATCACAATGTGTCGTAGTCATAAACGCAAAGCCGCAAACTTTTTTTCCCTGACCTCCGTAAAATCCGTAGACAGAATCATGCAGAATGGTGGTGGTACAGTTCGTTGTTGAAAAAGAGACAGAATATGAAAAAGAAAAATCAAATCGAAAGAGGATAGAGCAGACAACAACAACAAACGCAGACGCAGAAATGGGTATAAGACCGCAGAGAAGCCAAAAAAACAACAACGCCTGTCTGTGTCCAGAATCAATAAATGCAGTACCGTAAACCAACATTCAAGATCCAAGACCGAGACAGTAAGCCAGAGTAAGGAAAATAGCCAGAAGAAAGATGAGACGGTATCATAAAAATGAGACAATAAGGGAAAGAGCAGTGACCAGAGAACCATGCCGGATTAAATAAGTTCATAGAGTAAAAAGGGTTGTTGTTTTTTTTCTTGAGCGAGATGGAGACGATTCGTTGATAGGAGATGAACACGTAAGGAAATCGGAAGAGTGGAAATGGTGGTTGGCCGCCGGTGGGTGGCGGTGGTGGTGGCGTCTAGAACCGGCCCTGCGTTGTGCCACGCGGGCTGGCAACGTCATCGACATGGTTGCTGAGGGCGACGAAGAGGTCAAAGAAGAGCTGGCTGCCTCCGTTGAACATCTCAGCCTGCATGGTGCCGCTGCGCTTGAAGGTGTTGCGGCTGCGGATGATGAGGGCGAGGTAGTGCGCGCGCAGCTTCGAGTCATTGTCGGACGTGTTGGCATAGGCATATCGGGCAGAAAGGAGGATGGTGTTGCATTGGACACCGGTGCCTATATTGCACAATGTGAGTCATTGGTCTGTGTGGTGTGGCCAAGGCTTACTTAAAAAAAGAATGTGGAAGGGTGTGTGTGTGTGTGTGAGTGGGTTCTGACTTACGGAGTCCTTGCTTGCGCAGGGCGATGCGCTTCAGCTCATCCAGGCCGTACTTCTCGCCAGCACAGTAAATGACGGTATCCTTCAGCACCTCGCCCTTGATCCCGTGGAGCTCGACCGTGGCGGCATCGTTGCTCTCGATCTCCCAGGCGTCGCGGCGCTTGTTGTGAACGAGGCGAGGCGAGTAGTCGCCCTTGTACAGGTACTCAAGGATGGAGGAGAGGACCTCGGGGTCCTCATCGGGGAGGGCAATACGCTTGCTGGAGGATTCCATGTACTGCTTCCTCAGAACCGTGCCGAAATAGGGAGACTTGGCCAGCACATCCTCATGAGCCGCGAATATCCTGTGCTCAGGGCCGACGACGAGTGTGACGATGGGAGAGTTGCTGCAGGAGAGAGGAGAATGGTATGTCAGCACGGAAAGCCTGTGGAGCTTGCCTGTCAGAATGAAAAGTTGTGACCCACCTGCCAGTAGCATCCACCAGCGTGTTGGCAGACGGGGCAATCGAGGGCCGACGGCGGGTCGACGCAACAGATGGTCGACGCTTTGAAACTCCGGAATCTCTGACAGATGCCGTTGGTGGTGGCTTCACAGACTTGACAGAGGCCTGAGAGACACTCTGCTTCCTTCCTCGGCCGAACATTTTCGTAAATTTTTTGGGGGGGGGGGGGTGGGTATTTTCTCTTGCTTCCTTTTCTCTTTCTTCACTCAAAATGCAAGACGATGATGATGATCGCGGTGGGTATCGAAACGTTCCAAACAAAAGTGATATTTCGTGACGGGGAAAAATCAAGACACGAAAGAAACCCAGAAAAGGAAAAATCCCAACAAACCGGTAATATGATGATGAACAAAGAACAAAAGAGAAAGCCAGATGCATCGCTCGGGGTCGTGGGACACACTTGATGATTATATATCTATCACCGCTCAAGTCTGTGCTTTCGCCTACCTCGCCTATGCCCTTGAAAAGCACTGGCGGTGACAGGCAACGGGGGCGCTTGCGAACTCGAGGAAGAAATGGGGCGCATATTGACCCACCTCATATGCCCCCCATCTCCATAGTAGGGATCAAGGATAATAGATAATGGGTACAAGGGAGGGTAGGAGGGTGTGTGGGGCGCATGCATGTGCAGTCGTCGAGGGAGATGGGCCAATCGAGTCGAGTCGGGCTTGTCAACATGTTGAAGATGGGGAGACTCAGGAGCTTAGGCAGAGGGGCCACACCACGTAATTTGTTTCATCAGTTGGGCAGGAAAACAGCACGAGAAGGCCGACGCTGGGGAGGCGCCAGGAGGGACGCCGCACACCTGCTTTGCGAGCACGAGACGGTGAGAGCAGCGCGATGGTCAAGCTACGGCGGTTAGATTGCTGTTACTGGCTGTGAATGCTGGGATATGGGAATTTTTGGTTGGGGACGATGGAGCAACAAAGAGGTCGAGCAAGGAAGTGCAGAATTTTTCTCGTCCTCCAATCTCCCACGAAATCATGGCCCACGGCCGCCCCGTGCATGCGACAAGGCTTCCACTTTGGGCCCAGCGCTCCGGGTAAAATTGGGGCAATGGAACCCAGTGGGGGCACAGCAGAGAAGAACGGTGAGAACCACCCAGGGGGCCTTGTTGCGGCCTGAGTTTCCGGAAGCCGGAAAACCTCAAAAGCCCATGTGGCACCGGGGTGCATGCTCCTGTCATCTTGCCCAACGCTCTGGATGACTCCTTGTCTCTCCCTCTCTCTACCCGCGGGTGTGCATGAACGACGCCACCCCGAGCCATTTTTAATAAATGTACGGCAATATGCGCCACTTGACAATCTTCTTGTACTTCTCCCAGTCGTCTCCATACTTCTCTGAGCAGGCCAGGTCGTCCCTGGCCTCCCTGTGGATAAGGAGAGTCGCAAAATAGATGACATAGAAATAAGTGAATATCATGCCCCACCCCCTCGCCTGTCCCTGAATGATCTGTCGCCCGTCGAGCGTCGTGAAGACCTCGCCTGAGCCCGCAAGGGTCGTGGCGAGGGCGCCTCCAGCAGGCATGACCATGTACCCGGCCAGGCCAGTGGGAAGGCTGAAGGGCCATGACTGCAGCCAGTCGCCAAAGTAGTTCATGTGGCGACTTGTCCCCCACCAGCCTGCCGTGAGCAGACGCGTCCCTCTCCTGGTCTGGATATACGACAATCCCTTGACCGAAGCATCGTCTGGCCTCGTCCTAAACACGTTCTTCTGTCTGTTGGACTCTCGAAAAATGTATAGACCCAGGCCAAAGATGAGGCTCACACCGACGAGTCCAGGCCAGCCGAGGTGAACAGGATAGGTGGCAAGGTACCGGCATTGTGTCGAGTAGAGGAAGGGGACCCAGACGATATCACCAAAGGTGAGCATGAATCCGAGCCCGTCTGTAATGATATCCATCATCGAGAGGACGCGGGCTTCGTTGTACTGCCCGTACAAGCTGTAGAACGACTGCACAGCCGTCGTGAAGACCATGCTATCCGATACATATCCGTAGTTGCGGTACTGCTGAGCCACGAATGCAAGGTCCAGAAGGACCCAGCCAGTCAGGCCGGGTCGCATCTCCAGCCAGGCTTTGACATCGACCTCTCCGATCAAGGGGAGCGTGATGCGCGGGTTCAGTTCGCGGCCAATATAGAAGTCGTAGATGACATTTCCCGTGTGCCCGCCGGCTGCCAACTCTCTCATGTCGCTGTTCCCAGGCGTGACACTGAAGCTGCGCAGGTAGACCAGTATTGAAATACCAAAGGCTAGCAGGGTATTGACTGTCATAATCTGCAGATAGTTGTCGGTGATGAAGGTCCATAGGGTCCACTCAGCCCCATACAGATAGGTGCCTACGGCGCAGGCGACCAGCTGCGCAGCCGATGCATGGAATGCTGTAGCGTAGATGAGCTTGGTGGGCATCGAAGAGCAGACGATGGGAATTCCACACACCATTGAAACGGTACAGCAGCGGCCGGCCAGATTCGCGCAGCTTCGACCCGTAGACTTCGTGGGCAGGGAGAACGCCGTAGAGAACAAGGCTAAGCGCGTAGTAGGCGAAGACCCAGCCGGTCACCCTCCAGCTGGAGAAGCCCCAGATACCCTCAGCTGGCCAAGGAGCCTGCATCTTAAAGCCCTCCCATGTCAGAGTCCTCGGTTGGAGCAGAGCTGGAGCAGGACAACCTGACACGTCGTTGCATGCGAAATACCACAAGTTCAGGAGGACGGGTAGGCCCAAGACAATAGCCGCAGCGCCAGGACTAGGGAAACGTCAGCCAGGAGGAATACACGGGGCAGCTCGCCTAGGAATTTACATACGGCCCTCCAAAGTCGTAGGTTGGCTTCTTTAACGACATAATCTCACGGGCGCGTGTGGTTAAGGGCAACAATGTAGAAGTGGCGCGTTCGTGAGATGGCGAGACGAGCGAGAGATTGAGCTGAAGTAGAGAGAGACAGCTATAGGGCGATTGAAAAGGGTTTGGAGAGAGTTTGGACAGACTGGACCAGTGGAAGAATGATGTGCACTGGTCACCAATGCGCGGTCGAGAATGCCTTCATAAGAAGCCTTGACCTTAGACCCGGAACCGTACTTCCCGTGCCGTACGATGTTGTGAAGCTGAGTCAGGAGGCACAGCATTCCAAGGGTGAGGGTTTGACCGCCTCTACCCCCACCCACCGGCCCCTCAAAACCAGCCGAATAGAGGATGAAAAAGAAAAGAGATGACAATTTCCTGATCACAGAGAGACTGTAAGCGAATCATTCTTAACTATATTTGTTAATGTTTTCATATCATCTTTGGTGGTTTGCTATTCCGCTTTAATTCCATAAAAATATTAATAAATACATCACACGGCATATCTTCCAAGTGATGACTTAATTATGCTGCAGGCCTCTTTAGGTTCATTAATCCGTATAAATACTTATAAGTACTTAGCATTCAATTATAATTTAGTTCATAATTGCTTAGCCTTGGTGAGGAGGAACCCTCTTCGCAAGTGGTCAATAGCAAATGTTGACGATGCAGTCTGCGCCTCAGCGTATTGAGTAATTACTAATTATCAAGGATTTTCAAGTCAATTAGCCGTTTCAATGTGTCTTAACTTTTGCTGTGCTCTAGTCTATGTCTATCGAGATGTACGCAGCTACATTTATGTTCAATAATAGATCCAAGTACAAAGCTCTGGCCAGCAGTAAAATTTCCTTCTTCAGTCGTAATGTCTATGTTGGGCCAGTGACATTTTACCTTTCATCGACTTCACTTCCAATATGATTTTTGCAAGAGCACTAGGCGAAAGGAGTTTTGCATGATAGACACATGGGTTGGCTGGTAAGGAAATGATCAATCAAGCGGGCTATAGAGAGGAGAAGTGCTCAGAGAGGAAGATGCAATAGTGTGCTATTCCGTTGGAATAAAGCCACCATCGCCAATCGCCACGCAAATATGCACTGCCCCGTAATTCTGCCTAGAGAAGCACATTTACGGAAGACCGCGCCTGAGACGACAACACGTTGATTAATTATGAAATATAACGACAGACTACCCGAATGGATCCGCGTAGATTGGCAAGACATATTATTGGATTGAAGCTGAAACACATTACCATGCCGCAGGAGAAGCACAATTGCGTTATCCTGCATCTCATGTGTAAAAATACAGCGCCTCCCGGCAAAAAAGTTTTTGAAGCTTGTTAAAATGGGTTTAGGAACCTGCAGGAGGCCTACCACCAATCACCTCGCAGGAATGTTGGCAGCCGTCCAACGCACGCGCGAGGCTTCCAAATTCGGCGATCTAAGCTGGGTCAAATAATGGGCGCGTAGATTATTCGCAAGTGTTGTTTTTCATCTGAACTTCATTCATAGCTCAGCCACTACCAACTACTCAGTGAATTTAACCCACAGCCTCAAAAGCCAGCCGGCATGCCTGTGCGCTTCACACGCGTCAAAGAGCACCTTACAAGGCCTATCATCGCTTGATCACGTACTAAGTACCAAATAGAAAAAGGTAAACTGGACGCAGCAAATCTATCCTTCTTCCTAATTGATGGAGAGCTCAGGTTGACGACGAACAGCAGCAGCAATCCCCTGACCGAGCGCCTGGCCTTCAACCCATTTCGACTTACCGCAGCCGCAGATCGTCGCTGGTGTTTTGCCTCAACTCGCATCTTGCTTTTCATTCGCGCTGCTTCACGCATCTTCCTAAGCACCGCATCGCAAACCGCAATCATGGCCGAATTCTCTGAGGAAGAGCTTCATTTCTTCGTCAACCACATGTTTCTGCCTCCAAAGCTTCCCCAGGAGAACGACTACGATCCCAACCTCGATAAAGCCCTCCTGCGACTGGTAGCGGAAGCGCTGACCAGTTTAACTGGGTCTCTACCTTCTGAGCAACGTTCAGACGTAAAGAATTTTGTGGCAGCCGTCTCGTGCCAGATCAGATCGCATAATGCCAACGGAGCGGTGGACGGAGCAAAGCTGCTTGAAGCATTTGGAGATCTCCGTGATGCTGCTACTGGTAAGAACCAATCCATCTGTTCACCCAACTACTGAGGTCGTGTTTAAGCTGACTGATGCCTGGTCTCTAGGTACTGCAATTCCCCTGCATATCATTGCTCAGAATGCGGGAGTCATCATCAGCAAGCGCGCAGATGGCATTGACTTTGAAGCATTCGAGCTTTCTGCTAGCAACCACGCCGTCATGTCCACCCAAGGAAGGCTTCGACGCTGCTTTCCAGGCCCTGCTCTAACGATAGAGACGTGCAACTTTGAAGAACGGGGATTGCAAGTCACCATCGCCGAGACGCTATCGAAGATGAGTTCTCAAAAAGACACTGCAATGATGCCAGTCATCCAAAAATCTAAAAACGATATCGAAGAGATCCGCGATACAATGCACCCAGGACACGTTACTGAGCTTCTCATCAGCTTCCTGATGCCATTTTCCAAGCCGTCTGAGACATCAAGGGTCTGGAAGAATGTCCGAGATGAAGTCTTGTGGAAAAGCACCCACCTCCCTTGGCGCCGCTCACCTCTTTGGCTACATTTGCGCGTGGTGATGCAGCTGCTCCTCACCCGGTCTCGACCCTGCGATGACTCCATGAAGAGCCATGGTGCTTGCACTTACAAGCTATGTCTTCTGCATATCCTTGCTACCGTCTTGCAAAAGGCCTTGCGCTTAGGACACTCGATACAACTCGATCTTCTCCACTGCATGAGCGCCAAGATTGTTCGCCGCATGCACAAGTTGAACTTTTTTGACGATCAGCCTGGTACTGACTTCATCAAGAGCGTACTTGAGACAACCGACGTACATGTTTCCCGCCGATGGATGGTTATTCAACAACACAATGCAAAAGTACTGGACCTTACCCACCTCGCGTCCCTCGAGTTCGACAAGGACCTGGCGCTGTCATTGCCCGAGCTTGACACACACCTGTCTCAAATGTCGACTAGAGCATCTACAATGGAGAGCTCGCAATTCATACCAGTTGGGGAGTTGGTAACATTTTTTGTGTCAGAATTTCCATCTATCGACTTCGGCTGCTCGCCCGAATACACAGTATACAACCTGAGTGGGCTTGAAGGTTGGGTGTCTCAGCATCTCACGACCTGGCTGGAAGATAAGCTCAATAATGTTGAGACTTGCTCAGCCCTCAGGACACTGATGGAGGAGTATCACAGAGAAACTCGCAATTCTGATAAGAACAACCCTGAGCGGAAATCCATCATGTTTCTCACCCTGCTCGAGATATGGGTTGCGCTCGACCAGTCCGCCATCGCTCAGCTGCCCATGCTTGCAGACTATGATCCTCGTATTCCCTACGAACAATTTCAGTGCTTCATCATGCCTAAGGCAGACCATCTGTTTCGCTTGAGGCATGTGGAAAACTACATCAAGCAGAGGGTCGCGCAGGCCACGTATGGCAGTCCAGGCTCCATCTTCATGGGTTTCGGAACCGAAAACAGCTACTCTGTCAGACATTACAATCGTTCTTCCGAACACCAAGACCTACGACATCAAATCGAAGTTGATGCCACCGAGCAACGTCGTCGAAAACTCGAAGAGCTGGTGAGAAAACAGCAAGAGCATAAGGATCTCATGCGCAGGCATGACGCACTGGATCACGAGTATTATCAACGAACTGATAGGTGGGGCGAGACATGGTCAGATCACTCAGCTTATTGTGGAAAATGTTCCTACAGGAGAGATGCCGATAATATTGGGATCACAATACACGAATGGCCACTGCCTACCAAGGAGCTCGATGTCAAGTCAGTCGTGTTTGAACTTCACGCGCCGCCAGCTTTTTGCACTTGGCGGGATGCCACCATGTTCCTGATCCAGGACGTGCTTGGTTCTGAGTATGCAACTCAGTCTCATGCGCGTGCGGAGCACCCGTTAGCAAAATATCAAGCGCTGCAAGATTACTTTCACTCCTATAGCAAACACCGCCGCATTGGGTTGCTTTCAGAGACCAAGCCACACGTCGTCACACACCGAAACTTGATGTTCTCGGTGGACACCGTTACTAGCGACCGGATTTGCCTCCACAATGGCCTGCGACTACGGTACTTTGATGAAGATCTGGACATGTTTGTTGTCGAAATCTCTCACAAAGACGCTGTTCTAAAGGCATGCACCTATTCGCTCCCTTCCGAGTCGTCTGCACTGGAGAGATTCCTTCTCCGCCGTTTTCAAGGCAAAGACTCAACGCCAAACGAGGTAATCGCTGCACAATCTGAGTGCCCCGAGCACCTCTCACTTGCTGAATTCAGAGCATTAGCAAGTATTCCCGTGGGGTACCGACTGCAGTGGATGAATATCCTTGGACAAATCAAATGCCCGATACTCGACCTGAAGAAGGTAGAAGCTAGCCTCGTAGTCCTTCAAGCGATTTACCAGGCAGGACCCCCCGAGGCTGACGATTACCGGCGGAGTGGGCATCGAATCCTTGCAGACCATATGTTTGCCGTGGGCATCCTCAACGCTGTTGAGGAAGCTGCAACAAGGATCGAAGAAAATTGGGAATCTATGACAGCCATGGGTGTCCTCGTTTCGGTTGTGGTGCGCCTTTTATCCCTCACGCCTCTCACGCCTGGCAGGGACATCAGTGAACAGACGTTGGGCCTCTTGTCTCGGTTACGAAAAATTGTCTTCAGCTGGGTGCAGATACTTGTCAAAAAGTTTGAGGATTCCAAGGACAGTCATCAGAGGAGCCAGTTCCGGACAAAAGTCGTCGAAGCTGCATTAGTCTGCTGCCAGACGTTTGACGTCGACGAGCCAGATTTCAGGGAAGTCATTCGGAGTTCTAAGAATGCTTCGATCCTCATTCAGTGCAGCATTCTCATTCATGACCATTATTCGGCGAAATCAGCCTCAAAGGACAGTGGTTTGACACACATTCTTCATAGGAGGTGGCAAGAAACCTCGTATCAAGTGTACAAATCGCTTGCATGCATGATCCTCCGGAGAGACACCTCAACATGCCTTGACTCTGCTGTGAAGGCATCTTGGCCCGAATTTGAACGTGGCAATCAATGGCAGACTGCTGAAGGCACGGAATACTGGGTCGTCAGCAAGACCGTTGCGAGCGAAGGGCGACAGCTGGCAGTCCACTACAACTTGGTGACAGGGCAACTGATGGTCGATGGCGCACCTCTTTCTAGGCTTCCGTTTGACTACGAGAGCCATGTCACCTTTATCGACCTGTTTGACAATGAAATTTTCGAGATCGTGCCGAGTAGGATGCATGCCATGCGTTTCTCCTCCAAGCGAACATATATGGACCACTCCCTTCACTTTGGAAAGCACGGAAACCATCTTCTCATTCGCGCTTTGAGAGATTCCATTACCTGGGAGTTGCTTCCGAGGAGCTTGTTCGATGGAAGATTGCCACAATTCTTCTTGGATGAGTTCTTCCACTGGTACAACACAAGTACTGGAGTGGTAGAGTTGCGTGTCAAGAACAGACCCTGGTCCAGCGACAATTGTTGGCAGCTGAAATCCACTTCGGGTCAGTGGTTTCTTGAGAGACAAGGAAGAACCCTCGTCAATCCGCAAAGCGACACTGGGCGGGCACTCGCTTTGGTCTTCTCCTCACTTCAGGGTCCATCTCGCATCAATCTGACTCTCCTAGCTGACAGAGAGACCTTGGAAATCGAACTTCCTAGGTTGCAGATGGATTTCAGCCTGAAGAAGGGAAGTACTTCGGTATTGTCCAGAAAGCAGAGAGGCTTCGAAGTCGACACTAGTCAGTCTTTTGGCACCTTGATTGGTCTCAAGTCAAAGCTCGTTCTGAAGGATTTGCGCAGCCATGACCGTAAGGTTTTGATACCAGACGGAACTGTTATTGTTGCACCAGATGGAGACCATTCATCGGTTTCAATTGCTACGATTGCTACCAAACCCACGTCACCACACGTGTTTGGTGTCAACGAATTGTTGCAGAAGCTGACTGATACCGGGGGCCTTCGGAGCAAATTATTCCTCTGCTACCTGCACGGATTGACCTCATCGTGCCTACCAGATCCGTTAACAGTTCGAACTGGTACGGAACAGTCACTCTCAATTTTGAAAGGGGCGGCGGTGTGCTCTTTTGAGAACTTGTCGTCGCAAGACCTGGAAATCCTTCAGCAAATCGATTCTCTCACCCCTCGACGCAAGTTCTATCCTGAACATTTGTGCGTCATGCAAACCGTGGAATGGAATGAGAGGATCCCCATTCTTTCCCAACATTCGTACTTTCATGTCGCTGTGCAGAAGCTTTTCAAACAAGCCAGGATGGCTAAGATCTATTTTCCGGATCGATATGTTGAGCCTCCACTACTTGAGGACGTTCACCCGGGCTTGCTCAAGAGAGACCTGGTGCGCTCGTCATCATGCCGTGTCTCACGTTTCGGGGCTGAAGAGTCAAATACGAATTTGGATGCAACCTATTCATCTAGAGACATGCAGCAATCTTCAGAGAGAGCAAAACAGGCTCAATTCATCTCTGACGTGCTCTTCCGCAAAGATTATCCACAATTGTGCCAAGCACTTTCCCAATCAAGGCTGGGAGAACGCATTTGGGACACATTCCAGACTGTCGGCTCTGTGAAAGGGGTGGGGGCCAATACAGAGATATCGGAAGATGATCTTGCATACGATGCCAAGTGGTTGATCAACCATCCAAAATATTGGGCCGAGATCTGGTGCTGGATGCACGAGCACGCGCAAGATGGCAAGTTTGAAGCCTCGTCACAATGTTTTCGATTGATGATGTGGTTTGCGACCATGGCATATGCTCCAGAGGCTGCGTTACATCTGATTCACACAGCGGCCGCGATGTTCATTCATACCGGTACCAAAGCCATTTCAATGAATCAGTTGCCCTCTGAGACAGCATCATATTCGCTCACAGAAGGCGAAAAAGTTGTTCCTCACAAAGTAGAGGCAATAATCTCGAACAGCTTCCGTCCGCTACAAGACTGTCCCGAGGGACTATTTTCGCATAAGTCTCATGAGACCCACGAGGAGTATCGAAACAGGCAAGACAACTCATACAGATGGAATCGAGATCGAGCAAGTACACAACTTCTGGAGCACGTGGAGCGAGGGTTTCCATCTCCAATGCTAAGTCTACCTTCGGGCAGCCTGCGGGCCTTCCTGGGAGATTACATGGATTTTCATAAAGCGACCCGTGATATTCAGCCGTTGTACAAGATCTGGCATGACAACCATCTTTTCAAGAAGTACCTTCTCAGCATCGAAGAAGTGATCAACCAGCAGCCCAGTTCCATGCCTCTGAACATTCAGACGCTCCAAATCGAGCTGCCTGATTATTCTCCTACTGTTACCCAAGGGTATATTGGGACGGCTGATGTATTTGGAGTTGCTTCTCCTGGAGAAGTGCCTGATCAGCCACGGATTCCATCAGATTTGTTATTGCTATCAGGCTCTCATCTTGATTTATTGATCGAAAGAAAGCTTAAGGCCGCCAAATCTACTTTCGAAGGGCGGTACGCACTGAAGCTGCGACAGAGCCAAATCAAATGGAAGCAGGATTCTGGCGATGTTCAGCAGTGTATGCTTCGGATGGGCAAAGACCTTCTGCAATCCACGCTCAGGGATCATGTTCTTAAGACGAAAAACCATATGGAATCACTGCGTGACTCCATGGTCACTTCAATACGTTCTGGTCTGAAAGGAAGATCACTTGCAGACTCCCTACACCATTCTCCTCGGCTGTCGTCAGTCTTTTTCCTCCATCAGCTCTCTGAAAATGGATGGGAAGACGGCGATGGATGGAGCCATCTGCCAGCCGTATGGCGACCCTGGATCGTCGCCTACGGCATTGCCGTAACGGAATTTCAGCGCGCTGAACGATTACTCCGTTCTGTTAGGGATCAAAATCAGTTGATCCAGGAACTGCAGAATGAAGGACACACGAACTGGGACCCAATGAAATACCCCGAGTCTCTTCTCATTGAGGTAGAGAGCGACTTCCTGGTCAGGAGTGTGCAAGAAGACATTGCTGAGAAAATGAGGTAAGTCTCTGTGCGATGAATCGGGGGGTGAAACCTGGACATGTGGGAGGCAGATTTTTTAAACTTGTCATTCTATCCCTTTAGAATTGCTGCGCTGTCAATGTAACGCATAAACGCTAATTGTGCCGCTACTTCAGGAGCCCTCCACATGGGCAGAATACGGTGATGCAACTCAACATGGGAGAGGGGAAGTCTTCAGTCATTGTTCCGATCGTGGCAGCAGCTTTGGCGAATGGCCACAAGCTAGTACGCGTCATTGTCGCAAAGCCTCAGTCTCGTCAGATGCTTCGAATGCTCGTTTCGAAACTTGGCGGGCTTTTGAACAGAAGAATCTTCCACCTTCCCTTCTCGCGATCCCTTCAACTGACGAAAGCAGATGCCCAGAATATTCTTCATGAGTCTCGCCTTTGCATGAATGCCCGTGGAGTCATGCTTGTACAGCCAGAGCATATTCTTTCTTTCAAACTTATGGGACTCGAGTCCTTCATCTCGGACAGAGAAACTATAGGGCGAAGCTTGGTACAGACGCAGGACTTCTTTGACAACAATACTCGAGATATCGTGGACGAAAGCGACGAAAACTTCAGCACAAAGTTCGAGCTGATCTACACAATGGGTACGCAGAGCTTGATAGACTTTGCACCCGATCGGTGGATAGTTACCCAAACAGTCCTTGGGGTTATCAGGGACTATGCGCCGAAGGTGAAGGAAATGCTGCCCCTATCCATTGAGGTCTCGGCCCGAACGGAAGGTGGATTTCCTCGCGTCCGAATAATCGAGAAAAAGGCGATGATGAAGCTGCTCGAAGGGGTAGCACTGCATATCTGTACGAAAGGCTTTTCCGGGTTCCCTATCTCACGTCAAGAACCTCACTCTCGCAAGTCCGTTCTAAGGTACATCACTCAAAAGGACTTGTCCTTGACCGACAAGAAGTATGTTGAGGATAGCGCCTTCTGGACTGACACAACCAAGAGCTACATTTTGCTCCTCCGCGGTCTCTTCGCAAAAGGCATACTCGCCTTCATTTTCGGTCAAAAGCGCTGGCGCGTCAATTATGGCCTCGACAAAACCAGGCGTCCATCGACCAGGCTTGCTGTGCCTTATCGAGCCAAGGACAGCCCATCTCCGCGTTCAGAGTTCAGCCACCCCGATGTGACAATTGGTCTCACCTCTCTCTGCTATTATTACCAAGGCTTAGACGACAAGGACCTTTTCCAGACATTTAGCCACCTGCTAGAGTCAGACCAAGCCACTCAGGAATTTGGGTCCTGGCTTAAGGATTCGCACGGCCTTGCGCATGGTTTTCGCCAATTGATGGGCATTAACCTGAAAGACACAGTTCAGTGCAAAACCGAAGTCTTCCCATCATGTAAGCCAAAGTTGATATCCCAACACGGTTGTCACAATTCAGGCTTTTGACTAACAATGCATCAACCCAAGTTCGATACGCTAAACGCACCATCGACTACTTTCTGCAACATATCGTGTTCTCAAAGCAGATGAAGGAATTTCCCAAGAAACTGTCTGCCTCCGGCTGGGATTTGGCAGTTGCCAAAACTCATCCGACTACAGGATTTAGCGGTACCATCGACTCAGCGCCCGTTCTGCCCCTTCAGATGCATTATCTGGACCTGCCAGACCAAGAGGGGACCAACGCCCAAGTTCTGAATTATTTGTTGGGGCCCGAGAATAAAGTTCTCTTGTTGTCCCCACCCGCGGAGAGCTCCGATCTCGAGGCTTGCGGTGGTTCACAGCCAACTTCGGACGCAGAAACACTTCTCACAGCTGTCACTGGTCAAATGGACTCATGTCTCCGAGTCATTCTTGACGTCGGTGCGCAGATTATCGAGCTGACGAATTTGGAAGTGGCGCGCAATTGGTTGAGCAAGGTACACGAGCAGGATCAATCTGTCCAAGCAGCGATCTACTTCGACGACAACGATGAGATGATGGTGCTCAACAACATGGACATAACCGAGGCCTTCTGGACGTCCCCTTACGTTGATCAATTGGACACATGTCTCGTTTTTCTGGACGAAGCTCACACCAGGGGGATAGACCTGAGACTGCCTGGGTACTACAAGGCAGCCGTGACACTGGGTGCCAATCTTACCAAAGATCGACTGGTCCAAGGTGAGTTCCTTGACCTTAATATGTTGTAGGTAGATCCAGAAATTGACGGTGTTGTAGCTTGCATGAGAATGCGCAAGCTGGGCAAGGGGCAGTCTGTCGTCTTCTGCGTTCCTCCTGAAATCCAGACGAAGATTCGTGAGGCGACATCTGGGGATAATGATCAAACTCGAACCGTCCTCCACAATAGCAACATTGGCGTGGAAGACGTTATCGACTGGGCGATGAGTGAGACGACCCGCGAGATCAAAAACAGCATCTCTTTATGGGCTGTGCAGGGTCGACGATTTGTACGCCAGCAATTCCACGAAGAAGCTGCCCGGACCAGTGACGGGATCAAAATGACTGCCGAGATCGCTGAAGAGTTTCTTGAAGACGAAGCCCAGACAATCGAGCACCGATACCGACCTTTGCGCGAGACACCCTCAGACGAACATACTCGTCACGAAGGCTCCATGAGTGATCTGGCGGAGATCGAGGCCCGCTGTCGAGATTTTGGGCCACTTAATGCGAATAACGCTACGCTGGAAGAGGAGCAAGAGCGTGAGTTGTCGCCTGAGATTGAAGAGGAGCGACAAATCGAGAGACCGCCCCCGGCTGAAGCAGCAGAACACGAGGTTCACCCTCATGTGACAAATTTTGCGGCGTTTGGGAAGTGGACAGAAAAGTCCTCTGCCTTTCTGCCCGCGTTCGAGGCCCTCCAGGACACAAGTGCGGCAATCGATTTCGACCCAAGCCTCTTTCCACGGGACATCATGGTCACAGCTGATTTTGCGAGAACGGTACAGAAGAGCGCCACAGGGCATTTTCTGTCAGACGCATATCAACGTCCAGTGAACTGGATCCTGACGAGCCAGCCCAAGAACTGGAATCATGTGGTCATCATCAGCCCGCACGAGGCCCAAGAGCTGCTACCCCTGATCCAGACCCACAAGAAGACAACACTGCACATCTACTGCCCGCGACCAAGCCCGGAGATTAGGTCTCTTGATGACCTCAATTTCTATACTGTGCCTTCATCCTCGCTCGCAAAGCTCACACCTTTCCCTCTTCATCTGAAGACCCAGTTGAACCTGTTCGCAGGTCAACTGTATCTGAAGTCTGAGCTTGAGTATCTTGACTTGTGCACAATGCTCAGGCTATCGCCACAGGAAGCAGTTGACGGAACCATCGTCGAAGCTGATGGATTTATTCAATCTTCTACCTCGACGGACATCGCAGCCGTTATCAAGAAATCTACTTTCACTTCAAGCCCTGTCAGATTTTTGAAGTCATTTCTTACAAAGGCGCGTCGCGACTGCCAGTTGATCGACAAGACACATCTAGGAAGGATATTAGATGGTGCTTTGCTTCAAACGAGCGACTTTTACTCTCAGGATGAGGAAGGGGATCATGCCTCCTCTTTGCAAGAGAGAAATGGCTACATCTCGGAGGTTGTGGGAAGCTTGGAAAGTCTGATTCTGTCACCTGGGAGGGAGGGTTCAGAATTTTCTAGTATAGGCAGAAATAAGGCTCATATAAGCTGAGGGCTTCTCCGACAGGCATAGGGGTATGGTTGAACAGGAAGACGGATTTGGAATTTGCCTGCCGGCTTGCGAGAATGGTAGTACATAGCTTTGGGGATTTCAAGAAGTCTGTAGCACTGATTTCACCCAACTGTTTGTTTGTGTAACTTACTAGTTCGTTTTCTTCTCTTATGCGAGATACTTGGAGGGAAACAGTGCATCAATCTCGAACCGCAGACCGCTTTTTTCGATGCTCTGTTGCATCCGGCTATGGTACAGAAACCCAAGAGTCGTTGTATAAAGTCAAAACGGTTTCTTCAGATAGTTTTCGCTGCTGCATTTTTTCAATTTCCATGTTTCTGGAAGCTATCTAGGCTAGTGCGCGGTCAAGCACACACCGGATCTCCTAAAAAGCTGCAATCATGACTTGGTCTACAGAGAATATCATCTTCCCATCCATAAGTGCACCCATTTTTGTTGTTCTGCGTCTTAGATGCAGACGCCGTATGGTCCAGGAAGGGCATACGTGCTGGGGAGCACATCGTAGTCGTCGTTGGAGCAGTCGCCCCAGCCCACGACGATGTTGGTGCCGTTACCAGGGAACTGTCCTATGATTAGTTTCAAGTACACATATAAATGAAAGTGGTTTTCGTGATTAAATGCTTACAACCTGGCCCGAGTACTGGTGGTTAGTACCTCGGGTCTGGCTGGTGAGGCAACAACCGTGCCAGCCAAACTCATTGTAGCCCATGGCAATCATGCCAGCGAGAGCCGCGAGGACGTTGGCTGGGGCAGTGACGTCGAAGGGCTGGTCGTTGCACCACTGTGTGTGTGCCAAATTAGCATCTTCTGCAGTTTGTCCAACAAGAATAAGAAAAACAACTTACGTAGACTGCTGTGTGTGTGTAGCTGGCGCGTGAGCAGCCAAGACGCCGACAGGTGGCAGTGCCATCACCCTCGGCGCCGGGAACAGTCCAGTATCCGCCAGTGACACCACCAGGAGCGTTGACAGCGGCGATGGCACCGAAGCCTTCGTTGTCTGGTTGTAATATGTAGAAGTAAGCAAACCATGTTCCGTAGTTCGAAGTGAAGAAAGTATATGCATGGGGGATGATGAATCACATACAGTCACCGGTGGCGAAGTTGCCACAGTTCCAGTGGGTTTCAGTGTATCCATCGTCAAGGTTCTGAGAATTGTCAATGGGATAGGTACGGGCGGCAAGGGCTGGCTGCATGCCAGCCACGATGTTTCCGTCGGTGGGAGTCTTGTCCATGTAGGAGAAGTTGGAGACGGTCATGGAGGTTTCATTGAAGGCTTGAGGGGCCTTGGACATGAAGGGGTTCATGACGACCAAGTTGTCCTTGAGGGACGGCTTGATGGCCAAGATCTGGTCCTCGACGGAGTTGGCGTTGCCGTAGAGAGAGACTTCGCCGTGGCCGGGGATGGTGCCGGTCCAGGCGATGTCGACGGTAGATTTGGTGGTGTTGATGGGACTGGCTTTGGCCAGGATGGCAAGAGAGGACTGTTTTGAAGGATTGTCAGCGTTAGAGGCTGATTACTTGTGTAGGAGGAAGAGTGAGGACGGCGGCTGGGCTATGTGTGCGTTCTCACTGGTCAGCGCACTTACAAGAACAACAGTCGAAAACATTTTGACGGTTGATACTGAAAGAGGAGTATTGAAGAGTTGCTTATTGTCGACCAAGGTCTTTCTAAGTTTGGTGTTTGATCAGGTAGGAGAAAAAAGTCAGCCTTGGGGTTGGACGGAAGGGAAAGGTATTATATATATGTGTGTGTGTGTAGCACAGATACTGGACTATCATCGTTCACTCCTAAATGAATGAATGATTGAGCGGTGGAATGGTAAATTTCTTCCCTAAGATCTTCACTCTGAGTGAATACGCCAGTTGGGCTGTGAATGTTGGGAAGACTGATGGGGTGTAATGACTTGGACTTCACCAGCTGTAAAGCGAACACAACACCAAGACCTTGTCAACACGAGACACTAAAATGTATTCATCAGATAGAATACTTCTATATTTCGATAACTGCTTGAACTTCGTCTGTTCTACTAAATTCACGGAGCTTATAGGCCCGCTGTCCCCAGGACGAACATTGCTTGTTAGCATCGGCAGAAAAAAAGCGAATATCGTAGCATTTTACGTGGTCTGACACTCTCAGATGGGTCAAAGTCAATTTACTTTCAGCGTATCCTACTTATTTACATTGTTATATGAAGCTAGATTCATCCCTCCCTTCAAACACAGTTCCAACTGTCCGGGTCCGTCGGATCCCCCGATCCAGAGTACTCGTTCCGATACGGATACCGACAGTGCCTCCTCTGGAACGCAACCTCGCCCGTAGCCTGCGACTCATTCACATACGCCGTGCCCAGGATCGTATCCGGCGCAACGCCCTCCTCAACCCAGCGCACCATGGCCGTCAGCACATTCCCCTCCGGGTCCAGGGTCGCGTTGCTGGTGATGCCCTGGCCGATAAAAGTGGCGCCCGGCCCGCCACTGCAGTGGCCCATGCCGCTGATGCGAAAGAAGCGGTAAAAGTCGTCGAGCTGGGACGCGTTCAGCCCCATGGTCTGTGAGACGTGCTCGTAGTACCGCGGGGAGTTGTAGCTGGTGATGATGGGGTCCTGCTGGCCGTGGTACTGCAGGATCTTGGACCCCTTGCTCTGCACGGCAGACAGGTTGCCGTTCCACGTCTGGATGTTGAAGGGGTTCTGGCGCGAGGCGGCGGTGTAGTCTGCCGAGCTCAGCGTCGCGGGGTTCCAGGTTGGGTCGTCGTAGACTGCGTAGCGGTACCAGTCCGAGGTGTAGATGAAGGCGGAGCCCGTGTAGTAGATGTACGCTGCCTCAAGCTCCGAGCCGGGCTGCATAGCCGGAAACACCAAACTGCCGTCCTCGTCGTTGATGACGGGCGAAAAAATCTTGCGGACCGTGTTGGCCTGGACATCTGTCAAGCAGGCGGTGCTGGCATTGGCAGCAGAGGAGGACGAGCAGAGGATGGCGTCGCTGACGTTGTAGTGGCAGATGCCGGCGTCTTCGATGATGCCGTCCACATAGCCATCCAGGCCGTCGCACTGGTCCAGGATGTCATCGTGGATGACGGGCCACATGTCGAGGGGCACAAAGGTCGACGCGTTGGTGGTGCCCTCCTCGGCAAAGAACGAGCCGCTCCAGGAGCTCAGGTTGGCAAAGGCGAGGGCGGGGGCTCCCACGACCCATCCGTCAAAGTCGTCTGGGAAGTCCTGGGCCTCCTTGAACCCTTGCCGCCCGCCGGTCGAGCAGCCAAAGTAGTACGACTTGTTGTGCTCTTGTCCGTAGAAGAGCTGCGAAACCTCCTTGCCAAACACCACGCCCGTGTGCAGGGCCCTCCAGGCAAAGTCCTCGACCACCTCGTCGTTGTCGTAAAAGGCCTCGCCGCTCGTGCCGTTGTGCCCGTTGTTGGTGGCCACCGTAGAGAAGCCCAAGTCGACTGTATACGCCAGATCGTAGTACTGGATGCAGCCCGACAGGCCACCGTTGCCTGTGCTCAGAAAACGACCTGTCCAGGCCTCGCTGGTGGGCAGCCACACCTCCATGCTGATGTTGGACCGGTCGGACGTGGGCACCAACATGGCGACACGGCACATGTCCACGGCCACGACCTGCCACTGGTCACCGCAGGTAGGGTCATAGTCAGGAAGGGAGAGGTTCGTGCCGGCGGCGACAGGCTGGGTGAACCAGACCGTGGCATTGTTGCTGTTGCCCAGGCTGCTCTGGAGGGTGTCGGCGAAGGCGGTACACTGGGTAGTAAAGTCGCCAGTGTCGTTTTGCCTGAGAACCGACGCGTCCATCAGGCTGGCCAACAGAGCCAGAGACCGTAAGAGGATATTGGGGTAATTGAGGAACCTCATGATGTTACCGTCTTGAGCCAGATCTCGCGCAGGCTTGACAGGGAGGTGTGAGAAGTCGTGAGGGAGAACGTTAAGGGGCGAGGTTGTCGGGATATACTTACACAAGTCCTCGGCCAGACGTCCGATCACTCTCGCGTAAGTGGACATGGTTGACAAGACCCATTATCAAGACGATACTTTCCACCATCTTTGCGAGCCTTCGGACAAGGTATGCCGCCTCCAGATGCGCCAGGAGGACGAGCAGGAGGAGGAGGAGCGTGGAGCGGCACTTGGCCTCGGCAAGGGACCTGGGTTTGTTGTCACTGGCGAATGGAGGGATCCTCTCGGTTACATCACTCAAGGAGCTATACCATGTTTTAAGATGGGCTTTTCCGAACTTTGGCGGGTATGAATGTCTGACTGTGGCTTACGCTCCAGAAGATCAAATGATAAATGAAACTGGGTTCGACACGAGCTCATTGAGGGTGTGTCGAGGAATTCAAGTTGGTGCTCATCCAACAATAAGACCAAACTCGTGATGCAGCGGTCACTCACCGAAGGAAGAGAAATCAGGAACAGCAACAGCGCAGGCAAAGAAACAAATGAAGAAAAGCCTCAGTAAGTCTAATGTCCCCCCACCAGCTTCCTATCCAAGCTGCCAAACCGATGGAGTATCCAAGGGCCATGAGACGATCTGCCATAATGATACCTTGAGGACGGGGCAACGGCGGGGAACCAGGAAAAGGATGCTGTAGGGCCGTGCGCTCCGTCCAGGGGGGAAGCAATCGTCCCCACGTGGCCTGCGGTGAACTACGTACTATAGCACAATATAATCAGTAGCAATTCAGCAACATCATGTCGGCTAAACAGAGGAAAAATAACGACAGTGTTGGGCACAGCCGGATATCCCGAAGTATCATGTATACTACAGTGAAAGTGTGCCGGTTTGATTCATGGATGGAAATCAACAGTTGCGACTGGTGGAACAAACAACAAGCAAATTACAATCTGTTCTCAATTGCCACACACGATGTCTAGCAATTAGTTGAGGAAGAAATTGGAGGGTGAGAAAAGACTTAAACCCAGGCTGAATATACAAGCCTCGTCTGCCTATCCTAAAGGCGAAGAGAAATCGCGACATCACGGCCCCGCCACCCTCCTGGCGATCCGAGCTCCTCCCCAAGGGCATCCTATGAGCCAACAAGCAGATAATGCTTGCAAGAGGGGTCTCCACATTGAAAGATGATCTGACAAGTTGTCATGGGAAAAAAAGATAGAAGATGGCTCCCACCCATTTACTAACACCACTTGCTATAGTCAGGAAAGTAAGTGGCATGGATCCTCTCAGCATATTCAGCAAGAACAGGATACTGTCCCACAATCTCTCGAGATTCAGGACCGCTAATCGTCTCGCACCAATTCACAACATTAGTCAGCAGGAGGTTCAATCCCATGACTGCTCACACAGACCTTGCGGGAAGGACACTCACGCTGTACATAACAAGACCGACACGATGAACCCAAAGAGCGTCGCGTCGACCTCGGTAGGCTCATGGCCGCCCAGGAACCAGAACGGCTCCTCTGCACCCGCCGCCTTGGACGTCCTGGTGTTCCTGGCGCGGGCAGCAGACGACGAGAGAACGCCGCTGATGGTCTCCCAGATCTCCTTCTTGGACGCGCGCACCTCCTCGTCGGACAGGCGGAGGGTGCCCTGGCCGTAGAGTGTGGCCTTGTGGCTGCGGTAGGCAAGCAGGCCCACGAGCACGCGGGCAGGCCATGGGATGGCGGACAGGGCGTGGTCGCGCATGGCATAGTAGTTGTCAAACCATCTTTCTCGAGTCTGCCAAAAAGGAAAGGAAGGGAAAAAAAAAGGCCACCCCCTCTCGTCTCAGCGCTGGATCGTTCCGATCATCTCCTTTACGTTGATTGACTCACATGGTAGAAGTAGAGCTTGTCCTCCAGCAAGGCCCTGGTTGCCAGGTCCTGCGCCCTGTCCTCGGCCGACAGGCTGGCGTTGAGGTCCGGCACCACCTCCCAGCGGACGAGCTGCTGGATGATGAGGGTCGAGTCGCCCATCTGCACGAGCTCGGCTTTTCCGGGCGGGCGGATTGTGATATAGGGGATCTTGCCCTTGGGCGCGGACCGAGGACTTCCGGCCCCGGCTTCGTAGGTCATGCCGGCGAACCTCAGACGAGCCTCGAGCTTGACGACAAAGGGCGACCAGACGTGCTCACCTCTTGTGGGCCAGCCTCGGAACAGCGTTAGGGTGCTGGTGTTCTCGGGGTCGGACATGGTCGTGCGTTGGTGTGACTTCCTGGTTGAATAACGTTGCGCCCGATGCCCTGTAAGTAAACAATACTGGGCGATTGTGACAGAGGATCTGCACCCAAAATTGACTTGATCTAAAGAATGAAAAAGAGTCCTGAACTTATCTACAGGATGATGCTGATCGCAAATTGATGACTCGCGCTGTTTAATAAAAATCATTGAAGACGAAACGTCGGACAGACTCGGACTCGAAGGAGTCGGCCGACATGTCCATCTGTCCGAACAGGGCACGAAGGGATTGAGAGCTGCTCTACGTCTGCCTGGATTCAGCCCCACCCCATCCGCGAACACGCGTATTTTGCAGTGTGATCAGCAGTACGAGATTCTTACTGCATCAGTGCACCTTTTTTTTTAATTTTTTTTTTTTATCTTTTTTCCTTTTCTGCGAATTCCACGTTTTCATTGGTGATGTCCGCAAAGTGAATCATACTCCCTTTATTACCACAAGGCTAAATGAACAGCTTGGGTACCGGCTTGATAAAGAATAAAGACATGGCTCTTGCACTCACAGAAGACTACTTAAAGAGTGATCAAAGCCAGCCTATGTCTTGTGAATTAAGTATCCAAATTCCTTACGCTGATTTTAGTATATACATCTGGAATACCAGTAATAAATTTCATTACCCTGGAAAGCAATTAACTAATTCTCTCGCGTCTAACACAATTCTGAAGGAATGATCCTGGTGCGGCTGTATTTGAATCATCGTGACATTATGAACCGGGTATTATGATACAATCCTGACCCAACTTTGAGAGAAAATGAATGAAAGAAGATTGAAAGAAAAAGAGAGAAAACAAGGCGAGCATATTGTGTGTACTGACCACTTACAAGAATGTCCTCTACAATTCATTAGTGCAACTGTGAAGCTAGAGGAGAGGTTTTCCGTGCTCTGATCAATTAATTACATCCAGAACTTGATGAGGAAGGGAATCAGATCATCGCTATCCACAATTCTCCCCCACGACGCGGTGCCTCGACCAAATACCTCATGTCGGGCTCGATAGGCAACGTGCCCTGCCGGGCCGCATCTGCAATTCCCACCGCCTTAGCCGATGACTCACCTAGAATCACCACTCTCGGCAAAGACATGTCGCCGTTCCCACAGGATTGCCAAGAAAACCGGAACGGCTGTCTCTACAGCTTCCGGATCTCACACTCTTGATTATAGCCAGCGACGAACAAGCATCACCTCCTCAATCAGGCCTTCTGTTTTCTTTTTCATCTCGTCCCTCATAGATTAGAACAGACTTCCTCTACGCTATCAAACGGTCCAGACCCTGTAACATTATCTCATCCCACTTCCAGGCCTCCCTTCCCTTCCACTCACTCCGCAAAGAAGAAGAAGAAAAAAAAAGACAAACAGTGAAAAGAACAAACCAATTTTAAAAACCAAAGAAAAGAAAAGAATACACACACACACAATGCCCCTCAAACTCCACCTCCGCCCAGCCACCCCCGCCGATGTCCCCCGCATGATAGAAATCTTCATCGCCGCCTTCTCCCCCGGCCCCTGGAGCGCCCTCCTCTTCCCTCCCAACCAGCGCACCCGTCCCGGCCAGGCCGACGAGACCGAATGGCGCGTGCGGGTGTTCCGCGCCCAGCTAGAGAAGCCGGGACACCATCATGTCCTGGCGGTCCAACAGCAAGGGGAGCAAGACAGCAAGCAAGAGGTCGTCGTGGGCTGGGCGAACTGGCTGGACACCGCGCGGGACACGACGGTGGGGATGACGCCCGAGGAGAAGAGGGCGGATCTGGAGAAGACCTGGGGGAGTGCCAGTCCGCCGGGCTTGGACAGGACGGCATGGGAGGAGATGGGGCGGCAGGGGGAGGTTGTGAATGAGATGGCGAGGGAGGCGCTGGGGGTGGAGAGGTTGAAGGAATCACTTGGTGGGTGTTTCTCTGGGGGTGGTTTTTTTTTTTTTTTTCCTTCCTTCCTTTTTTCTTGTTCTTGCCCTTCTTCCTAGTTTGGCACTGTTTGTGATTGATTCGTTACAGGACTGACTTGGCTGCAGAACTCCGCTACCTTATGATCGACCCAATCCACCAACGCAAGGGAGCGGGGCGACTTCTCATGCAGGAATACCTCGACAGTGCGGCTACAGAGGAAAAAGACGTATGGCTGCGCGCGACGGCCGACGGTAGGCCATTATATCTCTCCCTCGGGTTCAAGGAGGTGGGGCAAGGGTTGGTCATGGGGAACCTGCATTTCGCTATGGTGAAAAGGGCTGCTGGTGGTGGCGGTCGTGATGGGGTCTCGTAGCCTTGCGAATCTGTAACACACACACACACACATATATATATATATATATATATATATACATATCGATCAAGTAAGTCTTGTATTCAAGAGATGGTGGGAAAATTCCACGATCAATAAAAATATGTACGAGAAATGCATGTGTAAAAAGTCGTATCGCTTTGACATCGGCCGTAATGACCGACATGTCAATCTTGCAGTGTGCCATAGGGCTGGCTCATACAAGAGTAAGTCAGCCCTGCCCGAATCCCACCCGAAATGAAGTTCTCCTTATAGATATTCACGGGAAGGCCCTTACACCATCGCTTCTCATAGACCTGCGCACATGCTCATCGCCTATCGGTCCCTCACCGCCTGGTAAATCTCGGCAAATCTCAACCCTCTGTAGTGCTCTGGTCCACAGCCTTCTTCCCTCCCTTCGTCTTCTCCTCCTTTTCTTTCCCACCCTTCTTCTCCTTCTTCTTGGGCTCCAGCCACGCGTCAAAACCCACAGGCCAATACACACGTCCCAAGGGGCCACCCATACCAAAGTCCTCAGGGCTCACAACCAAGGCACTATCAGCGGGCGCGGGCTCAGCTGTCTCCTTCTTGCCACCATCCCCCGCAGCCTCGTCTTCCCCATCTGTAGACTTGACCTTCCGCTTCTTGGGCGAAGCCTTCTTGGCCTTCTTAGCGGGGCGGTCCTGGTCCTCTCGCATGTGGGGGATCACATCGGCAATCTTCTCGTGCCCGGGCAGCTTAAAACGCCGCATCAGGTCAAACACGGCCTGCTCCTTGTCCTTGGCCTCGATCATGAGATCCATATCGGGGGGGCAGGGAGGCAGCGTAGCAACGCGAGGGCTGTGCTTGCGCCTGTCATGTCCCGACACTGCGCCAGGGCATGGCTCCGAATAGTGCATCTTCTGCTTGATACCCTTGCGGGTCCAGGTGGCAGCGATGCGGGCCGAGATCTCTGGCTGCGAGATGTCGAGGGTGCCCTCGCGGCATTTGTCGGCATCGAAGATGATGTTGTGGTGGTGGTAGTCGAGGACGAGGGGGATGTTCAGCTCCTCGCAGACCGGGAGCAGGTCATGGACCGACCAGGATACATCATCATTCTCCAACACGAGTCGGCGCTTGATGGAGGGAGAAAGAAGGACATAGTTGGCACGGAAACGGTCCAGAGTTGCTGGTTTCCCGCCATCGCCGGCAAAGGTGCCACCCATGTGCAGGATCATGATGGCATCACGATCCTGCTGCGGCGGAAGTTTCAGCAGCGACAGCAGCTCATCATGATACTCCAGGTCTCGGACAGATGCAGTGACGACCTCCTTACGGGGTGAACCGAGCTGGGTGAACTATAACGCAGAAAAGAGATCGACTTAGGGTCAGATGGATTCTCTGGATTCTGTTGCGAGGCATCCGCGAGCAGGGAAGATGTTCTTGTCTCACCTGTCCAGGATGCGTCGTCAGGCGGTGCCCGAGCTCCGCAGCGACCTTGCCGGCCTCAGCCAAGACCTCAGAAGCAAAGGGGGCGAGCCTGTAGCCATATTCGCCGTGGCTCGCAAAGGGAAACATCTCAGAGCTAAGACGCATGAACTTGATGCCATACTTGTCATTCCAGCGAAGCATCTTGATGATGTCTCGAGCGTTCGCCAGTCCTAGGCGTTCTACCCACCGCTGGCCGCGAGCGATGTCGGGTTTCTTGGTCATGTCAGGCTTGTTCTTGGGACCCTCAGGCTGTGATGGATCTGCCAGAGGATGGCGGTGATCCATCATGCTCGCAATGCGACACGTTCGTGAGCTGAAGACTGAGGGCTTAGCAGAACGTAGGTAAGTGTTCAGGCAGGCCTGGATTAGACGGTCAGCGGAGCTTTGTGAAGCAGAAACTATACATATGAGAGCGAGAAAGAAAAAGAAAAAGAAGGGAGGGGCAGGCCAACATATCCTAGGCGACCTGTCCAGGGCAGTGGCAGATAGTCGCTATTGACGGCTGGTGGCCGTCTTGCGGCGCTGTCTGCAGAGAGGAGCTCATCGTCCGCCTCGCTTCCCTCCTCAAGTTCGTAGTCCTGGCTGACCTCACCAGGTTCTCGATCCGGGGTGAGAAGGGTGCGGTTGGCCTCGAGGACGTCGGTTCCCGTCCTGAGGGGCCGCTGGCGGTAGGTACGATCAGTCAGATCGTCGCCAACGGACTTGACCGTGCTCGCCTCAACCTGGAGCTTGCGCCTCTTGACGTCCCTCTTGAAATTCAACTCCATCTCCTCCAGACCCTGCATGGCGTCTGCGACGCCCACCTGGGCCAACTCGACCTGGTGCTCTGCCTTCTCTGCGCTGCTCTCCGTCGACAAGCCCTGCTGCCGCATCTTGTCGACCTCTCTGACGCTGGGCGTGACGCCGGCGCCTTTGTCCTGGCCCGTGGTGGTCTTGCGCGACGAGGCAGCAGTGCGGCGCGAGGATCTCCTCGGCGGGAGTCTGTTGTTGTTATTATTGTTGTTGTTGTTGTCGTCGTTGTTGTTATTGAGTGATTCAGAATCCGGTGATGTGTAACTATGTTCAGAAGGGGATATGTTCTTCTGCTCTGACTGCGGGGGCTCTGCAGCGACGTGGGAGGAGCCACGGGTATCAGTGGCAGCCCTCTTCTTACCATTAGCAGCAGCACGGGATGACATGGCGATGGTGGAGACTGTGGCGGTATGACGTCTCGGAGGAGTATATAACAAAAATGCTGCTCTGTCTGCTCTGAGGGCACGGAGACAAAGTAGGGGGATGGTGGCGGAGCTGCTGGTCCGGAGGGTGTAGTAGTAACAACGGGCAGCCAACAGTCGAAGAATCGGAGCTCGATGTCCGGTAGCCCGTGACACAAGGGGGGTGAATGACATGCAGGTAGGCGCTGGGGGCGTATGGGAGAGGCTGCGCTGGGGTGGTACCAGGGCTCGGGCCTCGTCTCACACAGGTGTGTTTGGCTGAGTAATTCAGTAAGAAATTCCTCTTCCTTTTTCTTGTTCTCCCTCTTCTCTCTTTTCTGTTTTTGTCTTTCTCTCCCTCGCTCTCTGGAAACTGGTTCGAAACAAGAAAAGGAGAGGGGGGAAAACCAGATAAACTGACAAACAACTGGTTGGCTGGCTCGACCCGTGCCTGTGTGGGTCGACTCGGGTCGGGTCGATCTTGTCCAGGCTGCACAGGCTGGGTCAAGATATGCAGGGCTGGCTTGGATTGTCGGAGACACTGGCAGGCCTGGCGGTTAAGATGCATGCAGCAGACCAGACCTCACAGGACCAGGCAGGGTGCGTAGAGGAAATCGTTAGTAATTGGTCGGTTCAGGCGCCTTGCTGCGGAACATCAGGATGTACATGCGTGGTGACCTTTGCAAATTCGTAAAGGGCAAGTATAGTAGACTAAAAAAAAAAAAACAATGAGATGTAGCTCCAACCAGGTGGTGTGTGGTTATGATGGCCGTGGTTGGTTATGTTTTTTTGGTTGTGGAATGAGGTTTGTCGATATTGTCCCGATTCTGGTTCGCCTGGCTAGGAGTTCCTGATTGCTGGACGCAGACGGCTGGACCCTGAATTTGGGCTAAATTGCAACAACTAAAGATGACGAGTAGATAATTTAGTGGACTACCGTCCAAACCTGTCGCACGTAGATGGCTGCTAGACTTGGCCGCTCTCTGCCGGGGCTGGTAACGGTAGGCAAGCAAGCTACCCAGGTCAGTTAGCGGCTACTGCGTCTCGTCTTTTCCGTGGCGAGCTTCTGGGAAAGACACCAAATTTTGCATCTTGAGCCTTCATCCAAGCATCACAGACCTAGTTGGATGATGTTGATGTTCGTCGCGACACGCGGGTGGTGACCAGTGGCCGACGTAAGTCGGGGACTATGATGAAATGGGCGAGACCAGTCCACGGCCCGAGATCGAAAGAAAAGGGTGAGATCGAGACTGCAAGGCAAGAGAACAACGTCATTTCTCCCCTGTAAAAGGAACAAATTGAATATCCCGAGGTGTCACAACGCAATGGAGACAGGATGGATTCCCGACGCTTCTTTTTCTCCTTGCCCTTAGCAGATCCAGTGGGTGCATTACGGCCGGTGTGACGACCTTCATCTCAGTTCTGGGCCGATCAAGGGTTGCTGGTCTCGCAGCATTTGCTCCCATCGCACTTGCGTTTTGTCATGGGGATTTTGTTAGGCTTGTCTCATTAGCAGTAGAAGAAAGGAAGGAGAGACTCAGCATCATCATTTCACATCGACGATTGCGCTGATGATGTAATGCTCCCTTCACCCCTGTCATGATCTACAAATCCCTGTTTAGCATGCCTTAAATGGACAGGATATCCCTGCCATGCTGTTCCGCGAACACCTCTAATAATATTTATACACACATATGAAACTCCAACCCGAACCCATCAACAACCTCAGCTCAAAAACTCTGCAATTTCTTGTAATTATACATCCCAGGATGAATTGTCGTTTCGGCAGAATAAGCATAAATGCGACGACAGAATGACATCCATACTCATTCGTTTTGAGAAAAGATTTTCAAAGGCACCCATAGCGAAAGGAGCCAACACGATTGTCACGCGTACCTCCTCGATATGCACTACTCATCACTTCGAGACCTTTGAAGCGAAAGCTCCATAATTAATATAAATGACTATCTTAGTTCCTGGGGTATAGCAGTAGTGCATGTGACAGTAATCACAGCATAACGAGGAAAACCAACGAATCTCGGCCGAGTTAGCTTGACAATACCCTCCGGTCCGGTAGCCAATGGACCACATTACTGTCGTTAGGTCTGTGCACACGATACTTGTGACCTGTCTGTCTGCGCAGCATGTCCTGGTCCAGAACACTAATGATAGCACCATGTAACCCCAACATACCACGACGACCACCAGCTCTAGTATAATTTCATGCATCCGCGCCTTGGACGCTATCCGGCCTGTGAATTATTACAGTCCCATCGCCCATGATGGCGTGTGCGCTCATGGAGAGCAACCGCGGTCCCAATGGCTGCATGTGCTTCCGTTCCTTCTTCTTGTTGGACGGGCTATGCTTCTGCCTCATCTAGCGCCTGTGTGGCATTCAGCAGACTGGACATTGGTGATTCCTTAGGAATCGGTCCACTAGGTATCGGTCATGAGAAAATGTTGATATGTCTTGGCTGAGACGATATCGTCGACCACCCACTGACTAATAGGAGGTAACTCGGGCTGGGTTCTGAGCTGGTTTGTACTATGAACTTGGGTATCTTCCGTCATGGACAATCTTGGGCCTCGATTTGCAGATTCGGTTTTGTTGCTACGAATTACTAGCTTCTGGAACCTGTCGGAACAGCTCGTTCACTATCACATAGCATTGGCAACTGTTCACCATCTCTTTTGAATACTGTTTCTTGTTCCTCACGTTATTGAGACTTCGTAATGCAAATAGGACACTCGAATGATGCCTAGGAGTCCCGCCTTGGGTAGTTGATCTGTCCACGGCAACCCGTCAGCTCTCGTGTGGCGTTTACGAGCTCCACGACATTAGGATGGGCGCCGTATCTGGCCTTGCAAGCCTTCACAGTTCCTATAATTATCTTAGAGATTTCACCGCTCGTTCGAAAAGACTACTCAAGTGTTTAGCATACTAACAGAAACCTTGCACATCTACAATCAAGAAGGCGATGTGCAGGAGACTGGAAAAGGTTATCAGGACATCTGAGAACGCGGTTGACATCTCCAGCTTTGTTTCTTGCGAGGAGAAAGTTTCGAGAATTGTGTAATTCGGGCCGTTATTAGAGCTGAGCAATTTGATTCGTTAATGAGCCGGCATTAGAGATGCAAGAGATTCGAGTTCAAGGCTGGACAAAGTCCAGTCAAGATAAAGAGAAAGTACCACTCTACTGCTCTCAATCTTCCAGCTCTGGGTGGTCCAATCAGATCACAATGGTTACTATTAAGAGTCCTCGCTTGTGGCATGACGTGATTGTGTCATAACTTTCAATGCAAAGCAATCAGGCGTACTCATATGATGGACTCATTCGTGGGGACTTGGGTTTTGCTCGACCTAGACGCTTAGATATGTATGTTTGGTGTCATTCTACCGCAGCCATGAGTGTGACTCAGGGCTATTGGCAGAATTACGACTATCAATCTCACTCTGGCATGGTCTGCCAAAGGAAGACTTTGATAGACCCTGGAACGGTGGGAGCATTCCCGCCGAGACTGATCTTCTGCGAGACATGCTCGCGACCCGCGGCTTGCAGGTTACACCGACATACAGAACGTCATGAATGGTCCTTATGGATGGACATTATGGACCCAAAGTAAGAAAAGAACATAACAGGCCAGTGTAACGGATATTCACTGACCCAAAGGCCCTCAGGTTGCGACTGCATGAAATACAGATGCGTTGACAAGATTGGTCTCGATGGAAGAAATAGTACGTAGAAGCCTACGGAGATACTTATTAGCTAGTAGCTGTCAGAAGAGCAGAACCAGCAATAAAACCTCGAGGCGATTGGACGCCGCGGTGACAGCTTTCTATCACTTTCAGGACCGGGTTGAATGCCTAGGAAATCAGAAATGCGATATTCCTTCCGATTTGAAGACCATGCTCCTGAAGACACCGACTGTGTACATCGGATGAGGCACAAGTCCTTGGCTCATTATTACTGTGACCTCTTTAACAGTACACTTTGTCTTAATTGGAACGTCAATTGTCTATTGAGCGCACCTACGAGCCATCCTACAGGGTGCTGGCCTGGCACTATACTTTGCCATCCACAGTCTTGAGCAGGGTATCACAGACTTTGAACCCACTCGTTGGATATGCCCTATGCAGCAGAGTGTAATCGCCTCACATGGCATGGTCGCACGTCTCCACTGCTTAGAACAATGTTGACGTGTGTGGAGAACCAAACAAATTCAGGACTCGGCTGCTGGGCACAAGAAGTCTTATATCCGTTCGTTGCTCGAGCGGAAATTCTTGGTTCCCGAACCCCTCATGAGCCCCAAGAAAGTTTCTAGATATTTAACATCCATCTTGTTATAATTGATATCAAGTCCAAATTAGGTACTGGACCCAGGCTGTCATTCTCCTCATCATCAGTAGTAGTAACATCATGACGCCCATCTTCCGCGCCGACCAGGTCGGCTCCCTCCTCCGCCCAGCCTCCCTCCTCGACATCCGCACCAAGCACCAGGTCACAGACAGCTACGCAGCCATCACGACCTCGGAAGAGGTATCCCGCGCCACCTCGGACGCCGTGGCCGCCGCAGTGCGCCACCAGCTCGACCAGTCCATCTACCCAGTCACGACAGGCGAGCTGGAGCGGTCCATCTTCTACGGCGGCTTCTTCGAGACCCTCGAGGGCCTCACCACGCGGCCCGCCCTGCCCATCCCCTCCGCCTTCCGGCGCAATCTGCCCAGCGTCGCAAGGCTGCAAGAGGCAGGCGTCCAGACCCGCCCGGGGGTGGTGGCGACGGGGCCGATCCGGTGGACGAGGCCGGCGTACGGCGACAGCTGGGCCCTGCTGAAGCGTTCCGTGCCGGACGAGTCGTACCTCCCGAAATGCAAGATCACCATCCCCAGCCCGACATACCAGCACATGCAGCTCAGGCCGGGCACCGCGTACACGGCCGAGTCCGGATACGCGAGCGACGAGGCCTACTTTGTGGACCTGGCGGCGGCGTACCGGGCGGAGCTGAAGAGCCTGTACGATGCAGGGTGTCGCAACGTGCAGGTGGACGACCCGAACATGACGTTCTTTGTCATGGACTCGTTTCTGGCTGGGTGTCGTGAGGAGGGCGGTGCGGAGGCTGCGGACGAGCTGATGGAGCAGTATATCCGTGTGCACAACGCCTGCATCGCGGAGCGGCCCCGGGATCTGCATGTCGGTGTTCATCTGTGCCGTGGCAACATGTGGAGCGGTGTTGTGGAGGGCGGCATAGGCGCTGGCTCGTACGAACGGATTGCGGACAGGATGTTGCGCGGGCTGGACTACGACTCGTTCTATCTTGAGTATGATGATGAGCGCTCGGGAGACTTTGCGCCGCTACGGTTCCTCCCCCGGGATAAGAGGGTCGTTTTGGGCCTGGTGTCGACAAAGAGGGCTGCACTGGAAGATCTTGATCATCTGGTGAAAAGGGTGCACGAGGCTGCGGGTGTCATTGCGAAGGCGCAGGGCCGGACGGTGGATGAAGTCCTGAGGGACAATCTAGCCGTGAGCCCACAGTGTGGCTTTGCGAGCCAGAGCCAAGGCGGTGGTGTGGGCATGACGGAGGCGAGGCAGTGGGAGAAGTTAGCTCTAGTGAGGGATCTGGCTCGGAAGATCTGGACAGATGCTGCATGAGAGAAGACTATAATCAATAGCCGGCTGTTTACGAGGTAATTAGAAAGATAGCCATGTTCTCCCGCCAGCTTGGGAGGCATATAGAATGTATCTTGCGCGGAAAAAGAACAATAGGAAAAGTATGCCGAAGTAACTCCTGTTTGAAACGATTGAGACTACAATTTATGTGACTAAGTATGGTCAGACTGTGTTGATTATTGTAGGTGACGAGAGGAAGCCACGCCGGATTGTTACTATAATTATGAGTATAAAGGGCTGCTATAATAGGACAGGGCAAAATCAAAACATCCAAGTTTCAATATTCATTGCCTTCCTTGGGCCTCCTGTCACCCTCGCTACATCATCTCGCCCAGAGGATACAAGGAGACAACAAGGGCCTGTGGGTGATTGCTGTTGATTATCTAGGTAAAATACATGAATGAGACAACAATGTCATCCTCGTGGCTTGCTCTCATGTTACACCCTCTCGGACTGACCTGACGGCAATCAATATGTAGTCAACACAAGGCCATGAAGGAACAAGCAACTTGTACACACTGTTCAAGTCTATACCGAGGTTCCACCTAGTTGGGCAAGTCTGATCAGTAATGGCATCAGACCATATGAGTAACCCAAAACCCAAAAACATACCCGGATTGTATTGCCGAAAGCCCACATACGCACACGCTAATTTAAGCGGCGCATGCTGTTGTGGTCATGTTCGCGACTAACGAGAGCTGCGAGGTCGCGAGGTGTGTCTTTGCCCCCTCAATCACAGGGGCCAATCTATACAATCCAGTTTTTGCCGTGTCTAAGTGCCGCTTGCCAATCATGGAGAAGGGGGACTTCTCGGTGGTGAGAGAAGGACGAGGAGAAGGCTATTAGGCTTGTTCGTCTACCCAGGTCTCAGCAGGACCTCCACAGCCAAGCATCCGGTACGTGCCAGCGGAGGTTTTGATGGGGGTCCACATCCGATGGACGGGCTGCGCAGTGAAAGCGCACTGACTGACAAAACTACTGGGTTTTTGTTTCAGCCAACCCATCCTATAGTGACGGCGCGAAAGGCCGAACCAGCGAGACAAGCCAAGCCAATGGTGGTTGAGTTGACTCGTGAAGGTGTGGTTTTCATATACCTATGAAGAGCCGACAACAACAACCGTAGTTGTCATAATTATGAAAACAATTGACAGATTCCTAGTATAGCGCTGACCGATCAGCCTGACACAATTGGCTTGGCCTCTAGGCGAGGCGTGGGGAAGAACTGGGGCCCCCAGATTCGTCTGCCCATGTTTGAAAGGATACGGTATCCATCCGCCTAGGGGGTTGGGCCCGCCGCTAGAATTTACTCGTTACTTTGTAGGTGGAAAATTTTAAAAAGCCATCGATGGGACCGTTAGTAACTCATCTTGGAAATCATTTTCCTGTCTCACGTCTCTTAGGGTTCGGCTGCAACTTAAGGGAACAGAGATGTTAGCAGAGGACAAGAAGAAAGAAAGAGGAACAAATACGTTATGGCCCTCATCCACTTAATCCTCTCGCCATGGGCACTACTTGCAGCCCCCATCCTGCTGGCAGTCTATTATTTGTACCCATACCTTGTCACCAACGGCCACCTCCGCGACATACCAGCACCGTTCCCAGCCCAGTTCACCAATTTGTGGCTATTGTCTACATGCAGAAGGGGCAACCGTTATGAGGTCGTTGACCAGCTGCACAAGAAATTGGGACCACTGGTGCGGATCCAACCAGATCATGTCAGTGTGGCCGACGACGAGGCCATCCAGATCATCTACGGACATGGCAATGGCTTTCTGAAAAGGTATGCTATGATCTTTTATAAATTAAAATGACTGCCATTGTCAAGGGCAACTGTGAAGCACTCATGAAACTAATAACTACCAAAACTCCAGCGACTTTTATGACGCCTTCGTGTCCATCAAAAGAGGTCTTTTCAACACGCGCGACCGGGCTGAGCACACGCGCAAGCGCAAGATCGTGTCGCACACCTTCTCGCTCAAGTCCATCTCGCAATTTGAGCCTTATATCCACGGCAACCTCGAGCTGTTTGTGAAGCAGTGGGACGACCTCGTCGCCCGCAACGCTGGTAACAATTCTCGGTCCTCCTCCTCCTCTTCTACTGGGCAGCGCAACAACACAGCACATGTCGACTGTCTCAAGTGGTTCAACTACCTGGCCTTCGACGTAATCGGCGACCTCGCCTTCGGCGCCCCCTTCGGCATGCTCCGTTCCGGCGCCGACATCGCCGAGGTCCGCAGCAGCCCGGACGCAGAGCCCATCTACGCACCGGCCATCGAGATCCTCAACCGCAGGGGCGAGGTCAGCGCCACGCTGGGCTGCCTCCCCCAGCTGAAGCCCTACGCCAAGTACCTCCCCGACCCCTTCTTTAGCCGGGGCCTCAACGCCGTGCAGAACCTCGCAGGCATCGCCATCGCCCGCGTCAAGGGCCGCCTCGACCACCCGCCCGAGGCGGAGAGAAAAGACCTCCTAGCCAGGCTCATGGAGGGCCGCGACGAGAAGGGCGAGCCCCTGGGCCGCGAGGAGCTGACCGCCGAGGCCCTGACGCAGCTCATCGCGGGGAGCGACACCACCTCTAACTCGTCGTGTGCCCTGCTGTTCCACGTGGCGCGCACGCCAGGCTGCCTCGACAAGCTGCAGGCCGAGCTGGACACCGCGATCCCAGACGGGGTGGACGTGCCTTCGTACGACATGGTGCGCGACCTCCCATACCTGCAGAACGTTGTGAACGAGACGCTGCGGTACCACTCGACGTCGGGCATTGGTCTGCCGCGACAGATTCCCCAGGACAGCGGCGCACAGGGTGTGACGATTCTGGGGCACTACTTCCCGCCTGGCACGGTGCTGAGTGTTCCTTCGTACACGATTCACCATTCCAAGGTCATCTGGGGCCCGGATGCGGATGAGTTTAGGCCTGAGCGGTGGGACAGCGTCACGACGCGGCAGAAGAACGCATTTATCCCCTTCAGCTATGGTCCGCGGGCCTGTGTGGGGAGGAACGTAGCTGAGATGGAGATGAAGCTGATTGTTGCAACCTGGGCGAGGCGATACAGTGTGTTTTTGAGGCAGGATTACATGGACACGAGCGAGGGTTTTTTGAGGAAACCGTTGGGGTTGGAGATTGGGCTGATGAGGAGGTCATGATGGACAGACTGACAGATGGATGGATGGATGGCTGACTGTGTGATTTCGTGATTCCTACAATGATACAATGTGCTCTATGGCCGGTATTTGTTGGTCGGAAATTGTGTCTGCTGTCCTCGGCAGCTGACATTGCGGTGGATAGGACAAGACAGTCGCTGAATTATATAAGCACTCATATAAAATGATCATCAAGATAAATTTAGAAGACCCGTTCTTTTCAAACTTTCGGTCTTATTCATGGCAGAAATTACACATAGGGCATACTGTATTGTACATTAGGTTGCCATCATGACTTGGCAAAACTTACAGCAGTCGTACAATTTATATGAGGCACGTCGAAAAGTCTTTGCTTGTGTTGTAGATGTAGGAATAAAGAAAGGGGAAAATAGGAAGGAAAAGAAAGAATGGAAGGAGAAGAAAGGGACGATAACCCCCAATCCCATCTACAATCTGCTTTATACTGCACCGTAACTCATTACCACCAGCTAGAGAACCGGTCGGTGCCGACATACAAGATCCACCGCTCGGCCTCGCGGAATGACAGAAATTTATCCAACACGGGGAACCGGACTCTTAGCTTGTCCAGCCCCAAACAGCCAGCCCGCGCTTAGAAATTACAACCAAGAGTAGGCTTAGAAACCGACGCTATCTAAGGGGTGGTTCCGTCCAAAGAAGGGGGTTGAATCGAACAAAGTGACAGTCTCAAAAGGCGTAGTAGCGTCGCACCATCAGACGAGCAGCTGAGAAGGTTCCCCTGTTTGTTTTGAGATTGGGCTCAGTTATGCAATAGAAAAAAAGAGTCAACCAGTGGCATGCCAACCCCCCCCCCCCCCCTTCCAAGCAACCACCAACAAATGTCACTTGGAAATCTGGAGTCCTGAATCACTTGGGCTAAGCAGGCATGACATGACATGACAGCACACACGGACGGACTTTGATGCTATAGCCGCTGGTGCATTTTTTTTATTATTTTCATTTCTAATGGTTCCCTTGATTCGCATTGTATCTCTCTTTCTCTTTCTCTCCCCTCTGCAGCAGACGTACTACGTACATACGTACTGTGCTGTACCTAATCTCATCGTCATCATCAAATTAGCATCATGAGGGGCAACACGATAAACTCTCACAACAAACACCGCCAACCCAAAATCAACTCTTCGGCATGTCCCCGTCACGATTCGCAGTGTGCATAAAACAACATCATTGTCATCCTCCTCGTTGTCACAGATGATCATCTCACTCACTCCCCTGCTCCCAAATGAGCCCAGGCCGCTCATGACAATGCTCTTCAATCATTTCAAAAAGCGGTCCTCCATCGCGGAGTCTACTACCACTGCGGATCCCCCGGGTTCTGAAACTGCCTCGACCGAGCACTCCGTCGCCACCAGTCACGCGACGTCCAGCTCGTCGCGTCTGAGGCGTGTATCAGTCGCCACGCTGCGCAACCTATCCATTGCGCACTCGAGGCTGGCCACCGCCACGTCCAAGTCCAGCCTCAGGAGGACAAAACCACGAGATCATGGCGGCGGCAGCAGCAGCAGCGGTAGCAAGCAGGCCAAGGGGCGTCTTGGTGGCCTTTCAGATGACAACGTCGCCAGTAGCAATGACGACAGCACCAACAACAACAACAACAACAACAACAACAATGCCACGGGTAGACTGCCGGCGTTTCAGGTTTCGCAGAGGGCTTATCTCGCCTCCCTGGCGTCGCTGTTCTCTCGTGGTCATGGGAATGAGCATGGCAGCAGCGATTACAGGAGTAGTGATGAAATCCATTCGCCAGTCTCGGCGCACAACACGTTCATGACGACGGACTTCAGCACTGCTGCATCACCACCAGGCCAGACGGAGAAGGAGGAGGAGAACCCGCAGACACATGAAATCGACTCACCCACAATTTATCAATTTTCTTCGACGACCAAGACGCCAGGAGGAGATCTGTATGTCGGTCGACCTCATCTTGTCCAGCCATCTCGCACGGCCTTGTTGGAATTTGAGATGGCGACGCTTCCTCTACTTGAGCGTGATCTGTATGAGATGGGCAGGCATCTGGGCCAGCAGGCTATACGTCTTACTTATGAGCTCCGCATGTCGGGGTATGCGGCAGATCATACTGTCAACCTCTTCCCGACCGTCTGGATCCTGTACAGAAGGCCAGATCATATGTCATCAGAACGAACCGATAAGTCTGTCGAGGAGCTCCAAAAGGCCGTCTCGAGGCTGTCTTATTTGCAAAGAGTCCCCGAGATACAGGAAGGCGGTGGGAACTACGAGCCGAACAGCAGCGAGCAGAGCCACATCGACGTGAAACCAGACCGCAGAGAGAGCATCAAGCTGCCTCACGCTGCCGCCCTCTCGGTGCACGTCGAAAATTATCAAGGAAACCCTTATTTCTGCGGCGCTCTGTGCTGCGTGACGACGGAAAAGGGGTCCAAGAAGCAGACGCAAAGCCTCTGTCGTGTGGGAGGACTGCTGAAGATCAACGGGAAATACGTCCTGGGCGTGACGACAGCGCATGCAATGCTTGACGGTAGCGGTGTGTTCGGAGATCCTTTTGACGACGAGACAGGCGGGTCAGAATCGACATCATTAAGCAACGCCGACGAAACCGAGAAATCTATAAAAGAGGAGGCCAGCAGAGTCTCGAACTGGCAAAATGTCACGCGCGACGCGGCCGTCGACTTCCTCGGTATCTCCATGAATTCCCGCGGCGAGATGGCCAACAACCACGCCAAGCCAGACAACGCGACGGATTTCGCGCTGCTGCGGCTGGGGAAATTGCCCAGCCGTGCCAGGAACCAATACGTCCTCCCAGATTCTGAAGAGGTCGTCAACATTACCTCCGCAGCATCTGCAAGCGCATTAGCCTCGGACGAAGGGCCCGTGCACGTCCTGTGCGGCCGAGATGCCATCGTCGACGGGCAGCTCATACGGGGAACTGCGTGTTTTGTTGTCAGAGGCCGACACTTTCGCGTGCGCAGGATACAGTTTAGCGCTCCTCTTGGTAAGTCGACAATTCACCAGACCAGTACTCTGTCCAAAACAAAAGACTGACGGCGATTGGAAACAGAAGAAATGGGTGGTTCTGCTGGCATGGCCGGAGCCTGGGTCGTCCGGGGCGAGGTTCTCTACGGTATCTTACTTGCTGTGTACGGAAATGAACCGTACGCGGTCATGATGACAGTCGACAGGCTATTCGAAAGCATTTTGGGATCGGCGTTTTCCATCCGCTCAGTAGAACTCTGGGATGGAGAGGCCTCTGGTCTTTACGAAGATGCCCGTCATGCTGCTGCAGCAGTTGGCAGAAGCAGCACGACGACACCACCGCCATCTCGAACCAGATCTCATCACGACGACGATCAGGCGGCGGCAGCAGTGGAGAATGGCACCCACACAGATGGGGCGGTGGTGCATCGTGAAGCCACAGCGGAGAAGACCGGCGAATCGGTGTCGTCCACAAGGCCCCAGCGCCTGTCCTTCAAGGCTCACACGCCCTCTCTCAGCAAGATCTCTGAGGTGACTATGAGCGGCGCAGTGCCTTCCTCGAACTCGGCATCTTCGACAAAAATGGAAACATCTCATGTGGATGGCGATGACTCTGCGTCTGATTCAGAGTACTTGACGCCATAACCAACAACCCTGTGGAGGAAGGACGAAATTAATGACAACACATCTCATAATAACCGAGATATGATACATACTAATAGGAGGAAGGAGGGGAGCAGGTGCACAAAAATTAGAAAGAAGTGAAACGTCCGAGGCAGCAACTTGCACCTCTTACTTGACCCAACTCTCTTCTGGCAGACGATGATATTTTCGAGAGATCGAGTCAGCGTCATTTTGGAGGTGTCCAACGAACAGAAGCTGTCCCTCTTAACAGCAAACATCATCGCTCGCCAGCTACATGTGTACCTCTCCAGGCCTGAAACGGGGCATCCAGGACAGTTTATCCAAACTGAGGACCGCCTTCGTCCACATGACCGCATTTCCAGAACACACATAGCTCCGAAATACACAGCAGACTCAACTCTTCCCACATGCCTCAGGATTGGCTTGTAGGAGGCGGCGTTTCGTATATGTAGATGCAAGTCTTACGAATCATCCCGTCTCAACAGATAAAGAAAAGCAAGAACAAGAACATGACTGCAAATTAGAAGGCGAATATTTAGACCGCTGGTCTTATTCTCCGAGAATCTGAGAGCTCTCAAGATGTGCTGAGACTTACTTCTAAGGGCCCAGGTGGAAGGAAAAGCATCACAAGGACAAGACGAGATACCGACAGGAGATGTCGTGATTACCCTCTCTGCTCCGCCCGTCCCGCATGGTTTCAGGGGCAGGAGGTTTTAATCGGTCAGGGCCTGAATTAAAGATAGGTGGGCGCGTTAGGCGGCTTTGTCAGGTCTTCCGTGCTTCCGATGCGGGGCTGCAGTTGGTTCCTTTTGTAGCCGCGCGAGGAAGGCGGCACAAGGAGTTCAGTTACACCGTAACTAAATTGGTAAAGGAGGGCCTGCTGACTCCTCATCCTGACCCCATTCTTTTCCTCTTCCATCCATCCAAATATAGTCTCGAGGATGCCATCTTGAAACCTGCATTTTTCTTTTGATTTTCTCTTCTTCTACTCTCCTTTGTGAGAGAGCCATGTGTCAGCATGGATAGAACCCGAGACTCATTTGTGGACGATGCTGTCCAGTGTCGTCCACATACTGTTGTCCAAAACGGCGGTGATATCGAGGGTGGCGGAGGATGTGACGTCGAGCCCGACGCCAGCGGTCATCAGCCACTCTGGGTCAGGCTGGCCTGCATTCTCCTCGACTTCCTGACACAGACATACGACCAGATCAGGATCGTTCCCGAAATCGTTCTTTTTGAGAGATGGGTTTGCAGTTCCTACGCCCCCGCACACGGCGAGCAGGTCTTTGGTGGCCTGCAGGATGTGTGTAAATCTCCCGACGTGCAGTACCAGCTGGCCCGGCTCAGGAGCTGGAAGGCCTTTTTTGACGGCGTTGCTAGTAAGTATGGACTAGATTGAGACGAACAGAAGAAAAAGAATGGACGACTCTCGCGTTACGAATCTCACGGCCTGCTAACCCATCTTTGAAGTTCTTCTTACTGCCGTGCCGATGGGTCTCCTTGCCGACAGGATAGGCCGCAAGAGAGTCATCGTGACGAGTATCCTTGGGCCGCTCATGTCACTCTGTTGGGTTGTCACTGTTTGTGAGTTTCTATAAATGCATCATACACTCGGTTGTACTATTCATTGACCAATTTCTCCCTTGACAGGCATGGGTGGATATGGCAACGGTGACATGCGACTAATCTGGGCCTCGTCCATTTTCCTCCTCATGGGCAACTTGTCATCAGCAAATGCCACCATCTACGCCATGGCAGCAGACTCGTGTCCGCCCTCGCAGAGAAGCCGCTATTTCTACTACCTCTATTCCACCTTTCTGGTCTGTGAGCTCTTCGCGCCCGCCCTCGCATCTGTGACTATCGAGAGACACCTGATTATCCCCTTTGGCGTCGGCTTTGCCTGCCTGCTCCTCTGTTTTCCCATTCTGTACATTATGCCAGAGACACACAGAGTCATCAGAAACCTTGGTGGAGTGCGGCGGCGCCCGAGCAAGGAGGCCCACGACGAGACGAGCCCCCTCCTTACCTCCTCTTCGCCCTCGATCAACCGCACACGAACGACGACGACGACGACTTCGCTGCCGCCTTCTTCTCAGAGGCAGCCCGGGAAAGCAGGCCTCATGAGCGTTCTGTGCAGGAGGAATATCCTCCTCTCCCTCTTTGTCCTCTTCATCGGCGCCCTCAGGCAGGGCACCGTCTCAATGCTCCTGCAGTACGCAGCTGTGCGCTTCGGGTGGCCCACCTCGCAGACCGCTATGCTTGTTTCGGCCATCGCGGCGAGCAACATTGTTTTATTTCTCGTTGTCCTCCCCCAGACCGTCGCATTCCTTACCTCGAGGTGGCATATCGTGCCGCAGATTATTGACTACAATGTTGTGTCTGCCAGCCTGGCTGTCCTAACGGTTGGAGCTGTGCTGATGGGTCTTGCGTCTTCCATGACGGGCCTGTTCCTCTGTAAGAAGAAGAAATTCCCATGGCTGCTTGAGATGTGTGTGCATCGGGGTGAGAGAAGCAAAGAAGGCTGACCTGTTTGTTGAAAATCCAATAGCTGTGTTGTTCTTCGCCGCGGGGTACGGGACGCGGGTTGCCGTCCTCTCGCTGATTACCGCGTGGACTGACGAGGATACGCGCGCGAGCACCTTTGGTTTTGCGCAGATTGTCGAGGGCATCGGCCGGATGTGTGGGGATCCAATCCTGCTTAGAGTCTTTGCGGCGTCTATGGGCGTGAGTGGCGTTTTGAGGGGTCTTCCGTTCTTTTTTGCGGCGGTATGTGTGCCATTCTGTTTTCAAGCAAACCACTCCGAGAAATATCTATGTATCTTGACTGACCATTTTGTCTCTCGCTCTTTTAGGCTGGATTTGGCACAGCTGCTATTGCCTGGCGTTTCGTGAATCTGAGGATGAAGGCCAGAGCAGAGTAATGTGTGGTCGACCTCGGGCGGAGATGAAGACCGACCACCACAAGTCTCACACATGGTGGAAGCAGCTAACAGCGAGTGTATTTTCTGGAGCAGGGTATATGGTAACAAGGGATATACCTACATCTAGATTCTGAGGCGTTCTTTTTGTCTTTGGGGAGCAGTATGCATACACATAGCGGGGTCAGATTCACTGGGCCATTGTACGGTGTGGAATTAGGAATATGACGGGACGATTGCGCATAACCACTGGCTAGTAGGTTGTGTATTTTATGGAGACAGGATAGCTGCCCATTGCAGTGGCAGAGATTTGAGCATGACATTCAGCATAGCAAGTTCAAGGGTATTTTTACCGATGAGGTTTCAGGTAAAGACTCCTCGCCACAAGAATCTTATTGCCCTAGTGTACGCATTTGAGTACTCAAAATGCGAATCTGGAGTACGATATTTTAGCAGAACGAGCGGAACAAAAGATTCAAAGGGAGCTCCCATCTTTGCTCCTCTTTCCATGGAGAATATATATATATATATGTATCTTCTTTTCACTCGAGGCAGAGATAGGCTGCCAGATGAGAAAGAGGGTGGACTTGATTCATTACTTGGCGACAAACCCTCACACTTAACCACTAATCATTACTAACCACGGGCTGCTCCGATGTGCAGCCAGTAAGAACAAGGGCCCTGATAAGAAAGGGCCACCGGCAGCCACACATCCAACACAAACTCAGCTCCCATTTTGCCGATCTCGTGCCCCCAAAAACCGAGAGTACTGTCAACCAGTGGGGAACCAGACACAAACACACAGACACATACTACAGTACCGGGAGTCTGCACCGGAACACCTGCACTCCACAGCAGTGAGAACGTTACTTCCGGTGGTCATGTATTGATAAGAAAAGAACGAAAAGGGGGGTCTCGATGAAAACGAAAAGAACCCGGCATGTCTACTAATAAGACACCATGGCAACGGTTAAGAGAACTTGTTGATATTCTTTCGTCTTGGCAGACGACGAAATCGCCCTCTTCCTCAGACAGTTCTCGTTATCCTGAATACAGGTACGACAGGCTGGCGACAGATCACACCATGGGCGACCAAGGAGAAGAAGATGTCGTGGTGGTGAATGAGACATCGAGCCGCCATGGCGTCGATGATGCTCTGGCGAAGCGTGTCCTGCGCAAGATCGACATGAGGCTTGTGCCGCTGTTGTTCATCACGTATGGGCTCAACTTCATGGACAAGACGATCTTGTCCAGCGCATCTGTCTTTGGGCTCCAGGATGACACGGTTAGTTCTTAACCATAATGATGAATTCCCCTTCACCACGTTCTATGCCACTACTGCTGCTGCTGCTGCTGCTGCTGCTGCTGTTGCTGCTTTCGTTGCTGCCGCTCTCTCTCAAAGAAAGGGAGGACGAGGACCGAGAAAGAGGATCTCTTCTCCAGAATCACATCCTCCTCTCTTACTGACACACAACCAACCAATCTAGAACCTACAAGGCCAAGACTACAGCTGGGTCTCGTCCATCTTCTACTTTGGCTATCTAGCCTGGACCTACCCCACCAACATCCTCATCGCCCGGCTCCCCGTAGGCCGCTACATGACAGCCAACGCCCTGGTCTGGGGCGTTGTCGTGGCCCTCACGGCAGCCTGCACCAACTACGGCGGCCTGCTCACAGTGCGCTTCCTCCTGGGCGCCGCCGAGGCCACCATCACGCCGGCCTTCATGTTCATCACCACCAGCTGGTACACCCGCGACGAGATCCCCGTGCGCACGGGCATCTGGTTCTCGGGCAACAGCATCGGCGGCATGGTCGCCTCGCTGTTCGCCTTTGGCGTGGGCCACATCACCGACAGCATCGGGCCCTGGCGCTGGATGTACATCATCCTCGGCGCGGCCACCTTCCTCTGGGGTCTCGTGCTGTGGCTGGCCCTGCCCGACAGCGTCTCGACGGCGCGCTTCCTCACGCCCGAGGAGCGCCAGTACGCCGCGGACCGCATCATCGTGGCCGGCACAGGCCGCACCGAGGCCGCCGCCTGGAGCTGGGCCCAGGCCCGCGAGTGCCTGGCCGACCCCAAGACCTGGTTCCTCGTCGGCCTCGAGATCACCACCCAGATCCCCAACGGCGGCACCCAGAACTTTGCCAACCTCGTCATCGAGTCCTTTGGCTTCACCAGCCTGCAGAGCACCCTCGTCAACATCCCCTACTCTCTGCTGTCCGGCGGCTGCATCTTCTTCACCGGCTGGCTGGCCGGCCGCTTCCGCCAGGCCCACTGCCTGCTCGTCGCCGCCGTCGTCCTGCCCTGCGTGGTCGGCGCCGCCCTCATCTACGCCCGCGCCCGTGTGGCCCTGGGCGTGCAGCTGTTTGGGTACTTTCTGCTCTGCACGGGATCCTCCGCCATGCCCCTCGCCCTGTCGCTCGTGCAGGCCAACTACCGCGGCGTCACCAAGAAGCTGACCGTCACGTCTCTGCTGTTCCTCGCCTACTGCACCGGCAACATTGCTGGCCCCCAGTTCTTCCGGTCGGCCGAGGCGCCCCTCTACCAGACGGCCTTCCGCACCATCATGATCTGCTACTCGCTGGCCGTGGCCTTGGCTCTGGGCTTGCGGGTGTACCTGGCACGAGTGAACGCGAGGAGGACGAGGGACGAAGGTTTCGAGGGGAGCGCGGGTGCGTCGGGCGCTGTGGGCGGCGGGAAAGTGGTCGATATCGCCCAGGGCGGGGCAGATGCTGTCTCAAGGGTGGAGTTGAGAGGTGAGGATTACGAGGATGTGACGGATTGGCAGATTGCTGGGTTTCGATATCGCTTGTAGGTGGAGGAGATGCTTTTGGACAGCGGAACACAGGGCTGTGCATTCGTTTGGCGTGCCCTGTCATGATCATCGCCAACTTGTCGTGAATTCTCATCAATAGTGGAACGGAGAGTCTCGTAAGATTCAAGGCAGGCTGCTACCACGTTGTGTACAGATTGCTTGAGATGTCATTACGCGACCCAAAATCTCTTCCGGATATGGCCCAGCATAGACAGGGTCTTTCCGTGACCACGCCTCCTCGCTCCTGAAATAGACATAGCTTCGTGTATAAGCAATGAAAAGCTGGGCTGTAGAAGCAGCAGCAGGCTATGGAAAGGCATTTAGAAAAGCACATGACAACAGTCAGGTATATGATCCCACCAGCGTCCATTTCCACAAGATCCTTTCTCCGCGCATCCCCTGCCATCATGTATGCTGCTAAACTCCTGTGCGGCCTTGATGTTGTAAACAAATGAAAATTTTGGAGATTTGAACGTCCCCTTTATTTGGGCCTCGATGTAGCGTCCTCTTTTCTTCCCCCTTTCTTCTTCTTCCCACCCTTTTGCAGCGACCGTTCCCGAAGTTGTGGTCGTGTCGAAAGACGGCCCCCACGAGTTAGGAGTTTGGCGACAGCGTCGTCGCCTGTTGTGTCGCGTTCCATCGGAAGCTTAACCCATCTTCACATCCTCATCAGCTCCGATGCGAACACCTCCGAATGGTATCGTCTGCCGCTGTTGTTGACCTTGAGGATAATACCCCTTTCCTTGCACCTGTTCCTGCTCTTGGCCCTGGCTCTGCCCAGCCGGTTGAGCCCTTTCCTCCCTCTTTTTGCGTCCTAGCTTCTCACACCACTCCTCCGCGCTAACAATCGTCCCGTCCAGCACGCAGCTGACCTGTGCCATCATGTCCAGACCTTCCTTGGCCATGACGAGCACTCTCTTCGCACCTTCGCGCGCATCTTTCTCCTTGTCTCCGGGGCCCTCCTCTGTTGCGGGCTCTGGGTTTACGTCGCGTCCATTCGCATTCGCATTCGCATTCGCGTCCTCTTGCGTCGCCAGTACAAACCGCTGCGGCAGCGATTGAAGATGTCTCCTGACCAGCGCCCTTGCATTTTCCGGGAGGGCGCCGCCTGTGTACTTGGACACCGTCTCAATGACACTGGTTAGCGTCTTGAGGACGTCGGACCTGAGCGCGGTGACGCGCGCACTTAGCTCGCGGCGGGCATGCTCCGAATCCTCAGCACCGTTGCCGTCATTTCTCATGGCTGCATCTCTCGGTTGCCGGCTGTCATACTTCTCAAGCGCGTCCTTGAGTGCAAGTATGACACGCCCAATGTGGTCGTTCGCCCATCGCAGCCAGGTAAGGCAGTACTTGAGGGAGCGTAGACTCTCCTCACTCATGGCAATCGACAGGCCCGAGGTCGACATCATGAGTCTCTGCTGCCAGGCAGGGTTGGTGGACGATGAGCGTGAGTTCGTCGTGGGTGTAGCCTGCTTATTATCCGATGCAGCCATAGCGTTCTCGGTATATGCTGGGCTGCGCGCATCGTCATAGGCTGGGAGGGTGTCGACCGTGCCTACAGAGAGCCTCCGTTCCTTGTCGCTCAGGCCGAAAGGCTCAGTCTCCGGACTGTGCGAGCTCGTGAGAGCCATGCCACCGGATGCATCGCCACGACGGGACCCCGACCTCGAACTGCCCCTGCTGCCCACTTTCCGCCTCTTGTGGCTGCCCTCGCCCGTCTCCAGATCGCTAGACGATGGGTGCCTGCCCTTGCCGCGGAAGAACCACCTAACACCACCTTCAATACCAGACATGTGAAAGCCCGAGCCCACGACACCCTCGACGTATTCAACAGGCGTCTTGATAAAGCCCGGCGAGAAATTCTTGGTCGTGTTGTAGGCTGTAACGGTCCCTTCGATAGGTTTCGCCAGCATTGAGCCCGAGGATAACACTAATGACAGGAGTGGTTCGGCTTCAGACGAGCCCGGTGTTCCGAATTGATGAGGAGGAGACGTTGGCCCCGTGTTGTTCATATTCTGAGGCGAAGAGACGAAATCTATGGCAGCAAGGAATGACTGGTTAGAAAACAGTACGTCATCGAGAGGCTGGTCATGCCCGTCGGGAGGAGGGACAAGTTGGGACGAAGGGCTGGAAATGAGAGGAGGGGTCAACCGCGATTGAGACTCACCAGCCTTGAGATCACCGAGAGCCTCAGCGGCCATTCGCACGTCCGGGTCATCCAGGCTCACACTACTGGCCCTCGCAGCCAGATGATCCGGGCTCAAGGGCCCTCGTGTGCCGTTGCTCATATTGTCAATATCCGTCCTCGCTGGTGAATCGGCCGACGGCCCATGACCAGCAGCGTAATACGCCGAATAGGGATTGCCGGTTGGCCAATTTCGCAGTCTCGGAGGCGGCGAGTATGACGTTTCGCGGGGTGCTGAGGAGGCAGGGAATCGTAGGGAAGAGGTCGTGGAGGCGCCTGTCAGAGAGGCGAGCGAGGGGAGGGAGTTGGCGCTGGTGTCGGCGTGCGGGTTCAGCTGGAGCGGTGCGAGTTCGTTGGACGGGGGGTCTGGGAACTTCAGCAGGAAAGCAGGATCGTGATTTGACTGCTGCGAAGATGCATATGTCGGCGGGGAGTAGGAAGGCAGCTGGCCGAAGGTCCTCGGTGACAATGACAGTCCGGGTGCGGATGCGATGTGTTGGTGGTGAGCGCTGCCTGCGCCTTGGAACATGCCTGAATTGGAGCTGATGAACGGCGGTGACGACAGTGTCCCGGTAGATTGGGACGGCGCTTGTTGTGACGCTTGCATCTGATGGGATGAGGGCTGCTGAAGAAAAGTCGTCGCGTCGGCGCCGGTTTTGTTGGCGTTGGTGGTGACGGGAGGTGGGAGGAGCATGTGATTTTCTAATTGCTGCTCCATTGTGGGTAGGGGGGAAGGAAGGAACCGCCTCCTGTCTCGCTCTCGCCCAGATGGGCGTGGTTCCTCTTTTTTTCCCCCTTCTGTTTTTTTTTGCTCTTCCTTTTTCCCCCTCTCTCCTCCTTCTCTCTGTTCGTCCTCTTCCTTGTTTTCTTCTTTCTTCCTTGTGCTTTTATCTTGTTCTCTCCTTTTCCTTCTTTTAATTTTCTTTTTCTTTGGTCTTCCTACCTTATCTTCTCGCTGTAAACTTCATTGGTGTCTTGCTGCTCGGCTTCAAAAAGCTGCAGGATGGACAGACAGAGACTTGATAATCCCACCCGAGCCAGAAATAGTTGGTCAACAGACTAAATAATCTGTCGATTCGCCCTTAAATAGTCATCTTAAATGACAAGGCCAGCCTCGGTCCATGGATAATGAAAGGAACAGAAGAAAAGGAAGAAGAAGAAAAGGACCGACTGGGCGTGAAAGACGAATGACTCGGGTGTCCACTGGATCAGAGCAGAGCAACAGGGCTAAGGAAGGCGTCCAGAGAAGGTCCTGAGAAGGATGGTAGATAAGTATAGGTAGATAAATAATGTCGCACGGATAGTTCGACGCCAGAAAAAGGGCTGAAGAACAATGATAGAGAGGCACAGCGATCCGGTGGGAGTATCTTCGTACAGGACCCAGAATGCCGGTCAGGAAGTAAGGGAGTGAGTGGTGTGCGTCTACGCTACACCTCGTGATAAGGTTGCAACGGGCACTGAAGGATGATGGCCCAGGAGGGGAGGTGGTCTACACCGCACAAAAGGTGTGGTAGTCTGCAGGCTGCACGTAGCAAACAAGGTGGGATGGATGGATGTCGCTTCCGGATATATGCAGGAGCGTGTGTCGCCTAGGGGCGGGATGATGATCGTTGGTGATAACCGACAGCAGCGGTGAGGTTCCAGGAACAATACGGCTGTGATCTAGCTAAGTGTTTGGTTTTCAGAAAGAAGAGAGAGAAGAAAGGAAAAAAAGACATTATTCAAAAACACAATCTAGGCTTCTTGGGCCCAGAGAGACTAGAATACTCCATTGTCTGCCCGTGTTGAGGGTCCCAGTACCCATCAGCGAATGCAGGTTATGCTGTCATGTGAGGTGATCGCCCTTCTCGACGTGCTGTCACACCCTGCCGAATTCCCCGTGTCACAGGATGCAATCCCAAGAGACCCCCCTCCCTCTGTTGCCCCAACCTAATCCATAAGCAGGCCAGCAGCCACCCATCAAGAGCCAATTGATCTAACACGCCCCTGTCAGCCCCAACAGCCCGTGTGAATATCGAGGGTCGTCTCTCCCTCGCTTGCCCCGTACATCATCCATACTTTGCAAAGGACATCTGCTCGTGCTGGTCTTCCTATCGGTTCGATGGGGGTTGAGCTGGTTATGTGTGCCCTCGTTTGGCTTCGTTGACAATGATAACATATTCCCCTGCTCGAGGTCGCAATCACATGCGTCTGCATCTGCATTAACGTCACATGCGCACAAAGTTCTCGAAGCGAAACGAAAAAAGTAGGTTCTTCCCAGAACCAATCAGAAATTAGGCCGGTACCATTGTACAGAGATTGAACAGCTTACTCAAACATCCTGTACGGTACGTACGGCATTATCGAAACCAAAAAAAGGATAGAAAGTCAAAGTCGCTTTTGGACAAAAAACCGGCTCCAAGTGTCGGCTCCGTGGGTCACAGAGGGGGGGGGCCTGACCGGCACGGCACATGTCAGCATCTGAACCTGACTTCCCTTCTACTGGCAGACCCCAAATTCCCCCCCAAAAACGGCCCTGGGCCCATCTCATGCAGGGGGTGAGTTTGCCTTCTACACAGTAGCATCATAGCGTGATTCGGGGTGGTCTGTCCTGTCACATGCTCAGGACCTGCCGCCAGTCAGGGACGACCCTGTATCACTGGCTGCAAGCGCATTGGACGCTGCGCCGTCGATTGGGGCCCCCCCACATAGAACCATTATCACAAGCAATTTTTTCTTCCTTCTTCTCGTCCGACAGGCTGCGTTGGGCTATCGGCTAGAGCACTACCACAACCTTTCACTTGTGCTTGGTGCCAAGGGTCTGATACAATAATCATAGTATGAGGGGGAGGTGGCGTCTTTTTTGTACTACGACGTAGTACCGACCTGAGCGATACGAGGCGCTTCATGCTTGAGGTTGATTGACTGGTTGAGCTGGATGACGAATCTGCCTGTGATGCTGACCCGAAAGCCCGACACAGAGATCCGGGACAAACGCTCCAGTACATCCATGGTTATACGTACGAAACTGATGCTTCTTCTTCTGCTTCTTCTTCTTCTCCTCCTTCAAACAAATCCCTTCGTTCCATATTATTTCAAAGCTGTGCTCCAATGAACGCAGTTAAGCGAACCACTCTGCTTTTGTGTAATTGTGGCGACTACACCGTCCTTTTGGCCCGATATGCAAGCCAATACTGCGTGCTAGTGTGGGGTAGAGTGCGGACAAGTTGCTGAGGATGTTGTTTGAGGCGCGACGCAAAGATCTTCAGTCCCTGGCCTAGGCGAAAGTTACTTTTATGCCTACTGTGGATTGGCTTTGGACAATGCGTCGGTACCTCAGAGCATCCAAGACTGCGGGTTCATATACATGCACAGCAAAGGTCGCACAACTCATTTAACCTGAAGCAAGACGTACACGACGCCACGGGCTTGCCTTCACTACCGTGTCTCCAAAAAGCTGAGGTCGCGCATGCGCCACAACAACTTCTTCCCACCCCGCCGTACTTTCCGCCCGAAATGGCGCACTCGCTCAATCAGCCCGACGTCCATACATTCACAGGACGGGTATGCGACGTCGCAGCCATGATAAGAGATGAATCAAAACAAAATGTACGGTGCCTCTGACGCCGCCAAAGTAATAGTGGAAATACGTGGGCAGTTCTTAATGGCACCGGATAATTTCCTCCTTCTCCGCTTCCACGATCGCAGAAATCACCAACGTCGAGCACAGGTGATGACGAACAGAAAGCCCGCATCTGGCGTGTCGCAATGTGATGGGCTGCACTGTCTTTTAGGAAGCGTTGGGAGAAGAAGAAGAGAAAGGGTTCAAAGCCTCAGCAGAGATTTTCGCAGATGATAGCTACGCCTGCCAAGGCTGGGTCCTGTTGGCGGCCCGTGCACCCTTCTGTCTCCGCGAGGGTTCCTCCGACTCCGGTTCCTTTGCATTAGCCCGTCTGGATGGGTTGATTACCTAACAGTAGGCCCCTGAGCCTGACGAAGATGCTTGGCTGGCCTTGTAGGCGTCGCCATTCATTCATCCAGCATGAGTACAGCACACCCTACTCCAGTGTCATAAGACGACTCTTCCCCTCCACTACGACATTCATCCATTGGCGTATTTCGTCCTGCTGGCTGTTCCCCTACTTGCTTGTCACAGGGATACTTGTTTGCATGCGGTAGTATTCCTCCAGCAGCTCCCGTTTCCTGGCCAGCGCGCCGGCTGCTCCACGTACCCCTCCATCGCGAGCTTCTCCCTTCGAACGCAGTAGCTCGCAGCCCAATAGAGTCCAGCTGTCAACATGGCCTCCGCAGTGTTCTTTCTGGATTTGAAGGGCAAGGTCAGTCCGACCCAGCCTAAGATGTAGCCATAATCCCCTCGAAACTGACCAGTGCCGGGCTGCAGACCCTCCTTGCTCGCAACTACAGAGGAGACATTCCCATGTCAGCCGTTGAGAAATTCCCAGTTCTTCTCAGCGATGCCGAAGAAGAGTCGTCAGCAGTGCCGCCGTGCTTCTCCCATGAGGGAATCAACGTACGCAAGCCCTCTGACCAAGAACTGCTTGTTTGCTGAGACCCCACGCTTGTGACTGATCCTACCCACCGCAGTACCTGTACATACGGCACAACAATCTCTACCTCCTCGCCCTTACGAAACGCAACACGAACGCCGCCGAGATCATCCTCTTCCTACACAAGATCGTCGAGGTCTTTACTGAGTACTTCAAAGTTCTTGAGGAGGAATCCATCCGAGACAACTTTGTTGTCATCTACGAGCTTCTCGACGAGATGATGGACTTTGGCTACCCCCAAACCACCGAGTCCAAGATCCTCCAAGAATACATCACCCAGGAGTCCCATAAGCTCGAGGTACAGGCCAGGCCACCCATAGCAGTTACGAACTCCGTTTCATGGCGATCAGAAGGTATTCGCTACCGCAAGAACGAGGTCTTCCTCGACGTCGTGGAGAGCCTCAACCTCCTTGTCTCCGCCAACGGCAACGTCCTGCGGTCCGAGATCCTGGGCGCCATCAAGATGAAGTGCTACCTATCAGGCATGCCCGAGCTGCGACTGGGCCTGAACGATAAGGTCATGTTCGAGACGACGGGGCGCACAACGCGGGGCAAGGCGATCGAGATGGAGGATGTCAAGTTTCATCAGTGCGTGCGGCTATCGCGCTTCGAGAACGACCGCACCATCTCCTTCATTCCTCCCGACGGAGAGTTCGAGCTCATGTCGTACCGACTCAACACCCAGGTCAAGCCGCTGATTTGGGTTGAATGCGCGGTCGAGAGCTACTCCGGGAGTCGTGTCCAGTATATGGTCAAGACACGGGCGCAATTCAAGCGGCGCAGCACAGCCAACAACGTCGAGATCATCGTGCCGGTGCCCGAGGACGCAGACACCCCAAGATTCAGAACAAATATAGGAAGTGTGCACTACGCACCGGAGCAGAGCGCCATCGTCTGGAAGATCAAACAATTTGGAGGTCTTAAGGAGTTCCTCATGCGGGCAGAGCTAGGCCTACCGAGCGTCCGAGGCGACGACGAGCACGGAGGTGGTATGACGGGCGGCTTCGGTGGCAGCATGGGTGGTGTCGGTGCACCCGGCAAGGGGGCCAAGAGGCCGATCCAGGTCAAGTTTGAGATTCCGTATTTTACGACCAGCGGGATACAGGTGCGGTACTTGAAGATTACCGAGCCCAAAGTGAGTACCCTCCAAGTTCTGAAAAGAGTGGAAGACCTGAGATGATGAGATGGGCTGACATGTTTTCGACAGCTGCAATACCCCTCACTGCCTTGGGTGAGATATATCACGCAGTCGGGTGATATCGCGGTGCGCTTGCCAGATGCTGTCTAGGAGGCGCACACTTTAGAAGGAGGCCACAAGGACGATGCAGGAGATTCGGCTCGGCGGCAGTCACAAGACAATGTCGTCCGCCAGGATGTGGTTACGGAGAGACAGGGCAGCGGCAAGAGGAGGAGACACTATACGAGTCAATACATCGCACGCCGCCACTGATGAATGGTTGGCCCATTGTATCTCGTGCTCTTGATTCAATATACCCCTTGGCCTGGGGACATCGCGTGGTGATTTGCCACGAACAGAGGCATACGGTTTGATCACTCTGTTGAAGCAAGCGGGTTGTTACCATAATTCGAGATGTATGATTTAAATGCTGCCTCATCGCAATGTCGTGAACGTTCCTTCCTGGTCGGCCAAATCATGAATGGTACCTTATCAGCGCCACAAAGCTCTAGAGCGTGTTCTTCACGACATCCAGTCATCGCCGTCGCTTCGTATCAGTTATGGGGAAATAAACAAGAAGGCAAAAAACCGAAGAGATAAACAAGCTTGGGCCAAGGTACAACATCAACACCGCTCCGCTACCCTGGCCCTAAAATGCAAGGCCACCGAGCTCAGTACCACATTCTCAACACGGGTCCGAAGCTGCATCAAACCCCCCTTCAGTACCGACCGGCCGACACATTAAAACCGTCCGCATCCGTGGCGGAGAAATTTCAGCCTTACCTACCTGCTGCTATTTGTGGTGATCCCGGTGGGACCTCTCGCTGCTCCAATCCGGGAGCATCATCCTCCAGCTATACCACCATCCCGTAGAGAAGAAGACGACAACAAGAGGGAAAGAGAGAGATAAAAATCGCAATGGTGCGCTTCGGACAAGCCCTTACCTCTAAAGGGCAGGAAGATTTCTCGTACATGAGATAGCGAGGGCACACAGTGTCGGGGGATTTAACACAGACGGTGACCGAAGGGGTGATGTCGCCATTGGAGGGGAAGACACAGCATGATGCGGGCGAACGGCACGGGGAGGATGTGATGTGATGTGTGTGTGTGTGTGTAGTGTGTGTGTCGCCTTTCCCGCCTCTCCATATCACACGCGCGCGCACACTCCCAGGATTTCAACAAGAGTTGGTGGTCTTGGACAGGCCGTGCCTCAATTTGGTGCTTACCGCATATCTTGCACCATCGGTGCACCTCATTCCGCCATGCCAGCCAAGACAACACACAAAAGAGACTAGGGTTTGAACTTTCTTTTACTCTCCTTCGTTCTCTGTTTTTCCCTTTGCCAACCCCCGGGTGATCCTTTTCCGCCACAAGCCAATGCCGAGAGAAAATGGTCCTCTTCAGAGCAGTCACATGATACTCTGATACATGGGGCGGCCCGAATGGTTAAATCCGGCTGCGTATTCGAGTATTCTGGCTCCTGAGTCTCATGACCTGCGGAGCCTTAAAGGGAGGGGTTAAAGGCAAGACTCAATTAGACAATGTAGGGCTCAACTGCCTGGTGGGTTTGACCTAGTTCTCCTGGGGTAAGGAACATTAAGCGCCGATATTCCCCAGAGACACTATACTTGTCAAACGAGTGGTTCCCAGACGCCGGTTCTACATGCCGAAACCGGCCATGGGCAATTGGGCAACGGTCGTGCTCAATGTATATTTTTCTGTCGCTTGTCAAGGAGGCAGTTGTCACCTTGGGACCCAACGTCTGCGGGCTGTCGATAGCGGCGGGAGAGTCAGGAGGAGGCAAAAGCAGATGCCACTGCAGCTCGAAGGAAGAAGACGACAGGAGACAATTAGAAGTGAGCATCTCTTGTTCTGTCATCTATGTCTATATTCTTATAGGTTTTGTCCAAAGAAGGAAAACGCATGCGATTGAGTGACTATATCGTGTCTCTCCCCTTCAACACCCCCCCCCCGGAATGTACCCCTGGAGAGAAAACATCTCTTTCCCCCACGCAATCTACGGGAGTTCCCGCCCCCAATGACCTGGGGGGAGGGTAATGTTCAGATCAGAAAAAGTCCACCTCATCCTATTCTTAAGATTTTCATCGTCGAGTGCTGGAAGGGAGGCAGAGAGCTGCTCACCAGCAGGCCGCCAAGGCACAATGAAGCGGAATGAGAGGACGCAAGGTTCAATAGATGACCAAATGGTAGCAGGCGTCTGATTGGGGGCTGAGCGACGCTGCGATGAGGTGGATCAGGGCACAAAAAGGCGGGACGTGTCTACTAGGACTATAGAACGTGTCCATGTGTGGTGCGAGAGGCTCAGGCAGAGAGAGGCAGCATGGAAATCATAGACCCAAGATCCACATGGGCAGAGACCAGAGCACTTTATTCACCAGAGGAAGGTTGCAGGTCTGGCACATGGCAGCGTATGAGTGTCGAGACGGCAAGACCGGTGACAGGGATGAGGTGATGCAAGTGATGGTGTGGGTTAGGTGACAGCTCTGAAAACGGAAAGAGAGCAGCAGAGCCAGCGCCACGCCCAGTGCTGTATTACTCGGCGGTCTATCTATGCCATTAGTACGACAAAAATGGTGAGAGGAACCTCAGTGTTCTTTTTCTTCCATCATGGCCGTTTGGAGATGGATATAACACCGGAGTTATAAGGCAGAGAGAGAGAGAGAGAGAGAGAGAGAGAGAGAGAGCAGCAAGGAGGGATCATGCGAGGCCTGAACCAGCAGGAGCAGCCGGTTGCGGGCTGGATGAGGAAAAGGCACTGTACATGCAGCAGCCACTCATTGGGCACAGAGAATGCGGAGTGACTGCCCATAGTATATACCATGTACTGTACATGTGCACTACGGCACCAGGTACTATGGCAGGTACAGGCTAGGGTACAGTGCAAAACAGCAGGTAGCTGTGGCAGCAGCAGGAGTGATCGTAAACCAGCATGACCAGGTACAGCCGTCGCAAGCATGGCATTGGAAGCCCACAGTTCAAGACGGAAGGGAAAAAAAAAATGGGGAGGGCGATGGGGAAGGTGCCACCAGAAAAGAATTTCGCTCGCAGATGACAAGCGGGTCATGTCTTGCCTCATCTCGTGGCTGGCCTTGTCTCTGTTGTCTGGCTGGTCTGCCTGGGAACATGTGGGGTGAGAGAAGAAGGGGGGCCGATTCTTTCTGTCTCTCTCCCTCTCTTCTACGCTTGTCACTATGCCCTCCTCTCCTTGCCGCTTCTGGGTCTGACCCTCCTTTTTCTTCGATCTCACACCTCGCATGAACGGGACATCATCTCCTGAGGTCACCAACCCACCCTGCCCTTTTTTCCACACCCCGAGCCGAAACAATAGCCGACCAACAAAGTTTCTTACTTCCCAATCCAAACCCTCGACTCTCAAAAATCCCCAATTGCGACATCGACCACATCACTGGTACGTACACATTACAGTACAGTACAGTTGGACAACACAGCACGGTACAGCACAATACGGTCAAAGGTCCAACTACAAACAGAAAAAGCAAGCATCACATTGTATTTTATTTCACTGCGACATGCCCCATGTGGCGCATGTTAGCCGTCGGCTGCCCATACCGAATATTGCGAACCTGAGTTTTCCCCCGTGAGTTGTTCGAGCCACCACGGCTGGTCACTCTCTTCTGCTCCTGCTTTGGGGAAGAAGCTCTGACAGCTCACGTGTTGGGGTTGTGCATTCGTATCGTGTCGTGTGTATTGAGTCGTTTGCACGCCTGGGCGTCTCTGGGCATCTCTGGGTTTCTGATCTGTCCTCTCTGTTGCGTGGAGCCTTGTGATCCGAGAATTCCTGTTCCGGTCGTCTTCGCCGCATCGACGACACCTCACCTCGCCTCACCCACTCGCACCCACTTCACTCGACCTGGGCTTACCTACTTACTATACTGCGGAGCGTGCCGTACTGTGCTGTACTCCTTTCAAGAAACCTCATCTCCCCAGAGCAGCCAGTGGCTCCATCTTGCGTCGGCTCTTTTTAGCTCTATCAAACGACCCTCTAGTTTCCATCCGGCTGGGTTGGGATCCCCCGCCATCTACCCCGATCGACCAATTCGACCCTGAACAGGCGTCATTCCATTCCATGGTCGAGGGGCCCCCATCTCACCGTTGCACCTGGTACCTTGTCGTAACCGAGGCCGACTGCGGATCAACAACCCCGGCGCCTCCTCCGGATACTATCACGACCTCGCTCCTCTCTCCTCATCAACTCAACTGGACTACGTTGCATCTTCATCATCTTTGTCAAAACCCTATTGTCTACCAGGTTGTTGTTATGACCACCTGCAACATCACCATTGTACACGAAGAGGTCATTGCAGGAGACGCTGTTGGCTGACGGCGGATATTTCGGACTGGTGCGCCAGAGAGTAGGGCGATACAGGAGACAGAGAGAGCAAGAAAAAGAGAGAGAAAGAGGCCGAATTGAGCAATCCTCGCCTCAGCAGACTCATCCAGAACCCCACCAGTCACGGTCCCGTCCACACACTCACTCACTCACTCACTCACTCACTCACTCCATTCCTGTACTGGCGGCTCAAACGTCCACCACATAGCCTGCAGGCCAGAACTCCTCCAGCTCCTCACACTGGTACCGAGAGTAGCCCTGGTGCGCACAAGGGCACTGCAGCTGCCATCAACAATCATCACGTCGCTGCCTCCAGCTGTCATTCTCTGTCTCTGTCGGATCTCGTCCGAGCCCACCGGCCGAGTCAAAGCTCATCCGGCACGGCATCCACAGTCAAGAAGGGGCGAAGAAGCGAGCAGAGACAAATAGAGGAAAGTCGAGAATAGGGGTCCATCCATCACCCTCTTTATTTTTGCCATCGCCCGTCTTCGGCCCCGCCACGGGAACGAGAGGCTTCTTTGTTTCAATCGACGCCTGAACTTGCGAGTCGGTCGGTCTCTGGCTACCCCACGCCAAATTTTGACTCGCGTGCCCTCCTCCAACAACCTAGGAGAAACTATACCCGGGAATTGGCTTTGCATAAATCTGAACCTGCGACTGCGACTGCGCCGTGGCCCTCGCGCCGATCTTCAGAGGACCACGCCTCCCACCCCACCGGCTTGTCGTCACCGGCCTCTCAAACTCCAACAACAATCCGCCCTCGCCCACTCGTCTTCTCCTCCTCTCCTCACTTCATCATCACCCATGAACGCGTATCAGTCCCCCGCCAGGCCGGCCTTGATGAACATCAGCATCCCGCCCATCAAGAAACCCTCCAACACCTGCGTGACCTGTCGCGCGCGCAAGGTACGCTGCGATGGCACCCGCGATGTCTGCCAGAACTGCTCACGCCTCGGCTTCACCTGCTCGTATGACGACTCCGTCCCACACCACCACCACCTTAACAGCGCCTCCCCGGCAGGTGGTATGATCTCCTCTGGCACCGCTGCCAGCGACGCCCTCAACATCCATGTCGTCGCCGCCCATCCTCCGCGCCGCCGCGTGCGCCAGGCCTGCCAGACTTGCCATTCGCGCAAGGCAAAATGCAGCGGCACCATGCCCAAATGCGACCGCTGCCGCACACACGGCCTCAACTGCGTCTACCGCCCGTCCAAGCGCGCCAGGACGAGTACCACCCCCGGCGCAGCGACACGCGACTCTCTTGCCGGCGACACCTCGGGCAGCAGAGATGGCTACCTCTCCGATCAGAGCCGCAGCCTGTCTGACATTGCCGAGAACGGCGCGCTGGCCACCCTCCGCCATCTCCCTCCGCCCGAAGAGACGCTCATCCTGAAGACGTTTGAAAACTTTTTCCGCCACATCCACCACATCCCCCTCTTCTCCTTCCTGCACCAGGCCTCCCTGATGCAGCGTTACCACTCTGGCTCCATGGACCGAGCCCTCCTCCTGTCCCTGATCGGCATCACCTCTCTCCTGACCGACCTGGGGCATGGCGCCCGCGAGTATGGCAACAGGTGTGTATCCGTGGCGGAGAGACTGATCCTGCGAGATCTGGACCGGCCCACGGTGCTGAAGATCCAGGCTTTGGTCCTCATCATCAAGCACCGCATCTTTTGCCGCCGGTTCTCGGACGCCTTCATGCTGACCGGGCTGGCGTCTCGGTTTGCGGCTGCCCTGCGGCTGAACCACGAAATCCCCAAGCTCTGCTTCCTCGCGCAGGAGTCGCGCCGCCGCCTGATGTGGTCCCTCTTCATGATCGACATCGGCATGGCCGCTGGCCACCCAGACTTTACGCTGTGGGCGCACCGGCCGAACATGATCGACCTTAAGCTGCCCTGCAACGAGCGAAATTTCGAGTACGACCTCCCAGAAACGACCGAGGCGCTTGCCCCGCCGCCGATGCTGCCTGATGGAACCCTGCCGCCGCTGTCGGACAATGTTGGGTTTTTGGCGCTGCACGTCCGCATACAGTGGATCAGGAGCAAGATCTTGGCCTTTACCAAATCCTTTGTGACGTCGAGACCCCAGGGTGCGGACCTACAGTCGCTGCCGCGCAGGTGTGAGGAGCTCCAGGCGGATCTGGACGCCTTTGAGCAACGGCTACCAGGACCATTCCGGTGGACCTCCCAAAACCTCAAGCTGCGAGCTTACCACCCTCGCCTGTGCGTGTTCCTGATGACGCACATCTGGTGGCGGCAGTGTCACTGTGATCTGTACAGAATCGCGCTGGTCGGGAGGAGGGAGAGCCTGTCCAAGAGGGCGATCGCGATGTTGGATCCTGCCTTTGTCAGGCGGTGCAGGGAGCAGTGCTATGAGCACGCCAAAGCCATGGCCGACATGTTTGCCGAGGTGACGCTCGACAAGGGGGTTCCCGTGTCGGATCTCGACCTGCCGGTCTGCGTCTACCAGTGTGCGAACACGCTGTATTACACGCTTGCGGCCTATCCTGACGAATTTAATCTTTCCCCGGCCGGCGTGACGGAGATGGCCAACAACTGCCTCAAGATCGTGAAGAAATCCGCTCCTGGCCCGGCGGCGGCAGCAATCGTGAGTTACTTACCCCTCCTTGTATGCAGAGACGAGACCTGCATATACATAGACACACTTGTATATAGCTGACACACGTGGGCCAGGCCGAAGCGCTCGAAAAGCTCATAGAGACCGGCTGGGTGAGGCCTACAACACCCAGCACCGTGACCTCACCCGAGGTGCTGGACACCCCCAAACAGGATGGAGTGGCAGTCGACCCTTCGCTCCAGCGGGATGCTCTTCAGGATGCAGATGTTGCCCACCAGCTGTACAACCCGGCGATCCCGCAAAATACGCCGCACACGGACGAAAGTGTGGACGACGCACAGCCACAGGCACCCATGGAGGCGCAGACGCCAGTTTTGCCGCCAGAAGACGAGCCGATGCCACCGGCTGCCCACGCTGGTATGATGGCAGGAGTGACCGCCAACACCAGCAATGCCTTCGAGGGGGCCCTGGACGGGACCAACTTTGTTGGACTCGGGGCGCTGGAGCCATTTAGCATGGACTCATCGAGCTGGTATACTGGGGACTGGTCGATGGATCCAGATCCATCAAGGCACGGAGGAATCATGTGAAATGCGGTCGACACTCGCGACAAGTGGTGCGACGACTAGGCGTGTGAGTGTGTGTCTGTATCTGTGCTCAACTCGGGACTCTTGGGTTGAAGTTGTGTTTTAGTCTCTTGTTTCTTTTTCCTTTTTTTTTTTTTTTTCTTCTTCTTTCTTTTTTTGGATTGGGAGGTTTTTTGGTTTTTTGGTGTTTTTTTTTTCTTCCTGAAGCGAGCCGTCACACGGGGCGAAAAGGAGGTACGATTATTTTATCGTTTGTACAGAAAACCCAGCATCATGTCAAGGAATGGTCCGATATCCAATGGTAAGGAGGAAAAAGGTCAGTCGCGTAGATAAAATAGCAGCCCTGGGGGGGTTTATCCAAACTAATGAATCAAATTTACAGCTGGGGAAATCCTCCGCAGCGGGTCCCCTTATTCAGACCGCGGCTCTCTCTCCCTCTCTGTTACGGCATAAAAGATCTATTAAAAGACCTATTACAATATAGTATCTCTTGACACATTCCCTCTGGACTCCTCTGTGTGTCTCGCGCGTGTGCAACGTGCCCCCCCCCCTTGGCGGAGGAATTCACGGAGCATGGTTTCCTCACGGAGGCACCCGCCGATGTCAGTCCCAAAAAATGGTACCCTGAAACGAGGTACGGTGACATCACGATGCAGACAAGTAGCAGCTCACCATGTGCTGACAGTCTTATCAGAAGAGCGCTTCCTCCTCTGCGGTGCAGCGCAGGAAGAAAGAGGGAGGGACGCCCGCCGCTGTTCAAAGAAACCAGGCGTGCGCTGGCATGGCGGGATGGACCCACAGGATGTCACCATAGCGGGCTATCTGCGCCTTCCAGACCAGGGGCGGAGGGAATGAATGAGCCAGGCAATATGGGTCCAAGTTGTGGATTATTATTATTATTTTTTTTCTTTCTTGTTTTGTTCATTTCGATACCTTAGAGTGAAGAGGGTGGTGGAGGGGAATAGAAGAAAATTAGAGAAAGCATGGAAGTGTGCGAGGGGAGGTGACATGTCACGAAAACAAGTTCGGTTCGAGGGCTGTGTCGTTAGGGACCTATAGGCTTTTTTGTCTAGTTGTCTGGGGGGCCTCCCCCTCCTATCATCAGAATATTTCGGTACGGCGGATCATAGTCTCATTGAAAGGTGTGGCAGAGTGAGGGCAAGTAACAGCCTGGCCCTGTACTATGTAAATGTTCTATCTGGCAGGGTCGCTAGCGCAGGGTTAAGGTACATGAAAGATCACATCATATCAAAATGGCTCCTTCCGTCTGTGGCCCCAATTTATTGGATGGCGGAACCCTCTCCCTTCAATTTCCCCGGTAGCGAAACAGCAGCAGCAACAACAGAATGGCAACCTTGACTTTCTATGTCGGTGGACACGAGGGCCCGATCCTCCGTCCTTAAGTGTGGACGGCTTTAGGTCGTGGGGGAAAACCAGCAAGAAGAAGAAGAAAAAGAAAGACATGGAAGGGAAAACAAAAAAGGGTCGATGAAAGCAGCGAGCATGAAGATGGTGTCATCCGCGGCATACCTCGGCTCATTGTTGGAGCCTCTCTCTCTCTCTCTCTCTCTCTCTCTCTCTCTCTCTCTGTGTGTCTGTCTGCTTATCTCTCTTGCTCCTCGTGAATAATCAACCAAGTTCCAGACTCACGCCAACGGCCCATCAAAGAAGTGCCCCGTCGTCGCCCTCCTCCTAGGCCTCGGGCTCGCCTTGGAAGAAGCATCACCACCATCACGACGTCCCGACTCATTCACCTCCTCCTCCTCCTCCTTCAACTTGGCATGCACGTGATCCCGGTACAGCCAGCCCAGACAGACGCCCGCCCCAGGCCCAAGCAGAAGCGACGAGGCGATGGCAAGGTACACGGCACGACCGCCCGCCTCGGCGTAGACCCAGTAGAGGAAGGTGAGCAGGAGGGCGGTGTGATCGACCTCGAGGAGCACGAGGGCGGAACGGGTTGGTGAGGAAGAAGAGTGGTCATCTGTGGCGGTGGTGGCGGCGGCGGCGGCGGTGGTGGTGGTGCGGAGGAGGAGGAAGAGGTGGGTAAGGAGGAGGGCATGGGAGGCTGCGGAGCAGAGGATCGGGATGGCGTAGGCTAGAGCCATGGAGGGAGAAGAGGATGTGGTCCTTGTGCTGCTGGACTGCTGCTGATGGTGGTGGTGGTGGTGGCCAGCAACGATAGGCAGTCGGACGAGGTAGCGGACGAGACTGGCGCAGACGGGAAAGAGGAGCCAGACCAGAATGACCGTAGGTGATGGTGCGTGGGGCTGGAGGAGAAGCAGTGCTCCGGGGGCGAGGACCCCAAAGAGGGTACCAGCTGCGATGGCGAGGCGGGGTCGCCCGGGGCCGAGTCCGAGACTACGGCGGGTGCCTGCCGCTCGGTTGGGTAACAGTCTTTGGCCCAGGGTGTTGCGCCGCCGGGAAGTAGTAGAAGCGGATGAAGACTGCCGGGTGATGAAAGCCGGGATGATGATAGTCTGCCAGGCGATGGCGCCGAGGACCAGGTTGTAGAGCAGCCAGGGGACAGTGAGATTGCGGACGGCCCTCAGGCTCCACAGGTGATGGTGGCGGTGGTGATGCTGGTCATGGCCTCCTCTGTTGTTGTTGTTGTTGTTGTCGTCGTCCTCCGCCGCCATCATCACCGGCTTTTCCTTCCCGGAATCACTAGCTCGCTGCCGCTGCTCTCGTTCCTCGTCCGCACGGGCTCTCGCAGCCTCTATCGCCGTGACAGTAGCGAGGGCAGCCAGGAAGGCGACGATACATGCCATCTCGAGCCGCGCAAGGGTTGAGTCCAGGGCTGTCTGGAAAAAGAGCACCCCGAAGCAGAGCAACTCGCGCAGGGCTGCCTGGGTACTACCCGCCAGGGCTAGCCACGAGGAAGAGGGAGCGGGGGAAGAGGAGCATTGTGTCCAGAGTGAAATCAGGTTTGTAAGATTGGCGCTGATGGCGATTATGAAGGCGGCGAAGGTGGACAAGAGGAGGGCAACGAGGGGAACGAGAAGTCTGGGGAGGGTTTGTGTAAGAACGGGGGGAGGAGGGGTGATTTGTCTTTGCGTAGACATCCTGAATATCTCTTCTTCTTTTCCCCCGCCTCTCTTTATATGGCTATGCTTATGCAGTTGTGATTATTTTTTTCTTTCTTTTTCCCTTCTTCCGTATCCGTCTTCAAAGATCAATCAAGTCCTGTCGAAGCAGCACACAACTAATATCTGCGTGCGTTGATATAAGTCTGTCTGAGTGACCGTCAATTGCAAACCAAAAAAAAGCGGCGAATTCCATTTAAGGATAATACCGGCTGCCGGCCATTTTATCATCAACCGCAGAACCCAACGCCACATCCATACATACAATGTATACCTACTTGACCATTCTACTTACATGATACATACTATTTGCATGTGCTACCGTCAGCCCTTGTGCCCCCTCCATCCAGGTGACAAAGCCCAGGCCACGCAAGGACCCCAGCCCTTACTGGAGATAACGCAAGGTCTCGGCAGAACTCGTCCTCTCAAGACAAAGCACAACCGAGATAATCAAACCTGCCGGCCGCGTCGGTCCCTTTGTTTGTGTCCGCTGACTGCAGATCAATCATCATTCCAGCAGCACTGCTGTCGCTTGGCTCTGCAGAACCAAGAGAACATAAGCGCTATTGGGAGGGGACTTTCGTGGAACTTGCATTGGTCCCCTTTTTCTGAGAGAGGATGGATGGGGGTGGGATTCGAGCCAACCAGGCAGTTCAAGGCTTGTCACTTTCTTTTTTCTTTCCTCTTTGGGTTTGTTTGCTTTTGGGCTAAGCTTAGGGAGTGGATCACTCTATGTACGAAGTGCATATGCTGCTGCGTTGTCCTCACCACATTGTGCTGCATAATAGCTTCGAACCCTATTTGTTCTGCGCTGGGATCTCTCAGGTGATCAACGGGATGGAATGAGTGGATGCCTAGAGGAGGCCCTTTCTTTGCAGATAGATGGCTTCTTATCACTTCTGTACATGCAGTCTCGTGCGCTGCAAAAGCAGCAGCAACAGCATCAGCATCAGCAGCAGCGGAAATCCCTCCGAATGCCCCGAGCTTATTATGCATCCCCCTTCATCCGAAATGCAACATTCTTCTCATTTTCCTCCGACCATTGCCTTATGACTCAGCCCATGCCAAAGAAGACGCCGATTGCACAGGGGCTTGTCGAGAATGATGGGATTTCTTTCCGTATTCCCCTTTGCGTTCGATAGCTTGTCTATTTATTCATTTGTCTCAACAGCAGGCAGGACCGAAGTCGTCGTCGCCATACTCGACCTTGGAGGCTGTTCTGGCAGCTGAGCCGTTCACGGCGCTGGCGTCCGAGGAGCTGCAGCTCATTGTCTAGACGGCGGCCTGGCTTACGCAGATGTAATTGGCGTTGGAAAGAATAACACCTGCGCGCCTCTTCATCCAAAGCATAAAGCAGCGGCAGCAAGGTGTCAGGATCCACCTCGAAGTCCATGTCGAAGCCGCCGCCAAAGGGTGGTATTCCCGGGTTGTTCGTGTACACCGTCAGCCACCGGTCAGGCTGCGTATAGGCCTCGTGACCCTCACCCTCGCCGTCTAGAGGCTAGCCTGTATGGTTCCAGTGGTTGTATAGCCAGATCGAGACCCAGCGACCCACGTTGTCAGTTGCGGTGCACCACCTATATGTGGAAGATCAACAATCAACTACAGCGCTCTCTGTTCGTCCTGTGATGATACTCAGATGATGCCATCCTGATTGAACACCACACGATCGTTTTCCCGGGTCCTGGTTGTGCCCCATTGAAAATGCTTGGCCAGATCCAGGGCCAGGTGTATTGATTTTCTATTTTTAGAAGAGATGATTCAAGTCAAGCAGAGACTTGGGCCTGACCTCACTTTCCCTTAGAGACAAGCTGGCCAGGATTCGTCAAATTCCGAGGACGCTTCAGAGCCTCACAGCCTTGTGTTTAGCGCCGTGTAGATCTCAGCCTGATTTCAGATCATGTCGTTGGTCCTCGCATTGTTGGCAGTGGAGTTGTTGAGGCCAAAGCTAATGGCCATGACGTAGTCAGATATCGCATTCTCCTGCTAGTTGTATTGGATGGAGGTGAGAGGGAGATCGCTGAAGCCGTTGCGGCGAGCGAGACGGCTTAGGAACCCTCTCTTTTTGAAGGACAGACGCCTTATACTGTCAAGTCAGTGGCCTTTTGTTCCGCAGGGGTGGCAAGCTCCAGGCTCTAAGTGGCCAGAGGAGAGAGAAAAGGGACAAGGTGAACACTGGATTCTTGCTGGGCTTCCTCTTTCTTGGTCCTGACAGCAAGTTTGTCCGTGCAAGGTCGATTCCGAAAGGCTCTAGTTGATGTTGTAGGCATGCGTGGGAGGGGGCGACTTATGCAAAGGCTTGATACAAGAGAAAAAGAGGCAGAGGGCTAGAAATCTCAGCCCAGGGACAGAGCGGCCTTGACAAGAAGGAATTGTGTCACAGTAATGGCAACTCACAAAAGGCAGGCCAAAAGCTTTGGTCGAATTTACCTATTACACCTGTACATCCATCCAGGAGGTAATAAGCAATTGTCTTTAGCGCAGGCTCCTTTAAGTTTTATTAACAGAAGCCTCACATGATAAGATTTTCCGTCGCGCCTCGATCGTTTCCAAAGCATCTCAAATCCCTCGCAATACTTTGGTACTCGTGCTCGTTTCAGTCCAAACTTTTGCAAAGTCGAAAAGTTTCAATGTCTTCTTGGAAGACTCGTTCAATCCCAAGTCTATTTGGAGCAGAAAATCTCTTGAAAAGGATGCCCTTATCTTCATCATCAAGACTATTATTATGCGTTCAAAGGAGAACTTACTCAATGCTCAAATCTCAAGAAGATCAGAAGGTTTCTTAGTGTGTAGAAAATTCACATGCGAATCTGCTTATGACGCTTCATACTGAAGATATCTCAAGAATCATTTTGAACCTTATTTCTTTCAAAACGTCATCAGTAGAAAGTATAAGCTGTTATGCTGTAATAGTTGACCAGCATTGCATATCTCGCGAGCTTGAGCATCCATAGCGAAAGGCTATTCCCGTGTAGGTGAAGCTTCAACGTGGACTTCGAGGTGGATCCTGATACCTTGCTGCTGCTACTTCATGCTTTGGATGAAGAGGCGTGCATGTATTATTATTTTGTTAATGCCTTGATGCCTCTTGATTATTAGTATGCTGCAGATCATGGTCGGGAATTTACTGGACTCAAGCCAAATCTGGTAGGAAAGTCCGTCTACTTTAATGAACACAATCTGTGTGGGCTTAGTACTTTAGTAATTTGTCCAAAGTAATATTATCATAGATTCGGCCATTTCATATTTTTCATCTTCATCGTCCATGTCTCAGTTGTCGGATCTGATGAACACAGGCGTCGAGGAAATCAATACAAAGTTACTACTCATGGGATAATCACAAAAGGCCAGAGATCACTCAGATCAAAGTCAGTGATCATTGTACTTGTCTTGTATACACGTAAAGGACAGTGAACACCCAACATCATCGCCCGCACCTTTATGAACCCTGTCGCATACAATAGATATTTTATAGCGCATGGCTGTCTGCGTGCGTTTCTGTGCTTGTCCACTCTGAAGAACAAACCTTCAAGACTCCACGGCAGACCAGAGACGAACCTGTCATCTAGACGGGCTAATTACTAGGGTTGTTTACGTTGCATGCGGAAGAGTGCCCAGTCACAACACCCAGGCCCGACAAGCTGGATACAGCCCGGGACTAAACTATACTTAGTGTCCGCGGCTTCGGAAATTCAGACAGCCGTAGAATTCTATCCATTCCGCACATCAGCTCGACGCATGACAGCAGTCGACTAAAGCGGTAGAGACAACGAGCTCCCATGATTTACCCTTGCGTCATGGACGACGCGGCTGAAATCGTCCCACACGCAGCCAGCACTCCACTCCACAGCAAAGCCAAGCTGATATTAGCTTCTTCACTAAGGCTTTTTGCCTTCACCTACACGGGAATAGCCTTCCGCTATGGAGGCTCAAGCTTGCGAGATCCGCAGCGCCGACCAACCACTACGGGGCAACAGCTCACACTTCCTACCGATGACGTTTTGAAAGAAATAAGATTTAAAATAAATCTCGAGATACCTTCAGTATGACCTGCTGTGCGAGGGCCAGTATGCACGGCCCCTTCAGCCAGCCAACAGCCAGACCTGTTGATAGCCTTAATTAGCTGCCCTCGTGGCTTTCTCTTCCTTTCTCTTTTCTCTTCAACGCACTGCACTGCAAGCCTTTTGCCCTCGCACACCTGCCACAAGAGCCCTCCTCGATTTTGCTCATTCCCCGGAGCCAAGCCGTCACACTCAGACCGACAATGGATACGTTCAAGAACAACCTGCAGCGGTGGTCTTCGGACCGCTATGTGGAAGGAGGGCACATCAGCTCGCTCCAGAGCCACCTGATAGCCGCGTCCGGCGAGTTCGTCGGCACCTTCTTCTTTCTTTGGATGGCATACTCCGGGCAGATGATGGTCCTGAACCAGGCGCCGGGGACAGCGTTATCAGGAGGAGCTAGCAGTGAGACCGTCGTTTTCATCGCGATCGTTTACGGATTCTCGCTGCTCGTGAATGCATGGGCATTCTACAGGATCTCAGGAGGTCTCTTCAACCCAGCGGTACGTGACGTGGGCCTGGATGGTGTCTGTGTCCATTGCCGGAAAAACAGTGGATACAAGCAAAAAAAAAAAGAAGAAGAAGAAGAGACACGACTGACGCATGAGATAATTCATACAGGTGGCGCTTGGCATGAGCCTCGCTGGCCAGCACCCGTGGCTTCGGACCTGCTTCCTCATACCTGCGCAGCTGCTCGCTTCCATGGTCGCCGGCGGGCTGGTGAGCGTAATGTTCAGCTTGACGACTACCATAGGAGATGTCAACACCGTCTTGGCGTCGAGCACATCCACTGCCCAGGGCCTCTTCATCGAAATGTTCCTGACCGCGGAGCTGGTGTTTGTCATTCTGATGCTTGCGGTAGAGAAGTCCAAGGACACCTTTATGGCTCCCATCGGCATTGGTTTAACCTTGTTCGTGGCGGAGCTGAGCGGTAAGTGAATTCATGATTCTTAAGCTCAAATATGAAATTACTTGGCCACCTCATTCATTCATCCCCCGACCAGGAGGATTTTGAATCAGAAAAAAGGAAGGAAAGAAAAAAGCTAATTGATGATATGCCTTTCCAGGCGTCTATTTCACGGGCGGCTCACTCAACCCAGCACGGAGTTTCGGGTGTGCTGTCGCCGCCAGGAGCTTCCCCGGCTATCACTGGATCTACTGGTTAGGGCCAGCCATGGGAGGTGCGCTGGCAGCGTTTTACTATCGTTTCGTCAAGTGGGCACACTACGAGGAGGTCAACCCAGGCCAAGATAGCGCTGGAACCGATATCGACGCCCCCAACGATCCAGAAGCATAGGGGTCATTGTACGTTGGAAGCAAGGAAAAGTTCCAATATTAGGGACGATCGATCATTAAGTTATCGCTCAGAGAAGACTGGGACTCGGCATGGCGGCTTCTATGGCGTTTAAAAATTGTTTCAATTTGTGTGTGGCCACATTATTTGGTCACCGAAAGGCAAGGCAAGGCAAGGCAACATAAGGAAATTACGGCTCTGCGAGGAATATTGGTCAGAATGTTTTGGAAACTTGGACGTATTGCATCAGGGCGTATGATAGTTTCTGCAAATTTACATTCACATTCACTATTGTCTGCTGTTTTTACCTTTTCTGTTGAAAAATGCATCTGTGAGTGACGACGGATGATGAACTTGAGACGATACTTTCAAAGTCCAAGTTCCTTGGGCATTTAACTATAAATGATGTTACGGTCACACTAAAGACAGCAACATGTCCGTAGACTAAGTAAAATCGACATTGTACATCGTAACCTGACCTCTCAAATGTACAGACTGCAACAGGACAGCAGTGCCTCGTGCTTGATCCGGAGCAGGAAAACGTCAAAACTGTGGTTGTCATATTACGCATCACAATCGCAGACAAATCATATTGGTCTAGACGAGGGATCGTGCCCTCGTGACACTGTTTTGTCTTGTTCGCCTCAGCCCTTTCATAGGCCGAGAGCCGAGACAACGCAACGTCTATTGAGGTCTTGACCGGATAAAGATTCAAGATGCTAGGCCCAGAGCAGAAGGTGTCCCGGAAAGTGACAGAGAAGTCAGCCTTACGCACCACATCCTTTAGTTTGTGCTTCGGTCCCGGCTGCTTGGGTATAATGCCGTTTGCGTAACCTGTCAAGCTCCCAACTCATGACACTCGCCTACTCAAAGATGGGCATTAGAACAAACTAATCAACAGCCCGGGACCTTGCTGCAAGAATGATACGGCAACACGACATGGACCTCTGCATATTATCAAACACATCGAAGGAACTTTGCTTCCGACTTACATAGGCGCTCAGGATATCACTGCCTTGCCATCACATGCTAGTGGCTTGACTGCCTGTCAGACACACTGCTGAGGCTCTTAATTGCGCGCTTCCCTAGTTTAACTGCCATGATTTCGCACCCTGAAAGTATAAAAAAGCCACTCGCTGACAAGGCCGCATCTCTTGTGAGGCTAGATGCGTCTGGATGCACTCGTATGACGCCCCCAAGTATATCAATTGGCGGCCATACCAATTGATGCACAGCCGTGTCTCACATTTTCAACTGACACCTCACCATGAGTAGGATGAGACATCATCTTTTGACGTTAGCCTCAAAAAAAAAAAAACAGAGGGTTGTTGCTACACGCCATAAGCGCCTAAGTATTCGAGTCTCGCACCAACACACACCCACTCGGCGTATCCTGCTCTCTTGTGTGTGTCTCTTACTCTCCTTCTCCGCACATTAAGCGAGAAGCCACAAACAGATTGGCAAGTTGACTTGCTGAACGCGCGCCCGTCAGCAACTGAATCCATTAGTCCAAGGCACCACATACATGACGCCGCCCATTCACACAACACAAAAGGGAGAAAACGAGAGGAAACAGTCCCCAATCTCGATTGTCCCGCATCTAACCCAATAGATCTCCACATACATTTCCCGATTTCTACACGACTCCAGGCTCACGCGGCAATCGCCAAGAAAGAAAAGACCGGTGATGCCCAACGGCCTTATTCGTCCAAAGCTATCCAATCAAGATTTCGGCCCCCCTCCCTCCCTCGGCTCGGCTGTACCGTCTGACAATGCATCAAAGAGGGGAGGGAGGGAGGGAGGGAGGGAGAGAGGCTCCCCTAAGAGAGGCTACCCTACGTAAAGACACCCTATCACGAGGCTCCCCAAGTACACATTTTGGCCCTATCAGAGTCTTCGCTGCTGATCGCAGTACAATACTCGCGAGTTCGAGTACTATACGAAGACGCCCCCCCCCCCCCCCCGCCTTTTATTTTTTTTCTCCCTCTGAGAAATTGATGATGCAAAACAAATGGCTGCTGCTAGTACTTACTTTGCAGAGTGTGGTTCCGAATCGCCGACCAAAACCCGCCTCGGGGGAAAAGGGTGTGTCCAGCTCCGAGAGAGGGGTAATTGTCGCCAGAGATAATACTGTCGAGATGTTGCACCCACCATTGGTCCATTGAACTGGCCATGGGGAGACGAGAGGATGGAGGGTTGGATTGTCAGTCCTGGATTGCCCGCGGGGAGGCCATATCATTCTTCCTTTTTGTGCTGATCTTATGATCAAAGGTACTCATGTATGGGACTTGTGTAATTGCCCTGCTCTAGCGGTCTCCTCGGAGAAGACGAGAAGACATAATGAATTCATGCCCCTCCCCCCACCTGCTCACCGACCGCGCAGCCAAACAAAAAAAACCAAAAAGTCCCACAGTGGCTTGAGGTGTGGCAGAGCAGGATCCATATCGTGTGTGTGCGTGCTTGTGTGCGTGCTTGTGCGTGTATGTGTGTGACAGACTAACACATGTTTATGTGTCTAATTTCCTCAAATTGCCATGATATGTGACTGAAAAACAGGGAACATGCAGCGACGACACCCACCCACCGAACGGTCAAAGCCGAGCGCCCCTCACAGCCACACTTATTTCTCCCACACACCCTCTCTCAACACCACAGCCAGAGTTCTCGCGATGGGCTTACAAAGACTTCATCCTTAACCTCTCTCTGTCTCACTCTCACTCTCTTCTATCTCTCCCAGGATCCCCTGTCGTGCTCGTCCCCCGAGGCTGACTGGCGCGGGAACGCAACCATTCGGGTAACAAGCTATCAACATTTGCGGAGAACAGAAAAAGAAGGGAAAATGAGGTGATGCCCAACGGGGGCCGGAAGAGCGGAGGGTGCGTGAGACTGTTTTTCCTTCTTGAAGCCTAACGAAACAAGGCGGGCTGTGTTGTGCGGTTCGAGGGCGGTAGGGCACGACCCGAGCCGTTGGGTACGGGATAGTCGACGAACGACTGGACGACAATGAGTAGATATTAGCCTGGTGCCTGGTGACGCATCACGCGCGTCGTCTTAATTTTTGTAATGCGAATGGCCCGAATTGGTGATCGACGTCACCGGTCAGCCATGCGGCTCTGCCCAGATCAAGGGAAAAGGAGGAAAGAGAGGATGTCGGTCAGCGAGGTATGACTGTCGTCAACCATTTAAGTCCTAGTCGTAAGCACTGTGATCCTAGAATGTGGGACGGCGCTGGATCTCTTATACGAGAGATGATAACTGGGACGAGTATGAGCGCGAGAGAGAGGTGAAAGACCCAATTTCGTGCTGACACCAACATCATTGATTATTTTGAACAAATAATGTGGAGCTCAGTCAAAGAGGTAAGCCATCTTGTTACAATCCACCATTCATCCCGCCATGCTCATCATCAGGCCTCTAGCAAAAGGGTCACTCACCCAGGTCAGGCCATTACAAGAGGCGGGATGAGTCTCACCGATCTGGCCCTGCGCAGCACACCTCCCATCGGTCCGTCCCGCCGCCCACCCTCAGCTTCCTCTTCGTGGTCAACTGTCCGATCCTAAGCGAGCAGTATAAACGCGAGTATTCGAAGGACCGGTGGGGTATCATCCTTCCGCCGACCAAAACAAGCCACTTCGCCAGGGAGGGGGCCAGTCCAGTGTTCCGGTACAAGAACGGCCGTGTCACCAGGGCCTCAGAATATGTCTGGCACCGGAACCCAGGCACAGAAGGAGGCATCATCTTGGCCTCCCAGATTCCAACACTGGGCGGCAGCATCCATCAGACACCATATATGCTGAAGTTTGCCACCTGTACCGTTTTTCGCGGCTGCCCCTTTCGACCCATCATCTACATGGAGAGGGATGCATTGGCTTATGATGTGAACGAGATTGATATAGAGCAGAGTGAGTCTTTCCCCTTCTGGCACTCTAGGCATCTATTTTGATTCTTCCTCCCTCCCCTCCGTCCAGGCCTGGGCTGATCTGCCTGCAGTGTACCACCCCCTAAGCTTCGGCATGTACCAGAGCAGGGGGGGCGTTAGTATGGCTGGTGCACGGATGAGTTTTTTGCATGCCGTCGGGCGCGATGCGGCCTGGGTGGGCAAGCTGGTTCCTGACTCTTACAAGAATCCGAGCCGAGCGGCCCCCGACTCAGGCGGTCTGGCAGGATCGCTGCCTGTGATCCTGGGTCTTATGTACGTGTCCCCTTCCACATCACCATAATACCCCAGCTCTTGAAATGCCTGTGGGCTGGGAGCGCGGAGAGGGTATTGACGACATAGATAGGGCGCTCTCCCAGATACCGGGCCACGAGGCGGAAGCTTTCGACCGTGGTTTGTGGGTGGACGGGACATGGTCTGGACCAGACTGGTCATACAACGGGAGTAGGTCATGTGTTCTGCACCTCAGAACAAAGGATGATGAATGAGCTTCAGAAGCTGACAAGTACTTGACAGGGTCTCCAACAGGAGCAGACGACCTGCCACGTGGAGTCGTGGTCCATGTGTGCTGCGATGAAGTCCAGAACCCACACGGGTCGACTATTGACTCGATACAGCGATTCTGTGACGACGGAATTATCGTCCAGGGTTAAATGACTGACCCAACTCTCTTGTTAAGGAAATTTGGAGATTTTAAAGGTGGCACCGCGTATACAATAAGTGCCCCGGACGGTCTGCTATTATCTTGGCGGACCTGCTATTTCAGCTTTATGATCCAGAATGACGAAGACAACGACGATGACGACGACGACGACAGGGCCTTGGTAGTCCTTGTACCGCATCAATTATGGAGAGTTGAATGAATAGCATAAGCAATGATATGATATGATATTGAAATACTTTTCGAGGGTGTCAATGCCCCTTGCAGATTTTCTCTTGAGAAACTGAAAAGGCGTTGAGAGGGATCGTTTGTGTTTCTTTTCCAACATTGTCGCGTGATCCACCAAAACTCAAAAATCATGAACGGGACAACGACCAAGAAAAAGAAAAAGAATCGTGGTGCAGATGTTGTTCATGGTTTCTCGGCAGAGATAGAGACATAGACTAGGCGTCTACATCATCTCGCCAACCCGAGCACCATCATATCCAGTCCAGTCGTCCTTCTCAAAGAAGCCAAACACAAGATCATAGTCGTCAAACTGGTGCACGATCCGGTCAACGCGCCGGTAGCCAGCGATAGCCTCGGTGCGCGACTTGCGCATGCTATAAGGGTCCGGGGTCCGGGGCACCCCAGAGCCTTTGGCCTCGAACAAGGTGACGATGAACCGCCCAGGTTTGAAGATGCCCACCACGTGCTCGATGACCTCACTGGTCTCGCGGCCCTTTTGTCCGCCCGGGACGTTTGTCTCGAAGGAGGCAAAGCTACAGTTGGGCTCCGGCGTGACATGCACAGTGAAGTAGTGTGAGGGGCCCATGATCTTGCTCCCGTCCTCGGCCTCCTGAACCGGCGCGGGGATGACAGCGTTGGCTGAGAAGCCGCAGGGCGAGAAGAGGTAGGCGTCAATGCGCGCGTCGGGGTACTTGGAGGGCGGGTACACCTCGGACAGGCCGCAGGTATCGGACACGACGGTACCGAGGGCGTGCCCCTCGGTCGTGAGCTGCTCGACGTCGGTCATCGGGGTCTGAGCGCCACCAGGCCCGGCGCTGTGGTCAAAAACGTCGAGTGGATCCTCGCTCTTGACGGGAGAGCCGACGCTGGAGGCACCATTGTCATCCGACGACATGTCGCCCAGGCTGTCCACCGCAGCCTGTCTCGCCTCGCACGCCTGCAGAGGAACCCGCTCGCGCGCGACCGCACTCGCGTGGGAGAGGTAGAACTGCTTGGCGTTCTCGGAGTCCAGGTCCGTCATGAGGATCTCCAGGGTCTCGTCAGGGGGGTCCCCACCAGCTGGCATCTGCGGAAAGGAGGACATGAGACCGGTAGGGATCTTGGCAAAAGGGGGCCGGACGGGGAGACCGGAGCCCTTCTCGCTGTCTGGGGTCCGAGGAGGCGTGACCTGGGCGGTGGGAGTGGTGATGTAGAGATACCAGTGGTCCCCGTTCATCTTGCCCACAAGATAGGCGCTGCCGTTGTCGAACAGCTTGTCCAGGAACTTGTACTCGTCGGCCCAGCTTCGGTGAGGCCCATGCTGCTTGTCGGGAAATAGAAAGTTCTTGCGGCTGTAGAAGACGCGGTAGGGAGAGGCCAGCGCATTCTCGTCTGCGAGGTCCTGCGCATTGTGGAATGGGAATCCAGCGTCGACAGCAGCGATGCGCAAGAGCCGTCGGAGGCCAAGGAGGAGGGTCGTGGTGCCGCACGTCTTGAGAATGAGCTTGTGGGGGAAGACGAACATGCTCGACTCGGACAGGAGGTAGGCGTCCATGTGCCCAGATGAGACGACAGACAGCACCTGGCAGTGGACCAGATCAAGCATGCCCTCCCAGGTCTTAGATGCGACGGACAAGAGTCCATTCTCCTTGGCGCCCTGGGGGAGCGCGGAGGGGCTGGGCGCAAACCAGACCTCCAGCAGCTTCTCCGGGCCCTCGAAGGCGTTCGAAGAGTCTAGATCGGCAGCGACATCGTGATTGATGGTCAGATGAGGAGTACCCTCAGATGTCGACAGGACGTTGCTGTTGGGGACCTCAAGATCGACCATATCCGTTTGGCTCTGCCGAGGAGTAGCGATGTCTGGCTGTGACGAGCAAGGGGCCGCGAGAAGAGGCCGAGGTCGAGAGGGGCTCGGGCGAGGAGAGTGCGCGACAGGTGTTTGTCGGTCAAGACGCGCAGGAAGAGGGATGTCTTCCGCGGGACACTAACTGCCAGCTCAAACAGACCTTGCGGCGTCCGTTTGAGAGGGTAGGCCCACAGGATGGTGGTTTCTTGCGTGTGCTGGCGGAGCCAGCTACAATAAGGCGATGGTGGATAGTCTCAACGTCTCACGAGGGGACGTTAGGGAGGTCGGGCAGGAAGGGGAAGAAGGAAGACTTGCGACGACGGAATGGTGGGCTGCTGTGTGTCGTGTGCCTTTGAAGACCAAGGCCTGCGCCGATACCTGTGGAGTATCGGTGTTTTTATGAAGACAAACAAAGTGGCAAGCTCAGAGGCGCACCAACATAGATCTGATATGTGCTTGCGGACAGTTGACGAGGTCAATGTTGTCGATGATGGTTGTTGAGAAGGGGGAATAGAAATTTTCTGGACGAACCGTGTAATGTCGCATTGGTGGGCAGGCGGGTATTTGCTTGGCTGCTCTTGCCATGGTGGGGTGGATTTCCATGACTGGAGCAATTTGGAGCAAGACCCAGGCCAATTACGTCGATAGACAGAACCCCCTCTCCTCCACCCCCTCCAAGACCAGGGAACCCCAGTGCCAAGCCTCAAGACGGTATAGGCGGCTCTGGGGCAAGTAGACATGTGAATAACCGTGTCGCAGCCTTCTTTTCATGTTGCATTACTTTAGAGATGTGGATAACATTTCTTGATTTATCTCTCTCGGTTTGTTTGAAACCTGTGTGACGGAAGATCCCTTTCATTTGGCTCCAAGTCCTCCTATGTCGTACATAATATACGAACTACTATGGGTATCGCAGATAATATGGGAGGACAGGAGACGCGGCGGGCTGCTTGTGCCACTTGGTCGTAATAATACCCGTCATGTCCTGACTTTCCCTCGCTCTCTCGCAGCCTGAACGGTCTGTCTCACAAAGCGTCCACCCCGATTGACGTAGGACCGGGATGATCGAGACGGGCCTTCCAACTCGGTACGAGTTCGAGTCCCCTTTTAGGACGACTTGCCCGCAATGCTGCAATGGATTCGCGCAATGGGCCTGTCCTAGACACACAACACAAGAGTCCGGGTCTTGGATCCGATGGTACAGCATCGTTTCAAGACCCTGTTGTGCCTACAATCCTAACAACACTCTCCGTGATGGATCTGTAGACCGGGCAGAGAGAGCAGTACTGGTACATGGACGCCAATGACTCGCTGTGTTCAGCGGTCCCGTTCCCGTTCGTGTTGTCTGACATGTTCTGCCCGAGGAGGACTGTGCCCTCAGGGTAGGTTGGCCGCCTGCCTTTGGAGATCATGACGGAGAACTGCGGGTCGATGGGCACGCTGCCGAGAAACTCGACCCCAAAGTCCTGTGCCAGAACCTGTCCTCCGCCCTTGCTGAACAAATAGGTGCACTCGGAGCAGTTGGGGCACACAAAGCCGCTCATGTTCTCCACAATGCCAATGATGCGGATGCCTGTCTTTTGGCAAAAATCCAACTCTTTGCGCACATCTGCCGTGGCCACGGCCTGTGGAGTGGTGACCAGCACGGCACCGGCCAGCTGGTCGGGCCTCGCAAACTGCAGGAGGTACTCGACGGCTGAGATGTGTTCATCGCTCGTCCCCGGCGGTGTATCGATTAAGAGGAAGTCGGTCTCGCCCCATGCGACATCGGTTAGGAACTGCTTGATCATAGCCGTCTTCTTGGGACCGCGCCACACAACCGAGTCTCCTGGCCGCACGAGGAAGCCCAGACTCATGACCCGCAGGGAGCCACGGCCTTTTGTAGGACCGGCATCGTGTATTTCGACGGGCAGCCAGCCATCAGGACCTTGTGTGATGCGGCCTTGGTCTGCCACTCGGAACATGTGTGGAATATTGGGTCCGGTCAGGTCGATGTCTAGGACGCCAACGGAATGGCCGGCGAGGGAAAGGGAGAGGGCCAACTGAGTGGTCACAGAAGACTTGCCCACTCCGCCTTTGCCCGAAAGGACCTATTGATGCACTCTTGGTTAGAAAAAGAGGGTTCTGTGCAGTTTGCGACAATTTGGGAGACCAACCAAGACAATGTTCTTTATTTTGGACAACGACATTGTTATGATCAAATGTGTGGTAGTCTTGGTAGTCAAAAATGGCAAGGAGATAGTGGAGAGAGAATATCAAACCTCCGTCAGATCAGTTCATGGAGGAATATAGGTCGTAAATTTTCTTGGTGCCTCCATTTCGCATGGGCGATGCAAATAGCAGCCGTCAAGATATTTTGTCATCGGAAAAGAAACTTCGGCGATGAATCGGCAGCTGATAAAGCAAGGCGATGAGGTAAGCGGTCAGTTCAACGCTATGGTACGGAGGTCCAGCAGTGCTACTGTATGGTTCAACGGGGCTGTCTTGCATGTGCCAGGTACATCAGCAGGGGATGCATGCCCCTGAATACCCCCTGCCTCCCCCGCGGTAAACTGCCACCAGTCTCGAGTCCCAATTGGAGCTTCTCTGTGCTTCCAGTGGTAGACCTCAGGAACCCAGGGCGAAAATATGGAGTACGATAACCTGTGATTATTATGCAATGGTGGTCGACCAAGGAACTAGTCCAAAATGCCAATTTCGAATTCTCCCCTTTGCACGACTGGACTGTCACTGGCTTTAGAAGAATAAGAAGAGAGAAGAAAAACAAGTGGAGGCTCAAACAGTGGCCTGCCTGGTCTTGCTGACTGGTGGAAACAATCGTGTTTCCTTTTGGGCCTGATTCTGGGCCCGAATTTCTCTATACTCTCTCCTTCCTGCCGTCTCTTCCTCCAGCTTAGGTCTTCACCAATTAACCTTACCTCTTACACCACCGGCCACTCCGCCCATTTCAACTCGTCCCCACCTTGCACCCATTGCTCGTCGCTTTGCTTCTTTTCTTGGACACCGCTACATTCTCTAAAGAATTTTGGATACGACAAGACTCGTATATACAGAGAACATCTGGAGCGGAATACAGACAGAACAGACTTCCCGAGACACCATTCATCCCTTGCCTGGAGAGGGGCTCGTTCCCTGGTGAACAACGCGCAAGACGAAGATCCCAGAACGCGACAGTCGTGAAATCTCCATTCACGACACTCAGATGAATTCGATATAGCATTTCAACATCATGAGAACTTCCTCTCGCAAGCATGGACGATCCATGGGGCTCACCATGGGCCACGAACGATTCCACTTCTACCCTTGAACCTCCGACACAAGCCTCAACCAACCTCGAACTACCAGGCCGTGCCCTGGCGAGAACCCGATCGTCATCGAGCATTTCACCATGGGCAGTGGACGACGATGCGCCGAGTGGCTGGGCTTCACCAGGCGCAAGTCTAACCTTACCACCAACTGCTGCCACATCCAATGTCGGATGGTCCGGGTGGGGCGGGGAGCACGGCTTGAACTCGAGCCAGACATCGCTGTCAACGAGGGCAAGAGAGGGAAGCCTGGGTCAGCCCAGCCCAACCACTACTTGGCCGGCTTCTGCATCTTTGACACCTGGTCAGGGCAAGACGGTGTCACGCCGAAGCAGCGCTAGATCTCTGTCCCGGCAGCCGTCTCCAGATCCTTGGGTCAGCGAGTTTTCCCAGAATCGCCTTAGCCTTCCGGCAGCTGTACATATCTCGGCCGAGCAGGCCGCCTTCTCGACGCTGGATAGTCACGAGGAAGCAGAGGAAGAGAAGGATGACAATAATTACAACAAAGAAGACGGGGCTGCCGAAGTTGATGATTCCGCCAGAGACCTCGTTACTACACCCACATTGGCCCAGGACCCGACTGTCGAGGCCGTAACAGAGAGCAGCGAGGACAATGAACCAGATCCTCAGACACACGAGGAGGGTAGGGAGCGTCTGGACTCGCCCAGCCTCTCGAGACGGTCCTCAGTCTCGCACGACAGCCGCCATGAGGAGAGGCTAGACTCACCTCTTACCTCCATGGACGAGGATTGCAAAGATCGTGCTGCCATACCTCGGAGATCTTCTGCCAAGGTGCAGGAGCTGGTGGACAAGTACGATGGCCTGGCCAAAATCACGGGCGATTCGCTGTTGGTCCCTGCCTCTAACGAGGGCAGGCGACGCAGCGCAAGTCGATCCATGAGCATCAGGAGCTTCCAGACCGATGTCACAAGTGATTTTGGTGACTTTGAGGACGCTGAGGACTCTGATTCCGGCAAGCCATCACGCAAGCCTTCAGTGACAGGATCACCTCGTCCAGGCAATTCGCGGGCGGGCCGCGTTCGCTCTCTTTCGAAAGCATCGTTGCGAAAAGCCTCTGTGGCATCTGGAATCGCTGCGGTCACGAGCCCGATACAGGAAGAAGAGCACTTGGGTCATATCGAAAATATGCGTGCCAAATTTGGTCCCATCAGCTTCACCCCGGATCTGGAGCTTGTCAACAAGCTGTTTGATGGACCCAAACTGGACAAGGAGCAGCCAAGTGCAAAGGACTACAGCCTGGATGCTGTCGAGGGCATCATCAAAGATAGCTTCACCACGGTCTCGGAGCGCAAGACATGGTATCGGATCTCTCGGCCGGGCACAATGCGCAAGCATGACCTGGGCGATGACGACACTTATCGTCGGGTTTCCTGGGTCGGCTCCAAGGTCCGGGAGGATGCTAGCAAGATTGTTCGTCGTTGGATGGAAGAGGGCCCGTATGCAGGTCGCTCGGCAGCAGGCGGACGGTCTATGGCCAAAGGCGGCGCTTTTGACTGGGACGCAAAAGCCAAAGCAGAACCGTTGTCGTTTGATGAGATCTTTGGTAAAAGGAAGAGCGTGCAAATCCCGAAACCTGCTGCTCCTTTCGCTGCTGCTGTCGCAGCACCACCGCGGCCTCTCTCGCTCCAGGTGCAGGCGGCGGGGCCAGCTCACTCCAGAGACGTCTCGGTGGGCGTCAGGAGCCTACCGCCGCGTTCACCGATGAGTATCCCTTTGCCACCTGCTGGGCCAACCTTTGGGTGGAGTACAGGTACCAATGGCTCACTGACACCTGCCTCGCCACGGCCACCCAGCGAGTATACCAGGCCGTCTTTTGAGGCCGGCTCGGTCCATTCTGGAGGTAGCAGACCGCCCAGCATACTTGAGCCTCCTGAGGGCCGAACTTCCCTGCACCTCGCGCCGCCTCCTGCTGCCCCTTCGCCTCAGCTGTCGGTGGAGCCGAGTAGTTCCGTACCAGCAGTTGAGGATGACGACGAAGAGGAATGGGGTGAGATGATTGCTTCTCCAGCAACAGACAGCCGTCCTGCCAGCGGCTTCTTTGATAGTAGCAGCATCAATGGCTCGATGGCCAGCCTAGTCTCAACGACCCCTGCGGCAACTGTACCCTCCCACGACAAGCCCCTTGCTCTCAGCGCTGTGCCTCATCAAAATGGACAGAATTCGTTGCCCGCCCCCTCAGGTGATGTGTGGGATTTTTCGGCTTTCGACAGCACACCTACCCCTCCAGCAATTCCACCAACCACAACATCCAAACCTGAGTTCAGTTTCGATACTCCATTACAGTCGCCTAGCCTCTCTATACCATCAAGGACGGGATCACCTGCCTCCTTTCCGCTCTCCAAACCCCCTACGCCGACTGCGCCGCTGCGAGCTGAGTCACCAACAGTATTCCAGGTGCCAAAACAGCCACCAACGCCGATATCTGCCGCGCCTTCTGCTAGGGCCCATCATACACCGAAGTCCTCGCTGAGCCTTGTTCGACCGTCACCTTTACATAATGTCATCACCCCAATGGTCACCTCACCCAAACCAGAGCCCTCAATCAAGCTGCCGGCTAAATCCGTCAGCTTCGCACAAGATGATGGCGAGGACGAGCCAGCTGCTAGGCGAATTTTGGCTGGCCTGCCTGACTTGTCATACATGCTCCGCTGAGCACCAGCCTGCTATGCATGGCTTTTGGCCGCTCCAAAGCCAAGGATAAAGATTTCCGTTTACGTTGAAAAAGCAGCCAATCTGAAGCTACTCACCACGCATACCTCAACAGCGTAAAAGCCGATAGGAAACTTGGGACTTTGGTGCTCTTTTTTTTTGGGGGGGGAGGGGGTGGTCCTTTCTTGCATTGCCTACGGCGTTGGGTTGAAAACCGTGTACAAAAATTATATAACACTTATACTTCAACCAATTGTGGAAGCCAACAGTGATGCTGCATAAGAACAATGCTTTGCCAGTGATATACCGATATCTGGGTGCAGCCGTTGTACAGTACCATGGAACTCCTGCTGACAGCCTGCACTGCTTTTTCTTCTGTTTTTCTTGTTATTCCTAGGAAGCAAACTAGTGAACACAGAATAGAGTAATTGCCGATTGAACAGTGACAACCATAGTCGATTGGCCAAGAGGATGTTTGCACGTTACTGCAGTTTGTGTGAGCCAATCACTTGCTGGGTGGGGATTTCTGCAGCACAGAGTACAGGTTCGATGTTGTGTTGCGTCGGGTGTCGGTCAGTGTCGCGTTTCTAGACATTTCCACAGCCCCAACTCGGCCTTTGCCTTGCATCAAACCTAAGCCTGGTTGGATCGACCCAGCGGCTCTCCGAGTTCCCACATGGACCTCATCTCGAATTTTCCCTGGCAGCGGCTGGGACGTATTTCTTTGATCGAGATGTTATTTTAAAAAAGCTTGTCTGTCTTTAGTCTCTTCTGGTGGTGCTTCTCACCTGCTTTCACCATGTGGACGTCCGACACAGAACACGACCTCGTTGCTCTCTGCATCAGTCGACAGCGGAGAGGTTGAGAGGAGCGGTTTGTCTGGATCTGTAAGGAAGAATAATATTGTATATTTACAACCAGTCAATACTTTGTTCCTTTCCTCTCTTCTACCTTGGATGAAGATTGTAAAACGGCAGCCTCAGGAGCCAGCCTCGTTGTCCACACTACCACCCCAGAAATCTTCTTCTCACCATGTCTCTAGCACAGCGCCGCACGATCCTCGATGATATTCACACCCTCCCCTCGCCCTTCTTTGAGGATGAGTCCCGCGATGACGGGACAACGGCGGACGAAGACTCTCATTCCCTGCCCATCAGTAGCACACAGAGGGAGTCTGTGATCAGCCACAGGGCGAGCATCGTTGGTATTCCCGTGGAGGATGGCAAGGAGGTCTGGCAGGCGCTCAGCTACGACGCTTTTCACGCGCCGCCCCAGGACCTGGCAGAACTTCAACAATTTGAATCCGTCCCACCCGAGACCGGGGAGAACGTCGCAGCATATGAAGTGTCCACTGCCAGGAGGATATGTAAGGAAGACACCACTTGAACCCCCCCCCCCCCCTTTGCTTCTGTCTTTTACTTCACTTTTCTCTCTTCCGCCTTCTGCTATGTATGTTCTGAGCTGATGTGTTGGCACAACAGGTCAAGTCGCATTCGCCGTGACAGCATGCGTCCTGGCCTCGGGTATAGTCTGCGGCTTCGCAGCACTCAAACCGATCCTGATCGCCGAGGGCGTCTACCGCTCGCTCTGCCCGGTAGACTGGCCGGCGCCGTCACCAGGACTGGACGGCGAGGCCCAGATCCCATGCCCAGCGCAGGACATGCGCCTGAACCTCTTCTTCATCACCGCCTCCATCACCCTCAACGTCGCCACCGTGCTGGCGGGCTATGTCCTCGACCACCACGGCCGGCGGGCATGCTATCTCCTGGCGGCGGCGATCCTGTTCCTCGGCTCCGGGTGCATGAGCCTCGCCTTCTACCTTGGCGAGGAGAGCCGGGTGCTGGCCTGGTTCGACGGGTACATCACAGGCAACCTCCTCCTCGGCCTCGGCGGCACATTCCTCTTCGTCTCGTCCTACCAGCTGTCCAACGCCTTCCCGCGCCGCGCAGGGCTCGTCGTGGCCCTCGTCACAGGCGCCTTTGACGCCAGCGCCGCCGTCTTCCTCTTCTACCGGCTGGCCTATGAGGCCACCCAGCACCGCTTCCGGCCCGCCATCTTCTTCCTCGCCTTCGCCCTGACCATCCCACCGCTTCTCTGCGCCGCCGAGCTGACCCTCATGCCGCGCGCAGCCTACAGCACGCGCCGTGAATACCAGGCCGCCCTCGCCGCTGCCCAGGACCCCACGCAGGACGAGCGCGACTCGGACGACGAGCGATTCGCGCACGAGCCGGCGGGGGCGCTGGGGCGGGAGCGGAGGCGGCGGGCGGACGAGCGCGAGGCGCGCATGGAGGCGCTCGAGGCAGTGGCTGGGAACGCCGATGAGCGGGCGGCGGACATGGCGGCGGCGAGAGGCCGGCAGGAGGCGTCGGGCGTGCACGGGATCCTGCAGCAGCAGCAGAAGCAGCAGAAGCAGCAGAAGCAGCAGGCGACGGTGGTAGCCGCGCAGATGGCGACGCCGTGGTTCTGGCTACTCCTGCTGATGACGGCCACGCAGATGACGCGCATGAACTACTTCATTGCCACGGTGCGGGCGCAGTACCGGTATATGTTGAGTGGGGACGAGGACGCCGCGGGGGCCGTGAATGGGCTCTTTGATGCTGCACTGCCGGTTGCTGGTGTGCTCACCACGCCCTTCATTGGCGTCTTGTTGAACGAGATGCCTGTCTGGGCTACGCTGGCTGTGCTGACGGTGCTGACGGCGGTGCTGGGGATTCTGAACTGTGTGAGCGGTAGCTTGGATGCGGCGTATGCAACGGTGATTATGTTTGTGCTTTATCGACCACTGTATTACTCTGCTGTTTCGTAAGGCCCCCCTTCCCCCTCTCATCCTTTCCTGTTTGCCCTTCTTTGCTGTTTCTAATCTTGTACGTTTCGACTTCTTCCAGAGACTACGCCACCAAAGTCTTCGGCTTCGCCACCTTTGGTCGCATCTACGGCACCGTCATTTGCGCGTCTGGCGCAGGTCAGTTCATACAGCCTGCCCTGGACGCCCTCACCCACGGTCCACTGCACAACAACCCCGTCCCTGTCAACATCGTGTTTGGCGTTACGGGGACAGTGCTGAGTGCTGCGCTCACGTTATTCGTGTATGTCAAGACAAGGGAAAATAAGGAGAGAAGAAAACAGCAGCAGCACGAGGGAGAGGAGGATGGAGAAAGGCGAGCGCTTTTGAGCGAGAGGGGGCAGGGCAGTTATGGTGGTGTTAGGAGTTGATAGTGTAGATGTGATGAACCTGATTAGAGAACATGCTAGCTGAGGTATCGTTAGCAACCACAGCCCAAATATCAGTACTGGTGAAGCATATCAAGGTTGGATAGCTATTACATACTAATATTGTGATTCATAAAAGCCATCACGAGAATGTGCGTCCATATGACCATGCCATAAGGAGCCACGAAATAGAATGATATGCTCTCAGCTCAGAAGTCATCCGTCATGAAAACACACCGATGCGTACTAAAGTCTCCCACAAACTTTGCCTAGAGGATCCCTTCCTGGGAACTTATGGCGTGCTTGTCATTCTTCGTCTTCCATATCTCCCTCCTCGTCTTCGACCTCCGTCACCCACTCAATGACAAAGTCATCTTCACTCGCTTCCGAGTCGTCATGGTCCGTCTCTTCTGGGCCCAGGACACTATTCGCTTCGGCCCAGGCGCGGTACGTCCACATTCTGTCCACTAGCCGATCCAGGGCCGCCTTGTCCACATGCTTCAAGGTCTGCGACGTCACCCTCTCGGACGACTTGGGCACCTCACCGGGCTCCAGAAAGTAGATGGATTCGGGGGCGTGCGAGAACACTGACGTAGTCTGCTGGATGCGGCGCAGGCTCAGCTGCTTCAGCTTCGGCGCGATGGAGGGTAGCTTGCGGAGGTACCTGGTCCAGGGGCCGTTCTCGTGTCTCTCGCTGATGCTTGCGAAAGGCGACGTGTCCGGTTCGGCGGGTAGGGAAATACCCTTCAGGTTGATTTGTTCGAGGTCACCAAACTTTCTGGTGACCGATGTCAGGATTTCCCGTCTCAGCTGAATGTGCCCTATGTCCAGCTGCCGCAAGGGCATCGTGACCGGCGCTGGGTTGGCGTCGGTCCACCCTGATCTGTCCCTGTCGCCCGAAAATTGACCAGGCGGGAGGGCCAGCCATTCCAGAAATCGAGACGCCACCGAGGGTTCGCTGTGCAGATGGTCGTGGACGAAATTGAGCCTCAGCCAGGCCACATTGGGCGTCGACGCCAGGAAGCGACGGAGATTGGTCGTCGAAGGATCATAGAAGGCTTCGGCACAATCCGGCCTGGCCGAGTCTGAGGGCTTCCAGATGTACGGCGGGATGCCTACCCTCTCAAGGCGCAGGTCGAGATGCAGTCGGGTCAGGCCACACAGCACAGCAGACAGCTTACCGGTCAGTTCAGGGGCGAGTGCAAACGCAGTGTCACTGAGGGCGCCAAAGCGGCTCCTGAGCAGGATCTCAAGGCCCTTTACGTTACAGTTGCTGCTCTTCCCAGCAGCCACAAGCACCACCTTGAAGACGCGGACGGTAAAGACATTCTTGATATGCGTCCCAGAGCGTAGGAGCGAGCTGTGGGTGCGGGAACGGTGAGACAGCCAGTTCCGGTACTCGGACGAGCCGTAGCTCCTCCACTCGGCCACAGTGCCCCATGCACTCTTAGGATCCCGGTAGCGGGTGGGCGAGTTGAAGTCGCGGATGTCGATTGTCTCGAGGTTAGGGAAGTTGGACAGGGCCTCTGACAGGATGTCAACCGCTGCACCCGTGTCAAGAAGCCTTTCCTGCGAACAGACAGCAGCATGATACTGCTGAAAGGCTTCTAGGGTGGTCAAGTCCTCTGGCATGATGGCCTGGAACTCATCCAGGCCTATAATCAGGTGCTTGAGACATCGCGACAGGGTTTCATGTTTTGAGATCGCTAATAAGGCCTGCAGGCTGAATTCGGAGATCACTTTCAAGGAGCGCACCAGTCAGTAACTCAGTCTGGGCGTCAGAGGACGGCTCAAGTAATGACCTACTGAATTGCTTCTTTTTGAAAAAACAATTTGCCCACTGCCCACAGTCATGTCATGTCAGCAGGTGGCACTTTCGGGATCGGAAAAAGCAAGAATACAAGACATGACAAGAACAGAGCAGTGAGCGACCCTGGCCAGTGGCGGGCGGGCGGGCGGGCGGCATAGGGATTCCCGCCTCTCTCTTCTCTCTGGCAAGCAGAAGCAACTCGAACCCCACACCCATGCACACACTCTCTGCTCCCCCAACAATCCTCTCTCTGAGCAGGAGGAGGAAAAGGTAACTTACGTAGGGGAAAATCTTGCTCTCGAGATGCCTGCAGGTCCCGCGCAGGGAGTTGAAGTCGACTGTAGGCAGATAGCTTGCGATGGCGTCCAGCAGCTCGCGTGGAAGACCGACAAGCCTCGAGTTGGTTGACTCTGATCTGATGGTGGAGGAGGAGGAGGGAGTGGTGGTGGTGGTAGTAGTAGTGGTCGGAAGGGCCAGCCCTCCTTCATTCAAAACCGAGTCTGTCGAGCCGCCCAGTGCCTGTTCCTGTTCCTGCTCAGTGCCGCCAAGGGCGGCCGTGCTGGATGCATTATTGACGCTGGTGGCGTTGGTGATGTCGGTTTTGGCGTTGGCGTTGGCGTCTGTAGTGTCCATCGGCATTGGATGCGAGAGACCTCCAGGGCCTAGGAAAGAGAGCGTATCCGTCGACATGGTGTGGGGACTCGACTATGGGTGTTGTCTGTCGGTCGCTTGGCCGTAAGAGGTTTGATCGAATAAAAGATCGAGTGTAAGATTGAAAGCGGGGTTGGAAACAAAGTAACGAGGAAGAGGAAGAGGACGAGAAGGAAGTGAATGGGTTTAAATGAAGTAGGTACTTGCTTGTTAAGCCTGGTGATAGTAGAAGAAGCGGTCAGGCAGCGGAAACGCAGGTGAGATTGAGTGCACGCAGTGTGGTAATTTAGACAACGATAGCAGGTGCAGGCCTTTTTTGGGTGTACTGTGCTGCGGTGTGCTTGGCTGCTTGATCACTGGCGATCAACGCCGGGCTGCACTGGGACGGGCTGGGCTGGACCCGGCTCGGATCACATGCACCACAGGCTGCAGTCTGCTGTGCGAGGTGCGACCCTCCCTAACGATAATGATGATGATGGTGATGATTTTATTACATAGTATATTACATTATATCATCCCCGCACATAGAGATACTGAGTACGCAAGATACTTTACCACCATAGTGTGCAAGACAGTAACTGCACCCCAGCTTTGTGGTGCCTGGCAGCCTAGGCCTTGAACCGTTACACTACAGTGCCACATGTCCCTAGTATTTAGTGAGTGGGCTTTTACGTAGTTTGCGAGTTGCAGTGGGGTCCATAGCGGGCGGGTGCCTGAAAGCTACCCCATAAGTCACAGACCGCCTGAATCATGTGATATCGTGTCGCTCGTGTCGCTCATGTCGCACCTGCCTTCCCATCACTAAAAGGTTGATCGCTCGCTCAGTCATCACCGCGCTGTCTCCACTCTCCCTTCGAGCCTTCCCTAGCTCGAGCCTCTGCTGCCTGCTGTTGCCTCGAGGCTGTCCCATTTTGGGATATGAGCTGGGGGTCTCAGCGAGGCTCTAAAAGGCAAGCCACCCAACTGGCAACCGAACGGGAAATTGAATTCATCAATCATGCAATCATTGAGTTCATCACCCATACAATTCTTCCCCAATCTCCCATTCCCTTGACTTCAACAGGTTGTCAGCTAAGAGAAAGATTGTTTCATCGCGTGCTTGCTGCCTAGTTCTATTTGTTTGTTCGTTCATTCGTTCATTCATTCATTCATTCATTCATTCATTCCTTCTTTAAGGCTGTCTCCGTTGTACAGCCAACGCCCAGCGCAGACCGGCGTCTCCTTCACGACGTGATCATCGTGCTCGTCCTCATTTTCGACCTGCGACTCAACTGGTCTCTCAACTCTTGGCAGAACCAACCCATTTCTGTCCTCTGTCTCTCTCCTCTCTCTACAGTTGTATCATGCCCATGCTTTGATACCCAAGTTCATCATCGACCTTATCACACCAGTCACAAAGACGGTCAACAGTGCGTATACAGTACCCGTGATGAGGCCACACAAAGAGGCCATCGGGAAGACTGATGGCATCCCCCAAGACCTGCCCACCTAAACTTGCAGACTGCTTGCTGACAAGTCTGTTTACCATGGCCACACAGGTCAGCAGTCCAAAAAAAAAAAAAAAAAAAAAAAAAAAAAAAAAAAAAAAAAATGCCGGCGGCCAAGAAAGCCACCAAACGCGGTGGTGCGGCCAACTCTGCCTCAGCTGCAACTTCCGCTGGCACCCCACCGCTGGATGGCTGCTGTGTCGCCTTTAGTGGCAATTTCCCAGGGCAGACACAAGCCTCACTCCTCACCCATGCCGCTCGCCTCGGCGCGCAAACGAGCAAGTCCGTCAGTCAGGACGTGACGCACCTCATCTCCACTCAAAATGACTGCGACAAGCCGTCCACCAAGTGCATTCAGGCCATCGACCGTGGAATTGCCCTTGTGAGCCTGGACTGGCTGCTCCAGTCCGAATCGCACGATGCTAAACAGCCAGAGGCCAATTTCGCCCTGACAACCACTAAAGGATCTCCTGCCGCTACGCCCGCTCCGGATCCTGCCGCCCAACAGGACCCCAAGAAGCGGTCGGCATCGGACAGCACGGCCCCTGATCCCAAGAAGGTGAAGCTGGATGCCAATGGCAAGGAAATCCCGACCTTTGGCAGCGCACAGATTGCCAAGAACTCGGCTGTTCGTGTCGAGGTGGATGAGGGCTGTTCACTGACTGGCTATACCGTACACATCGGCGATGATAGTGTCATCTGGGATGCCTCGCTCAAGTAAGCAAAGCACCTTCCTAACCTTTTGGGAGCCCCGTCCGCACATAATTGGGCCCCCTCCCCCAAGGCGCCCCATTCTACACCTGCAGCCTCAATTTCTTGGCAAACTTTGTGTGTGGATCCTTGGACAGAGCTGACCGCATGGTTCTTCAGCCAAACAAATGCAGGTGAGAATCACAACAAATTTTACCGCATCCAGCTGCTGGTTGGTCCTGGGGGACACTGCCAGACCTGGACCAGGTGGGGTCGAGTGGGCGAGCCGGGACAGAGCGCAGTGCTGGGTGATGGCTCCATGGCCAGCGCAAAGCAGAACTTTGAAAAGAAATTCAAGGACAAGAGCGGGCTGGCCTGGGCCAACCGTACGGATCCCCCCAAACCCAAGAAATACTTCTACATCGAGCGCAATTACGACCCTGACTCGGACGACGATGATGGTCCTGGTGCATCAAATGCGGATGCCGTCGAGGAGCGCAAGGCACCACGCTGCACCTTGGATCCCGAGGTGAAGAAGCTGGTGCAGCTGATTTTCGACCCCAAGCTGTTCGCAGCGACCATGTCGGATATGAGATATGACGACAAGAAACTCCCTCTCGGCAAGCTCAGCAAGGCAACCATCATGAGAGGCTACGAAGCCCTGAAAGAGCTTTCCGATCTCATCGGCCCAGCCAGCAATGCGGCAGACGACGATTCCATTGAGGCCATTTCCAATCGTTACTACTCCCTCATCCCTCACGTTTTTGGTCGAAATCGGCCTCCAGTCCTCAACAATATGGTCATGGTGAAGCGGGAAATTGACCTTCTCGACGCCCTGTCTGATCTGAAGGATGCTAGCAACATCATGAAGGGCGGCGCCGACGAGCAGGATCCCGTCCACCCGCTCGACCGACAGTTCCAGGGTCTGAAGTTGCAGGAGATGACGCCTCTCGATCCCCAAGGCAGCGAGTTCGAGTATCTAAAGACGTATCTCATGAACACTCGCGGCGTGACGCACAATGCCAACTACCGGATCGAGAACATCTTCCGCATCGAGCGCCAGGGTGAGAAGGACCGTTTCAACCAGAGCGTTTTTGCCGGGCCGGCTCGTGACCGGCGCCTCCTGTGGCACGGTTCTCGCGCCACCAACTTTGGTGGTATTCTAAGCCAAGGCCTGCGCATCGCTCCACCTGAGGCTCCCGCCACGGGATACATGTTTGGAAAGGGCGTCTATCTGGCCGACATGTCAAGCAAGTCCGCCAATTACTGCTATCACCGCATCTCGAACGGCACGGCTCTGCTGCTCTTGTGCGAGGCCGAGCTGGGCACACCCATGCTGGAGCTTACCAGCTTCAACTACACCGCGCCTGAGGATGCTGCAGCCAATGGTTGCTGGTCCACGTTTGGGAAGGGAGGCACGAGCCCGTCTGTATGGGAAGATGCTGGCTGCATCCATCCGTCGCTGCAGGGCGTCAAGGTGCCAGATACAAAGGCTGCGCCGCCTAAACGGAACGACAGCATCGCCTCCTCATTGGTTTACAACGAGTACATCTGTTACGACGTTGCACAGATCCGCCTCCGGTATCTCTTCCGTGTCAAGATGTGAGTGAGCGCTGATCTCAAGAATGTCCTAGAAGAGAGGACGATGGGTGAAAGAATACTTTGGTATTTGCGAACGGCCAAAATTGCAGGAAGGAGAAGAGACGGCTCGTGTCTCCAAGGAAACAGATCAACTTCTTGCTGTCCTCTATGGGAAGAGGTATCTATCTTATGACTGAGCTTCACGAAATAAAAAAAGGAAGCACGGGTGAGAGAAAAGTTAACTTTGACAGCCTGATATCAAATCTGTAACTCAATCTTGGTAAATTCACAAAGTAGAGCATATTGCAGGACGTGGACTTTGAGCTTGAGATGGAGAAGTTTACATTTCTGATGTAACCTGAATGCATTCATCAGGCTCTTGTCTTTGCATGAACACGTGAACACCTTTTAAATCCTCAACACTGTTTGTCAGCACAGGTGACCTTGTTCCCTCCCATAACTTCTTTCTACTCCATCTATCACCCCGGCACCACCAAGAACCCATCATAATACCGCTCCAACCATCCCGCGGCCTCCCTGCCCACATCTGCGGCTGCCTCAGCAGCACCTCCTCGCAACCCAGTAAGGTCCCAGGTTTTCAGTGAGCCGACATAGCCATCCGGCCGGACATTGAGCACGGCCACCTCGCCCCTCGAGACGGCCCGGGCTCCGAGGTACTTTTCGGTACATGTGGTGCCCTGGGTGTCGAGATCGGGGACGTCGTCTAGGTAGATGGTCCAAGGAGAGCGGGACAGGATCTGGGGGAGGTGTGCAATTTCGAAATTGGACTTTTCGGTGGATGCTGCATAGAGATCTCTGCGTCAGCGGTGGGGAAAGAGAGGGGGGGGTGGGGGGTGAGAGAAGAGAAAGAGGGCAATGCAGAATATCTGTCTGTATCGAGGGGAAGGGAGAAGGGGACTTGGAGGATATCAATATTAAACAAAAGAAAGGGGGGAAACACGTACTGATAAGGGCAAAGACGAAGAGCTGGCTGACGGCGGTGTATCTCTCGGGCCGCTTGAACAAGTCATCCGACGAAGGCACCCTCGGCCTCTCCAGATAGCTCTGACTAGCAGCCGCAGACAGCCTGCTCAAAAGAGAGTCCTGCTCGGCAATGGCACCGCAGAGCGCCGTCAGGAACGCGCCCTGCCGCGCCTCCACCACGTCCGGCACAAAGATGTAGACCTTGAACTGGCCCAGGACTGGTATGTCCAGCTGCACATCTATCGGGTTGGCGTCGATGTACCTGCTCACCTTGCCCGGCGGGAGGGTACAGCCTGGCCTCGCGCCGGCAGTGCTGCCACTACCACTGCCGCTGCTGCTGTCGTCGTCGTCGTCGTCGTCGTCGTCGTTTTCGTCTTTGATCTCCTCCTCCTCCTCCTCTTCCCTTTTCTCCTCTGCCTCCCTCTCCATCTGATTCAGCTTGTTCTCGCCATACTCAACACCAACACCCGAGATGAAACGCACGTTCTTTCGAAAGTTCTCGGCCAGGGCGGCCGGGTCCCCACGGCTCATCTCGGCAGCATGCTCGTAGTCAAAGGTGACCAGGTCGCGCGCAATCTTGCGGCGCTCGGCCTCGTAGGAGCCCAGCAGGACAGAGGCGCGGCACAGCCCGCGCACGGCGAGGTTGAGCTTCCAGGCGAGGTTCCAGCTGTCGTGCAGGGCCGTGTTCATGCCCTGGGCGGCTTTGGGAGAGTGCGTGTGTGCTGCGTCGCCGGCGATGAACACGCGTGGTGGGTTGTCGTCGTCGCTGGCCTGGTCCTCCTCGTTCTCGACGTCCATCTCTCCGCCGGCGCCGGAGGCGGGCGAGGAGGAGGGTGGTGGTGGAGGTGGTGCTGCTGCTGGTCTGTTCAAGAGGGCCGAGGCAAAGCTGGGGGCGACGCGCTGGGAGACGCGATACTGGCCGAACCACTCGACGGTGCGCCAGCGGATGCGGTAGGGCAGCAGGATCTGGGCGGCGCGGCGCATGACGGCGGCCTGGACAAGACGCGGGTCAGTGCCGGCAGCGGCGGGGTCGGCGTCGGGTCGCATCTCAATGTACAGGCGGGTCATGTCGCGCTCGCGCGGCATGATGAGGATGGAGCCGAAGCGTTCGCTGGAGATGACGGCCTTGGTCCAGACGTCGGGGAAGTCCGTGTCCACCTCGCCGTCCAGGACACCCCAGACGGACATCTCATCAACCTGGTCGTCGCGGGCAGCAGGGTGCGGGTTGATCATCTTGCGCACGCGCGAGTGGGCGCCGTCGCAGCCCACAAGGTATGTAGCCTCGAAGGCGCGCGGTTCACGGGTGACGTTGAAGTGGGACTGCACCTCCATCGTCGTCTTCATCCTCCCGCCGCCGCCGCCACTGCTGCTGCTGCTGCTGCTGTTGGGAATAAGACGCAGCCCTTCGAAGCGGTGGCAGCGGCGCACAGAGACGCCGCGCTTGGCGAGATCGGCCTCGAAGGCGCGCTCGACCATGCCCTGGTGGCCGACGAGCATAAAAGGGTCGACAAGATCGACGATGAAGGCCGGGTAGTGCGTCTCGCGGGCGACGCGCACGGGACAGTCGTCGTCGGCAGCGGCGTGCCAGAGACAGAGGTCGTAGACGCGCACGCCCTGCTGCAGCAGCTCGTCGGCGAGGCCCAGCATGCGAAGGGTCTCAATCGTCTTGGGCTGCATGCCGTCTGCGCGGCCTGCTGGGGTCTGCTCGGCGCGCTCGTCAAGGATGAGCGGGGTGATGCCCAGGCGGGCGAGGGTGAGCCTGGCTCTCTCAGTATCAGAGGTGAATCATGAGGATAGTCATGTTGATTGTGAAGCAAAATGGGGTGCGTGAGGTGAGGTGAGATTTACCCAAGCATGAGACCGGCTGGTCCGGCACCCACGATGCACACGTCGTGTCGCTCTGCCCGCTGCCCGCGCTGCTGTTGCTGCTGTGGCTGCTGTTGCTGTCCTTGCAGCTGCTGATGCGGCTGGTGTGGCTGCGACCGGCCAAGCACGGGAATGATCCTGATGGGCTCATCCTCGTTGATAGGCTCTGGACGGGGTGTAGCCTCGTTGTCTGAGCGGGCACTGTTGGCGGTGGTATTGTCTGTATCCACGTCCATGTCACCATCGCTGCTCGCGAAGGAGCTCGACGGCGAGGTGACGGTGAAGCCGTTGGTGGACATTGTCTCTTTCTTGTCCCTCTCCCATACACACACACACACACACACACACACTTTCTCTCTCTCCTTCTTCAGACTGGCTAACTTCTATCAGCCGCCCTATCTGGTGAAACTCTCTTATCTCGGCACGTCGGGCTCTCTCATGAGGTGGCAGTGGTGGATCTGAGGAGGTGGAGGCTGGAAGCTATCTTGAACAAGGGTCCCCACTTAGGGCAGTTCAAAATGATGGCGGAAAGAATGAGAAAGCAGCTCGACCGTCGACCTCAAGCGGGCATGTGTGGCTTGCGGCTGTTACTGATGCAATTCTTTCGTCATTCGTGCGTCGTTGTTCTGAAGTGTCTTCACATCCTGGAAGACGTTCAAGGGCACAAGTGAAGCAGATCTTTTTTTCTTCAACCTTTTCCGCTCCTTATTTAATATTTCACCCCCTGTCGGAACCTACCGAGGCGACAAGGCGGGCCGGGCCTAGCATCAAGACCCTAAACCAAGACCGGAGGCTTATATTTATTCCCAGAGTACTGTTTAATACCGCCCATTAAGTAGCAAGAAAAGTCTTTCAGAGGCCATAATGTGACTTTCATGCAGCTATCAACCAATAGATGATAGCATTCCCACATTGAACATTCAGTTGCACTCGGTTATTGCCCACGTCGGCTGGCTCCGGCCGAGACATCCAGTGGTACGATTGTGACGACCTCTGCCCGCCTCTGCGTTCCCATGGTTGCTTCACCAGGACCGATCGAGTTCTTGAATCTAGTGCCCATTCTGGTGAGTGCACAGCATAATTACCGTCGGGTAACGATTAGAAGGTCGGGCGAACGGAAGATTTCCGGCTCTCGTTGCCGCCTTGTCCTGCTGCTCAAGGGTCATAAATGGTGGTGTCACTGGGACGTGAATATGTGCCCGGGCTCTACGCTCTCTGCATTACATTGAACCTATGTGAAGTAGCCAGTCTAATATGGATCCTTGATTTGTATGTCCTAGCATTTCTTCTCCTCTTCCCTTTCATATCATAGTTTCCAATATAACGTCGACCTATAGAAACTGACGCAGACATGCCCCAAGCCCTATTTGTCCTTCGAAATCCGGCACAGCTGATGTTCGGGTCTCTCACATAATAGCAATACTGCATGTCCCATAGATTGCATGTTCCAATGGCCGAGACTGCTTCGAAGATTCTGCTCATCTGACAGCTGTCACTGGTCATTTAGACACAAATGCGTCACGTCATGATTACTGATCACTTATCTTACGATCATGTCGTGTTGTTTGAGTTTATTAGTAACATGTATCCCATGGGAGGTATTTGTTCAAATGTTGTGTGAAGGCCTTGGAGTGTTATTGACATTCTATTGGAGGTTACTCTGATACATATAGATGTATCTCCTGGAATCTCATACTGTTAGTTTCGTTCTAGGAGTTCTTTACACTCAGGAAACAAATGTTTAAATGGAGAGCTGTAAGTGAGTAAACCATCTGAGTTTCCGGTTATTTGTCACAGGTGGTCACTGAACAGGTCAGTCAGTGTTACTTACAGCATCCCAAGACAGAGATCGACTGCCAATGCTTTATTCAACCATCTTAGAAGGCACACTTTGATATAGCAGTCAAGACGACCATTTTATGGGACAAAATGCAAGCTATCAAGGCGAGGTGCAGCGCTGTGATATGACAGTGAAGCAGATAGCAAGCCATTCGCACCTTCTAAGGGAGATTGTTACCAATCTCTGCAAATAAATGAAATTTGATAACGCAAAATGTATTCGTGATATGATATCACATTTCAAAAAGCTCCCCAATAATGGATCTATTGGATATGATAGAGTCATATCAAGGAGGTCATTTTTGAGAGAGTCGTGAGAGACTCAACGGGCAAGACTGAGCATCAAATACCTACTCACTCAAAAGGCAGACTGGAAACTTACACCGCGACAATAATAGGAAGCTGATGTTCTGATATATAAGGTAGTGTCCCTGTGCAATAGTTTGCTTTTGTTCGTTCGTGACGGGACATACAAAGCCCTCAATTGATTTCTGTGTAAGGATTAAGGTGATCGGCGACACTTTCTCCCTCATCTCCAACTTCTGCCTCGGCTGTTCCCCAAGATGAATCTGACTGAATATGAAGGGCATGATGGAGCTTTGTTTCACCCTCCTTTCCTCTCAACTCGAGTCTCCTGCCCTAACAGTGTTGGATATTATATTAAGGATCATTTCATGATTACTCGGGGACATAACTCACCGCTTAGCGAGGTCTGAATCCAGAGCCGATGTGTTCTTTTATTATGAGCACTCACCATGTGACAACTAATACGGACACACATCTTTAGGTTCGTCAATAAAGTTTCCCTCCTGGGCATCCTTAATTCCAAACGTCAGCGTGTCAACCACCTGCCGGTTGGGCTGCTGACAGGTGATATGCATAAACAAGATAGTGACAAGCGAACTGCGGGGGAGATCTGCCCCCTCGGTCAATGGAATCAGCCTGCTTGAGAGTAAAAGTCCGAGAGGTCGTATGCCATGTTTACCATGGTACTCCACCCTCATAACTCCAACGGCCACTGAACGAGTCTGATTGATGCGGGGGATGAGGGCCAGAACGGCATGTATCAAAGCAGCCGTTGTCAGCAATTTCAATAGTCAAAATGAAGGGATGCAGGTCCAGCCTATTTCAGGAGATGCTCTTCATCCAGACCAATGGAATCTGAATTTTGGGGGAAGGGTCAATTTATCCGTCCTGTAGTTGTTTACCTGGAACCAATGTAATAAATTTCTACAAAAGCCTCACCATTGTCCTCCAAGTACGATTATTTAGGCACTGCAGAACCTCATTGACATATTTGGAAGATAAAAGAAATATCAAGAACAAAGACCTACGAGAGCCCTTCGAGCCATGGCGACTGGAGCGCACCTCCCAGAGACGTCCCTGTGGGCCAATCGAAAATGTCTGCTCATCTGTGCCACGGTAGCCATTGCCAACATGCAGTACGGCCTGGACTCGGCGGTCATTGCAAACTTGCAAGCCATGCCCGGGTTCTTGCTTGTTTTTGGATATCCTGATCCAGAGGCGGAGGGAGGATATGCCATCGGTGTAAGTCACATATCCCTCAAGCGAGTCCTTCTGTTAATTGCTTTCCTTTCTCTTCTCCTCTCCTCCTCCTCCTGTTTCCGAAAATGTGCTGCTGCTGCTGCTGCTGCTGCTGCTGCTGCTACGCTTAGCCGTGAGTATCATCGAACTCATACTCCTGGTCCAGGGAACCTTTCAACAACTCATCACCTCCCTCCTCACCCTCGGGGCCTTCCTCTCCTCCCTGACGGCAGGAGTCTTTGCCCACTTCTTCGGCCGCAGAACCGCTCTCTGGCTGGCCTGCCTCCTCACCGCGGCTGGCTGTGCGATCCAGATCGGCACCACGAACAAGGGCGTCGTCTACCTGGGCCGGCTCGTCCTGGGCATCGGCAACGGCTTCCTGGTCACCTTTTCCAACATCTACACAGCCGAGGCCAGTCCCGCCCACCTCCGCGCCGTCATGGTCGCCATGTTCTCGGAGTGGGTCAACATCGGCAGCATTATCGGCTCTGTCGTGTGCAACGCCACCCAGGCCAGGCTCGACAAGGCCAGCTACCAGATCCCCGTCGGCATCCTCTTTGTCGTGCCCGTCGTGCTCGCTGCAGGGCTTCTCTTTGTTCCCGAGTCGCCGCGGTACCTCGTCAGCCGGGGCCGCAGGGAGGAAGGACGGCGCGCCCTCGAGAGACTGCGGGGTGATTCTCTGCGGCCCGAGGAGTTTGAGCTGGAGTGGGTCGAGATGGTGCGCGGCATCGAGGAGGAGAAGAGGTCGGCACGCACCGTCGGCCCTCTGGACCAGTTCCGCGGGGCCGAATTAAGGCGCACGCTGCTCTGCTACGGCATCATCATGAGCCAGTCCGGCTCCGGGTCCTGGTTCGTCATCAGCTACAGCACGTACTTCCTCGAGATCGCCGGGCTCAGCACCGCCCAGGCCTTTCACTATGCCATCGTCAACACCTGCCTCGGGCTCGTGGGCGTCAACTTTGGCATCTATCTGATGCGCCATGTCCTGGGGCGGCGCATGATCCTGACCATCGGGGCGGCGCTGCAGGGCGCGTGGATGCTGGGCATCGCCATTGGTGCTGGGACTGTGAATGCCGTGGGGAGCACCGCTGGGAATAACAGCCTGATTGCTTTTATGGCGCTGTACGTCTTTACGTATAACGCCTTTGTGGGCGACGCGAGTTATCCTGTCGCGACGGAGCTGGTGAGCACGCGGCTGCGCTCGTGGACCGTCGGCTCTGCTATTAGTCTGGGATACTTTTTCGCCTGGCTGGCTGGTTTCTGTTCTCCGTATTTTATCAACCCTTCGGACCTCAACTGGGTGAGTTGATTTCGTTTTGCTGTTTAGTTCTGCCGTTTCTACGAACAATGACATCTTGGCTGATGATGAGAATTTGGTAAACTAGGGCTCGAGATATGGCTACCTGTGGGCAGGCTCCAACTTCCTCTGCATGCTGTTCTTCTTCTTCTTCATGCCAGAGTTGAAGGGCCGCACCCTCGAGGAAATTGACGAGCTCTTCGCCAACAGGGTTTCGGCGTGGGACTTCAAGACTTACCAGACCACCATCCAGGACGAGGCGCTGGCCGAGGTGCGCAGGCAGGAGGGTCTAGCCGAGAAGGCTGCAGTACCCACCGCAGAGACCGTGGAACACACAAAGGCTTAAAGGCATGCAGCTCAAGGATGTTGTTCTTGTGGAAATGAGCTGTTTTGCATGGTGAGGCTGGACATGGAACACAAGGCTGCTTTCTTTGTTCCTCGAACTCTAAGTCTCCAAACGTAAACAATCGAATTGTTGTCTTGCAGGCTTCCATAGATTTTCGTTTTGTAAATGGGCTTGAAGCCTGTGATATAGGCCCTTACAGGGCCTTAAATATACAAGTAACAGCTACGAAATATAAATTCTGCTCGCAATTGATATTGAAGTACATCATATCAGACTTCCTGTACTCTCAAATCCGCCATCATCATCGCCATACAACAACCACCAGCCACTAATCATGTCTCCCTCGAACCAAAAGGATGACAAAAGTGCCACTAAACTGCAGTCACACAGTCCAGCAGAAATATCCTCTTCAGAGACTGTATTGGAGGGTGTAGGCGCCGGTTCCTTTTTCTGTCCCAAGATCCAGAGGTCAGGCTGTTCCCTTCTCCACAAAGACCCCCGTGGCATCCGCACGCCCTTCGATCCCAACCGCAGGTGCAGCTTCCGCTTCGTCACGGAGGCGCGCTACCAGAAGCACCTAAAGGATTGGCACGGCGTCTTGCTCGAGACCATGGCGGAGTACTTTGCCGAGGAGTACTGTGGTGGTGTCATCCCCAGGAGGGTGCCTCAGGAAATGCCTGGGGCAGAGCATGGGGTGGTGGACCGGAAGGTTCGTGAGAGTTTGGATGAGCGACGGGAGTCGCTTCTGGCTTTGTTTGAATGAGCTTGGTCGTGGTGGAAGATTGCGGGCTGGGTGTGTTGTGTGTGATGTGAGGGTGTAGGGGATTGCTGAAGAGAGAGACAAGACTGAAGACTTTGAGTTGAGGCTGATGAATTAATGATGGCTTGTGTCCGGGGAGTACTGTCTTTGTGCCAGACAATTCCTTTGTACATGCCAATAAAATAAGAGCATAGCAGCCATTCACGCTGGTCAAGACAACCTACAACCATGTCGAGAGAGACAGGGAAAATTCAAAAGATGTAAGAGTTCCCTTCCAGATAAATTCCTGATGCTTACATGTAGAACCAGAACCTTGTGATACTGGGAGTGTTGACACGTCTTACCAAATGATAACACATGAGCCATAAGAGAAAGAGACAAGCAGATGATCATTATTCAAAAGATAGAATGAGACCTCTTTGTCCTCAAATCCCAGAAAGACTTCAAATTCACCTCCCATACCAGACTTTGCACGTAGTCCTTCTATCTTCTTCATTCATTGTGACGTGAGAAATATCTGGAGAAGCAAGCTGTCTCACAGTATAGATGACAAAAGAAAAGTAATCATCGAAATTAAAAATGAAACGCTCTTTATCATGTCTTTTTTTCCAGCTCCGGCACCGGCCGAGCCATTCCTGCCGGGGGGGGGGGGGACTAACTGAGAGTCCTCACCACTTGACCGTCTTCTGAGGGAAGAACTCGTCAATGAGCTCCAGATAGTAAGGCTATTTGTCATTGCAAAGACACACAAAATTAGCAAACGTATCTATGTACTGACTACGTTGTTGAGATGGGAGTCGGGGGACGGGGACGGGGACAAGCTCACCTTCAGCTCCTCAAGACTGGGAATACCGTCACTCTTGCTGTACAGGTCATAAGGGTTGAAGGCCTTGACAGCCTTGAGCATCTCGTGGTCCTTGTCACTCATGAGGTCCCTGTAGGCACCCTCCTTGTGCCAGGGGTAGAAGGAGTGGTAGCGGATCATGGCGAGGGCCTCGTCGGGCAGGCGGCTCTGGTCCTTGACGACATGGTACAGGTACTCATCGTGGCCCCAGCTGAGCATGACGTTGTCGAGGCCGCAGCCGGGGGAGTAGATGCCGTACTTGGTGCTGTACACAGGGTGGCCGTAGTCCGGGTTCCCGGCAAAGGTGGAGGGCAGGATGATGCGCTCGTCAAAGGCACAGCCGACAGGGAAGGTGTCGCCGACGACAGCCCACTGGCCCTCGGCGGCGCTGTCGTAAAAGTACATGAGCTTGCCCAGGTCGTGGATCAGCCCCGTCAGCTGCATCCAGCGCGGCTTGCCGTCGCGGCGGATGGCCTCGGCGCTCTGCAGCAGGTGGGCGATCTGGCCCAGCTCCGTGTCCGGGTCGCTCTCGTCCACCAGCGTCTCGAGCTTCTCCATGGCCTGCCAGATGGTCATCTCGACGCGCTGCCGCGAGGCCGAGTTGAAACGGGCGCGGGCCGCCAGGTTGTACGCCACCGTCTGCTTCTCGTGCTGCTCCTTGTAGAAGTTCTTGACCCGGTCGCAGGCGTCCTCGTACTGCCGGAACCCTGTCTTGTCCTTCTCTGTGTCGAACTGGGACCCTTCGTCGTAGTTGCCCAGCTCAGAAATCATCGTCTGCCGCGCCTGGTCCTTGAGCACGTTGACGGCGTCGATGTTGTCCGAGATGGAGTCCAGCTCCGCCCCGGACTTGACGGCGTAGTCTGTCGTGGCTGCTGGGGCCATGATGAGATTCTCTTTGTTTCTTGGAAAAAGGGAAGGAAGAATGATAGTTAGGTTTCTGGGAATAGATGAATTTGTTTTGAATACAAGATAGAAAGAGGACAGGAGGAAGATAAATGATGAATGGATGGGTTTAAGAGGGTTTGTTGAGGATAGAAAAAAAGTTCATTAAAGCATACTGTCATCCGAACGTTCGAACTAAAGAACGTGTTTATAAATATTCTCTCCCCCCCCCCCCCTCCCCACCCTTTTTACTAAGATATCTCAAGATGTTGATACCGGATACACTTACCCTTGTGAGAATGTATAGTGTTGGCATTACGGAGAAACTTTCCTCTACAACCTACCTACAGACCGGTGACAAGGATAATAGTGGCAGTAGAGCAAAAAGAAGAGACTTGTCGTATAGGACAAAGTTTACCCTCCAGGATGACAAGAGAGACCCAAGAAGGAGGAGACTTTGGGTCCAAGCTACGCCACTTCATTAGGGTCCAGTAGTAAAGACCAACGGCTCGTCGAGATATCATCATTATCCACCAAACTTCTGGGGAAGGGAGGGGGGGTCCCACAAGGCGCACCAATCCCCTCGTTTCCTTTTCATACTGACGTACTATGTAAGGGGGGAAAAAACAAGGTACTTGACCAATGTGCCTGTGTATGTCCTCTCAATCCAGATCTCACGTTTACCCCAGGTTATCTGGGATCTGCGACAGATCGTTTGTGGAAGACCCTTGCAACCAGCCCCTCCCCCCTGGTAGACAGATTGAGGTGATATTCGGCGATTTTAATCATTTTGAGAACCAGCCTTGTCAGTGCCACAAGGCATCGTACCTAGGGACTTAGCGCCTCGGCAGGGAGCTGCCTCTCCGTCGAGAATTGCCTATTTAATCCCCTAGTGTACAGTAGTGTACAGAAAAAAAGGTCAGAATCCCCGAAAGACTCCACTCCAACCTTCTCCAACCTTCCCACCCACCATGCAGGTTTTTGTGTCCTCATTCTTTCCTTTCCTGTCCTTGCGGGGGAAAAGACACGACGCAAGAGGAGAATGGGAAAATTCTTTCTCGATTTGCTTTTGCCTGAGGCTAGAGCTCCAATCTCGTCAGCTGGCCGTTTCCAAAGGGCTTGATTTTTTTCTTGTGTGCTGCTTGCCCCCCTGGTATTCTGTTTTTGGCACCGCTTTGACCGTTCGCATGCACACCAAAGCGAGCAAGCTTTCCTCACCAGCCCATGCGTCGCACACGCACACACACACACACACCTCTGATGGCCGTCCCGTCTTATTCGTCTGTGCGTTGCTGTTATTGCATGGTATCAGTTCTACCATGTACATGCCCAGCCACTAGATCGACACCGCGTCCCTCATGTCCCATGACTTCATCATCTGTCTCTGTACAGCCTCGGTCGGCCGGGCGTGGTTCTTCTCTGTCACCTTGAGGATTTTGAGACAGGCGTCCTGGTCCCTTCGGTCCTGGAACTGATCTCCGACTGCACGATGCGTTTTGTGTGAGTCAGCATTTTCTCTCTTCTTCCTAAATCTCGGTCTTTACAACTAGCAAGATGCTTGCTTTGTTGTCTCTACCTCTTGCAGGAGTGCGATCGTTGACTACGGGCATTGTGAAAGGGGAGTGAGAAGAGGTAGCTGATAGCATGCCCTCTTATAGGAAGACTTACATGCTGCAATGGCCATGCAGGCCGTGAACATGCTCGGCGGCGTCCATTGGTTGCACAACCCTATGCCACACATCCTCCTGACGAGGTTCTTGATCCGCTCCTGAGCGAGGGACAAGTAAGCACACACATGTCAGCCGTCGCCCAAGCCTATTATGTCAACAGGACAGGCAGGGTTGGGGGCAGTTCTGCCCCCCCCCCCCCCCCTTCCCTTGAGCTGTCTTGTCTGACTAGATGGTAGCTGGGGGTGGAAGGGTGGGGGCAAGGGACTATGCTTACGCTTGTTCGCTTGGCTGCTTCTTTCCTCTGCACTCCCATTCGGGGAATCTTTGGGTCAAAACTCACGAGGAAGAGCTCCGCCAGCAGGTGGTGCTGCACCCCGATCGCTGCAGAAGGTCTTAACATCACGAGCCAAGGGAGTGGAGCGTTTTTGTGGGTTCACTCACCATGACAGGCGCTTTGGTACCAAACCTCCGGAAAGGCCTCGTCCTTGTCAGCGTCTGGTTCCCGTTCGAAGATGGGCGTGAAGCTGGACGGGAGACCTCCTGTCCACTGCCTGTTATATTGGTCCAGCTCGTTCCACCAGTCGACGCCGCCCGCCCGGCCCATACTGCCCTGTGAGCCGTTGCTGAAGCAATAATTGAGTACGTCGGCGCAGTGCACGACCGCCCTGTTGGACCAGCCATAATCATCCGTCGCGACGAGGGTGCGGTCGACCAGCGAGTGCACCAGGTTGATACGCACGGGCATCTGGTTCATCACAGCGCTGTAAATCTCCTGCCGCAGGCCAACCCAGAACGCCGCGCCGCTCAGCGAGCCTGGCATAAGGTAGCGGCTCCCGTCGCCGCCGGTGCCGTGGTGAACAAAGGCTTGAATGCCCAGCAGGTAGCTGTGTGCATCGACACCCGAGGCCTTGACCTCCATTTCCTCCCAGACCCGCAGGATAATCGTCGCCGCGAACAGGTTCTCGTCCGACATGATGTGGTGCTCGTGGTTGAGGATGGGGATGAGAACGTTCAGGCACTCCTGGTGGTAACGGTCCGAGGCGTATGGGTCATACGAGGATGTATGAGCGAGATGTTTTGCAGATAGGGCAAAAATCGCGTTTAGGAGGACCCTACACCGTCCTGCTCGCGGCGGCACCACGGTCTCGAAGGACTGGCACGGATCACACACGTCAAGCTGCATCACTCCAGTCATCAGCAAAAGGAAACCCATTCACAACGACGACGACAACAACAACAACAACAACAACAACACCCTCTCACCTCCCAAGCCTCAAGAGGGTAACAATATTCAAACCTACCCATATGGATAATTTCTGGATATAATGTTGGAAGAGCATAGCCTCTTCGCGGCTTTCCAGCGGCCAGGCATCCTGATCACGATAGATCCTGGACCTCATCGCCTGCACTGCCGGGTCTTCTGTCTCTACCTCGAGAGGAGGCACCACGGGCAAAACAGCCGGGACGGCAAGATCAGACACCATCAGGTTCCGAAAAGGCGGAAGATTCCTGGCTGGCGAGATCACATGGTCGTCATGCGGTATGAAGCGGTCGGTGGGCGAGTGTGGTCTCAGGCCGCCAGCAGCCAGCTCTGGCGGGGTTGGGTATGGCTGAACATGAAGGGCGGCAGGGCCTGCCTCCGTCGTGATGGTGGTGGTGTCAGCCGTATGAAGGGTATCGGAACCCTCCGAGTACGAATCTGGCCAGTCATCTTGGAAGGTACCTGCGGGGTGTTCTTCATTGTCACCAGAAGCGGTTCTGGTCTCGTCGACAAATCTCACTGGGGAGGACGAGTCAGCCTTGCGTCTTTGTCGTCATTCATACCTGATGACGAGCACGAGGTACAGGAGTTGTACTTACGCCGCCTGGATACGCGGGCCCATCTCTGCTTCTTGGGGAAGGGTCCTGCCGGCGGCGGTGGTCAGTGTGATGATACTGAGCCTTTCCTAAGAGTCTAAAGACTCCATACCATTCTTGATACGAAACTTGTATCCTCGGATGCACTCCTTGTTGTTGGCCACACAGCGTCCACAGATGGGCGTTACCCGGTCGCCTAGAGATCAAACCAAAATTTCTCGTCAGCACAAAGACAATGTAATCCATTGGTGCTGTTGCTATGAGGGTGGAGCCAGTCCCAGTCTGGGCCTGGCCACGAAGGTGTGACGGGCGGCACCATCCCCAGAGTCGCACGAACTAGTCTATTCCTCTCTTCCGAGACATCGTCCACACCACCATGCCCCTTCTACAATGGGGGAAGATCTGGGGTAAGGAGAGGAAGGGAACAGAGCAAAAGCACTCACACTTCAAATGCTGATCCCGGCAACTCTGGCTGTTGGGCGGTAGTTTTTTGATCAGTCCTTGCCTGTGCCCTGGTGGTGACACTGCAGGTTCTGGGGAACCACAGGTTTGGAGGAGAGATCTCTTACCAGCCGATCTGGGCAATCTGAGCTTCAGGCCGGGGCGAGGACATTGACGATGGCATACAGAAGGAGGTGATCGGCGAAAAGAGGCCCTCTTTCAGGTTGCAACAATTGGTCTGAATCTCCGGCGGTGGAAGCCGGCGGAGATGGAGGGCTTGGGCGAGGTGTGGGCGTCGCGCCGAGGGTGGACGGAGCCGAGGCGGGATTCCTCGGAAAACGGTTCGTCATGTCCCAGAGGAGAAGCAAGATGTGGATCCTCTATGGTGCCCTGAGCTTTGTTTCCCCCCCCTTTCTGTGTCGTTATCTCGACGAGCACCTGGAGACAGCGCAACGGAGATTTGCTTTGCTAACGATTATCGCCCTGGGCAGTAGAACGATCCACCAACCAAGAACCAGGGTCCCAATCAAAACCAACGTCGTACTGTGTGTACAACAATATGTGAACAAGAGAAAAGAAAGAAAGAAGGTCGGAATAGTGCCTTGGTAATCCTCGAGCCGGGGATTAACAGGGTATTGAAGAAGGTGAAAATCCACGAGATCGGGTTCACTTCTTTGTTTCTCTTCTTTTCGAGGTAAGGATCACCTAGGTAGGGCCGAGGGGCAGCATTTTGGGAGGTGTCAATGGCACCCAGTCAGCCGGGATTGGTTTCAAATCAGTACAAGAGGAGAAGTTGGTGGGTGGCTGAAAGGAGGGGAAGGGGAATGGCGGCCAGAAAGTGGGAAGGTACCAAGAGGGTGAGTCTAAGTTTTGCTTTTTCCCCTCCCCCCCTTCCTCTTTTTCCCCAGGATTCGTCACCCCCAGCCAATAACGACCCATCCTTCTCCCCCACTCCCCCGCATTAGCAGACAGGGCGAGTCAGTGCTAATGTTTTATCAAAAAGCAGCGCCCATCTGTCTACTCCACCACAGCGCCGAGTCTCTTGTTTGCTCTGGGTAGTATGAATTACTGTCTCTAGTGGTAAAGCATATTGTTATGCCCTAGTACGTGGCAGCGTGGTAACTTGACACCCCTCCCCCCTCTTCATTACCCCATACTTTGGTCTATCCACCCCACAACCCCGGACGTCGCACCCAATATGTTCACAGGCAATGTTACTAACACCATGCTGCTAATGAGTAGCTTACAGTCTGCACTTGTGTACTGAGCCACAACGAGTCTAGTCATGGGGCTGCGTGATCAATCTTTATTCCACCATACCAGCGTATCTTTGCAGGTGGGAACCAGAAAATTGGTGGGCTGTAGGTGGGCTCTCTCTCTGTTCTCTGCTGTTCTCTGTGTGGGCCAGTGAATCTATGAGTTTCTAGAGGACTCGAGTCGATTGAGCTGGCTGCTATCAATTGCAGACGGCGATAACAGTAAGTACATTGTTTAGTATATGCTGGTTGCGGTATCCTTGGTATCTCGCGATAAACAGTGACCCACTCTCCAGACCACGCTAACTCTTTTTAGGGCCAGAGACCAGGACCCTCAGATATGGCGAGGCAGTACGGCCAAGCAGTGACTGGGCCCATGCCATGCCGTGTCTTGGTTTGGGTCCTCATTGATCCTCGTGATCAAGATATAAGGTCTCTAGTCCCCACGATGTCTTCATCCTTTTTTTCTTTTTCTTGTCTTGTTGTGTTGGTTCAATCTACAACAACTTGATAGGCAAGAAGACAAAGAATTGGGCGTGGGTTTATTGATGTGTCTTTAGTGGCCGTCCCGAGGTCCGCAAAAAGAGGGGAGACGTCTTCGCGCTACTCGCTTTTTTTTTTCTTCCACACGCGACCAGGAGAGAGACACAGGAGAGAGAGCGCCCTTTTCACGCCTCACCGCCTGGGCACATCTTCAGCACCATCACCACCGCCACCAGCCTCCCTGCCTCCATCAGCACACACAACTATACACGCTCACACACACACACAAATTGCCAACACGGGCATTGGAGGTTGGATAGACGCCAAGATGTCCAAGGCTGCAGACGATTTGTCCGTCTACGAGGCGTCCCCTCCTGTCATGGACACGGAGAAGGGGGGTCTCGATGCCGACGCTCATGGCACCAAGAATGACAAGATCCTCGCCTTTGCCAAGTCGGCTACCGACAAGGAGCACAAGATGACCCTGATGCAGGGCATCAAGACGTATCCCAAGGCCATCTTCTGGAGCATGCTGATCTCCACCTGCATAGTCATGGAGGGTTACGACGTGTGCCTTATCAACAACTTCTACGCCTTTGACCAGTTCAACAAGAAGTACGGCACCCAGCTCGCCGACGGCACCTATCAGATCTCGGCCGCATGGCAGTCTGGCCTCAGCAACGGCGCCAACGTCGGTGAGCTGATCGGCCTGCTCCTCAACGGCTTCGTGTCGGAACGCTTCGGCTACAGGTGGACCGTCATCGGCTGCCTGGGCCTCGTCGCCTGTTGGACCGCCCTGTTCTTTACTGCCCAGAACGTCCAGACTCTTCTCGCGGCCGAGATCCTGTGCGGCATCCCCTGGGGCGTCTTCCAGACCCTCACCATCACCTACGCCTCCGAGGTGTGCCCTGTGTCCATGCGCGGTTATCTGACGACCTACGTGAACTTCTGCTGGGGCCTCGGGCAGGAGATTGGCATCGGTGTCATCATGGGCATGCTCAAGCGTGACGACCAGTGGGCCTACCGCATCCCGTACGCCCTGCAGTGGATGTGGCCTGTACCGCTCGCCATTGGCATCTTCTTTGCCCCCGAGTCGCCCTGGTGGCTGGTCCGCAAGGGCCGCACCGAGGATGCCAAGAGGTCGCTCCTGCGCCTGACCAGCAAGCACGACGAGTCCGACTTTGACGCCGACGAGACCATTGCCATGATGGTGCACACGACCGCCATGGAGGAGCGGACCACGAGCGGCGCCAGCTACCTCGACTGCTTCAGGGGCCACGACCTGCGCCGCACCGAGATCGTGTGCATGGTCTGGGCCATCCAGAACCTCTCGGGCAACTCCTTCTCCAACTACTCAACCTACTTCCTCGAGCAGGCCGGCCTCGGCGAGAACTCGGCGTACGGCTTCGCCCTCGGCCAGTACGGCATGAACATGGTCGGCGTCTTTGGCGCCTGGTTCCTCATGACCCTGGGCATCGGCCGCCGCTCTTTGTATCTGTACGGCCTGTGTGGCCTGTGCACCATGCTTTTCATCCTCGGCTTCCTGGGTCTCGTGCCCGACGCCCACAGGGACCAGGCCTCCATCGCCACCGGCTCCATCATGCTGGGCTGGGCCCTGTGCTACCAGCTCACCGTCGGTACCGTGTGTTACTCTCTGGTCGCCGAGGTCTCGTCCCGCCGCCTGCAGATCAAGACGGTCGTCCTGGGCCGTGTGCTGTACATTATTGTCGGGATTGTGTGCAGCGTCCTCACCCCTTATATGCTGAACCCAACCGCATGGAACTGGAGCAACTTTGCTGGCTTTTTCTGGGTAAGTCTTATTATGAAGCTCATATGCCTTTATTTTTTATTTTTATTTTTTTTGTTGTTAACCTCAGCTGACCATACAATCCTTTTTAGGGCGGTATTTGCTTCCTGTGCATCATCTACACCTATTTCCGCGTCCCCGAGCCCACCGGTCGCACCTTTGCAGAGCTCGACATGCTCTTTGAACAGGGTGTCTCGGCGCGCAAGTTTGCCACTGCCAAGGTCGATGCCTTTGAGGGAAGCGTTGCAGGCAGCGTCATGGACAATTACAAGGACGCTCTCGACGCGAAGCACCTGGAGAGGATGAGCCAGGGCTCATGAGAAAGTGGCAACAAGAACAGCCCAAAGAGACCAAGGTTGCAAAGTAGGGGTTGGGCATGTGCGGTCTTCTTTTTCCAGGCAAGACTGCATGCGTGTTTAGCGAGCATGAGATGTTGTAGATGATAATGATAATATATACATACATATATATATATGTGTGTGTGTGTGTGTGTGTGTGTGCGTCTATGTATTTACATATATGTGTACTTGCCAACAGCTTATTGGACCGGATATATCAGCACAGTTTCGAGGTAGCATACCTTTGCTACCCCGGCGTTCTCTCCACAACTGGTCTTTTTAAACCACGAGAAAATCAGCCCAACATCCCCATGTCCAGACCTCGTGCTCTTTCTAATTTCCTACCAGCCAGCCTCTCGCAACCGCATCATACCGAGCAGAGGACCCACGTTGCCCTGATTTTCCGGGCTTATATGGTACGTAGCTATAGTAGCCCTTGACCAACCCCAACTTCTCCGCAATACCGTTCCTATATGCAGCTAGATCGCCCGGCAGAATGGCACCGACGACGGGGGGGGGGGGGGGGTTGATCCTCTCTTTTTCATTTCTTTTGTCAATAGGTCCTCCTTCTTTTCCTGGCCACGAGGATATCCCCTCACTGGGGGGGGGAAGGATGATCAGTACCCCATCGTTCCTATGGGAGGACGACAACTCGTCTCGGGCCGACACAGGGGGAGGGGGGGGGGGGGGGAAGAACTGGGAGATGGGGAAAGACAGGCGTTGGGTCATGTAGTGGTTCGTCCGTAGGCGGGCTAGGTCGTGCGTTATGGACATGGACAAGTGAGGAGGAGGAGGAGGAGGAGGAGAAGAAGAAGAAAGCGCCATCTTAAAAAGGATCTTGTTTCTATAAAGAGGTTGCACAGACTCGTTTAGGTGCTGATGGCCCAGACGAGGCCCTCACCGAAGGAGATCAACATCCCCATTCCCTCTGCCCAGTTTCCTACCCTCACCCTCCACCATCCTGTCTCATACGAGCACTGCTGTGATTGTTCTACTTCTCTCTCCTTCTCTGTTCATCTCCCCTTCTCTCTCACACACACACTCTCTCTCTGTGTGTGTGTATGTCTTTTCACCTACACAAAAGTCTCCCATCATGCGCATACTCAGCCAGACCTGTCGTATCCCAGCGGCCTTGTTTGCCGTCCTGGCATCCAGCAGTGTGGTCAAGGCAGGGACGAACACAACAACCACGACAGCACCTCTGTCGGCAGCGGCACAGAGCCTGTTTGACTACTCGATGCAGGTGCAGGACCTGCGGTTCGATGACTACTACAAGTACATCCGGTATCAGGAGGTCGCTGGGGAGCTGAGCACGAGGTTTACGGCGTGGTATACGGCGGGGCTGTTGTACCGCAACCAGGGCAATGATGTTGAGAATGCAAAGGCTGCGATTGAGAATATGTAAGTACTTCCATGAGGAGTTTCTGATTGGTGTTGTTGTTATTGTTGTTGCTGTTGTTTGCTCTGAATTCTCCGATACTTATTTGTAATTTTTCCAAATACAGCCTCCGGGCCCAGATGACTGCAGAGTATGACTCTGCCTGGTATGGAACGTATAAAGTCACTCTTGACGGCCCAGTGCCGACAGACAATTCGTCCTACTGGCCGCCTGAGATATATGTGAGTTTCCTCATAGGGGTTTATTTTTATTTTTGTTTTAGACAAAACCTTTCTTTTTCTATTTAGAACTCCCCTTTTTTTTTTCTGACACACCTGTATTTTTCGCTTCTCACAGACCACATATGATCCCAACTGGAGGGAATTCGTCGGGTAAGCAGTTTCTCCCTTGTGTCTTTCTCCCCCTTCCCAAAACTCTAGACTGACTCTTCTCACCACAACAATCAGCACCCAGCTCGTCCAGGTGGTAGAGCTCTACGCAGACCTCCTAGGCGATGACCTGGTCAGCCGCATCGAGGACGCGCTGGAGATGGCGGCAGTAGGCGAGATCCGGCGCAACGGCAGCTACCCGGCCGGCGACAACCTCATCCTGGCCTACACGAACCCAGGGCTGATGCGGTGCCTGACCGTCGGCTGGATCGGGGCGCGGCGCAACAACGCAACCTACATCAACTTCGCCAACCAGCAAGGCAACGCCCTCCTCGCCCTGTTCCGCGCCAACGGCTCCAACACGTTTGGCGAGTACAACGCACCAACCTACTACGGCATGGACATCTGGGCGCTGGCGGCCAACATCGCGTACGGCCCCGCCAACGCCACCATGACCAGCAACGCGCGGTACCTGCTGACGCACCTGTGGGAGGACATCGCGGCGCACTACAACCCGTACCTGCGCAACCTCGCGGGGCCCTACGACCGGGCCTACACGCGCGACATGACGGCGCACTCGGCGGTGCTCTCGTTATGGTGGTGGGGGCTCTTTGGGCGCGAGTACGGCGGGCAGCCGGTGCTGGGCGAGGCGGACCTGCTGTACGACGTGGCGCAGGGGGCGGCGCTGGCGCAGGTCGTGGACGTGGTGGCGGCGCACATCTCGGACGAGGCGGCGGCGGCGCTGCAGGCCACGGGAAAGTGGGAGGGGTCGCGGCTGCTGAACAGGACGGTGCGGGAATCGCTGGACACGGACGTGCTGCGGGTGGCGACGTCGTGGGTGTCGGCCGAGGTCATGATGGGTGCCGAGGCGCTGGCCGAGACGGTCAACCGCGGGGCGCAGTTTGTGCCAGCCATTGTGCACTGGGCGTCGGACCCGGCGCGCACGCCGAGCCCCTATGTGGGCTTCTTTTCTCTGTACCCGTCTGCGTCGACGGTGGATGCTGTCGTGACGGGGCCTGGCGCGCTGGCGGTGTCGTATCCCAACACCACGCAGGCGGGCACCGAAATTTTTACGTTTGCGGTCAGTGGGATCCCGCCTGGCTGGACGCTGGATGGGAACCGGGTCACGGGGCTGGAGGGTCTGCCTTGTCTGGCGGTGAATGTGTCGGCGCCTGGGCTGGTGGCCTTGCCTGTGACGGCTTCGGCTTCGGTCTTGGAGGATCATTATTATTATAACGTTTCGTGGGTTGTGCCGGAGGGGTTTGAGGGCGTGCCTGGGGTGAGCTTGGAGGTGGCGTATACTTGTTGAGTCTGTGGTCCCAATGTTGTATTGATCGTGGATAGAGGGTTAGAATTGTATATATTGGGAGAATTATCATCATATTCTGCACGACATGCCACACTTTATCTTGGCTGATAACCTTGAAAGATAGTTCATGGATCGAGAGAGAGACGAAATGTATCATAAGTTAGACATTCTTCGATGGTGTCTCCATACCAGCATGATCATTTATAACAAACTTTCTAGTTACACGAGATTGAAATGCCATAGCAAAAAAAAAAAAAAAAAGGAAAGGAAGAAAAAGAACTTGTGAGGAGTGTATTCACATCACGAGAAGACGTACTGCATACGCATGCCATTCATGTCGACGAGAAATACAAGCAACAATGTCTCCATACGCCTCAAGACGAAAACCACAGGACATGCACGGTTGAAACATGCATGGTTGAACCAGGAAAGTACTTATAAGTTGAGTATGTTGCAGCAGCCCGTCTTGGTTACCTGTAACTGTTCTAAACGCCCTCCATCCCTATGCAGTCATGCAATCTGGGATTGATGATCTGATCGGCCGTGTGATGAGCAGTCAGCCAACCATTCACCTCTCCTGATGGCATGTAGTCCATTTGAATGTTCTTCCTGATAGTTTTCCATGCGAGCTCTCTCGCATAGGAGACTTGCACATCTGCATAAGCAAATGAGTGAGTAGTCAGGGGCCTCGGGTTCTTTGTCCCGTATCAGTACAGTGTAAAATTACTATGGTCTCTCATCTTGCAATACGATGTTGTACTTGTGAGAAATTAGCACTGGCGTCTACCAGAGTAAATAAATCCTTCTTTCTTTCTCTGTCCAAGACTAACGAGAAACCATCACCACGCTATGAAAGTAGTCTTGGGGTGGTAAAGCCAACTCTATTCGCCTTCCAAGCCTAAAAGAGCGCTCCCAGACAAAGAAAGTCCAAACCTCCCCCTAAAGGGACACCAAAATAGCTCGCGCCCTCTGAAGGGACCGCCCGCCCGCAGTGCCCGACGTTGGGGTGCCGCCCAGCCGGGTGCCGATCCCAGGTCTTGGCTCAGGGGTGGATTTGGGCTTGTTTGGTCCGGTACATGGTGTGTTGCGTGGGCCACGCAATCCCAAATCTTTTTCACAGACGGGGTCCGACTCCACCGTTCCTCAAACGGCATCATCTGCACCATGACAGGGTATTACGAGGGGTGTGGTTGCTTCATCCAAAAGTAACATGGCTGCCTTCTTCTTCTTCTTCTTGCTTCTCCTCCTCCTCCAACCTCTTTCCGTCATGACATGAACACCCTGGTGGTTACTGGCAGGACAAACAAGATAGCAGCAGCAGAAGCAGCAGCAGCACAAGTATCATGACCATTGCGGCGTCGCAACATGAATACTCGCGCCCCCACGGTGCAGGCCTGCTGGGGGGTGCGAGGAATCGCCATGTCAGGATGCTGGCCATGGCCGGCGTGCTTCTCATCGTCATCTGGACATTACGACAGACGCCTCTGATGAGGCTACAAGTGAGTCCTTCTCTCTCTCTCTCTCTCTCTCTCTCTCTCTCTCTCTCTCTCTCTCTCTCTCTCTCTCTCTCTCTCTTCCAATTTGTGCTAACGACAGCATCTCAAAAGCAGTACAAGTCCGGCTTCGAACTCGTCGACCCATCCCATCCTCCCCCCACCGCCACACCCACAGCAACCACAGCAGGAGACGACGCAGCAGCAACCAACCAACCCCAACAACAACAACCACAACAGCCAGTCGGCCTCCCAGGCGATAGCTTCTTCCTCAGCGACGCCCTCCACGCCGCCCTGCACCCTCCACCCCCACCCCCACCGCCGCCTCCCCCGCCGCGCGAGTTCCCAGCCTCCGTCGCCGTCCTCATGGAGACCAACCCCTCCACCGTGCCCAACCTCGTGCCCGTCATGCTCCACTTCGCCAACGTCCTCGGCCCCGCCTGGCCCGTCGTGCTCGTCACCCTCCGCGCCAACTGGATCGAGCCCCCCAGCCCGGCCTTCCGCCGCCTCATGGCCGAGCAGCGCATCCGCATCTTCTTCCTCCCCGACGACACCACCTTCCCCGACCACCCCTCCGTCTCCAAGTTCTTCACCCGCCCCTGGCTGTGGGAGCGCTTCGCCTCCGCCGACCGCGTCCTGCTGTTCCAGGCCGACTCCGTCCTCTGCAGCCGCAGCGAGCGCCGCGTCTCCGACTTCCTCGAGTGGGACCTCGTCGGCGCCCCCATCAGCAGCGCCTACGGCGTCGGCTACAACGGAGGGCTGTCGCTGCGCAACCCCAAGGCCCTGCTGGACATCACGCGCGACCCGGCGGTGAACGACTTCGAGGCCAAGCTGGACGAGCACGCCGCCGCGCTGCGCAAGGTGCGCGAGGAGGAAGGTGAGGAGGCCGAGAGGCGCGAGAATGCAAAGATCCCCAGCTGGGAGAAGTTTGAGGACCAGTGGTTCTACATGAAGCTCAAGACGCGGGGAGAAGGAGGGGAACCGGGCACCGAGGCGAGGCTGCCCAGCGTCGAGGTCGCTAGCCAGTTTGCCGTGGAGACGGTGTGGGCTGAGGAGCCGTTGGGCTATCATCAGCCTTTCCGGTGGCTTACGCCTGCGCAAAAGACAAAGGTTATGGAGTGGTGTCCTGAGGTGGCCATGTTGCAGGATGCGAGCCACTTTTTCTCATAAAAAGGCCGGGGAGAATGGAAGGTGATTTGACAGAGAGAGAGAGAGAGAGAGAGAGAGAGAGAGAGAGAGAGAAAGAGGAGGCATCGTTGTCAATTGGGCGCTGTTTGCTAGGATGTGATTTGTGTTTTGGATATATGAGGATTTGCACTGCATTGCATGGTGTTATGGCGAGAAAGAGAGAGAGGGAAATAGGTCCCGTTCATCATAAAATGGGGAGGGACACTTTGCATTTATCCATCTGATCGATCCATATAAGACATCATCATCATCATCATCATCATCAGTTTGGGATCGAGGGTGGTATTTCTTGATTGATATTTATCCAATCTGGCTGTGGTGGTTGTTGGTATTTTGTCGTCATCTTTCGTTAGAACCATACTTTCTTGGGTATGGGTACATATGGAACAACATCCAGCGCATCCACTATTCATCCTTTTATCTTCTCTCTGCCAACATCTCGTCGGCCTTCCCAATATTAGCCCCCCCCCCCCTCCCTCCCCCCCCAAGCTCAAAGGCCTGAGCTCTCTCTCGCTCTCACTCTTCTTCAAATGAACCTGGCATCCTGAGCAATTCAGGCCGGCCCCCTCGATGGCGGATTTGCACGCAGCATCTGGTTCTCCCTCGAGCCCCGCTCCCCAGCCAGCCGCTGCGGTCTCCTCAACACAGCCACAGTAGTCTTCGATCCATGGACCCTGAGTGCCTCCTGTGCCCTTGTCAAGCGTATCCGCGCTGGTGAAGACGCTCTCCTCGGTTCGTTGGCCACTGCGGGCGGCGGCGTCGGTAGGCTTGCGCTGCCGTGGTAGGACGACGATGACGATGTGTACCCGCCGCTGCCGCCGTGCTGACCGGGCGTATGTGTTGACCAGATGTGCGCAGACGCAGCTTGGCCCTGTGGGGCGGAGCTGTATCGAGGGCGGCCTGGAGCGGTCGAGGCCGAAAACAGTGGTGGCGGTACTGCTGCTGCTGCTGCTGCTGCTGTGACATGCGAGGTCGTTGGTGCTCGTGAGGTAGGAAATACGGCTACCGATGTTGCGACAGGTCTCTGCCCTCCTCCTCGTCCTGCCCCTCCAGCCACGATTGCAGAGAGACGATGACGGTCATCCACCTCGGCTACAGGAGAAAGACACCGGTTGCCCGCCCGCAGTGAACCATAGGACCCAATGCCAGGTGTGGAAGCGGGCGTGGTAGCCGTGCTGTTTGGTGTGCTGACGTACCCCGTTTCTGCTGCCAGTGTGGACCAGTCTTTTCTCCAGGCCCCTGGCTCATTCGAGGCTCTCTGTACGGCGACCTCGCTCTCACGCACGGGCATCTGGGGGATCTTGGGCTCAAAGCACACGGGAGGCGGGAGCACGCCTGTCTGGATGGCCTTTTCCGACAGCGGCAGTGCCCTGGGTCCACCCACCCACGGCCTGGCTGCAGAGGTGTGGCTGGCCTCGACCACAGAGGCAGCGAGCTGGTCCTTGGTCTTGTTGTCAAAGTTGGTAAATGTCCACGGGCTCGCCTCCTTGACCGTCTTGGGCGGAGGGCGAGGGCCGCTCAGAACACCACCTCCTCCCATCCCGACCGAGTTGGCGGCGGCAATAGCGGCCGCATGTTGGGTATTGCTGTTGCCGCGTCTGGAGGAAGATGAGGAGGTAGAGCGGCCAGAGCCCCGCCGAGAGATACTATCCTCAACGGTGACTTCATTCATCGAGGCCATGATGGCAGAGACGCGACAGGTGATGACGCTTGAGGAGGTGGGCGAGGTCAGATAGGGCAGATCGAAGGGCTGTGCTGCCTTCTCGTCGACACAGAGGATGAAAACTATTGCAGGCCTATGGATAAAAAAGTTCAAAAACGAACCGGTCAGTCTCACTTTAAGTAACTTTTCTCTTTTGTTTTTCGATATATAGAACAACCTGGGCGTTCTCTTGAGGCCACAACCTTGACCAGCCTCCCCCCCCCCTCTCCCCATTGCAAATCCCCCAGATGGTCCACATCAGACTTGCAGATGATGGGCTCCACCCGTCTGCATGAGCGGGGGTGGTCTGGTAGGTTCTGGTTTCTTGAGGGTTCTGAAGGCGAAAAGAAAAAAAAATATGTAGTGTAACGGGGGGGAAAAAGAGACACTTACGTCACGACCACACAGACCACAAGGTCGACACAAGAGACGGGCACGGGGTTCATGGAGACATCGACAGAGACAATGATCAGAGAGACTGCCCAACCGATGGCAGCCAGGCGTGCGATAACCACGCAGCCTGAGTGGAGGGGATGCTGTGAGCAGGGCTGCTTCCTGTTGACTGGTTCACCTTTTCTGGCCGCCTGCAGGTGGAGACCAATGTACAATATGCCCAATATGGACTGCGCGCCCGGGGGGGGGGGGGGGTCAGCAAACCGTTGGAATAAAAGCCGTTGTACCCGGCGTGGCGTCTCACTCTCTGAATGTGTTGTATGACAAGTGCCAAGTAGGGCAGCGAATGACAAGAGGCTGAAAGTGGCGTTGTGCAGGAGGGGGAACGTACCGAGAACATGACCCAGCTCTGCCCGAGGCAGTCGACTGATTGCACACGGTTGGCGTAGTGAAGGCCCGACATAAGAAGGCCCAGGAAGCAGAAGATGAGAAGCAACAGCAGAGAGATCAGCATGAGGGTGGGCAGCCTGGGGCCCTTGACGGTGGGTCCCTGCGAGGCCGTATAATGTGATTGCGCTTCAACCTTGTCATACACACCATCGTCATATCGACTGGTTGAGGAGGAAGCCGGTGACCCCATCGCAGTTGTCAGAGGGAGGAGCAGCAGACCAACACATTTAAGCCGGTGGCGTTTTTGGCATGCACAACTGGGATCAACCAAGAGTGATAATAATAATACGAGGAGAGAGAGAAGATAGTAGAGAGAGAGAGAGAAAGCGAGGAAGGGAAAGAAAAAAAAAAGGACTTTCGCCCTCGACGCCGCCCTTCCCGGCGCATGAGGAGGTCCATCTTTATGCGAGGGATGACGAGAAGCAAGCTCATGGCCTTAGTTTCTCCCCAGCCAGTTCCAGCCATGTCGAGGTTTGAAGAAGATCTCTCTGTCTCAAAGGGAAAACGGTCATCGATTGTCTCAGCAACTCTTTTTTGCCTGAATGTGGTAAGCTGTGAGACACTTGACATTCCTGAGCCTGGCGCGGGAGACCGCTCCCATCATTGTTAAGCTCTCCATGGTTGAGGAGGCTGGGTCTGAACCTGATCAGTTCTTACTCTTTCTGAATTGCGGTTACTGAGTGTATAGAAAGGCTTGACGGCTTTCAAGTGTTGTCGATGAAGAAGAAAGACGGAGGACGAGCACGAGGGAAGTAGAAAGAGTTTGACGATGAAGATTGTTTCTTGGTGGGGATGGGATGTTGCATGTTCAAGGGTTCTCCGCGCTAGGGTGGCTGCTCCCGGGCCGCTCTCTTGGACCCCTGAACCCTGATGGATGTTGGACCCTGATCCCAAGCGAAGAGTCTTTTGATGTGCCAAGGTTTAGAGGAACTTCTTTTGCTTGATTCAGCCTCGATTTCAGCGTCAGCCTCAACCTCGTGTTCTCATATTTCTGTGTGACTTTCTGTTGCATTTAATTTCCACATTTTGAACTCGACATCAAAAATGTAACAAGAACCCAGTACAGAATATCTCGGCCTATGAAAACTCGGCATCCATCCATGTCAACATCAGGTCGCAGCTCTGGTCGTGGGAGAAGAGCTCCGAGCAGGGCTTCCTCAGCAGACCGTAGACGGAGCCATACTTGGTCTCGCTCTCCCGACTGCCGCCATGGCCAACACCAGCGTAGAATCACCGACTTTTTTGCCTTTCCTAGTCCATCAGAGCCTGTTGGCGCTTCCCGCGTATCCTTCCTCGACCTGCCAAAGCATATTCGTGAGAGGATCTATGACGAGGCTAATGTGGGCGGTGACAAATTCATCGACCTCAACTTCTGGAACATCAAGAACGAACACTGGCAGGACCATGACGATCAGCAACGGATCGCTATACCTGATGGCCAGCCCTCACCCTTCTCTGAAGAACCCTTTCCTTGGGCACTTCTGCGGGCGGGCTCCCACCTCGTTCATGATGAGGTGCAGGCCAAGCTGTATGCCCAGAATGCCTTTGCCGTAAGCTTGTTGGGACCCCAAGGCCTGCTCCCGCTCGAGATGCTGAGCAATGCGGCGCTCAGAGAGCTGAGGGTGCTTATCATCGCCCTGAGCCCCTGCAGGTGTCTTACCCATTACTGCTGCAAGATGAACTGGTCTTACGGCGAATGCATCTTCTGGCCTAGGCCACGACGTGATTTCTTCTGGGCTGCCCTTCGAGCCCTCACCGAGAGCCGCCAACACAGCAAGCCGCTCGGCTGTGTCAGCCGGACCGACAAGTCTATCTTGAGCCAATGGCGCCGAGTATGTGCCCGCCTGGCAGCAAATGCCCGGCCGTACCAGCTCAAGTTATATCTGGTGGCTGAGGTGGCCGACGACCAGACCCTGAATGCCATTGTTGGCCCACTGCGAAGCTTGCCCGTGCTTAGCGAGGCAGCCATCAACCTTGGCCATCATCTGAAAGGCGTTGGGGCTCTCGATCCCAAGGCACTGGCACGCAACACCGCGCTCTCCTTGACGGACAGGCTGCAGAATCAGCCGTTCCGCTTCCTGGACCTGCCGCTCGAGCTGCAGATGCAGATCTTCCAGTACACTGATCTGGTGGACAGCAGCATGATAGAGTGGGACCCATCCGAGCGGTTTCGCGCCCGAGCCATGAGGTCGAACTGCAGGACCAAGGACGAAGCATCTTCTGGCGACTGGACGCCATTCTGCTCTCTAGAGCAGACCGCTGCCTTCAGCCCCCGATGCGAGTGCCGTGCGTCGCCGCTGGAGTATTTCCTCGTCAGCAAGTCCTTTGCGGTGGCTGCCCGGTCCGTCTTGTACGCGTGCAACGAGTTCCGGCTCCTCCCCAGCCACTACGGCAACACGGGCATGATTGCCGGGTTCGACGCCCACGAGGACGATGGCTACTACCAGCTGACCCTGCCGTCGTTCCTACGCCGCATGCCGCCCCAGCACGTCGCGAGCCTCCGGCACCTTACCCTCGTCTTCCCTCCCCTGGCACCCGACTACCTCCTGCCGGACCAGCGCGGCTGGGGCGAGTGGGTCCGCGCCGTCGAGCGCCTGGCCGCGCGCCTGGAGGTGAAGCCGGCGCGCCTGAAGCTCCAAGTCCACCTCAGCGACCAGGAGCCCTTGCCCTGCGAGCTCCCCGCGGGGCCGGACACGCTGCTGCACCAGTCCATGCGGGCGCGCAGGCGACGAGATGAGACGCTGGAGGGGGTTATGCTGGACACGTACAGGCGTATCCTCGAGCCCCTGCAGAAGCTGGCACCTGGGCTCCGTGCCCTGCTCATCTATGTGGCGTGGCCGCTGTGCAGAACAGCGCAGGGGCAGCGCAAGGCGGACGAGGCCATGCTCGAGAGGATGATCATGGGCGAGGGGTATGATTCTGCAAAATGGGGAAAGCGTGAGAGAAGCCCGTATAGCCAACCGCCGCACGGTTTGTAAGAGTGTAGACTTGTGGTCCACTGGTTGACAAACATGCTGCAAAGAGACTCGAGGATGAGTGCCCGTTTTTACTGCCGTTGGGCCTTTCCTGCGGGCCGCTCGTTCTCGATACCAATAGTGTCATATGCCGTGTATTTTATGTAATCTACCACCACTAGCCATGATGACTTGACGGGAGTACAAAGAATTTGCAAGACTCGGCCGATCAGCAAGTATCAAGAACTCCTGAGGTAGCAAACCGAATTGAAACCCGGCAACCGCTTCATCGTTGAATGAAGAGCGTCCAGGGGTTGCCAGAGACTATAGAGCAAGCCAGGAGATAAACCGTTTCGCTCTTCTGATGAGCCAGCTGGTCAGCCTGGTCGCGTTCTGGGGGCCTCCAGCACTGAGCTATCATTCTTGGGGTCCCTTTTGAAACCCAATTCAGGAACAGTAAAGAAAAGGTCTAGGGTCTGACAGGCGTTAGCGCTTTGCTTGTCTCCAGGCGGCTTCACAAGCGCTAGACCAAGCCGGGGCTACTGTGGAAGAACTGTACCATGTACCGTAGCAGCCATTTCATCTCCACCAAAACCAAAAAGCCCACACCACCCAACAGCCTACTAAAGAAGGACCCCACTCTCACCCGCTGGTGGGGAGAAGGCGTCGTCATCCTCTGCTGCAGAAAGGCTGCTCTGCTCGAGATAGATTGGCACAGAAATCCCAGGACTGAAAGTTGAGAAGGGGGAAAGGGCAAGGTGTGAGCCCACACACAACAAGTGAACAGATTGTACCAGTACAATGTCCTGTATGCATCAGCACACCAAATATGCACGGCATGTTGATGCTGACACAGGAGACACCAAGAGAGGACCTCGGAAGTGGCTTGCCAGGCGCCCTCCCGTTCAGCAAATCACGGATGTTGATAAGCATGTAACCCACCTCGGCGGCTATGGCTGCCAGAAATGAGACACTCGACTGCTGCCATGCATCTACTGCTGCACAAGCACTGCACAGCACAAGGCATGGCAGAGCAGAACAGAGCAGTGCAGAGCAGTGCAGTGCAGAATAGAGTAGACCAGTCTAGCATGTGCATGAATCTGGTTGTTATTTTTTTTTTTTTTTTTTAGGACCTGTTCCCTCTTTTTCCTTCTTGTTTTCTTTTTGACGCGTAGCATGCACTCTTTCCTCCTCCACCCACCCCACCACCTTCTCTCCCTACTCCTCCACCTCTTTCGTCAACAACTTTTCCAAACCCAAGGTCTCCAATAAACTCTTCGACATCTTCTTACTGCTACTACTGCTGCTACTACTACTACTACCCTTCGTCGACCAGTCACATTATTTGTCTCCTCACCACCTCCTCGTCTTGAAGAAAAAAGATCATCCCCAATTGCCTTGGTCTCCCAATTCTCTTGGCACCCTCGAGGCTTTCCTTGAAGATCATCAATCACATCAAAATCCAGGGCAACTGACAGGGATCGAATTGGTGGCTGGCTGGAGTGGAGCCACTTAACTTACTCGGCAACCTCGTTTCTTTTGTTGTTGTCATCGCCTGCCTTCGTCTTTGTTCCTGCGCTTTCTGTCGCATTGTTCTTGATTGCTATTGTTCACCAACAATACCCATTCATGGCTATACACTAAACATAGCAACGTCCTCATTGTTGTACATAACAGCCGTCCTGTTTCCTCCCGTGTTTTTTCTTCCTCCTTTACTTAAAGAGTCCCTCAAGGCTTATCCCGTCTCTGCCTGGTCTTCCCACCAAAACCCCCCGTGACGGTCACGGGCTTCCGACCTCGAGATCGAATCTGAATCCTTTTTGGCAACACCCTCGAGACGCAACACACAACACACTCCGTCTCTAGCATGAAAGCTTCACGATACCTTCTCGTCTCCTCCACCTTCAGCGGGCAGGCTGCAGCCCTTATCCTGCCATGGGCCCTCTACAATGAAGATGCCGGCTTGGCCCGGCCAGAAGCAGGAATCCAGGCGCCACCAGACCAGCTGCAGGACAAGAACATGGGCCTGGGCCTCGCTGTCGGCACCGGCATAGCCCCAGCAGAACCTCTGGTCACACCACCGCCGTCCGAGGCTGTCGTGGAACTGCTCCTCAAGCGATCGTCCTCCTCGTCCTCCTCCAGCAGCTCCAACACCTGGGAGAACGACCAGACCTGTGGCTGGTTCGCGGCTCTCTCCTCACAACCCTTTACCTGCGAGTCGCCTCTGACCTGCGCCACCGACACCGACCATGTCGTCGCCTGCAGCACTGTGAACATCGATCGGTTCTACACCATCTGCCTGGACTACGAGGCGGTCCAGTCGTCCAAGTGCACCTCGGCCGGCCCCAAGACAGGCTGCTGTTCCGACAGCGCCTCACCAGCCTGCGGGACGTACCTCTGGACGGGCTCTCCAACCCGCTCCATGTTCCAGTGCTTCCCCACCGCGACCATCCTGTCCATGCTGGACGAGCCCTCGGCCGTTGTCGCCGCCCAGAGCAGCAGCAGCGCAGCGGCAAGCTCCAGCTCGGCGGCGGCGGCGGCCTCCCGATCCTCTGCCGCGGCGGCGTCGTCGTCTGCCGCGGCCAGCCAGGCGAGCTCGCTCGGGGGCACCAGCGTCACGATAACGACGACGGCGTCTGATGGCTCCAGCACGACGTTCACGGCTGTGGCGGGCGCGACGGGCACCGTGAGTGGGGTGACGTTCATGACCAGCGTGCTGTACACGACCACCGGAAGCGACGGGTCGTCGACGACGTACACTGCCATCGCGGAGAACGGCATCAGTGGGAGTAATGGGAGCAGCGGCAGCAGTGGAACGAGCAGCGGGGGCGGCAGCAGCAGCAGCAGCAGCCCTAACATCGGCGCCATAGTGGGAGGTGTTGTGGGCGGCATCCTGGGCCTCATCCTCGCGCTCCTCGCGCTGTGCTACATGATGCGCAAGAAGAACAACAAGTTCTCCCTCAAGCTGTGCGGCGGCAAGAGGAAGACCAAGAAGGAGAAGCACATCCACAACAAAGAGCACACCGAGAACAACAACGTCGACAGACGCGAGTACAACAACATGAAATCCCCCTCTGGCTCTTCCCCTTCGTCGTCTGGGGGCAAAGGGTTTTCCCTGTCGCTGGGCGGTTCGGGCGGCGAGAAGACGTCCAAGAAGGAGAAGAACATCACCAAGAACTACTACTATGGCGACGAGGTCAAGAACGACAACAGGTCGTACGACAAGCGCGCATGGAAGGACAACCGCAAGTACGACAACAGGTCCGACTCGCACTCGCGGTCTGTCACACCTTCGCAGCAGCAGCAGCAGCAGCAGCAGCCGCAAAACTTCCATTTTGCGGTCAATGGGCCCGTGACCGCAGACAGGCCAGCAGCACAAAGTGGCCGTGCTGCATCACGTGGGTACGAAGTGCCTGTCGATGAGGACCTTGTGGCCATTGCTGGAGCCGGCGGTCGCGGCTCCTCCAGACGCGAGCAGAGGAGGCAGCAACAAGAGTATGATGCTGAATCCCGATCGCCATCGCAGAGTCCTGTGCGCGAGGCCGTGGTCGCTGGCGCTGGAGGCGGCACATCGAGACGGGACAGGCGGAAACAGCAGCGCAGACATGCACGTGGCGAGCCTTCGCCCTCGCCGGAACGGGAGCCTGAGCTCGAGTCCCCCACCAGTGATCTGGAGCTGGGCTATGCACGCGAGAGAGGGGTGCAGAGCGGTCTGAGCGGGCGGACCGCAGGAGGGTACGAGGTGGAGCACGGCTACGACGGATACCCGCGTGGGCAGCCACAACACGTGCACGTGCATGTCCACGTCCACGACCGAGAAGACCGTGGCCGCGGGAGCGCGCAGGATCGCCGTTACGACCATGAAGAAGAGCAGGCCTCTGGTGCGAGGGACGAGCTGGAAGATGAAGAGTGGGCACAGGCGCAGGAGCGCCACAGCGGGGGAACGCATCGGTACCATCCTGGTTCTGGGCGGCGGAACGTGCCGGCGTCCAGGAGCCCGTCGCCACCGCCGGCGGGGGTGATGCCTCATCCTGATGATTTTATAGGACGTGGCTTGTAAGAGTATTATCAAGAAAAGGGCTACAAGTTTCCAAGGGGAAAACAACAACACACAAAACAGAGTTGGAATATCCCATCACCCTCTTGTCTTTTGGGATTTGAGATTGGAAGCCTACTTTTGGGAAGGGGTCTACTCTTTTCTTGTTCTGTTTCTTTCAAATATCTCTTAAAACCCATCTGGAAGCGTGGCATGAAGGACATTATTCATTAATGAGCGGATAGATGGACTGTGATGGACTGCGACGTTATCATTATTATTATTACGAGATGGGTAACGAAATATTATGAAAATGGAAGGTATTCTTGCCTTATTTTTAATCTGCATGGAAGTGAAAATGTATTACTGTAGACACCAACAAAACAACCGCCTTCTCTTGTCCAACTTTTTGTGACGGGTCATTTCTCGCCTACATGCAATTCCCCACATAAATCAGCAACTCAACTCTCTCTCTCTCTCTCTCTCTCTCTCTCTTCTCAGCTTATAGTCGACTCTTCTCTGCCGTCTTGCTCTTGTTCTTCTTCTTCTTTTCGTCCTTGTTGGTCTCTAGAAAATGCATATTCACAGGCGTGATGGCTTCTTTCCCCTCCACCAACACAGCCAAAATATTCCGCATAGCCAGCTCCTCAAACCCAATATGCGTCTCAACCGTGCCACCCGCATTATGACAAGTCAACATGACCCGCCCAGGATTCACCGTCTTCACAGTACCCTCCTCGTCCTCGCCCTCCTTCCCAGCCAAGAACTTACCCCCCTCCACCCCCACGCCCGCCAGCTCCGTCCCCGCCAGCCGAAGCAGCCTCCTGTGCACGCGCGGCTCGTCCCCGTGCACATCCAGCGCAGCAGCCGAGACGTGCCCGCTCTCCAGCGCATCCGCCAGGGCGTCCTCGTCGACGAGCGAGCCGCGGGCGATATTGACGAGGCGGGCCCCCTCGCGCAGCCAGGCGAGACAGGCGGCGTCCACGAGGGGCGGGGCGCCGGGCGCGCTGGCGGGGGTGCACACGACGACGCAGTCCGAGGCGGCCATGAGGTCGCGCAGGTGGGGGTGGAAGGTGGCGCGCAGGCGCTGCTCGACGGCGGCGGGCTTGCGGACCAGGTCGGTGTAGTGGATGTGCATGCCCATGGACGGGTTGCCGAGCTTGGCGGCGATGAGCTGGCCGATCTTGCCGAGGCCGAGGAGGCCTAGGGTGTGGTTGCGGGGGTTGTGGGCGTGGGCGGTGGTGTGGTTGTGGGAGAAGCGGAAGGCTGCTTCTGCGTTGGGGTTTGGTGAGGGAGAAGAAGAGGAGGACGAAGAGGAAGAAGAGGAGGACGAGGTGAGGTAGGGAATGGTGGCGGCGGACATGACCCAGGGGAGATGGCGGAAGGTGGAAATCACCATGGCTACGGCAAAGTCGGCTACAGACTCAGCGGCTGCTAGGCCTCCGTTGCAGTAGATGATGCCTTTGTTACTCTCTCATGGGTCAGTCTGTTGTTGTCTCCATTTCATCTCATCTTTCTTGTCCTTTTCATTCTCTTCTCCCTTTCATTCTTTCATTCTTTCATCCTTCCTCCTCCTCTTCCACCACCACCACCACCTCCTCCTCCTCCTCCTCCTCCTCCTCCTCCTCTTACAGAAAAGCAAAGGCAAGTCCAAGATGAAAGAGAAAGAAAGAAAGAAAGAAGAAGAAGAGAAGAAAGAAAGAAAAAAAAACTCACCCTTCTTCCCCAACAACTCAGTATCAGCCCAGTCAAACCCAGCCCCCGCACTGGCAAACACCCTCACGCTGTCCGGCAACAAGTCAATCAGCTCGGCATCCCACCGGCCCATCTCCCCGCCCGTGCCCCAGAACGGCCGAAAGATGGCCGCAAAGTCGCCCCACCGCCTCTCGCGCAACGCCCGTATAAACTCGGCACGCTCGCGCTCCGCTGCGCTGGGGCGGACTACCGTGCACTGGCTGGATAGGACTGCGTAGGTGTCGGGGTTGTACTTGATGGGGTCGCCTATGTGGAGGACGATGGGCTTGGCTGAGGGGGTGGCCATTTTCTGGAGAGGGGGGGGGGGGTGGTTGGGATGAGATAAGAGTGAGTGCTTCGGCCCCAGGTTGAGATTAATCCTGATGAGAGAAGAGCTTTTTCAAGGATTAAGTAAGTTCTGGATCTTGTGTCGATTTGGACGGCGACACAGTGATGACCTCTTCAACAGGTGAACCCGCAAAATCGATCGTCAATTAGGGTCCTGGAGCTGAAGATGCTGCAGTGCTACATCAACAACGGGGAGAGGCTGTCAACCAGCGCAGAACCGGTTAAATCTCCAAACACGACCTTGGCAAGGGGAGAGGACTCGAAGAGAAAGACGGGGTGACGAAAAGCTCCTCCGGGTGAATGTGCGGCGTTGGGCTAGGAAACACACTCCCTCAAGATGTCCTCTGATTACCTATTTTAAAGAGATAGGTCGCTGACAGATCTTTTGATAGGAAGTAAGGCAAGAAGAGGCAACCGAGCAGGGCAGATTGTGTGCTCTGATTGATAACAGAATACGGCACTTGAGCGGGCTTCTCAAGCTATTTATTATACTCGCATATCCCCCGTCTCTCTGTCCTTGCACCGGTTCATACTCCCTACACTGTGGGTCTAGAGGGGCTATAGAAGTTTCCTTGTGTTTTGTGAATGCATTCTATGTCGAGTCGTGACATCAGATATGAGAGAGAGAGGGCAATGCATCAAGCATGAAGGGGCCCGCCATGATCGTGAATTACCGCATCCACTTTGGGTTATTTTCCCCGGACCCGCTTGGGCCGTCAAAAACCATCAACAAAAACTCTGGGGTAAAAAGTCCCGATTCTGGAGCCCCCCACAGGGAGATCCATAATATTCGAGTAATGCTTCTTCTATTCAGTGGTGCTGGTGGTCTACATCGCTTCCTGACCCGCAGACAGCTGCCCCATCGACTGGGTCCTACATATTTGGTACTATCACCATGGATCTGCTCAAATGCTTTGAGTGCATTCGTCGTTCTGGGAAAGGCGCATGTTCACCCTTCTGGATACAACCCTGGGTTTTGTATAAACCTCCATGCTTCAACACTCCTACGGTACGGACCTCGCGAGCCAGAAACCGCATCTTTCACATGGCACTGGATGCGAGGAATCAGATGATGGGTATATCTTTAATACTTATTACTTATTGCTTGCAGACAGTGACCAGACTGCCCTAAAGTCTCACCTGCAGACGCATGGCGATTCCGTTGTGGGTTGCAGTTCGGAACGCGCGTGGTGCGCGCTGCCAGTTGACAGCCACGAAAACTGCAGATCCTGAGGACTGGGGGTGACACTACTAAATAAGAGTCTGCGAAATGTCAGCCTTGGCAGTAACTCTCGCCGCGTGGTCAGCTTGCTGTGCTGTATAAACCTTAGGCACGTAGTATTCATCCATATGAAAGTGATCATATAGGCACGAGGAACCAGAGAAGACACTTTTCACCATTCGCCAAATTAATATTGTACATGTAATCTAGAGGGTTGCGAAAGAACGTCATGGGCAGATGATCATTATTTCATCAAACGTAAGCCGTCTCGGCGTCGATCAGCAAGCCCACCACTTCGAGGTATGAGTGAGTGAGTGAGCGAGTGAGCTGTTGAGAAATACAAGGGGTTGACCGAAAACACAAGCTGCCTTTTGTGGGAGAGGCCTTGCTGAGTGAGTACGTCACGGCATAATCAGAGCGCAGTAAAAAAACGGACTGAAGATTCCAAACATTGGGCCCATGATTCGGCGCCTACTCTATAAAAGAGTTATAAATGGCTGTTATCGATATTCCTTCCACACGGCCGTAAGCTTGCCCGGGTGGAGCAGCCCAACAGCTGCAGTCTATTGAATGAGGAATCAGAAGACAGGGCATCTTCCCTCGCGGGGATGTATGTCTGAGGACAGAGAATCAGTGTGCCGAGTGGAAGATCGAAGGTAGTCAACAAAACAGATGAAGAAGAAAGAAGAAAAATACTAATCAGACTGACAACAACATCGCATAGCGGTGTTTATTTCAGCACCCCTCGATGCTCTCGAATCTATTAGATCAATGTATGTACTCATAATGAGGTCCGGAGCCGTATGTTCCTTCTACTCTGCCCCAACTTCTGTAGTTATTTCGTCCGCGTGACTTTTCGAGATCGAGAACGAAAGAAAAGAAAAAGGAAAAAGGGAAAATGAAACAAGGCGGGTGGCGAGAGTTTTGCACAAGAACAGCGCTTCTGAGGTGGTGTGCAGCTGTTCTTGTCAGCCTGTACAACAACAACCGGCAAAAGATCGTGGACACTTACCTCCCGTCTCCCACCCTCTCTAAATAGGTTCCCTTTCAATAGGGTGTGCTCCGGAGCAATCTCCCAATTTCCTTTCACGTTTGCGTCCGTACATGTGTTCTGCATCGCTAAATATACCTGAGCGCCAGGGGGTGTGAGAAGGAGCGCCATCGGATTGGCTCGAACGCCTGTCAGTGGTGTCTTACACGCATGCAGCATAAGCTGATGCTGAAAACGGTTGCACACCTATAACACACACACACACACACACACACAAGAAGAAGAAAGCAAGACAAGGAGCCACACACCACAACATTTCTTCCCCTCTACCAACCCATATCTACACACCTCTATACGACGGGAATGAAGGAAGAACTTGTCCGTTCTTCCCGCCCGGCAATGATCCTCGCGGGACGGAACACCGCTGCCCCCCTCCCTCCCATTCCTCCTCCCTCCCTCTTCCTCTTCCTACGTGGGACAAACTAATCAATACTGCGCCGGTCAGGTCACTTCAAGAGCCATCGAGTAGAATTTTGATGTGCTCGAAGCTCCGTCCAGTGAAGAAGGTTGGGGCGAAACATCAGCTGTGGTAGTATCGGAGAGCACCCACAAGCAGGATTGCTCTCTGCAGATCGACCGTGTAACTGGTCCGATTCCGACATGCTCGGGTTCGTTTGATTCGTACGGTGTGTTGCAATAAGGGAAAGTAACCAGAAAATGCAGAGGAAGAAGAGAAGGAAGGAAGAAGAAGAAAAAAACCGTGGTGTAGGAACCAAACTTTGCCGCGTGCCCACAGGGTATATAAGCATGTGGCTACCATGACCGCATGTAATAAACGTGAAATCCTACCCAACTTTCAGCCCAGTGGGGATGAGCCTGACCATGCCCCGTCTCCTTTTGTGTCGATCTGTTCTAACCGAGGACTCAATAAGGCACATAAGCTGCTCGACCCTTCTCGTCTGATCTTTTTCTCTGGCATCTCTTTGATAAGTAAGAGGTTCTGTCTGTCTGGCATCTATGGGGCTCTCTCCTCGTCGCTCTAGCTTTCCCGCCACCGCCACCATCTTGGAGTTGACCTCCATGGAGCGTCCCCCCTCTGCAGAACAATGAGTCTCTATGAGCAGGCCACCGGCCTCTTCGTCTTCTTTACTGTCCTGACCACCATCACCCTTGGGCTTCGGCTCTTTGTGCGTGTGAGATTGTGTAGGGGTGGGTTTGGTTGGGACGATGTCGCTCTCATCATCACATGGGTAAGGAACAAGAGCCGCGATATCTCAAGGGCCCGCCCGTACAGCATCGACCTCTTATGAATACTAACAAGTAAACCACACAGGCCGGCTTGATTCTTTGGGTGGGGCTCGCCTGGAAGTCCATGACATATGAGTTCAACTCACCTGAGTTCATAAAGGTATGCCGTCGCCGTCCTTGTCGTCGAGGGGGCAAACATTCCCCCAGACAGCCACCTCTCTTCTCCACAATACACATCACTCACTCGTGAGCCTCCAGTATGCATCGGCCAAGAACGACGTCTGCTACATCATCAGCGGCACGGTCAAGATCAGCGTGGCCCTTGTACTGTACCGGCTAGACAGCCGCCTGTTCATCCGCGTCATCCTCATCACCGACATGATCATCTGCGCCATCTGGACGACCGTAGTCACCCTCATCCTCGGCGTGGGCTGCACGGGCAACAGCCCGCTGGCCCTGGATGCCTCTGTGTGCGAGGCGACCAACTATGCGCAGGAGGCCTCATACGTGGTCTTCAACGGGGCGCACGTGCTCATCCCCATCATCATTCTCTGGGGTGTGCATATTCACGACAACCTGAAATGGGCCGTCGTAGCTCTGTTTTCTGTTGGACTGCTGTAAGCCTTTCCTGTCTTGCTCATACCTTTCCATCTCATCTCCAACCACCCCCCACCCCCCCAAAAAAGAAAAAAAAAAGAAATGCTGCCGCACGTGAGCTGGATGGAAACGTACGTATCGATTTGGTAGAGATGCTTACTGGGTCTATAGTGCTGTCATTGCTGCGGGCATGAAACTTCACTATTATATCATCTGGTACCGTCCGACCCCCACCACGGACTTTGCCGCCATCTCGCTCCAGACCAACATCTGGGCAGTAACAGAGCACGGCCTGTCCCTATTCGCAGCATCCATCCTCGCCATCAAGCCCTTCTTCACATACATGTCCAAGTCCCTATACGGTACCATCCACGGCGGAGACAGCAGTCACAAGAACGACCTCTCGGGCCGCAGCAACTCGCTCGGCGCTGCCTCGAAACCCTTGGCCTGGCCCGACGCGGCTGAGTCGGCGGCGGAGATGGGCGTGATCGGGGTGCGTAACGAGGTGGAGGTACGCAGCATTTATGATGTCGAGGGCGACCTACGAAATCCAGCTTATACTGTGGACGTGTACAATGAAAGTACCAGGAGGCTAGTACTGGGCGGCGGCAAGGAGAATATGGATGTAGGCGTCAGCCCTGCGTGAAAGCCTGCAGAATGTTATACATGACTCCCCCGAGGAGCGCAGCACCTTTGAAGTTCAAAATAGACATGTTTCAGACATGCCCGGTTTGCCAACTCGTGCTTTGACTCTCTCTTCTGAGCCCGACGCATTGGAAGAGTGGTACTCGTTCTCATCGACTACCTTGCCATTGCCCGTATATTCAGGTCAGGAACATCAAGTTACAAATGCCAGCTCATCAGTGCTTGATGAGGCTGTCCTTGAACCCTCGTCCTTGCTGCCCTGGAACCTAAAGCATTTGAGTGAGCGTCTGAGGCCTTGGCAATGCTACGATGAGGTATAGCAGGACTAGCTGATTCGATGTAGTGCTTCTTGCAAGCCAGCAACACCTGCCTGAGGCTCGTGAATGCCTTGATGTTCAGTCTGCAGCAGGGAGGCGACACCCAAACAGACTTGTTTTGGGGCCACGAGGAGTTCGTTGGGGGGGGGGGGGGACCTGAGTTTGGGACTTTTGATGAACAAACGACATAGGGAATCTCCATCTTGATCTATTCCCCATGTTCCTTAGGAAAGATGTTCTCGCTTGCTCTTAGAGGCTCAAAGATCTGCGACTCATGATAGGAAAGCTCCCTTGAGAAGAAGCGACCCGGCTTGGGTCTGGCGCAATGGTCCTTAGACAGAGGGAGGAGATCTCTGCGAAACACATCGTTGGCTAGTCAAAATCAACCTGATTCGCAGGCGGTTTTAACGAAGAACTGACTGGTCTAACATCCCTATTACCGCGAGAGGTGATCGCTCTCGAGAACGCCTGACGTAGGGCCCCCAATGGGCTGGTCCGGACCTCCTGAGGCGGCTCTGCTCAGCTCAGACCATGGCCATCGAACCAATGCACGGAGGACAGGAAGACAACCAGTCATGCGGCGCTAAGAGGCTGCATGAGACCGGATGATGTGTTCACTGCGCCACCGAATTTTGTATTCCTCCTTTTTTCCTCCTAGACGTCCACTTGTCTCTCCCGTAGCAATGTCTTGTTCATAAATATGACGGGTCGAAAATGCAGTGGGTGGTGCATTGGGGGTCTGTCCAAGAAGTGTGCAATCCGATTGGAATGATGATGAAGGAATCAAGTTGTGACATCTGAATACGACCAGAAAACAAGACCTGTAGAGCCAGAAGATGTCCAGTCATCTCCTCGAAGCCCATCAGACTCGAGGCAGCGACCTCAACTACGACCTGAATGACATGTCGGAAGTCGGACGAGGGTGTCAAAGATGGACAAAGTTCGAGGGCTGAACCAACACAATGGGGATACAGATCCACAAGTCTAGCAGGGCTGAGCATGGCCATGACCCCCCTTGGCCGTATGTCAACTGTCAAACGTCAAGGCTCTCCCGACTGCTTTTTCTTTCTGATCTCATCGACAGGAGCAGATATGCACAGAAGCCTGCAGGTGGGGAGAAGGCAGGGCATCGGAAGGGAAGGGGCCACCACGGCAGTGTCCTTCAGTACTACAGTACGAGGAAGGTACCGTGGTACATGCGATAATACAGCGATACGTACCCCTCGTCCTCTCTGTGTTTGACAAGGATTATGGACAAGGGGTCAACGTACGCGATGATTGGTGTGTATAGGAATATGCGGTTTAACATACAGCCAATGAACAGGCAAGCAGAAACCTTGTCGCAGGGATGAACTTGAATAAGGGAAGACTCGGGGCTTCCAAGGTTTCGCCTTCGTGAAGTGCTTACTGTCGCTCCTCATCTCTCTTGCCCCCCCCCCCCCCGGCACAGCTTCTTCTGTGCCATGTTCAATCTACCTTCTCAATCTGGACACTTTAAATTATTCTGCGATTCTGATCTATCGTTCTTTGGTTGAACGAGTATTCCCGTATGTATATGTGTGTGCGTGCGTGTGTGTACCCAAAGTTCAGAAGCTTCTATTCCCCAATCTCGACACTTCGCCCTTGCATGAGACATCCGTCTTCTCCTGCATTCTGCATTGCGTCTGCATTTACACAAGTCGAATCAGAAACCACTTTACGCGGTGCGCGGGTGTTTTATCGCGAAAGTAGCACGTCATACGCGTGTGCAGGGATCCATCTCCTAATAGTCTTCCATTTATATCACACTAACACTCGGCGGCGACAAGACCAGGGAGGGGGAAAAGAGAGAGAGTGAGAGACCCATATCCGTGCCATCTGACTGTGCTCACAGCGGGGCCCCAAAGCCGTCGTCACTCGTACGAGATCTCCCCCTTCTCTCTCCCATCGTGTACCTCTGACACACTCTGCTTATCGCTTCACTGTTTTCCCCGCCTTCCATCCCTCCCCTCTCTAGCTCTCAGGGCACGTTGTTGACCTGTGCCCCTGACGCTGCTGCCCCTCGCCTTCACCTCACAACCGTCACTTCTCCTGTCCTTCTACCCTTCTGTCCTTGAAACCTTGAGGAAGTTCCATTGTCCTTGAATTATTCTCTTGCCCTTGCTGTCCCTTGGGCTCTAGAACTGTCGTTTTGTCCCTCCTACACACACACTGACCGACCTCATCCCGTCTGACTTATTTATCCAGGCTGAGATCGACATTCCCGTCTATAGGCAGCGTCTCAACAGGGGTATGCCAGTCTAATACAATACCACACCACAGCTATTGCAAGAGGCACAAATCAGTGCTCGGCCCTATCAGCACGTTCACAGTCCACGCCGAAATCTGCAGGCACTTCCTGCTCTGGAACAGCGACGTCTCACCAGGGGGGGGTGGTTATCCGTTCTCAACCCATCGGTCCAATCGAATCACTACCAAGGCCAACTTTTGCCCGCTCGACGAGATCCACCTCCGGCCTGACCAGGTATATTGACACTAAGCCGTCTGGAGGCGCTCCCTCAGGCTAAGTCGACCGCCAAGGTACCCGCCTGACCTGCCAGCTTGGCCTGCTACATCCTCTTCGCATAAACTTGGTCTCGTCCAAACTCGGCCTCCCTCCCTCAGAAAGGCACTTTCCCCCCCCCACACCTCCCTTACTGAGACCTCACCACTCATCTCGCGCCGATCTGACCCAGTTCACTGTCTCTCAGGCTGACCCAAAATCTTGTCTTCCCGTCCCGAAGATCGTACTGTGGTACCACCCGGCAAGTACTCGCCGCTGCTGCTAGCAAAGTTGGGCGTAATAAGACAATCGCCCTTCCCACACACACACACCGAACACCCCCCCCCCCTTTTCGCCTCTCAGCACCAGCTGTCCTAGGATCTTTCCCCCTCCTTTTCTTCCTTCCTCTTCCACACATTCTCGAACCCGTTGAAATTCGAGATTCTGCTGTCGTTTCACCCTCTTCTCGACCCCTCCTCTGTCGACCTTGAGGAGTTCAAAATCCATTCTCGGCTCCACAGTCGCGTACAGAACTGATCCCCACCAGGACGAGCCCGACACCCTCGTCGATTTTAGACTCCACTGCACAGCATTGGCCAGGTGCGTGCACTATCCGCACTCAAACTGTGGCCCGAGTCCAGGAACGTCTGCATTGCAGTCTGACGGTCCGACCACCAAACCCAATCGGAGCTCCATTGGCCTGCCTGGGTATTTCTCCTCTCGGATCATCGTCAACAACACGTCGTGCATCGGGCTAGCACAGGCACGATACAGGCCTGCCCATCGGCGTGCTCGACAGAACAACTGTTTGTTTGTTTTGTCGTCGCGAAAAGGTTCAATCGGCTCCACAAGTCCACTGCACAACCACCGCACACAATGGCTGCTGTCATCCGTCAGCCTTTCGCACCCCTCGATGGGGCTCGATTGCAGAGCTTGACCAGCATCAAGAACGTACAAAGCTGTCAGTCTACCCACCCCGAACGCAGGCCGTCCCCTCCCTCCCACTTCATTAATGTGCTCAAACCACCTCAGCCCATACCTGGACAGCTCAACCCAGTTTGCCTCATGATGATGAGCCGACGCATGCTGACCGAACTATAGCCATCCCCGTCTCATCGCCTGGCAAGCGAAAGGCGACTGATGTCCTCGATGTCAATGACTTTGAGAACCTCGATCCAGCCTTCCTCCTCTCCAAGCGCGCCAAATCCAGCGCCGACGGCCTGAGCAAGGACTACTTCAAACCTTCTTCTTTCTATCTCACCAAGTCGTCTTCCGCCCCGACTGTCACCACCACCACCACCACCACCAGCAGCAGCAGCAGCAAGGATGGCCTCTCCTACGGCAACTTCAAGGCGGCTGCTTCACCTCGTGCGCGGCCCATCCTGAATCCCAAGTCGCCCGCCAAGAAGCTTCACAGCAGTCTGTCCAAGACCGTCACCTCTCCCTCCATGTCTGCGCCCGCCGGCCGCTCACCCACCCGAGGCACCAAGCGCGTTGGTATCCTCAACCGCCACCGAGCTGGCCGAATCGATCCGCCCTCTTTCAACCTCTTCTCTTCTACCACCTTGTCTCTCGCCGCCGCCGTCAAGGGCACCCTGCCCAGCTATGCCTCTCGCCAACCCTCGTCGTCATCCTCCAAGGCAAGCATCGCGTCCGAGTCCGACAGTGTCTACGGCTCCAGCATGAAGTCTTCTTGGTTCTTCGACATCCACGAGGACACGCCAGAGCAGGTGGCCACCAACTTGCTGCAGCACAGCACGTGCATGTTGGACATCAGCAGTGACGAGGAGTGCGAGCAGAAGATGCAGCGTGAGAAGGCAGAGGGACGTGGCAAGGAGAACATCCCACCTGCGGACGATGTCTCGCAGACCTCGATCCGAAGAGCCGCTGCCACTACCATCAGCGAGGGCGGTATGGAGTACGAGAAGCCCCGCATCGCGCTGGGTGATCTGAACGTGGAGGACTTCTATGCCGACGGAGTCGACCCCTCCGAGGTGATCATTGTGCCTGGCGATGAAGATGATGGCACTCTTGTCGATGGCGAGCAGCCTCAGGAGCCAGCTGGAGAACTCAGCGACCTTCCTGCCTCTGACTGCGCGCCTGACGTCACCGTCAAGGTTCACACGGAGGCGGAGGAGTCTTCGGAACCTACCACCCCTGGCAAGGCGGCAGCCCTCCCACCTTTGGATGGTGCTGGCGAGAACTTCGATCTGTGGGAGAGCTCCAGTGCCAAGGAGGAGGGAGATGGTGCAAGATCACCGACTCCTATGCCCGTGTCGCCTGCTTCGGAGGAGGAGGATGAGGGTCTGGGTGTTGCCTACTGACTGTTGTCAATGTTTACGTGATTGTGAATGTTTTCTGGTTTCAGCGTTTTCTTTGAGGCGTCTTATGGGGATCTGGTTCGAGGCGTTATGCTCTGCTTTTTCGCTTGTGATTTTACGGGTGACGGCTGCCACGGGATGTATGGAAGGATAGATTGGCCAAGGATAGGACGGTCAATCAGGATAGGACGGAGGCAGGATGAGGATTTTAGATCACAGGCGTGCGGGCCGGTACGACTGCCAGGCCTTTTTCTATCTGTTTCCCTAACTGGCTATACGGTTGGATGGTATGAACTCTTTTCGGATGTACACACACCTTTGAAGTGGGACAATACCAGTTTCCCGTCTCAAAGATTAATGACTTCCTCTCTTACATGATGGAGAATAAACTCGTGTTTCGATATTTGAGCAGACATGCGTGCCCTCATCAATTGTGTTTGACTGCAGATTGTGGAGAGATTTAAGCACCAATCCCAAGACGGGAGATAACTCCCAGGACTACAGGCGGTTGGAGGGTTCTAAAATTGCTACTAGCTTGCAGACAGTAGAGGCTGAATACATGATAAAGTAAAGCCTGGGATTATCAAGGGTTCAAAGGTATCGTGGAGGTCAGTTAGGCTTCAATTCACGATCAGGCGGTGGATTTCTGGCCTCCACCAAAAATCGGCGCGGCAAGCCGATGAGGGAGAACCCCTGCTTAGTATACAGCAAGTACCGCCGAGGCGCGTCGCGTCTCTAGAGAGGCCGAGTTCTTTAAGTCAAGCCCCCGTCAGACTTGCATTGAATGTACAAGAGTATCGCTGCCTCATCAACAAATCTTCTCCAAAGAGAAGTGTGAAATAAAAGTACTTTTGAATCTTTTTTTCATTACTGACTTTATTTTCCATTCTTTTTTTTCTCTAAATTTTATTCAAAAGATAAGAAAGGAGGAAAGAAACATCTGTGTCAAACACAGCTGTTTTCGAAACCGACCACGCAGCAAAGGTAGCACCAGCACCCTCATCGATGACTATGGAGGAGACAGGTAGTGCCAAGGACACGGCCGGGCAGACAAGAGGCGCCTTTATTGTGCTGGAGGGCCTGGACCGCAGCGGCAAGACCACGCAGGTTAAGCTGTTGCAGGAGAAACTGGCTGGGATGGGTAGGGCGGTGGAGCTGGCCCGGTTTCCTGGTATGCTTCCTGTCTCTCTCTCTCTCTCTTTCTCTTTCTTTTTTTTTGTTCCCGTCGGTGGTGAGAAGTGGAAGGGGAAAAGATGAGTGAATGGGTGCCTTGGACGGGTCAGGCCGGTCTGAATGAGATGGGGAGAGACAAACCCGTCGTGGAGAAAATAGATGCGTGAGAAAGTTCCGTCACGGTTCCAGGAATGGAAAGAGATATCAAGGGAATATCAAAAACAGGAGGATGTGAGACAACCTGAAGACGTTTCCTACAAGGCCGACTTCATCTCATCGCATAGAACATGGAACACTAACCACGAACCACAGACCGCACCACCCCAACCGGCCAGATCATAAACACCTACCTAACCTCGCCCAACGCCCCGTCCCTACCGGACCAAGCCATCCACCTCCTCTTCACCGCCAACAGATGGGAAGCCGCCCCTCGCCTCACCAGCCTCCTAGCCAGCGGCACCACCATCATCTGCGACCGCTACTACTACTCCGGCATGGTCTACTCCGCCGCCAAGCACAACCCAGCGCTCCCCCTGAGCTGGGCCCGGAGCCCAGAGGTCGGGCTCCCGCGGCCAGATCTCGTGGTGTTTCTGGACCTGGACGGCGCAGCGGCCGAGAAGAGGGGCGGGTGGGGTGGCGAGAGGTATGAGAAGCGAGAGATGCAGGCGCGGGTGAGGGAGTTGTTCTGGGGGTTGAAGAGGGGGGAGCTCCAAGGGGTGGTCGGTGCTGGTGGGGCGAGCGAGGAGGCGGAGGATCTTGTGGTGGTGGATGCTGGTGGGAGCGTGGAGGAGGTGGCGAGGGAGATATGGAGGGTTGTGGAGGCGAGGGTGGAGGAGGTTGGGAGAGGGGATGTGGGCAAGGAGGTGAGGAGGGTGTCATAGAGCTGGTGGTGCAAGGCTAGAGGATGTTATCTGGTGATGGTTTTGATCCTGTGGGAGTTAGCAGCGCAAACTGTTGGAGCAACGACAGACGTGAATAAGCCGAGATCACGATCAAGCAGAGAAACAGGCGCAAGCATGAACAGGATCCAAAAAAAAAATCAAGCAAAATTTGGAACCATTTATTGTTTTTGATTATCGAGATATTCATGGACACATCCCCCGTGTGTCCTCCGTTATGCTTTCCGGGTATGAGGTGTTGAGCCCACAAACGCCGTTTTAAACCAGACCAACCAGCCATCCGTTGCCCCCTGGATGCTTTGCATGTTGAATCGAAAAACGCCGGCGGGCATGATGAATGCCTATGTATGCATGTGTATGATACGCGCCAGGTCTTCCCCGCTGCCCTGTCTTGCCCTGCCCGATTACCCCCAAAAACGCCAGTCCATATATGCCAGAATCTAAAAATGCTCGTGCATGTTAAAAACGAGTTTTGTTTGGCGTTGCTGCTGCCTCTAATGAGTTGGTCATTCCATTAAGCCTTCCCGAAAGTAAAGGGGAAAAGGCCCTTCCTCCTCGCAAGACTGTGCTTGCTCCTCGTACTCTAACAGAGTGTAGAGGGTGAGGCGCAAGATATGTTATTATCATCATTACCTGTTGATACCGATCAGGTTCAGGAACTCATTCCTTGTCTTCTCCTTGCGCTCAAAACAGCCCAGAACGCAGCTCGTGATGGTGCTTGCGGTAGTCTTTTCCACGCCGCGCATGACCATGCACAGATGGCTGGACTCCATAACCACCGCGACACCCTGCGGCTTCAGGACCTCCATGATGGCGTTGGCGACCTCCTTAGTCAGACGCTCCTGGATCTGGAGGCGGCGGGCGAAAAGCTCTGCGATTCGGGGCAGTTTCGATATGCCGATAACGTTCTTGTCAGGAATGTAGCCGATGTGCATCTGCAGATCGATCCAACCAGTCAGCTTTTGTTTCGCTCCCACCGTACTCGCTACCGATCTAGTCCCGCCAGGACTGTCAGGGAAAGAGGAGAACGCAAAGAAACGTACCTTGCCTGTAAATGGCACCAGGTGATGCTCGCACATGCTGAAGATCTCAATATCCTTCACGATGACCATCTCATTGTGGCCCTCCTCGAAGATGGCCCCGTTGACAATATCCCGCACATTCTGTTGGTAACCCTTGGTGAGGAACAGCATGGCCTTGGCATACCTTGCTGGCGTCGCCAGCAGGCCCTCCCTATCGACATCCTCGCCGACACACTCCAGAATTGTCCGCACGGCGTCGCACATCTTAGCCAAGCGCTTATCGGCCTGCTCTTTTGTCTCCTCCAACCTCTCGCGTGTGCCCCTGCTCGGTCTTGAAAGGCCATCAAAGTCGATGACGGGGCTTGGGGAGCGCGTGATCGTGCCGGGCGGCGTTGCTGTCGCCTTGGCGCTGGCGGCCTCGTCGTGCTGCTGCTGATCGGCCTCTTCGCGGATCGTGGATATTCTGTTGCCCTGCTGCTTGGCCTTCTTGGACTTCTTCTTGGGCCTCTCGGCGGGGATATCTCGCGGGTCACGGGCTGGTGCGCTTATGCTGCCACGACGCTCGTGGCCGCCATTGAGGTGCTTGCTGTCGTGCTTGCGCTTCTTGCTGGAGCGCTCATCGCCCGAGTGGTGACGCCTGCGCCGGCCCGAATCGGAGGAGCTGGCTGTGCTTGCTGTGTCCATGTCTGTGAAAGGTCTTGGAGGATCGTCGGTAAGAAGAAGTTCGAGGTGATGTGAAGAGGGGGTCTGCGCTGGAGCAATCGTCAAAGCACGCAGAAATAAAGTGCATCGGAGGAGGATCAGGGTCTAGGTCGAGGAATTAGTGCGTTGGGAGTTGGATTCATGTAGACAAAAGTAAGTTCGCGTCGAATCGAGTTGGTACAGATGCCTAGGATTTCTGGGAGAACCTGAAGAAATTAGAGGACCTAGGAGGTCCCAGTTGACTCTCAAACTGAGAACTGAAGAAATGAGAGAGTCGCAAGGATATTATAAAAGACGTTGGCCAGGTGGTACCATTGCTTATGAGGTGAAGGGTCTTGGAGTCATGACACCAGAAAAAGAAAAAAAGAAAAAAAGTCGCCGAAGCTGTAGCCGAACCCCGGGGGTCTGGTTCCTGCATCTGCATGGTGGGGCTCTCGTCTTTTGGGGGACGCTGGGGCTCTGGGACACTAGAACATAGTGGAGTGAGTGGGGTCTTGCTACCCTGTCAGGCCTGTCACTGCTCTCTGTACAGTACCATGGTACCACCTACACAACGCTACCACACCCCGTTGTGGTACCCACCAACAACACACTGCTGACTGTGCAACACCTCCTTTGGCCAGTGTTGGAACCTTCTGAACGACGTCAACTACGCGAGCCAAACGTCCAACTCGACTGTTTACATTTCCCACCTCAACCCCAAACCCACCCAGAAACTGACACCACCTCCATCCAGCTTCCGATCCCGCGAAGCTGAACCCTCTAGCTCCCTTTACCAGCAACATCCACAGCTCGGACCTCCCCACCGCCGCCCAAGATGAGCTCACCACCGTACCAGAACCAGACCTCGCCGCCGGCGCACTCGCCGCCTTACCCTTCCCATGCTCAGCTTCCGTCCTCCTCCTCATCCAACCGCAAGCGCGCCGGCGGCAGCGACGTCCCCCCGCCCGCACTGAAGCGCCGCAAGGCCTCGACCATGTCCATCGCCTCCGCAACCTCTGCCCACCCCCTCCGCCAGACCTCCTTCCCGCCCGAAGAGGCGCCCTTCGCAGGTGCCCGCTCCCCGAGCGTCGGGCCTCTTGACAATGTCGACAACGTGAGCATGGTGTCCGGATCCGCCGTCTCCGCGACCGGCGGCAGCAGGGCCCCTCGGAAGCGCGGCAGGAAGAGCAAGGCCGAGAAAGCTCGCGAGGCCCTCGAGAAGGAAGGCACACCCAGCGTGGTCGGTGGTAGGGCGATGACTGTCGCGAGCGGCAGGAGCGGGGCCGGCGGGGCGAGGAGTGCCGTCGACGGGGATGCGCCCGACGACGATGAGGAAGACGAGAAGGACATCAAGGCCAAGATGGGGGTGGCCCAGTTCGAACGGAGCAGGGAGGAGCGCGAGGAGGAGAAGCGATTGCGCTTCATGCTGGTGCAACAGATGGACGCGGACCAGGCCGAGCGGTACGAGATGTGGCATGCGGCCAAGTTGACCGAGGCGACTGTTCGAAGGGTTAGTCGCTGTCCTCGCGCGGCGGCTGCTGCTGCTGCTGCTTCAATACTATAGGGTGCAAGGGGGTGCTAACATTTTCGGGTCACACAGATTGTCAACGCTACAGTCTCGCAGTCTGTCCCGGCTAATGTCTGCAAGGCCATGCAGTCGGTCGCCAAGGTCTTTGTGGGGGACCTCATCGAGGCGTCACGCAAGGTGCAGTCCGAGTGGGTGGCCAAGACCGACGAGCCACAGGCCGAGCCGGGCGTCCAGTATCCCGAGTGGCCGTACGAGGAAGAGGAGCATGTGGAGGAGACGCAAGATGGGCGGCCCCGATCCATCCATCCCAAGGTCAAGCCCAAGGAGCCACCTCGCGGTGCCCTGCGCCCTGACCATGTGCGTGAGGCCTGGAGACGGTACAAGAGCGGGGCTGAGGGCGGGAATGTGGGCAACCTCGGTCTCTGGCATAAGCAGCAGAGCAGTGGTGTGGAGAGGTTTGGTGTCAGGACTGGCGGCCGTCGTCTGTTTAAGTGACCTGGGCTATTGGGTCGATGGTGACAGCAGACTATGGGATTCACGACGTACTTATGATACCCGCCGCATGTTGTCGCTTCCAAGGGCACGGCAACAGCGGCATCGTTCTATACATATTACCGAAATAGAAGCAGTCAATGGCTCTCTTTTTCTTTGGGAGCTGGAGAACCCTTTGCCAATGGCTAGTCTGCATTGGGATTTTGGGTCTCAAAATGTCTGGTCACCTTCGCACTGTTGAGAGCAAGTGAGGAAAGAATACTGCATCTCCTACCTTCCAACCATTTGTATCTCTTGGGAACATCTTTCAAGAAGACCCTTCGTGCCTCCATGACAGCTTCTCAATCAAGTTCCTCATCATACCTCTCTGCCCACGGAAGGGTGGCGGCCTTGTAGGCTACGATGATGATACACTCTATTAATTAATTCTCTAGTATGCTTTGCAATCAAAACGCTGTATCGTATCTGCTGTAGCTGCTCTTTTCGCCCTGGACTTGGCCTCCACTTCCCCGGTGCTTAACGATCGCTATATCAGAGCCTCCTCACCCTTGGCCTCCGTAGGCTTCCTTCCAACCATCAGGAACATAGGCGTAAACAGCCTTTCCTTACCACCCAGCACGAGAGCCTCGCTCGCCTGCGCAAGACTGCTGCCCGTCTTCTTGGTGCCAGGCGGCGCGAGCCTCAACGTCTCCAGCGCCCCCATAAACCCATGCGCAAGCCAGCGGCCCCACCTCGTCATCCTGAACGTGCTCAGCACATCCCACATGTTGTTCGCATATTTATAGCCACTCCCGTCAAGCGGCCAGTACCACGGGGCCGGGTCGATGCCGTCGACGAACCGCTCGGCCAGGTCCTCGACCTCCAGCACCTCGAAGCCCGCAGCCTTGAAGGCAGCCACCGCGTCGCTAGCCTTCACCATGTTGGCGATGCCGTCGCCCTGCTCGATGTCGAGACGGCACTTGCGGTGGAACAGGTTGTTGTTGTCGTAGCGGTCCGTCATGACCCACTCGTACACGCCAAAGACACCGCCGGGCTTGAGCACCTTGTAGATCTGCCTGTAGACGTCTTCGAGGCTCGGGGCGTGCACGGTGGCCTCGATGGCATACACGGCGTCGAATGTCTCCTCGTCAAACGGCAGGTTCATAAAGTCGCCCACGACGAAGCGGCAGTGGCCCGCCAGGCCGTCCTGCTCGGCGTAGTGTGTGGCGCGCTGCACCTGGTACTCGTTGATGGTGATGCCCGTCACGTAGGCGCCCGTGAACTTGGCGATCTCGCGCGCGGGCCCGCCCACGCCGCAGCCCACGTCGAGGACCTTCATCTTGGGCCGGATGCCGATGGTGTGGGCGAGGTAGTGCTCGTGGCGGGCGATGGCCGCGGCGAAGGCCTCGCGCGGGCCGAAGCGGCAGAAGTGGAATGACTGGGACCAGCCGTACTCGTAGAAGTCGGTGGCGAGGTTGTAGTACTGCCTTGTGAGGGAGGCATAGTCTTTGACGCGGTCCTAAAAGGAGACAAGAAGGGAAAGAGTTTATTTTAGCCATGGGATAATCAGTGATACCACTACAGAGGGGCCGGGGGGGGGGGGGGGGAAGGGGGCTCCTCTTTTTCTCTCTCTGATGACTTACTGCTCTAGTAGCCTCAGTCTCGTCCTTGGCCTCCTTGTTATCCCAGTGCTGGAAATATTCGTCTACTGCCGCCTGCTGGGCCTCCTTGTCCTTCTTCAGCATGGCGGAGAAGCCAGCGTCTGTTGTAGCGGTCTTTTTGTGCAAGATGTTTTCGAAAGTCATGTCCCTAGCCAGGGCGACTTCTTTGCTAGCTGCCATCTTGAAGTTGGTTGGTAGGTTGAACGAACTGACGGCGTGTCTAAGGGAGTGAGGTTTTTCTCTCAAGATAGTTGACTGTCTCTCTTTGTGTGTTGAGAAAAGAGGAGACCAGGACAATGTAACTTGTTGAAAGTTTTCGTATTGGTATTGTTGTTGGATGCACATACATATTCTTCCTCAATTGGCCACAGAGTCGTCTTTTTAAATCGCAATCGTCAATATCATCGAATCCGAATACTAAGAAACCTTGCCCAATGGCGTGTAAGTGAATCCGAATACGTTGATTTAGTCAGCATAAACCCGAGTACGAGCCGCTGCAGGGGGCTTCTTAGGATGGAGGAGGATTGTTTAGGTCATGGCTTCATAAATTGAGAGCCAACCGACTTTCTCCGGCGGTCTGCTCTCGATCTCCATTTATTTGTCCATTTCATTATGCATAAGAGTAGTATGAGTTCCACTACTGTCTGTCTATTCCTTTTGTACTAAAAGAGGGGGAAGAGGCAGGGGGGGAAGGTAGCATAAAGTCACTGACCAGTGACTCTTATTGTTGACCGATTATGAAGATGGAATAAAGGGGCCCAACTACCTGCATAAGTAGGTAGCCACGCCAGACCCGCCTTAGAGAAGACCACCTCTGACATGGTAAGTAGGCATGAATTTTGTGTTCTCCTCATATGTCGGTCTGATTTCGAAAGCATGATAAAACATATACATATCCCTAAAATGTTGCGGAACGCCCACCAGCCGAGCATATTAACAATAATACAGAATGGGAACGCAGCCCTCTGTCAAATCATTGCGACGAGCAATACTGGCTTCAAATAAATAGTTTGGATGTGAGCCTCCGCCGAAAAAAAAGAAAAAAAAGTAGAGGGGGGGGGGGTGCTGGAGGAGGAGAACAGAGGCGCACGTAGACCAGCAAGTCAACAGGTAACATGTGCAAGATGAAGGTAGTCGCACAAGCAAAGTCATCAACGTTCAGAAACTGTTTTATTGACGTCTACTTGGTTCTTAGCGTCTTGGTCATACCGAAGGTTTCGAGATGGTATCACGAATTTCACTGCCGTCTTCAAAAAAAACAAAAAAAAACCTGGAGAGGAATTTTCGGTGAAGCGGACCCTCAACCCAATTCCAAACTACCAGTTCCTGTCGTAATATTGGGCGCAAAAGTAATAAAAAGACATGGTGAGAAAAAAGAGGTGCGATTATGGTCTATGAAGAGCATGCTAGGCCTACTAAAGCAGCGAATGCTAAGGATAGCCCGTGCAATCTGCTTCCCGATTCCCAATGCACGCGAGTCCTCATCATCCACAAGAAAATTTCGTCAACGACTAATCCTTAGGACCGCTCTTTCCCTTTTTCTCTTATTTTATGCGAAGTCCACAGAAAAAACCAGGCCTTTGGCCTCCCAAGCCGTCGTAGGACTCTCTAGTCACGAATCTGCTTCAGCTTCTCAAGGGCGTGATCACGCGCACGCTTCTTCTCCTCCTCCGAAAGGTCATAGAAAGCGACAGAGAGTCTGGAGAACTGTTGGTCCAGGTCGTCGGGCAGTTCGGGACCTGAAAAAATGCCTTTCATGCGAAAGCGGAAGTGGCTGCGGTCCCACTGAGACAGGTTGTCGAACTCGTTCGTGAGGCTATTGACTTGGTTTTTGACACGGGCGAGCGCATTAACTGACCGCCCGCCAGAGGTAGCGTCCGAGGATCGTGTACCTTGGACTTGGTACTGCACCATGGGAGCTTTCTCAGCTGCGCGGGACGAAGATGCTGGGGCAGTGTCGTCAACCGGCAAGAAACGTGGCGCGGGCGCATGATAAGACGATGCCACAGCAGTATCGTTAGCCGGCAGAAAAGCTGGTTTAGCTGTACGAGACGAAGACGCGACGGCGGTATCATTAGCCGGCGCATACGGCTGCGCGGCGGTACGAGACGAAGATGCTACAGCGGTGTTGTTGCCCGGCTGAGAAGCTGGGTTCCGAGGTTGAGCGTAGCGAGACGAAGCAGACTGCGATTGGCCGCGTTGCTTGACCATGAAGGCCGTCGTGTCGGGGGTGGGATAGACGGGGCCCAAGGTTGTCATAGGAAAACCAGGTGCAGAACCTGGATCATTCTGCGCCACCAAAGTCGCCCGCTCATCATGCGGCTTCCACTTTCGTAGCTGGACTGGCGCCATGAGCAGCATTGAGGCTGGGGTGATGGCGTTGGTCACCAATCCACCAAGAAGCTCGTTGTTGTACCGAATACACTCGCTCAGCGTATCGATATCCTGCTCGTAGTGACGAAAGCTATCAGCAGATGCATACACAGCGTTGTCGATCTCGGCGGCAAGCTTGTCCCGAGGACCATATGGCAGGATGGGCACCTGACTGCCGTTGTGCTTCTTCTTTCTGCGATCATCATCGGCGATCTCCAAGGCCTTGAGCACGCGTCTAGCGAACTTCTTGCGGTCGTGAGGCAAGTCGGAGATGGAGTTCACTTGGGGAATGGGACGGGTCTGCTGTTGCTGCTGATGAGGAGAAGAAAGTACGGAGGCAGAATAGGCCGCTGCCATCTCGTTATCATGCTGCTCATCCTGGGGCTGGCTAGCATAGGTGGATGTGTTGGGGGTTGTCATCGTGGAGTCATCACTATCCTGCGTCATGGACGTCTGGTTGGCCTTGGTGTACTGCCTGAGAAAGACGTTGCAGCACCGACCGTTGACCACCTGGTTCACTTCCTGCAGACACGCCGTCTCGGGGGGCAGGGTCGTGCAGGTGTTCCGGCAAAACTCGTTTTCTTGGCAGTCTGCACAGACTTCGTTGTTGTCGCCAACCTCTTTGATGAGGAGAGCAATGGCCTTGACGTAGTACCGGCGGTGCACAGAGGCCACCATCTTAGCATAGTCCAGGTCGACAAGACGCTGGACCGGGCACTCCAGAAGGCGGGCGAAGGCCTTGCGCTCCACCATACTGGTTCCCCTCAGGAATACCGGCGCGGGCCGAGAAAAGTCGGGGAGGTTGAAGCGGAAGGCGCTGGTCTTCTCGAACTTGTTCATGAGAATCATCATCTCCTTGCTCACACCCTTGGGCCTGTCTCGTCCTTGTTGATTGGCTGCAATAGCTACAATGGTTAGCACTGTGCTGAATTGGCTTTATCTTGGTCTCTAGAGTTGTCGATGCAGTCGTGAACTTACCTGAAGATGCGCCAGAGTTGTTGTCATCGTCAACCTCCTCGTTGGAGTCGGGCTGGCTTCCCTCGTCAGAGGAGGGAACATGTTGGGCCGAGGGGCCGGCAGGAACTGTTCGACGGTCAGTCAGGTAACTATCATCGATGTTGTACTATCGAGGAAGAGGGCTTCAACGTCTTGCTGCGAGGAATCTCCACGCTCGTACAAACACAAGAGCACTGGACATTTCTTGGACGATTCTGGAGGGAAGTATAGGGGATACGGTGGCTCTCTTGGTGGACAGAGAGCATCATTGGAGTATACTAGGCGTCAAGGGGAAGATTCTTACCCTCTTCATGGCTAGGAAGACCCGGGCGCCGCTTCGCTAGAGAATTGGTCTCTGGCTCAGTGCTCGCCTGCCGCTTTCCTGCGGGCGCTGACGTCGACATCATGATGACGGTCTTGGTAGACTGGAGGTGGAAATGGGGATGCAAAGACAGAAACAGAGAAATAGAGAGGTAGAGAGAAGTGTGTACGTGTGCTTGTGTGTGTGTGTGTGTGTGCTTCTATGTGTGCTTGTATGCGTATGCGGAAAGGAAGAGGGAGGTCGACCGTGAGGAAAAGAGGCTGAGAGACAAGAGAGAAAAGGAGGGGGAGGGAGAGAGATGGAGGGAGAGTGTGTGTGGGAGGGACTCTGTCGTCAAACACAAAACAAATAACAAAATTGTGGGCATAATCCCCTTCCTTGACGTGTTCGTGTCTGCGAGGATCGAGGATGTATTCATTCGGGTCTGGTGTCGACAAAGTATCTTTTCGTGACAAGTTCCAGTAAAGCCTGGTTCATCTCTTACAACATTTTTCAGTGTATGGCTGAGTGCCAGGCATGATATTGCCATAGGATAAATTATGGTTTGAGGCTCAATGGGCCATGACTTTTCACCATAGTCCTGGTCCGGCTTCTATATGAAGGCCTTCCTGCATTCATGTTCAAACAGCCTTGTGCTCAAGCTTATATGTCAATAGTCCTGGTATTTCAATTTGACGTGCACGCATGTTCATTCAGAATGTTTAGAGATCAAGGTCAAGTGTAAAGCTATAAAGGGCTGCAGATTGTAGGTACAATGGGAAGCAGCTTGATAGTAAGAAAGCATGCTGAGAACTTGCATGAAGTCATCTCAGGCTGCATATGGCAAAGGTAATTGATAACAAACTGCAAGTCCTATTTTAGTTTCTAGCATCATATCGAATTACTACAGAAAAAAGTAACTTGTAACATTGTGAGGTACAATAGGGCTTCTGGAAGACCTGTCGAGACCTTGGTCACATGATGTGGTCTCCCACATTCCATTGAAATCTGATTAGAGAGCTCTGTGTGTGCATAAGACGAGTAGTTGTTGTACACTTGATATCAAGTTCGAGGTCAGGAATAGCTTTCTTTGTGTGATGGGGACCTGTCGTCCTGATCTTTCGGCCCAAATAGCATACTGGGTAAATACATAGATAGTTGTGGTGGTGGTCTTGTCTTGCACTCTGCACCTTGTTATCTGAATTATATACAGCAGAAATTCAAAACCCTCCACTCACAGACTTGAGAGCCAGCCAAGCAACTCCTGGTGGAAACTCTCAGGATCCTCAATCTGGGGTGCGTGTCCCAAGTCTGGAAATTGAATCAGAGTGCTATTCGGTATCAAGGCTGCCGCCTCTGGCCCCAGAACACTATAGTTTCCAATCACTGCCTGCACTGAGGCAGGCGACCATTTCTTTCCGATCGCTGTGTTGTCCTTGTCCCCAATCATCAACAACGTCCGCGGTGTTAACAGGGGAAACTCATAGATCACTGGCTGCGTGAAGATCATGTCGGTCGTTTGAGCCTGGTTGTAGATGAACTGTTGACGTTCTGAACCGTAATAGATGTTGTACAGCATCGTGACCCACTCGTCGTATTCTGCTTTCCAGGTGTTGACATAGTACGTGTTTTCCTCGTAGGCCATAATCGACTCCCAGGTTGTAGCGTTCTCCGTAACCCAGCCATCATCGATACTTTCATACGGAACCCCTTTGTCCTGCCAGTCTTCCAAGCCAAGCGGGTTCACCATCACGAGTGCGGTCATGTTGGTCGGGTACGTGAGGCCATAACGGGCGGCGAGCATCCCGCCTGTGCTGTGGCCTATGATGGTGGCATTGTAGATCCCCAGCTCTCTCAGCAGGCTGTTGGTGTTCAGCGCCAGCTGCTGGAACGAGAACTGGTATCCTACGGGCTTCGTAGACTTGCACCAGCCCACTTGGTCGGGGACTACCACTCTGTATCCAGCGCCTGACAGTTGCTGGATCGTCTCATTCCAGGTTGCTCCGCAAAAGTTCTTGCCGTGAAAGAGGACAGCAACCTTTTCTGTGGTGGTATTGTCGCCCGTGAGAGAAGAGGTGTTGATAGGTGCCGGTGGGACGTCCATGAAAGCCATTTCCATGGGTTTGCGTTGGGAAGTGAATTTGTAGACTTTGATAGGATAGGGATATGTGAAGTTCGAGCCATTGAGGTCAATAGGCTGGGGGCTGTCGTCAATATAGCCACCACCTCCGCCCACTGACCCTATAGCTTGGACTGCAGTGGTTGCCAGTAGGCCCAAGGCAAGTACTCGGCTCAAATTCCTCATCTCTGCGGTTGGGTAAGTGAAAAGAGCTGGGCAATTTGTTGAGAAGAGAGAAAGTACAGAACTCGACGAACACGGGTCACGCTACACAAGTAATAAAAGAGTCCAATGGGTTTTGTAAGAATCGAGGTTGCATTGCTCGGAGGGAGGGGTAATAGCGCGCGCGCTGCGGTGCGGGTCACCCAACACAGTGTTCTGCGCCGATAGTAACATCACCAGTGGGGGGTGGGGTATAGGGGCTGTAACCCCTAGATAAGCTCATGACGACATGGAAGTTGAGATTGTTCGATGGCTCGACCGTGTATTCTTGTGAAAATATGTTGTCGTCGCTAGTATGCGGTCGTCTTGTAATGGAGTACAACGCAGACGAGGCACTGCAGATGTCCTTCGGGAGTCCATTATTGAAGGAAATTTTGGAGGAAAAAAAAGGAAGTGCTGAATATACACATTAAAATGGTCACTGCACTTTCTTTTTTAACATGGTTCAAGTTTGTAGATACGAGGTAGCGTAAACGACAAGTTTACGATTCAACTGCTCACTATGTTTGTACGAAAGAAGCATCCATCTATTGTCACACAAACACCCAAGACCCACTTTATACACAAGTTTCAAGGGTGGTGGTGAGTGACTAATGAGAATCCAAACTTCGACTGAACTACTCATTCAACAAGAAGAAGAGGAAGAGGAAAAGGAAGAGGAAGAATTGGAATTGGAATTGTGCTTTTTCTGCGAGCGGTGTAACTGTCCAGACCCCTTTACGGCATCGCATTAAATGAAACGTATCCATGATTTAGATGTCTATCCTCCGAGACTCCCAACGACATATTGGAGCTGGTCAGGACGAATAGTCCCGCGTGCTCCTCTCGGCTCTGGAGCTGAATGGGCGATAAGTTACTGTAGAGCCTTGAACCGTTCACAATCTGTGATAGTAGTTTGGCACTGCTGAAATGGGTTTGGAAATGCAAACATGAACTGTTTCCCATTTGCTTATAGTATAAACTAAAGATTGGCTACCGAGAAAGCAAACTTTGTCAATTGGGTTCAGGCTGCTTTCGTTACATTGATGATATCTCAATCCGAGATATTGCGAGTCCGAGCTGTCCCGAAGAACCGTTGTGCATCCGATAAATCCGACTGACTGAGTTAAATTTCGATGATAGATCACAAAGGCGCTGACATGCGTGAAGGCATCCGAGACACCCAAGTCACGCATGGGCCGGATCAGATGTACCTGTGGTGGTACAGCAAGGCCCAACCTGCGGGTCAAGTGAGGGAGTTTCTTCACTGAAAGTTAAGCAGAAGCAGACGTGCGCAGAATCAGGGGCAGACTCAGCAGCATGAGATTTTCGACCTCCACGCTTGACATGTTAGTGGTAGAACCTGACCTGTTGATGATGCACGTGGGTGCTGTCCATGGATTTCTCCAGGACGGCCATTCGAAGATGGTAACGAGTCAATCAATGTAGCAAACCGATTTCTGAAATGTGAAAACAGTCTTTCCGCCTCACGCTCTTCAGGTCAGGAATGATTTCATCTGACGGCAGATTCTGGACACCCTTTCTTGACCACGGGGACCGATGACAGCGTCGGATGAAAATTTACGCCGGTATTCCCAACTACGGGGTCTTCTGCTGCTAGTGCTTCGGCAACATCAGCAAAAAGTGACCGGGCCGTCCGGTTCTAGCAAACGATTTCATTGTGTCAGCCGTCTCACGTGGCTTCTATCTGAGCCACACGGCCTCTTTGTAAGTTCAGGCAACAAGGCAAAGGAATGTGTAGTTGAGCCTTCTTGCCCTTATGTGCGGGAGCACTGCCCTGATCGATCATTCAGCCGACATTGTATTCATCGGCGCTCACTGCCACTTATTATCTGGATACGAGTTTATGCCGGGCCAGGAGTAAAGGCAGTCACCATGATTATATACTCTCTGATCCTGTAGTATCCACCAATGCGTCCTGGCAATTGTTTATCTGTGCCTCGTGACCAATGAAAGACTATAACCTCGAGACAAAACGCGTTCAAAAGGAATGACAGCAGAGAGAGGAGCAGGGCTGGGGGGGCAAGGGTGTGTGAAAATGGTCTGGAGCCTCGTGGGATCAATAAGCACGTAAAAAAACTGACAGCAGTTCCATGGAATCTCGACCACGGATTTATCAGCCACAGGAGAATATGGCTGGAGCTAACATGCTCAGCACTGAGACTAAGATGGTGCAAGCCGCACGCATCTGTGTAACCTAGCCCCTGGATCCCTGAGTTTCCCGCCAGGATGGGGCCTAATGTCTTTGACTCTGACAAAGCAGGCTGGAATCATTTGCAAGAGTACCACAGTGGCACCGTAACTCCGGGTCATAACTGCGGGCTGGCATACAATAGCATCTTGCTGATGACTCTTGTTGTCATGATGCCACGAGACTTGATTGGATACCGATCTCAGGGAGAGGCCGCCACACAAATCCTCTAGGGCTGAAAGGGATCGATCTGTTGGTTTTCATCCAGACAGCCGAGACGTCTCGCACGTCAACGCCCCTTGTCAGTATTCCCCATACGGCATCTCGAAGTCTCCTATTGGGTATGTTTTCCACTTCATTTTCCTTTTTGGTAATTTACCAAGCCAGGTGGACCCAGGGTCTATTACTTTCTATTCATAATGATCCATTGCCACTCATGGGTATCAACGCTACTCAAAAAACGGGTTTCCGCTAGGTCAAATGTGTCTAACCTTTGCGCACCCCGGCATGACTCTCACGCCGAAGCATAACGAAAGACAAAGCATTAGTAGGAATTCGTTCGAAGTGTAGATTATGTCGATTACTACTGGCATTCCTCCGTGTCCGAAACAACACCTCATATCTCCGTGTTAAATGCAGGTGTCTTTTGTGTAGTGATGTCCAAGGTATATTTCACCATGGGGTCCTCAATCGGGAATCACTGTCTTCACCATCTTCGATCTTGTTTTATCCATCACATTCTGTATCGCTGTGTACCTAAAGGATTTTAACACAGGCTAGCAAGCTGAGAGTTAATATCCAGATCTTTTTTTTTCCTTCTCTTTCATTTCATCTCTTGATAATCTCCAACTCCTAAACCAAAGAGACATCTCATGGCTACCTCGACACACGCCCTCGCGGAGGGAGAGAAGCCAATCATACCTGGCGGTCTTGACCCAAGACCCGAACAGAGTGATCTCGAAAATAGCTCAACACGAGCGCCTTCAACAGCGGCCGAGGTGGACTACGACAAGAAGGAGGCGCTTGCCAATACCACCGATGAGGAGGAGGGGGACGTCGCCACCCCAGATCAAGCAAGCCCAGATGCAGTCAACTCTGAGGAATACCCGACAGGGCTGCGTCTGCTCTTCATTGTCGTTGCCTTGGTATTGAGCATATTCCTGGTGGCTCTCGATATGACCATCGTTGCGACCGCCATCCCTAAAATCACAGATGAATTTCACGGCCTGGCTGAGGTGTCGTGGTATAGTTCGGCCTTCTTCATGACCCTCGGCGGATTCCAGTCTACATGGGGCAAGGCATACAAATACTTCCCTCTCAAGACCAGCTTCCTCATTTCTATTTTTATCTTCGAGCTCGGCTCCCTTCTATGCGGCGTCGCGCCCAACAGCAAAGCCCTCATCGTGGGCCGCGCCATCGCTGGTCTGGGAGCAGCGGGCATCGGCTCTGGCGCGTACACCATTATTGCCTTCTCTGCTGAGCCTAAAAAGAGACCCATGTTTACGGGAATCATTGGTGCCAGCTATGGTATTGCTTCTGTCGTGGGGCCTCTGGTATGTCCTGAGCACACCCTTTCTCCCTGCAACCCCCCTCCCCCCCTTCATTTTCCCTCTCTTAACATTCAAAAATTAGATCGGTGGTGCCTTTGCGGACAAGGTGACCTGGCGCTGGTGCTTCTACATCAACTTGCCCATCGGCGGACTCTCGGGCGTCATCATCCTGTTGTTCTTCACAACACCCAGCGCCGCCAAGCCTGCGCAGGCTCCCCTCCGCGAGAAATTCTTGCAGATGGACCCCGTCGGCGTGGTTCTCATCATGGCCGCAGTTATTAGCTACATCCTCGCCCTGCAGTACGGCGGGCAGTCTCACCCCTGGAACTCCTCCGTCGTCATCGGGCTCCTTGTCGGGTTCGTGGCCCTCGTCCTCGCCTTCGCGGCATGGGAGAGGTTCCAGAAAGGCAGGGCGATGATGCCGGGACGCCTCATCGGCAACCGTGTGTACCTTGTGTCCTCGCTCTTCGCCTTCTTCTTCGCGGGCGCGTACTTCCTCATCATCTACTACCTGCCCATCTACTTTCAGAGTATCGACAACGTCAATCCCACGCAGAGTGGCGTGCGGAACCTGCCTCTTATCCTGGCTGTCACCGTCGCGACGATTGTGAGCGGTGCGGTCATCAGCTCCACAGGCCTCGGGACCCCCATCATGGTCTTTGGTTGTGCTCTGGCTGTTGCTGCCGCTGGCCTTATGTACACCTTGGATATCGGCACGCCCGCAGGCAAGTGGATCGGCTATCAGATTCTCGGCGGCGTTGGCTGGGGACTGGCGTTCCAGATCCCCATTATTACAGGCCAGGCCGTGAGCCCCGTCGAGGATCTTGCCGAGGTGACCGCCATCATCCTGTGTAAGTCATAATAATTGATGAGTACCTCATATAGGAATTTGCCCCCCCTCTCTAGAACGTTCAGATCGACTAACATCTCTATGCTCTGTAGTCTTCCAAACAGTCGGCGGCGCCTTTCTCGTCTCGGCCGCCCAGTCTGCCTTCGTCAACATCCTCATCAAGACGATCCCGTACTCAGCGCCTGGCGTCGATCCCACACTGGTCATCGCCACCGGCGCTACGGAGCTCAGGAACGTGTTCCCAGCGGAGCAGGTATCCGGCATCCTCGTGGCGTACATGAAGGGTCTGAAGATCTCGTTTGCGATTGCTCTGGGTGCGACGGCCCTGGCGCTGTTGATCGGGTTGTTTTCAAGGTGGAAGAGGTTGAATACAGCTGCCATCACTACTGGTGGCGCCGCTTAGACTTGGAGGGTGACTGGTAATAGATTATAGAGGTAATGAAAAGGCGTTGGAGGCTCAGAGGTTATTTGGATGAGCGATCATGATCTGTCATAAGTTTTGCATTGGAGCTGTATATATATATTATACTTTTTGGAGAATGGCTCGTGCCCATTTTTCATATGTTAAGAAATCCTGCTAGAGGGGCTGCCATAGATGATAGATTTCATAATCGGGAAGAGACCATCCCCCTTTATTTAGCTTATTTTGCTTACAGAAATTCTACTTTGGGGTTTCTTGTCTCTTCTCTCAGAGTACTAAAAATTGCTGTTTTATTTGATTTAATAGTACTCAATCAAGTCCACACAACTCAAGGCATAAAAATCAATCTCTGGTGAGGACAGCTCAAAGCCTTGAGATGCTATATATATTAAGTGATAATAATGACATGCTGTCTCTTCAGAACTTGCTGTTTACTTAGGTAGATACTTCTGATGAGTCCTCAATATGTCTGTTCTGAGGCTTTGGAGGCTTGGATGCATCCAGGACTCAACACATGGGCACACAGCTATACCCAATTTCTGATGCATCCACGCTGAAATTTCAGCGCATTCGTTCAGCCAAGATATATTTACACACCTGAATGAATTTCAACCATATAAATAAAAGGAATGTTTTGCCAAATCACGTTCACATTAGTCCAAGTAGAAGGAGAAAGCTGTTGTGCTAAAGTCATTGAATTTGAAGTATCATTTATGAGAGTGGCGCAGTACCTGGGCAGAATGCCCAAGAGCTCATTTGCATGAGCCTAGTAACTTGGCAAGCAAGATCTCGTCATAATTCCTACCACCAAAAGAAATCTCCTGGTATGCCAGCCCACCATGCCACCATGCTATGAAGTATATGCCCTCAAGTTGAACGGTGTCTTGGCCAAGATGCTTCAACAACAAGATGCCTTAGCCATGATAAGATGACAATGTCCATGCTCATATTCGCATGGATAACTAACCAGGCCTCGTTCACATATCACTCTCAAACACCAAAGAGGCTCTGCAGCTCCTCAATGCTCAGCCTGCCAGTGTAGGAGGCACCCTCCTCACTCAATGCTGCGTTGACAAGAGCCTTCTTCTTCGACTGCAGAGCAAGGATGCGATCCTCTACAGTACCCGCGATCAGCACGCGGTGGACCGTCACCCTGCGCATCTGGCCGATGCGGTGCGCACGATCAATGGCCTGCTCTTCCGTGAAGGGGTTCCAAAAGGGCTCTACATATGGAGTGTTAGAATGTATTTCCTCTCCATATCCATTCTTGTTTTGATAAGGAGTAGAGTACGTGGTCAAGAGAAGACAAGTGCTTCGTCTGGAAGTGAGATGCAATAAAAAATGACAGAAAGACAGATGGGGAAAAAGAAAAAGGGGCGGGGCTTCATAAAAAAAAAAGAAAAGGAAAAAAAAAGGAGGGAAAAAAAGGAAACGTACCAGATATGATGACTTGGCTCGCAGCAGTCAAATTTAAACCAGCATTGCCTGCCGTCAGGCTCACGAGCATCACCTCCACGTCTGGATTCTCCATGAAATTCTTGACAGCCGCGTCACGGGTGTCAGGCCGCATGGAGCCGTCGTAGCGCGTGTAGCCAAAGCCAACGTCCTGAATGGGGACCTCTAGCAGGTCAAGGAAGGATGTCCAGAGTGAGAAAATGAGAGTCTTCTCTCGCGGCTGGTGTCGGCGGATGTCGGCCAGGAGGGACATGATCTTGTCGATTTTGGCGCTGGACACCCACTCTTTACGGAGCCGGCGGCGGTACCGGTGCATCGCCTCTGCATTTCTGAAGGCATCGTTGCGGAGTTGGCCGAGCGAGAGGTAGTTCTGATTGCTCTTCGTTCTGCGTGAGACGGCCTTGCCTTTGCCCTTGTTCTTATTGCAGCAATTCTCGATGGTCTCGAGAGGTTCATCTGGGTCGATGTTGCTGCGTTGGCGTCTGAGAGTAAATGGACGGCCGGGTCCAGCGCTCTGTGGTGCAGCAGGCTCGTTCTCATCGTCATTATCATCATCAATGATAATGGGATGGTCCCGGGTAGTACTCGTGACAACTGAAGCTCTGCTGCTAAAGGGCTCATATTTGACGTCTGAAAGATCTTCCCGAGACTCTTGGTTGGAGGAACGGTAGGTGCCCAAAGGAGTGACCACTGAACTCTCCGGCTTCTGGCCTGGACGATTCAGGTTGTAGGACACCCTGGGTCTCTTGTTCACACGGTTTGCGTTGTAGCTCAGCTCCCAGTCTCGCTTGGGAACCATGCTCACTGCGCGATCGTTGTCATGAGCCTCAGCCTCAGCAGCTTGTCGTCGTTTCCGTTGGAGTTGCTCTCTGTAGCGCTTGGTTGCAGGGCCTGGCGACCCAGCTCCATCATAAGATAGAACAATATCCTCGTCCATCACCTGATCCTCGTCTTTGATGGCTCCGTCTTCATAATTATTGGAGGCCATCGAGCCCAAAGCAATGATCTCATCTAGATTGTCATCATCTAGATCAATGGGATCAGCAGCAGTACCCTTCAAGGTCATGCTCGCAGACGCGTGGGTGGAAGGTGTGGGGTGAGGCTGCTTGACATTGGCTGATGCCAGATGTCTGACTTCCAGGGCTTCAGCCTCTGGAAAGATGTCTCCACTGTTGTGCACAAGCTGTGCTGTTTGCTCATTGTTCTGGAGCTCACCCATGGCATTCGCAGAGCCTTGTTCATCGTCATTGTCAAGGTCCATGAACTCTAGACCCGGGTTGGGGTTCTGAATCATGGATTGCTCCGGGCTCTGGGTCATGAACAGTCCACCAGAATTGCCACGCCAAGGAGAAATCTCTGGCTCAGCACCATGCTCAGGACTACAATCAGAGGTATCCTCCATATTCTCATTCATGAGAACCTCTTGGACTTCTGTAACATTGTCCAGTTCATCAAAGGGAAATTCGTCGTCAGGAAATCCACCTTCCTCATAGTCCTCCTCGAAAGAAAAATCATTTTGGAAAGGTCTACCTCCATAGTCTGTGATGACCATGGAATCAGTGCGCTTTCTGATCTCTTCAACATCATTGGCGTAGAAGCCATAGTCCTCTCCCTCGGATTCCTGCTCCTGATTGTCAGAAATTTGGACGGATGCAGGCCTTGATCCCTCTGCATGAGCATCAACAAAGAAGTTATGCATCACGACATTCGTTCCAGTGACAAGGACACGGCAGCCAGGCTCAGGGCACTTCATCTCCATCTGCCTGCCACCATCATCTTGGGTCTCGCGGACTGACATGCCAAGGGCGAAGCACTCAGGGCAGATAGAGTGACCGCAGGGGCTGATGATGACAGCGTTCTCGGGAACAGCATCGCAGATGGGGCACTCGAACTGCTCTTGGGCCTTGATCCGCGCAACCACGTCAGGCTTCAGCTTCAGTGCGAGGGCGAGCATCTCGTCGGCGCCAAGACTGGTACCCTCGGGAGTGCCATGGTTCTTGATCAGATGAGGGTGGTCGCAGGCCTGTCGGAGGCGGAGCAGCAGCACGAGGACATAAATGTAGTTCTTCAGTACGGTGCCAGCCTTCAGATACTTGTTAAACTTGAGGCGCTGCTGACACTCGAGGGCGTGGTAGAATGCGGCCTGGTCCGGGTCGAACTGGGTGTGGGCGTCCTCTTCTCGGCGAGGGGGAAGTCGAATGATGGGCTGCCCATCAAGACGCGATTCCTTCGTCCGTCGTATGGTGATGCTTCGGATGACGGCCTGGAGCTTGCGCAGTGCTGCCGCGCCTCGATCCCCATCCCACTTCTGGATAGGCCGGTCAATCTCCTCGCTGAAGCGCTCCCATCTGTCGTAAGGTGCGATGCGCAGGAAACGGATGAGGGGGTAAATCTCCGCCGCGCGGTTCATGAACGGTGTTCCCGTCATGCAGAGTCGATATTCGGATTGAATGGCGGCAGCAGCAAGCGACGCCTTGGTGGACTTGTTCTTGATGTTGTGAGCTTCATCGAGTATGACACGGTAGAACAAGGACTGGGGGTGGAGGATGGCCACTCCCTTCAGCTTGTTCAGTTCAAATCGAGCCTTGTACTCTGCTGTGAGCTTTCCGTAGGTACAGAGGACGATGTCATGATCAAGAACCTCGTCGACCGACGTGGTTCCCTTGATACCGCCGTGGAAAACGATTGTCTTGAGTTGGTATTGGGGCTTGATCTTGGTCTCGATTTCGCTCTGCCACTGTCGCAGCAAGGCGAGCGGGGCAACGATGAGCGTAGTCTTGCGGGCTCCGTCAGAGGACGGACGGGCGACGATGAGGGCCAAAGCTTGGATGGTTTTCCCCAAGCCCATACCGTCTGTAATTTGTAGTAAAATGAGTGGTTAGCAAGCTGAGAAAACAACGGGAGTCAACTTTGGGATGGACAACCACAAACCTGCAAGGAGGCCACCTCGCTTGTTGCGATCCTCTTCCTGCCGCATCAGCCAGCTCAAGCAGACCTTCTGGTGCTCCATCAGTTGGCAGCGCATCTGGCGCGGCGTCTGTACCCTCTGCTCACGAGGGATGTTGATGGGAGGCAGGACCAGCAGGTTTCGTACGTCCTGCTGCAGCTCTCGGTGAGCTTGCTGCAGCTCGTCGCCGTTTGCATCCATGCCGACTAGATGAGGATAAAAGGGCTCAGGGCTAGTTTCGAGAGGAAGATTGACGAGCTCAGGGGAAGCAGGTGGAAAATCGGCAGCTGGGTTGCTGCCAGTCGTAAGGGGAGGGGTAGGAACAGAGGGAGTGTCAGGGTTGGTTTCAGAATGAGCGTCACGAGGCGCGTCAGGAGACGCGTCAGGAGACTGGTGAGAAGGAACCTGCGAAGGGGCATGCGAGAGAGCGTAATAAGGGGAGTGAGAAGCGGTGTCAGAAGAGCGCGTGCCGTCCTCCACTAGAGGCTGGCCGGGGAAGGCGATGCGAGCAGGAGGACGAGGGGTCGAGGGGCTGGATCGACCGCCTAGAATGTAGTCGGCGACGAGCCGTTGACGTCGAGGGTCCGAGAGATTGCTTTGTTTACTCATTTTGACTGGGCTCAAGGCCAAGGAGCACCTGATCGTTGAAGTGTGTTAAACTATTGACAACAGACCAGGTGCTGGAGTTGTTTTTAGTATGGGACGACGCGATTGACGAAGTTGTAGGTCAGGAAACCTTGTTGTGGATCAGGTTAGTTTTAGACGAGACGTGGCGCGCGTAAGAAGATAGCTGGAGAGGTTGAAGTCACAAAGAGACGAAAAGTGAATGAGTACAGGGTTGGGGAAAATGAGCAGACCTACAGGCCAAGATAATTGTCTGACAAGGATTCGGTTAGGGCTAGACGAACTACGGTGAGTGTAAGAAGACTTCTGGAGGATGACGGTAGACGTCGGAAGGTTTGGTGCGCAGAAAAATATGTCAATATATTGTTTTAGAAGGAGGCAGAGGCGGAGGCGGAGGATGGGCATCAGCGAGTTGTCCAGCGAGGGGCGAGGGGCGAGGGGCGCGGGGGGGCGATATTGATGCGGAGCTGATTATGACTTCGAAAATTATGAAAATGATGAGGCACAATGAGTTGTGATCCATACGACAAAATTGTTCGAGAATGGTGGTAGAAGTTGGAAGGTTAGGTGCGAAAAAAGTCAGGTCTGAGGGGGAAGTAACATGCAAGAGAAGACTGCTCAACAGAATGGATGATACTTACGCAAGCAGGTCGCTAAGAGATCGAAACAAGACCAAAAACTTTTCAGGTCTGAATATTTTGTGGCAGATGTGAGAAGATTGTCTGGGAACGATTCTGAAAGTCAGGAGGTTGGCAGTGATGGATTCTAAGCCTAGACGACCTGAAGTGAATGCGAAAAAGTTTACTCGAAAAGGTTGGTGAAGTTAGAAAGTCGGATATGAGGGAACGCATGCCTGGCCTGGGAAATGTACGTATTAAACATTTTCCATCAAGAATGACAGAGATTTGAAGTTGAAAGAGTAGGACGAAAGTCAGTTCTCAATGAAAGATGACTGGAGTGAGAAAGGTATTAGAAAAGTTGCTAGACTGCAAAAGTTATCAAAGAAACTCCGTCTAGAGGGAAGTGAACTTTGAACGTGGGGAGACTGTTTAATAGGAACGGTTGAGGTAATGATTTGGTTGAAGTTCGTGAAGAACAGGGAGATGTGAAGTGGAAGTTTTTGAGTCACTGGTTGTTGAGAAGGTATGATAGAAGTCAGGGAGGTCGTAAGATTATAAGTCTGTACAAAGTGGATGGCTTTACGCGTGTGGAAGATGCTATATATGGATTGAGGAGAAGTCGATATTGAATAAGGCACCCAGAACAATGTCCACTCGATAAGGGGACAGCTTCGACCGTACCTTTGATTGGAAACAGCCCCAAACATAGTCACTGACAAACCAGAGGAGTACTGACCACACCTCAAAACACATCGCGTTCAGTTTATGCGAGAATGGCAGTGATCAGAATGCGTCCGGCAAATTCTTTAAGCGAGTACGTACTTGAGCATACACGCAGTAACAATTGAGTTCGTGTTGGAAGTTAACAGTTCAGGAGCAGTACTGAGTCTGCTTCGAGAATCACAGCAAGTTGCGAGACGCTTATTTATCCTGTGACTGCCCTCAGAAGAGGCCTATAGAGAAGCTTGATTATCCTAAAACTTGTGGCGGAAAATACAGGTCATTATGTTATGTAGAAGAGTCAGTCCATAATTACGTCTAATGGAAAGCGGGAACTTTGTCAAAATGCTCATTCCGTTGAACCGTATGAGAGAACTGCCAAGTAGCCTCCAAATCATAAGCGTAACAGAAATAGGAAGTCCTTTGTGGAGTGATGCAGACGGAGATCATCCCCTTGAGTATATCTTCCAAAGAGTGAAGTGAGGGCTTGATAATTACCCTAAGAAAACAGGGGGTTTCTGGTCCCATTTTGAAGAGTTACTGGCAAAGTTAATCGAGTCTGAAAAATATTTCTCCTTGTTGCCTCTATTCTCAAGAGTGTCCAGCCACTGGCATTAGGCACCTCGCCTCAGCTCTCAGAAGAGGTAATCAGTCCAGCTTATTAGAGTTTATGAACAGCATGAAGACTGCTGCTACAGTTGTAAAAGATATAGACCTGTGTAAGTAAGTTCCTTGGTTTGATCAAGAAATGAAGACACGTATGATTACACATTTAACCTTCTGATGTTAGAGAAGAAAGGGAGGGACTCGTGGCAGTTGAAAGAACAGGCGCCTAAGGTCTCAGCATTCCTCATGCATTGATGAGAACTGACCAACAGATGATCAGAAATGCGACCCAGAATAACGTCCAATTACCACCAGAGCAACATCGGAATGGACTCTCAAGTTGTGGACGGAGATATACGCCCATGCTAGAGCATAAAGATGGCAGTTTCCAATGCGTTCGAAGGCGGAAGAGCAGCTCGCGTGGTCGAAAGTCTTGGAGCCACTGCCACTAACGAGTCCCTAAATGGTACTCTGGAGTAGAGGTTGCCTGATAGATAAGGGCGGGATCGCGAATTTAGAAGCATCTGATCATGCCTGGACTAGACACCCTCGATCTCTGAGTCCTTTTCTTTTTCTCCCCCTTTTTCTTTTTCTTTCGGTGTTATGTATTGTATATTGTACTTAATTCGTGTTCGTGTGTTTGACATAAGCAGCACGCAGTGCTTGGTGTAGATTATCTCAGGTGGCTCACCGGACGATCTTAACTCTATGGCACGCTCGGTTCGGCGGCCAGGTCTCATTGGCTGGTCGTCATTTGGAGCAGCCCTGGCTCGCAATGACACCGAGCCCATTTTTGAATACTTCCTTCCTCAACAAATTGAGGTTCATCCTTTCTGTCGCCAACAACTGCGCAAGCCTTGGCACGCAAAATCATCCAACTGGGAAGCCAATAGTCCTGGCAATGGAGGTGTTTAAGACTGGCCAGTGTCGTCATACGGACGAATAATTCTATCAGCAGATCCCTGGTCTGGCTAGCTAAGCTTTCAGGGCCCAGCTGCAGGCTGCATGGGAAGGTTGCCTCCGTTGCAGGGGTCCCAGGCCGAAAGTGGGAGGCCAAATTTGGGAGCGCAAAAGTGCCTCTAGTGAAACCCAGGATAGACCTGGATCTGCTATTGCGCGCTGTCGTTCATCAGAAAGAGATGGAGTTTAAAGACGCGCTCTGGTTTGTGGTCCTCACCGGACTCTGACGGTCTGTGCCTCATGGTAATGCAGGCATAGCATGTGGCAAGAGTGTCAGGGCCAATGAGGAGGTCGGTGGAAAGAATCTTGCGGGCCTAGAGGAGAATGTAACCAGCCCTTTGGTGGGATCGTTTCTGGATGCGGCTCAACGGGATTCTGATACGAACACTTTTGTTGTATGCAGGATGCTGAAAGGAGGAGGAGGGATGGTGTTGTCGCAAGGCAGACTGTACTGTACTTCAGTATACCATGTCAGGCTGAACGAGATGAAGGAAGGTGCTGCTCCATCTGATGTGGCCTGATATGGGTAAGATCTCTCTACGTAGGTGCTCATGATTGGTGGCAACCTGTCGAGGTGCGCAATAAATTCAGGCGGGTCCCTTCAAGACAGGCGGGGAGGCAGATTAATCACAGCTGCCAACAGATCGGGTTTAGACTTATCTCTCTGACATACAAAGTGAAGTGGTGGCTTTTGTAGCGTTGGAGGGGCGCTGGAGCTTATTTTTACTATGGTACATAGCACTACCCAGCATGCAGCCACATGTATCTAATGCAGGCCTGCTGCACTGGGCTTACTGGAAAGTTCCTAGAGATATGTTCCTGGCTTTGAACACTTGGCTTGGATTCCTTCCCCCCAAAACTATTGTTGTCTCTTGTTGTGCACTTCTTTAACAAAAAAATTTCATTCTCCGTGTGAACATGAAGAGAACAAGGCGCTGAAAAGGAAAGAGGCCCTCTCTTGGCTATGAACCTTGGACCCTAAACCCCTACAAACCATACAACCCTACAGCTCAGAGCTGCGACAGCTGAGACAGCTCACACACACGTCCATTCCTCGGATTGACCCACTGCCCTGTGACGCCATGGGCTCCCCTCTTGTGACGCTCGCCGCGTCCAAGCGGTCCAGAATCGTCACATCTCTTCTCCTCGCCACATTTATTGTCTTCTTCATCTCGAGAGTGAGCGACCCTGGCGCCCTGTTGTTCGGCAGGCCAGTATCACAGATACCGGTATCGGAACAGAGGCCAGACGAGTACAATGGCCCGCGGTTCGAGCTCTTCGGCATCACAGACTTTGGTACAGAGGTCGAGGTCGCCACGCTGAGCATCAAAGTCAAGCAGGACGTGGCGACGAAGGGCAGCCCAGCCCTCGGGCACGGCCGCAAGCCGTCTCCTGCCCAGCAGAACGCGAGACAGGAGGTCGGCAACGATGGCAGCCTCCAAAACCCCTACCAGCGCCAGCTGCCTATCACCATGCCCAAGCTGACGACATACCAACTCGACGCACCGGGCTTCAACTTCACGGACCTCGAGCAGCCCGCGCCCGGCACGCCCCTGGCCTCCATCACCCTCGAGTTCCCTCCCAAGAAGCAGTCGCCCGACGCGTCCAAGATGATCTTCGGCGTGGCCACGACGCTCGACCGCATGCCCGAGAACCTGCGCAACTTCCAGCACTGGGCGGCGCGCACCAGTGCCCGCCTCGTCGTCGTACACGAGCCGCGCAATGAGACGCTGCGGCCGGGCGAGCCCTCCGCCGAGGAGATGGAGCAGCTATTCAAGGGCGCGGGGATCGAGCGCATTACGCTGGTGGAGAGAGACCAGGGCTGGGGCGAGCGCTTTGTGTCACTGCTGGGCGTGCTGCACGACCGCATGGAGCCCCAGGTGGAGTGGGCTGTGCTGATGGATGACGACACCTTCTTCCTCGACCTGGACGCCGTGCAGGCCATGCTAGCAAAGTACAACCCATCCCAGCTGTGGTACGTGGGTGCGCTGAGCGACAACAAGTGGAACATCAACAATGGCGGGCTCTACGCTGTTGGCGGCGCTGGCATCTTCATCTCGCGCCCCCTGCTGGAGACGATGCGGCCGTTTGCAGACGGATGCTTCCCCGAGGAGGGCACGATGGCTGGTGGGGACACGCTTGTGGGCCAATGCATTCACCGGCACACCACGACCAAGCTGACCCTCGAGCACGGACTGTACCAGCTGGACCTGCACGGCGACGTGACGGGGTTCTATGAGGCGCCGAGGCCCCAACCGCTGAGCGTGCACCACTGGAAGAGCTGGCACCACCACGACATCCCCGCCGTCGCGACGGTCGCCAGGGTTTGCGGCCGGCCCTGCGTGCTGCAGAACTTCCGCTTCCAGGACGGCTGGCAGATGAGCAACGGGTTCAGCATCGTCAAGTACGGCTACGGCGACGCGGAGCTGGCGGTGCAGCACCCGCAGGCGATGGAACATACTTGGAAGCACACCGAGTGGGAAATCGAGGACAGCTGGGATTACAGCTTCGCGCCGCTCAAGGAAAGGGACGAGGGCAAGGTACAATTCCTGATGGAGAAAAGCGTCGTCGAGCTGGATGGTAGCGTCACTTTGTACTATGTCAGGAGAAAGAACGGCATTGGGAACGGGTTGATTCGGATGATCTGGCGCTGAGGGCTGCTCTCTCGAGACTGCATACAGACTTGTGGGGAACGACTTGAAGTCTTTCTAAGGCGCGGGCAAGGAATGGAGGCTATGAAAGCCATTTCCAGCATCTTTGCCATCGAGATGGAACCCCTGACTTTGACTCCAAGGAGACGGACTGCCATCACACAGGTCTTGATCCAAACCTTGAGTCGGAAGGAGAAGAGCTGCTGGTGGAACCAAGAGGTTAACATGGGGACAAAGGAGGCTCCAGTTCAATGAACCTCCGCAGGGACAGGAGCACCTGGACGCGTGAGCCCAATTCTCACACACGCCACACGGCACGCCGCAACTGGGGCGCGGAGGGGCCTCTTTCTGAGCATCAATACGCTAGGCATCACGATTTTATGAGTAACAACAGCACGGTATACACAGGCATTACACCAGAGCAAGTTTCTATGCTTCGCCAATACACAATTGTACTATTATCCTTCTACACACGTCTCGAATAGATCAATGTGATTCACGACCAGAGCTCCTGCCGAAGTGACTACAGCCCATTCAACCTTGCCCGTTGACGTTCACTGTGCTTGGTGCTTTGATGGTGGTCGCTCCCATGGGCTCTCGCCTTCTGTCTTTACCTTTCAAAAAGTTGCCTGTTGTTTTCTGCTTACTGATGGTGCAGAGATGGGCGATGGCATAGAAGGCTCCTCCTACATCCCTCTACAGAATAACCCACCGGCAGAGACACTCGCCCTTTCCCATAGTTCCTACAAATCAGACATGTCTTGTTCCTTCTGGTTGTATAATTTGCCCCTCCTTTGGGGGGCGGAGTTGCCCAACTGCCTTATTTGTATAACTTTCTCATCTTACGTTCTTCTCCATCCCTCCATCTTTGAGAAGACAGGAAGTGGAAGTGGAAATGTGCCACGTTCGCGAGAATGAGATGAGTAGCACATGTTGCTTCCTAATGAGTTATTCGAGGGTGGTGACTGCACTGAGGGGATATCTCGTTCCTTACCTCCTTGGGCGAGTGGGAAGGAGGCTGTAGGTGGTAGTATGGGAATCTACAGGGACACAACTGCTCCTGCTGTTGGCCGAGTTCTTGACTCCCGAAGAAGGCACCGCCCAACGAGGATCAAAACAGACAAGATAAACCTCTTCCCCCTTCTAACTTATCGTTGTTCTCTTTTCTTCCTCTTCTTCTTCTTCATCCATCCATCTCTCTCTCCGCCACCCCCCACTCCACCCATTTTTGGACCGCCCCATCACCATCATTTATTTTCCCCAGGCTCTTCAGCATTCCACTACCTTCAATAGACTTACGCTCATATAATCTTGTTTTCTCACGCACTCTCTCCTGCTTGCTTCTAGCTGTGGAGCCATAAATCACCTCCTCTGCTCGGACTGTCACAGACTCCCATCCGCCATCATGTTCAGCCCAGCTACCATTGCGGCCCTCGCGCCCTTCATCCTGGGCCTTGCCCAGGCATCAGCCGTGAGTTACAATTTTCTTCCTTTTAGACCTACTGCCCTAGCTTCCTCGTCCCATTCTGACTTCCCTTTTTCCCTTACAACAGGTTGAAGTACCTCGTGAGCTGCCTCACGATGTCACCCTCAACCCTGCCAGTCCCGCCCTGGTCATTGGCGGTGGCTATGACTGCTATCCCTACAACGACAGTGATTGTTACAAGAAGTACTGGGACCAGTACAAGAAGTGTCACCCGTACGACAAGCCTTGCTACAAGGACTGCCATGACTACGATGACTACAATGATCACTGCAAAAACTACGACAAGAGCTACGGCAAGTGCTACGATAGGTGCTACTACGACTACGACGGTTGCGACAAGTACAAGGACTGCCACAAGAATGACGACTCGTGCTACAAAAAGAAGAAGGAGGAAGGCTACTGCCAGCCGGATGACACCAAGTGCCGGGACCGACACCCGTATCCTCACGACTTCTGCAAACCTTGGGACTGGGACTGCCACAAGGCGAAGCATGAAGACAAAGACTACGAATGCCATCCCCGCAAGGACAAGAACTGCTACCCAGACTATCCTGACTACCCTGACTATGATGATGATAATCATGGGGTGGATCCTCACCATCCCAAGGGCTACGTCAAGGTTGTCTACCACGGCCCTAAGGGGCACTACGAGCAGCAAGTCTGGCCTGATGGCGATGAGGCTTGGACTAGTAAGTGATCTCTCATCTCTGTCTGCCCTTGTGTTCTTGGCCAGGGCGACCCTCCCCCAGCCGGCCCTCCGTCTCTCGGCACCATGTACCATGCTGACATTGTCACAGATCATGACCAATTTGTCGTGGATCACATCAAGTACTACCTCGAAAAGGAGGACAAGAACGTCCGCTGCCTTCCCATGAAGTCCTGGTTCCCTTGGATTCCGCTTCCGATTGAGAAGTACCAGGAGAAGGAGGAAGAGTACGGAAAGAAGGTTCGCATCATCAAGCTGAAGGAGCCTATGCCGGTGGAGGTGATCCGCTGTGATTTCCCCTAGACTTGTCGTCGACTCCTTGTTTATGGTCTTGTCTTGTTTCTATCCTCCGATTTCGTGTTTGGCGAATGGTGGGGGTCTTTGTAGCGAGGGTGACGGTCTTTGGCCATCATCGACTGGGGGCGCTGGTCACTGAGCTTGTAAACATGAGGTTGATTTTACCCTAGAATGACTCTCGAGCAATTACACACACTCCATATATCTGCTGTCTCCTGTCTGTCTGAACCCAAAGAAGATGTGTGCGTGTCCAGACGTGTGTGCGTCAAGCATTTCGCCACTCACAGTCACCGACCCCAGTATCATCATGATTAGACGATCCTCCTATCTTGCTCCTGCATTGTCTTTATATAGACGTAATCACATCCTGTCGAATGTCCGAAGACTCAGCGCCCCTGGTGTCCTCCTTTCCCTTCACCGCCCTTTACCCAGCCAATCCCCTAGTTTGATCACAAGTCAACAAACTCCCCTTTGATATACCTGCCATCTTTGATACCATGCAGGTATCTGACGACTTTTTCAGTCATCTTTGTTGTCTCGAAACCGAAGTGTTGGTAGATATATTTGCCAGGCAGACTGTGCCCGAACGTACGCAAACTGATTCCTGCATCCGCATATCTTTCCCATCCGTTCGGTGCATAAGGCTCAATGACCACTGCAGGGATACCGCCTGGCCCGTGACGAGAAAGTACTTGGCGGCGATACTCGATAGGCTGCATTTCGAACAGCCGCCAGCACGGAAAGCTGACCACCCTCGCGCTGACACCGCGTCTCCTGAGCTCGTCGGCCACGTTCACCGCGAACGAGAGCTCAGCACCTACACCGATGATCGTGATATCGGCCACGGTGCCATCGTCAGCCTCGCGGAGGACATATGCGCCCTTGGCCACGCCATCCCTGCTCGTCAGGCCGCCAGCGCCGCCACCGCCGTGCAGCTGGGGGACCTTGTGGCGGCTCTCGCTGACAATACTCGGGCCGTCTTTGTGCGCGATGGCCACGGTCCAGGCACCGGCGGTCTCCTCGGCATCTCCAGGGCGGAGGTAGAGCAGGCTCGGCATGGCACGGTACAAGGAGGCCAGCTCGATGGGCTGGTGGGTGGGGCCGTCCTCGCCGGCGCCGATGGAGTCGTGGGTGGCGGCGTGGATGACGTGGAGGTTTTGGAGGGCGCCCATGCGGACAGCGGGCGCGGCGTAGAGGTAAAACATGAAGAAGGAGGATGTGATGGGGAGAAAGGTGCCGTGATTGTAGGCAGCGAGGCCGTTGGCTATGGCGGCCATGGCGTGCTCGCGGACGCCGTAGTGGATGTAGCGACCTGAGTAGGCGCCGTTGATGCCACAGGAGGTTTTGAGATCGGGCTATAATATCGCGAAATCATTAGCTATGGTGATCAAGGCTGATAAATGAGAGGTGAAGGGAGGAGGCCCACAGGTTGAAAGTCCACTTTTCCATCCCAGATCATATTGACAGACGGAGACAGGTCTGCCGTGCCAACCATGAAGGAGTTGATCTCCTTTGCGAGCGGGTTGATGACCTGCCCTCCAGACACCCGAGTTGCCGTGGGCGCAGTATCAAAAGTCTTGGGGATCAAATCTCGCCAGTCCTTACGAATCTCACCACGCATGCGAGACTGCAGCTCCTCACCCAGCTCCGGAAACTCCTGGCAGTACCGTCCCAACAGGTTTTCCCACTCCCGTACCAATTCCTCTCCCCTCTCTGGCAGGTTGGCAAAGAAGGCCCTGACCTCGTCACTGATCTCAAAATGCTTTTCGGGATCCAAACCATTGGCCTGCTTCATCCTCTTCACGTCGTCTACGCCGAAGGGTGCGCCATGGGAGGCTGCCTTGCCAGCGACTGCGCTGCCCAGACCGATGGTGGTCTTAATGTTGATGAACACGGGCTTGTCGTTGGACTGCCTGGCCTTCTCTAGGGCTTGAATGATTCTCTCAATGTCGTAGCAGCCATCTTGGACCTCAAGAACGTCAAACCCGCAAGCACGCATCTTGGCGTTGATGTCTTCGTTGTTTACCATGTCGACTGACCCGTCACAGGTGATCTGGTTGTTGTCGTAGCTATACACCGCCATCAGACTGATTGATTGTCATGAATTAGGTGTGTAAGAAGTACAAAACTCACATGATCGTCAGGTTGTTCAACTTCCAGTGCCCAGCGAGCGAGATAGCCTCCAGACCCACGCCCTCCTGCAGACAGGCGTCGCCTACCATGCACCAGGTGTGGTTGGAGACTATGTCGAGCCCGGGCTTGTTGTATGTCGCCGCCAGGTTCTTGGTCGCCATAGCGAGGCCCACGGCGTTGGCGACGCCCTGGCCTAGGGGTCCCGTGGTCACCTCGATGCCTTCAATCTCGATCTCTGGGTGGCCTGGGCAGAGGGAGTCTGCGCGCTCGGAGTGGTAGGACTTTAATTGGTCAAAGGTCATAGCTTTGTAACCTACCAAGTGTAGGAAGGAGTATTGGAAGAGGCAGGTGTGTCCTGGATATTGGTGTGTTAGAATTCATAATCTCGTCGTCTCCTTCTTCCCTGTTTTTTCCCCGGACATTTTCTGAATCTTCTCAAAGTTGACTGGTTGGAGGGTGCTGAGAATCGCTTTTCATGCAGTTCAATGATGAATGACGGAGCTCACCATTTGACAGGACAAAACGATCTCTGTTGAACCAGTCCGGACTGTGAGGTGCGTAACGCATCACATATTTCCACAGACTCACACCTATGGCTGCCATGCCGATTGCGCCACTGCTCATTGGGACATGTGTCCATGATTAGCCTTGAATCCGTGCCGGCCTTGGTCGAGAGCATATAACAATGTAACTTTTGTTTTTTTTCTTCTTTTTTCTTCTGCATTGGTGACTCACCCCGGGTGGCCCATGTTGTATTGCTGGCATAGATCAGCAATCAGAATACGGTATGTCTTTAGGACATGATCATGGTGCTTGGACAGGTCCGTCGCAGAAGCGGGCTGCTGCTTCTTCGTGACGAGTTCGTCCTGGACGGTGTGGAGGGCGGTGCCTCCGTTTTGCTCCAGCCTTCCTGGCGCCATCTTTACATTTGGGAATATCTTCAAGGATAGAGAGTTCTATTCGGAAACGAAATTGGAAAGATGTTGATTCACTAAAGCTCCGCAAAGAGAAAATAGAGGCGCTGTACGTCCATTGAAATTTATAGGAAAAATTAGTTGTCAACATTGCCACACCGAATCGTGGCAATGATTGGATACTTCAACGTCTACCGTCACCTCAACGGCTCTCCACCGCCCGCATTAGCAAGAGACCCTCATTGCCCAATCCCCAGATCTAGTTTCGGGAGAAAGATGCTGATAATCACGGGGCAAAGATCTGGGGAAATTCTCCGCGAACGACCCGGCTTACCAAAGTAGGCAATCCGACTCTTGTTCAAGACCCTCAAAAGGGTCAACAAGAAAAATGTAATCGCAAAAAAGAAGCCTCTATAAACCAACCTATCATAGGGGCGCCCTGGCCGCGGAGATTCCAAATCACCGAGAAGGTGTGGTGGCGGCGGACGTCTTTGACCCTAACATCATCATATACTGATGAGGCCTTGTTTGGATGATCATGGTTTGCTCTTCCGGTGACGGACATATGATTTGCATCCACAGCGGGGGCGTCGACGTGTTCGGTCGTGAGGAGAAGAGAGGGGGAGGGTCACTTATCTATGGAACCCCATCGGCAGCCAGTAAAGGCAATTAATTTTTTGAGTATTTTCTTTGAGCGAAGTTTGATATTCATGAGATTAATCACGAAATTCAGCCTCTTCATTTGAATGAGTCCGTAAACTGATTAACTGGGTGTGCACTTTATATATACATTTTCTTTATTCCCCATATCATGATCTCACAAAGTCACAACTGCGCAATAAAGAAAAAGGAAGCATAAGAATAAAATAGAAATGGCATCACAGAATATCACAACCACACAGCACGACCATCATCGCGAAACCATTCAAGGTCCCCTGCCCAATTCCTCCCTCCAAGTCACCGCCGACCACCAGCTCAAACTGGTCGAGGCCCCCATCTACGCACCCGGCCCAGGAGAGGTCCTCGTGCACGTCAAGACGACAGGAATATGCGGCTCGGATGTGCACTTCTGGAAGTCCGGCCGGATAGGGTCGCTCGTCGTCGAGGGCGACTGCATCCTGGGCCACGAAGGGGCGGGGGTGGTAGTCAGGTGTGGCGAGGGCGTGACGAGCTTGCAGCCTGGGGACAAGGTGGCTGTCGAGCCGGGCGTGCCGTGTGAGAAGTGTTTCCTGTGTGGGATGGGGAAGTACAACCTTTGCGAAGACGTTCGGTTTTCTGGGGTTTATCCTTACGACGGAACGCTGCAGCGGTATAAAGTCCATCCTGCGAGATGGCTGTACAAGTTGAGTGGGCTGTGGCGCGAATGAGAGATGCCTGGTCTCTAGGTCTTGAATGAAAAACGCCTGCTAACGAAAGAGTTGAGTTGTGAGAGCTCAGGATGCCTGATAGCATGACATTCGCCGAAGCCGCCCTCCTCGAGCCTCTGAGCGTTGTCCTCCAGGCTCTGCGGGTCGCCAACCTCACCCTCGGACGCGGAGCAGTCATCTGCGGTGCCGGACCTATCGGTCTGACAGCTCTCCTTGCATCTCGGGCATCTGGTGCTCATCCCATCGTCATCACAGATGTGGAGCCAGGCCGTCTCGAGTTCGCCAAACAGCTCGTGCCGTCCTGTCTTACCTATAAAGTCGACACATCCCTCGACGCGCGAGGCAATGCGAGGGGGATTAGGAACCTGTTTGGTGCTCGTGGAGGTGAAGGCGAGGTTGGTGAGGAGTATCTTGCGCCGCCGTGTGTGATTGAGTGCACCGGTGTTGAGTCGAGCGTCTGCACCGCAGCGTTTACGGTTCGTCGTGGAGGCAGGGTAGTGGTGGTGGGCGTCGGCAGGGATATTATGAACAACTTGCCATTTATGCACCTTTCATTGGCAGAGGTATGAATTCCCGAGCATTTCCCCCAGAACACACATCATCTTCTCAATGCTACTACTCTGCTGTGGTTCTCAGCAAAGGAAAAGGCCGAGTGCTCACAAATTCTTCTTTAGATCGAACTCCGCTTTATCAATCGCTATACGGACACATGGCCAGCAGGCATCGCCTGTATGAGTGGAGGCATTATTGATATGAAAAAACTGGTGACACACACGTACCCATTGGAAAAGGCTTTAGAAGGGCTGACTTTGTCATCGGACCCGAGGAATGGAAGCATCAAGGTTCACATAGTAGACGACACGGAGACTGTGTTGTTCTAAATCTAAAGTCATCAAATTGAGGACCTAAGAACAGTGAACATTGATGTAACTTGAATATTTTCGAGCAAACAATGAACATCTGTAAGTAAAAATAAGTCGGTGCAAGAGGAATTCAGATTTGGTTTCCTTCGCCTCAGTTCCATGAATTCCACTGGCGGTGAGCTTTGCTCGGGCTTAGCACGATGTTAACCGGACTTAAACCTACTTCCGTCTATGTCCTGTGATCAGCTACACTGTACTGTATAGAAAAGCCTACACTGGGTTGGACCGACTGTGGGTGAGCGAGACAATGATCAAACCGCCAGTGCACCAACTTCATCATGGCTTCCATAACCAGAACAATCACCTTAGAAGAGCATGTGGCGTTCCCGTCCCTCGGCTCCGACAGTGAGTTCTACGAGGCGATGTGGAAAGTCTTCCCCAAGGCCCGCGAACAGCTATGGGACCACGGCTCGAACCGCCTCGCGGACATGGACGCCAACAACGTGTCTTTCCAGATCATGTCGCACATCCCCGGCATAGGAGTGTCCAATATCGCAGGGTGCCGCGGCGCCAACGACGAGATGGCAGCAGCTGTCCAAAAGAACCCCAAACGCCTGGGCGGGTTTGCCGTGCTGCCGATGGCGCACCCCAAAGAGGCAGCAGAGGAGCTCGAGCGTGCTGTCAAGCATCTCGGCCTCCTGGGCGCGCTGGTCGACAACCATCTTGAAGACGGAACGCACTACGACGACGAAAAGTTCTGGCCTGTCTTCGAGGCCGCTGAGAGGCTGGATGTGCCCATCTACCCGCACCCGACGCCCCAGACGCAGGAGACGGTCGAGAAGTACTATGCGGGTAATTATCCCCCTCATGTGGCCATCGCCTTGTCCAGCGGTGCTTGGGGCTGGCATGAGAACGTCGGCCTGCACTTCCTCAAGCTCTACTCGGCAGGCGTGTTTGACCGGTTTCCCAAGCTGAAACTGATCCTCGGGCACATGGGCGAGATGGTGCCGTATTACTTGGACCGGGCCATCAGGCTGCCGCTCTTCAAGATGAAGCATGTCAATAGGTCGCTCAAGGAGGTGTGGGACGAGAATGTCTGGGTGACAACAAGCAGCATGTTCAGTCTGAACCCTTTGGCGACTTTGTTGAGGAATACCAAAATTGATAGGATCATGTACAGCATTGATTATCCTTTTGAGAAGATGGAACTTGGCCCGCGATTTCTTGAGGAGTTGGCTGGCAGCGGAATGGTTACTCCAGAGGAGCTTGAGATGATCACACACAAGAATGCTGAAAGGCTGCTGAAATTGTGAAAGGGGCCTAGGCTTTCAGTCCATTCATGGCCTGAAAACGAGGCTCTGGTCCACTATTAAGGGGCAAACAGCAAATTCACATTCAGTGCTTCCAGTCTGCTTTATGTTTTGATGAGAAAATAAAACCAGGCAATCATGTAATGAAGAAGTGAACGTGAGTGACACCTAAATGTGATACAGCTAAGATGCTTCTTTCTTGTTTGACCCAGGCAAGATGGTGCAGAACTCATTCAACGCTCAAGAAGGAGAGGTCGAAATGGAAGAGGGAATGATGGCGGTGGTTTCACGTCCAGCGACCCATCTCAACGCCGCCGCCTCAGCCTCATCCACATTGCGTCCAGCTGTCTCAAGCGCAGTCCAGACCCGCTGCTGCCCTCCCTTGCGGCTATCATAGACCAGCTCAAACGCCTCACTCGCTTTTTTCATAAAAAGGACATACCCGTTCACACAAAAGTTCAAGTATTTGGCATTCTCGACCTGTGCACTCTCGTCGGAAATGTCCCGGAGGACTCCTTTACCACCATCCACCATCTTATCCAGGATCCCGACCATCTTGTCCTTGGCGATGATGGCCGCAGAGCCAATCTTGTCCTCCCACGCGTCTTCCTTGGGCCTCTCCGTCTTGAGTCCCTCGATGACAGCGTGAAATTTGCCATAGGCCTTGCGGCCGGCGCGGACGGTGTCTCTGTGCAGGTCGATCAGCTTGAGGTTGATGGGACTTGTATTAGTGCTCGTATCAACCTGGGGAGGCTCGAGGCTTGCGTGTGGAAACAGCTTCTCAGGGGCGTCGTGGAAGCTGGTTGTCTGACATCGCTTTGCCAGGACGATGTGTTCATTTATGATAGCTTCCCACTTGTCTGGTCCGGTCATTCTGTTGGCGTCTGTGTCCATGGCCTGGAAAAGTTGGGCTGGATAGGATTTTGAAGTCTTTATGGATATCAGTGAGGTTGTTGAGAAGTCAAGCAAAGGCACCGCGTTGTCTAAGTAATGTCCGCCTTTGCATTTCAATTTACAACTTCAGTCAGCATTCATTTCAAATTGCGGCGAGGCGATGAATTATTATAATGTTTCGTCTATGGGAATATGAGAAACTAGATCGTAGAAGAGACACATTGTTGAAGCCCACACTTGTTTGTGGATCGTAGCTGTAGCACAGAAGTGCATACATACAGGGTTCCAGAGCTATCGAGTCTTTAATCGTTACTTGAAATTACCAACGAAACGAGTGGAAAGCAGCGTACACTTCATCAACACTCGGAGGCCATCCGTTTAAGGTGGAACTCTCGTGTGTCTATTTGTGTGCTACAAATCAAGTATCACTCTCTAACAAGAGGGTACGACTCACCCAACAGCTGTTTCTCTTGATGACCGTGATATAGTGCGTTTCGAGTGCGACTGAACTATACAGAGCACGATATTTACGGACGTAGACCACACTGACGTAGCCTTTCACCACTGCTAGAGACAGGCTTTGCAGGGACTCATCACAAGACAAGTGTAAGTCGAAGCATCATTCACTTGATTTTACATCTAGAGCACACCGAAGTGTCTGTCACAGAGTCGCTCTAATAAGCCTGAAGAGACCTCGAATGTCTCATCACGCGTATCGAACTGCCACCTCCACAGCGGCCTATGCATGCAGCCATTTGGGCAATGACCTCATGAGCTGTTGTGGGAGACTTGAGAGATGAAAAAGCTTGGCACTGAAAAGCAGGCCTCTTGACATCTTTGGCTACACTGACTGTGCGCTTCGAAAAGACTGAGTGTCATGGAATGTGTCAGATCTCTTATTCTAAACATCCAAATTGTAACTTACACTCCAAGGAAGTCAAGGTGGTAGCATTTATAAATATGTATCAGCCTGTCATCGCTTATACTACAGCTTTCTGGGGGGGGAAAACGCCCAGGTAGCCAACAACTTGCATATTACAAAGCAACCAAAGTCAAGATGAACACCAATGGACGCCAAAATGGAGAGTCAAAGAAGGTCAGAGCGTGGCTGTTACAATCAACTAAAGAGACGGAATATCACGGTATTCCACCAGGCCGGCAGATTCGGGCACATGTCTAAAAAAGAAAACATCCGAGGCGAACACTCGGTCCGTCTGTCTAACTGAGGACGTGGGGGGTACAGGCGGTATAATCTGGGCGAGATCCCACGAGAAAGGGTTTGAAGTCCCGAGCCGTCCTCAAAAGGCCGAGGACAGCTGCTAGATGGGGTGACCCTCACCAGATGCAGTATCCGGACAGAGTTCTACCGTTCGGGATGAGACTCGAAAACAATTTCCTACTTTTGTCTGTAAGCAAGATTTTTAAATGGTCACTACCTACCTATAAAATGCAAAATAAGATCGCCCTGCATTCCGCGCCGTACATATTCGATAGTCACCCCACGATGTTCGTTACATTGGTCGGGACTACGCCCGGGTGCCGAAGCGGAACTGCAGGTGGGTTTTTCTCTGCGTAGCATGGCATATGCACAACATCGATTTGAATCCGATTGGGCAAGTGACCCGGCGACCTTCGGTTTTCGCGAACCGCCTCGCATGGTGTGGGTAGGTATTGCCAGATCATATCTGGGTGGATTAGACGACCATGAGACTTGCCATTGGGAAGAGGGACCTTCCACTAGATGCAAGTCATATGCTTCCAACCCTGCGTGGTTCTGTCGGGTCACAACTACCGGGCCAAAAACTTTTCTTGTGGGTGTGATGTAACTGGCCATGAACGAGACTTGAGCAGGAGACAAGAACTGAGGAAGGGGAAAATAACGAGAGGCGCGATGTGAAATATAGTATAAGAGACCTGACCCGAGCATCTCTCAATGTCGTCACCCGAGGGGAGATTTTCGCATTTTCCCAAAACACTCGACCTCCTCCACAAGCTCTAATAACTCCCGAAGTAACTATTCTCAGCACCACAATATGCAGCTGGACTCCAGACTCTCTCTGGCGGCTGTCAGCCTCGGCAGCCTCGCCGCGGTGCGGGCTGCTCCCACCGTGTTCCAGCGAGATACCCCAGGAGCCTTTCTTGATCTCTGCAGCGACATAAGTTTCATGAACGGCTGGCTAGTGGGAACGTGTTCTTCTGATAATGGAACCTCCATCACTAGTAGTGTCTGGCTGTCTTCTCTGATCGAGCTGGATGACAACACCCTCGTGGTAAGCCTGCCCACCCCTATTTACTCTTCCAGTGACCGTACTTTGGTTAACAACGTGTGACAGTGGGCAGAAAAGTAAGACTGAATGGGCCTTATGAGGACAATAATGACGAAAAGAGTCATGTACTGATTTCCACTTTCACCCAGTGGCAACTACTATGCTTCATGTGTAAACGGAGCGTCTGGCTATATCGACAACTCCACCCTCGTGTCCCAGTGCGTGCTGGAAGCAGCGAATATCTCTATTGACCTGGGTAAGCAGCCACCCTTTGGTTTTGTCATAAATCACTGTATCTTATCATTGACGTTTCTTGTTTTCTAAAGCGGAACACGTGTTCGTCTACGACGGCTTCCTCCTCTCAGACCTAGCAGGAACCCCAACAGGCCCAACAGTCTCGTCCAGCACAATCAGCGTGCCCACCTCCAGCAATCACTTCGCCTACCAGATCTACTTCTTCAACAAACTCCTCTCCCGTTACTGCTCGGATTTCGGCACCGAGGACGCGGCTTTTGGCGTCGAGTTGTACGCGGCCGGCCCGCAGGACTGCCACAGCTTCCCGCTGGCCGACTGGGTAACGTCCAACGGCTGGTACGCGGAACCGCCGCCGTTTGTGGCTGTGGTGGACTACCTGAACTATGGCTGGCAGGTGTCGGCGTATGCTACGGATGCCTGTGAGGGGGATCCGGTAGCTACCTTTGGCTATGGGTCGACGTATAGCGATGTGGGCTGTCTTGAGCTCAGTGTGCCTGTAGCCGGGTTCAAGGTTGAGCCTATGTGGAATGCTTTTTGGCTGTGAGGCGGCGTTGGATTCAGGGAGATGAGGAATAAAAGAGGAAGTGAGGATGACCAACAAGAAGAAAATGTGTCTTGAGTAAGGGATTTTGTCTTTTTCTTGGCTTTCTTCCGCTGCAATGGGCAAAATGAGGGGGAACTTAGAATTGTCACGATAGAGGGAAAAACATGTGTGTAAGTAAAGTAAAAGTAATGTTCAAAATCTACAATACCGTTGGTCAAGGAAAGAACACGAGAAGTGCGTGACAATCTGGTACAGGTGAGTAGTAGGTCAAGGTACTGTAGCAATGTGGCACACTCAAGGTTAGGGGGTGAATGGGTAGAGATCCGCTCTTCTACAGGGGGTCGTGAATGGGGAGTCCACCCGTCCTCCACCTAACTTTTGTTCAGCCAGTGGCCTTCTGTCCAAAAGTCAGCTTCACAGGGATACCAACAAACCAGCCATACCCATATCCGCCACGCCACACCACACTCAGCCCAGAAACGTCTGTTTCGTTCTACTCTGCAGAGAGCAAAGCTGCATAAGACGACAGACTGCACGGCTAGCATCAATCGTCATGGCATCAACAATCCCGCTCCGCCGCATCACGAGGGCGTCCATGGCGCGCTTCGCGTACACGGGCAACGACGCGCCAGACATCGAGGACATCATACCTCCCAAGTCGCAGGACACGACGACGGTCTCGAGGAAGCGCAAGCGCACGGTTACTGCTCCTGTAAAGAAGGAAGCACAACAAGACGTGAAGGTCAAGACTGAAGAAGAAGAAGAAGAAGAAGAAGAAGAGGTCAAGACCACGACAGCCCAAGCGTCCACCCACCCCTCGTCGTCGTCGTCCCCTGCCCGCCGCGCCCGCAAGCCCGCCCGCAAGACTCACGACCCCAAAACTGGCGCCGAGACCGTGACGGCCCCTTCAGACTGGGAGGAACTCTACGACACAGCCAAGATCATGCGCATGCCCGGCGGCGCGGCAGCCAACGCAGCCGTCGACACAATGGGCTGCGAGAGGCTGGCCGATCCGCAGGCCAGCCCGCGCGACCAGCGCTTCCACACCCTCGTGGCGCTGATGCTTTCAAGCCAGACCAAAGACACGACCAACGCGGTCGTCATGGCCCGCCTCAAGACGGAGCTCCCACCGCACACGCCCGGCGCGCCACCCGGGCTCAACCTCGAGAACATGCTCGCCGTGGCGCCCGACACGCTCAACGAGATGATCTGGGCGGTGGGGTTCCACAACAACAAGACCAAGTACCTGAAGCAGGCGGCGGAGATGCTCCGCGACCAGTGGGGCGGCGACATCCCGGACACGATCGAGGGCCTGGTGTCGCTGCCCGGGGTGGGGCCCAAGATGGCGCACCTGTGCCTGTCGAGCGCGTGGGGCCGCACCGAGGGGATCGGCGTCGACGTGCACGTGCACCGCATCACGAACCTGTGGGGCTGGCACAGGACGAGCAACCCCGAGCAGACCAGGCTGGCGCTGCAGGCCTGGCTGCCGAGGGACCGGTGGCGCGAGATCAACTGGCTGCTGGTCGGCCTGGGCCAGACCGTCTGTGCGCCCGTGGCCAGGAAGTGTGGGGACTGCGAGCTGGGCCTGCGTGGGATGTGCAAGGCGGCGGACAGGGCCAAGGTGATACAGGGGAGGAAGAGGCAGCTGCAGCTGCAGCAGGAGACGACCAAGGTGGAGGTGGAGGCGAAGGCGGAGGGGGATGAGAAGGTCGTTATCAAGACAAAAGAGGAAGAAGAGGAGACTGTTGTGAAGGACATTCCCCCTAGTAGAGTTAATGTCGGTACTCCTCCTTCTTCAGTGGTACTTTCGGTCAAATAAGAGGAGGATGAGGACGAAGCTGCGCGGCCTTCGAGACGACGTGGCAAACGTAGCTGAGCAGAGCCAGGAGAAGACGACGACGGGAGGCAGTGCTCCGTTACCGGCATTGATTGTAGCGCACAGAAAGGGATGTAATGTGACTTTTCTCAACGCAGTTCATTATAGGAGAGACGCCTCTCTCTCCTGGCTAGACACTCTCTGGCCAATGAATCAATAAAGTGCAGGCAACGAAAGCTTCTCTAAACACCCCAACTCCACCGACGCCCCTGGCCGTAGTACGTATAGAGCATGCCTCTGTTTCCCCCAATGAACAAACGCCGAGTCAACCGTTGAATATCATGCCTGGCTCTAGCCTGCCCTCGCACTTCCGCTTCCACACCGATCTCAGCTCGTATGGTCATTTCTTTCTCAAATAACCTTGACAGCCCGCGTCTTCTGGCTCTCCAGCTTGGCCACGAGGCGGTCATGAGACTCCTTCTTACACTGCGAGACAAGAGAGAAAAGCAACACCCAACGTCAGCATCTTCTCTTCCCAACTCAAGCCAAGCTCTGACGTGTACACAATAGGGAGAGGGAACCAAAGATGAAGAACTCACATCCTCTAGACCCTCGCACTTGTGGTCTTCGAGCAGGCGGTGCTTGCCGCAGAAGTGGCCCTCGCAAAAGGAGCAGTCACCTACGATGCGCTGGGCCTCGGCCTTGCAGTCGGCCAAGGAGCAGCGGATCTTTTTGAAAGTCATTTTTGTTTTGTGTGCAGGGGAATTGGCTCTCAGCGAGGGTAGAGTAGTGAGCAGATGAGTGAGTGTTCGAGGTAGCTTTTGTCTTTTCTGATGGATGCCGTTGTGCAATGGCGTGTAAGGAAAGGGGAGCTTCAGTCGGGCGAGATGGAGGAGAATTGTTGAAGGTGGAAAGAAGGAAGGGAGAGGGAGACTGGCAGCGGAGGCCATTGCGGAATCTCGTACGGTTTTTACTTGTGGCGGGTCTGTACGACGTGGTGGCCATCATCATCACCATCATGTCGACAGTCTGGAGACAAAGCCCCTCCTGAAAAGAAGTCATGACATGCTGATAGTAGCTTCTACTGAGAGCCTGTCAGATCTAGCCCATGGAGGAGCTATGCGTCGTGCTTGTGACTCGCCTCCCCCATAGCGTTGCCTCCTGGTGTTGATCTTGTCTTGTGGAGGTGGGGAGAAGAATGGCACATGTACTGATATGGCTTTCTTTCTGGTCCAGTTCAGTTATGAATAATAGCTACCTGCAGGTTGTGTCAGATATCACTGACGGGCTTTTTTCCCCTTCTTTCTAAATGGATACAATATAAACTATTGGCTATGAAATGACCAGTTCGGATGAGAATAAAAGGACAATTTGACAGGACTATCCTGCACTGTCCATTAAATCTCCGCAGCTCTCTCCTAAAATGTTTGACAGTCAGTCAGTCAGTCAGTCAGTCAGTCAAAGTCGTGTCTCATATCCTCCATACACACAACAATGTGTCTGAATTTGGGGTTTCCTTTCCCCAAACACCAAATGCAAAGTCAAGGCCAAACCATGCTAACTATATCATGTCCCTCAGCTTGTTGTGCATTGATTAGGCTCCCTCAAACCTACTATGCGAGAGAGAAAGAGAGAGAGAGAGAGAGAGAGAGAGAGCCAGGACCCACTTACAAGCCAAAGATGGTGTAATACGATTGGTTGAACACCCTGTCCCAAATAATGTCCTCAAGATTACACTTGTCGATACTGTCTTCCACTGTTTTGGTTATTTATTCTTTGTTTTTTTTTCTTCTTTCTTTCTTTTCTCTCTCTCGTTTCAATTCATGACTGTTTTTACAACGCCTTCTTGAGTCTAATCATGCTGCCAAATCGATCCGAAATCTTGGTCACTAAGGGGCCTCCACTATTAATACCGTCTCCGTCGAATCTTCCTCTTCTGCTCCACCGCATTCAACCCAGCAACACCATCCTGCATCGCCTTCAGCAGCCCCCAGTCATAGCTATCCTCAGCCAGCGACCAGGCCATGACCCCGCCCAGGCCCTTGGCCTCGATGATCTCGGAAAACTTGCGCGCGACGAGCTCCGGTGTGTCCCAGGTCCAGAACAGGCCGGCCACGTCATCCACCCACCATTGCCCACCGCGCACCGTGTCTGTCTCGCCCTGAACCAAAGCATCGGCAAAGGACTGCGCCGTCGATTTGGTCGCTGCCGCGCAGGTACCGTAGTCGCTCTGGCAGCCAGTGCCGCAGTGGGCGCTTGTGTCGCCGCAGAAGCCATACTGGGAGCAGCAGGAGCCCGAGGTGGCATTGCCCGTGCACGCAAAGGAGGTGCCCACGCCGCAGGAGCTGTCGGGGGACGCAGTCAGGTTGGTAGGCCCAGCGGCGGGGAAGGAGGTTGCCTCAAAGGTCACGGCGCCCGAGGTGCCTGTATCCTGGCCCTCTGCGTCCTCGGCGAGCGCGATGGGGCAGCCGATGGGGCCGGTGGTGCAGGTTGTGTTGGCGGCGAGGGTGAAGTACTTGGCGTAGAAGGCGATGCCCAGGTTCATCTTGGCCGGGTCCATGCCGCGCGTAAGGTAGGTCTCGATGGCGGCGAGGGAGCCGTTCACGTCGGTGTGGTGCTTGGTGAAGTTGTCGCGGCGGTTCATCAGGTCGTAGGTCATGATGTTCACAAAATCGACTGCTGCGCTGATCTGAGGCACTGTCTCGGCCGTGTAGGCGAGCATATCGCGCTCCAGGGCTGGCACGGCGATGGAGAGTTCCTTGTCGCCGATGGCGGACTTGATAGCGGCCAGGAACAGCGGGTACGTCTCGATCTCGGCGGTGAGCTGGGCGTTGGGCACCTGCTTGTAGTCGTAGCCATTGCCGGCTGGGTACTCCCAGTCGACGTCGATGCAGTCGTAGCCAAGGGTATCCAGGGTGGCGGCCACGTTCTGGGCGTATGCGGCGCGCGACGCGTCGGTTGCAGCACCAAGACGGAAACCCTCGAGATCGCCCCAGCCGCCGATAGCCATACACACCTTCGTACCGTTGTCGAACATGGCACGGATGTCGGTCAGGTCCATGAACGGTGTGTACGAGCCCATTGTCTCGCCAGCGTCGGCCACGAAGTAGGACGAGTTGGCAAAAGCAGTAATGACATGCGTAATACCAGCAGTCATTGTTCTGTTGGGCAGGACGGCGGTATGATACCTGGAAAGTATGTGGTCAGATTTCGGTAATATCGCTAACTTGACTTTTGTGTGGACGTACTGGTCAAAGTAAAGGGCATAGCGAGGGGCAGCAGCATGAGCTGTGGCCACCACCGCGGCAGCCGCCAGGCCGGAGGTGAAGCCGACTCCGCGAACCATTATTATTTTTGAACAGATAAAAAGATGCGTGTGCTTGTGTGGGATTGTGTAAAATGCAAGGAAATAAAAGAATGATGATAACCACCAGAAAAGAGTGATGAGCAAGCTGGTTGGCCTGACGGAAAGCACGAGAGAATAGGAAGAGGGTTGGTCTGTCCCACCGTTAAATAGTAAAAATCTAGAGTCATGATGCAGAGCGCATAGAAAGCTTCTTTGATTAGGCTGGGAGAGCAGCAAGGAAGGAGCAGTGAATAAACAACCCACTCTCTGTTCAGGGGCAAACTCTAAATCACCCGTCAAAGATCCTCGAGATTGGAAGCGAAGGTCAGGGTTTTTATGATCGTCTTTCAAGGTCCTCTTTTCCCAATTTACTGATACTCTAGATGCGAGAAGAACATATAGATCTTCCAAAATCTGATTCATCTTCTATTGAACCTATACTCACTGTTCACCACGTGTTACTTACAACAAGTAAATGGTGGACTGTGCGAACAGAGACGAAACATTGCAGGCCCATAAGCAGGGGAAAACAATTACTATAGCTAAGTACTTAAGTACTTTAGTATTGGCCCAAGTCCTTGGCAGGGAACCTAACTCGACCCACGGGTTCTTGGCCTTGTCCTGCAAACCATGGAAACATCCTTTATGCTTTCCCTTAATCATAATGAAAGAGGCAGTGAACAATTTATGCCTTCTAGAAAACCAGAATTTGCTCAACGTTTCTTCCACCCCAGCTGGGATCCCGGAAACAACGGTTTTTTTTCGTATAGATTCTCGCCTAAAATCTGCTAGGGTCTCAGGGGTGGACCAACTCAGCCGCCTCTTGGTAATATTCAGGACCACTTGGCACAGTCTTGTTGGAGTTGTCCTTCAACCTGGAGTCTGCTTGGCAGCCCTTCACTTTTTGACCGCAGTCAAGTGACCAACTTCACTTCCTCCATCAATTTTTTTTCTTTTTCTTTTCCTCTTCTTTTTTTTTTAATAGGTAAAAAGACAAAGACAAAGAAGAGAGAAGTTCATTTGCCTCCTTGTCCGATTCTTAGGCAACTTGCTAATACAATAGACAACTAGATTTCATTCTTCTTCAGCAACAAAAAACTCCTGTATCGCAGCCAGAACATCATCCGGCGCATGCTCCGGGATATAGTGTCCCGAGTCCACGGCATACCCATCCACCTTGACGCCCTCCTCCACCACTTTGCGCCACTCCCTCAGCGCGTCAAAGCGCTTCTCCACAACCCCAGCCTTCCCCCACAACACCCGCAATGGACATCTGATGCGTCTCGACCCTTCCAGATCCGCCCGCTGCTCGTCCAGGTCCAGCGTCGCTGCGGCCCGATAGTCCTCGCACATGGCGTGCACGCAATCCGGGTCGCTCATGCCCGCCACATACTTGTCAAAGCACTCGGGCTCGAAGATGCCCGTGCCGCCCAGCTGGCGCCCGCCCATGAACAGCTCGGCCAGCCGGCGCGGGTTTGAGAGCAGCATGGTCTCGGGCAGGGGCGCCGGCTGTATGAGCAGGAACCAGTGGAAATAGGCGGTGGCGAAGGTGAGGTCGGTGGCCTCGTACATGGCCAGGGTTGGGCAGATGTCGAGGAACATGGCGCGCCTCACGCGGTCGGGGTGGTCTACGCACAGCTTGTGCCCGACGCGGCCGCCGCGGTCGTGCCCGCAGAGGTAGAAGGACTTGTAGCCCAGCGTCTCCATGACCGTCACGCAGTCGCGTGCCATAACGGACTTGGCGTACTGGGAGACGTCGCCGCCTGGTTTGGACGAGGTGCCATAGCCGCGCAGGTCGAGGAGCACGACGGTGAAGGTGTCTGTGAGCCGGGGGGCGATGCGGTGCCAGATGTGGAGGGTCTGTGGGAAGCCGTGCAGCAGGAGGAGCGGTGGGAGCTGTGAAGAAGAAGAAGAAGAAGAAGCACTGTTTGTGCTGCGTAGTCCGCGGATCGTCACTTCTGGTGATGATTGGGTTTGGACCGAGATGGGCTCAAAATTCTCAAACATCTTGGCCATTTTCCTTGCTTTGGTTCTGGTTCTTTTCTTTTCCCTCTCTCAACAAAAAGTCACAACCATATAACAAGGACCGTTGACTACTGAAAAAGGGAGAGGTAATCGAACCTACTCGTTTATATATAATGAGGTAAGGAGATGATTATGTAACTCTCAGTGATATAATGCGGACATGACATGTTTGTAAGTGAAGAAGGGCGCGCACATACGTACGGCATTGTCTTTGTCCGGGCCCGCCACCCTTGACGGTGACGGCATGCTGAATTGCGGTAAACATCAGCACCAGGACTATCTGAACACCGATTAGAGGCTTTATACGAAGTATCATAACCCCGCATCACAGGATATCACGAAGGTCTGAAATACTCAGGTATATGATTGTATATATAATTAAAAAAAGAAACGCACAAAGTTCTCTTTCAAACAACAAGAGTCCTCGTCCAAATAACCATAAATCCATCACCAAGACAACCAAAGCCTTGATTCATTTCTATTTTCTCTCCTTCAGACAAAACAAAAAAGAAAACCCCCCACAAAATGGCAGGTCGTCCTCTCAAGATAGCCGTCATTCCTGGCGACGGAATCGGCAAGGAAGTAATGCCCTTTGGCGTCAGATGCGTCCAGGCTGCCGCCAAAGTCCACAACATCCCCATCGAGTTTGAGCATTTCGACTTCGCCAGCTGTGACTACTACGCCCGTCACGGCACCATGCTCCCGTCAGACTGGAAAGACATTCTCACCCCCTTCGACGCCCTCTACTTTGGCGCCGTCGGTATGCCAGACCAAGTGCCCGACGACGTCTCCCTCTGGGGCAGCCTCCTCAAGTTCCGCCGCGAGTTCGACCAGTACGTCAACCTGCGGCCCTGCCGCCTTCTCCCAGGCGTCAAGTGTCCCCTGGCCGGTCGCAAGCCCGGCGACATTGACTTCTGGATCGTGCGTGAGAACACAGAGGGCGAGTACAGCAGCGTCGGCGGAAAGATGTTCGAGGGCACCGACAGGGAGGTTGTCGTGCAGGAGACGATCATGACGCGCGTGGGTGTGGACCGCGTGCTGAAGTACGCTTTTGAGCTGGCGCAGTCCAGGCCGCGGCACAGGCTCACCAGCGCTACCAAGAGCAATGGCATCAGTATCACCATGCCGTGGTGGGATTCCAGGGTGGCCGAGATGGCGTCCAATTATCCCGATGTCAAGGTGGATAAGTACCATATCGACATCCTGAGCGCGCACTTTGTCCAGCGGCCGCAGATCTTCGATGTCGTGGTCGGGAGTAATCTGTTTGGGGACATCCTCTCGGATCTGGGCCCTGCGTGTGCTGGCACCATCGCCATCGCCCCTTCAGGCAACATCAACCCCGACAAGAAGTTTCCAAGCCTCTTTGAGCCGGTGCACGGCTCTGCTCCTGACATCTATGGCCAGGGCATTGCGAATCCCGTCGGCATGATCTGGGCTGGCTCCATGATGCTCGGGCACTTGGGACACCAAGATGCAGGAGATTTGGTCCTCAAGGCCATCGAGGCGGTGCTCGCTCGCTCAGAAACGGGAGTTCTTACAGCAGATATGGGCGGAAATGGCACCACGCAAAATCTGGGCGAAGCTATAGAGAGGGAAATATTAGGTAGCGGAAAGTCGTAGTTGGGGAGAGGAGGCAAATCAGGACATATTTCATCCCTCAAAATGAGAGCAGTAGCTCCCTACTGTCTGTCAGTGCTTGTGCTTCGCATTGCATAGGGCGCAGGCTGGCCTAAAAGCTGTTGGTCCCTATTTGTTAAGAGTAGGATGTTTCCGCTGCACACTCACGTGTGCTGTAGGATCACTCAATTTCATCTCAAGTATTGTCCTTTATTGCCTATGAACTAAGCATCATTATTGCAGTCTCGTTGTTTTTCATCATCACAGCAGCCCTAGAAGTCCCTAACTCTGCCTCCAAAATCCTTGACTGTGTCATTCGAAAGTGGGCCTGATTACTTGTCAGAGTTTCTCAACAAGAAAGTGGTGCAAATTTTGAATCGAAATTCTCCAGACAAACTTGTTGTGTGACGATATCAAAACAGCCGTCACAGTTTTGTTTTTTGGGGAGGGGGCGGGGGAGGGGGGAGGGATTGGTTATGTTTTCGATTGGCGAGCTGGCTGAAATTCTCGGCCCTCAATCAAGAGACGTGTCCGTCCGACGCGGATGGCTCCTGCTTTTGATTGCTGTAGACCAGCCGCTCAGTCTGGTGCTCGATGCGATTGCCATCCTCGTCCTTCTTGATCCAGGTGTCGATGATTGGACGGTCGTAGGCAGTAGTATCCTCAGCCCCGTCAGCTTCCAGCTTGCGCTTCCGCGTCTCATTCTCCTTCCGATCTCGAGCTCGCAAGCCTTCGTCGCTCGCCATTACGTGGGCAGCCCAATGCGTTCTGCGATCGCCGTGCCCATCCTTAGCAAGAGATACATCCTGGTTACCACGCCTCGCGCCTCGCGTAGCGTTTCGGTGACCTCTTAGGTGCTGCGGTCTGCGGGCGCGCTGAGGCCCTCGTCCGCCTGGACTTCCTGAGGCACAACCATACGGGCTGTCTTCAACTGGATTTGTACCTGAAAAAACCATTTGCCCAGAATCTTGACCGGAACTCGTGGCACTGCCAGAAAACTCTTTCTGGCTGTGCTTGGAAACGCTAGTAGCACACAAGTCTTGAGAGAGACTGGTCTCGTCACCGTGTGTGTGATTGCCGTCCCCTTCAAGCTGTCCCGGCGACCGGAAAGGTATACTTTCCGCAGAATAATATAAACCATCTTGAACATCGCTTGGTGAGCTGGAGCTGGAGCTACCCGCATCCTCCTTGACTTCTTCAATAAGACGGCTTGGCTGATCTGTGCTGCTGAAGTTGAAGCGGTGCTCGCGTTCAAGGCTGGTGACTTGAGGGAGCCCACGAATGAACATCTCGGTTTCTATCAATGCATCAAATATATGGCCAGCGGCCTCGGATGCAACATCGGGCTCGCTGCTCTTGCTGGCCTTCCTCGTGCTCTTCTGGTCCTGGCGCTGACGCTCACACGCACGAGATAGAGGTGAGTTGGGAGCGACAGTGTCTCGACGGAGCAACAACTGCTTAGCTTTCTTGATTCCCCTCTTCTCCTTGGTCTCCTTATTCTTGGCTTGTCTTTCAGCATGCTCGGTGCGTTGCCGCTCTTGCTGGCGCAAGTGCCAGTTGATAAAAATGTCCCTCTCCATTAAGACGCCCAGGGTAGCGTCGGGCTCCTTGGCGATTGCATATTTGCTTGAATAGGCGCGCAACTCAAGCTTGGACAGATTGCGCCTCGTTGACGCCCCCACCTTCTTTACAGACTTTGATGGCTCAGCTCCGACCGTCATAGACTTGCTGTCGATGTCTATGTCGGAACCTTTCTCCCCCACACCATCATCCTGCCCGCCCGAAACAAGACCATCCTCCTGCTTCTCATCCTGGTCGAGAGCGGCGCTGGGGACAGGGTCATGCTGAACCACGCCGGCTTTGTTGGCGACCGACTTGGCTCTCTTCTTGGACTTTCGCTTTTTCTTTGCCTGCTTCTGCTGGACGTGGTGGATGTCCGTCTGTCCGGCAACAATGAGGTCTCCGCGACCATCTTCGTCCTTGTCCATGAGGGCAGTTGGATTCTCCGACGTCGAACCGATGGTACATGAGCTGGAAGCTGGACTAGGAGGTCGAGGGTCTTGTGGGTGCTTGTCCATTGCACCCGCGCCCTGAAGCTCCGGACAAGATGTGTTTTGTTTGCTGATCACTGGTTTTCCAACCTGTGAGGACACTGTGAAGTCGTCATTACTCATGAATGAGGGAAACATCATGGCCGTGGTCATCCCGGGCTGAGCAGGTGACTGAGGAGGCGATGGTGGGATGGTTGGGTGGGAGCCATATTGCTTGTAGTTTGCCGTATTCAACACAAATTCAGGGTCTGAAGACTGTGCGTTTGTCGCCGCACCACGGCCAGCAGCATCGACTGCGATAGCCTGAGACTCTTCCACGCCAGGTATCGGCAGCTTCACACTCGCCATAGCCTCAGAGTCATTGAGAGGCTTAACAGAAGAAGGGTTGGCAGACACCAGAGAACTGGCCAGAGCTCTCTGCTTGCGAATTTTTCTCTTCATGCTACCATTTCTTGGACTGTACAACTCATTGTACGGCAGAGCACCACCAGCTGTATTGATTACATCGAGCGCAAGGGGCCGACTTGACTCTGGGAAATGTGCGACAGAGCGGTACTTAATCGGTGCTGTCAGACTGCCACTGTCGTTGTAAATTCTCCAAGCTTGATCGAGCAGCTTGATTTCCCGTTTGTCCAGGATGTCCCAGCTGGATGGAAAAACGTTGGTGTTGAGGGTTCGAAGAGACCAGTAGGTCATGCGCATGGGATAAAATGGAAAGGCGGCAAAACGAATTTCGTAGTCCAGAGGCGAACCCTGCGCCAGAACCACACGGAGAGCCACATGCTCAAGCTGCTCAAACTGGTCAAAGGAAGATGCAATGTCCTCAAGAGCATGTTGATTGATGGCTGGAAGATTGTTGACTGGGTATGAAGGGGGGAAGTGGATTCGCACCCGGCTACGTCGTGTGTACTTCTGGAGGTTGGGGTTCTGTAGCTGTGTGACGATCTCCTGAAGACAGGCGGCTGTAGCCTCAGTGTGCACAGCCTTGAGGTCCACAAGAATTTCGAGAGCATTGATGTTGTAGATGTAACGAGTGAAATCCTCAGATATCTGTTTGTTGACAAGGTGGAGGTTGCACGGGAGCTTGTCCAGGCACTTAAATGCAGCAGTACCATGGGGAGTGTCTGGTACAAAGCGCTCAGGGACATTGCGGTTGATGCCAGACTCAGAAACAACCCAGTCAAGCTTGAAGTCATCTCGTCGCTCGCGAGACCAGGCGTAGGAATAGATTTTGTTGCGAATGAAGCTCAAAGGACGGACATGGCCAAGGGGATCGATTGGGTCAGTTCCAAAGAGCTTCAGGAGGGGGCTTCCACTGGGAGCTGAGAGAGCAGCTGCTCCAGGGGCAGTGGTGGCAGTGTCGCCCATCTTGTTGCCTTGCTGATGACGCGTATACAGGTGATAGCTGTAACAAGAGATGGTTGTAGAAGAAAGATATGTGGAAAACAAAGGTTGTTGAAATGCAGCGCGTCCTGTAGTGGAAATGGAAGAAAAGTCGGCCAAGGGCGCTCTCGTCTTCGTAGGTTGTGTTTGTTTGAACAACAGGTGCTATAGAGATGGGTTCAGGCTGTCAGCAAGACATCCTCAAGCTGGTGATAACATCATCAGACCGTGCTTACCTTGAAGATGATCAGAGGGAAGCTGGGCGTGACCCTCGTAGGTGCTCCTGATGAAGAGTCGACGTTGAGATGTACTAGGTTGCAGCCTCTTCAGAGTGCCAAAGGGGGGCAATGGATGTAAAAGGGTTGATGCAGGTCAAATTGTGAATATCTGGAGGTTTATTGGGGAGACAGAGTTAGCTGATAGGGATGCAGTATGGAGGGAGTTTGGAGAAGGGGGGCGGGGGGTGGGTACCAAAGGCGGGTGGAATGGGGAGGACGACAGTATCTCCTTGATTCTAGTCCCTCCCAGGCTCTGTCTGTTCAAGGGCTGGGGTTAGGAGCATAAAGACACCAGCAAAGGTCATGACAGCCATCACACCCAGAATCATGAGCCACAACAAAAGAAGAGTGTCCATTTTAGTTGGCCATTGCAGAGGGGACAGGAGAGGGCGGGCTTCAAGATCTTGGGTCATGTGCAGTCACTGATGCTGGATCTGGGTGTCTGAAAGGGAATGTAAACGAAAAGCAGGATGACCAAAGGACCAAGGAGGACTAAGATGGACGAGCCAAAGTTGAAGTAGAGTGCCCAGGCACATAAGTAGCCTTGTTCTCCTCACATAGGTGCACCTGCCCATATTGTCAACGAAATTGAAGGTAGCTAAGCCTGCCACACCTCCTTCCTTCCTCATGCTGGCCAGTCCAAACCGCTCCCTTCCCCGCCTCAACCTCTGACCCAGCCTTCTTCATCCAAATAAGACAACTCGTTCTGCAGTATCAGAGGCGATGCCATGAGAGAAAGGAGCTGTGCTAGACAAATCAAATTGAAATAATGATCACTGACACTTCTCTTGCATATACAGATGTTTGTATGGAACCAGAGTGCCTGTTACTAACAGAGTACCTGACTGTCTCACCGGAGAAAGAACGCCCTCACCTCTGCCCAAAAACTGCTTTGAGCATTAGGGGAAATGGTGCCATATTGTTGCCACCAAGTAACTTTATGAGAGCTTTCTGAGGGAACCCAGTCCTTCTGTGCAGAGCAGGAGGATGGATAGCGTACACGACTTTGGGACAAGGCAGCAGGTATACGTAACCTTGCTGGCAAAGACAAGTCGCAGGTGACTTCACAGCAAGTAGCATAGGATGTCGTACAGATGAAACAAACTCAAAGACACCAGGCAGAGACGAGATAGAAATTGTTGTATTAAGGACTCAAGGGAAAGGGATTCGAGAACACAACGCGCAAGGTCATGCAAGACCCAAGCTCTGTGCCAGCACCCACAGCTACATAAATCCATCTCTTAGCCACCCTTGAAAGACAGCAGGATATTGGGTGTGGTAATAGCATGCCAACCTGAACGACATGACCATCTCCCCTGTCATCTTTGTCGGAGTAGTAATGGCCAAAAGGTTGCATGCCAATTCTTGGCCTCTTCAGTGAAGACCACTACCATGTGTGGTCGCGCAAATGTAGATCTCAGAATGAAACTGAAGCCAGACGGGATCACTGGCGTCCAGAGATTAACGAAGGATCAATTTCCTCTGTGAGAAAACACCATCGACACAAAAATGTGTCCGACCATCCTGCAGCCTCATCAGACCAAAACGGTGCCTCTGTGCTGTGGTCGGGCGTCTCAACTGACATGAGGAAAAAGAAAGAGAGTAAGAGTTTGGAAATTTCGAACGCGAGCTTTAGACGTCGTTGACCAGCACGGATCCCTGTCCAGTTGCACGTGACCCAGCCGAGCTGGCAGGGAACGCTGCGATGAGCAACTGGCCTCGTCTGATTCGTCGAGCTTAGCCGAGGACCCGACAGCGGATGGATACGGCAGCCCAGCATCATCGAAACCTCGCCGATTTCAACCTCACCTCCGTGCCTCCAGTACAGATTGCGCCCTTGCTGCCCGGCCGTCGATTGACCGTCTTCGCCCTTTCCGTGTCCTCCTGCACGACCTCGAATCGTGACAACGACGACAACAGCTCTCAACCGATTGCAGCACATCCAGCCAAGATGATCACCTCAAGAGCAGGCCTCACGGCCGTTCGCCGGGGTAAGCAAGCCACATGCTCCTAAATGTCATCCACCTCACCGAGCACCACCAAGCAGCCTCTCACGGCATGCCTCGCAATGTTATTACAGCTGGTTTCACCAAGCTCAGGTCTTCTCATTCTGGTGCTGGGCGCTCAGGCTGGGCGCTTCCGCCATCACCACTGTCCGAGTTCCCCTTAGGTGCTAACAAACGAACTTCACTATCCAATATAGCCGCCAAGCCCAGCAACTTCTTCACCCCGACCGCCTCCGCCCTCCTCGTCCAGGCCCAGCAACCCCTCCAGATCCGCCGCACGGCAGCGACCCAACCCATGACCCCCCTCGACGCCCAGTCCCTCCTGGCTAAGCAGCGCCTGCAGCGGCCCGTCGCCCCGCACCTCGAGATCTACGACAAGAAGCAGACCTACCTGGGCTCGTCCATCTGGCAGCGCTTCACGGGCATGTTCTTCACCGGCTCTCTGTACGCCTACAGCATCGGCTACCTCGTCGCGCCCCTCGCCGGCTGGCACCTCGAGAGCGCCTCTGTCGCGGCTGCGTTCGCGGGCCTGCCGCTGCTCGTCAAGGGTGGTGTCAAGGTCGGCCTGGCGTGGCCATTTGTGTACCACCTGATCAACGGAATCAAGCACCTGTGGAACGACTCTACAGCCAAGGGCTTCAGGAAGGCGACGATCAAGAGGACCGAGTATATCGTGTGGGGAAGCTCTACAGTTGTAGCTCTGGGGCTGGCTTTCCTTCTATAAATGTGGGGGAGGCAAATGGAGGAGGAGGATTACACGAGAGAGAGAGAGAGAGAGAGAGAGAGAGATCTGGGCGGCGATCAAGTAGCAGACGAGGGACAGAACACTGTTTCCTGCTCGACTGGACGAGGATGAAACAGTCATCCTTGAGAGATGGGAGATAGATGTACTTTTTTGTAGCAATGGGACAATGTGAAACACAAACTGAGCTATGCTCCTCGCAAGTCTCTCTGGATAGCCATTTCGAAGAGCAGAACCAAGACGTCTGGGTGACTAAGGAGCTGGAGCGGAGCTGGAGGCACCCGGGCAATGTGAGGGATCAGCAAGCAAATGGTGATATGCTGGACAGTACGAGGGTTGCCAAACCAGCCAGCTATTCGAGAAGGGCTCGGTTTGATAGTGAAAGCTATGCATTGATCTTGGAGGAATGAAGGCTTGCCACAGCATCTGTGCCCAGCAAAAGGCTTCCAATCTATACACCATTGGAAGTGGAGAATTCTACGAGGCAATGCGAGAAAAAGTACATATTGAGATTCAATCATGTAACATGCATTGACGGATGTTATTTTCGCCTCCTAATTACCTGTGTGTCCTAACGCCTTTTCCCGGGATCAAAAGAGGATTCAAGTAAGCCATTCGCCCTATCCCTGTGGTTAAGATACCAGCCTGGACTCCGTTCACCATTATAAAAGACAGGATTCCCTTTCGCGCCTACAGACGCGCCCCTAATCGTCCTTGAACGCCTTAGCATCCAACACCAACCTGTTCAGCCGGTCCTTCTGTAGGCTGAACACAGCCCGCCCAATGGTCGGGCCCAGGAAGTCCTCCAGCTGCGCGGCGACGTCCCCGTCCGCCCCACCGCTGACGCCGTTCATCATGTCAAATTCCGTCTTGTCGATGGTTTGAACGGCCTTGACGATCGCGCCGAGCAGCAGGTCATATTCCGTGTTCGGAACGCCCCTCTCGCGGAGGGATGACAGAATCATGGTGTCGAACGACTTGAGGTTGGGCATCAGCAGCACCCGCACCGACATAGGGCCGCCAGCAGCGCTGAGGCCACACACGGCGCCGAACAGCACCGGACAGGGCTTCGACGGGTCCAGGAAATACTTGAGGCACGTTCTCGTCAGCTTGGGCCGCAGGCGCGTGTTCGACTTGCTATAGTTCTTGGCGATCCTGCCCAGCACGCCTGCCGAGAACTCCCGCAGCTCATACTGCTCCTTGACCGCGTCCGTGCCCTCCTCCGATCCAACCTTCCTACTCATCAGACACGTCAGGACTGGTGCGCTCAGCGGGCTGGCATAGGGGTCGAGGAAGAGGTTGGTGTTGTCAAGCAGCGCGTCCGTAAGCTCCATCATCTGCCTTAAGACGAAGGTGTCATCCAGCCTGTGGGTGACTTGGTTCGCTATGAAATTGACAAAGTACGGAACGAGTTGGTGTAGGCCCGGGTCGGCGCGCACCGACTGTAACGCGGCCTCGCGAAGCTGCCGCACTTCATCGTCGGGGTTATCGTCGAGGATCGCCGACTGGATCTTATCGAAGTACAAGACGAGCTCCTTCGAGATGATGTGCCTAACATGCGGTCTGAAGGAGACATTGTCGTTTCCGGCAAGCGCGGCGAGAGCGGGATTCGCACCGGGCCCTTTGGGCACGAGCTCGGCGGGACGGGATTCGGTGGTCGAGGGGTTCTGCGGGATGGTGGGCTGGACGCCCTCGATCGCGAGCCAGTGGGCTGTTTTCCCCAAGGAGGCGTGGTGTTAGCAGGCGGGATCTATGGAGTGATAGGGGACAATATATCGTACCTGTAAACGTAGCGTCTCGAGGCACCTTGGGAAGTGGCGCATTGATGAGCTTCTCGAAGTCCACCTCCTCGTCTTCCAGATAGAACAGGGGCTGGCCCGGTCCCATGCTAGCCTCCCCAAAGCGCAGTGGCCGGGTCGAGTCGTAGCCATAAAGAGGTTCCACGTCGAGCGCCTTGAGCGCTTGCGATACGTCCTGGACGGTCAGGGTGGTGCGGCCCGCGAGTCGCATGAAACGCAAGCTCTCGATGATGACCTGGCCCAGGCGGTACTCAACATCTTGTTGGAGGACCTTGAGCGCGTCCTCATTCAGAGAACCGATGCCGACGGACTCGGCGACGTCCTTGACATTCTCGGGATTCCAGAGGAGACGCGACTCCTCCACGTGCTTTGGCGGGGCGGCGGCCATAATGCCTGGCGCATGCAGTTCAGCCGGCCGCCAGCGCTGGTGTACGAGGCGAATTCGGCGTCAACTCAATGCAACGCTAGCTGGCTCGTAAAGATGTTCAAGTTCCAAAAGAGATCGTTTGTTGCAGGTTCTTTGCTGGTCATAAGTGGGAGGTTTTTCGAGAAAGGCTCGAGGAGGTTGGAGCTTGCTGGGTTGGGGAGGCGAGGTCCAGCAGGTTGCGGTTCAATCAAGGCCTAGCGGGCTGAATCTATGTGGAAGAGCGCCAAGACAGGCCCTTGCCTGCCGCCTGGTTATGGCCTGAACAACAGTCAGCTACTCAACCAAGGCAGGGCTTCATCTTCGTCACAGCATGTTTTTGTTTGTAGTCTCCTTTGAAGGCCTCCCAATTCAGAAAATGGATTGCTAGCATATTCAATATTAGATCCTCAGCAGATTATGCAGAGACCATTGCATTCCCTCGACCGAAAAACTCGAGGGACACAGCTAGATACCCTATTGTTCGCACAGACCACAGCCGAAGAACCTGTCAAATGTATCACTTACATGACTTCACAGAGCCAGGACTCCAATCACAATATAACGGCGCAAGTCAGACACGAAACAGCCTCCAGGTTGTAGCGGTTGAGATATAACATTTCCCCAACGTAATGAACGCTACTAATGTCGCTATATCATACAACTGCTTGCGCCCATTATGAATTTGACATTGTGAAATAACCGCCTACTTCAAGGGCCCACCAGATCTTTATATCCCCGCTCTCTTGGAGATTCATCCCAATTTTTTGTTCTCTGTTAAGATGAACTCCCAAACTCCACGGCGCTCATTACATAAACAAATCCAGCAAAGGGAAAAAGAGGGTATTCAAAGAGTGACGCGAATAATGGGCAATTAGCCGAGTATGTTCCTGCCCAGGAATGTCCGAGACTGTGGGTGCCTAACCTGGCCGCAGCCATCTCATTATAAACCAATTATGTCATTAGAAGCGTAAGTCCAAGTCAAAACAATGAAAAGGCATTTGGATCAGGAAGGTTGTTCGTATCCGATGCCTCTTTGCCAAGGACTATTACCTCTTGTCAGCCACGACTCAAAATACGCCTTAATTGCTGTCCAAAAGGGGATGAGAACTCACCTCGCATTATTCGCCGCCCTATGCCCTGTCACTCCACTGGACGCCGAGCTCGGGCTTCCGCTGCTGCTTGCTAACGGGCTTACTGGGACGGGCACCCGGGATGGATCCATCCGCATGCTAGCTGACGACCCATTCGTGCTCGGGACTGACGACGGTCGCATCTTCTCATTCATCTCGTCGCTTGTCCCGCTGTTCCTGTCTGACCTCCTGCCGACGGCAATGCCTCTGTGGCCCGGCAGGTTCGCCGTGGACGAGCCTAACGGCACAATCGAGTCCTCGTCGTCCTCATCTTCGAGAGGTGCCTTCACATAGCCACCGTCGCCATGATCGCCTCTTGCAGCGGCGGCCAGGGCATCCAGCTGCTGTGTTGTGTTGAGCACAGAACCGGACTTCATGAATGAGGTCCGGTCGTCAGCCATCTGGTAGCGGTTGTCCGGGTTGGACTTGAAGAAGATGACCACGGTGGTGATGATGAGGATCAGCAGCAGGATCAGGGACACAGCTGCGTTGAGAATCCACAGAAGGATGCCCACGATACCAATCATGAGGCCCGGCCCGTCGAAGACGTCGGTGAAGATGAGCAGGAAGACGGCGTTGAGGAAGTTGACAACGCAGATGGTCACGTTTATGGCGTTGGTTGACTTGTCCATGTATGGGCGCAGGACGCTGGTGGCGATGAGGGCAGCGACCTCGAGAATAATGAGCGCCACGGCTTGGGTGACCCCGGAACCCTGACCAAATGCGATGAACATGGCCTTGAGAAGGGTGTGGAAGAGCACGGGGATGATGAAATAGTAGGCGGAAGCGCGGAACTGGATGTACAGGAAGCCCCACTTGTTGAGCGCATGCTGGTCAGAGTAGAGAGCATAGGCTGGGTTCTTGTGCAGAGCGATCTGTGGACGTCAATCAGCATCTTCGAAACTGTCAAATGCAGGCTCTTTTCAGTTGGGAATGGACTTACAGAGCGTCTTGCCATGCGGAAGACATTCCATGAGGCCCAGGCAAGAGACACAATCAGACCCAAGAAGAACCCTACGGCCAAGACCATCTCCGCCGGAGAGTCACCCTGCGTGAGCTCCCAGAGGCACAAGACTGAGAGTGGAAGAAAGCCGACGAGGCTGATGCGGAACAGAATGCCCTTCAGATGGGTTCCTATTTTGTGACGGTCAGTACAGATCCGACCTGCAGGGAGTTTGTAAAAATCGAACTTACGCCAGTCGCGTCGGAACTCAACAAAAGTCTCGCTTCCCATCCATCCAGCCCTGACACCGCCCTCGCAGATATACTTGAATGTGACCACAGCCAGCGCACTGAGGACCAAGAAAATGCAGTACCAGATCAGGCCGGTCATGAAGAAGTTTGTCGTCTCAATATTGGCCTGGTAGGCATATCGCTGAATCCCCGTGACCACGTAATCTCCAGAGCTGCTCTTGATATTTCCGGATCGCTTCGCAAGGCTGGAGACATGTCCCGCAACTGTATCAACCCTGGGCATCATTGCAACAGCCCTACGGAAAAGGCCACTCTTAAGAAGCGCCTTGTCTGCTTTCGGTGCCATCGCAGCAGCCCTCCGGAATAGCCCAGTATTCTGAGTCGGCCCCGCAAGGGCGGCCATCGACCGCTTTTGCACCTGCACAGAGACCTGGTTGAGGGAGTCGAAAATGTTTGCCGCAGTGCCACCCGTGGACCGCTGATACCATGTGAAGATGTCCTGCATGAACTGGACCCTGATGATGCCCAGACTCCACGACAGGTCCTGCGTCCAGGCGGCAACCGAGGGCGGGAGGGGTGTAGCGACGAGACCGACAATGGCCTGCGACTGGAAATAGCTGCAGAGAGCCAGAGCATTGGCAGCGACGTGGGCTGCAGCGTTTTGATGGCCGAGGCCGGACATGAGGGCCGAGGACGCAAGGGCAAGACCGGCGACGATGGCTGTGACCCATTTGACCGCCACAAGATCAACCGTCTTTCCGTTCGAGACAGAGGCCGACACGCAGGCAACCGGAGATCCGTCCGTGTTGTTGATAAAGACCTTCACCTTGGCGTCGATGTCCGGGAAGGTGTAGGCGATGCTGGGGATGACGCTCTTGGCACTCGGATCGACGGGAAGGGTGAAAGGGTTATTCAGGTTGCCTGGACTCATAGGACAGAAGCCTGCAAACTCCTCACCAGCGGTACAAGGGTCGATCGTCTTCCGCATGATTTGAAATCCATAGGCGGTGATCTCGAAGTCGAACAGAACGTTTCCTGACACGGTAGAAGACGCCGTCATGTCGACGGACATGGAATTATTGCCAGGCGTGTAGACGACATCGAACAGACTGGCGGAGAAGCCTGAGTCGGCCTGGCAGGTGCTGAGCGACGTCGTGTAGAGAACATATTCGGCGGCGGCGGAGGTGATGATGGATGCGAAGGACAGGAGGACCAAAGGCAGCCCCTGAGCCTTTGGGAAACGCATCGTGGATGTGTTTCGTGGGCTGATCCACCTCTCCCGGGGTGATCAGGTCTTAAGCTTGTCGATGAGCTTAAAAAGGGAGTGCCCTCGCCGGATGGGTGTCGATGGTTCAAGTGTGCCTTATTTTCGTCGATCAAATAGATGATGCGACACGAATGGGGGCGTAAGAAATCGATGGAGAGGAGGTGAGGGTTTGGTGGGAGATCGGAGCGCTTGTTGGGACGGCAGACAGCCTCAGGAATGAAGCACGAGGCTGGGCAGGAATAACAATCAGGAGTGGATTGCAAGCGAATGAACTCTGCCGCTCGAAACGTGGAGTCTAGCGAACGTCAGTAGTACGAGTTGCGGTAATAGACGTCGAAGACCGGATCCGACGACGACGACTCGTGCCTCTGCGTCCTTCTAGTCGAACGTTCCTTGGCGTTGACACGTGAGACAGATGGTGTCGTCGTAGAGTGACGAGCAGAACAAGCTGAGGAACCACTGGGGAGGGACTGAGAAGACGGGAACAAGACGTCAAGACAGAGTGGGTGGAGCGCCAGTTTCTGGGTGGGCTAGCCAGTCACAGCGGCAATCAGGATTCCACTACAAGATTTGCTCCAGGGATCCTAGCGCCAGATCGGGGTTGGGCCCGGCTGGTCTCGTTCTCGCTTCAAGATGTCACTCTGCCACCGTACCGCAGTGCAATACAGTACTGCTGCCCCCTAACATAGCAGTACAGTGCCAGGGCCAGGGGTTGTTTTCATCACCTTGATCTGCTGCGATCGCCCTCCCACAGCGCCCAGGCTGACTGACCCCACCACCCCCGGAAAAGGCTCGCCATTCCTTTTCGGTGTCGCTTAGGGATTCTTTGACCAATCGTCCCAGATCATCAGCGCGGCAGTGCAACATTCTCGTATCGCATTTCAAATTCCAACTCTTGTTTTATTTTTTGGCCTTCCTTCTTATATAATATGGTACCGGCCTCCTTTGTACGCGCGGTTCAATCTTGTCCAACGTGAGATGCATTGCAGGAGAGAGAGGAGCAGGTTCAGCTGCCAGAACTGGAAATGATGATATACTATAGTACTTTCTGCAATTCAGATCATCGTCACTAGAGAGCGAAAAGCGCGCACACACCCTCTCTAGCACCCAAATTCAGGAGTTCTTCGTCCTGCCTGTAGGATGGATGGATCCACGGGTAGGCCGGAGGCTGGGAACTTGTCTCTACCGGGGCTAGTACCATACGTAGTACCCGTGGGCGCTAGCCCTCCTGGCCCCCTGCTTCGTCCCTCGCAGTGGGTGCCAAAAACCCCTCACGGCCAAAAACCTCTCACATTTCGAAGGCTTTTTTCCTTCCTTTCTTTCCTCACACCCACCCTCGCCGTTCGTCGATATGGCTTCTTTTCCTGGCTCTGAAGCCGAGGCCAGCGCGATTCAATCGTGCCCAGATACCGCTCGCCAGTTTCTCGCTCTCCAGGCCCGAGAAGATGCTGCCCACGCCGCGTATGTGGCCCAGCTCGAGGCGTGGGAAGCGCGCCGTAGCACTCTTCGCCAGGACGAAGGAGGGCCTCGAGGTCGAGGTCCTCGAGGTGACTCGAAACCTCGCAAGCCCTCAAGGACGTCTTTACGCGCTTTTGCTAGGCAAACGCCTTATACCGCGACTGGCTTGAACAGACACATTCACGAACTACGCCGTTCAGGCACGTCTGGCCTGTCAACAAAGCCTCGAGGACGCCCTCAGTACCTCGAGCCTTGGGAGGACGAGGCCCTTGTCAGATATGTGGTACGGCTTCAGAAGGGCAGCTTTCCTGCTCTGAAAGAGATGGTTATTACTGCTGCCAACACTATGCGTTCTTTACGCCGGAAGCCGCCTACTGGTCCTCACTTTCTGCCACGATGGCTGAGCAAGCATCCAGAGATTAGCGAGTCACTCAAGCCTGTTGAGGCCGCTCGCCAGGGCTTCGAGGCATCTATTCACAATCTGAACAGCTTTTTCGATAAGTACGAGAGTGCCATCGAGAAGTACAAGCTGACGCCATCTGCTGTATGGAATGCTGACGAGTGTGGCAATCGCATTGCTGTTCTATCTGGCCGTATTCGATGCCTCGTCGTTACCACAGAACGGAAAGCACAGCCTGAGGTATACAACTTCAACAACCGAGAGTCGATGACCCTCATCGGCTGTGGGAGCGCTGATGGCAATGCTATTCCAGCATACTGCATCTTCAAGCAGTGGCCGAATCCAGGCTGGGCCAAAACCCCCCTTCACGATGATATCCGCTTTAACAGATCTGATTCAGGCTTCTCGAACGCTCAGATCATGCTGTCTTGGTGCCAGCATTTCAATCAACACTCTTTCACCCATCACGCGGACCTGAAAAGGCTAGGATATACTCTGAAAGAGTGGTTTGGTGTTGATAGCACCCAAAAATTCGACTGGCGCGAGGAACCTGACCCCGTGGCAATGGCTTCTGGTCAACGTGCTAGCCACCAGCGTATTTATCGCTGTCTAATCATTGATGGCTTCTCAGGGTATTACGGCATCGAGATTCTGGATTACTGCTATCGCTTCGATATCATCGTGGTCTTCTTGCCTCCTCACTCAACGCATCTGCTTCAGCCAATGGATGTGGGCGTTTTTCAGCACTTGAAGGCGAAGCATCGCCAGATTCTGTCAGAAAGGGTCAGATGTGGCGATCTCAGCTTCACAAGAGACGATTTCGTACGGAAAGCCTTACAAGTATGTATCTTGCTATGTTTTTCTTTCCATTGCTAACCGCCTTATTTAGCCTATGATCAACCAAGCATTTAAACCGAACCATATCCTCAGTGGCTTTGCGAGATCAGGCCTCTGGCCAGCCAACCGCCATATAATCCTGACCAACCTTACGAGCAAGAAGAAGAAGACAAGGCGTGCCAGATACCCTGACCTCCCTCCGAATCTTTCAGCAGAAACAGATGCCCAGGGCTTGCGAGCTGCTGCTAGGCTGCTAAACCATTATGCCGAACTGTTATCCTCAGGCACACGCAAAGGCTTGAACACATTGAGTACGATAGCTTCAGAGTCAATTCTTCTCAGGGGTAAATTGGCTGCCGATGAGAGAGGCAAATCAGCAAGGCTGATGGCATACCAGGATCGATTGAAGAAGAGGCATATCAAGCCGGACGGCCAAGTGATAAACGACGTTTCCCTCGGCGATATTCGGCAACGAAACCTTGAGGAGCATAGGAAAAGCCATCAAGCTAAGGTACAGCGGATTGAGCGCATCAGAAAGCGTGCAGATAATAAGATCAGGAAAGACGAAGCACAGCGGAAAACAGCACTGAGAAAGAGATGGCATACAGCGTGGAAAGAAGCTGGCCAGCGATATAAGGGGCAGCCAATCCTTTTCAGGAACTGGCTGGCAATCCATTGCCCTGAGAGCCTTCATTGCTCTGAAAGCCAGCTAGCTACTCAAGAGGAGGAGTTCAGAACACCAGAACGCCAGATTCTCCCTGATATGGCATCGCAGTCTTTCGAGGTCGAGGACGAGGTCGACGATGACTTCATATCTGTTTCTAGCGATGTGGAAATATCAGGTCTAGGGCTCAGCTTAGACCGCCCCCTTCGAGATGTTGATATGGGATTGCTAGAAGCGAACAGCCAGCTGTATACAGCATTGCACAATGCTGGGTCAGGGCAGAGTGGCCAGGATGAAGAGGACTGGTATAGCGCTGAGGGCATCGACGACGAGGGCGACGATGAGGATATATCCTCATCGCCACCTCTGCCTCTATAAGGGTTTCCGTCGAATGCAAGGGATTGATCTCAGAGGGGTGAAGAGTGCGTTGAATGCCAGGCCGGGCCTGGCTTACATTCGGCTTCCCTCAATCCAGGCCCCAGAAGTACCTGGGCACCCATTTCAATAGGCAATGTACATCAAAGGGCCAGCAGAGCTGAAAGCCCTCCGAAAAGCTCTTGCCTTTCTGTCCAGCCAGGGCCTGAAAGGCTCCTTCACCACCAGGAGGAACAGTCCGTCCGGAAGACATCCGTTCTAGCCTAGAGTCAGCCTTTGCCTTCTGTTCAGCTCGTTCACTCTATGCCCGTTCGTGCTATTCAGCCTATAGCTATCGATCGTGTGGATCAGTAAATAGCTGGTCTGAAATGTGCGATTATCGTGAAATAATCGTGAAGTCCTCACTTCAATTTCAATGCACTGAAATTCATTGGTCTAAGAACCGAATTTGGCTGGCAGCCCCATACAAAAAAGATTCCTTCGAAATGTGAGAGGTTTTTGGCCGTGAGGGGTTTTTGGCACCCACTGCGGAGGGACGAAGCAGGGGGCCAGGAGGGCTAGCGCCCACGGGTAGTAACGACCAGCCCTAAGTCTAAACTGGCCATAAAGCCTTGGGTCATAAATTTTCCTCGCATTGATCCCCCCTCGATACTCAGAACAAAGACCTGCTGGTGGAAACTCGGCGTCGTTATAGTTCGCCATTTTCCGGATTTGCAAAAGTCAAGCAAGTCATTGACTTTCCCAAGAATCGGGTTCTGTATCCATTTGTTGATCTCTACTCAGCTTGCCATGCACGCCAGCAGGCTGGGCGAAATGTCCCGTGCTGACAGGCCGTGGGGATGCTGCGAATGACACCATACTTAGTGGCTGCGGGCCGCTGTCTCGGTTCCAACTCCCTCAAGGTTCAACCTACCCAAGCAGGCACGCAGAACGTGCGTCCAACATGTTTGTGCTCGATAAACAATAAAATCATTCCAGTAAGAGTCAATGTTATGATCTCAGTTATATGCCTGGGAATACATGCTATTGGTACAGTAGTGCACATGTCAGAAAGGTAAACAAAACCATACGTACAAGCATCAACAGCAATCTCCGAGGTCATCCACAACCCATGTTTCATTCCACACCCACCGCTCCCTCCTCTCTTGTTTTTATATTAATCTACCTACACGCAACCGCCATTAGAACTGCTTGACCTCACTCACTAGTCCAATTTCAAGACGACGGCACGTCGGCAGTTACAATGAGAAGACTGCACAGCATGTTGAGGATGATCCACAACTGGATCGCTGCCCCAGCTTTGGAGGCTCGTTGGTCTCGTCTTCTTTGTTTACCTGGATTCTGATAATTAATGAACAGTTCAATGTGCCGAGTCATTGTGATGAGTGACGCCTCACCACCCAGTCAGGGAGAAGTAGCTTTGTTATCTACGAGAGCGCTTGGGTCTAGACGTTATTCAGTGCTGACCATGAAAGCAAGACCCCCGCACCCCGCACCCCTTCTCTCTCAAGTATTGCTCTTGTTGTCGTCTGCTGCCGATATGTTAGGGTCTTGTTGGCTGTACTCCTCAGCTTCGGCTAGTCTCTATTGTCCAAGTGCTTAGAGAACGCTCCACCCTGGGGTATGAGAGTCATAACAATGCCCGTGACAGAATCAGAAATGAAGAACGTGAGACTATGATTCTCGAAATGTTATGGCTCATTATTGCCCGACGTAATGTCCCATCTGAGAAGGAAACAGACATACTTAGCACCCAATAAGTCGAAGCATGAGTATCTGACTGAAACGAATCTACGTGATACCTTGTACGAGTCAGACACCGGAGTTTCTTTGTGTATAACGTTTATGAGGATAGTGTCAAGGCCCAACTCATGAGATGTGATAGAGAAACACCTTCCGGAGCAACACAAGCGGCGCTCGACCCTCGGGTCCCCCGAACAAGCCCTGCAGCAGCTGGCCAGATGAAACATTGGCTCGAGGCATGATTGATGCCATTGGACCATAAAATTATATGAATTGAACTCATGATCTTCTACCTCATCCTCAGCTTCACTTTCGATGAGGGCACAAGTTTACCGCAGCTCATACCGATGGTTGACGCGACTGGATATTGCACAACGCTATAATGAGGAATAGGTAGAAGCCTTGAGTGTTAATTTCATCTTATCTGAGGAACTGATCTGAGGGGATAGTGGCTTTTATGTGTTAATTCCATGCCAGCGTGGGTCCATTTCCCAAGTCAACCATTTCATTTCTGAACATATACTAAAGCCCTTGAATTAGGCCCATTGTGAACTTGTGAGGGTCGGCCAAGATCGCGTCCTTGTCATCTTTAAGCTCGTCGACATCCCAATTTGCCCACACAAAACGGCCATTCAGGAAGTGCGCTTCTGGGCTCACAGCCCAGACGACGAAGTCACCAGGCAAGGCAACTACATTAAAAGGTTCAATCAGCAAGTGAAGAGGGTAAACTTCACCCAGCGGTTCAGACTTACCATTATCCCACGGCAAACTAGCCATCTCGACTTGCATACCTTTCGCAATGTTTTCGAACCCAGCAGACACTCCCGTCTCCGCCACGAGGCCAGGTTGCAAGCAGAGCACAAACATTTCTGGGTGCTCGTGATGCACGTACTCGAAAAGCTTTGCTGCACCGGCCTTGGACGCGCAGTAGCTTGACTCATTCGGGAAGTATGGACCATGGATGACAGCCGACGATATATGAACTATCGCGGAGGCAGTGCTCGCCCGAGGCAAAAACGCATGGACGAGATTGAAGTTTCCCTTGACGTTGGTCTCGAAGCCGTTCCACCACTCCGCCGGGCTTGCGTTTCGTATTGAGCTTAAACATCCTAGAGAACCCGCATTGGCAATAAGAATGTCAAGTGTGCCGCTCGCACACTCTCGGGCGAATGCCTTGAGCGCTTCATCTATTGCAGTCAGATCGGTGATGTCCACGGTGTAGATGTAGACTTGGCTGCTGGCGGAGACGGCCTCGATGGCCGACTTAGTCTCTTCAAGAGCGTTTTGTCGGCGCCCGATGAGGGCGATGTACGAGACGGCCGATTTGGCGAGCGAAACGGCGATGCCCGCTCCAATGCCTGATCCCGCACCAGTAACGACTGCTGATTTTGACTTGGTAGATAGTGCTGGTTGGGTGGGATCAATAGCGGCGTATGATGTACGGTGGTAGGTTTGATAGGGAGTTTTCAAGATATCATCTGCCATCGTAGTTGAACTTGTGAGACAATAACAATATTTGTCAATTCAATCAGTGAAGTCTTGGAAATAGGAATATGTATGTTGCTGGTGAAATTTCAAATTGAAATACATTTCCTTTTATACTAATACCCTCCATCTGACTTGCGTCCTCTATCAAGCAACCTGAGTAAGTACATTACTAGACGTCAGCTTTGATGACCGTTCATTGCTCCACAGTTGTTGAGTGACACCCACCTTGACTCACCTTACTCATGTTACGTGATCGGAGGTGAGTTTTGCCCGTCTACACCATAACTCCGAGCCGGACCCAGTCTTGGTGCTCTTCAACACATTGCGCCGAGCGCGTTGTTCTACGTAACGCTTCTCATACAAAGGACCAGCTCTTAGCAATCAGTGACGAGCACGGATGGATAACGAGGCCGCTGAGTTGCAAGTATGTACATCCCTCATTACCTACAATACCTGCGGGCTGACGAAGAAGGATAGCGGCGGAGGGAACGTGCGAGGCTTTCCCAGCGTGCATTCCGTATTCGACAAGCTGCGACGCTCCGTGAGCTTCGAGAAGAAAATGCACGGCTCAAGGGAGTCATTAAAGACGTGATGGAGGTCTCTCAAAGTGACGACTCGCAGGCTCTCCGCTCCGCGATACACAAAGCTGCCTCAGCGGCGGGTCTCACCTCCGAGCTCTGTCACGACAGCATTGCGCCCTCGGATCCCACCAGTGCGGCTGCTGGTCTTTCCACTGGGCCACCACCCGCTCCCATATCGTCTGGAGTGGAGCAGCAACGGGCACCGTTGACTGAGCAAGCTGACCCCGTCACATTACACTATCTCGGACCGCAACAGTCCAGCTGCATGACTTTCCGTCTAAACTGCGGCCTTCTTGGGGGGCCTACCAGCCTTGGGCGTATAGTGGATCCGCCTCTAGACATTGCGCCTTATCTAGGGCCCAACCAGCACTCTCTGGCGGCTCAGATCTACTGGTACTGCACCGAAACAAGTCTTAACTTTCTCTACCAACTCGCCGGCCAGGACCCCAGCAGAATTGCATCCGTCGCTCAGCATCATCCTATCTTTGCAACTATGCTAAGGCATGTTTCTACGTTCTGTAGTCATAATTACCTTATTGCTCTCGCTGAGGCGCGTCTTGAGTTCTATCGCGTCGGCTACTGCAAGGCAGATAACCTGGCAGCAATAAGGGATTCAGGTCTTCTATTACGGCAACGTGTCGAGCAAGAGTATAATATGGCGGGCCAGGACTTAGAAGAGTGGTTGAACGTGACCAAAGTAGCACGAGTTGTTGAAGAAAGATTGCAAAGTCGGGAGTTGAGGCGGCTTGAAGCCGCGGTCCGAAACGATGGCACGGATGTAACAGCAAGAAAGCTACTGGAGGCCTTCATCCACAAGTTTTGGCTGGAATCTACCTGTTTCGGCGATGGGCCAAGATGGAAGTCATCGTATGTCAGTAGACTGCTTGAGTGGTTAGCTCAGGCTTTATCGTACGATAGTCTGTCTATTCCTACTCCTATGCTATTCTAGCAAGTATAAAACACCTCCATGAAATGTAAATAGTTCATAATGCAAAGGCGCATCTTCAAAGATGAAGTGATGCTTGGATACTCGGGCAGTACTTGTTACTTTATTGAAAGGGTTATCCGGGTGTAGTAGGCCGTATTGTGCGGCAATCGACCTACGGGCACCGACGGTATCATCATGGTTGTCAAAGCCCCCAAACCAAACGATTTTCGCAGCTGTATATCCGTGTGCGTGTGTGAGAGAGTGTGTGTGAGAGAGAGAGAGAGTGTGTGTGTGTGTGTGAGTGTGAGTGTGAGAGTGTGAGAACTGACGCCGTACTGAGCAGTATGATTGGTTTTTTTTTGGCTGCTATTACGAAGTAGTCTCGAAGCTGTGGTATGAGAATCTCACCCGTGTACCTCCGGTAAATAGCTAAGAGCAATAAAGGCGGATTGTTCGCAAGGCGCCGATTCTGGAGTTCTCCATTCGCATCAAAAACCGGGCAAATGCTTCAGCAAGACGCCCTGTTGTCCCAATCCAGCGTCTTGACAAAGGTCTACCAGGCTGGTCCTTCCGGCAACGCCTCGCAGAATGTGCTCCATCGTTGTGTACTGTCGACAAAGTTCGGCTTAATGGAAGAGGGCGTCGCTTGTTTCCTTGGTCCCAGATCCACTGAAGTTGCTCAGAAGTACTGGTGGTGGGGTTTCTAGTACGTCCAGCTACTTGCAGAACGTATTGTGTGACTTCGAAAAGTGCTATGGTACATATGCCCGGCCAAGAAATATACTTGTCGAGGGTGTTTTGGGTTCTGTAAGTGGTGGGTCAGGCCTGTCATTCTCGGCTGGCTCAACCCCGACGCGGGCACGTATGTTGAAATGTGTAGGAAGGACGTGCCGTTCATCTGTCCAAGTTCTTCTACCGAGTAACACAAGCATGCTAAGAACGAATCGAACAGGTTTGTCTTGAAAATGTGACAAAGGATACATTCTGTTCTGCACAACAACTTGATAGTGTACCGAGATCCCTGTCGAGATTCCTGGCCCCTGCCTCTCTGCCAAGGCGTGTTCGTTGGCCCAGCCATCTTCAGAGAGTCAAACCAGAGTCAGGAGGCAGAAGATTATTGAGCATGACATATGTATCAATTACCTGGTATCTTGTAAACCCTTACCAATTCCGCGATTCTTCTTCTTCTTCTTCTTCTTCTTCTGGTTCTTCTTATGATGTTTCAATTCAAATATCGTCTGCCATGTTTTCAGAAGGATTCCGTACGAATTTTGTTTGAGGTAAGTCACCGTTACACCAAAACAGCCCAGTGGGGGATGGGCCGCGGCCGAAGGTTTAATGATACCCTCTGTCGATCTGAATAAAAGAAGACTCGTGGCAAGCAGGCTGGAGAGCTAGATAGAATAATTGACCGACGGAGGTGCAGTCCAATTCCACTCACATCGTCCGAGGCCTTTTTCGAAATCTTCCCCAGATTTCCCCACACAAGTAAAGACCGTTACAACGCGGGGCAGGGAAATAGGAGAAGCTACGCCGGTGATGCGGAGAAGATGGGACCGGCCGTGCAGAATGCAGATACTCTCCCCCACTTTGACTCGAACCATGACCAGGGATACATCCTTCACTCGTCATCAGGCTGAGCTAAGTCAGTAGATTGTGCCGCGCGCGCTCTAAATCTCGCTTCGCTGCTGCTCTGGATGGCAAGACTCGTGAGGGAGAGAGGTGCATCAAGTGAGGGGAAAGAGCCATGGCCAAGCCGAGTATAAATCCGCGGCAACTGCCCGCCACCTAGTGCAAGTCACAAGTGGACGGTGTGTTCACGGCGCCCGACCCTATCCTCCCTGCACCTGCACCTGCACCTGCACCTCCTCCCATTGCATCGTCGCCCTCATCTACTACTGCTGACCGCCTCCTTCGCAATGGCCTCCCTCCTCTTCACTCTGCTGCTCAGCAGCAGCCAGGTTGAGGCAGCCTCTTTCAATGGCCTGGCTGTCACACCGCAGATGGGTTGGGATGATTGGAATGCCTTCGCGTGCGACGTGGACGCCGACCTCCTGGCCACCTCCGCCCGCTCGATCGTCGACCTGGGTCTGCGAGATCTGGGTTATGAGTATGTCATCCTGGACGACTGCTGGTCTAAGGGCCGCAACACGTCGGGCAATGGATCTATCATTGTGGACACGACCAAGTTCCCCAGTGGCATGGCCGCGGTTGCCGACGACCTCCACAGTCTGGGTCTCAAGTTTGGAATGTACTCAGACGCAGGAAGATGGACGTGCGGACAATACGAAGGCTCGCTTGGCCATGAGACGGTTGACGCCCAGACTTTCGCCGACTGGGGGGTGGACTATCTGAAATACGATAACTGCTATAATCAAGGCGAGGCCGGGACGCAATATCTCAGTCGCAATCGGTACAATGTCATGAGCCAGGCTCTCAATGCCACTGGACGCCCGATCCTCTACTCGCTATGCAACTGGGGCGAGGACTATCCCTGGAACTGGTGAGTGAGGGCAAGAAAGAGGCCCCTTTCTTTCGCCCGGTACAGTCTTACTGATATGCTCGCCTTCAGGGGAAGCACCATCGCGAACTCGTGGCGGATCTCAGGCGATGTCTACGATTCCTTCGACCGACCTGATGCTCGTTGTCCCTGCGATGGTCCAGACGCCTGGGACTGTGGCCTACCCGGCTTCCACTGTTCCACACTCAACATCATCAACAAGGCCTCATTCATCGTTTCCAAGGCACAGAGCGGAGGCTGGAACGACCTGGACATGCTCACCATCGGCCTAGGCGGCCAGACAGATGCTGAGTACGTGACACAATTCTCGATATGGTGCGCAGCCAAGAGCCCTCTCATTATGGGCAATGACTTCTCCAAGATCAGCAACTCGACACTGTCCATCCTCATGAATGCCGCCGCCATTGCCGTAAACCAGGACCCGCTGTACTCGTCTGCCGCCCGCCGGTGGTATTATGACACCTCGGACACAGACGAGAATGGGCGCGCCTCGATCCAGATGTGGTCCGGCAGCCTGAACTCGACGACAAATAGCGAGTGGGACGACATGGTCGTCGTGCTCATCAACGGCAACAACTCGCCCACAACCATGAACGCCACGCTGGCCGACATCTTCATCGACTCCGGTACGGATGGCACCGCCCCTCAGGTGGCCCTGAGCTGGGAGGTGCGCGATCTCTGGGCATACCGCCTGACGGACGAGGAAGCGCAGGCCGTGATTGACGCAGCGAACGCGACAGACAGTGGGACCGGGCTGGCGGCCTCGAACATTACCAACATATACAACGCCACAAAGACGTCGTATGCCGAGGGGCTGGCGGCTCAGGATGAGTTGCTGCTAGGCAAGGTCGTCAGCACTGTTGCTGCGCAGGGTACGCTTACGGCCAGTATAGATAGGCATGGCGCGGCGATGTATAGGCTGAGGGCCGTGCCCACCACCGCTGCTGCTGTGAGGAAGAGGAATGAACTGTGAAGGCTTAGGCCGCAGCCTGTCGTGAGGCTCATAGTGACCTAATAATACCAAGAAAGAGAGAAAATAAGAAAGTTGAAAATTGCTGAGCCTGAATTCTGTACCCAATATCACATATCAGCCAGACACCCGTTGCAAGAGGAAATACGTGAATAGCTTCACGAGTTCCAAAGTTGCACAAACGACCAAGATAACAAGCAGTAATGATATGTGGCAGGAATGCCTCTCTTCATTTCCGACCGTGCTTTATCGGCTTCTACCGTTTTATGTACATGGCTGGCCGCTCCTCCGATCCATCCAACCTCTCCTCCCTTATCGCGACTTTGCAATAGGCTCCCACGAATCAATCTTTGGCTTGACCCTATGACAAGGTTAGTTCAAGCCCAAAAAGACCAAGATCGTTGCTTGCTCGTGACATACGTGTTGTATGGCTTGTACGCGCCCCTCGTCTGCGTGTAATTCGGAATGTGATGCGGCTTGGCCCAGCTGCGGGCTATTTTGGCCAGTGGATCCACCGTAGGAGGTTGGTCGACGGCATAGGACATCCATGCGTGCCAGAGGGGCTCGATTTGTGCGCTGTGTTCGTGCGTGTGTTGCTTTCGTCAGCCTTCGACCTAGAGCCTTTCCTTGCTTTTGCAGATATTGAGGGAGGGGTATCCGACTTACGGGTCGAAGTCGTGTTGCTTGTAGTCCACCCATCGTGTCCGCACTGTGAATCAATCGTTCAGCTTCTGTTCTGCTATTTTATATAGTGTATGTAGGCATTTCGTACAGGGAAGCTCGTCCGTCATGTTCTCGTAGTACTTGTTACCGAATTTGTCGGTGCCGATGAGCGTACCGGCCTTGGTGTCGCCTGTTCTTCATCGTTAGCTTCTCCATGGGGCGTATAGGCACTAGGCGTGAATCATACCGATGTACTGTTCAGAGAAGGAGGCAATTGTTAGTTGTCATCTGGGAGCATTAAACGGATCGAAGGGGGTCGGACGTACGTTGAGTTGATGCCAGTATTCCTGCATTCACACGAGTTAGCAAAGGGGGCCACGGTCGAGGTAGACGGAGTTATTCACCTTCAGGCCAATCTTGCGAAGATTGCCTAGCGTTCTCGAGATGGTAGACATGTTGGCGGCGGTCCAATTGACAAGAAATCGGGGAGGTACTGTCTCTGGAAGGAGAAGATGGAGGTCGTGATGCGATCGATGATGTTGCGGTGCTTTGCACACCAGCGTTCCCGGCGGGCAGAGCAAGTGGGTGGGTCCAGCCACACCACCATCGAATCACAAAGCTCCAGAGGTCAGCGCGGTACGTACCTCAACCCCTGCCAGATTCCCAGGACATCGCGACTTTAAACCTCATGACAGTCAGTATCGCTCTCACAACCTTCCTCGGGCCCCTCACTCACACGCCTTCCAACCCCAGCTGAGCGTGGTGAAACTCTGTTACTCGACAACGGCAATGCTCGCGAGGAGTGCCGTCACGAGATGCGGCGTTCTTAGAAGAGCCAGGAAACCTTTTTCCTTCACACCCAATCTTGGAGCTGCAAAATTTCAGCACGCCCGCCAATATGCGACAGCCGGCACAGCAGCGCATGCTTCGAGCACGATCAGCTCAGCTGGGATGCTGGCACCCTTCATCAGCGAGCTGGACAAATTAGCTCCGTCATTTTCCATCCACGGCTCGCAGGTGCAGATCCTCCAGACCCCGGCCGAATTCTACGATACGCTCAAGGACAAGATTCGCAAGGCAGAGAGGCGTATCTTTCTATCGACTCTGTACATTGGCAAATCAGAGCGAGAACTCATCACGACCCTGCAGGAAGCCTTGAGGAAGAACCTGGACCTGAAGCTCAGCATCCTGACTGATGCGCTGCGCGGGACCAGGGAGGCTCCTCAGCCATCCTGCGCTTCACTTCTGGCTCCCCTGGTCGAAGAATTTGGTCCCGACAGGGTCGAGATCCGCATGTACCATACCCCCAACCTGACAGGCCTGCGAAAGAAGTATATACCCAGACGGATCAACGAGGGGTGGGGTTTACAGCATATGAAGCTGTATGGCTTCGATGATGAGATCCTGCTCTCTGGCGCCAATCTCTCCACAGATTATTTCACGAACCGACAGGACCGTTATCACTTATTCTCATCCAAGGAAATCACCGACTTCTTTTGGGGGCTTCAGAGTGTTGTGTCATCCCTTAGCTTCAAAATCGAGCCCTCGAAATCTGCAGCTGGATTTGAGAAGGTCTGGCCCTCTGAGAATGCTGCGCCCTCGCCGCTTGATAGTCCCAAGGAATTTGTATCGAAAGCCACATCACGGATCGAGCGTCTGATCCTACCATCAAAAACATCACCACCACCTCAAAGAGAAGATCACGACACGAGTGTCTATCCGCTGGCTCAGATGACACAGCTTCTATCACCAGATACCTCGACAGAACTGCCAGCGCTCACCCACGTACTCAAAACTCTAGCTCTGCCTGCATTTTCCAACTCTTCCTGGACCTTTACTGCCGGCTACTTCAACCCGGCGCCCTCTCTCACCAAACTCCTGCTTACCACCGCCTCCCACCACAATGTTGTCATCACTGCCTCTCCCTTCGCCAATGGCTTCTTCAAGTCCAAAGGTGTCTCAGGAATGCTTCCTGACGCATATACTCTCCTTGCCCGAAACTTCCTACGTGACGTCCATACCCGCAAGAAAGACCTCGCCATCACTCTGAAAGAGTGGCGCAAGGGCACAGTCAACGAGCCGGGCGGCTGGACGTACCACGCAAAGGGCCTATGGATCACGCTACCCTCCGAATCCAGTCCTTCATTGAGTCTAGTGGGCAGCTCGAACTACACGAAACGTAGCTACTCGCTCGACCTCGAGGCCAACGCAATGATTCTCACACGCAATGAGGACCTCAAGAAGAGGCTAGGTGACGAGCAGCAGTGGTTGCAAGAGCATGCGACACAAGTCACCAGGGATGACTTTGCGAGGACGGAGAGGAGGGTGAGCTTGAAGGTGCGGATCGCCATGTGGATTGTTTCGCTCGTTGGCGGAGCTCTCTGAACCAAAACCACCTTACCAAGCCTACACGACAGATTGTCTTGTACGGTCTTCTGCGAGACTGGTTTCTTGATGACAAGCGTCTACGCTCGAGGATTAAAACACGCGTCTTGCCTCTATCTGTTTCATGCATTCTAGCGATTACCCGGCACTTGAATGCCTTGAACACCAGCACGAGAGCTGCGTCTGCTCACGGGCTGGGTACTGAAGGAACTGTACCCTCACCCTTCCCGGGACCTTTCCTTTATTGGCGAGAATTGAGTGCCTGGGTGCTGAAAGATCCGTCGAGGAAATACTTCTGCCTAACATCGTCGAAGTTAATTTTGAAATCCCATCCAGCCGCACGATAAGAAGGCCACGCAAAGATGCTGTTTCCCTTTCACCATGACTCCACATAGGCTACTGGACTTACACCTTCGAGGGCAGAGGGTGGCGTTTCACCATACAGCAGGTCAATCACTAGGTCACTCTGGGTGGCCCTTGACACCGAAGATCGCTGCTCACAGGGCCACCTCAAGGATCTTCCCCAATGGGTCGCAGCATCTCCGGGTTATAGAGGGGAGGGGCGAAGGGTTGTCGGACCTCAAGACTGATACACCACGACGTTGTACGATGATGTGACCCGCATGCAAATGATTGCTCAGATTGCTCAGATTGCTCAGGTGTATCACGCAGAACCCAAGGTCCGAGGATTACGCCGAGTCTTCGCCGGGTTTGGCACGAGTGGTCGAGGAGAGGAGCCACCCACTCGATCAGTCCTCTGGAGAACAAGGTTTGAGTGGGCCAAGCGCCATGCTCATCATGTTCATCAGCATTTTCAGCTTGGGCAAAATTAGTATCAAGACAAATCCGTCGGTGCCAACAGGCAAGGTTGCGAAGCATGCGTCGTGATAACGATCACAATCTAGCACAGTGGCTTTGCTGCTGGATCTTTTCCCCAAGAATGGGAATGTATTACGATCCACAGCCAAAGACAAGAGCGAACAACGAGAGCCGGGGGGGGGGGCTTTCTTTCTTTTTTTTCCTTCTTTCCCGCTTCGATTGTTGCCCTTTCAGGTCAAATACACTTGCGTGGCTTCACCGCCTGCCTATCGGCCATTTCGAATCACGAAAGGGAATATTCCTACGGCCTAGGACAGAACAAATTGTTGGGCCACTATTTTCGCAGCCAGCAGATATACATTGCCCGTCCATACGCCGTGACAAGTATCCTAGTGTTTCATTTGCGAGCTGCCAGCACCTGTCGAGCTATCGTGTTGCAGTCACCAGTGAAATTGATGTGCTACGGCCGCACGGTATTTACCGCCTGATGCAGGAGGCTGGCAACCGTTGCAAAAAGAAGAACTAAAATAATAAAATCAAAAGATATCACTTTCCGGATCCAGGGGGTCCATCCGGATAGACGACGTTCCGGCGCCTCCTGCGGGACCGGGTTCGACCGACCCAAACACGGGGCGCCATACTACTCGCAAGTGGCCCTTAATTGGTTTGTTTAGTCACGCTTCCCTCCTTTACCGTCCACTGCATTCGAACTAGGAAAGCCTGATCACCTGCTTTGTGGACCTACAAGGTCGACAGCCGTCCTAGATGAAGCCATTCTGTCAAAGCAGCATTACAATTCTGGCTTCCTCCCTTGTATCTACCTGCCGGTTGCTACACATCCGTGCTGACAAGGCCATTCAAGAACTCCACCGCATCATGGCGCCATAGTCAACCAGTCCATCTGGAAATAGTCATCTCATCTGTTCACCTAGTAGTATACACACCTACTTTACTTACCTACAGAATCCTTCAGGACGACTACTTATTTCAAACCCCGCAGAATATGCCTTGTGCAAAGTCATAGGGCGGACTCCTAGGATGCAATGGCTTGGTTCCGGTTCTTTGATCAGTTTCAGCCAATAGTCGTTTCAACCGCAGACAAAAAAGCTTCGGAAACCAAACATCCCGTCCCTGAATTTACACTACGCTGTTAGTCCTCCCGTGTGGGTGGGGTGTACCAAAGAGTCTCCATCACCAACCCCGTCTGTCCCTGAGGCGTTCATTACTTTTCTTTTTCATGTGGTCATGCTTCGGCGCTGGAAAGGTGATGATCCGTCTCTAGGACGCCAGGGCCCAGACCCCAAAGATCTACACTGAGGTTTGTTTCATAAACAAAATGACAGCCCGGTAGTAAGAGTTGTTCTGGGTTCTATGAACCTCGACATCCACCCACGATCTCTACCTACCCCCCCCCCCCCAAAAGGAGTACAAAGATTCCAAAGAGCGTATTGAGATAATATGCTTGAGGAAGAATGGGCTTGACTGGCACATCCTCTTGGTTTTCCTATCTCTACCATTCCATTCATTTCTCAAGAAGTTCCTCATGGATGAGCCGAATCGCAATCATCTGTCCTGGCTGAATATGTCTCGCCTCAAAGTCCTGAACATCACCGCCGCCGCAGCAACACTCCTTCTCTCGTCCCTCTTGGTGGCAACCGCAGCCCAAGACGCATGCACCTCGAGCAGCCAGCCGAACCCCATAGCCCAGCAGTATGCCGATTCCGTCACTGGAACCTTGAATACCACGCTCGCTATCGTCCCGATACCACTTGATACAGCAAGGAAATTGATTCCCGCACAATATGCTATTCTTGAGGATGCCTACCACGATCTGTTACCCAGCTTCCCGGCGGACATGTATCCCGTCTTGATGCAGGCGGGCTTGGACCACGACATACAGCTCGCTGCGATCAGCTATTCTTTACCAGACTTCCAAGTAAGTTATACAATACCTAGTAAATCAGGAATTGCATGGTCGGGAAGGATGAATAGCACCAACACTACATGATAAAACTACCACATCATCACTAACGGAAACCCCCACAGCGTGCAGGCTGGTCCTTTCCCTTCGTCGACCTGCTCGGCGACGGCTTCTCGTCTTTCATATGGGCACCGGCCCAGATGATCAGTGCAGACAACGAGATAGCCGTCAACGGCTCCAGAGCATACGGCACAATCGTCTTCCCCGCAACATTCGACCCGGCCTGCGACGCCTACGGGAGCAAAGCCAATGGCTCTGTCTACTTTACCGGCAACGCAACCGACAGTTCGGGCATATACGCCAGCCTCGAGTTCTCTGCCCTGGCCCAGGACACCGCCAGTCCGTACCCGACAACGTTCTTCCAGAACGTTACAAACCAGCCCATCTTCGGGAATGGCTCGCTCTGCGACAGCCAGGTCCGCCTGTTCAACTCGACGCTCAGCCAGGGACAGTTCGCGCCGGTGCCGGTGAAGGGCACCATCTTCTCGAATCTTCCACCTTTGGATGCTAGTGCTGGTGTGGGCGATGTGTTTGGCGTTTTGATTGATACCCCTTTCATAGAGTATAATGGGCTGGATTGTCCATCGCTGCAGGGCTACTCAGGGACGGGGTCTGGAGACTAATGGGTCGTGTCCCACGGTTATCTCTTTGCTTTCTCTCTCTATTGGTGTTGTCGCCTGCAGCTTTTTGATACCTTGAGATTTATTTTAGCACTCTTCTCTGCAATTTCTGGCGTTACGGATACAGCAAGGGGCAAGTGGCGAAAGTTTTCACTGAGAGCTTTCAGGTTTTCTTTGGTTCATTATGGTATATATTCCACACATGCGTGGCAAATGCTAGCTACTCAAGTAGATGTGTTCATGTCAAATGACTAGGATAAAGCCAAGGGGCTTGAAAAAAAAAATGAGACACAGAAATGAAAAAGAAGGAAGGAAAATGCAGAGTTCAGAAGGTCCTCTAATGCTTTGTTCCATACAAGAAAGCCCCCCCCCCCCCCAAACGATCGACAGTAACGTTGTCTCAGGGCACCACCCAAGCTGATGCGTCCAATTTCCGAGATGCTGTGATCTCTCGAACTCGAAACTACTTATCCAAAGCCCGCTCTGGCAATGACACCCTGCTGAAGGTCGGGTAGTAATGAATATGCCAAGTAAGCCTATAGTGCGCCACCGTCATGCAATAGAGAGAGGCCTCGAAGTCAGAAGCAATGCGTATCAGAGGACAGTCGATCACTCCGGATTTAGATCAGAGCCGAGATGGTGCTGTTCCACGAGATACAATCTCCCAAGTCCGTTGCCTCTAGCGAGGCTGTGGAATTGATCGCTGCCGCACCTAGGGCACTTGTACCACACTTGAGGCCCAGTACAAAGGCGCCAGCCACGAGATTGGCCAGATAGGGCGCGGTATGCTACATTGGTTGGTTCGGGAGGAGTCAGCAACGCAGATCTTTTGGTTGGTGTTTTCTTTTCTTCTCTTTTCCGTGACCCAGACAGAGCAGAGAGGACTTGGTTCATGGTACTTACGGTGTGGTCGAGCGGGAAATTCTCATCAGTAACAGTGGCGCCCAGGTTCTTCTCGAGCTGGGCAGCATAGTCACCGTGAGAGACAAAGTAGACGCCGGCAGACGGCCCACCCAGAACTTGAGTGGCATACCTAGTTGGCGAACAATTATCAGTCGGCGACATCCCTTCGAGCGAGCGAGACAACGGCCCCCAATAAGGATTTAACAGGGAACTCACCAAGGGTAATACTCAAAGCGATTGGGAACCCAGGTGAAAGTGCCCGTCTCCCATGGGTTGTCTGGTGTTGGAGAGCTGATGATCACCTTTGCGCCCTTGGCGAGGTACAACTTAGAAGCCATCTCGAGATATGCTGGGTATGTGTAGATGGTCTCGTTGACGCCGTCGTATTCCGAATAGCATATTTGGGCTCCTGAGCCGGGGCAGTCGGTGAGGCCGTCGTCGTCAGAAAGGCTGCCGCCGTCATTGTGACCAAGCTCGATCACAACCCACTATAACACAAAAGTCAGTGGATACGAATCTTTAAGCAGAGACCCAGTAGTCTGCGGTATTCAACTCACATCTCCTGACGAGAGCTCATCGGCTATCGCCTGGAAGCGCCCCTCTCTCCAGTAAGAACGGGCTGACCGTCCTGCTATTGCCTCGTTGTTCACAACATACTCGGACGATTCGAACGAGTACTTGAGATACTGGCCCCAACCTTCAGTACCAGTACCGCCGCCACCTGGAGCCATCGTGCTGTCTCCAGCCAGCCAGATGTTGGTCACGGCCAGTGCGCTTGGCGCAAGGCTGAGCAGGCCTGACAAGAGGGTTGGTGAATAGCGCATTCTGCTTTCTTCTTTTTGCTTTTAGCACTTTTGGGAATTGCAATAACACCACAGCAATAGTGTGAGGACTTGAAGAGAGAAACTTTGGATTGTCTCAGATAGATATTGTTCTTGGCAGTTTATGGCTCCCTGCTGAGATTTATATAATAACCCGCTCTGTGGGCTTCAATATTAATTACGCCATCACCTATTGACTCGTTTGATCTCGGTTTCCAGCCTCCGCAGCAGGCACGGTACCAAGATGTAGAGTGGGATGAAAGAAAGGGAAAGAAGAAAATTAGAGTTTCTTTGGTTGTGTGATACGTCAGAAGGGGACTCAAGATTAGGTAGTTTATGTATACAATGATGTGGATTTACCCGCAAGCCTTCAATTCTCCCACCATTCACGATGTGCACAAGATGCTTTGGCGTTGCCCTATGCCGGTACTGAGGGGAATCCGGGGAAAAGGAACATTGTCCAGATGATCTGTTTTGACTTTCCATTCTGGGCAGACCCGTGAGCACAATGCAGGCCCACCCCAGCCGGAGTATGCGTCTAAATGCCGCCAATGAAGGGTTGCAATGACGGTCTGAAACCAAATAGCAAGGGCGCAAAGCACGGAGAGTCACTCGAATCAGGACCATAATTACCTCGCCTAACCCACCTGCACAATACAGATGCATTTCAATATTCCGGAGCCCTTAGAGGTATGTCTCCGAAGCCACCAACGGCCCCTCTCCGCCTCATACGCAAACTACTACAACTCTTTTTCTTTTTACCTTAACTACCCGGCCACACTTGCTTTCCTCTTGAGTCTCTCTTTAAAATGTCTCTAGAAACCCGCGGCGGCTCTGGCGATGAAGAGTCAAAAGGCGTCAGAAGTTGATGATGTGCTTGACTGCTTGTAAAAAGCCGACGGTTGCCATACTTTCGGCCCACTGCGATGAGACCTCACTCCGAGCAGGATGAACCAGAGCTGCATGGTTTTTGAGAGCACCATTGTTGTGTAGTTGCTTGTTGAGTAATTACCACAAAGTCTAAGGCTATGCCGAATTAATTGACGTGAAACAAAAATGGTATCTAATCAACAGTAAATAAACAGAAAGGTGGTATAGGCAAGCCTCATTATAATATCTCCACAATCCTCATTCTCCCACTAAAGGACCGCATCAAGGCCCAGAGCCATATCTCGTTCTGTATAATGACAACCAAGACCAGCTGCTAGCCACACATGGCCCGCGGTGGCTGTCACGGATTTCTTTTCTTCTTCTTCTCTTTCTTCTTCACAGAGGAGAGCGTGTTCCAACATCTTACAAACACACACCTCATCTACTCCAGTTCGGCTCTGAACGCATTTGAGGCCAACAGCTCTGACCTTCGCTCCTCCGCCGCCCCAGTCGACGCCAACAGCTCTGACCTCCGCTCGTTGTCCTGCCCCGAGAAGAGCTCGGCGGTGTTGGGCACACCGTTCTGATTGTTGTGCTTGGCGGCCGCCTCGTCGTACGGCGAGATCTCGTTCGGATGGTCCGAGTAGTTGGGTGGGCCGCCACCGGCGGCGTCCAGCGGCTTTTCTGCCCTCCTGCGCCTGAGGAAGAACCAGATGCCGGCCCCGACCAGCGCCACGCCCGCGACGGCGCCGATGGCAATACCGGCGATGGCACCGCCCGAGAGGGAGGAGCTTTGGGTCACGGAGGTCGAGTCGCCCTGCGATCCCGAGGAGCCCGATCCTGTCGAGGGCGATGTGCTCGTGCAGACGGCTGAGTTCTCGAGGACATTGTTGGCCTCGTCGACGGCGACGAGGGTCTCGCTGTTGCTCTGGGAGTTGGCGGCCCAGACGGTGAACTCGCCGGCGTCCAGGTTCACCATGACGTACACGAACGTCATGAAGTGGCGGCACATCCGGAGCGGGTAGCCGTCGGTGGCGACAGAGTTGATGAGGAGGTCTGACTGGCTGTTATTCTGGAGAAACAGGCCGGTGTCGTCGTCCATGTAGACGTGAGGGACGATGAACTGGTCGTTAGTGACGGTCACAGAGGGGCCGCCCTCGATTGTGACGTCTATGTCCCCAGTAAATCTGTGTCATGGTCAGCATCTGGTCTTCCAAATTTTCAATCTTTTTTTCTTCGGTCTTTGATATTTTATCTCTTGACCAGATCGAGCAAGGTATGAACGTACGGGTTATCATCCTCTAGGTACAATGAGTCCCAGAAGTTGAGACCGGTAGACCGCATATCACCTGTACCGGCATATTCGAAAAAGCTGGTATAGTTTGTGTAATAGGCAAAGTTCTCGAAATAATCATAGTCAGACATGTCGAACATGCCTGGGCAGCCGAGATCAATGCACCCAGTGAGCTTCGTCGCAGACTCGTCGTTACTCGTCGAGTCAAAGAGGCTTGCTGATGTGCCGTTGTGGAAGAAGAGGCTGAGCTCTGAGATGTCCACCGACATCCCCCACAGGCAAGCTGTGTAGTTCAGCTTGCCGGTGTAGTTGCTCGTCGCCGATCCTGAGATCTTGTTCTGGTCGTAACCACCAAAGACGAGGCTCCCGTTCGACGTGCCAGTCGTCCCATCCTCGCCCCAGAAGAAAGAATACGTGCGCGAGGAGATCATGTCGTTGGCCTTGAGCTCGTTCAGAAACGTCGAGTTGGGCCCCAGTCCGATGACGGCCTGCGGATAATAGAACTGCTCTTGCCAGTCATTGAGCGGGACGCCAAAGGTAAAGTTGGACAGGGCAGTGTCTTCGTTCAAGTTCCAGATGTCACTGAAGATGGACGTTGAAGGAAAGGGGCTTGGGTCGGTTGCCGTGGCATCGGAGTCACCCTGCTTCTGCGTTTTGGAGGCGACTGGGTCGTAGGCGCCGCCTCTCCTTGAGATGCAAGCCGTCTGGCTTTCGGCTGAGAGCGCATCGCACAAATTAGTCGAGTCATAGAGAAGACTGTTGTTCCATCTACGTAGGCGACATGTTAGCAAAGAGGGATCACCATCTCATACAAGGGGAGGAGATGCATGTTGCAGCGCAGCAAAGAAAAGAGAGAGAGAGAGAAATGCTTACGGATAGGGCATGAAAGCAAAATCTTGTGCCGGCGTCCCCACACTGATTGCCACGCCTCTCACTTGTGCATCATTTGGTGAATTGGCGACAGTGACGTTGGAGATGACGGCAGATATGGGCGTGGGAGTACATTGTGATGAAGAGTCGGTCGTGCTCGAGGACTGTGCCACCACAGTAGTTGGGAAACATGATGCTGCGAGTATGACCACACCGCAGAAACGCGCAATCGAAGTATCCATCTTTTTCTTCTTCTTCCTTTCTTTCCCTTTTGGTTTTTCCCCTATTTATTTTTCCTTTTTCTTATTCTGCAAGATCAAAATGACCCAGAAAAGAGCCAGCACACGCAAAAGCCCCAATAGCACAGAGAGATGTGCTTCAAAGGTCGTGAAGATCACCCCGGCGGGGAAGGGGGGAAAACAAAGGAAGCACGCGAGCTGGGCCAGAAAACGAATGTCAAGATGGAGAAAACCGGCAAGAGACTCTATGGAACTGCGTGACCCTCTGACGCAAGTCTCACCTCTTATTTTTTTTTCCTTTTTCTTTTTTTCCTTCTATCTCTCTCGAAGGATTTGGGACCCGCTTCTTAGAAGGTGAATGCCCGCAGCGTCAAAAGTGCGCCTGGCCTATTCCCTCCTGCTCCTCTCTCCCTCTAAAAGTGTCTGCCTGTCAGATTGTTAACAAGGATCGACACCAGACACTGCCCCACATGGTGATTAAGTGTCTCCCCAGGTATAATGTAGATACCGGCAGTTCTATGGCACAGGTCCCAACAGACAGAGCGGAATTCCTTTTGAAAAAGTCCTGTCTGATACATATATAAAAACGGGCGGTTACGAAGACACTTTACGAGGTCTCATGTGTAGACTTGCTGCATCACCACGAGTTTCAGTGGAAAACTCGCAGAGCGAGACCAGGGGGTTTTCAGCCGCTGGGTAGTATGGTAGGGTGCCAGAGGATCCAGATCCTGACTTGTGCTTGCAGAGTTGCCTCTCCGGCTCCTCGGGAAAGGGGGTCGGGGGGTGTGTGCGTCTTGGGACCAGATGTGATCCCCACCAACTTGTGGCGTTTATGGGTACGTAGTACAGGCATAGTAGTGGTGCCTTTTCAAGAAAGATCGATTGCCGCCAGTACCGGTACAGCAAGTTTGGAAGGCTACCTCTGAGAAGAAGGTAGGTCACTACTATCATGAATGGGCGGTAATTAAAGGGGTTGCCCGATGATGAACCACATTACTGCACTGTGCATTGGAGCATCGAACTTCAGCCGCATGGCGTGGAGCTTCCCCCCTCCAGGGCCAGGGCAAACTGTGCGGACAAGCGGTGCGCGAGTAGTGGAGCAAGTGTGCTCCGATACTGTGTGCGTGTGTGTTTGCTGTGGATTGTTGAGAGGAGTCGCGCCTGGAGAAGCGAGGGAGGTGGGAAGACATATCTTCTGGTGCTGAGCCTTAAGCCCCTCCCGTACATGTCGTTGAGGGTGTGAAGTGCATAATGAATAAGGATGTTACGACCTGGTCCATTATTTCCGGAGATCCGAGTGCAGACGTTGTCCTACTGCTGTACAGCAATACCTCTTATCAAGGGCTTCCTCCCATTGTCCTTTTGGCCCCCTGCTGACCGAAAATCAAGTCCTTCTCTGCTTCTCTCTCTCTGTATCCTGCCAGGTTTCTACCCGGGGGTGGGACCATATAAGGGTGTAGGGCACTTGCAAGCCTCGCCGGCCAGACTCCAATAAAGAAGATAGGCTTGGCCTTATGCATAGATCGCAAAATACCCTCTTCTTCATATTTTCTTATGGCGCTTCAACTGATACTAGAAAGCTGTGGGGGCGCTTGTTGGTACAGATCCACCTTGAGCGTCGTGGCGACACTGTGCTTTTTTTCTGTTTTTACTATAAATCACTTATAGGTTCAAGCACGGGTAACACTATAAGCCAAATTGCCAGAAGCTTAGGAACCGAGAAAATAGACGAGTATTCTGGTCTCTGTTCTATTCCCAGGTGATGTTATTACATTTCCACGCGCCTGGACGTTATTTCTGACTCTCTGTATCTGTAACTCGATCCCCTCAGATGAAAAGCTGCAGCCTGCGCGCACGGTAGATAGACCGGGCTATAATTGTTACACTAACGCAATGCTTCTAAGCGATAGCCGGTTGTGGAGCTTTTACCAGAAGAAGAAGAAGAAGAAAAAAGGAGTGGCCAGCACACACAATATGCCAACCTGCTTGGACGCCTTATTTATTAATTCGTGCTTCACGACCTCAACAACCGTTCTTCCTCCCTAGTCATGTTTCTTATCACCTAGCGAGAGTGTTTGGTTACCTCTTTTGCCTCCCCTCGGTGTGAGACGACTGAGGCGAGCAAAAAGTATTGTTGCGCAATCCTGGGAAAGCTGCAGTAAGAAACTAGTTAAGCGCTCTTGTGAGCCCAAAATAAGACCAGCAGCGGCCCAAGTTGACATTTGATTCGTCCCAGGGAATTGGATCTCCGCAGCATGCAGCATGGCTACGTAGGATTACGGTAATACCACACGACACACCACACCTGCATTTTTCGACCCCTGCCCCACGAAGGACGCAAAGATGGGTACCTTCAGCTCCTTCGCGCAAGGGTTGAGTCCTTTTTTATTTTTTTTATTTGCTGCCGTTCAGGATACCCCATGCGTCGTTCGAGACAAAGACAAAATCCTTTGAACACCGATCTACAGTACACCGTAAGACGACCTGCGCTGCCCCCCCCCCCCCTTTTATGGCCGTTCAGACGCGCTGCAGGACAGAAGTCCCTCCCCACACTGCCCCTTGTGGCTTTACAACTTGTCAAGTTGACAGGCTTGTCTCTGCACCCTTTTGTCACGTGCCTGGTCAGCCCAGTCAGTCAGTCAGTCAGTCAGTCCACTTCTTCCCACATGGACAGAATCCTGGCCAGAGCGTTGTTGGCCTTCCAGACTCGCTCTTGACGGTCTTCCTCCTCTGCCCGGCAACGGACTAAGGCCGGTCATGTCCTTTACCACATCTTCTTTCCTGGGGAAGACGAGCTGGACAGGCTCGGGCATCCCTGGATCCTCCTCGCATACAATGTTCTCGCGTCTCTTGTTTACGAACCGGCGCTTCACCTATTCGGCCGTGTTCATCTTTGCCTCCATCCTGATTGTTCTGACATTGCGAAGCCTACGGATTGGCTACACTCCTGCCGAGTGGTCCCTCCCCGGACTGACTAGCGATGTCACTGCCGCCCCACCGCTGGCGAGCCCCTCGCCATCATCATCATCATCATCATCATCATCATCATCATCACCACAGATCTCGCTGGCAGCACTCTCAGATGACTATGGGCACGTGAACGAGCAGTCGTCGGTGTGTGAGCTGCGCCTCGGGGTGCCGTACCTTGAAGAGCTCCGGCGCACCAGGGCAACCTACTGCTCTGCCGAGTCGCAGTCGCAGCTGACCTGTTTTCACGTCAAGACGGCAAAGGACCGGACCGACTCTTTCTGCATTGGGCAGGGTGCCCGTTTCGACCAGGCCAGCAAGAAATTCAAGCTGGACTGTGAGACGATCGAACCATGGGGGGTGGAGACGAACGAGTCGTCGGTCTCGCTGCACAGCTTCAGCAGATATTGGTACGAGACAGGGCCGCGAGTGGTCATGGACAAGGCAATCGATCTGCGTGTCAACAAGGATGTGGACCTTTCACCACAGGGTGATAACAACAAGCCGGAAAAGTTCACAGTCCTGATCAAGCGGGAGGGCGAGCTGAACCCGTGGCATTGTCTGCTTGAGATCCTGTCCCTCAGCCTGAGCATGGACGTTCTCCAGATGTCACCACGTGATGGGGAACAAGGACCCGCCTTCTTCACGCCTCTGGACGCGGAAAACACGCAGGTGGTGATCCTGGACGAGAGGAAGGATGGCCCGTACTTTGACCTCTGGCAGTTGTTTGCCAAGAAGCCCATCGTCCGAATCAACGAGCTTCCAGCAGACGACGACGCACTAGCCGGCAATGTGATCATCCCTCTACCGGGTGCCAGCAATCCACTCTGGCAGGGTGACTGGGACCCAAACCCATGCGCCCACTCTGACCTCCTCCGAACCTTTTCCTGGAGGGTGCTTCATCACTACGACATCCCGGACACCCTCGACGGGGAAGACAAGGTGGTTGTCACCTTCATCGACCGACGAGAACAGCGCAGGCTCGTCGACATGGACCGCCACCTGGCCGCGCTGCGGAACCGGTACAAGCACGCCGTCATCAATGTAGTCGATCTCGCCGCCTTGCCTTTCCCAGAACAGATCCGACTGGTGCGCAACTCGGACGTCCTCGCCGGCGTGCACGGGGCCGGGCTCACGCACGGCCTGTGGATGAAGGAACACTCGGCCATGGTCGAGATCCTGCCCGAGGTCCTGAACCACAAGGGCTTCCGGAACTTTGCCGGGGCGCTGGGACATGACTATTTCAGCACACACGGCACCAAGCCCCCTGCGGTCTCGGGCAGCTGGCAGCATGATGATGTTGCTATCGAGGAGGAGCGGTTCCTCGAGGTCATGGACCTTGCGATCAAGAGCATGTACAACAAGGGTCGGAATAACTATGATGTGGATAAATGAGACTGGTAGACTTTCTTCACTGAGGCGTTTTGGGAGTCTGGTAGAAATAGATACCAATTTGACGCAGTTACTGCTATGACAGTTACATGTACTTCATTACTACCACATCTGCTGTTCAGGAATCCATTGTGCCTCCATGTTGTGATGTTGAGCGGGGGCTTGTGTGATACCAATAGACACTTTTCCCAACACTTCATTTCAATATACAAAGTTAGTTCCTCCAGGGGCATCGTCGACAACTTGTGTGGAAATGTTTTGTTCAAAATCAATCCATCAATACACATCTCTGGAAAGGGTGTGGCTCGATTTATCTCCTCACCTGCACTATTTTCCTGGGTCCAAACCTCAAACTCGCCCGATTATCCGAGTGAGATATCATTGTTCTGGACGGAGAGCTTGTTGATCACTCCAGACACATGCATCAACAAGTATCTGCCTAGTGCAAATGCACTGCAATAAATCTACTCTCCTCAATTATATCATATTTACGATACATGAATGCTATGGAAATATACGCCAGGTCATTATGGCCATCTCGTTTGTCCCAAATACATACACAGCAAGTCTCCAAGCTTTCTATCAAAGCCTAATTACCCACTCAATTCTACTTGCGAGGTTCGTTTCTTTCATGATGCGTGAGCCTTTTCCATCGCTTTCTCAGTGTCACAGTGTCACTTGGTCACAATCGGTTCCCGAAACAGGCAATTCAATATCTCACAGCGAACGCCTTCTTCTTCAGACATTCTTGGATCGCTGCTTGCTACGGTTCAACGAAAAAAGTTACAGGCCGGGCAACTGAAGACATTGGGCATATCCTCGATTACCTACATCTCTTGGCCCTCTAGGAACCTCCTATGACCCTCTTTCGCAACGTACGTGATCTCTTGTCTAAGATAGTGCTTGATGGCTCGAGTATGTACAATCTTTCGTACCTGGCAACTTCTCTGACTCCGTCGTCGTCAGGTATAGCAGGCGCTTATAGCGCGCCAACAAAATTACCACGCTTGCGTCACGTTCTGCAATACGGCGTGGTGAGTGTATGTTCAAGACTTGCCCAGGGAGACTATTCAGACTGATGAAAAGACAAAGAAATAATAGAAGTGATTATTATGTACAGGCGTCAAGTAAAGCACTTTGAATGCGATACAACGATATCTATATCAACTATTTCCATCCTAACGCCGCATGTTGCCTTTGTCCTCGCCAAGGACACTTTCTCGAACCTGGAACGGTAGTGAATCCTTGTTCATGCATGATATGCGAGCATCTGCCTTGGCTGCAGTGTTGGTTTAAGCGTTTCCGGCATAATCCCCTCTATTTCTAGTCAGACCTTTGGGAGTTAGACTTTTGCTGCTCCTGATCTCGATGTCGCCGGCTCATCGAAAGAGCTGGCTTTAGGCGGCTGAGATTGTGGTTCCTCGATGGAAAGTCAATGGACGGTTTATGGAGGCTCGAGAGAAGTTTAATGGGCCGTATCAATGGAATGGGATGAAAATAAGTGCTGAGGTAACATTGGGAATTGTTGAAGAAGGTTGTCTCATTCTCTCGGATCATGTGGACTCCAGAGAACAACCTAGCCAAGCCAATAGACATGAAATCCTACAATTGCATGATATCTAGGGTACATATATATCAATATATTGTGGCAATACACAGTAATAACCAAATTGTACCAAGTAAGTACGGTAAATTCTCTGGTATGAGAGGATGAGGAGGAGAGCCCCCTGATCGAAAGGGAAAGGGTGGCACACACCCCTGTAGTTACAGGGTCTGAGATGACGTTAAAGTGTCCCAAGACCCTACAGCGTTCAAAGTTGTACTTGTGACTAAAATGCGGGGGCGGGTCTCCAACCGTGGGCGTGTCATTGCGTGTTGCTGCTACGAATGCTACCTTATACCCGCGTCGCACCTCCATGCCATGGCCTGACTGACCCCCCTTGGTCGAAATGAGGAGAAACCAAAGCAGCAGCTCTTTTGGGTGCCGCATCAGATGCCCATCTCTTACTCGGGATGGAGAGCAACGCGGAGAAAAGAGGAGGGGTAAAGCGGCTAGACATGGTTGATCGGCCCTTTCTTCCTGCCTTTCCTGCCGAGCCTGGAGTAAAGCAAGCTCGTTGATCCAAAACAACACGTTCATCACAAGCCAGCTCACCAGCCATCCTCCCTCATCTTGTCTTTTTTTTCCTTTCCTTCTTTCCCTCCTCCTCCTCCTCACAACCCATCCATTCCTATTGTAGCTCCCTCACGCCGCCCTCTGCACAGATGTGAGCTCTTCAGGCTCTCGATCTCGTGTGAGCAGTTGAGGACTCACTCATTACAGCGTTGCCTCTTTGCTATCATAAACTTCGTCAGCTATCCTCCACAGGATTTCCTGGGACTTTTTTCTGAAAACATACACTGCGATGCTCTAGATCAGCCCTCGTGCGGCAGCAGATGATTCATATCAACTAAGGCGTGTGTGTCTGCAGGGCAGTCCTTTTTCGCCTGGTCCGTCAGCATTCAATCATGTCTTGGCCTCTGTTCCGGCCAGCACTGGCCCACCGAGTTCATGTTTCCTCCGCCCCGACCGTGACCATTGCGTCTCTCCTCCTTGGCTCATCCCATGTTCTAGGTAAGCTTCTTGCAGGCCATCGTCTCTTCTCTCATCCACACATGACATGCATTTGTCATTCTAATCGCCTCCCATAGACATTGCTCCTGTCCTCAATTGCCAGACTCGTCCTGCGAAGCAGCATCAACGTCCACTGCACTCGTCTCGTGGCCGGGGAACCAAGCAGAGCTCGCCCTCCCTCGCCCTTGCCATCCGCACGAAGCAACCGCTCCAGCTTGTCCGCCATGCATCCGTCCTGTCCAACATTCCGGCACCGCCACCGCCAACAGCAGCCGCAGCAGTAGCCGCAGCTTCTGGTGCTCAGTACTCCACCAAGGTCGTCCCCCAGACGAAACCCTACTCCAGCCTGACCATTGGCGTTCCTCGCGAGACCTATGCTCACGAGAGGCGCGTGGCTCTCACTCCGCAAAATGTTGCTCTCCTGCTCAAGAAGGGCTTCTCCAAGGTCCTCGTGGAGCGCGGTGCTGGCGCGCAGGCTGATTTCCCGGATGAGGCCTACGACAAGGCCGGTGCTACCCTGGTGGATGACGATTCCTCCGTCTGGAAACAGGCAGATATTGTCCTCAAGGTCCGTGGACCAAGTCCCGCCGAGGTGGACAAGATGCAGAAGGACCAGACCATCATCAGCTTCCTCCAGCCGGCGCAGAACAAGGACTTGGTCCAGAAGATTGCTGCCAAGAAGGCTACCGCGTTTGCCATGGATATGATCCCGCGTATCAGCCGAGCGCAGGTCTTCGACGCCCTCTCGTCTATGGCGAACATCGCCGGCTACAAGGCTGTTCTCGAGGCTTCTAACAACTTCGGCCGCTTCTTGACTGGTCAGGTGACCGCTGCCGGAAAGATCCCACCCTGTAAGGTTCTCATCATCGGAGCCGGTGTCGCAGGCCTGAGTGCCATCGCCACCGCGCGGAGGATGGGTGCCATCGTCCGAGGCTTTGATACACGTCCTGCCGCTCGCGAACAGGTCCAATCTCTGGGCGCTGAGTTCATCGAGGTCGACATCCAGGAGGACGGCTCTGGTGCTGGAGGCTACGCCAAGGAGATGTCCAAGGAATTTATCGAGGCCGAGATGAAGCTCTTCACAGAGCAAGCTCGCGATGTCGACATCATCATCACTACCGCGCTGATCCCTGGACGGCCTGCCCCCAAACTCATCACCAGATCCATGATCGAGATCATGAAACCCGGCTCTGTGGTCGTCGACCTGGCCGCCGAGGCGGGCGGGAACTGTGAGAAAACCGAGCCTGGAAAGATGGTCACGTATCACGACGTCAAGATTATTGGCTACACGGATCTTCCGTCGAGGCTCCCTACGCAGTCCTCCACCTTGTACTCGAACAACGTCACCAAGTTCTTGTTGTCCATGAACCCCGCTGAGAAGGAATTCGGCGTCGATCTGGAAGATGAGGTGGTCAGAGGGTCCATTGTGACCTTGCGAGGCGACGTCCTCCCACCTGCGCCACGCCCGGCTCCGCCGCCTCCTCCAGCTGCACCGTCAACAAATGCTGCCAAGGAAGCCGAAACTGTCGCTCTGACCCCCTTCCAGAAGTCCTCACGAGAGGTTGGGTTTGTCACTGGCGGTATGGCCACGGCTCTCGCCCTGGGCAAGGCGACAGGGCCAGCGTTCATGGACAATGTCTTCACCTTTGGTCTGGCCTCTCTGATTGGGTACCGTGTCGTCTGGGGCGTGACGCCTGCTCTGCACTCGCCCTTGATGTCTGTCACCAATGCCATCTCTGGCATGGTCGGGATTGGTGGTCTCTTCGTCCTCGGCGGAGGCTACCTGCCAGAGACCATCCCCCAGATGTTTGGTGCTGCATCGGTGCTGCTCGCCTTTGTGAACGTGTCGGGAGGGTTCGTCATCACAAAGCGGATGCTGGACATGTTCAGGCGGCCTACCGATCCTCCCGAGTACCCGTGGCTGTACGCCATCCCTGCGGTCGTTTTTGGTGGAGGCTACCTGGCTGCCGCCTCGACGGGCGCTGCAGGTCTGGTCCAGGCGGGCTACATGGTCAGCTCCATCCTGTGTATCAGCTCCCTCTCGAGTCTTGCATCGCAGGCCACCGCCCGGATGGGCAACGTCCTTGGTGTCCTCGGGGTCGGGTCTGGCGTGCTGGCGTCGCTGTTGGCTGTTGGGTTCTCTCCCGAGGTCCTGACACAATTTGGCATACTGGCGTCCGTGGGCAGCCTCCTCGGCTTCTTGATTGGCAAGCGGATCACGCCCACCGACCTGCCGCAGACGGTGGCTGCCCTTCACTCTGTCGTGGGCCTGGCAGCCGTGCTGACCTCGATCGGCAGCGTGATGGGTAGTCTCGACCATGTCTCGACCCTGCATCTTGTCACTGCATACTTGGGTGTTCTCATTGGTGGTATCACCTTCACCGGATCCATCGTGGCGTTCTTGAAGCTCGCCGCAAAGATGTCCTCACGCCCTCTCATCCTACCCGGGCGACACCTTCTGAACTCTGGCCTGCTTGCAGCCAACGTCGGCACCATGGGCGCCTTTGTGACCATGGCACCTGGCTCGCCTATGATTGCTGCCGGTGCGCTCGCTGCGAACACGGCCCTCTCCTTCATCAAGGGCTACACGACGACGGCCGCCATCGGTGGCGCTGACATGCCTGTCGTCATCACGGTGCTCAATGCCTATTCGGGCTTTGCCCTGGTCGCCGAAGGCTTCATGCTCGAGAATCCGCTGCTGACGACCGTCGGGGCGCTGATCGGCGTGTCTGGCTCCATTCTATCGTATATCATGTGCGTGGCCATGAATCGCTCCCTCACGAACGTGCTCTTTGGCGGGATCGCCGCGCCTCAGCAGTCCGACTTCAAGATCGAGGGCAGCGTGACACAAACCAGTGTTGAGGACGTTGCAGACTCGCTGGTCAATGCCGAATCGGTCATCATCGTTGTCGGGTACGGTATGGCTGTCGCCAAGGCGCAGTATGCCATCTCTGACATGACCAAGATGCTGAGGTCCAAGGGGATCAATGTGCGCTTTGCGATCCACCCTGTCGCAGGTCGTATGCCTGGCCAGTGCAACGTGTTACTCGCAGAGGCCAGCGTGCCCTATGACATTGTGCTCGAGATGGACGAGATCAATGATGACTTTGGAGACACGGACGTCACGCTGGTGATTGGCGCAAACGATACCGTCAACCCTATTGCTCTGGAGCCCGGCAGCCCCATTGCGGGGATGCCAGTCCTGCACGCCTGGAAGAGCAAGCAGACCATTGTCATGAAGCGTGGGATGGCGAGTGGCTATGGTACGTGGACTCTTCTTTTTCCTAGGCTATGCCCTCATTGATTACATCATCATTGCATTGGCTAAGTTTTGTCCCTGCTGACAATTTTTTTTCCCCCCCCTCTAGCTGACGTGCCCAATCCCATGTTCTACATGCCTGGAACCCGCATGCTATTTGGCGATGCCAAAACCAGTACAGACTGTGAGTGTCCAGATGATCAAAAACATGCACTTGTGAAAATCTCTGCGGTCCAACACATACTAATCTGGGCTATCTCTTAATATAGCACTCAAAGCTGCGATCGAGTCTCGAGTGTCTTGATAATTTTCTTGGTTCTATAGCCCTGGAGACTGCTGCTACTTCACTATCGGAGTTCACTCAAGACGAGGAGCAGGAGAAGTTTATCTTGATAGAATGTGGCCCTTTGTCCAATCTGCCTGATCACGTAGAAATTGCGCCTCCTGAGACTATAGTAGATGGTTTTCCTTTCCAATTCTCTTCCAATTATACATGTTCTCCTCACATATCAAATTGCAACAGAACCTCTGGAAATTTCTGACATGATGTTCTCAGAGCAGACGAGGAGGCATGAGGATCGCTTGGTGGGTCCACGGGTGCCCACCGGGATCTCGGGTAAGGAATGCACTCGGTATGACTCTTAATTAGTCGACCACGACGCCGTCTTGTTTGAACTCCATATCCAGGAGCCGAGGAGCCTGCCTCTGTGTGCTGTATGCAAGATGAATCATTCTCCAGGATTTCATCTCACACGGCGCCATGGATTTTCTATAAGTCTTGGCTGCTTCTGGCCTCACAAGATATGGATGACTGACTGACCGACTGACATTCTGAACAGCTCACTCATAGCCTCCTCTTCTTACTCTTAGCGACAGACCGTCCTACTTATCAAGGACGCATTGTTCAAAGTCATCAGGGAGGAGCAGATCATACTTACAATGCAGTCTCAGCAGACCACTCCAGTGTGCCGCGTCCTCTCGACCAAAAGGGTACTCCCAAGCACACCACCACCCCCAAACAGCAGTCCAACAACCCGCCTCCTGTCCATTGCCGACGCAACCACCGCCCGCTTCGCCATCTGCGGCGCAGTCTGGCTCTATGACGCCAGCCCAGCCTCTCAGGATCCCTCGGCCCTCGCCAACCGTCTGGAGACCAGCCTCCGCCATAGCCTCAACGACTTCCGCCACCTCGCAGGAAGCCTGAGCTGGGCCCCTCCAGATACCCGGCACCCGGCCTACCCTAGGTACGGCCGGCCCCAGATCACCTGGAACAGCAGGTCTGATGGCGGCGGCGGCTGCTGCGGCGCGGACCCAGGTGTGGAATTTTCTCGCGCGCACTACGACGCACCCCTCGCGTCCATCGTGCCGAGCGACGAGGAGCGCAGGACGACTCGCAAGGTCTGGCTGGCCACAGGGTTCCCGCAGAATGAGCTGCTCCTGCCCGACTGCGACCTGGCGTTTGTGTCGAGTCTTTCGCGGTTTGAGGGGCTTCCGGTTGCTGGGGCGCAGGTGACTACTTTTGCATGTGGCGGCTGGGCGGTTGGGGTCAAGATCACGCACTGTCTGAGTGATGCTGTTGGTCTGGTCAACTTTGTCAAGGCCTGGGCGGAGGAGACGCGGTTACTGGGCTCTGCTTCTTCTTCTTCTTCCTCTTCTTCTTCTACTACTACTGCTGCTGCTGCTGCTGCAGCACAGGATGGCGCGACGATGACGACGACCAGATCGATCTTCAATCCCAGCTTACTCGACCAGCACGCCGGCGACATTGACCAGCCCGAGCCAGACGCCAACAAGATCGCCCTCGCCAGGTCCCTCCCTCTGTTCCGCTTCGACTGGTGGGACACAGAAGCCCCAGGCTACCCGTCCTGGGCCACCGCCGACACGCAGGCCACGAGGCCCAGCGACGAGGAGCTGCGCCACGTCAAGCTGAGCCCGGGCACGAGGCCGCCCTGGCCGACATGGGACATCAGCAAGCCCGCAGACCACGTGCAGATCAGGTTCAGCGCCGAGGAGGTGTTGCGGCTGAAGCAGACTGCCCAGGCGAGCGTGCCGCAGGGCGAGGGCGCGCATGACGCTCACACCATCTCGCGCCTGGACGCGCTCCTCGCCCATGTGTGGATTCACCTGACGCGCGCGCGCCAGCTGCACCTCGCGCCGGACAATGACGAGCCCGTCTACATGGCCGTCACCCTGGGCCTGCGCAGCCGCGTCAACCCACCGCTGCCAGACACGTTTGCCGGCTCGCCCATCCTGCTGGGGCACGCCTCGCTGCCGGGCCGGGCCCTGTCCAGTGGCACCGTGAGCCTGGGCGAGGTGGCGCTCGCGCTGCGGCGGACGATGGCGCGGTTCACGCCCGAGGCGGTGGGTGCGTATCTGCACGACGCGGCGTACGAGGTCTGTCCGCAGAGGCTCTGGCAGGCGTTCTGCGGGAGCCGGTACTGCGGCGTGACGTCCTGGACGCGGTCTGGGGCGTATGGGGTGGATTTTGTTGGTGCGTTGGAGGTGACGGGGGGGGATAGGCCGCGGTATGTGCACTGCAGGATGCCGCTGCTGGATGGGATCTTGCAGGTGCTGGATGTTGGGGAGACGGGGGATCTGGATGTTAGTCTTGCGCTGGGGAGGGAGGAGATGGGGCGGTTGCTTGAGGGGGGAGGGGGTTTGTGGGATATCTAAGAGGTGGAGGGTGGCCTGGTGGATGTTTGAGAGTGTATTGGAATATCCTCCTTGAGTTTGAGACAGGCTGGGGAAGAATTATTAGACTCGACAATAGAGGAGTCAAGGAGTCAATAGTACTTGATAGCCAAGGGGCCTGTCTTGGTCAAGGCAGAGACAATACTCATGAATTTGTCCATACATAGTCAGCAAGTATACTGCATAATGAAATCAGAAGCTTATAAGCACCCATGGTCTCTATCAGCCTTAATAGAGTTGGATTCTGCAACATGGAAGCCTTGTGTTCGAGTTCTTTCTTGCCACTATAGGAATAATGGGTTCTTTCAAAGTCTCCGCAAAGAGGCTCAGGTTGGGGTTCAGATTCTGACGGCCTCATGATGATCACTTGCAGGAAGCATATACTTTATGAGAAGGTTCGCGGAACTGGGCTCATTACTTCAATGATAATAAGTACCTGGTCAATACAAGTTTCATTGACCAATTCACCTCCCATGTTGTAGAGGCCAGTAAACATAGACACTTTTTCTTGCATTGGCAACGGCTAAAAGCAGAGGCAGCTATTCATGAGTTCCATCTCATGTTTCTATGTAAAGGCTTTCCCCCAGCAGTCCCAAATGTTATTATTCACATAAGCCCCGGGATGCTGTACTGATGTTCACTATCTTCACAGAGGCTTCCATAGACTACCACCTCCAGAAAACTTTGCAGCAGACCAGACAATTGTTCACAACTGTTGCCTTATGTAATGAATGGACACAAGACCTGAATTTCACTACCTGTGCAATGCCAACAGACTCAATTTCTGTTCTGCACTGTACCATCTGACCTTTGAGTATTACCACCAGGCGCCTCTCTGCACTAAATATCTCGAAGTCAACTCCTTTCATTCCACATACACAAGCTCCTTACTACACAAGACAACTCGACCTCGACGTTCCTCAGAAGAAAGCCCTGAGCAACAATCTAGAGCCTTGACAGAAAGGAGTAATTGTGGCCCAAAGTCATCACTCTTCCAGGTGAGCCCCACCCTTCCACAGCAGCCTGAACACTTCCACTGCCTCTACCACATCCTCATTTTTGTTCAGAGACAATGGGATAATCGTGAGCCTTGCCCATAGTCAAGGCCCCTTTCGATATATGTCGTTGAGGTGGATTGCTGACATAGAAGAGAATAGAACAACAGCAATACCAACCCCCTCCTAGTTACCATGGCTCAACGCCCTAATACCCCCTTCAGCCAGCCCCAAGAGCCCGACCAAATATCTGACAGTCCTTCTCCTCGACGCGTCAATCCCAACGACGGCAACGCGGGATCCGTGCAGCCCAACGGATACCAGCCACATATCGACCCGCGATCCCTCGGCAACCAGCAGCCTCCTCCACCCAGTCAGGACCAGACACATCACCAGCTGTACCAAAGGGGCCTTGTAGATGCAACAACGGGTGGTCAGCTACTGTACCGCCCAAGACCAGAGGCGGGACCGGCCCCCTCGGCCGTTGGGCTTTCGAGGATAGTTGCCGGACCCAGCCAATCTCCAACTATTAATCCTTACACGCTTGCCGGCTTTCCTCAGTGTGGTTTGGATTATCTGGCCCAATGCGAGAACCACCAACTGGATCCAGATATCAACGGCTTCCAGCAATATCACCGCCTTCAGCAGCCTCGTCCTCTGAGTGGCCAAAATGAGTCGAACCCTCCCTCGCCACATTCTTCTAGCGCCCAGCCCGAAAATCATAACATCATCGAGCTGGAGCCAGTTGAGAATCCTCAGCTGAGGCCTGATATTCCGGATTCCCATCCAGGTGAGAGAGTCGACGTTGGCAACAGTACGGTGCTGCCGGAGGAAGCTGGTCTCCAACCTGCCGGCCATCCCCAGCAAGACGACGACCAGCCACCTGCCATGGGAGGCAGCGACGGCCAACAGCAAGCCCTGCCAGCCCCTCCCGTCGATAATAGTGCAGAACCCCCCGCAGCTGCTGCGGGCCCCAGTTCTCCTCCACCCGCAGCACAAAGCGGCCAACGAGCTGCGAGGCGTCGCAGGTCCTCCAACCGTAGGGGACAGGCCCGCCCAGGGGCCTGGACGGCCGACGAGCTGCAGCGGGCGCGTGCACTTCGGGAGCAAGGCCTGAGTATCGCCCACATTGCCAGGGAGATGGGCAGGACGGCCAACTCGGTCAGTGCCAGGCTCTGGCGGCTCAGTGGCGGCAACCCCAGGCGCGCTGAGAATGAACGCCGTGCTCATGGAGACGCCAGGCCGGATGTGTAGGGAGTGATCAAGATCGGTTGGGAATGTTCTCGGGATGTGGTCAAGAACTTGGTTTCATCGCGCGAGATTCTCAAGGTGTAGCCCGACATGCGAAAGTTTTGGGACTGCTTCTTCGTAGCCGTGTTGCCAAGAGGATAGGATGCATGCATGACACATATGTTGAGGAAGGACGGGCGGTGAAAGCAGACAGAGGAGCCAGTCGGGAGGCATGCTAACGGATGAAGGAAGGACATGGAGATTATTGACTGGATGATGGATTTATGTCAATCTGAAGAGGACGTCAGCATCATGGAACATACAGAGAGCATCCACGGAGAACACAACTGTGGAGGGGATTAGCAGGGTGGGACATGACGATGATGTTCGGCTGCTCGATGTTATTTCCCCTAAAGTTGCAAGGAGGTTGCGATTTCTGTTCTGTAGAGACAGCTGCCTTGACAAAAGGACAAAAATATACTACGATGACCCAGCTGACAGGTGTGACTAAACAAAGAGATCGTCTTGCGAGGATGTGAGGTACAATTTGTCTTGCTGAAGATCTGCATGTTCCTTGTGGTAGGTTTGAGACATCTTGGAGCAAAGGGTGAAAAGAGGAAGAATCAAGACGGTGTGACTGGGGCAGTTTATGTATTTGTTTGACAGCTGTTCACATGATCTGTGAAGTTTGGTTCTTATCTATCGATTCCAGAGAAGTCGGGATCTCGAGGAAACTCTCAATGAACCTGATAAGTCAACCAAGTAATGGTCCAGCAGCTAAGCAGTGAAAAGCTCAAAGTATAAGCAGGGAACCAATTTGCTCAAAAGAGAGAAAAGAAAAGGACCCATCTAAAAGAGACCATATGAAGATGACCAGCTACCATGTATGTACTCCCTCGTACCAACTTTAATGCTATAGCTTCCTTGTCGCAAACTATATCAACATTCTTTTCAAGACCGAGCATTGTGCAAGTGCTTGGACACATTGGATTCGACAAAGATCCCTCAGGATTCATTCAATAATAAAAAAATTCTCCTGGAGAACCAATCTATGCTATTGGACCACAGTATCATGCCATACACTCCAGCTCGTCCCAGTAGCCATTCATTCGAACTGCTCTTTCCATTCCATTCGGAAACTAAGAACAGCATCTGACCGACTCGGGACCCGGGCAGAGTTCTTTGCCACCTACAATCTCGCTACAGTAAGGCCACTTCTCAACATCAACACATGCGTATTGGGTCGAGTCGTAGGGCGCAGCACAGAGTGACATGACGCAGCATTTGTTGGGATTTTTTGGCCCTCCGCACCAGGGTCCGACCGCCTGGGTAAACCGACGCAGATACGTCAGTAACAAGATCCCTTGTGCGTAAATGCAAGGTCGACCAGCTGTAGGCTATAGGAGCACTGAACTGGGTCGCAGCATAATGAATAGCAAGGTAAATCAGAGCAAGAGACCATGGTCGCTTCTTACAGAATAGCCACCAAATGTCACCTCACATGTGTCCACGTCGGTACACTCCTCAAAGTACTCCCATCTCGAGGCATTGTGAAGAGGGTCGCCGTTTACACAGAGGAACCTTTTTGGCTGGGTTGTCAGCTTGGATACAGGACTCTTTTATGCCCTAGGACCAAACATGACGGCGGATAGAGGGCGCTCACGGCGGTCCAGGAGACACCAGGTACCTCTCGTCATGACCATGCTTTTCACTCTGAGGCTGGCCACGAGCACCCAAGGCATCGGGAACCTCACCATTAGCAAGGAGTTGAGCGTAGGTCTTGTGCGTTTCGTCGGCGTTGACGGCGGTGTAGAGGACACCGAGAACGAGAAGCAGAGGCACAGTAGAATACTTCATGCTTGCGAGTCTAGTGAGCCCAAGAAGAAGAAGATTTAAAGATGGAATGCTTCAGGATTTCTCAAAATTTGACTGCGCTGGAGGATACAGGGTAGTTTTTGTAACCCCCCCCCCCCCAAACCCTTCTTCTGATGATCCACGAGATGACTCGAGTTACTACTGAAATCCTCTTATGCACGACCTCGTATATGTACGTCCCAGGCAGTCTAGTATCCGCCGCTGCACCACTGAGAACTCCGGGCCCTTGACCCCGCGCTCCTGCTCGGGAAATCTTATGTAAAAAAGTAAGCAGAGAATGCATCAATAGTCACGCTCTACTACAGTGCTGGCCTCTCTGATCGATTACCTTTCGGGCCGTTACATATCGGAGAATAGTCAGCTCTACTGCGTCCAGGGCATGTGTGCGACAGGGGGGATGGGGCCGTGGAACAAGGCCATGTTCGACTGATAGTGGCCCGATGAGAGAGGCTGCGTTCACTTGTCGAGTCCTTCCAGGTTGTGCCAGAATGCAAGATGTAGGAATCTAAACGCTGGAGAAAAAAAATCAATTGAGCCGCCGAGGCACCATCACCCTGCAGTCGACAATGACACTCAGAGTTCTCTGCGCCCATGCCTTGGGAAGATGACATCTCAGGTGAGAAGATCTTCAAAGGCCGCCCGCTCGATCTTCATATCCGGGCTCGTCTCCTAATCCCACATCACGCTCGCCTTCCGCACGTCCATGTGCGTCAAATCCACGCTGCCTCGGATCAGGCGCTTTTCGTGGCCTCCGTCTTGCTGAGGCCGGAGTACTCAGCGGCCCCGTGGATCAAGATCCGGCAGGAACTCCGGGACTTAGCCCTTGCCAACAAGTATGTACATCGCGCGCTGGTCTACGACCTCCTGGGCAACGTCGCTTATAGCGTTTAGGTGGACTCGGAAGCGATGCTGCATCCTGTGTCAGACTTTCTCTCGATCTCAACCTCAAGCGCAGGTCAAGAATAGTAGCTTCTGTCTGTCTTTGGCTCATTGCATCTGTTAACAACAATACAGTCTGTGACTACTTAGGCAAGGCTGGCTATGTAGCTGCTCCTGTGAATTCATGTGAGCACATTCTCGAGAAGGGTTCAAGGGGAGACTAGCTGTGAAGGCAGAAGACAAGAGACCAAGAATGGAGCTAGAATTACTATGACAAGGGTGGACCCCAACACACTAAGCGGGGCCGATTGCACTAACCACATTTGTACTAACTAACACTAGCTCAGCACTAGCCTGACACGCTAACTCGAGTCTCCAGATGCATCCACGCACCACAGCCACCCCTTTTTGAGTTTATGAGTCAAATTTCTTCAAATTGAAACATCTGAAGCTCAGGATACCTAGCTATCTGTCTGCCTAGTATAATGGTCAGTATATTTCGTTGTGGCCTTGAAAATAGCATTATGTACTATCTTGCTACCTCAAAACCAGCTCCGAAAAGATCCATGTTCGATTCATGGGGCAGACACATTTTTTGCAGTTGGATAATCTGGAAGACCTTCAAAGTGACCAGTTTATACATGTAACATTTTTTTCTCTTCAGATTTCACATTATTACTGTTGTGAACAAACATGGACGTTGTGGTGGATTTCACCATCCTATCTGCTGTAGGACGGCCCATCTGTTTGGTCCCCCGCCCGGGTCCCCTCAACTACAAGTAGCCTCGTAAAAATAAGCTGCGAAGACGAAGACTTGCACTGCAATCTACAGTAATGAATTATTCTCCTTTTCCTCTCTGTGCCCTTCCCCCTCCCCCTGGCAAAGAGGGGGGGGGGACCACTGTGATTCCACGCGGCATTGCCGTTGTTATCCAGCATGCGGAAGCATGGCAGGGCGGGAAGACTGGGACAGCGGATATTCACGGCACGTTGGCAGCAAGCAATATATAAAAGGTAGAGGTGGCTCGGAGTTGCCATGTTTATGCGCAGCATCTAAAATAATTTTTATTTTGTCCCTCTCTGTCTCCTATCACGTCCGATTTTCGATCATCTCTGTTCACTTCCAGACTGTCAGTGTCTCTGGCTCTCGTCATTGCGCCTGCAAGGTTCTTTCGTCGGACAGAGAGTAGGATGTGAGTCTGACCTTTAGTCCTATCTCCTTTTTCTTGCTTATTTTTGTAATCTTTATTCTCTCTGTTTTCAGTTACGTCTTTTACCGAGACATATTCAGTTTACAAACCTGCGGTAAACAATATTCATGCTGGGAATCCACTCAGTCACTAGACCTGGCCGTCAATACACGTTTCCACACGCAGGTCTAGTCAGGCCACCGTCTGCAAAAAGCCTATTGCCGCTTTACGCACATGTCGTGTTACATAGGCAAGTAATGCTGGAGAAAATTGATTTTGATTAATCCATGATACACCTATTGCGCCGATATAAAATCACTTTTCATCTACAAGCCGCATACGCCCAGAATTGTTGGGGGGGCCTGAGCCATAACGCCCTGCTCTGCGACGACCTCACTTGGAAAGATCTATGTCGCAATCTTCTCACCATTGCCGTTGGCGAGGAGCCCGCTAGCAACAGAGTCGGGATTTTGCAGAGTCAGGTGGTATGACCTGATGATGGAGTCAGCATCGTCAATGGCGATCTGCCTGATATCCGCCATAGCCTTGATCTTGGCAGTCACCTCCTTGCACTGCTCGTCGGTCATGGTCAGTCCGAGCTGCTGCACACGGGTCTTGACAGCGTTCCAGCCCGTCAGCCTCGACGCGAAGTGCACGTATCGGGTCAGGCCAAAGTCGGCCGGGTTGAGGATCTCGTAGGTCGAGGGGTTGTTGAGAATAGCCTTGGCGTGGATGCCGGCCTTGTGGGTGAAGGCACAGAAGCCTGTCACGGGGTTGTTGAAGGGCGTGTTGACCTCAACGGCCTCGGCGACCAGATCCTCAATCTCCTTGATCTGGTGCAGCTTGTACTTGCTCTTGACGTAGTCGGGGCTCGTGACCAGCATGCGAGCCAGGAAGCCACCGAGAGGGGTGATGCCGTTACGCTCGCCGACTGTGATGATTTGGTTAGATACAGCACTCGTGCCACGGCATCTCTGGTTTCGCAAAAAAAAAAAAAGGTACTTACTTCCGAGCACACTGGTGTCCACATGGGTGGCACCAGCCTCAAGAGCACAGAAGGCATTGGCGATGGCGCAGCCGGTGTCGTTGTGGAAGTGCGTCTCGATATCACAGGAGACAACCCCCCTCAGCGTCCTGATCAGGTCGTAGACCTGTCTTGGGGAGGCACAGCCGACGGTGTCCGCAATACCGACGCGGTTGACACCAACCTTGTCCACCGCGCTGTACAAGGTCAAGAGGTCGACCAGGTCGGACCGGAAGGAGTCCTCGCTGGAGAAGCGGACCTCGAGACCCTTGGACTTGACGAACTCGATGACCTCAACGGCGGTCTTGACGATATACTCCATGTCCTTGCCGTGGCTGTGCTCACGCAGGTACTTGGAGGTGCCAATGACGATATCGAGACCATCGACGCCAGTCTCGACGGCCAGCTTGGCATCACGCATGTCGCAGCGGACGTGGGTCAGGATCTTGGCCTTGAGGCCGAGGTTGCAGATCTTCTTGCAGTCATCGTAGGATTGTTGGGAGGCGGCGGGAGAGGTCAACTCGATGTAGTCGACGCCAAATTTGTCGAGAGCCAGAGCACTGTACGAGCGAGAGAAAGGATATTGTCAGCTGCTGCTGTCAAGCATGGCTAGAATAGGCGTGTGTAACAACAATAGGGGATCTGGAGGGGTGACGATTGAGTCATCGCTTGGGAGAGGAAGGGGAGGGGGCGTACATTTCGATCTTCTTCTCGGTAGTGAAGTAGGCATTGGCAAACTGCTCGCCCTCTGCTCATCGTGTTAGTCTGCAGGTGTGCATAGCATTGTTCATCTGGTGTCTCTAACCTCTTAATGTCGACTCAATGATCTTGAATTTGCCGACGTTTGAAAGGTAGTCCTGGACGGTCTGGTAGGGGTTGGACCGCGAGTGTCCTCCATTCTGGGCCTGGACCAAACGACGTCAGCGGACAAAAGAAAGAAAAACACACGGATGGGAGCGACAATCAATGGATGAGAATACGCACCACTGGGGCCGACTCGCCGTTTGTGCCGTTTACTGGGGCGTCTGTTCCGCACATTGTGACTGTATGTTTTGGTGGTTGTGATGTTGATGGACGGGAAGAAAAGCTTTGGTTTGTGCTTAGAGGGGTATGAGTAACTTTTAGTAGTCGCTGCGGTGTCTGCAGCGGCGGGTGAAATTTCGGACGAGGAGGGGCAATTGAGACCGGTCCTGGCCTGGCGCATGGGTTTCAACAAGAGTCACCTAGTCACAGCCTGACCCACCACAAAATTAATCAGCCTGTCTATTACGTTGCTTTTGGAACATTGGTAAATCACAACAAGGTTGGAGAAGGGAAATAAGCACGGTAAGTGGCATAGCAGATAATTCCACCAGAAGCTCTTTGCTGCACTCTGAGAGTTTCCCTAGATCCGCTATATTGTGCTTCCCCCGCCTCTGCTTTCAACTAAACTCTTCTAATCACTGTAATTGTTCAACCAGACAGCTTTGATTTGGATAGGAACAGTATCCTGCTTTCAATTTATTACACCTATTACTTCAGACCATGTTGACTCACTGTGATCGGAGAGGGAAGAGAAAAAAAAAGAAAGGTGGCCAGAGGCAAGGCACCAATAGCAAAGGGTACAAATAATTTGGACTGAAAATCTTGTCACTGGGCCAGGCCTTCTTTGCTCAGTGGCCCCTGCGTCATGACGTCGCTAATGCAGAAAAGTGAACCCTCGCCCCACGGGGAACGGCTGCCGGGGGCCAAGGGTCGATCCGATGCCGGAATGGAGAGAAGACTCACACAAAGGCCAAGCCCAAGAAAAGTCCTCCCCTGTTGAGATCCACTACTGATGCGCATCTGAGGGTCTGCAGGTGACTACATACTACATACTACCATAAAAATTGTCATGCAGTGTCATGGTAGGGTTTTTTTTTCCTGTCTTTTATTCCCAACTTGCAGTATGCCAGGATAGGGGCGACGCAACAGATCAAGCGGCAAGATGCTCTAGTGCGCAACGACGACGATGACACCGCCACTGATCGACAGATCTTTCCCAAAGGAGACACGTGCTAGGCGACAATACTGTGTGAAATGGAGCAGCTAGAACCCTAGGTGAATAACTACCTACGACATCATCATCGACCATAGGAAAGAACAAGCAAGCCAGGATCGACTCTATGAAATTGAAATGTCCATCTCATCATCTCCCCTCGCACGTCGCTCAAGAACGGCCCATCTTGATCCATGCAATCGCCCCGCAGGCTCGGCATCTTCTTCATGAAGACGCACTATTGGAGCACGGTGTGCTGCATCTTCCGATGTGATCACCATCTGGGTTGAGGCAGACGTTGTCACCACCTCCAAACGCCTTGCCATTGCAGGCGCAGAGCAGCTCAATCTTGACCGGGCCTGTATACGGCTCATCATCCTGCTTGTTCCTCTTCGGGATGGCAGACTCAGGCAGGCACACGTACAGCCCCTGCATTGGATCCGTGTCCGTGGACCCATTGCCAGCATCACAATAGCCGCCGGCGCAGTACGCCGTGAGGATAGTGGCCTCATCGAAATCTGGGCAGCAGGAATGATGGTTAGCATCAAAGCAATACAATGCTCTAGGGAAGGGGGAGGGGGCGGCATGCTCAGGTTGTGCTTACTCTTCTGCTCCTTTAGGATATACCCGCAGTATGTATAGCCTACGCCGCAGTAAGCCCCCGTCGAGTTATCGGCGGCAATAGCAGGCGTGGCGGACAAGTCCAGGCCCATGTTAGAGTAGTGTTGTGAGATCTTGGCCGCGAGCGCGGCGGTGACCATGGCGAAGCTGGCAAGTGCCTTCATGTTGAGAATTGGATGGGGATTCCAAGAAAGAAACAATGATAATATTGTGAGTGCGAGGATATTTCGAGAAGAAATCTCTGGGGGAACAGATCTTCCTGCAGGGAGCTTTCGACTTTCCATGATAATGACGTGCTCCGAATTTATACATCCCATCTGGCGCGATGGTACTTGGGTAGGACGGGGACGATGTCAACCGTCAGCTGGTGGTGTTGCATTGGCATCCATGGGCTGTCCTATGAGGGCGTGGTGATCCCCTCACTGAATCGGAAAGATGTCCACAGGATGGTCGTGTCGCAGGCTCTAGACCATCTGGCGGCCTTCCTAGGCGACCTGTACTCAACACACTATGTTATGGACCAGTTCGTTTGCGAGCCGGAGTAGGACGATGGAGTTCTTGCACCGTAAGACCTGCAACGGTCTGACCCGAGATGCCTCGCCACGACATGACTTCTCGACCTCAGCTCAAGGTCCACCGGCTACCAAGATCATCTCAGGCGAACGAATTGCGAACGAACTACGGTTGCTGTTCTTCTTAGATCAAGCAGTTCCCGGTGTCCAACGTCAAGAACCAGATTCCTTGCGCTGGGATCCCTTTTCGCCTTGGGAAACGCAAACTTTGAGACAACCCATTGTCAACTCAAGACTGTGTGATACCAGCTTTCCAATGCTGAGGTCTCAAGGAAGATTTGGTGAACAGATCCTGAGTTTGGTCAATGCTTGTATGGACAACGAGCTACAGAGAGAAAGTGGTCACCCATCTAGATGTTTCGTGAACTCCTATTAACAAATACTGAGTAACACACAATTAACGTACTACCCACTTGGTTCTGCATATTCTTCCTCTGCTTACAGCGCATATCATGCATGCATGCCAGGCTACGGGCCCCCAGCCCCGCACCTATGCTCAAGTGCTTACATTGGATATCACAGCGCCAATGAGATTCAATTGACAAAAATTTCAACACAAAAGAAGGTGAGTGAAGTGTGCCTTCCTTCACACTCTTGGAGGCTGAATGCAATTGACGGACCGCCCACGCGCTCACCCACTTGTCTGACCAACGCACTCTACCACCCAGCCTAGACGCGTACATGCTTTGCACTCATGGATTCTGAAGCCTGCATAAACACCGCAGTAGCCGTAGCGCAGGCTGCTCGCCGGACGCAGCCGTGGGCCGTCTGCAACGCCTGTGTACGCCGCCTTGCAGAGTGTCCGGGTATGAACCTGAGCATGACCGGCAAGGCTGACAGAACGAGACAGGCGTTGAGGTTGGGCTTCTATGATGATGAAGAAGAGGCTGAGTCTTTTCGAATCCACGACACCTCGCTGTCAGTCGTGAGGTGGGGAGAGCTCATGGCTGCTGCCGGAGAGGGCTGTGCGCTTTGTACCGCTGTTTGCGAACGGGTGCTCGACGGACTGAGGTCTCCTTCACAATCACAGATGGAATTTATGCGATGGGAGGCAGTTCCCGGAGGCGATAACCGCAAATTGGCCGGGAGATTGTTCAAGGGCGACTTCGAGGATGTCGGATCACTTTTGGAATCTCTGACGTTGACGTTTGACCGAGCTCACAATCAAGGATCCTTCAAACTCATGATGACGCCGTTATATCGCCCTGGAGTGCCTGACGCACAAAAAGTGCCGTACTTTGAAACATTAGAATGGGGCTTGTTTGCTGTGCATGCAAAGGGTTAGATGTCTCTTCTCATGATATACCAGGAACTCGGTCACGGTTGCTGACTCTGTGTCAGACAACGACCACCTTGTCGAAACCATTCAGAGCTATAGACCCAATCTGGACGTCGGTGGTGACGCTGCATTCTCCCAAGCAGTGACTTGGGTAGATCGCTGTCGGCAAGACTGCGACCATGACCATTCCGGAGACTCAAGAATACCGGTCGCCCGGCCTGGGCGGCTGGTCGACGTCGCGCCCCAAGACAGTTCTTCCGATCACGATATTGCTCTTGTACCAGGCAACCAACCGGGCCTCGGGGAGTACATAGCCCTTAGTTATTGCTGGGGCCAGCGGGAACAGCCCATGGCGACGACGACTACAAATCTGCGCGACCGCATGGAAAGGGGCTTTTCTCTGTCGGATATGCCGGAGACGATCCGCGACGCAATACTAGTCACTCGCAGACTTGGCTTTCGATGCCTTTGGGTGGACTCGTTGTGCATTCTGCAAGACTTCCGCGCAGACAAAAAGGCGGAAATCAAGAAGATGGCGGGCATTTTCGAAGGGGCCTTCCTGACAATCGTTGCCGCGAGCGCCTCCGTCGTGACACAAGGCTTTCTATCCCCTCAACATGTGGAACTCCCGCGGGAAATAAATAGCATTCCGGTCTGGAACCACGATGGCCGTGTCGGGCGCGCACTGCTTCAAGAGCCGGGTCTAGTACGCTCGGAGCCAGACCCGATTCACTATCGTGCCTGGACTTTTGAGGAGTTGCTGCTTTCTCCTCGAAGACTTGTATACTCGGGCCGACAACTGATTTGGACGTGCCGTGGCTTTCAGGCACAAGACGGCGGGTGGGATGACCGCGAATTCTTCTATCTCGACTCCGAACTGGACCCTTACCGGTTCTACCAAGGACTTCCACAAGAACCCTTTGAAATGGAACAAGATGATGACTCCGACCATGCGCCACCTTTCCCAATGGCATTCAAGGACTATTGGGCTGCTGTGCTGCGACAATACACAGCACGAACACTCACCCACCCCCAAGATCGGCTAGTTGCTGTGCAAGGCATCGTCTCTAGACTCAGCGACATCACAGGTCATCAGTACGAAGCTGGCATATGGAAAGACTACCCCATCTCCAGTTTCTGTTGGCACTATGATTCCCAGGGTGGCAATGAGGATGACCTGGCCCCAGCCAATAACAAGGTGACCATTCCAGAGACAAGAGATCAAGCAATCGAATGTCCAACTTGGTCATGGGGATCAGTAACGGATCCAGTCTGTCTCCCTGATGAGCCTTTTACAGAGTCCTGGGAGGCAGAACCAGACAAATTAGCAGAATTTCTCGACATCGTCCCATCGAAGACAACAGAGGGATCGAGGCTGGTGATGCTCCGCGCAAGCTGTCTCAATGTGCAAGGAGTTGAACTCATCGACTTTGCAACCACGTGTGCCGAGCGGGAGGAGCAGGATCTGAAATACTTCCCGCCTGTGGACGGTCACATTTCCTGCAAGACTGCGCAAGAGTATGGCGGTGTGAATTGCCTTGAGCTCGATCTCTTGATCTGGCCGGATACCCAGCAGATCTGGCGCCTCGCACCAGAGAGGCTGCGCTTTGTATGTCTCCGTTACTTCGACGGGATCCTGCGTGGTTTGATCTTGACTTCCATCCGGGAAACCGATAGGTATGAACGCATAGGATACTTCGAGGCGGTGGTACGAGAAAACGAAGACGATTCGGACGAAGACATGATAACGGTTGATGAGGCATCTCAGGAGGCTGCTGGTCGCATTCCCAGGGAGATACTTGGGCCGCAGGAAACTTTACTGATTGAATAACCACATACACTTATTAGCCAGTTAACATCAGTGCAAAATTGAATGACGATACCTTGTGCTCGAGGCGTTCTACGATGCGGTGGTTGCAAGACTGGCACATGATGGAAGGGCGTCAGTAAGAGTGCGAGGGAAAGCTCTGAAGAGATGGTTGCTATAATGTTGAGGATATGTTTCTATTAGTACAGCGCTTAGGTGTATCGATAATCGCGCAGGGCTGTAAGTCTGAAAGAATGCTAAGCAGAGCCGTTGAAATTTGAATTTGTTCTCCCTCTTTCGGTTCATGGCCCTGTTTCTGTATCCGTGCCCCAATGAAACAGAGAAAAGTATATAAATACGAAAGCGGAGAGAAGGAGTGAGTTGAGGGGGTTGTCTTGAATGACTAAGGGTGAGATCAATTGAAGGAAGGTTCAGGACCCCTCCTTTCCTTCCGCCCCGCGCCCGTTATTACTGCCCCGCCATAAGATCCAAAGCTCACCCTCTCTTCGCCAAATTATAAAACCTGAGCAGCTGAACAAACAATACTCATTAGAGTTGTCTGCTGCTCGCTCCCACTCAATCAGTTCAACTCCCCCAACCTCTTACTGTGCCTTCTATTTTGATTCGGTCACCCTCCCTACTTCGCCGCGTACTCCACCATCACAGCCCCACCAACCCAACCTCACCCAGTATGGCTGCAATTACCGCCGCCACGACCCTGCCTGCTCTCCCGGCGGGCACGACCATTCGCGTCGGCACACGACGCTCCGCGCTCGCGCTCAAGCAGTGCGAGATTGTCATTGGCGAGCTGCAGCAGGCCCACCCACATATCAAGTTCGAGACCGTGACCGTCTCCGTCATGGGCGACCGCGACAAGACGACGCCGCTGCCGAACCTGGGCAAGGGCCTGTGGACCTCGGAGCTCGAGGCCATGCTCACTTCCGACACGCCCCAGCTCGACATGATCCTCCACTGTCTCAAGGATATGCCCACCGCCCTCCCCGCGGGTTGCGTCATCGGGTGCATCACCAAGCGCGAGGACCCGCGGGACGTGGTGGTGTTCAAGGCTGGGCACGAGGGCAAATACAAGAAGCTGGCCGACCTGCCAGAGGGAGCTGTCATTGGGACGAGCAGCCTGCGGCGGGCTGCGCAGCTGAGGAGAAGGTACCCGGGCTTGGTGTTCAAAGACATGCGGGGGAACATCGACACCAGGATGAAGAAGTGCGACGACGAAAGCCTGGGCTTCGACGCGACGATCCTCGCGGCGGCGGGGCTGTTGCGCATGAACATGGGCCATCGGATAGGGCAGTTTCTGGACAGCGAGAGCGAGGGTGGTGGCATGCTGCACGCCGTCGGCCAGGGCGCGCTGGCGGTGGAGATTCGAGAAGGCGACCTGACCACGCTGGGTCTGCTCAAGCCCATCTCCGACACAGAGACGATGCTGGCTTGTGAAGCGGAGCGGAGCGTCATGCGCACACTCGAGGGCGGCTGCAGCGTGCCGATTGGAGTGGAGACGCACTGGGTCCCTGGTGAGGACGGCGTCGGCAGCAACCTGCGGCTGAGGGCGGTGGTTGTCAGCCTCGATGGCCAGGATGGCGCCGAGGTCGAGCTCCAGGGCGATGTGGCAGACCCAGAGGCCGCTGATGCCCTGGGCAAGAAGGCCGCATCGATACTTGTGGAGAAGGGTGCGAGCAAGATCCTCGATGTCATCAACAGCCAGCGAGCAGAGACACCCGGCACGGCCTCGGCTGCCAGCGCCGCTGCTGCCCCGGCTGCGTGATCGCACATCGCAGCATTCGCCTCTCAAGACCCTCACTCTGCATGATCACAATACCATAGACAGCGAAGATGCTTCCTCATCGTTTGCTTTGTTCTTCTATCAGATACTATGGCAAGCGGACAGACCGAGCCGAAATTCGTGTAAATATGAACAGCAAGGTCTACCGGATAGACTCTGTCTCCGCACTCTCAACGCCATTCCATGTTCCATTGATGCTTCTCGCCTCTTTCTCTCCAGGTTGAACTGTTATATGCATTGAACCCCCCCCCCTCCCCCGGCACCGCACAGTATCGAGTCGTCGTCGGTCCGAGAGATTCATTCTTGTGATTGTATTTTTTTTTCTTTGGTCTTATATCCTTCCGTCCCTTGTTCCGGCGCCTCTAGTGATCACCCTCTGCAGCCGTGAAGGCCTTGTATTCCTCGACATCCATCAAGCCCTCCAAATCCTTGACGCCCTCCTCATCCACAGTGACCTTGGCGATCCAGCCTCCGCCGGCGCTATCATCCTCAGGGACCTTGTTGATGGTACCCGGCTTCTCCTCCAGCTCGAGGTTGATGTGGGTGATCTTGCAAGTGATGGGGGCGTTGATGTCGGCGGCGGACTTCACACTCTCCACGGCGCCGATGGCGTCACCTGCGGCCACCTCCTTGCCCTCCTCGGGCAGCTCCACGTACACAACGTCACCCAGGGCCTCGGCGGCGTACTCGCTGATGCCGATCACGCCTGTCTTGTTGTCGGCGGAGAGGTCGATCCACTCGTGGTCTTTGGTATACTTGCGGATGGGGCCTATTGTTGCGTTGCGACAGAGAGAAAAGGGAAGGGAGTCAGCCTCGAGGGGGTGTTTCGGGCAAATGCTACCAAAGGAAGGGGAGGACAGAGCTCATTGTTTGCCCTAGGGGGTATGTGGTGGTGCGGGCATGGCGTGAAAGTGGTGCGTCGGTGGCTTGAGAGTGTGTTCCGGCTTCGGAGAGAGGAATGGAGGGGAGAGAGGGAGGGTTTCTTCTTTCTTACAGATAGCGCTCGCAGAGAAGGGCCTGGCAGCACTGAACCGCGACGAAGGTGTTGGGCGGGCGGCGGCGCGAAGCACGGTAGACGAGAGGGCTGTCGGCCTTGCGACCCGCATGCAGCGTGCGATTGAGGCCATTGCTACGTTGCTGAGGCTGTGTTGGCAGGACAGACTGCTGCGGCTGGGGCTGGAGGCTTGTTTGGAGGTGGTGGAATAGAGAGGTGGAAGCGGCCAGGGTCGGAAGGGCGAGGAAAGCTCGACTGAGATAAAGTGATATCCGCCCCGAAAAATGACGATTCATGTGTTTGCCGGAGGCCGATTGGGTATCGGTGTATTAAAGTTTGCTTTTGGTAAGCGGCTGGTTTAGTAGTCCTAACCCTGAGCCATCCAAAGAACCTCGATACGTTCACTTTCTCTTCTTCTCCTTTTTTCTTTTAGGAAATACATATATGTATATAAATGTGTGGTATATATACAAGTAGGTAAAAACAATCACCTTTTTCCTTGTGTCTTCAGAAACAAGCAATGTTCTTGATTGTTACATGTCAAGATAAGAACTAAGCTGCCGCTGATCCTCGTTCCTGTCACTAAGAGCGTCGACTGCAGGTTTTTCAGAGGAAGGGATGAAGAGAGAGAGAAAAGAGGAACTTCAAAATGGTCTGGAGCGATACTGGATTCTCTCGAGTCATAACCGTTGTAAGGCTCCAGCAGCCTCAGAAGCCCTTCTGGGAAAGACCTGGCCAGTCATCCTTGGGTAAACCGTCATCGTGGAGTTCAAATTGCTGGTAGAAGTTTGGGTGATCGCGATCTCATGGACTGTGGGCTCGGGGCTCCCGAGGCCTGTCTAGAGAAACCAGATGTTGGGAGTCATGATAGTGAACATGACACCACTCTGGCCCCCCTTGGTGTTGTGTGGCTGGGAGAAAAGAAAGTTGGGCAGGCGAGCCCGACGTTGCAAGGTGTGCCTGGCGTGTCATCAATACCATCATCTGGCAGACAGATTAATGGACAGGGACGAGGCTCGTGGTAGAAGATGAATCATCTCAAGGGCCTGAGAGCGGAGAATAGGATAGCGCCCGCTGTGGGAAGAAAACGTGCCGACGGGTCGGTAGTAATACTAGGCAAATATTGTAGGGATGGCGGTTCCAGTAATACAGACAAGACAATGCATGCCTTTCACTTCACGGTCTGGGACAAGAGGTAAAAACCACTGCCAAGTACAAATAAATGTTCTGGCCTGGTTGACCCATTCTATGAACCACAATTTGGGTCTCAACAGCATGCACTGCAGTGCTTTTCTGTTGAATATATGTTAGTAGAGTCGGTCCGGCGAGTCGTCACAAAAATCTGAAACATAAAAAGACGGTCTGCAGTCCAAGCAGGGGACTTCGCACGTCAGGTCGCGTTGACAAGAGGTTGGACATGGAATATAGCATCATGGCCGCAGGGCTCCTGCCTTTTCGTGACCTGTCGTGCAGGTAGGATTTGCAGCAGAAGGGTTGCATCCAAGGTATGGCCTGCAGCAATAGAAGGTCTGCCTGTCCAGGTGGGTGGACCTCATTCGCACGGCCCTCACACACTGCCCTGGCAGTGACCCCTCAGTGGGCCTCGTCGGGACCTATGGCCAGTGCCTAGCACCACCCCTGGCTAAGGGCGGCTGATTGGCTTCCAGCAGGCCGCAGCAGATTTGTTAGTGTTTACTTTTACGGCTGGGAAGGGGAACTCCACGCGCCTGAACACTCCAACGTTCAACAGGCGGGATCACTACTTCAAGGCAGATCGGTACTGGTCTAACAAGAATGAAGTACCTGGAACAGCAATCCCACCAACAGAGAGCTACGTTCTTTCCCAAGCCGCCCCGTCCTGTCGCCAAGTCAAAAACAGGGGAGGGGGGGGCCAACAAAAAAAAAAATAGAGAAATCAGGTTGCGAGACAAGTGAAGAAAAGAAAAGCCAGGCTCCTTGATTATTTCCCTTGTGCACGTCGCGGTTCGACGTGTTGTTGCTGCTACTGCGGGTTGATGTTGACCCACCCTGGCGCGCCCCCCACCACCACCACTACCAGACCAACCAATGGTACACTGGACGAACCTACAGTCACTGCGATAGAAGTCTGTGCTGGCATAGCAGTAGTCTGTCTTTCTGTCTGTCTGTACAGCCTTGAGCCTAGAGTGCTACAAAAGACTGATCGTCAACTGACTGTGCCCCTCCCAACGAAGGGCGAAAGGGGGAGAGAACCACAGAGTCCAAAAAAAAAGAAAGAAAAAAAAAGGTAAGCAATGAGGGCGATGATTACACAACTCCCTTCCCAGTTTCCTCCCTTGACCTCTTTTGCCTTGATCTCGTCACTTGTCTCTTCTGCTTGGGGCGGTGCTGGCTGTTCTGCTTCGTCAGCCTCCTTCCCTTCTAATGCAATCGCAATCCCGTAAAGAGGGAAGGCCCATGTCAGTGGCCTTCAGCCGGCGCTACCACAGCACCAGACGCCGATCGAGACCTGAAAAATCACTGTGGTACATAGTACATACACGCATCCACCCATCCAAACCAAGTCCCCCCTCCCCCCATCATCCTTGACCTTGACCTTGCTTGCAGCCCACCACAGACAGCATCGCTCCAACCAGTTGTCGCCGTGTGGACGCGGAGAGCTGTGTGGATCGGAATGCGGGCTCGTCTTCACATACAACATTCTCTCTGACCTTCATCTCGTCCAGCTGCTATTTCATGCTACTATCTATTCCGTACCTCGAATCTCCACCGGAATTTCAGGTCGCGAGACGTCATCATCGCCGCCCTGTCGACGTCTGTCTATCCCAAAACAACCTCGTCTCGCCCTTCTTCATCAGATCGGTTCAACAGACACGCCCTCTTTCCCATGAAGCCGTTACTTCTGGGATAAGGCTGCTCTTGCTCCTCTTCGTCCTCCTTGCTCGACATCACCTCGATATCCTCCTCATCCCTACCTCCCCTTCTTTCGCTCGGGAGTACCCACGCAATTACACACCACATCATCACAACGTCGGCTCCCCTGAGGCCAGGCCAGACTACCACAAGGCATCACAACCACCAATCTGGGTCAGTGCGCCCCCGACGATGGGACAGTTTCTTTGGCGAAACCAACCCCTCTCTCTTCCTCCGCCTTTCCGAAACAACATTCATTGCACATGCACCTTGCCGGGCATTCCATACACCATGTCCTACCCCCCAGCCGCCTCCTAACCTCTGCGTGCGTGTATTAACTCGGGTGTCACCTTACAGATTCCTCTACCTTGACTGCAGGGTCTTCGGCCCAGTTTTACGACGCCACGGAAATTATGGACGACCAGGCGCCGGCAGACTTCCAGGAGGAGACCATGGGCGGCATGGAGGGCTCACCAAACATGATGGGCTCACCAAACATGATGGGCGGGAACACCTTCGAGAACGGCAACGGAGACGCCGCTATGACCGACGCCCCCCATTCCGAACACATGATGATGGATCCCAGCGCGCGGTACACGACCCCTCCTGTTCCCCAGCCGGGCAATAACCTCTCGAGGCCACCCTCGCAGCTGTCGAGCCAGAGCTACCCGGACCGCGTCGGCGCGGGTATCCCCGGCGCATCGGACCAGAACAACGCGAACGGCCGAAACCACGTCGTGATAAAAGTCGGCATGGTGGGAGACGCCCAAATAGGCAAGACCTCGCTCATGGTCAAATACGTCGAGGGCAGCTGGGACGAGGACTACATCCAAACCCTGGGCGTCAACTTCATGGAGAAGACCATCAGCATCCGCAACACCGAGATTACTTTCAGCATCTGGGATCTGGGCGGCCAGCGCGAGTTCGTCAACATGCTGCCGCTGGTCTGCAACGACGCTGTCGCCATCCTGTTCATGTTCGACCTGACACGCAAGAGCACCCTCAACAGCATCAAGGAGTGGTACCGACAGGGCCGGGGCTTCAACAAGACCGCCATCCCCATCTTGGTCGGCACCAAGTACGACCACTTTGTCAACTTCCCACGCGAGGATCAGGAGGAGATATCGAACCAGGTATGGATAATTCTAGCGGTAGTAAACAACAGGAGGAGGTTAGAACCGAAGCACTGATTTTTATTTGTTTTGATACACAGGCACGGCGATTCGCCAAGGCTATGCGTGCTGCATTGATCTTCAGCAGCACGAGCCACAGCATCAACGTTCAGAAGGTATGTCATACAAACGAGAGAGCTTATGGTCTCTTTCAAGAGTCGTTCCAAGAATCGCACGCTGATGATTCGCACGCAGATCTTCAAAATTGTACTTTCAAAGGCATTTGACCTCAAGTGCACTATACCCGAGATCGAAAACGTCGGCGAGCCTCTCCTCCTATACCAGAACTGCTAGGTCGACGACGAGAATAGGAGAAGCCATCGAGCCACATACCCATACACACTTCTTATGATGCCTGGTACGCTGAGGCTATCGCGCGCGATTCTAGACCGAATTTTTCATCAGGCACCCACGACATAGCCGATATACCGGCCAAAACCTACTCCTCCGAGCTCTAGACCATTGTCAGAGATTTCTTCATACACAAGACGATCGAAGCTTCAATACGGCGGCAGTTGATCACTATACCCCAACCACTTTGCAGTTGGCACGCAAGCCCATCATCACCCACAGGTCCAAATGAAGTTGACCTCCTGATACCTTTACAAATTTCTACAAAGGTCTTTTTTTTTCTTCTTCTTTTTATTTTTCTTTGAAGAGGAGCGGGCGGAAAGTTCATGAAAAGAGAATTATGTACGAGAGGAAATTCCCAAGACTTGATGGATGAAAGAGAGAAAATAAGGAGGTGCCAGCAGCCAGCGCATTACAACTTTTTACGGTGGTGAGAGGGGAAAGAAGAAGCAAGGGGACGCCGAGTGAAGAAACATACGTGGGATGCCAGAAATGAGAAGAGAGAGTAATCATTCCCTCTGGGTCTTGAATTCGGCGAGTTGCATGCATGCTGTCATTATAGGAGTGGAGAAAGGAGTGAAAAGAGGACGTTGTGACGGCGGGGTACCGGGTGCAATAACCCTCTCACCCACTGCTAAAAAGAAAATCACCATTACTATTACTACAACAACTTATTGCTATCTCCCACAGAAGATCTTCAGCACGAGAGAGGTGGCTGAGGATCATAGGTTTTGGTGTGGTATTAAAGTCTGTCTTTGTCTCTATTTTCAATGTTCGTAGGTGATTGTGAGTCGGTGAGGATCCTGAGCCTACTTCCGAACATAAAGCTGCTGTTCAAACCCTGGTCTAAACAATGAGTGACTACATGTACATGCTCTTTCTTCATAGACACGCATACCAACGTCCAGTCTGGATGGCTCCCTTGTTCAACCTCCCACCCTCGTTTCTACTGGTGTCACGTAGCTAGCCCCTCAAGCGTTGGCCTTCTCACTGCCTCCACGCCGACCAAACACCCTCCCCCACATACCTCGCCCTGTACTTGGCTGCGGCAACGACCCTCCATCATTGGCAGTACGACCTGGAGAGAGGAGATCACAAATCTCGTCAGTGGACTCATCCAATAGCGGCGGACAGGATGGTGGTGGTGATAATGATGATATGATGCACGCAAGAACCAGCAGCCAAAAATCACTACATGAAGACGGTCTCAATCATACCACAGGAGAGGCAGCGGCTGAGTGTGGGCAGCATGCTATCATGATGACTATAGCCACGATCAAAATGTTGGGAAGAATTCTGCGTGATCATAGGTGTGAACAAACGTACTATCGGCAGTATTCTCCTTCCCAGCACCAGATGAGTCCATAGCTCGATTCAGTCCGTCCAGGGTATGGCCGGCACTCTGTAGGCTTGCGTTCAATGAGGCTATCTGGTGGTTAAGATCTGGGGACTGTGACGAGGATGACGGCGCCCAATTGCCCGGCATCATGGCCTCCGGGTGTGGCGACTTGCGGAAGACGGCAGATTCTTTGAAGACTTCGTCATCATCGACAGAGTGCGGGTCTCTTACCGCACCGGACGGCGAGAGGATTCGCACATCGTGATGAATGTTGTGGCCCTCATGAGCAGACGAGCCTTGGTCAATCACTTTGTCCGAACCAAGCTCGTGGGCAGATCGAGCTCTTGGAGCCGGGAGTATGATATCTCTGTGAATATCATGCCCTGTTGATTTCGGCTGTGCTGGAACAGCGCCATCTTGATGGATATCATGTGCTTGGGGCTGCTTTTGCAGCAGGACGAGCGTCTTGTCCAGCTCTAGGCCATGGGCGTGCGCGTTTCTGTTCTGCTCCTGGACCAGCATATCATCAAGGAGCTCGTGGGGAAACAATTGCTGTGGGCCAGATACGACAGGGTCAGCATCAAGATAGTGGCTTGGAGCGATCGTTCGCACTGGTAGCATTGTATCGGCTGAAAGACGGTGCGCGCCTTGCCCAGTGGGTACTGCGTTGATGACCCTGTCTTGGGCAAGTAAATGACTTGGAGCCGCTCTGCCACTGTAGACAAAGGCATCGGCTGAAATCCTGTGGGGCCCTTGAGGTTGATTTCGCGAGATGAGTACTGTATCTTCCGACAGCGAGTGTGTCCGGGCAGGAGGAAGCTCCTTGAGCGCGTCGAACGCGCCGATGGCTGCTGCAGCATCGAGCAAGGTAACAGGATCAGCTTCGCCGGTTTGCACCATTGTTTGGTAACGTTTGATGGCATTCTCCTTGGCCTGTTCAGTCATAGGCCCTTCGCCAATCGAGATTCGAGGAATGGTCCATTCGATCTGGTGGAGGTTTTCGGCAACAGACTTGGCGCCTTGAGACTGCTCGTTCTCCTTTGTTTTGGGGGTTTTCCTGAACATGCTCTTGAATTTACTCTTTGACTTTCCTGCCCCAGCTGGTGTGGTCTCAGTCGTATCAGGAGCAGTCTTGGGAGCGTCAACTACCAACAGCGTGTCAATCTGGCTCGGGTCACCGGCCCCTTGCTCATCAGCATCCAGCCTGGTACTCGGCTCCCACTTGCCAGGAACCCTCTCAATAACGGGTCTGTCCGCCGGGGCCAATTCGATAATCGGTTTGATCGCAGTGTCTCGCCCAATGGCAGCCCCTTCGGCAATTGTATCAGGTGCCTTGGCTTCAGTAGTATCTTTATCTTCCGTTGCACCTGTCTGGCCAGCCGGAGGGGTAGCCCCTCGGGCAGGGGATGATGATTCCTTCGCAGGTTGCTTTGGTGCCTGCGTCGCCGTGGATGGCCCCGCTCCTTCATCGACTGTTTGCTTCTGGCCGACTGGGGTGGGAACAGGTGGCGCTGGCGGTCCAAGCATAGTGAGGTCAGGATCTTCTGCCATAAAGCCAGTGAAGGGGCTGAGACGAGCAGGCATCCCGGGGTGTTGAGTACCATCCTCTGACTCTGCCGCCTTGCCTTTGCGTTTTTGCTTAATCTTTTCTGTGACTGACATAGCCTTTGGTTTCTTGATTTCCTTGACGTCCGCTATCACCTTCTGAATACGGGGAGAGAATTGTGGAGAGGGCAGAGGTTCGGGAGGAACATGTACCATGAGCATCTCCTCTTGTGGGTGGGGTTGGAGTTCTACTGGAGGAATATTCTCGTGATGGCGAATCTCGGCCAGATTGCGAATAGTGGTCGCGTTATGGGCGAAGACATTCAGTGATTTTTCACGGTGCGGCTGGAGATCGTAGAAACGGGTGATTTCCTTTGCTTGCCGATGCGCCAGGACGCCACCTCCAAACCCTTTTATCATCGAGGATCCATGTCAGCATCAAGATGAGCAGAATCCGAACTGCTCTTCCAACTGGACTTACAAGGTATAACAAGGGACATGAAGCCGTAGCCAACGCATGCTGAGTTGCACGGGTTGAACTCGGCTGGATCCAGGTCCCCGGTGCGTCCCTGCTTGGCCTGTTGCAGCTCAAACTGGGCCTTGCCATAGGTGATGCAAGGTAAGAGCAAGCCCTGGGTGACCTCGGAGTTCTTGGTGTTGCTGCACGCGCTCGACCGGGTGTATTCCTAGGCACCGGGGGCAGGGTTGGCCTCGCTGGCAATGTCGACGATTCTATCATCGGTGGCTACAAAGTTGTGTAGTCTTGGTGATAAGCGCGGTGCACAGTGGAAACAACTCTCAATGTCGCGTACTGCTTTTCGAAGGTCGTCAAGGTGAATGGCACCGTCAGGACTGCTGCTGCCAGCTTGATTCGAGGAGATATTGTCCATGATTGGTTGAAGAGGGCGGGCGGCGGCGAGAAGCTGCTCAGCAGCGTGTAAAACAAGGAAAGCGAACAAAACTCAACCCAATAAAAAGACGAAGAATAATCTGAAGACTAAACGACGGAATGAGCCCACAAAAGGCCACGGCTGGGATGTGGTCAAGGAGAAGAGGGGTTGAAGGCTGGCGGGATCCAGATGAATGAAGAGGAGGGGGGAGAGAATCGCAATTCGCCACATGGACGTTGTGAAGCCGAACAACATGCCAGGTCTGGTCTTGGAAGGCACGTCTCGGCCGAGGATGCATGTTCGGGCCATGCCTTAAGCCCTCATGGTGTACAGACAGTCGATCCTAATCGTGGAAGGGACCACCTCAAGCTCCCTCCTTCACCACTCGCCCCGCAGCCGCTCAGCGATAAACTGCATCACGGGCAGCATCTCCTCTCGGTTTGCTGGCATAGTGCTGTCTGCCTTTTTCCACTTGACCTCCCGCACATCTACAAATTCCTGCCTCAGGATGTCGATAGCATCCTCGTCGACAGCCTCACAAGATCTCCCGTGACAGATCAGCACAGGTGTCTCGGATTTGGACCGCCCACTCAGGCTCGGAACCATGGACATGGGCAGGGCCCCACCAATGGATATGACGCCCTTGAGGCTCTTGGGGGCTTCAATGGACCTTCCGTTCTCATCTTCTCTGACCTCCTCAACCTTGGGCCCTTCGCGGATCTTGGAGGCCAAGCCCACAGCCAGCGAACCGCCCTGTCCAAAGCCAAACAGGAGAATGTCAGGCAGCTCCCACCCACACTTGTCCAGGAGCGTCTCCCTGATGAGTCTGTTCACAATCAGGTCATACGCCTTGCTGAACCCCGGGTCTGCATCCAGCTCATCGGACTGGGTCGCCAGGTTCAGGTCATCGCCCCAGTGAAAGTGCCGCGGCGGGCCGCTGTCGAGAGGTAAGCCCATCAGCGCTGGAGGTAGGGGATTTGTGCCCCTGACTGTGATGGCGAGGACCCCGGGCAGATTCATGCTCCTGGCGAAACTCGCAAAAGAGGTGTCTGCATCGCCCAGCCCGTGGAACAGGATCAGGATGGCGGTGGTGGACTCGGGAGGGGAAGGGAAGTGCAAGACGACTTTCAGGTCGGGTGAAAGCGACGTGAAATCCTCGGCCTTCGGGATGCGGATTTTGGGCGGCATAATGAGAATTTGAGAAAGATCATCAATGTATCCAGACTAGTGTATAATTTGAAGATGAGGCTCCCGAGGTTGATCTCAATATTACGCCTGTTCACGAGCTGTGTCATTTACTTGCAGCTATGAGAAGAAGTGAAAATGCTTGAACACAAAGAGACAGGGAAACACCCTAACCCTGACAGCACCTTGGGGGAGAGGACTCTTCCGCTTCCATATCCTTCGCCTTGACAGTTTCTCTCATCCACTATTTGAGGCTGGAGTATATTCACGGAGTATTGCCCGCTATAGATGTGTGTAAAGAATGTTTCCTACATTCTGCAGTCGCCAGAGAGGTATCCAGACCCGGAAATATACATCTGCACCAAGAGTACAACATCTCAATCAACCATCATCATGTTGCCCTCAGAAACCTCCCGACTCTCGAGGCTGGATGCTCCAGGCTTCATATGCTCCCATTCAAAATCCGCATCCCACACCCCAGCCTTGGTGTAATCAAGAGTAGTCGTCCCATATAGATACGCAAACCGGAAGTACTCCTTCAAGCCCAGCTCAGCCTTTCTGTTCCACGTAAACGACCGGTCCTCCTCAAAGTCCTTGTCGTCCTCAAAATAGCCCTTGAACCGTTCGACATCGTTCACGAGGAGGCTGATGCCGTCCAACCGAATGTTCCTCTTAGGCGGCGCCTCAAACCGAAACGTGATGTTGGACACCGCGGATCCAACCAGGATCTCGGGTGCGTCGGCGAGCTTGGGAAGCACTGAGCCCAGCTGCCCGTCTCTCCGCAGGGCATTGGACGTCTGCAGGATCGGATCCCAGCCCCAGCGCGCAATGCCGTTGATGAAGAGGCCAATGAGGAGGCCCTGGTACAGAAGCGCAGGTCGCGTCTGCATGCTTGTTCCGGTGAGCAGGAGGAGGGCGAGGAAGTAGTGGTGGATGCGGAGGTGCAGATCCCATATGCTCAGGAACAGGCAGAACAGAATGCCTCCTAGCAGCCCGAGGTATAGCCTGCCGTAGGAGATAAGACGGCCTTCTTGACGGAAGAACCAGATCTGCTTGAGCACAATGAAGAATAGGACAAAGACGATGATAATCAGGGCGAGGACCCCGCCAGGTTGCTGTCGTATGTCGTGAGCGTTGAGCCTGCTGATGGGAATGTTGGGACTCAGGGTATAATTATCCAGTGCGCCCACCCAGCAGGTGCCCAGCCAAAGGACCGTCTTGTCGACCTGCGCGGTCAGGCCTTTCAGCGTGCGGCGGATGGCCATCTTATCGTACATGACCCAGGCCACGAACATGACGGGTAGGTATCGTCCTAGGATGATGGTGAACAGCTCTCGGAACGAGCTGTGATTGGGGGCATCCGAGACGAGCCCAACGTGCCAGAAAACGCCGGTGAAGACTGTGAAGAAGAACAGCGAGGGCGATGTGGTGAACAACGAGAGGACGGTAGTGAAGACGACCGAAACCACCAGCAGGGACCACCTCATATCCCGCGCTTTGCACTGCACACTCTCCTCAAACAGGTACGACTTGGGAAAGTATGAGTCGAATCCGATGCTCTCGATGCCGTTCCGCCACGTAGCGCTGAAGCTGGACCGCTCGCCAACAAGCCTGACAACGCCGCAGCCCCCTTCGGCATTGGAGATGACGCCAGCATGTATGGCCGAGCCACAGATGAAGGAGTCTGCCCGGTAGGCCCCATAGCTGTCCGTATGATTGACTGGCCCACCCACGACGAGCGGTCGGTAGTTGATCTGTCGGTCGCCCACTGCGCGCGGCTCGCTTAATTGGTAACTAGCACAGTTTGCTGGACATCTGAAGGCGAATCCGGTTCCCTGGAAAGGTCGACAGCGGTTGCCATTCAGGTCGCACTGGTTTCCGCGGCCCCAGAAATAGTTGCCACACCCAATCTCCTGTGGTTTGCCCCAGGGTTTGAGCTCGGTCAAGCTGCTCTCATGCCGCTTGACCAGGGAGAAGGTCAGGATCCAGAGCAGAATGTAGCCGATGAAAAGCAAGATACGATGCTTTCTCCTGGGCAGATACTTGTCGAGGAGGAATATTGGAAAGTGCTGGATGGTTGGAAAGAGGGGCGTGATGCGGAACGCGACAGGACTAGCTGGCCCCTGCGCCCATCGAAGTGCAGACCTTCCGAGCTTTCTGAGGGGGTATGGGATCCATCGCCAGTGCTTGCTAAGGTTCTCCTCTTCCAAGAACCGCGGTAACGGGTTGGTCGGGTTGCCCTCCTGCAACTCGTGCAGGCGAGGAGGCCCTTCGATCGGGGCGTCAGGATGTGCCTCCACGATTGACTCATTCGGATGGTCCGGATTTCCGAGACTCTGATTTCGGCTGCTGCTGATGCCTGCCTGCCCGTCGACCGAGCTCATGATGGGCTACGTCAGGCGCTTGCCGAGGCTGATTTTGGATGAGAAGCACGGTGGCCGGGAGATGGGAAGGACCCAGTCGGCTGCGCAGGCGCGGATGGAGACAGGATCGAGGAAAAGGGAAGAAAGTGCAACCAGGTACCTTCTAGTGAAGAGGCTTTGATCATGTCTTTGGGGGATTCAGATACTGGACTGATGTACAATTGAAGTAAATAAGAGTGCGTGCGTAAGGAAGTACGTGAGTAGATGAGTGTCAGCGTTGTTGGATCGGCGTGCGGCTCTCACGGCTCCTCCCGACACGCCTCGTCAGCAACTTTCTCCATTGGCTCTCCTCTGACTTCACTTTGATGATACTAATACAACCCAGCAGCGACAGGAAATGTTTCATGAATTACTACCCCTCTGCCGTATTTCCTTTCTTTACATATACATATTTTACACTTCACCTTTTTCCCCACACAGAAAGTTTTTCTTTCTTTATTTTTAAAAAATATTTATTTTTATATCTAACCCCCCCCCCCCCACCAAACAAAGGCAGTCGTTTCCTCGACAGCTGAGTTACTTCAGAATTTGGGAAGAAAAATGTTAAGATTTGATTCATTCTACTTCCTATTTTCTTATGAAAGAAACCAGAAGACTGAACCAGTTTCTACTCCGACACCTCCACCAAGCAGTTATATTTGCTCCCAGTCCCACTCGCATAGTGAAATAATTCAAGCTCGGAGTTCTGCCGTCCACGAGCAAGTATCTCGTCCTCCGCCAGAAACGGTGTCCTCGACCCATCGTCCTTGTCTGCTCTGCCCAGAATCTCTTCCAGAACCAATGCAATCCTTTCTGCCCCAATCCGTGCTCCTCCAATGTTGGGAGCCGCGGGGCCAAGCCTCAGAGCGGCCAGCCTGCCCGCCACGAAAAGGGGAACATCATCCCTCCACATCAGATCTTCGTTCAGACAGGGGAGCCCTCCAACGCCGCGTATGGGATATTCTCTTAACATGTTCTGCATGTAGGGCAATGTCGTAAAGTCCGACTGGATGCCGGTGGCAAAGTAGATGTAGTCCATCCGAGGCAAGTCTACGATCATGGGCTCGGTCTTGATCCTCCACGCACCACCTTCTCCGTCGGAACACAGCTCAAAATCCGCGCCTATCAGAGCAGTCTTCTCAAACATCTTGAGCCGCCCGCTCGACATGTGCGGTTTGAGCCTCTTCATGAAGGCCGGCGTGATGCTCCCGCCGCCCCGCGCCTCCTTGATGATGTCCAGCCGCTCCTCATCCGAGTCAGCCTGATGAAAGTAGGCTTGGTGCAAGGTCTTGTACTTTCCCATCCAGTGTAGATCGACATCGAAAGCCTTTGTTCGTAAGGGGCCGCGCATGATATGCCAGACCCTCCCAACCCCTTTGCGGATGGCAAGATCCGAGAGCTGGGCCGAGGTGAGACCGCCGCCGACAACGAGGATGTTTGTCTGGCGGCCATCTTGCATGCGATGCTGGACTATGGCGTCGGGGAACTGGTTCTGTGGTATTGCCATGCTGTGGCACGCTTGGGGCATCTTGTCGACAGCTTGAGCAGCGCGATGTCCTGGGAAGGACAACGAGGGAATCTCGGGCAGGACGGGTGCGTTGGCTGGCCCGACAGCAAGGATGACGGAGCGAGCCAAGCGCACCGATTGGTTTGTTGTCACCGTGAAGAGTTTATCTTGGAAATGGCTGTCCTCTATGTCGCCAAATCTGATGTCCGTGACCTCTTCTTTGTGAACGAGGCCAGCTTCAAGCTCATAGCGGCGGGCAACGCAGTCGCAGTGATCACAGAACAGAGACTGAGACGGGGTGTAATAGTCCCACTGATCTCGTTGGTTGATATCGACGGAGTCCTCTTTTCTAGTGTTACAAAGTGAGCTTGAAGAATTCTTACATAGTACCAGGAATCGACTTAATATTATTACTTACCTGCCGCCACTGAACCTATTCTTCTTCTTTTGGTGCTTGCTGGTCTCCTTACCCACGCAACCTCTGATCTCAACCAATTCCCCCGCCCTGCCCTGGAAATGAGCATGCGACAACAACGAGTCGCGGTCCAGAGGATCAACATGCCAGAGCATGGGGCTTCTTAGATGACTGATGTCGAACGTAGAAAACAGTCGTCTCCAGCGGCTCAGCCACTTATTATCACTCGAGTCCAGGACAGCTATCTTATAGTGATGTGGCTTGCTGCAGCAGGCAGGAGAGACATGTCCCGTTTTTGTCTGCTTCAGGGCGACCCTCTTTCCGTGTTTATTCAGCCAGTGGAAGCGCCGGTGTTCCTCGTCTGTGAACATGGCGGAGGGAGCTTGTTCTCGGATCCTGGCGGCGGCGGCGAGGCCACAGGGTCCACCGCCGATGATGAGGACATCAAAGACTTCGGGATCATGGTCGAGGTGATACAAATCATCTTTAACGGATTGAGATTCATCGTTGGAAGTATTCGTATGGATTGTAGACATTTTGAAGCTGTGATGAGATCTAAACCGAGGAGACCTTCGCAACAACACTGGGATACATCTTGAGAGGGGAACGGTGGGTTTATATGTGCGCAAGAGTTTTATTATGTCATGAGGACCTTGAAGGTTATCTGATGAGGCTCATGTAAGAATGGCAAGAAGGGTCTCTCACCACATACAGCGACCGGTATAACTCCTATTGACCCAAGCGGCGAGAGCACCCCGTCTATGGCCGGAACATGTGTCAGTCCACCTGTCCTTCAGGAATGTTCATTCAATTTTTCTTAACTGCAGACCGCCCAGTCGAGAAGTCATATAATCCTAAAATGCCTTCGTCTGAAGATCCCAATCCCTTTGTAGTGTGTCTTCAATAGTTTCGGGGTTGGAAGGAAAGGCTGAGGACCTTGATGGACATATCGCACCTTGTTCCGATCATCAGCTATGATGGCTTTAAGCTTATGCGATATATCCAAGTAGTCAAGTCAAGACTGATGATTAATCGTCTTATTTCATAGATCCATCTTCTGTCTGATGCCTCTGTCGTTGATGCCTGCCCTCCAATTCTACAGAAATTTGAAGAACGAAGTTGATGAGCAAGAGTACTTAAGTACGCAAGTGAGAACCCCCAAGAATCACGCCAAGTTCTCCCCATACAGTAATCAAAGTCTAAATCTCAAACAGGTTCATTAGGAGGAGGAATATTCGTCGAACTTGTACGAAGCAAGGAGAATTGTGAATATTACAAGTCGAATTCATGCTCAAAAAGCGACCGCGACCAGCAAGCCAGGGTTAGGGTCAGGGATAGGAACCTCGAAGCTTTTTGACCAGAGTTCCTTCCGTGTTCATTATCGTCTTCTGCCTTCGCACAGAAGGAAGAAAAAGAGCAAAACTCAGCATGTCAGAGTGTAAAAAAGAGGAGGGCATGAAATTTGACATCCTCAAGGCTGTCGCAGGCGATGGAGCAACGGCGAGGCTGGGCAGGCTTGTCCTGCCTAAACGACAGGCGGTCGAGACACCAAACTTCTTCACGATAACCTCGAGGGGAGTCGTTCCACACCTGACGCCAGATACAATCGCCAGATACTGTCAATTTCCGGGAGCTTATCTGGCTATGGAAGACTGTAAGTGAAGACCTAGACAAAAGTTTTGGTATTTTCCTCAAGGAAGTTCATAATAAGCTGACCGAGACTCTTCTTCTTTTCCTCTCCCCCTCTTCAGTGGTTGAGAAGTCACAAAAGAATGTGACCAGAGTACCAGCTGCGGCCAAGATACCAGCCCAGGATGGCAAGCGCCTTCATGCCTTCACGGCCCTCCCATCCTCCAGCATCACCATTCTCGGACCACGCCGGACGCCCGCGGTCAAGGCGAGCATAGGGAACAGTGACACCTTTATCCAGATCTTCACGTCCAACGGCTTCCAACCTCTCACCAACCCCTCCTACATCGCCTCCATCACGAACCTTAAGCCAGACATCGCCATCCCTTTGGCAGATATGCACTACGTCGCCGCCGCGATAACATCGCCTCAGGCAAAGGGCGTAAGGAGGATGTGCGAGCGCACCGAGGACTGGATGAGCGAGCTACACAAGTCCCTCGACCTGGCCGATTTGCGCGCGTCCAACACGTCTATCTTCGCGCCCACTTTGCCTGCTCCGCACTCCGTCCAGTGGGAGTACCTCGGCCGTCTCTCAGGCGATCTCCTCGACAAGCTGTCTGGCCTGGCCGTCTACGACGTCGACATCCTGCCTGACCTGTCTAGCTACCCTTCCCTCCTCCCCTTGCCCCGTCTCTCCCTCGATGTGCCCCTGAATCCCCACGAGATCCTCCGCCAGGTTTCTCTTGGCATCGATATCTTCCTCGTCCCCTTCCTAAACGCCGTATCTGACGCTGGCGTGGCCATGTCCTTCACCTTTCCCCCTCCCCCCGCCGCCCCCCAGGGAGAAACCACCACCACCACAGCAGACGGCACAGACCTCCTCCCTCTAGGTATCGACCTCACAGAAGCAGAACACGCCACTGCTCTCGCACCTCTCACGGAAGGCTGCACCTGCCACGCCTGCACCACCCACCACCGCGCTTACCTGCACCACCTCCTCAACGCGCGCGAGATGCTCGCCTGGACCCTCTTACAGCTCCACAACCACCACATCATGACCCAGTTCTTCAACGGCGTGCGAACCTCGCTCGCCGCGGGCGCGGAACAGTTCGAAGAGGACTGCAGGGCATTTGGGCGGGCGTATGAGCCGAGCCTGCCCGTGGGGATGGGCACGCGGCCCAGGGCGAGAGGGTACCATTTCAAGAGCGGGCATGCGGCCGAGCGGCGGAATAAGGTTACGTGGAAGCTGCTGCAGGAGGGGCAGACGACGAAGCAGGGGATGGAGGATGTGGTGGCGGTTCTGGAAGAGAAGCTGGCGAGGGATCAGATGGAGACACCGGTCGTGCCGGGGGACGAGGTGGATGCGGCGGAGTTGGTGAGGGAGGGCTTGGGGCAGGTTGATATCGAGAGGAGGGAGTGAGTGAGAAGAAGGGGTAGGAAACGATAAGCTCGATAAACTCCATATCAATTCTGATTTTAGGGTTGTTAACGGTTCATATACCAAAAGGAACAAAATAAACAACATAAAAGAAAAGGAGATGTTCTGCTCCGACTCGGACACGAACCGAGGGCGCCGGCATAGTGGCATCTTTTCTTTGGAGATGAGCTATAAGACCGGAGCTTTGACCAACTGAGCGATCGGAGCCTGCTGCCTTGTTTCTTGCAGCAGTAATTTTACAATAGCTATATCAAGCAAATGGGTGAGCGGACTGGGAATCATTAGGACGAGTTTCGGAGAGGCGGAGAGGTCTGTGTGACATGATTCTCCTACATACGGCTGCGTGTATTGCTCAAAGCTACCACCAGTATGAAACGACAGCACGGATCCAAATTCGTCGTCTTGAAGCATGCAGCCACAAGACACAACGCAATCTAAACTGATCTTGCATGTGTTTGAGGTCCATGTATTTGATGCGGTCAGCTAGACTTCACGGACGTCGGTTAGGAGAGAGGCCCTCTGTCACTGGTGTCCATAAAGGGAATTTCCTCTTTTTTTCTTGTTATTGTTTCTTCTTTCTTCCTTATCCTTTCAGAGATATTTAAGCAGACTCCTGTATCTCCACAGGCGGCTTAGGTTTCTTCTTCTTCTTTGGCTTGACCGTGGCCTCTCCAGCACCCGCAGCCAGGCCCTCTCCGTTCTCCCCGTCAGCCTCCCCTGTCACCGCAGCAGGCTGCTTCTTTTTCTTCTTCACTTTAGTAACAACAGGCTCGCCTCCTTCCTCTCCCTCGACCTTTGGCCTCGTTGCCTTCTTCTTCCTCTTCTTGATCACCGTGCCCTCGACATCCACGCCTTGCGCAACTTGTATTCTCTCGTTAGCTCTCTGCATCTCCAGTCGCAATCTCTCGACCTCCTTCATGGCCTGTGCCATCTCAGCCTCTTCCTGCTTCTGACGCTCATAGTCGTACCCAGAGCCGTTCACACTATCCCCGCCACCTTCCAATGTGAGGCTGCCAATATTACTCGAGTCCACCTGCAGCAGCGACTGCTTGAGCTTCTTGGCGCGGGCCTTTGTGAGGGCGTCCGAGTTGTTTTCTGAGTCGTAATTACGCGGCGTCGACCCGCCACTACCAGCCAGGTTCTCATCCTGAGCGATCACCACACGTTGCCGCGGTTTTGGTCGCAGGCTGAGATTAGACGTCGGTCCGGCGCTCTCCACTTTGCCGAGGTCGAGTTGCATGACGGGTATCGAGTCTATATCGAGATCAGGGCCGTTCTCGGTCTGCAGTATATTATGAATAGGTGTTGAGGTCCCTGTGCGGCTGGCGGGCGCCTGGATGTAGAATGGATCATCTTTGTTTCTCTCGTCGCGCTCTGCCTTTCGCCTTGCCAAGATGTCAGGGTCGAGGTAGCTTTCCTCGCTTGCCTGATACGACGTTGCGATCTCCTCGGGCGCGTCTGCAAGTCTGTTGATGGCAGGCTCAGTGGACGAGATCGTCGTCGGTGGCGGTCTCTGGTAGTAGTAAACCTCGAACTCGTCTTCCTCTTCTATGCCGGGGGTGATAGTGTCTGCTGCAGATAGCAGCCGATTGAGATTGGGGTGGATGGGCTCGTCAAGGTCGAGCCCGGCTGGCAATGGCACATTTATCTGTGCACCTGGAGCAACCGAGTTCAGTTCCCATCCAATGAACAAGGAAGGGATTGCCTGCGTGAGTAACAGCGGTGGGTCTTGTTGGACTTCGTCGGTTGAAGTGGGCTGCCCACAAACGGCCTCAGAAGTAAGCTTGAGGAGCTCGGTGAACTCGACCGCGCGCTCTTGAACCTCGAGGTTGGGATGAAGAGCCAAGGGTTCCAGCACGTGTACTATTCGCGCCAGTAACAACGACGTCTTGGCCTTCCGTTCCGATGTCCAGATATCAAGATCGCTTCCGGCGACCTGGGCGAAGATCTTGATCGTCGCTTGCAGACAAGAGGCTAGGACATCAGGATACTTGGCACGAGGTAGTATCTGCAGCAAATGTCCCAGGCTATCTTCCGAGGACGTCAACTGGTCCGAGTATTCTCCGACGATCCAAGCAACAGGCCTGAGTGCGCCCGATGTGACGGATTGTGTCGAGTTCGACTCGATGCCGTATTGGCGCAAAATAAGTTCGGCAGCATTCACTGCAGTGGGCCTAATTGCCTTGACCTTTACTGCCAAGCTCCTCAACTCATTTCCAATCTTTTCTGATACGTCTCCTGCCGAAAGCTGAGTGGTCGTCGCAGTCTGCTCAAGGCCGTCGTCAACCTGTCTTGAGACGGGAGCCATCCGCACAAGTTGTGTCAAGATGTCGATGTACCATTCGAAGTCGACGAGATTGCTGTAGTTGTCCTGGGAACACATAGCCAAGATCCGCCCAATCACCTCAATCCTGTAGTCATCTGGCAATGGCGGCGCCTGCTCGGCTTCTCTCTCGTGTGGGTTGATGGCGACCTCGGCGTCCACATCCTCGTCTGAGCCCGTCTCAAGTCTTTGAGCCGTCGGCCTTGCAGGGGTCGAGTTCTTCAGCTGTCTCATGAGGCGGCTGACTATTGACATTAAATTGTCGCTGCTGACCATGCCCTTGACCAAGTTCAAGGCCTGAACGCGGATGGTGATGTCGGGACTGTCTATACACTCCATAATCACATCCTCTTGTTGAGCCACCAAGAAAGGATGTGTTATGACAATTTTGTTGAAAGCCAGCAGGGCGACGTATTTCACTGAATTTGGAAGATTAGCCTGGTATGCTGGAAGAGGAACGAGTGGTGTTGTCTCACGGTTCGGATCACCATCAACCATAATCATGCCTCGAAGCTTTGTGACACACAAAGATGCGATCTCTTCCCTGCCTGATACATCGTCGGAGTCCCCGAGGATACCACCCTGAATAATACCATTGATGCATTCATATAGTAGAGACATAGCTGGTGTGGTCCGTATCAGGTCTGTGAGAGGAGGTAGCAACTTTCGAACAAGCCGAGGTTCTAGAGGCGTCAAGGTAGCAAACTTTTAATCTGTTAGTCAAGTTACATGCTCACGCACTCGGCTAAACGTACCAGCTTGATCAACTTGATGGCCATCCAATTATTGTTCCCGTCGACCAGAAGTTCAAACAGCCTGGGTGCTAGAGGGAGGAAGTCATTCGGGCGCCTCCAGCCCAATTCGCAGACGACATTCACGATGGCAGCCGTCACACTGGGGTCCTCATCTGGGGACATAAGGCGATCCTTAATCTGCGGCCATGCTGCCCTGAGTGTCTCTGGATACACCAGCGCTAATCTGTATAATGTGACAATGGTCTTCTTTCGGATCGAGGGGTTGCTGGAGGTGAGACGCGGTATGAGATCGGAGAGAGTTGACAGGGCCAACGAAGGATTGATTACGTGAGGAAGGGCAGTGATCGGAAGAATGATCGTCGTCGCTGAAGGAGAGGCCAGGTCCTGGGCAGAAGAGTTGTTAGCCGTCAAGCAATCTATTGGGAACGCAATATTCGGTCATGTGCAAACCTTCTTGATCAAATTTGTGGCCAGCATCAGGACTTCGGTATCGGGTCGAAAGCTCTGGACGGCGGCCAGGTATCCAATGCGCTTCTGGTGATACTTGGCAGAGGACATGACCTCGAGGACGTGAAAGGAGGCCCATGACATGTCGTGGCCCATCATCTCGAGGTAGCAGAGCTTGAGCAAGGCAGTCGCCTTGAGATCTGTCATCCCGTATCAGTCTCTAAGCAAATCTATGGCCAAGAACAGTACACGGCCGGCCCACTAACCCATATCTTGCGTTCGAACTTCGGCGCGGCATTCTTTCAGACAATTCTGAATGTACTCCTTCTCGTGGCCCTTGTGGTTCCGCAGGCCACGGATGAAGTCATAGAGGGACTTCTCGAACCTGCTATCATTTCAGCCTCTGGAATTTTTGTACCGCACTTGTCGGCCATGGTAGCATACATCTTGCCGAGACGAGGAGGCAGTTGCCTCTCCTCAAGTCACGCCCGGGTTCGGTATGGTAGAGAGGAGAGGAGATGCTGCTGCTCGAAATCTAGGAGAATTAGGAGGTGGATGGAACCTGACGCATATCTTCTGTGATCATCTTGTAGGCGCAGTTGCGAGGTCCCTCCGTTGCGCCGTGTTGGCTCGGTTTGCTTCGTTCTGCGAAGGATGAGGTCTGTGGTGTGTGTAATTCGTTACGCAGCCACTTTATTACTCCGAGTCGAAGCTACAGCGGCTCGTGGCAAGCATGGCACATCATCGCTCCCAGATGCCCCACGCTACAGGGGTACCCTGTACCTCACCCGCTCACGTAATAATTGCACCCTGAGGGGCATTCTTAGCAGGGACCAGCTACCTCTCTTTCTATTGATGATCCCTGGTCGTGACTTCCAGCTTGCCGAAACGCCTTCACCAAACCCCAAAACAACATCTCGAGCTGCTTCCACATCCGTTCTCGTCCTCACGATAGGAACCACCCACTGTCCTCTCTCTTACAGACGACGTTTCATCGTCATCGTCTATCGACCTATCTACCTAACCCGACACGCCGAGCAATTGTCGACCATGGCCCCGTCACTCCTTCATCCCCCAAGCCAGCTCTCTCCGGCGCAAGCCCTCGAATTGTCGCAACGTGCACCGTACGTGCTTCAGAGCTCGCCGAGCACCATCTCGTCGTCGGTGTTGACGTCCCTCTTCTCCGCGCCGGAGAGCACAGAGCTATGGATTACCTACGAGAACCTGTTGCTGTCATGCCTCCGGACAGGCGACGAAATGTCCGCCCACGAATGTCTCGAGAGGCTCGTCAAACGGTTTGGTGATGACAATGAGCGAATCATGGCTTTCACTGGCCTAGTCAAGGAGGCCGAAGCCTCTAACAATGCCGAGCTCGAGAAGGTGCTCAAGGAATATGATGCGATCTTGGCCGAGAACAATACCAACATTGTCAGTGGCTTGTCTCTCAAGTCCACCAGTGGCTATTTGTATATTGACTGTGTGTAGCCTGTCACGAAGCGCCGAATTACATTACTTCGCTCACTAGGCCGTACTGCTGAGGCGGTTTCCGGACTGAATGCCTTGCTGGACTTTTGTCCCGTCGACGCAGAGTCCTGGGCTGAGCTTGCCGACATCTACTTCTCTCAGGGCCTGTACACGCAAGCTGTCTATTCTCTGGAGGAAGTCTTGGTACTAGCACCAAACGCCTGGAATGTCAGTAACAGCGAGGATGAGGGAACGTGTATCCGAACTAATCAGAGGCGCAGATTCATGCCCGACTGGGAGAGGTGGAATACATGACAGCAACGGCCTCCGGTGCGGACGACAATGCCGCTCGCAAGTATCTTGCAGAATCCTTAAAGAGATTCTGCAGAAGCATCGAGCTCTGTGACGACTATCTGCGCGGCTACTATGGTCTCAAACTGGTGGGTGAATATCGGGACATGAGCACTGACGGGGTGGGGTCATGCTGATTGCTATTCAGGTCACCACCAAGCTTCTGAACGATCCTTCCAGATACAGCAAGCAGACTGACTCAGATGAATTTTCGTTCCCCACCAAGGGGATTGTCGAGAGGCTCAGCGAGAAGGCTACAGAGAAGCTCTCTGAGATCGTCCGCCGTAGTAGTTCGAAGGAAAAAGGCTGGTGTGGCTACGAGGAGTCGGAACTTACAGCCGTACGCGAACTCCTTTCGAATGAGTCAACCAGTGTCATTAGATGAGAGGTTGCACGACTTTGAGCATAATACGGTCCTACTTTACATGCTCAGGCCAATGACGTGGTCGGGATGCACCAGTTACCAACGCTGCCGAGGTCTGGTCTGCGTGCCCAGTCATCACAGGAACAAACAGAACCCGACGGGTACAGGTCAACCCAGGGCTTCAGCGATGACTATCGGTGCCACTCTTGGTACCTCGAATTCACGCCGTGCATATCTGAGGGACCATGCGCAGTCAAGAGTAGCAGACGACCTCGCACGTGGCATTATTTGACTGGAGCTGCGTTGGGCGTTAGTGCTTTGAAAAGAGTCTCGGGGTGGGTTCTGAGAAGCCCGGCCACCATCACTTCTCGATTGCGCCTCCAGGGGCTGTTCCTGCTCTTTGGTCGAAATCCTGGACCTGCATCGAGGTTGGATCTGGACCTGCAGCTTGAGTGGTGCATTTCCTTGCTTATGGCCCTAAAGCCCAAATTCTTCTATCTCTTACCGCCTCTAAATGAGTTCAAACACACGTTCTTGCGCCGATGCTGTTGTTGGTGGAGGCGACTAAATTTTAGACGTCCAGCGGGAATAGCCTCTTGGGTATGTCAGTCCTGTTAGGGATGGGGATATCTACACAACTCACGACAAGCATTAAGACTGCTACCAGTGCCGAAATAGAATCAGCACGATTATTTTTCTTGTTCAAATTGACTTCAGTAGATGGTGAGCCTTTGACATGCGCTGATCCCCTTCGAGCAAATGACAGCGAAAGAACAAAACAAGGTGGACCCCTGGTCTAGAATATAATGCAACGACAGAAGGCAAGCCAGTTCAGCTTCTGGGGACAACTAGAAACGGGACCATGTGCATCTATCAAAGCCAGCCTCGTACAGACCCCGCCGACTCTGGCAGGTGGTGTCGACTGAACAAGCCGGCACAGCCAGCACAAAAACACAAGACCATTAGCAGAACTTCCGACCTGCATAGAGCCGGCCTTGCGTGCGTGCATGCATGCGTGACCAGGGGGTGGTGGCTTGTGGCCGGCCGACAGGCATACTACTACTACTACTGCATACCACGTACACACGCATTGCCTTAGCACCGGTGCCAGCAAGAAGGTTGTGGAATCGAAGATCCCGCCGCCGAACAGGGCTGGCCAGACAGGCCGACTGAGAAGAGCCCTTTCGAAACACGAAGAATCCTCTTTCTCTTTTCCTCTCCAGTCAGTGCAGTCACGTTACTGGGTTTACGAGACCGTCGTCTCAAGTCTTGAAATGTTCTTGAATCGACTCTTCTCTTTAGCCTCCGACGGTATGCCGTGAGAACGGACCCTGTTCGCGGGCCTGTCTGGTCCTTGTTGCGATGAATCTTGGCCCTGGACAGTCAGAGCCTTGTGCGATGATGATGATGAAGAAGTGGTGGTGGTCGACCAGGTCTGGTGGATCAAAGGTCCCGGCTTACACGAGCCAGACCCGTTAGTCCAAGCTTCCGGCATCAATGGTCAGGCGATCCGTCTGCCGACCCCCGATGAGGTCTTGGGAATTTGTCAGACATCTTTCTTGTGTGTGTGTTGGAATACTCGTCAGCAGTAGTTGCATGGGAACGTCCATCGTCACCAGTGAAACCACAACCCACTTATGAACAACCTATCTGGTCAAGACGAGAAGTGCCTGCGAAGGAGGGGCAGATGCAAGCGACCCTCTTTGAGATCTACAATCTGGTTTGTGACGGGTCCAACCGAGAAGGAGGGGTGGGAGAAGAAGCTCGGACTTTCTGCTTGGGGGTCGATTCTCGCGGCGAGCCTGGACGAACGAACGAAGACCAAAGGTTTGCGGTGGTGGCGGGCATTGTTTTCCCCCCTTCCTCAACACCTGATCTCCATGGCCGTCATCGTGCATCTAACCAGCCATCCTACCGTGGGCCTGTAGCCTGAGATTGGACGTCTGATGGTGCTTGGCTACAGGGCATTAGATTGCCTGCACAACCACTGCAGTAGCCGGGACTTCTGACCCATACCACAACCAAGTTCTTGTCTCCGCCCTGGCCCGCCAGCCAAGCCATCAGATGGCCAGTCAGGCAGTGCAATGCAACTCTCTACCCGCCTGTATTGTAGCCTGTACTGTTTACATGTACTATGGTAATTACATCGCAGATCTATGAAGGCCACCCACCACCATCCAATCGCTCCCCCCCCCCCCCCCCAAAAACCAAAAAAATTCGCCTGGCCCCGGTGTCACCAATCCACGACAACGCCACGAGGAGCCTTCTAGACGCATCAGTTTTCACCTTCTCCCAGCACACACGCACACGCACACACAGCGATTCCGGAATATTTAAATTTTTTTTTTTTAAAATCGCTCACGCTCAGCTGTTATCGTTAGCCAACCGCCAGGGCGGATCACTTTCTTCACCGCATCCTCGAGGCTGACGCTTTCTCTCCCAACGATACCCAATCCGCTTTTCGACCTTGCAGCCCAACCACCTGGCGATCATCTCTTTGCCAGGTCAGCCTGGTCAAGCAACGAAAGTCGAAACGCTTCGCGCCGAGACCTTTCTCTCTCTTTCTCCTCTCTCAGCCTGCAACTGCACTACACTCTGCACTATACACTTGGTGGACTCCCTTTAGGACTTACACGCCCAGGCTTGCCTACAAATCCTCGGTGCCTTTGCAGCCTTGGAAGCGCATTACTCTCCTCTCCCCTCCTCCCCAATCCTTTCCCACCCCTCCGCCTCCCCCCCCCTTCCCTTCGCGCTTAGAACACATAATCCAACTCTCTCCTCCCATTCGCCATTTTCATCCGTCAAGCTTAGGTGGGATTCGTATTGTCACCGGACCTGAGGGGTTGTTTTCCACCTAGCAGCACTTCGGGACGGACACACGCACACACGCACACACGCACACACGCACACACAATACACAGAGAGGCACGCACGCACCGGCAGTCCTCCTCTTCCCCTCCCCCTTCGAAAGTCTGTTCGTCACGCAGCTGCGTCAGTCTGGCGCAATTCGCATTGCGGTGGGGTCGATCCAGCGTTAAAATAAACAAGCCATAGACACACACATATACCCACCCCCGCAGGTCATCCTGGTCCAAGAAGATACAGTCGTGGAACCCATCCCAGTCGCCACTGGTTCGTCCACGCTTCTTTCCTCTGTTATTCTCTGTTGAGGACCAAAACAACCGCCTCTGCTCCGACTGGTCTCGTCCCAGATTTGTCGGGTGCAAAAAAGGTACACTATCTTGTGTGATTTGTGTTACCAATGTCTCGGTGAGCAATTCATCCTTTTTTCTTCTTCTTCTTCTTCTTCTTATTAATTTTCTTTGCTTTTCATTCTCTCTTTTCTTTCTATCTGCTCCTTCTTTCTCTTAGCCTGTGATCTAGGCTAGCCAAAGGCGCATCATCGTCATTGTACCTTCCTTCCCTTCCCCCTCCCTCACCTGCTTTTGTTTACCCCCTAGTTGTCCGCCCTAGTTTAGGTCTCACCCCTCTCCTCCGTCCCTCCTCTTTAACTGTCGAGATACATTAGCTGATGATACTCTCTGCCTTGTTTTGGTTCCCACCCTTATAGAGAAAGGCTTCGAATTCACCAAAGCAGCCGGCCGTCCTCACACTCGGGATCGATCACCGACGAGGAGGACGACACACAAGACGAGTACGACCAGGAGCACTCGGACTCCATCGTAGACGACGACACAGGCACAGAAGACGAGGGCTGGGAGCCTCCGCGCGGCGAGATCGACCCTGACGACTCCGCCTCGGCCTCTGCAGAGCCCTTCTTCCAAGCCCAGTCTGGCGACCGGGCGCGTCCTCGTGTCGGGCAGCGTCACCCCTCGCGCCAGCACAGCATCCCTCGCCCGCGCCAGCCACGCGCCCACCAGCACCACCCACCCCAGATCCACGCGCCCCCTCCCTTTGCGCCTGTGCCTGGGTCCGATTACATGCCAGGCGCCATGGCCAGCGACAACACATCCGAGTTCTATCCCGACCCGCGCGGCCACTATGCGCCGCCGGGCGCCGCCTACTACGACACGCACAGGCGGCCTGGCTATCCACACAGCGGCGTCAGCGGGTTTGGGCACCCCTCGCCATACGGCGGACAGGTCGTGCCCTGGGCCGGCAGCAACCCATTTACCCCGCACAGCGGGTACTACGAGCGCGGTCATGAGATGCTGCCGTACCAGCAGCCGCCTGCTAGCTACTTTGGCGCCGCAGGGCCCGTCAGCCATGGCAGCTACGGCATGCCGCACCACCTCCAGCACATGATGTACTCAAACCCGCCTGCAGCCCCGCCTGCCACCACAGTCGGCGCCCCCAAGACGCCAGAGCCTGAAGACCGGAGGCCCGATCCCGAGTTCGAGAGGATGAAGATGCAGCTCCAGCAGCTGCAGCTGGACAGGGCCAAGGCAGACGAGGCCCAGCGGCAGGCTGAGATGGAGAAGAAGATCCGCGAGGACGCCGAGAGGCAGTTTAAGGACCGCATGGAGGCGATGCGAGAGGCGCAGGAGGTTGCCAAGAAGGAGATCGAGGTGGCGCGGATCGCGGCCGAGGCGGCAGCCCTGGAGCGGCTCGAGGAGGCACGCAAGGTCGAGGAGGAACGCCGCAGGGTGGAGGCTGAGCTGAAGGCCCAGGCCGCCCGCGAGGAGCGCGAGCGCATCGAGCACGAGAGGCGCGAAGAGGAGAAGCGGCAGAGGGAACACGCGCTGGCGCTGGAGAAGGCCGAGCGCGACGCCCGCGAAAAGTACGAGGCCGCCAAGGCCGCCGAGGAGGAGCGCAAGCTGGAGCTGGAGAAGCAGCGCCTGCTTATCGAGACCCAGACCAAGGAGAAGCTGCTGGCGGACCAGAAGGCTGCTGAGGAGGCCAGGATCGCCGCCGAAGCCAAAGCCGCCGAGGACAAGGCCCGCAAGGAGCTCGCCGAGAAGGAGGCCAAGCAGAAGGCCATCGAGGAGTATGAGGCCAAGATGGCTGAGGAGAAGAAGGCCGCCGAGGACCAGGCCAAGGCCGAGGCTGCCGCCAAGCTCCGGTTCGCCGACGAGGCGCGCCTTGCTGCCGAGGCTGCCGCGGCTGCAGAAGAGCAGAAGAAAAGAGACGACGAGGAGATGAGGAAGAGGATCCTGGCCGAGGCAAAAGAGGCCGAGGAGAAGGCCGCCGCGGAAAAGGCGCCCGGCGGCGAGCAAGAAAAGGAGCCCGTCAAGTTCAAGGATGCTGTAGGGAGGAAATACAGCTTCCCCTTCCGCCTGGCCTCCAAGTGGCCGGTACGTATCATCCTTCCTCCCCTTGCCCTTCACCCCTCCCTTTTTTTTTTCTCCTCCTCCTTCACAATACATCAGTTCCTCTAACAGAAATCTTTTACTCTTCAAAGACAATGGAGCGCCTCATCTACCAAGCCTTCGAACACATTGACGATCTCGGCCCACACGTCCACGAGGGTCACTACGATCTAGAGGGGCCCGAGGGAGAACTCATCCTCAAGGAGATTTGGGACACAACCATCCAGCCGGGCTGGCAGATCACCATGAAGATGTGGCCCTTGCAGCAACACCCCCTGCGAGGCCACGCCCGCGGACACGGCGGCGCCCGAGGACATGGCTTCCCCGAGGCCGCCATGCACATTCCCCCCAACATCCCACCAGAGCAGCGGCAGGCCTTTATTCATAACATGCTCCGCCGGCAGGCCCAGGCTGCCGCTGCAGGCGGTGGTGCACACCGCTACGGTCCGCAGCAGGCCCCGCCGCGCATGGCTACCGGTATGAACATGCCCGGCATGGCGGAGCAGAGGCCACCTGTCCCTCCAGACGGGGCACGGTTCGCCGTGTATGGCCAGCCTGGGCCGAGGCCGGGACATGGCGGGGTGGACATTGTGGATGTCGGACGCGAGGGCAAGAGGGGCAAATCGGGGGATCGGAAGAAGAAGGCTATGAGCTGGTTTGGAGGCGGTGCGCCGGCCAGGAAATCTTCCAAGAAGTGAGTTGTCGTCATCCCTTTCACTGCACCCCCATTTTCTTCTTTACATCAGAACGTATGTCTTGCACTGTTGGCTAACATAATTATAGGAAACGTTGAACCTAGAATGGTTTTTTCTTCTTCTTCATTCCTTTTGTGTGGCGGAAAGGGGGGAAAAGGAGGGGGGCGGGTGTCTGTTCTAATTGGTCTTTTTTTTTCCTTCTACAACGATACCTTTTCGCTTTTGTGCATCTTTCGTTGTTGTTGTTTCCTTGTTATGTTTCTCCTCTCATTTTCTTTGGGTTCTTCTCGAGTAGCAAGCTCTTGAGAAGAAGGCAGCGGGGGAGTATATGCATTGATGGAAAGACGTGATGAGATGATGAGATGATTATAGGATGAGAGATGAAATAAATGTGTTGAAACAAAATGAGGAGAAAAAAAATAAGAAAATAAGAAGAACAGAAGAAGAAAAGAGGGAGCTGGGTAGCTACCTTTTCTCGCACCCTCTCTTCTCAGCATCACCAATCAAACAGATACAGGTCTGTGGAAGAACGCTCTTCCAAGGTTGGAGGAACAAATACTCTTCCTGACTTTATGTTGCTGGGACGCAGGGCATCGTGACGGGCAGACAAGGAGAGGAAAGGGTGGGCATGCTATTGGGAAGTGGGTTCTGTGCTCGTGCACACAAGTTAGAGGGAGAGGAGGGAGAGGACTACCCATCATGCTTCTCGGACCAGTCTAATACAATTTGGACGGTCTCGCTCTGAAGTTGGGTTCTTGATGTGTGTAGACGAGGTTTTGGGATTAAATCTATCACCGACCCCAGCTGCTTACAACGACGTGTATAGAGTGTTGTTGATCCTAGCTGGGTCATACTTTACCACGGCCCGTGTACTCTCTGTTTTGATGAGAGATATTCGAGAGAAGAGGATGAAATTCCGAAATGTGAATTTGATGATTCATGGGTCTGGTAGTAATGTACAGGTGCAGAGTCTTGTGCAAATGTGGTTGATCAAGTGATGGATAATCCTATATTTCTCTTTCTCAACGCATAATATTACAATTTATGTTCCCGTAGCGGCCAGAAGCCTTTTTTATATTATAGCCCAAGAACATGCCATTCTCTATTTCCCTTTCCAACGAAGGCAAGTATAGATCCCCCGGCCATCAAAGCAAGAGACACGACTGTATACGTCTGCATCACCGCGCCGAGCCAAACAGCTGCCTCGCCCGCTGCTCAAAGGCATCAATCATCTTGGCAGCCGACTCGTCCACCACCTTGGACAGCATAACCTGGACCAGCGGGTCCTCCAGCCGCATGCTCAGGTCCAGATCAACCTTGGTCCACGCCTCCCCGTCCTCTCCCGGCTTACCACCAGCTGCCCTGGGCACCGGCGCATCCTCGACCGTCCACTTGGTCACCAGCCTCTTGAACGGGTTCTTCCCCTCGCCGTCCTTGCGCGCCACCTCGGGCTCGTCCTTCCCGCTCAGCGCCTCGACGCTCCGCCCCGGCACGCAGACGATCCTGCTTGTGTAGGACTGCGTCACGGGTCCGAAGCCGATGGTCAGCTCGCCCTCGACTGGCCACCGCCGCTGCCTGTGCTGCGGGTCTGCTATTGCTGCTGCTGTGTCGTCCGGCCGAGACCATGCCGTCACGCGGCTGTGCTGGCAGTACGGCAGGAACTGGGAGTACGAGTCGACGTCGGCGATGAGGTCGTAGAGCCTCTCGCGCGGGTAGGGAAGCGTGCGCGTGACGTTGATGGCCAGGGGCTGGTCGGACTGGAGGAGGGCGTTGAGGAAGGTTCGGCGGCTTGGGCGGCGGGGGTGGTGGTGGTGGAGGGCGGCTGGGAGGGAGGCTCGGATGAGTGGGCGGGTGTGCCTTAGGAGGCTGGCTATTGGGCGTAGTGGGTCTCTTGTCGCCATTATTCTGAGGAGGTAAGGGAGGTTTGGGTAAGAGGTGTGTGGTGTTATGAAGAGATCATGACGGCCTGGTCTGTGATTCCTTAGGCAAGAAGAAAGAAGTTGGACTTTGGAAAATGGTCAGTCTCGGGACTTTGACGTCGTTTTGTCGGTTCCGATTTCGGCTACAGCTCGACCCGCTCTTGAGCCGTGTTCACAAGCCACACATTGGCTAGGTCAGGGGTTCTAGAATACTACTCAAGCCACATCCGAAATCTAATCAGCGCCTGGACTTCGCTACAAGAAAAAAGCCAGTAGCTTGAAATTTTCCACTTCCGTTTTCCTCTCGACCTTTCTTTTCCCACGCGTTGCCTGTATCTTTCTCACAGCAATGCTGTGTTGGCGTCAGCGTCGGGTCTCTCATCCCCACAATCACCAAGAGAGTATTGAATCTATGGACTGATCTGGGCATTACCAAAAAATCGTACTCTCGGCAACAGCGAGGAGATGATGGCAGCACCGACAGAGGTCGCAGCAGAGGCTGCCCCTCCTCCAGTGGCCTCACCTCCTTCAGCAGCGCAGGCTGATCCCCAAGCAGAGCCTCAGGTTAGGGCTCATGCTGAGGAGGAGAAGCTCGCAGCAGCTGTCTCGTCACTAGAAATCATTCCCAGCAGCAGCGACACTGTGCCTGCCCACCGCTCTCACGATCCCCAGTACAACCAGAAGAGGACCGATCCTTTTCAGTTTGGCTCGCGCTACCTCGAGGACGGCGATGACCCGTTCGAGTTCAATGCCTGGGACCACGTGGAGACTGACGATGCTTACAAGGAGTACGCTGAACAGCAGTACGAGATGCAGCGCCAGTCTCCCGTGTCTGATTTTGACAAGCGTATGTACACACACACACACATATCCCCTCCTTCTTTCTTGACATCGCACTGCGCATCTGCGCATGCAAGGCTCCATGTGATGATTTACATAACATAGCATAGTTCATCTGATTTCATGATGACTACTTTGTATTTTTTAGTCTTTCGCTCCCATCTGATCTGCCTTTTGTCTCTTGAACCTATTTCTGTTCACGCGCACACACACACACATCAGCTCTGTACACACTGGCTGACCTTTACAAAATAGATCGATTCAACTCGGACCCTGCCAAGTGGTGGAATCTGTTCTACAAGAACAATACCGCCAACTTCTTCAAGAACCGCAAGTGGCTTCAGCAGGAGTTTCCCGTGCTCGGCAAGGTAATCAGTGAGGACGCCGGCCCTGTCACACTCCTAGAGATAGGCGCTGGTGCCGGCAACACGGCGTTTCCCATCCTAGCGCAGAACAAGAACCCTCAGCTCAAGATCCATGCCTGTGACTTCTCCAAGAAGGCCGTCGAGGTCATGCGCTCTCACGAAAGCTATGACACCAAGCACATGCAGGCCGACGTGTGGGATATCGCGTCCGACGAGCTCCCGCCCGGCCTGGAAGAGGGTTCTGTGGACGTGGCGCTCCTCATCTTCATCTTCTCTGCGCTGTCGCCGCTGCAGTGGAAGAAGGCCGTCGAGAATGTGCACCGAGTACTCAAGCCCGGCGGCGAGGTCTGCTTCCGCGACTATGGAAGGGGGGACCTCGCACAGGTCAGGTTCAGGAAAGGTCGCTACCTCGAGGACAACTTCTACATCCGTGGCGACGGCACACGTGTCTATTTCTTCGAGAAGGACGAGCTGGCGTCCATCTGGACCGGCGACAAATCCCAGGAGGGCGAAACTGCCGAGGATAAGGCCCAAGAGACAGATGTTGCTCAGGAGGCGGGGCCTCTTTTTGATATAGAGGACCTTGGCGTTGATCGTCGGATGCTGGTGAACCGCGCTCGCCGGCTGAAGATGTATCGGTGCTGGCTTCAGGGTAGATTCAGAAAGAAATAAAGAAACCAGCTGTGTCGGGTGGCCTCTTCTCCCGTCTTTAAAGAATGTTTTCTATGCATTGCATGTTGTTTCCTCTAGTTTGACCGTTATGTTTTGTCATTACGATACTTTTGAGAAATCCAAAAGTGCTTTATATCTTGGATATGAAAAGGTATTGTGATCAAGGTCACACCAAACAAATCCCCCTTCCATCACAACCTACTCTTCTTGCCCCCTCCCTCCCCCAGATACTGCCCAGCCAGCTTCAACATGCCCTCGGCCTCCTTCACCATGTCGGCCACAATCTCCCCAGCCGGCTGCACCTTTTGTATGCTCCCGGCGACCTGGCCCATCAGGTGCGGCAGGTCCACATCATTACCCTCCTCGATATCATACTCAATAGGCACCACGCCGCGGTCGCACAGCTCCCTGATGCGGTCGGGCTTCTCGTGCCAGCGCCGGATGTACTCATTCACCTTCATGCGCAGCGGCCTGCCCGAGAGCACCAGCGTCCGGTCCGTGCCGTCAAAGTCACAGCTGACGACCTCCTTCTTGTGCTCCTCGCTGCAGCCGGCCTCGACACTGGCCACAAACCGCGTGCCGACCCACGCGCCGACAGCCCCCTGCATCAGCGCCGCCGCCAGGCCGCGCCCGTCCGCAATGCCGCCCGCCGCCACCACCAGCGCCGTCTGCGACCCGCCCAGCATCGCAGGGCGATACCGGCGCGCCACGTCCACGACGGCCGGGATGAGCACGCTGCTGGCGATGGCGCCCGTGTGGCCGCCGCCCTCGCCGCCCTGGGCGCAGAGGATGTCGACGCCGACGTCGAGCGCCTTGACGGCGTGCCGCGGGTGGCCGACCATGTTCATGACGTAGATGCCGGCGGCGTGCAGCCTCTCGACGACGGCGCGCGGCGGGACCCCGACGGCGCTGACAAAGAGGCGCGCGCCGCTCTCGATGGTGATGTCGACCAGCTCGTCGAGGCGCCCGCCCGTGTAGTCGTGGTTGGTGGCGCGCGCGGACCCGCCCACCTGGGGCAGGGCCAGGTCCACGCCAAAGGGCAGGTCGGCCGAGGCCCAGTTGGCCTTCATCTCGGCGATGATCTCGCGGAGCTGCTCGGGCGTGTACATGAAGCCGCCGATCACCCCCAGCCCGCCTGCGTTGGACACGGCGGCTGCGAGGCGGCCTCCTGAGGTGCGTGCCATGCCGGCGAGGAGGATCGGGTGGGCGATGCTCAGGAGTGTGGTGAGAGGGGTCGTGATGGGGCCTTGTTGTGGTGGTGGAGACATTGTGTGTGTGTGTGTGTGTGTGTGTGTGTGTGTGTGTGCTGTGGTTCTGGCTGCTTTTCTTTTGCTCTCTTTTCTTTTCTCCCTCTCTCTCTCTCTCTCTCTCTTCTTCTTGCTTAATTATTGTCTTGATATGGGGCGTGGCCAGCAAGAGGCTACTTTGACGAGGTACCAATACAAAATGGTGGAGAGACAAAGCAGGTCGGTTCAGTTACTCAAGTGTAGCAGGACTTGTTGATACAGGGTACAATATTAAAGAATAGATCCTTCATGGACAAACTTGTGGTGATGGATAATGTCTTATGTAGTTGTTGTTCTTCAAGATATAAAAAAGATAAACATTGAAAAGAAGAAAGAAAAAGGAGAAACCGAGACGAGAGTATCATAATGGTAGACATGGCCGTTGGAGTTGCAATACTTTAATTCTACCCCGGCCTTTGAGAATGCGGGGGGTGAGTGTGGTTTGGAGGGATCCAAGCCGAGGCATCTCTCTGCGCTGCTCCTGCTCCGGGAGAGGGAACGATGAGCTGTCTGCTGTGGAGCTTGCGTCAGCGGCTTCTGGGCCACATTGCCAACATCCTTTTACGGTAATGACTTCGTAGCCAGCAAGACGATGAGGGGACTTGATACGAGGCAAGATACTGAAAAAGACCCGAGGTTAATCCAAATGTGAACTATGTGTATTGAGAATAGAACCCCATCTAACCCTCGATTTAAATCTACACCTTCTGATACCCCTCTTCACTCTGTACACCAATGTACCACCCTGGATTTTTATTTTTATTTTTGTAGACAGCAATATCTGGTCAAGGAAAAGGAAAAAGGAGACAGAAAACATTGCAACTTTTATCAACATCCTCCCATATCTCTCTACTCCTCCTTCTACACCAGCAAGATAACACGCACGCAATCCAACAACATCCATCTGCCTTAGATGCCGCCGTCCATGACAGCCAGGGCACCTGGCTCGCTGCAGACGTAGATGACATCGTGGCTGTCAGAGAACCCATTGAAACGAGTGGCAGAGCACTTGGTGTACGCTCCCATGTCCTCAAAGTACAGCCAGTCGCCGACATCCAGGGTCTTGTCGAAGCGGGTGCTCTCGCTGATGCGGTCGATGCCGTCGCAGGTCGGGCCCCAGATGCTGTACTCGGTGCCGTCAGATGTGACAGGCTTGGCAACTTTGGTGTTGTAGTACGTCTGGCCCCCGGCGCGCAGGATGTTGGCCACCGGGTGCTGGTGATCAAACATGATGCTGCTGAAGTTGCCGTAGACGCCGTCGTTGACGTACACCATGTAGCTGTTGTTGTCGCCCCCGGGTTGGTTCTCGACAGTGCGGCGGGCAATGATGTTGCAGGCAAGGGTGAAGGCGGTCGACGCGTAGAAGCGACCAGGCTCCGCAATCAGGTGGATGCCCGAGTGCGCCGGGAAGTACTCGTCCAGGGCAGCCCGGAGGGCACCCGCCATCTCCTCGAAGCTCTCATCGCTGCAGAAGCCACCGCCGACATCCAGGGTCTTCATGTCAAAGCCGTACGCGGTGCCCTGCTGGAAGACAGCATGGGCGTCCTGGACCGCCTTGAGGAAAGCCCCAGGGTCAGAAGCCCCAGATCCGACGTGGAAGCTGACCCCGACCACCTTCAGGCCCAGCTCGTGCGCCGTCTGCAGCAGGCCCTCCGTCATGTCCATGGACGCGCCGAACTTCAGGCTGAGGCGGCAGAGGCTGGACGAGTCGTCCGTGTGGATGCGCAGGAACAGCTCGGCATCGGGGTAGAGCTTGGCGATCTTGTGGAGCTCGTCGGCGTTGTCAAAGGTCATCTGGCGAACACCCTGGTTGGCGACGTAGCGGACGTACGAGTTGGTCTTGCAGGGCTGGGCGTAGATGATGCGCTCGGGGCTGACGCCCATCTGGAGGACCTGCTCGATCTCGGTCTTGGAGGCGCAGTCGAAGCCAGTGCCCAGGCTGGCCAGGAGGCGCAGCAGCTGGGGGTCCGGGTTGCACTTGACAGCGTAGAAGGGCTTGACGCGCGGAAGGTTGAGCTTCCACCGCATGTGCTGCCGGTACACCTCGCCGAGGTCCGCCACGAAAAAGGTATCCTCCTCGCCGGGCTCGCAGTCCTCGTGATCAATCTTCTCCACGCGCTGGCGCAAGGCCTCGCCGATCAGATGCTTGGGCGAGACATGGCCACGGTAGTGATTGTTGTTGTCATGATCGAATATTGTACCGCCATGATTGCCTTTGACAGACTTGATGGCAGAAGTAAAGATTCGACTGTTGATGTAATCGACAGGTGTGATTGTATCGACGAGGGTAACTGCCATAACCATATCCCAAGGCTGTCCTGGAGGGCGGGAGGTAGCTGTTGGGATCCGAGAAGAAGCTGGTGAGGGACTCTGATGTCCTTTCGGTGAGCTTGCTGGACAGGTTCCGGAGAAACCTGTTTGTTTTATTGGTGGAAAAGTCTCGACACGGCGAGGGTGGTGTTAAGGGGGTCGGAATCGGTAGCAAACTGATCCCTCAATGGACTGGCGAGGCCTCCGCGACTCTCCCTCGTTGAGAGGAAGAGGCTCAGAAGTCCCCTTATGCGGCAGCTGAAAGGGGGGGTGGAACTCGGGGACCTTTTGGTGGTAGGGAGGGTCCAACGGCGCGAAGAAGTCGAGATGCTTATGAACGTTCAGCAGCAGTGGGAGGAGGGACCACGTTGATGATGTGAGGGTTCTTTCGCTGGCCGAAATCTTGATCTGAGACAAAGTCAACGGCCGAGGAAGCCGTCGTAGCGGTGTGCCTTTGATGGAGACCAAAGGCGAGTCCCTATTGAAGGGGGCTTGTTTATAGTGGAGTCTGTTGCTCAGGAGGACAGCTTGTTAGCTATGCTTGCTCATGAGCAGGGTGAGGTTGCGCGTGAGGCCGCAAGACTGTGAATATGAGGAAGGGATTTTATAGAAGAGAAATAATCGTGTGGTGTTGTTGTTGTTGTTGTGTGGTGAGGGAAAATAAGGCCAAGTGGGCGCGGGGTGGCAGGGGAAAAAATTGTGAGGGCAAGGCTGGGCGACGTCGATCTCGAGAAAACAGGCAAAATCTCGAAACAGGGTGTGTGGTTGTGCCACAGCCACTGCCAAGCGCCACAGATTAACGTACCTGGTGATGAGTCACCGGACAGATGCTTTAATTCGTATACCGTACGTGTGGTTGTCAAAATCCGTAGGCGTGATTATTCAGGTGGAAAGAGAGAGAAGGAGGTGGAGGGAGCTGTGTTGTTGAGAAGAGTTGAGGGACGGGAAAACAAAGAAACGAAGAGAGATCGATGATGTCGGGGGGGGGGTGGATGTTTGATTTTGGCGGGGGAGCGAATTTCCAAGTGGTGGGTCCTGCAGATAGCCCAGAACAGAACGTCTCCTTTTTTTCTTCTTTGCCCTTCCCTTTTCCCTGAATTGGCTGGCCGGTTTCTAGTCTGAAATCTCTAGGCTCTCACTCATTGGTAGAGCTTGTTTTGGTGTGGGGCCTGGCAGAGGTGAACTTGGCGGTTCGTTACTTAGTCTTGGAGGGGGAGCTCTCAGTCGGTGAGGGCGAGACTTGTCCCCATTGTCGATTGTGAAGATCGAACAACGTGTCAGGGCGATTGGATTTACGCACATTCTCAGAGTATCTCTTTCAATCGTTGTCTTCTCCCTCCAAATCCTTGTAGCCTCGACGCAAGCATCACCATCCACCGCGACCAACCAAAAAAAAAAAAAAAAAACCGACCACGTATAGCCCTTTCTTCCTCTTTTAGGCCACACAAGCTCACAAGCAAATTTTTGACCGGGCAGGTTCTGCTGCACCTATCACAACATGGTCCTTTTATCTAGTTACCAAAGCATCAGCTTACCAGCTGCTGTCCAACGTGTGAAAATCCCTCAGCAAACATGTGAATCTCTGAAAAAGATGGGGGGAGGGGGGGATGACAATGCAACCATCACACTGACCACTGGTGTTGTTAACCCCTCCTAATTTTTTTTCTTCTTTCTATTTGTGCCAATAGACCAAGACACTCGAGTAAGTGTATATGGATCGATCAGTTTCACCTCTCTGCGATGGCTTGGCTGTCCTGAACACCTTTGTTGCTGGAAATAAAAATAAACTCTATGGCAGACCCGCTGTGACGCAGTTGCACATCAGTCAACCACCTCCCAATCGACCAGCAGTGATCGTGACGTAGTGTCTTCATAGTGGGGCCAATATGATAACGAAAGTTGGTTGAAGAAGATATGAGGAAATGTCTCTACCACTTTTCCCCGACCTGAACTGTTCAAGGTTCTTCTTACTTTGCCTCCAAGGATGTACATCACATCCTGTCCTGAGTTACTAGGTAGCTAGGCGATCTTTATGCAGCTCTTCAACTGTCTCATCCAGCAGCAGCATCCCGCAGTACCCTTTTTACCTAAATATTACAGGAATTGCTACTGTACCCGTACCAAAAGAAAGAAATGAACCACGCCACAAGATTCTTGATCTTTTCAAAACGAAACACGTTGAAAGAGGGCGCTGAAGGGGGCAGTGCATGTACTCTATTGCATAGTCCGTACATCCAGGATCCTGAGGAAGACGGGTCTGAAGAATGAGCATCAACAGCCAGACGGACCAGCCGCATCCACCAGCGAGAGGGGATCGCGGTTCGTTTTGTGCAGGATATATTTTGATCTCGCGCCTTGCTGTGGTCTTCAAGCCATGACGGTCCCTGTGGAAAGGAACCGGGCAGGAAGACGTATCGTATCTGGACGCTGATTTTTCTTCTCTTTCATTTCCTTTACATACCTAACCCCCTCTACAACATGGACGCCCGGGGGGTTGGGGATAGCAGTGGGAGATGGGTATCATTTCTATGTTTTCTTTTTTGGATATGTTGTACAGTTTGTGTGAACAGCGAACACAGGGCACGTCGTTGAATTCGTCGTACAGTCGCCGCCCACTCACAGGAGATCAAGCATCCACCTGGCCGCCGTTGACGTTCATGTCCTCCACCTTCCACTCCGCATCCACCCACGAGGCCTTTTCGCCGAGGAATACAGCCCTTTCGGCCTTCCTGTCCAACGCCTCGACGATGTACTTCTGGGCGACCGTCCTCACCTGCTCCTTGGTGACATCAAGCAGCTGCTCTCGTCGTTGCTGCCTCATGGCCTCGTCGATGCCATACACAAATCTGCCCATCCCCTCCTCATTCACGCTGACAGGCGCGTCCACGCCTTGGAACACACTGATCTTGGCATCTTCCAGATCGCGGTCGCTCCACTGCTTGTTGACAGCCCACTGGCCCGCACGCCGCATGATGCTCAGTGTATTGGTCGGGTTCGGGTCACGGTAAGAGTAGAATCCAAACAGACCGTCTGTTGACCGGTGATAAGCGCCACCACCGTACGCGCCACCCTTCTCGCGGATCTCATGGTGCAGGTGCTTGTGTGTGAGGAGCTGTGAGAGGATCTGGAGAGGTGCGCCGTCGGGTGATTTGTACGAGACAGTCGGTAGGGAAAGGGCCCCGTAATAGACCTGATAAGGCAGGGGATAGAACGTCTTGATGCTGCGCTCGAACTTGCGCGTGGGCTGCGAGGGAAGCTTGAGAGGGGAAGAGGAGGAGAAGGCCCCCAGGAACTGAGAGAATGCGGTTGTGTTGGCTTGCACAGCCTCGCTGCCGCAAGTGATGGCCGCCCGAATGTTGCCACCCGCCATTGCCAGTTGCTGTATCTGCTTGAGCTTGGCCATGACGTCTTCGAGCCGGTCGGATTCAGCCCGGCTCGCAAGGGAGGTCATCAACCTCACCTGCGACAGGCCGCCATTCTGCTCACTGAGGTACCCGTGGTTGGTCAAACCAGCCTCCGCGGCTCGCCTGGCGTAGGAGTGGCCAGACGAGGCGATGTCGTTGACAACACCATCCGCAGAGGCCTGTATCAACTGCCTAATTTGTTGAACAGCCTCCGGGCTGTCAAAGTTGGTCTCCACCACCAGCTTACGCAGAAGCTCAAATATATGTGGCACGTTCCGGTCCAGAGCCATGCCGGTGAATCCAAAGCCTTCCGATGCCTGTGTGAAGTCGGTGACAGAAGAAGCTGAATGATAGGCGACGGAAACGCCACCTGTCTTCAGCTTAATCAAGTCTTCGAGCTCCTCCATCGTCATGTCCTTAGTACCGAGACGCATGATGGCCCCGGTGAAGAGCGGCACCAGCGATCGCAGCTCGTCAGGCAGGTTGTCCAATATGTTCAGGAGACGGAAATAGGTAAGGCCGTTCGTGGGCGCCTCGTACCACTGTGTCTTTACACCGCTGATCACCTCGTCTCGCAAGACTGGCGGCGTTTTTTGCCGCGGTATATCCTTCACGTGGACGCTAGGCAAGCAGCTGAGGTCCTCGGTGTTTGTCTTGCCTTGCTCTTCGAGCAGTTCAAGCTCTCTCTCCTCCAGAGCCTTCTGAGCGGCTTCCTCGCCACCAGCTTGCTTCTTGACGGCCTCTATCTTGGTAGCGAGGCGATCGGCCTCTTCTTGCACCAGCTCCAGCCCAAATGTCGGCGACGGTGACATAGTAAAAGTCAGGGTGTTGTCGTTCAGGAGGTACTTGTCCATGAGACCTTCAAGATAGCCACCCTTGGCCAGCTCGGCCTCGAATGCAGCGCGGGTCTCGTTCCAGGCAAGAGTGTCGAAGGGGTCGATACCGGTGAACCACTTCGGCTTCAGCCGGTGCAGCATCGACATGCCAAAATTGGCCGTCTTGTGCTTGAGACCAAGTTCGAGTTGGTGCAGGTAGCCGTCGATCTTGGACCTCTCGAACCCTTTCTGTTGCACCTCACGCAGGATCTTCTGCAGTTCAGTCTTGACCTTTGGCACGTCGCTCTCCTGTACGCCGGTTAAGCCCACGGAGAAGATACCGCGAGCATTGCCGCTATCATAGCCGGTGTTTGGGCTCCAATCGATGCCTAGCCCAGATTCGATGAGACCCTTGTAGAGCGGCGAGCCGTATCCATCCATAAGCAGAGCAGACACCAACGACAGGGAGAAAGACTCGACAATATTCGTTGTGTCCCCAAGAACCCATGAGACCGAGGTCTTGTACTGCCTGTTGGCATCGACCAACGGATCGACAGGCCCTTCTAGGGTGACCTCCTCGGGCCCTCCGCTAAGATCAACGGGTTGGTGAATCTTCATATCCCCGCTTATCCGCTCGAATGCCTGGAGCTGGGCATCAATCTCCTGCAGGTGGTCGGCCAAGGGCATATCTCCATACGTGAACAGCTTGGCATTGCTGGGGTGGTAGTGCTCATCGTGGAACTGCTTCAGCTGTTGGTATGTCAGATCGGTGATCTTCTGAGGGTCGCCACCAGAGTTGTTGATATCCGGAAAGATATAGTCTTGAAATCTGATGTAGTACAGATACCCAGCATCAGACATCTGCCCCTTCATCTCGTTATACACAACGCCCTTAAAGACGAGTTTGCGGTCCTCGGGCTTGGCATCCTGGCCGCTGGCAATGGCCTGTGGGTTCTCGGGCCCTATTCTCCAGCCTTCCTGCGTAAAGTCGGTCTCCTTCAGAAGCGGGTGCAGCGTCGCATCAAGGTAGACAGACATCAGGTTTTTAAAGTCCTGGGCGTTGGTAGTGGCAAAGGGGTAGAAGGTATGATCTGATGCTGTGAAGGCGTTCATGAAGTTTGAGAGGGTGCGTGGGAGCATCTTGAAGAATGGATCTCGGATCGGGTACCTGGGGTCTGTCAGCCTGAGGCGCTCTCTCTCTCTCTCTCAAAACCATCCACACATTGAAAAGACGGCAATCAGCTCACTTCTCACTTCCACACAGCGTGGTGTGTTCCAGGATGTGTGGTACACCAGTGTCATCCGGAGGGTTGGTCTTGAATCCGATGGAGAAGACATTGTTACTGTCGTCCCTGGCGATGTGAAGATGTTCGGCGCCAGTCTTGTCATGCTGCAGATGAAGGGCTGTCAACTCGAGCTCTGGCACATGCTTGGTCCGGAGCAACGTGAAGCCATGAAGCTTCTCGCCCGCCTTGGGAAACTGTGACAGTTCCGTCACGGCCCTCTTGGCGCTGTTGGCAGCGCTGCGCAGCATTGTCGATGACATGAGTGTGACTGTGACTTTGACAAGTCAAGCCCTTGCTTGTTGCTCCCGCCTGCGCCCCGCTCGAGGCAGAAGAAACACACTGCTCAGTCAAATCAGGCGCCTCGGATAGCCAGAGCTATTTCTGCCAATGAAGAGGACGGACGGGTGATGAGGCCGAAGTGTGGCAGTGTTCTAATTCGTACCTAGAAAGGTGAGCCTAAAGATGAGGCATGTATGAGATGTCTGAAATTTTGTTCCAGCTGCCGCTGAGTGACGTCTTTAGTCTCGGTGAGTTGCGGCCGAGCTACAGGGGCATGCCCCCCCGGACCTGTTAGGGACGATGCCCTGATATGGCGGGGTGCCCTAACTGAGACCCGGGCCCAGGGAAGCGAGGTGGGGTCCTGTGAGCGCGGAAGAGTCCCTCGCCTGGTAACCCCGTCATCACTTTGTGGCTGGTGGGCAAATCATCTATGGTTGTCATTTGGTCATGCAGAGTGGAACACCAGGACTTTCGTTTTGCGTCTGAGAGTTGCAGCCAGGAGTAAATACATACGTAGTTTCCCAACCAATTACTTTCCATCGAATGATAATGCAGCCTGGCGGCAGTGTTGCTTTTTCCCCCCCTTTTTCATGTCAAGGGAGCCCGTTTGGGCTCGGCCCTTGTGACTGGTAAGTTACTAACGAAGCCCCCTGCAAAACGAGGCTTTGGGTTGTGGAACACCACTGCCCTCAGCGGAGTGGCCCTGCTAAACCTCAACTACTGCCCCAGCCATTAGTCACCCGCTAGAACCTCATTTCACCTCCCGCAAAAAGTCTTTCCAAACGACGCCAGGCCAACCAGCGACCTTAATTCACAGGGCACCACCGCAAAACACCAACACCAGCACCAGACAAACGCTCTATCCCAACCACCTCACGGGCCCGTCCCCGCCGCGCCAATGACCACCTGATCAGCGATCAGGACAGGTTCATCCAGCTGAGCTCCCATAGCCACACTACTGACGTCTCTCCCGCCTATTCTCCCGCTACAAACACCACGGCTTTGGCTTGCCTCCACGAAGAAAGATGTCCGCCTCTGCCGCGCCCCATGCGACCAGAACGACACACGGCCCAACCAGTAATCCCATCACTAGCAATCACGTCTCGCCTGCGCACGTACATGTCCCCAACGGCCACCATCACCACCACCACCATGTGGCCCCCTCCCTTGGAGGACAGGAGCCTCGGCCGCCTCCTGCGCCCCCCGCCGCCGCGCCGAGTACCGCCAACAGCAAGAAGGCCGCCGGGGCGAAAGCGAAGAAGCCCCTCGACTCGAACGAGACGTCCAAACTGCTCGCCCAGCGTATATCGCAGCTTGAGCATGATGCCGCCGGCGAGAAGGACCAGGAGGCTGAGATCGGTGCGTGTTGATGCTTGCTGTTCCTCTAGCCCCCCCCCCCCCCAAATTCTCAAGGGAAGAGGAGGTGTGTGTGTGTACGGTGGAATCTGTAGGATAGCAGCCCTACACGTCGTTCTATTCATTTTGTCAGGCAGTGGGCGCCACCTGCGACACAGACCAACTTGTCTCATGACCGGAGGGCGAGGCGGGGATAGATGACGATGGATTGAAGCGGGGGTCATGATCATATCTGTGCCAAGTGTGCTTGCTGACATGCTGTTTTTTTTCTTTCAAAATAAAACAGAGCGGGAGGTAAAGAAGGCAAATCGCGAACTACATTCCCAGACGGCCAAGATGAGCGAGATCCAGAAGATTGAGCATCTCACCAAGCGATGTTCCGACCTGCTTGCCGAAATGAAACGACATGAGAGGGAAAATATCAAGAACAAGAAAAGGGCCGATCAGCTGCAGAAGGAGAAGGACTCCGTCCGCTCCGAACTCACGAAGCAGAACGGGCTGAAGGAGAAGCTCGAGAAGCTGTGCCGAGAGCTGCAGAAGGAGAACAACAAGCTTAAGGTCTTTATACACCACAATCAACCCCGAGGGATACAATTCCGCCACCGTTGTGATTTATGCTGACGCAGGACATGTTGTTTTTTTTGTTGGATATGTAGAACGAGAACAAGACTCTGACCGACACGCAACGGCGCAACGAGACCTCCTGGGATGACAAGTACGCACAGCTGCTGCAAACGTTGGAAGACTACCAGGAGGAGAAGGAGAACCCGAGGAAGCAAGTTGTGGACATGGGCCTCGATGATCTGTATGTGTGCACCGTCTCCATCTTGTCGTCGTCTTAGCGGTTCGGGATCTCCGGTCTGACAATTTAGCAGGTTCAGGGCCCGGTTCAAGTCGTTTATCGAGCAGTACGAGCTGCGCGAGCTGCATTTCAACGCGCTCCTGCGGACCAAAGAGCTTGAGCTGCAGTGGCACCTCTCCAAGTATGACAAGGAGAAGAAGACGGCCGAGGCCGAGGCAGCGCGGGCCCGGCAGCTCAATGCGCAGGTGCAGACGTTCTCCAAGACTGAGACCGAACTCCGGACCCAGCTGAATGTCTATGTGGATAAATTCAAACAAGTGGAGGACACGTTGAACAACAGCAACGACCTGTTCCTAACGTTCCGCAAGGAGATGGAGGACATGTCCAAGAAGACAAAGCGGCTCGAGAAGGAAAATGAGAATTTGAAGCGCAAACACGAGAAGATGAACTCCAACATCTTCAAGATGGCCGATGAGAGGAACAAACATCTCAAGGACATCGACGACCAGCGCAAAAATAACGAGAAGCTGAAGAGCATCATCACACAGATGCAGCAGCAGGGGCGGGGCATCCCACAGGGGATGCAGGGCACGGTGGAGGGCTGTTACACCGAGGGCGAGGGCGAGGTGGGCGGTGAGGAAAGCGAGTATGAGGAGGACGAAGAAGAGTACGAGGAAGGCGACGAGGGCAGCGAAGGTGACGAGGAGGAGGACGAGGAGGAGTATGAGGAAGACGACGAGGAGACGGAGGACGAAGGACCTCACCAGGGCCAACTTCCAGTTGAACATCAACAGCAGCCCTACGGCCCAGAGCGGCCTCCTCCTGCCCCCCAAACGGCGACAGTCAATGGCGCCCACTAAGAGGGGGATGGGGCTCGTTCTGGCTGTGTGGGGTCTTTTAGCCACCCTCCCCCCCCCCCCCGGGTGTCCTCCTCTGGCACACATGCCTTGCGCTCTTCTGTATTGTTTGCACGGGCCTCTGGCTCGTCGACGCTTTCCCCCAAGTCATACCTACGTTCGGAGAGCTGAGCAAGCGTTTTCTCCGAGGGGTTCACGATGTTTGTGTGTGTGTGGCATCTGTGTGGGAGATGTCCTTCCATGTGGCAGGATTATTAGTACCTGTTACATGTTTCCGACTGTCAGCCCTGAGGTGCTTGCTATTCAACAGCCTTGTGCGAGCTGCATAGTCAAGACGAGATAGTTTCTTGGTATACCTTTTGAGCGCTATGCTGTAGGATATATGCTCAAATGACGTAGCAAGAATTTATGACCGAGCAACAGTATTTATTGTATTACAAGTTTTATGAATGCAGGAGGTAGGATGAGCCCAGTAGAGAGGGATGGATGTCTTCTGAGTTCGGCGAGTTAAGGATATATGTTTTGCTGTGCCAGTACTCATACTATTGTCTTCCCCTTGTCTCTTCCCACCCTCGTCCTGTCCGATAAGGAGAAGAAAAGAAACGGAAAACGTGAAAGGAAACAAGATTATGATAATCAGGTTCATAATAAGAAGAATGACCTATAATGAAATAAAAAAGTAGTAAGGGGATCATCGTGGTGAGGCGGGTGGGAAAAGATCTTGGCAGGCAGCTCAGGCTCAGGCTCGGGCTCAGGCTCGGGCTCCAGTACGGCGGTTTCAAGTAAGGTAGGAACGGTTCATTGCGGCGGCGTGCCCCCCTCGCCGGCCCCAGCCTGGGGGAGGTTTTGGAGCCCAATGGGGGTTCTCGTTCGTGCCGACAAAGGTTTACACTGATCAGCCCGAGGCTCAACCACGAAAGTTGTCTAGGCTGGTTGCACAGTTCGCAACATACGGTACTTCCCCCCCCCCCCCAATCAGACTGACTGGAATCCTAGAAAGGTTCCTAAGCTACAAACAATCCTTACCAGTTCGTCTTGTTCGATTCTTGAGGCCCCCTTTCTTTTGTCTATTTTTCAATGATGGCACACACTCCAGGTCCCTTCGTCGGGAGACCTCGACATCTTCAACTCTGAGCAGCGGGCGCATGCTTATTTAGTTGAAGGGTCCTCTTTTTTAAGTGTGCTGCTGAGCAGGTGCCAGAGTCTGTACGTCATTGTCACTTGTTATTGTCCTCGACGAACAGGTCTGACACGAGTTGGCTCCGATACTTTACAAACTCAAATGCGGTTCGTCGTCCGTGGCACTTTCGTTGGTCGAATTGACGCTCTTACGACTCGACCTCTCTTTTTCTTCAATTGCTTCTTCTGCTTCTTTTATTATTAATACTACTTCTGCCGCTGCTGTTGCTACACTGACCAGAGGGTGTTGCATCCCACCCGCCCCTTCGATCTCACGACTCTGTTACACGACCCATCTCCTTTTTCTCCCTTCCTCCCTCCAGTGACGATACCGATACCACGCCACGACTGAACGGGGGCTGTCAGCCCCTCTACAACAACACCCTGCGCCTGTCCTGTCCTGCGCCGTGCAGCGCGCGCACACACGCACACACACACACACGTACATACACCCATCTCATCCCGTCCTACTATCCTTCCGACCGCACAATGTCCAATTTCCTCGAAGACCCGCGTCTGCGACAGCGCTGGAACCAGATCTCCCACACCACCGAAGCCGTCACCGAGAACGCCGCCGCCGGCATCTGGACCTTCCAGCAGGACTACATCAATCCATGTCTAGGCGCAGTTGGCGACGCGATCGAGCCCTGCATTACCCCTTGCTTTGGCAACCGCGACGAGCGCGCACGCTGGGCCCGCGCCAGGGAGCATCACCAGTATGCCACCCGCGCCGAGTACACCTTTGACTTTTACGATGACTGGGACGACGACGACGAACTGCTCGCCAATTCGGGTGGGCCCGGCATACTAGGCGGCTGGGGAGGCGGCTTGCACGGGGGCGGCGGAGGCGGCAGCGGTGGTGGGACGTCCAGCAGGGGGGAAGACTGGGACCGCCTGATCGGCGGGTCCGGCGCCGCATCGAGGAGGAGCAATGCTGGTGAGGTCGGCGATCAGCCGAGGCGGAAGAGGGGCATGAGCTACGGCACACGCGGCGGCAGGCGCAAGAGTGACGAGGAGGACCCCACTATCATACCGAGCACAACCCCTCTGGGCTTTTTGGGCCGCCTGCCGTGGAAGATTGGGGGCACGCTGCGGTACAAACCTAGCGCGGCCTTCTTGCAGGACCACCCCGGCGCGTCGAGTCACCCGGACGAGAACCAGCCGCTGCTGGACTCGGACGGCGGAGACGAGGAAGCCGTCCGCCCGCAGACCATCATAGCACAGAACAGGAAGCGAAGTGGCACAGCCGGCTCGGGTGACACGTCGGACTCGTACAGGTCGAGGGGTGATCTGTTCCCCAGCGACGGTGAAGAGTACGAAGACGCTCTGGAGATTGATGACGAGTTCGCCGTGGGCCTCGAGAGGGTGGACGACCGGTCCAGCACAACCAAGGGCAAACGGCCAGCTGGCAGTCGGCGGGTGTCGAGGACGGTCTCGGGAACGACCTTGTCATCGCGCACGTCCAGGTCCCCGCTGCAGAGCAGGAGAGGCTCCGGCGAGCCGAGCCCCAACATGGAGAGCTCGACGCACTCGCTCATGGCCTCCTCGATCGAAGACCTGCATCGCGAGGAGGAGGAGGTCAAGCGGCAGGAGGACCAAGAGATCGCCCGCAAGAGGGAGGCGGCCACTCAGCTGGCCCGGGAGCGTGGGTTGTCGGCAAGTGAGAACTATAGCTCTGGCGAGTCTGAGTCGAGAGCCAAGAGTGCCATGTTGAGTGTCGAGGAGATATCGCGACCGTACAGTCCCCAGAAGGCACCTACAGAAGTCCTCACCACCACCACCACCACCACCACACCAGAAGTTCAGGATGAAACCCAGGGGAGTGCTCCAGAAGACTACGACGACGACGACGAGGAGGAGGAGGAGGAGGAGGAGGAGGAGGAGAGGGAGGAGGGGCAGGAGGAAAGGCAGGAGGGAAGAAGGCCTCAACCCCCGACAGAGTTAGGAGACGACCGGCCTAGACTACCTGCAGATGACGATGAGTTTATACCTGCAAGACTGCCGAACTTTCGGTAATAGAAGACTGTAAGCGACGGAGTTTCTGGTGCTATCATGTTGGCGGACGCCAGCACGAAGGCCTTTTGTAATATTCATATAGGCAGCCCTCTCTAAGGAGACATGGGCTGAATGAGCTTGATTGATTATGATATATGTATGTCTATATATATATTCTACGATATCCACGACCTAGCCGCCGTGCTAGATCTATAGAAACTTTACTATCTGAAAAGATACAATTTTAATCAATCAAGGAAAATGGACGTCGACAAGTTGATAACTCGACGGATCTGCTCTCGTCAGCCGAGTGTCAGCCGAGGCTACGAAACAGCACACTGCTTTTACTACCAATCAAACGAGATCCACACCATTTCAGAGCCTAAGCCATTCTCCATCACACGATTAGCTTGATTCAACAAACAGTTCAGGACGAACGAAAATGAAAGATGGCGGCCCGTAGCTGGGTTCGGGCCGGGGTCGTGGATCTCTCCGTACTGTAGTACTGCCGGACACATTCTAGGTTTCAGAACTGACCGCATGCAGTACAAGTCGATATAAAACCGGGGCGGTTCTCTTTTCCCTATGACATAGTAAGTTTACTAGTATAGTGTCCTCTCATATCAGCTGCCGACACTCATCTTTTCCTTCCACACGATAACACAAATCCACAAACTCAACACTTGTCCTTCTAAAACAAGACTCATCCTCATCCAGAATGGCAGCAGCAGCAACGGGACGCTTCAGCCTCCGTTGCGCTCGAGAATCTGCAGGCACCATCCCGCTACCCAATCTATGCATCGGCTCGTGGTCATGGGGTGACAACATGACGTGGAAGAACGCCTCAGCCTCGGCCGTCAAGGACCTCGACGATGCCTGGCGGACCATGGCCCAGAACGACCTCTTCTTCGTCGACACGGCCGAGGTCTACGGCAGCGGCGAGAGCGAGCGCATCATCGGCAGGCTGCGGTCGGACGCGGCGCTGACCCCGGACGACTTCCGCACGCGGCTGGTGCTCGCGTCCAAGTTCCTGCCCATCCCGTGGCCGCCGACGCGCCTGTTCCCCAGCAAGGGCATGGTCAACGCGTGCCGCGGCAGCCTGCAGCGCATGGGGCTGGAGAGCATGGACCTGTACCAGGTGCACGGCCCGATCCACGTGCTCAACTCGATCGACAGCATGGCGGGCGCGCTGGCGCGGTGCGTGGAGCTGGGCCTGACGCGCGCCGTGGGCGTGAGCAACTACAGCCTGGACGAGATGGTCCGCATGGACGAGGCCCTCAAGAAGCGCGGGTACCGCCTCGCCAGCAACCAGGTCGAGTTCAGCCTACTGCGCACCCGGCCCGAGACGACGGGGCTGCTCGCCGAGTGCAAGGCCCGGGGCATCGTGCTCATGGCCTACAGCCCGCTGGGCATGGGACGGCTGACGGGGAAATACACAAAGGACAACCCGCCGCCGTCGGGTCGCAAGTTTGGCGACGTGCCCATCGAGGAGCTCGCGCCGCTCCTCGAGACGCTGCGGACGGTGGGGGAAAAGCACGGGGTGAAGCCCAGTGCTGTGGCGCTCAAGTGGGTGATCCAGAAGGGGGCGATCCCGCTGGGCGGTGTGAAGAATGCCAAGCAGGCCGAGGAGAACGCGAGGGCGGCGAGTGAGGAGTGGATGCTGAGCGACGAGGAGATGGCAGAGCTGGACCAGCATGCCCGGGAAGGGACCACGTCGTTCTGGCAACATGATTGAGTGTGTTGTGCTCTTTGTGTTGTGCAATGGTGATGGAGAATGTAATACATAACTTTGGAAGGGCAACTGGTGAACAGTCATTATACACACGTCCAGATACATGTAGGAATTGTTCCACTGCTTGTAAATTTTATACTTAACGAATGTTTAAAAAGGCAATTACACTTGCACAGTATTCTTGACATACGACTTTCCACTCCTGAGTCCTGCCATAGTATTGACTACTCACTCAACAAGGGGTAGATCACAGAGACAAAGAACAACTCAGGGCAGTTTGGGTTTGTGTGGTCTTGGTCGATCAACTGAGGATGCTCAAGTTGAGGAGGGACAAAGTCGCAATGGGTAGTTTCACTCATAAACAAATTGTCATTATACACTATACTCAAGCTGAGGTGCTGGCTAGTTCTGTTAATAACTCTCTTATCACCATTGTAGTGGGTGTGATGTTGGCTGATACTTGAAACTTCTAGAACTGTAAACAATGAACCATTTTTAACTTCACCCTGACCAATAACACTATAGTTCGTGTGGTCAGTCGCTCAGACCAGCCAGCCCCCACGTTACAGCCAGTTCTCTCGACAGTCGTCGGAACTTACTAGGCGGGGGTTCCATGAATGTCTTCAACACCTTCTGCTCAGCCCTCCCACGTTGCTTCCGGCGGCTATGCATGTGCTCGACTGCTCATTGGATGCCCTCCCGTTGCTGCCTGATCGAGCTGCACGCTTCAGACACCCATTATGTACATCGCCTCCCCATGCCTCAAAGAGGCGACCAATCGTCAGCATTACAATCATGCCACGAGTTGCCTTTGCGGGGCATGCCATGTTTCGTTCAATTGACCGTTGGGAGTGCTGGAATTGGAATTGGTATAATTATACTTTCTCTGGATCAAGAGATAAGGTGTTTGATTCTTGATCAGTACATACTATTGGGTTATGGTTCATTAATACCCCAGTGTGTGAAGATGACTTCGGCAGCGAGGGTCGGAGTGAGTGCGACGAGTCCACGTCTTCAACAGCAACGAAAGACACCGACTCTTGGAAGAAAGAGTTCCTCAAGAAATTAGAAGAGGTCAAGTCCCTGGAAACAGGCAGCATGTCTGTCAGTCACCCAGAACTAGGCCCCATCGAGTCACCCTTAGGCGACGCAACACTATTGCCGGTTATATCTCTGAAAACGGTGATGCAGATGGATGCGCCGGCAAGGGACTGGGTCGGATACAATCCCACACACACAGGATTCCAAATTCTTCAGGAGGCATATGAAAAAGGCGAGTGGGTGGGAAACTTACCGCAGTTCAAGCTGCCGAAAGCTTTCCGCAAGGCTGGCATCACAAAGCTGACGGCCGAAGCTGCTGCCAAGAGGAAGAATGCTCAAGACCAGCAGCCCCAGAGTGGCGCGGAGACCCGGGCAAACACCAGTGGGAAACCTGTCGAGACGTTCCGTTTCATACGAGACGAAGACGGCGACAAATTGGAATTCAGTGCTGAGATGAATGACGACTTGCGGAAACAAATGAAGGAAGTGGAGGAGGTGGCCAAATTGCCACTTGGCCGAGCCTTGTTACAGATGGAATTTGGCAGGTCCTTGCGGCACTTTGGACTCAATCTTCACGTCGATGATGAGGCGGATGCCTTGTCGTCTAGCACCGAAAGTGGCAGCGCTGACGAAATGGACATCGACGAACCGGACCATGTGCCAGCAAAAGAAGTCAATACACAGGAACCAGGATCATCTGGTAACAGAGAGACGGCCAGATATTCAAGTTTCTCTCCACAGCCAAACGTCTCGCCTGGCAAGGGCTCAGACTTCACACAAGCTGAGGTAAAACGTTGGCTAGGGTCGATGTGATGAGAGCGAGAAACAGGGTGTTCGCGCCCCATAATAGTGAGGAAACAGGGAGGATACACAATACGAGACGCAGTGTGATATATGGGAAAACGACCCTATCTTGATTCGTTTCCATCTTTGTCTTGTATCTTTGATCGCTCACACTGAACCCTGCAAAAATAGCACGGGGTATCTTTGACAGCTGGCACTGGATGCTCTTTTCTTATAAGAATCTTCCTGACATGCGATAGTCCAAAAATGGGCAGATCGTGGATGAATTATATTGTATACTTGCTTGATCACATCTGCATCTCACTGGCTGAATTGCTGATTTGCTCCTTCATAAGAGCTCTTGTTGCCGCATTAGCACACAGGATGTCAAACCCAGTGTCACATGCCCTTGTGTAAGAGAAAGACTTGTGTACAGTAGATATACTCCAAATGACAGTGCCAGGTTGTAGACTAATTAGGTTCTGGGGTTGCATATTAATTAACTGCCTACTTCTATGTCCTTACCTAAGAGGAAATATACCGCTGGGTCTTTAAGTGAGGTTGCAAGAGATCCCAGCAGTTCGGGTCTGTGTGGGGGCAGAATTCCAGGGCCCCGCAAACCCCCCAAGCTTGCCTAAGGAACCATAGTGGATACTTACTACCTAAGGTACTGACCTACCCCCAGACCAGAGCCTGCAGGAGCTCCTCCCAGCTACGTTATCTGTACTGATAGTACGTGGCAATTGCTATTGCTGCGATGCCGCCCGAGAAATTTCCCTTCAGCATACACAAACACAAACACACAAACAGGCTTGGCTGATTTGTCTGCCCCTGATCATTGTGGCCTCAACAATACCTTAGGACGTGTCAGTTTCAGTGTCAGTGTCATTGTCAATACCTTGACAATGCCTGAAGGAAACGGAGCAGCAGGCGCAGCGCCTGCTGCGCAAGAGGAGCAAGGCGGCGTAAGTTATTCTGATCAAACCATCCACCCTCGACTGCAGAAGCCAACAAAAATGACGGTGCGCTGACAGGCAGCATGCCCAATTCCAGTCTTCAATCATGTCGCGCCTTGTATGGGGAGCCACCCTCTATTTCGGTATGCAGTTCGTTATGAAGCAGTTCATGCCTGCTCCGCAGCAGAGCAAGACTGTCACCGATGCCAACGGCCAAGCGGTTCAGGTCCCCACGAACACGGGTGACGTCCCTGCCTATGCGCTCCGACCCAACAAGCTTGACGAGGGTGCTACATGGAATCCTGTGCCACAAAAGATCGCTCCCATGTGGCCCGACGACAGCGTGGTCGACATCATCATCACCCTCTCGCCGTCCATGAAGCCCAAGCCCCTAAGAGACACGCCTGAGGATATGATCGTCTTCCGAGAGACCGAGTACAGTTTGGGCAACTGGAGCGAGAAGCGCACTATAGATACGACCATCACGGTGCCGGCGTCTGTTCAGAACAACGGAACTCTCTGGGGCCATTTCTATGTCGGCCTGCACGAACAGGGGGTCAACCTGGATCCGACGCAGAAGCCATACGACCCCTCCAAGGCATACTACTTCCTCTACCCCTTCACCCAGTATATCCCAAAGAAAAAGGTTGCCAAGACCCGTAGTCTCCTCGAGAACAAGAATCTTACCGAGGCTGAGGAGGCCGAGGCCGCCGAAGCTGGGTCTATCGTCATCGGCAACTACTATCACCCAAACACCACCATCTCCTTCGTCCCGGGTGCTGGCACCATGATGTACCCGACGACCAATGGTGCTGCCCGCCAGTTCATCACCCTCGAGCCTACCGGTGCCAGAGATGGGTCTGGTCAGAACTCGTGGTACTATCCTATCCTGTTCGTCAATGGCTTTTGGCAGCTCAAGAGCCACTTCAACCCGGTCAACGAGACTGTCAAGACGCTGCCGCTCCACATTGAGCTGAACAACCTTGCCAACTGGAAGTTCCAGCTGATGGCTTCCGTCGAGTTTGGCGGACGTGAATCTGCACGTCAGGCCGCGTTTGGAAATCCCGTCGCTGGGGGCGGTGATGGTTCGGAGATCGAGATGGTGAAGGAGATCTTCCTCGATACTAATCCGATCCTTCTTGGTATCACCATTGTCGTCAGCATTGCACACATGCTCCTCGAGACGCTGGCCTTTGGTTCCGATATTGCACACTACCGCAAGAAGAAGGATAACGTGGGCATCTCTGTCCGGACGATCCTGGCAAACGTCTTTATGCAGACCATCATCTTCCTTTACCTGGTGGATAACTCACAAAACACCAGCTGGATGATTCTGGGCACACAGGGCGTCGGCATCGTGATCGAGCTGTGGAAGGTTACGACCGTGGTCAACATCAGGGTCCGCGACGCCCCGCCCGGCTCATGGCTTCCGAAGCACATCGTCTTCGAGGACAAGCACAAGCTCAGCGAGACGGAGCAAAAGACGCAGGAGTATGATGCGATTGCCTTCAAGTACATGTACTGGGTCGGGGTACCGCTCCTGATCGCCTACGCAATCTACTCGCTCGTGTACGAGGAGCACAAGTCGTGGTACTCGTTTATCATCACAACACTTGTGGGGTCGGTGTATGCGTACGGATTCCTGATGATGGTGCCGGCGCTTTACATCAACTACAGGCTCAAGAGTGTGGCACATATGCCGGGCAAGGCCATGATGTACAAGTTCCTGAACACGTTCATCGATGACCTGTTCGCATTTACAATCAAGATGCCCATCCTGCACCGGCTGGCGACATTCAGAGACGACATCATATTCTTTGTGTATATATACCAGAGGTGGGCTTACAAGATTGACTACACTCGTGTCAATGAGTTTGGACAGGGCGGAGACGACGAGGAGGAGGAGAAAAAGGAAGAAAAAAAGGAGGACGATGCTAAGAAGGAGCTTCCTCCTGCGTTATCAGAGGAGGCTTCGAGCGCAAAGACGACCGGTGCTAGCAGCAAGGGCAAAGCAACCAAGAGAAAGTAGGGAGGTAGGGTGTGTCCGTGGGAGTGAGAGAAGGGGGGAGAGAGACGGCGGTCGAAGCATATTGAGTCTTCGGGACCACTCGAGCTGCGCCACGGTAGAACAGATTTCTTGGGTGACTCTGCATGCACATGCACAGACGGCGTTCGGGGGCATAGAAATTGGCATCTTCACGATGCCGTCACTGCTGGTCCATCCCAAGTTCATAATTCACCTCACCGACCATGCAAAGCGCAGCAGACTGAGCCCCGAAAGTGGATACTCGTAATGAAGCCCCGGTCAGCAATCGGCATGCGCTTTGGACCCACACCACCGAAAGCCCCCGGGTGGGCGAAGCCTGCAGCACGAGGAATCAGGCGGCCGCCGAGACACATTAGTACTGTCGTATGTGCTAGTAGAGACTGGGCCAGTTGGTACCACTCTGCAGCGGGTCCATTCCGGACGGGACCCCAGGGGTTCAACTCCAGTGTGTTCCCACAAGGGGCCTTGGAGTCGGTCTAGGCCTAAAGACCGCCCAGTCTAAGCCGCGACTTTTGACGGCATCGTGAATGTGCGGTCCGTTGACACTGCATTCTTTTGTCATAGTGAGCCAACTCAACTGAAGTCAAGGTGAGAAAGATTGGTTTTCATGTATGATTTGCCGTCACCAGTAATATTGACATATATGTAATTGCCTTTTTTTTTTGGTGGAAATGTCCTCTTCGACTATTACTTTGTATTATGCAACTAAGTTGTATGCAATACTACCATAGTTGTGTACGTGCTACTAGTGAAGATTCTTTGGGATGCTTCCCTTTCCCCTAGACGCACCTTGATGGCTTGAAGCTTGGCTGGAAACAGCGCTGTAACTCCGTGACTTTGAATGTGGGTGATTTGGACAGTGGGCAGTGCTCTCTGCTCAACGCAGTACAATGCCACGCGGCCCACCTCTCACTGTCACACACTGCCAAGGAACCCCCCGGATAGGCATTGCTCATTGCGCAGAGACCTGTCGACAGCTACGTAACTCGAATGTTGCGAAGGGTGGGGTTGGGGGGGCTTTGCTTCTATCTTTCATCTTGTCTCCATTCCCCACCGCTATGCTGCGCAGCACATTTTGATTGACGTGCAATTGTATCCTCCTGTCTGTGTTCTTTTTCCTTTTTTTCGCTTTCTGACTCGTCCGATTGGCGAACCCTCTTGAGACGGGGGGCCGAAACGTCATCAGTTCAGAAAAAAGCCAAGAAAAGCTAATCTGTGCTCACCCAACCAAACCTTTAGTCTGAAGTAGATAACGACCAAGACAACGAACATAACCTCACAACCTCTCTTCTCTCTCTGTGACTCAACACGACCCCAGCTTCCTTCCATGTCTACAAGAAGAAGGGGGGAGGAGCACTACCAGTAGTGACCAGAACGACCAGTGTGCTTCTTCTCTTCAGCATTATGTGCCGGCTGCTACCGGCCCGACCAGTCTCAGCAGCCGCCGCAACAGAGACGGAGACGCATTCGTCCTTCGCGAATGATGAACAGCGGCGCCGACCCCACGGACAGTGGACGACACAACTCGACACCGTCCTCCTCCTCCTCCTCCTCCCACGCCCACGCCACCTCCACATACAAGCACAAGGCGAAACAGAAATCCCTCCAGGTCATCGTGACCGAGCACCACTTCCCTAGCGACGGCCGTGGTGGTCAGCATGATGGAGAAGGCCCCCACGTGGATCATAACGCGGGGGAGCAGGAGGACGAAGAAGATAATGACGAAGACGAGGATAGAGAGACTGTCGGCTCTCTGTTGGCCGACATTGCCAATGCCATCAGCGATTCCCTCCGCATGCTCATGTTCGCCGACAAGAGGCACTGGGCGTCGGACGAGTTTGAACAGGTCCGCGCCCTCGAGGATACGCTGGACGAGGCCAAGGCCGACTTTCAGGAACTGGGGCCACTGCTGAAGGGGAACTTTTATTACGAGAATGACAGGAGGCGTATGTACATGCCGGGGAAATTTCCAACCCCCCCCCCCCCCCCAAGACCTTCTCCTTTTGTGCCCTGTGCCTACATTATCCTCTCTAACGGTTTTCTGCGTGAAACTACCTACTGACACTTTTTTTCTTTGGTCGGCCAGCCGAATCCCTCGACGAACTACGCGAACTCCGGGCCCTCTTCATCTACCACGGCCAGACCTTCAAGGACTGGCTCCGGCAGGGCGGGCCCATTAACCCGCTCTGGGCCCGTGACACCTTCGATCTCCGCAGGGACCTCCACCGCGCGCAGCGCCGGGCCGCCGCGCGTATCTTCGCCTCCCAACAGGCCGACATCGCCGGCGGCGGGTCCGGCAACCGGTGCCTCGGCGCCTTTGAGGTGTATCGGCGGCAGAGGCGGCTCGATGATCGGAGGAAGGAGTATGGGTTGGGCCGCAGGGCGAGCCGGTACGAGAGCACGCGGGACGAGATCGCGCGGGACGTGAAGACGAGGGTGACGACAACGACGACGACGATGATGGGACCCAAAAAGGAGCGGCCGCCCAGCTGGAAGCAGAATACGCCCACGATGAGCTCACTGGGGGTGGCAGGCGAGGTGATGGAGATGGGCACGATCGACCTGCGGAGCGACGGCGAGGAAGAACCAGAGCGGGACCACCACCAGCAGCAGCAGCAGCAGCAGCAGCAGCAGCAGCAGCAGCAGTACGGCCAGCAGTCCGACACGGAAGAGCAGAGGGACGGCCGTAGGTCGTCGCTGGTGGATCTCGTGCCGGCGTGCAACTCCGTGGGACGGTTCGAGCGGTTCGGTGACCGGGACATTGCTTTCTCGTGCGACTTTTGCGACGGTTTCATCGTCTGGGAGGACCTCCACAGCATGCCGTCGGCGCTCGACCCGCTGCCCGTCGCGTCGGGCGTCACCGAGCAGCCGAACTGGCAGGCCCGTGGGACCTCTCTCTCGGCGGGCGAGGACAAGACGGTGGTCTTTGCACCGCTGGCGATCGCGAACCACATCAGCCCGGATATAGGGGACTGGCAGGCTCGGATCCTGTGTCCCTACTGCGACGACTATAACTACTACGAGGCCGGCGACGAGGACGAGACGAGGTATGTCCAGGACGAGAAGGGGTTCGGCAGCCTCAGGGCGTTCCAGGAGCATTTGGAGTGGTATCATACCTCGGTTGCCGTGCCGAGCTTGCAGGCGGCTACGAAGAACTGTGTGGTTATGTAGCCAGCCAGCCAGAAGGGTGTATATCAGCACACGCGAAGACCAGCATTATGATTATGGATCGATTCCCTTCACGAGAAAGAGGGGGAAGGGGGGAGTAGTTCATTTTCCTCGGAAAGGACGGAAGCGTGGATTAGGCTTCGGCGTTCAAAACAGATATTGGAGAGAGGCACAGAGTACATCACATTCGCTCAGCGACTTATATAACTATACCTAGATCGTAGAACCCAGTCTACGCTCGAAAGAATACCACAGCACAAAGCCGTCCGTCAGGCTTTATCATCATATACAATCTATAGCTTGTCTTTTGTTGACGCATAATATTGCGAGAATTCGGGCCTCTTCTACGTAACGAGCCTCTCACAGTACCACGTATAGGGAGACTTGAACAAATTCCAAACCCATTCATCAATGTTCCCTGAGACACATTACTCAGTCTCGCTGCAATACAGCAGTTGTATATTGACGAGAAAACTGTTCTGCGATTCTTCTCCCAGATATCATTACCATCTCCTCATGCCAGGATCTTCAAGCACATCGCTATGCCGTGAAAATAAACAAATAAATATTGATAATAAACGCCTCCAACTCCACGATCGCCCGTTTCGTCCCTCTTTTGTTTTTGTGTCCTCAAATCAAAAGAAGCGCCACCACAAGAACACCAATATGATGAAGCCCAGAGCGCCAAAGGGCCCATACTGCTTGAGCAGCAGCTCCCAGTTGATGCGCTCGGCGGCGCGCCTGTACTTTTTGCTGTCGTCGCGCAGGCGGGAGCTGATCTCGCCCATGCGCTCGAGGCTGTCGCCGCGGTACAGCAGGTCCTCGATGTTCTTGGTCATGACCTTTGTGACGTCGCGCAGCTCGTCGTTGAGCTTGTCGAGGTTCTGGGTGGCGCGGGCGTCGCTGTAGGTGGCCTTTGTCTTGGAGATGAAGTTGTCAAACTCCATAAAGGCGTAGGGCCGCAGGGTCGGGCTGAGGAGCTGGGCCATGGGGTACATGGTGGTGAACTCGGTCGCGAGGTCCGAGAGGTAGGTGAAGGCCAGCTTGCGCGGGTAGGAGCGCTCGGTTATGCAGAAGTAGACAATGTCCGAGGTGATGAGGTAGTGGATCGTGAAGCTGCCCGACTCGATCGAGGCCTGGGGCTCGGCGTTGCGGTTGAGCCGGCGGAGGATGAGTTTGATCTGGGATTTGATCTCGGAGAGGGAGGACTCGGTCTAAGAGGCGCGCGGGTTAGCAAGGGCAGTGTTAGAAGTTTTGATTAGATGCTTGACTGGTTGTTGGGTGTGTGTGCAAGACTTGGAGTGTGAGAGACCAAGGGCGATGACGGCGGGGTAGAGAGAGGTTTTGACACGTACTGCTTCATCATCGACAGATGCGCAGAGGTAGAGGCCTGAGTTGGTGGTCCTGTCAGTTCTGAGGTTCTTGGTTGGCTGCTCCGAAGGGGGACGTAATCATACCATCAAGCCGTGCTATTTGTGTTGACCGGATCATCTTGGGTATCCCGTGTGTGTGTGTTTCAACAAGAGCAGTCTTGACCGTTGGTAAGAGAGACTGGTTGTGCTCTGCGCGGGTCCTAAATTCTGGAGAGGGCAGCTGCTCTTGGCCGGGGACTCTTTTCCCGAACGTGGCCTTAACTCTCTAGCGTGTCTTATTATGTCTGCCTGCTTTGATGCCTACAGTTGACTCAAACTGACTTCTCAAAGCTATCAGACAGGAGGGATCGTTCATATACAAGAAAGAAACCAGGGTGGAGGTTGCTCTGGTTCACGAATGATCAGGGTTGCAAGAAGGGAAACCTGTTTAAGGTGCAAGCATTCAGTCTCAGTGGATGTCGAGGCAATCAGGGGGGGGGGGGGGGCCACTTACATCAAGGCTGACCAATCGTACACAGAGTCACTGTTAGCTCATGTGGGGCCGTTGATAGTATGCAGCTGGAATTGGGGACAGCCTTGCTATCAATGGGGTGGGAGAAAGACGTGATAATCATTGCTTGCCAAAGGATGATCTCTTTCATAAATTCACTTGTGTTGTTGACCAACCTCGTGTATGCTGTGCCAATCATAGAAGCATCTTCTGTCGGCATTTGCTGTTGCAGTGAGAGAACCAATCGTTCCATTGCTTGGGACCTTGGTCTCCAGATCTAATGTTCCTCTACCTCCAAACCAAACCAAACCAACCAAACCCTAGCCTTTTTTCATCGAAGCGACTTCTGTCTTCCTTCATTCTCGGCTGCTGCTACACACGCATCTGCCATTGAATCTCTTTGAAAAATGACCTTATTTTCTTCAAGAGCAAACTCTTGGCCTGTCCTGATTCTTAGTCCTCTGTGTAGCAAGCACTGCAGCTCAGGACCCTCAGGTTCCCTATACAAGGGTCTGTCTCACTGGCGCTTCTGCAACCTCACCCGAACCTCACCAGATCCGAGAGTCTTTCAGAAGAGGGAGAAGAATTAAGAGTCTCTGTTTCTTGGGGTCACAAGCTTTCATTCTCTTCCAATTCACAGCACTCTTGAGTCTCTGGCAAGGGTCCCTCAGCACCAGCACCTAAAAAGAAGCTGGCTAGCAGTTGGACCATCTTTCTTTCCTGCCAGCCTTACTTGTCTTGAGCATCCATCACAACTAAACCACCATGGTACCTGCACAGGAAAAGGGCTCGCAGGTGCCCATGAGCAGCCAGCAGTCTAGTTCTGATCTTTCAGATCCTCCAGAATCTGCTGATGAGAACGAACATACCAGAAGCATTGTTGTTCAGCCTACCGAACCAGCTTCTTCCAACGGCCAACAAGTCCTAGCCAACAACAACAACAACAACACTGAGGAGATGATACCTGCTCTCGAGACCATGGTCATTGACAAACCACCACACAAACGTTCCAAAAGAAACCTTGCAAGGCGTACTACTCCTACTACCTCCACCACCACTGCTGCTGCTGCTGTTGCTGCTGCGGCTGCTTACGATGGTAATGACGAGCTTCCTGAGCAGGAGGACAAGGCGGCTCTTTCCACCACAAACAAGCGTCGGGTTGCTCCCAAAAGGTGCAAAGTAGACAGAACGCCCCAAGAGGACAGTTTAGGACCCCCTGCTGCGAAGAAGGCCAAGGTCACCAAACGCAAGTCCACCAAGTGGGACCCCGACTACGTGACCCAAAACACCAAATCTCCTCTGGTCGACGTGGATTTACGGGTAAGTCTTCTTCTATGCAAACTCAGATATCACCCCCTCCGCTGACTCGAACCTGCATGAAAGTCTCTTCTCCTCCAGCCTGCCGCCTGGGACTGCCTCACAGGCGAGGACAAGAAGGAAATCCTCGCCCTGTTTCCAGACGAGACACACATCCTTCACGCTGGCACGCCCGACGCGCGTCCCAACTTCGAATCTCTCCGCAATGACAACAGCTTCCGCCACGACGCCGAGGAGTACACGTCCAACCTTGCCAAGGGCATGCACGACCCGACCTGGCTCAAGGATGCCTGGACTGCTCACCATAGGCGCGCGGCGGGCGACTTTGACACCTTCTACATCCGCAAGGTCGAGATCGAGTGGGGCGCCAGCATCCCGGATGAGTATAAACCGGAGCCTCTGCGGTCCAAAAAGACTGGAGGAGGCGGTGACGACTCTCCGTCTAAGTCAAGTGATGGTCAGCCTGCTGAGGACAAACTCGTCGACGCCGGCGGCGAGGCGACAACTGTCCATGCTGGCTCCGAATCCTCGAAAAAAACGAAGAAGGACGGAATGGCCAACGAGACTCTTGAGTCGATCTGTGAGACCAAGGCCGAGATGAGCAACCCCAAAACTTCCAGCAGCATCTACTGCTCTACGGCGGATGACAGCACATCGGCCCAGGCAAATAAGGCTTCTTCTCCTACCGCCAAGGGCTCTCAGTCTTCTGAGATCGTCAAGGATGAAATTATTGTCAACGCCCATCTTCTTCCCAATGGTACAGCCCTCGGCGATTTTGACGATACGGCAAACGGCCTCACAGTGGATTCCAACAGCGAGAACCCTGAACCTGTGAAGACTGGTACCCAAACCACGCTGTAGCCAACCTACATCAACTTTTCCCATCATTCAACCCTCTTTCAAGCGCAGGCGGTCGTTACGGACGCAGTGCTGGGGAATGTGGAATGCACATGTGCTGGAGAAAACCACGACACCAGTTTAATGGGGGGAAATTGCTGCCTGGGCCTGGATAGCCTGGAGCCTCAAAACTGCTCGCTGTAAATAGAACCCAGAAAATACAAATATCATGACAAGTCGGCCCATACTAATGACTTGGAAGAATATTGCCGAAAAGAAGAACCAGCCGAGAAATCGTGAGGTTAGTATTTGTCTACATCAACCCCATCTATATCTCATCTTCCTCATCATCAAAGTCATCCTCCCGCCCCATCTCATACAATATCCTTCCCCCCTCTCCTCCACCAACGTCCGTCTGCGCATCAAAATACGGCAACACGATCCCGTCCCTGTCCTTGCGCTGCTTCTCCGTGAGCCCTAGGCTGAAGGTCGTGTCCGCAAGACCCTCGCCGTCATCGCCCCCACCAGCATCTTCCGGCGCAGCAACAAACTGCGGGTGGTCTGACAGCAGCGACAAGCCTGCCGTGGCGTCCCTCCGCGATGAGGAGGAGGAGGGCATCAGGACGAAGCGCTCCACAACAGCCCGCCCGCTCCGCCGCCGTAGCTCCATGTCGATGACGACACCCTCGCCCACCGTGCCACCGCCACCGCCGCCGCTATCCGCCCTGCCGGAGGAGGAGGAGCGAAGACCGATGAGCACGCCCTCGCGGCCTTCACCAAGACCAAATTCGGGCTCGGGAAGGCTGCGGTCCTGGGCGCGGCGGCGCTCGATGGCGTGGGACAGGCTGGATACACGCAGGATGGTGGTGGCGAGGTGGTTGAGCAGGGTAAAGGGGTGGGGCTCATACTCGCTCAGCACGGAAGGGCGCAGGGAGAGGGGCACGTCTGCGTGGTAGGTTGCCACGAGGGAGATGGCGGGGTGGGTGAGGAGGCTGGAGAGGAAGTTGGTCAGGTGGCGAGGGGCTCTTGCGGCGAGGGGGTTGAGCTCGTCGATGAGAAGGAGGGTCTCTGGAGATGATTGGATCAGCAACGACATCAGCAACAGCAACGGTATCAGCGCCAGAGACTTGAGGGAGGTTGTTGATGATGATAGGGAGGGATTTGTGAGCAGCAAGAAGGGATGACGAACTCGGAGAAGACGAGGCATCCTTGGATATTGGTGGTGCCGTGGGTGGTGGGCAGTGAGATACGATCTCGGACCGCAACTTTTCGAGACTTTTGCCTCGAGCCTTGATCAAGATATCTGCATGGCTGGGCTTTTGAATCGTGGCAAAGGAGATGAATATGATCTTGGTGTGAGAAATCTGTGCGAACTAGTCAGCGAGGAGAACACCTCTATCATTATTTGTTTCTGTTGAACATACTTTGGCTCTTAGTATGAATTCTTGTATAGCAGGACTTGCGCTCTGCTCCAGCGTATCGAGAACCAGGGTCAGTGGGCTGGCGCTGTCTCTCAGGTTGAGTAATTTTTGGAATAGTAAGAGGCTGTGAGAGCGCCTGTGGGCCTGTGCCGAAGGGGCCATGCTTTATGAAGCGTTAAATGAACCACAATTAGGATATGGTTGAGATCGAAAAGTATCATCACATGCTTGGGAGTTGAAATTGTTCCAGATGAGTAAGTCGAGGGCAGGGTTTGGCCAAAAGAAGGAAAAAAAAGGTACAGGGGTTGTGCATCCGGCCATAGCACACACCTTCCCGCTGGAAAAGGATCTTGTCATGCCTGTATGCCTGTGTCGCTAGTATTACTCGCTAGAAGTAAGTAAGTAGCAGCCCTATCCCAGCCGCATCTGCCCGCCACCTTAGAAAAGGTCCACCTCGAAAGCTTGTTCGAAGACCTTCACTCTCGTCCACCTAAAAACCATCTCTCCACACAAGATGAGATAGCCTGTCCCTGGCTTTTGTTTTCCCACAACAACCATTAAACCCTTGGCTCAACAAAGAAAAGAAAATGGCCGACAACTCATCAAGACGCGGTGGTAGGGCGCCTCGTGATCGTAGGGGCGGAGGGGGCTACAGAGACGACCGAGACCGCGACCGCGACCGGAGACGTTACGAGAATGACGGAGACAACCGCGACAACAGGCGACGCTATAGGTCCAGGTCCCGCGATAGAGACGGCGGCAGATACACCCGAGACAGAGACGGCAGACGCGATCGGTCCAGATCTCGCGACAGGCCGCAGCGTGACGGGCGCGGAGGGCGAGACCGTGGTGGTGGTGGCGGCGGTGGACGGGACGACTATGATTCTCGACGTACGAGAGACTACGACAGAAGAGGCGGCGGCGGCAGGGGTAATGGCACGCCGAGGCATAGAAATGGTATGTGGAGGACTGACAGTCTCGTTTGTCTGGTTGGAGATGGTCTACGAAAATGCTGACATCCCGCCTCCTGGTTCCTCCAGATGACCGCCGGCGATCCGCGTCTCCTCGTCACCCTGGCAGCCCAACTACTGCCACTACAGACCTGCCAACGAGGAGTAAGCCTGATATTGCCGAAGATTTGAGCGCACAACATTCGATGCCGAGGAGGGCCGGCGGGCAGGACGACGAGCCTGGCCGTACTCGCTCCAACCAAGATCCAGAGGACCGCTACCACGATGAGCGCGATCGAGGTCGGCAACATGACGACCAGTACCACGAGGACGACGGCGCCGCCGCAGCAGCAGCAGAGGCTATGGATGAGGACGAGGACCTCGAGGTGGAGGACGACGGCATGGGCGACATGGCGGCGATGATGGGATTTGGGGGCTTTGGCTCCACCAAGGGGAAGAAGGTCGTGGGCAACAATGTCGGCGCGGTGAGGAAGGAGAAGAAGACTGAATACCGCCAGTACATGAACCGTGTTGGCGGTTTCAACAGGCCGCTGAGCCCTCCCCGCTGAGAGGAAACTATTTCTATCTGAGAGCCATTCTGCCGCGGCCGTGGACGTTGGCCTCTTTCTCCCTCTCTCTTTCTCTTCCCGACTTGCCAGATCTGCGCCACCAACGATCGAGCGCCGGGCTCTCAATTGGTTTTTATTTTACATTGTCAATGGTCAGTCATCACGCCGAGCTTTTATCATAGGGTTAGATGCCAAAAGGTCGGCTAAATAAGCGCACAGTTTACACCTTTTTATCATTTCTCTTGACAAAGGTGAGTGGAAATCGTGCCACCAGTGATAATTTTGTATAAGCGTGCTGCAGCAGGCGCAGTCAGGCGATGTCGACTTCTGCTTGCTACCGGGGAAAATGCTCCATGTTTGGTGAGAAGGATGCAATTCGTTTCTGACGAGACTGTTTCCAATGATGATTTGCTACGTAACCTCTCCTGTGCCTGACCAAGTTTTGTCATGTGGCAGGAGGATCATGGAATAGCTTGCAACTCTTGAACTCTGTAGGCCACGCTTTTTTATTTTGTTTATCCAATAAACTCACTAAACATGTATGCAAAACGAAAATATACAAATCAATACACCTTTCAGAATTTCACCATATATACATGGATTCAATGACTTGAAGAATCTTTTCAATTATGTCTACAACATGTATCATCACAGCACAGCTGCTGAACCTTGATATGGCATCATTCTCTTCGTTCCGAGGACATGCCTGCTTCAGCCGACACTGCTCGAATGGCAGCTTCCTCTAGCCATATCTTTTTATTCCCTAAGAGGAAAGCAGAGCGGCAAGAGAGGACCTAAATCATCGTGTTCACCAGTCCGTAAACTCCCTTCTCGGTGTGTCCCATGTCTCAGAGATGAATGTAGTACAGCCTTCCAAATGCATACCTCTGAGAATAGCACGTGGGTGTGCTCATGAGATGCAGATACTTATGTGAGACACCAGGTCATCTACGTATAGTCTGATTTTTCATTTTCTATTTAACATATATAAACTACCTCACGCCTTGACCTGCTCGGCCGGGCTGTCGGTCGACCCACCAGCCTCCTTCTCCTCGTCACCAGCCCCGCGGCCCACCCGCAGGAACAGCAGCGAGAGCCCAGCCAGGAGCTTGAAGACGGCCGTCAGCAGGAGACACAGCTGGGGCGCATAATAGCGATAGGCCAGCCCCCCGACAAGGCCACCGACAAAGAAGACGACGATAAACAGGATCCTCTCATCCCTCGGGCGGTTCCGGCGGGCCAGCAGGCGCGGGTCGGAGAAGAAGTCGGCCATGGCGCCCGTGGCGACCTGGGTGGGCATGGTGGGGGGACCGTTCATGCCCTTGGTGGTGACGTTCTGGCAGCCCATGGAAAAAGACAGCAGGGCGACGGCGACATACTCGGAGCTGCCATCATTGCTCCGCACCTGACGGCCCCCAGATGAGGCCGACGACGACAAAGACCAGCACGGCCTGCTGCAGGATGTCGGCGACGACGAAGAAGCGCTTCCTGCGGGCGGCCAGGGCGTTGCCGATCTGGCCGCTCACGGCAGACCCGGCCCAGGAGGCGGCCAGCGAGGTGACGGCGGCGACGGGGTGGACGTCGGCCGGGTCGACGGCGGCGAGCTGGGCGGCGGCGAGGGCGAGGAAGACGATGTTGCCTGTGTTGTTGGCGGTGAAGACGCCCAGGTAGGGCACGCTGAAGACGTCGACGGCGGCGGCGGCGAAGGAGAGGAGGAGGAGGAAGGGGAGGTGCTGGGCCCGGTTGGGGTTGGTGCGCGTGAAGTCTAGGTCGGCCTGCCAGTAGGCGCGGGAGAGGAATAAGGAGGATGGGAAGAGGGCCGTCATTGTGTTTGTTTGGTCGTCGGTGGGCGGTGTGATGGGTAGTGAAGGAAGATGAAAAGTGGATGAGGTTGTGTATCTAATGAAGAGGAAGAGGAAGAGGAAGAGGAAGAGGAAGAGGAAGAAGAAGAAGAAGAAGAAGAAGAAGAAGAAGAAGAAGAAGAAGAAGAAGAAGAAGAAGAAGAAGAAGAAGAAGAAGAAGAAGAAGAAGAAGAAGAAGAAGAAGAAGAAGAAGAAGAAGCAGAAGCAAGGCCGCCTTTACTTCTCTCCCTTCTGCTGCCTTGTTGTCTTCTATGCCATACAGCCCAGCGGTTGTCTTCTATCCGGCGTGAGGGTTGTTGATTGTCTGCACAGAGAGTATGTACAAAGGTTGTGAGTTTTGAGATGGAAATCCCCGAGGTGGAGTTCATGAAGCATGTAGTGGGCAGTAATATAGAATTTATCCTCGGTGCTGTGATGATAGGCCGGCTTCTTCCGCCGCGGAAATATGATGCAAGTGCTCCATACTCGGGCACCTAAAGTATACCCCGTTTCTGAAGGTACAACCAAATCCGATGCAAACGATTAAGGACTATGGAACTCAACTCTATAAATATTTCTGACTATTGCTTTCAGATAATCCATATTGATTTACGACTGCATCCTGGATCTCAATAGTCAAGTTGCAAAAGTGTTATAAAGTCCAGTCTTTAATGCCAATCACTAGAACTAATTGTATTTATCATTGCAGTGGAGGAGCACAAATGAACTGGCTGTGTTTCAATACATATATCTATATACATATATAGATATATTCTTCACATGCCTCTGGCGCTGATGTTCAATACCACATCATCCTTTACAACTCGTTATCCACCGCCAACATCACCTGCTGACCCTCCTCTTCCAAAGTATCTCCTCCTACAGGCTGCTGCTGCTGCTGCTGCTGCTCTTGTTGATGATCAACACCTACAAGAACATAATCCTTCACCACCGCCGTCCCGTTCCTCAGCGCCTCAATGTCTTCCTGCGAGCACGTCATGAGCTGCAGGATATAACATCTACCCCCCTCGAACGGCAACAACTCGTTCCTCCTCCACCAAGTATCCCTCGTGCCCACCGTGCTAAAGATATCCTTCTCCCCCTCCTCCTCTCCCCCTTTGGCACTACCTCCTGCCCAACCTCCCGTGCGCGTCAGATCCACCGTCCCCGTGGCAATATCTCGATTCAACAAGGCCCTCTCAAAGATGCGCAGGGACGCCTCGGGCTGGTAGCTCGGCACCATGTGCCCAGCCTGGAAGACGCGCGTGAACGAGAGGTTGCCATGCTGCCGCGTCAGGCCGAACGGCACAAACGGCGGGCCCTCGGCCACGGTCAGCGGCGCATACCCGGCCGCGGCAAACGCCTGCTGGTGCCGGTGCGGGATGGCCAGCGAGGCCTTCTCGCCGCCGATCCAGTTGCACGCAAAGTCGCGGTCGCCGTACACGAGGTGCACCTTGACCCCGCCGTCCAGCAGGTCCGCGAGCGCCTCGAGGTGGTGGCCGCGCGGCATGTCGCCGTGCTTGCTGAACGCCTGGCTGACCGAGCCCGAGGCCCACGTGAAGTTGACGGGCACGCCCAGGGCGCGCTGCACCCACTGCTGGTTCAGGTAGCCCAGGTGGTAGTTGGGAGGGAACGGGTCGCCTGCCGGGTGCGTCACGTCGAACCAGCCGTGCTGTTGCGTCTCTTGGTACGGCTGGATGAGGATCTCTTGGCTGGCCATGGTGAGGTTTCGGCAGTAGGCCTCTACGTATTCCGGGTCGACTACCTCGTCGTCGTTGTCGTCGTGCTCCTCCTCCTCCTTCTTCTTCTGGGCCTGCGAGGAGCGCTGGGCTGAGAGGAGCTGGTCCAGGCGCTTACACTTGGCGGCCCTGTCCTTGAGGCCGCCTGGTCGGAACAGTTCCCAGAGCTGCCTGTGCTTGGTCGTCTCGTTGACCGCGACGAGGCCGTACGTGTTGTTCCAGGCCATGAATGAGTAGGTCTCGTCCTGCACCTCGACGTCGATGCACCCGTTTACGATGCCGAGCGTGTCGAGGTGCAGATAGTGTGTGCCTGGCCCAGAGATCTCACCACGTGAGATCTTCTCATTCTGTTTGCGAAAGACTATGTGTCTTATGTTAGTAATTCTTTGATCATGATCTGTGCTGGCGGGAGAAACAACCATACAGTTCATGAAGCTTGGTCCATAGTGACCACCATAACTCTCTGTCCAGAGACTAATCTTTTCATCATGAGGTTTATATTCTGGGAACCTGTAGTTGTTTTTCTCATGAGTATCACTGTCCACACACAAGAGAAAGACAGAGAGACAGAGACACAGCGAAAAAGAAGGACTCACTCCTCAAACCAAGTCTGCGCAAAATGCCACAGTGCCACAGCGGCATGCTCAGTCGAGTTGGGCGTCTGCGTCAAGTTCTGACTAGGAAACGTGCCGACGTAGAAGGTGGCGTTCTGCTCCGGCACCTCGCCATCCACCAAGTCGCGCAGCCTGATGGGCGACCACTCGTCGTCCCCCGACAGCTCCGACTCCATGGGGTTGTTGCGCAGCAGCTCGTAGGTGCCGTTGTTCAGGCTGTCGTACGAGAAGCCCACCTGCACCGGCTGGTCGATGAAGAGCACGTTGACCTCGTTGTTCCACGCCCACGGGTTCGGCGCCGACGAGTTGCTGTCCGCCTCGATCACACACGGCCCGTTCTCGCTCAGCATCCCCATCAGGCTCGACCCGCCCGGCCCGCCGTTCAGCCAGATGCTCAGCGGCGCCCGGTGCGCGTCCTTGCGCGCCTCCACAAACCAGAAGAAGGTGTTGATCGGGTATGTCTGCGTCTCGCCCGTCTCGTTGATCGAGTTGGGCGGGAGGTGCACATAGCCGCTGTAGCTCTTGACCCCGGGCGTCGTCTCGCAGATCTGGGGGTCCTTGTACGAGATTGTGATCCCTGGGTGGTGTTGGGAGCGAACCCAGGTGACTCCCTCGCGCGGTGGAGGAAACTGTGCAGCACTGAGGCCCGCGAGGGTGGCCATTGTGGCCAGGAGCATCGTGGGGGTATGCATCATCAATGAGAGTTTCTGACTCGCTCTCTCTCTTCCTCTTTTTCTCTCTCCCCACGTCCGAATATATCGTCTCACAACAGGAGAGCCTTGATTTGTTGGATGTGGATGGAGAATCAGCAGTGTGATAAACAGGAGTCGAGAAAAGATAAGAGCCCTGCCATTAAAAAGCAAAAGAGACGAGACACAAAATAATGGACAAAGACAAGAAGCGCCAGCTAAATAAATAAGTAAGATGACGGAGTAAACACAGAAACTCAATGAATGATTTAATTCCGGCCCCTGCTAGCAAGTGAGGGACTGGAGGGTAGGGTCGTTTCCTCTGCAGAAGCCCGGGGTGACGATAAGCCGCGTCTTACTACTCCGAGCACTACTCCGTGGTGACATTGCATTGTATGTTCCTATTGGCAGCCCAGGAGAAGTCACAAACGCTGGACTGAGTATACCGAGAAACGATGGCAGCAATCACCTGAAAAGTGTTGTATGTAAAGGGGAAGAACAAAAATCATCCTCAAAGACTTGTATGTCATGGAACATCGAGCGATAGCTGCACATTGAGAATGGAGACAGCATACCGGATCCTATTCATTTCTCATTTTTCGGTGCCATGCGGCGTCAGAATAAAATAATTTCTCATAACAAAAGGCTGTATTCGTTGTGGAAAATGCTCATCCGGTTCTTGAGGCAGCTGCGAAACAAAAAAGTACCACTGCTTGCTTGTTGTCTATGTCGTGATCACCACCCTGACCACCTTGAAAGCGCGCAGAAGAGGAGGGTGGTCGTGCAGCGGGCAGCCTCCTACCACCACTGACTACTACTACTCCCCCCCCCCCCCCCTTTACGGTTCAACTGCTGGCTCGTTCAAGAAGCCGTCAGAAGTGGTTGGCTCGCGTAGTATCCCGATCCATCGGCTTCTGAGCATCCTACGCCCAGGTGTAGCCGATCTTTACGTTCTCCTCACGGAGCTGCCGCAGCAGTCGTTCATAGTCCTTGCTCACCCAGTCCCAATATGCTGACCACGTCTGACACTGACCCGGACCAAACGCTCCCTTAAGCTTGTCGCCGAGCAGCAGCGTCGTCCGTAGCACACTGCGGCAGGCCTCCTCCTGCTTCTCAAACTCCTGCTTCACAGAGTTCTCCTTGAGCTTCGTGGATAGCGTCGCCCGGAACGCTTCCGCAATCGTGTCCAGGCGACGCACCGTCTCCTGAGGGTCAATGATGGCCAGTTTCGAGAGCATCAGGTTGCTGAGGGCCCGAATATCATTGTCGTCCCGAAGACCCGCGATCACCCGGTCGTACAGCTCGATGATGCTAATCCTCGACAGTGCCACCTCCATCAGCGCGTAGAGCGACTCGTATGCACCCTGTAGATAAATCGAGATTAGTCTCCTTGCAAACCTTCGACGATTATTATATGATGTGTGTGTGTGTGTCTCAAACTTACCTTGCGGATCTCCAGGCCATCGTCGACCATGATCTTAAATGGTCCCATCATAACCTCACGGATCAGCTCAGGTTTCACCACCGACTCGCTCAGGACGAATGGCATCAAGACGTTCAGGTGGCTGAGCACCAGGTCGGGCTTGTTGTGAGCCGCAGATGTCAAAGTCGTCATTCCCAGCCGACGGATATCCATTTCAGAGTCTTGGAGCATCGTCGTGAGCATCGATACGAGGTAGTTCTGCAGAACATGATCAAACTTATCACCGCTGTCTGCAAAAGTATACCGTAGAGCCTGGACGGCGATGCCTCGGAAGCTTGGGGACGAGTCACCCAAGAGTTTCTACAGAAGGTGTTAGCCTGCGGTCACGAAGGATAGGCATATTCACAGACACAAAAAGAGCAGAAGACAAACTTACATTCAGCCTAGGAATAAAGGTCTCGGGATCGACAATTGCCAGACGACCGATACACTCGGCAGAAACGGCCCGGTTGTCCTCGGCTTGTGGCGCGTTCAATAGGCAGTCCCAGATGGGAGCGGCAAACTGGCTGATGTCGATATTCTGTTGCAGAACCTCCTTGAGGGAATGCAGGAGCAGGTACTGTTTGACACCCGCCTCTTGGAAGCCTTGCAATATCACAGGCACATACTGCTGTGGGTTGCCGGCCGCAGCACGTCCGAGAGCCATCGCTGCAATCATGGACGACTTATCGTACTCGTCTCCAAAGTGCTTGAGGAAAGTCTCTGGCTCCAGAGCAGCGCGCGGTCCCAACCGGAGTGCGGCCTCGCCCAGTACGCTGAGTGCCAGGCTGCGCTTGTCGGGTTCTGTAGAGACCTCGGCCTCATGGACAAAGCTGTTGATGTCGACACCGCCTGTCCCACCGCTAGAGGCTAGTAGCGTGCCGATCACCTTGCCAACAATCGTCGGGTCGCCATTGATACCTTCCTGGAGCATGTTGCTCATCAAAGCCTCGCCTTTCCCGGACGTGCCGATCTGGGTCACCAGGTCCAGAAGAGGATTCAGGGTAGCCGCCACGACGTTGACGTTGACAAGACCACAGATGGCGGTAGTGATCTGCGGGCTGACGGTGCCCTCGCTGTCACTCGACACCAAGGAAGCCAGGATGGTGAGTGATGGTCCCAGGAGCTGAGCATCGTTGGTGCTCAGGATTGGAATCAGATCCTCTACAATGGTCTCTCTGGTGGCCTGGTCAATCGCTTGCTGCCCAGCCGAGGACACCATCAGGTGTTTCAGTGCTTGGATGCTGGAGTTTCTGAGGACGCGGTTTGCCTTGCGCAGCTGTGCCGAGAGCTCCCCGGCAACGTCTCGTGCCCATGCGGCACTGAAGCTGGGCGATGTTCGGGCAGTAATGTCGTCCACGGCCTTGACAGCGGCGAGACGCGTCGTCTCATTCTTCAGTCGATCTGCAATAATAGACAGGCCCTTCTCCCTCTTCTCTGCAGGTAACAATTTGGCGCCTTCGGCGTCACTTGTCCGAGCCAACAGCGTTCCCAGCGCATGCAGAGCCTTCTGTCGAACCTCAGCGTCCGCATCCATAGCAGCAGCTCGCTCGAGGATCACATCGAAAAGCTTGGACAGCTCCCCCTTGTACTTCTGGGCTGTCGTTCGCGACCGCGGTGGGGTGATGGCCTTTCCAACCTCCTCGACAGTCTGGATCGCCTGTGACGAGATCTTGTAGAACCGGTCATTCACAGCTCCAATCACCCCATCGACCATCTTTGAGAGATGAGGCTGCAAGAGAGCAGATGAATGTGTCTTCGCAATGTCGCTAAGGAATTTGAGAGCCGACACACGAAGTGTAGCTGGCGTGGCTGACGCGGCGCCGCCGGCACCGGACATGGACGTCGCTGTCGAGGTAGAGATCGTCTTGACCGCATCAACCACAACGTCAAGGATCTGGTCCAGATGGTCTGAGAGTCCACCCTGCTGGACGAGGATCAAGTCATCGAGGAGGTTCATAGCCGACTGTCTAGTGGGTAACGACTTGCCCTTCAGCAGCTTGACAGACGCCTTGACAATCTGCGGCGTGAGCTTGGAAAGGTCGGCGCGCGGCCCAGAGGGAGGAATTCTATCCATCTTGGGCGAAACGAGACCGCTACCCGCAGCGCCGGGGGCTCCAGTACTGCTCTGACGCCTCCGCTTGCGACTCTGTGGTGGCATCTGTCCGTCGGGCTGTGCAACATCAAGAGTAAACTCGGGTACCAAGCCCACGCCAGTCTTCCGAACAAGAAGGGAGGCCGCGGCGATGATGTCCAGACGGACATTGTCCTCGCGCTCGCCGAAACGCTTGATCAGTAGAGGTGCCACACGCTCGTAGAGCACACCGTTCTCCAGGAGATCACCGTTGCTGCGGGTGGCGACAAGGGTATGGAGCGCCTTGGCTGCGCACCTGCGGACCTTCCAGCTCGCGTCGTCATCATCATCAAAGCCACCACCGGCCTCAAACTCATCATCGTCACCGAAGTCGTCGTCCTCCTCCTCCTCCTCCTCGTCGTCGTCTTTCTCTCCATCATCTCCCTCTTGGTCCTCCTCGTCCATGTCTTCATCCTCGTCATCCGCATAGTTGGGGTCATATTTGAGATATCGAAGACAGGCTGCAATAGCGTCATCAGTGTAGGGGCGCATCTCTGGCGGACATGAAGCGAGGAATGCCTCGAGAGCAACCAGAGCCGCCTCCCGCACTTCAGCAAATTCCGGGGCCACATCGTCCCCATCACCGAACTCTTCGAGATGCTCCTGCAGGACATCCTCACTCAGGGAAGAAAGTGTGAGTTGGGCAATGCTGCCAATGTGCTGACCGAAGCGGTGAGGAATGGACCTCGCCATGGATCCCATGATGGTGAGATACAGCCGCCGGGTGACAGCGTCCGTCTGAGGGTTCTGCAGGACCTTGACGGCCCGGGCGATGAAGGAGGCAAGCTGGTCATCCAGGAGGTAGACGGCCAAGATGGACACAGCAATGACGGCCTTCTTTCTCACTGCGGACGTGGCGCTCTGGTTGTCCAGAAGGCCGAGCACGACATCTTGTAAGGCCTGAACTTCCTCGTAGGGGGACAGCATGACACCAAAGCACTTGACCACCTCTATTATGACGTCGACGACATCAGAATTGACCTCCCCGTCGACCATTCCCTGACCCGGGGCGGGCAGGCGTATGGCGGAGGGCCCCTTTTGTGAATTTGACGAGCGGCCCAAGAGACGGGGCATCAACACCCTACTTATGCTGGCGTATGCCTCACTGACGTCTTTGGGAGATGGTATGCCCGGCCGGGGTCTTGGGAGGGCCTCGATAACGTTTCGGAGGGCGAGGGCTGGAACCGAGTTGTCGACGGAATTCTGGAGTCTCATGGTCGTCACCTTTTCAATCAAAGGCGCGATGAGATTACTCGGTATCTTGCAAACGAGGGGCCCGAGGCTACATCGGGAGAGGAGAGCAGTGTCAATACCAAGAACAGAAGGAGTATCATGGCCGAGGAGCGGCGGAGATAGGAGGAGGGGAGGGGCGAGAAGCTTACCACTTGATGGCCTGGTTCTGAACCTCTCCGTTCTGATCATCTAGAGCCCTCACCACATGGTCGATGGTTCGAGCGGCAGTGTTGTAATCGTGATGGAGCATGTCGGCCTTACCGGTGTTGAAGACGGTGATGAGGTCGTTCAAGGCCATGAAGCGGAAATCCGGGTCGGTGTCGTTCAGCTTCATGAGGAGCTGTGTGACCGTAGCCGAGGTCGGGTTTTGGGGAATGCTCATCGCCATCTTGAGGGATGGATGGATCGCGTTGCGCGATCACGAGCTCTTGTGTATTATGGCAGTGAACAGTGACTGACTGGCAGCAACAATATGGATGCTGAGGCTGTAATGGACGTTGACACAATCTCTCTGAAGGGCCAGGTAGGACAGCACCTATGTCAACAAGGGAAGAAGATGCTAAACCCTGTCAGAAAAGGCCCACTCGACCTGGGGTAGGGTAGAGTGCGGTGGTAGTCTGTTGGTATTTGGGAAAAGGAGAGTAATGTGGAAAAGAAAAGAGGCAAGTGGTGTTGTTAGGCTGCTGGTGCCGTGTTGTTGATACGCCGAAGGCAACTGGCGAGCTAGAGTGGGCAGGCGGGAGCTAGGATCGCGGGGTCGAATAGCTGCAGCTCTCAATGTGGGGTACTGATTACAAGAGGACCGCATCATGGTGGCCTGTGCTTCTGCACTAACAGGCTGCTTACCGTACTCGGCACGTGCTGGAGTATCATTGTGCTTGTCCTAGGCCGCTAGGCTACTAAACGACCTCATCTTGCCCCTTCATATCGAGAACTTCATGAGAACAACTGGATCAATTGCTATCCACTCTATGAGAACCCCCGCCTCAAACCAGTATTCTGTGCATCAGAAAAAGTCAATCTGACCCATCTCCTCTTGGGTATCTTTATATTCACACAAGCAAGGCAGATAAAATATGTTCTCCTTGCTGACTTGGTGTGACGTCGCACTTCTGCGTTCAGTCCGATAGCCTTTGCTGTCCGGATTACAGTAACCCACACGCTCAAAGCCAGAATTATCTTCGTGCCGGACACCACATTAGCAGAATTAGACGATATCCTCTAATCTACATCGATGGCCGCCATTCTAGGGTCGCACAACATCGCTCACAGGACAGCCCCAATGGCACGTCTCTTTCTCGCAGGATTATCAGGAGGGCAGTTGTAGCGGTCCAGACCTCCTCATATCTTCTTCGAGGCTGAAGAAATGAGAATGCCATCCCAAAGCAGATTGTACCAGCCAGGCAAAGACGTATCCTCAGCAGACCACTCCCTGGCCGTGTCGGTAGTCGAATGCTTGCACCACAGCACATGCGTAGGCAAGGGCTGCCGCGACGACAAAGACATGCATTAACTGGTGGCTGGCACCAAACAGGTCGAAGCGTCGCGGGTACCATCGCTCTGGAAACTGTAACCTCAGGAGTCAGCACTGCAGCAGATGGCGGGTAACAAACTTCATCAATAGGCTTCGAGCTCACCTTCAACCCATAAACACCAATCCCGATCCCGTTACACACCACAGTCACCAATATCCAGCCGAGCCCGACGCGTCTGTACATCTCCTCGAGCCCATGCTTCAGCAGCCCGTGTGTGATCGGCGCCGCAAAACTGCCTGCCCCAAAGGCACCGAAGAGGGCGGCCCTGTACGGTCCCAGGTGAGGCCCGCTGAACTGCTTCAAGAACGTGACCGCAGAGCAGGCCCCAGCAAGCGCGGTGAACACGATCCCGTACGCCGCACGCACTACGCCCTCCTCACACTGGAATGTGTAATACACCAGCGGAACAGTGGCGCTCCACATCAGCACCAGCACACCCTGGATGTCAATCTTCATCCCCAGCGCGTAGAGTGCCGGGCTGTGCGCCATGAGCGTGTGGAACACAGTAGACAGGACGAAGCAGACTGCCACGCCTAGAAAATACGTACTGCAGACGAGCACGTCTGCCACGGTCGCGACAGGGTACCGCCCTGGGATTGAGACGGCAAACACGTAGCTTGGCAGCACCAGGAAGACCAGCGCGCCGATGACATGCGAGTAGATGTTGACCGTCTCGTTGTGGACGTACAGCCAGGACGAGACGCACTCCTTCACCGAGGCCGAGGCCCTCCTGTAGCCCGTCTGGATGTGCTCGCTACCATGCTGCTGCCACTCTTCTGTAAGGATCTGAACATGTCAGCAAATCCCACCCAGGCCCTCTTCAAAAGATGGTTCAGAATCAGACACCAGGAGCTGCTTGCCTATCTCGGTCCATTCCAATAACAAGTCTTCAACGGCGTCCGCTAGGGTCGCAGCCTCTGTCTCGGCGTGCGGCTTGAGTACCCGCGGCTCGGGCCGCAGACTACTCAGGCCCGGCCGTCTCTTGATCGATTTCTTGGAGCCGGCGACAATGATGGACGCCATAGCTGCTGGTCACAAGACGAGGGGGCCGGCCTATCGAGAAAATGCAGGCTCATGCAAAATGCATGCTCAGGACAAACGTGACTGTGCGCGTTGGAGCAGCCTTGAGGGACAATTCTGGCAGCACGGACGTGTCGTGCGAGAGGGGTCCCATGGTTGCGTTGCGCCTCAGGGACCCTGAAACTGTTTCGACTCATGCCTCCGCATTCAAGGCTTAAAATTGCTGCGCTGCTTGGGCCTTCTAAGGAAGCTTTGGGAACCCATTTGGGTGACTGATGTTAATTATTAAGCTTAACAAAACAGTAAGTTTCCCGCATAGCATTTTCCCAACATTTCTTTATATAGTGATTTATACTGCTACAATAGAAAAGCAAAGCCAGTACCTTAAGTAATTTAGCTGAGTAAATCTCTCGACTGGTACAGAACGCTATGATTTTTGTATGCTGATCAAGCTCATAAGGTAGGTTAAGAACAATGAACGCTAACATACAAGATACAACATATCGAAGTGAATTGACTATCATAAAGCTACTTTAAGACAATACGCACTACTGAAGCAGAATCTTTTCTATACTGGCCCCGCCAGCTGTACAGTTTCATGCTACCCCTTAAGACCGCTGGGCTGACTAAGAAGTTGTCCCGAATAATGAAAGGGAGAGGTGTTCCAAATATTACCACAACCCCATCACCCTTTTGTACCTTCTGTGAGCAAATTCCAAAGAACCAGTTCTGGTATGATACTTCCTTAGTACTATGTTTGCGAGCAGCGACCCTGCAGGTAAGAACATCTGAACAGTAGCTAATGAGCTGTCGGTTGGAACGGGCGAAAGAGTTGCATACAGAGAGCTGCGTCTTAGCTATGCGAGGATCCCGAAGAACTAGTCGAAGAACTTCTCCTGTGCTTTCATTCCGCTTCTTATAGAGAAAGTTCAACCAACGTTGAACCATGTTCCCATCAGCGTCTGTTCCGTTAATTAAGCATAACGTTGCTATCCGAGTGACCCATTCGTGATATCTCTCGCTCAAATTAGCATTCAACCTCAATAATTCAAGAATTCCTTCGAGGTTCTGCAAATGCAGATGGTAGTCGTCTTCTTGAATAGTATCCGAAGTCGATAGAAACTTGCAGCAGATTAGGACTTGACCGTAGCGATAGGCTGATAGACATAATCTGCCATCGGAAAGCAAAGCTGCTGTATCTGTCTGCTTATAGCCTTGTGTGTGGTCAAAGAGCTGGTGGGATGCTTGAGACCACCAGAACGCGTCAACTTGCTTTGACCAGTCCGGCATCCAGCTCGGGCATCCCTCTAGGGGGTTCATAGCCGCGGGCAGCAAAAATTGGCTGCAGCCCAGTGTTCTGAAGAGATTAAGATTCAAATCTCTATAAGTGTCCGTGATGGTGCGCGAGTAATCTGGAGTTGAGATCTTGAAGCTCGCTAGCTTTATCAGGATCTGCCGCATGGCGAAGGCTTTGTCATGGTCGTGTTTGGCCTGCCGAGTGCATAGGCCATCTATCAAGTCCACCTTGACCATAGAGAATGCTTCCTCGATCAGAGGAGTCTTGCCGGTGACAGAGTGTAGAAACAGCAGAGCAGCAAGCCCGATTATAGCCAATGCTACCCAGGCCACGAAAGCCCACAGCAACCGCCAGTTGTTGCCGATGGGATTAGCAGGGTAAGAGGTAGGGTCAAGATGATAAAACAGAGCAAATATTCCTACTGGAATCCAGCCGCATAATGAAATGAGTAGGAGTGCTGATAGAATATTAAAAGGAATGCAGATAAGGCCGGCATTGTCCATAATGGATTTTGTGAACCTGAGATATTTCTGTAGCAAGGTAAGGCTCGACTCGTTCGCGACCGAGATACTAGGCGGCAATTCTCGGCTGGGGCTAGGCGTGGAACCCTCCTCCATAGCCATCGTTGAGGTGTAGCCATTTGGTGCATGATATTTTCCGGGTATATTCAACATGAAGTCTTGGCTTAGGACTATCTTAGCCCAGGAATTCAGGCATGGTATTTGGGGCTTCCCGGTTCGGAGGTTGATGCCGCTGGATGCCAAAAACATGATACTGAAAGCGAAACAAAGCCAGGGCGTGTGGTTGTCACCGCAGACAATGACGGGGTTTGTCGCCAGTATGATCTCCTGATAGGTCCAGATGCGCCGAATCCACTCCACATCTAAGACAGAGTTTATGTCCTCCAATGTGGCTTTCTTCGAATCAACAAGATGAAACTTCCGTCCTTATTGCGCTAAGCACCATGCCGCGGAGAAAGGACAGTCATGAAGTACTTACGATGACCTGTGGAGGGAAAGAAGCGATCCCTACTGCTCAAGTAAGCCCAAAGGGCCAGCCAAGACCGTGGCCTGGGCTCGACACCTTCTGTTAGGCCCCCTGGCAGAAAATAGCTCATAAATGGCGGTTGACCCAAGTAGGCCAGTGCTCGTTGGGTTTTCGCGCTACCCTCTCCTAACCAAACATACACAAATTCAGCTTTCATGTATATGTCTCCCATCATAGGGATCTGCTTCTCTTTGTCCTTTATATCTGCTTGGTCGATGCATATTGCATCTACCCAGAGAGTAAAGCTGCCCAGCTTTTTTCGTAAAAATTTCAAGGCAGAGTGCAGGTTGGGCAGCGTCGATACAAGATGCTCTCCACAGAAGATCGTGAGTGGTTCCCCCTTGTCTTCCCCCCATACATATGAGATCGCGGAGAAACGTGGTGAGGGCGATGCGTCGATATTGATGATTCGGAGCTTACTTCGAATAGGCTCATCAAACCCCTCGAGATGCAGCGCTGCTTGAACATCCAGAACACGAATGAATCGTGAATTTGGGCTGTGAGGGAGCGGCTTGTATAGCAAAGACTCAGCCATGATGCCAAATGATAACTACAAGTTTAGAGAATATTTGAGGGATTGAACTCAGGTCTCTGGTGTGCTCAGAGCCTTATGAAGAGAAGTGAGGGGTCTTCAGTCATTATATAAGTAAGCACATCACTTTGGTACCTTACCATGCTATTACATAGCACCCCATTTAGGCTACCGTGGCCACACCTCCTGTCGAAGCGCTAGTTATGTGATCTATCATATTATAATGAGCACTGCAGTAATCCGAAGACATCTAAGTATACAAAGGGTTTATGCTAACAAGAGCACTGCCAAGTACAGGCCTTGAATACCGGAACGTGACTGAAATCTGAATGCAAGTGTTCACTGCATTTAGGGCTACCAGAATATATGTATAATCTGATACTTAGATTGACAACTGAAGAGCTATGTACAATGATCTATCTATTGGTATTGAATGCGAGGTTATATATCCAGCTCTTCGGTCCTGGCTCTGAGGATCTGGACGCAGATCCATAGATCCTCCCTCCATTACAGCTCTAACCCTGGGTTATGTAATTCTTTCTGTAGTTCAGGTATTGCACCTGAAAACTGGCATCCTGGGCTCACTTGTTCGTATGGCCTGCTTCGTGACCTGCATGTTGGACAGGTTATAACATATGAATCGCTAAGCTTACTAGCAATTTAAATAATTTACAATAAAGAACTGAATATATAATCTCATGCTTATTATCAGTAGATAGATTATTATATATAGCTCTTCAGTTATTAATCTAAGTATCAGATTATGTATACTATGATAGCTCTAAAAGCAGTAAATACTTGCATTCAGACTTGTTTCCTATTCAAGGCTCATATATAGCATTGCTCTTATTAGCATAAACCCCTCATATACTCAAGTATCTTCGGATTACTGCAGTGCTCATTACAGCTAGCCCTTCGTGGAATCTATGCAGACTTTGGTTGAGGTTACCTTGTTGGAACTATAAGCGGAATTGCTATAGCTATGTCTTATTTCATTCATGATGTAGACTTGAATTGTCCTGAAAGCTGCAGTACTTGGTTCTGTGACTAGTTCTGGATCATCAGGCCAGGATATATGGCTGAGTTTGTGCAGTCACTTTTTGTTCGTGATCAGAGTAAGAAAAACCTCAGAGGGAAGGAAAGCACATTGCCAACATTGGCAGTCTAGAGCTGATCGGAGTGTTGTTGGGCCACAAACTAGATGAAGCAGTAATCTTTTTGAGTTGCGGATAATAAATGCAGAGTCCGACCAAACATCTGCTCCTGAGCTCAAACCAGAAAAGAAAAGCAATGCCCCCTCCCCGGGGGGGCCTTCTCCCCCCTAAAAAAAGAGAAAGAAAGGCAAAAAGACACAACCCATCTACTTCCAAAACAACCCAGACAGAGTCCTCCCTTTCAAATCAAGGCGCATGATCGTCATTCTCACAAAACTCCAAAGGATGCCGCACCATCCCCGGGACCAACGACCCCAGACAGCTCGCACACCGCTGCTGGCCCGTCCCGCCACACACAAAACACTCCCGGCGCCCCGTCTGGTCCCTACGGCTGCCCTCGCACGTCATGCAAAAGTGCCAGCCCTCCTCGCACCCGTTGGCACACCGCACGTACTCGCTCCACCGCAGGACGCCGGGCCTCTGCAGGCTCTGCCCGCACTGCCAGCACGCGTCGTACGGGTCCTCCACGTGCGTTGCTGCGGACGAGGTCGAGGCCGCCTTGCCTCCATCTCCTTGGCGGACTGTGTCCGAGGAGTGGTTGGACATGGTTGGAGGATTGGAAGGGGATGGTGGGAATAGTGGACTGTAGTTATCTCTATGTTGGGGTTGGGGGCTGCTCCGTAGGGTCAGGCTTGGGCTTGGTGGTTTCGTTGGTCGTCTTCTTATATGCTGACGTCTAGCTTGAGGGGGGAGGAGGGTTGGGTCTCTTTACACCCTTCAGTAAGTGTTGGCTGAATTGCTGTCGAATGCTTGTTAGACATAGAACATCATGTAAGCAGTCTGCCATGGGGAAGAGAAAGGGACAGACATACTTCTCTGATAGACAATACACGCCAGTAGTTGGTCTGCTCGATGCTCACAATAGGCTTTCTATTATCTGTGTTGCTGTTCCTGTTACAATGCTGAGTATTGGTGGATAGTGTATTTTTACTTCTTGTAAGATAAAAGACAAACAAGGGCATGGTATATATACACTTCCAGGCCGTAAAAGAGGTCTGGCAAACCCCCACCCTCCTCTTCTCTCCTTTCACCAGATACACACCGTGATTCCCGAGAGTCGGTTCTCCATGGTGATAGCCATGCATCACACAATCAACTCCACTCGAGTGGTAGAACAAAGGTCCTCTTTCCCTTTCTTCCCGGTGTGAAGGAACAGAAAGTGACTCGACAAGACAGTCGAGTAGCAGGTACTACCCGGGTCTGAGTAACGTCGGCAACAAGAATTGCAAACTGTTCGCTCGGTTTATCAAGGAACACATGTTTGTTCGGATCATCAGCTAAGTAGCCAAATAGATTTGATATCCAAAGAAGAAAGCACACCACCAGCGCCTTCGTAATGACATTCCCTGACCTTGTACCAGATGCTTGGCCAGTTTCTCATACCCAAGCCAAATCCCTTTTCTTCTGCTTTTTCTTTTCTCAACGCAAAGAAAAACAGTGTATCCTACCTCTCATGCAAATCATCATGACTAATGCTCTGAGGACTGCTACTATCCAACTCAACAGGACTTTGCACAAACCCTCCTTGCGCGCCAGACATCAAGATTTCCCCAGCCCAGCGTCCTCCGCGACTACTTCCACCACCCACTGCCTCAGGCTGAACCTCGCTCACGCTCGTGCTGGTACCCCGTGTCCCCAGTTTCTCGCCTTTCGACATCCCCTCAGATCTAGTATCGTCCACCATCGCGTTGAGCTCGCTGCCGCTCGTCTCATCAGGTGGCGCGACAAGGGGTGGCGCGACGTAGACGTCACCGCTGACTGTCTTGCTCTGTCGCCTGTTGTGGCCGCGCCAATGCCATGACATGCCCTTGCTCCAGGTGGATGGCCGCGGCGGGATCTTGTTGTTGTGGCCCGTCTGCTGGCCATCCTCCTCCTCTTCCACCTCCTCCTGCGCTGCTTCGCCCAGCTCGGCAGCAGAAGCACGATCTGATGTGCTGCCCACCGCATCGCCGAATTTCTCCAGCTCCTGCACAAGATCCTGGTCCTGGGGCCAGTAGATCCTGCGCAGGGCAGTAACGGCAAGTTCAAACACGACGAGCATGGCCAATACCATCACGAGCGTGAGCCACCACGTAGGCGTCTTTCCGAAGTTGTCCATGAAGCCATCCCGGACTGTATACGGCCCAGACTCCTTCTTATAGATGGCCGACAGGAACAAATTCCACAAGAACCAACCAGTGACCGAGATGAAGAAGCCGATGAAGGTGACGACAGTCTTGTTGTGCAGCTCGAGGACGAGCAGCTTGGTATTGATGAAGACGACGCCCGCCGTGAAGGCGAGGTCGCCCATGGCAAACAGGCCGTTGTCGCGGTCGAAGGTGATGTGCATAAAGATGCCCCATGTGCCGAAGAAGATGAAGACGGCCTCGAGCACGCCCATGATGGTCCAGCCGATGTACTTGCGGAAGTTGAAGGCCTTGTTCTTCTGCCCGTACGTGTACAGCTCCGGCATGGCCAGGAGGGTCTCGGCTCGCAGGTCCTGCTCAAACATACCAAGGAGGATGACGGCCAGCGAGGTGAAGAGGGTGTTGAACACCGCCAGGCTTGTGGACTCGTAGAAGGAGGTCCCAGTGTAGCCGTTGTACCTCTGGTACATGGCCTGGACCAAATAAAACATCATCTCCTTCCAGAAGGTGGCGAGGATATACTTGCCCGTGCGGATATAGTTCCACCGCCCGTGCACGAAGAGAAGCTTCTGTAGGAACCTGAACTGTGCGATGCTGTAATCTGAGATCCTGGCCGCCTGCAGGCCCTCGCGGCCCGAGATGCCGATGCCGACGTGGGAAGCCTGGATCATCGCAATGTCGTTGGCACCGTCGCCGATAGCCAATGTCAACGAGGACGGGACACAGTGGCGGATGCACTGGACAAGAGTAGCCTTTTGTGCTGGCGAGGCACGGCAGCAAATAACCGAGTCCACTCGTGCGACGAGGTCAAAGAACAAAACCTTGAGAGCCTCGTCACCCTCCACCACACCAAGCGTGTGTCCATCAATCACAACCACAGAGTGTGGCACCATGCCTCGACCGACGTCGACCAATGTAGCGGCAATCTTGTCCTGCAGCGAGCCTTGGGTGGCATCCAGTATATAGATCTCCGATACGGGCTTGCAGATCCTCGCTGAGTGTGCGATATTGACAGCCGTCTCCCGCTTGTCGCCCGTCAGCATCCAGACCTTGATTTCTGCACGACGCAGCATGTCGATGGTCTCAGGCACACCGTGCTGCAGCTTGTCTTCGATGGCAGTGGCGCCGGCCAGGTCGAAATTCTGCTCAATCAGTTCGGCTGCGGCTTCGATGCGCTCTTGGCGGTTGACGAGACTTGTGGTGGCCGCGTGGTACTCTGCCTTCCACTGCTTATAGTCATCTTCCTCCACATAGCGGTAAGCGAAAAGCAGTGTACGTAGACCCTCAGAGGCAAAGTCGTCTATGTGCTGGAAGCAGCGCTCAAAGACTGCGCTGTCGCTCACCGCAATGGACTCATCCACCATGCCTTGATAGGGATCGTCATGCAAACCGTCTGGAGAAGCAAGCAGCTCCATAGATCGACCACGAGACACAGATGTCCGTGGAGACAGAAGTACGTCATCGTGTCTTGCTCCAGCAGTGGTTTCACCCTCCCGGGTCGTGATGGGAGAAGCAATTCCCTCAGTGACGAAGCTCGGGCGCCGTATGCTCGTAGACCGCTTCCCGGTGCTCTTTCTGCCGAAAAGGCCAGTTCTGTGACTGAAGTTGCTGGTGGCTCGAGCAAGCGACGTGCTGTTCCTCGGACTCTGTACGCTGAGCTTGCGCAGCGCCTTCTCCTGCTCCATGCTCTTCCGGATGCTTGCTTTCCGGTCCACAGCCGACGCCGTCTCCATAGCCAGCTTGCTCTGTTTGAGACGGGGCAGGACGACACTGTCAGCTCCCTTGCTGAACACGCAGATGCGGCCGTCTGGCATGCGGATGATGATGGACATCCTTTTGCGCTTGCTGCTAAACTCGATCACATCGAGGACCTCATAGGTCTCCTCGCCCACAACGCCATGCTCATTTGGGAACTGTAGCTTGATCGTTTGCGCAGGCCGGTCGACAAGAAGGAAGCCGAGGTCTCTAGCAGCCTCGACAAGAGCGAGCTCGTCTGGAGAAGCCGCCTGAAATGCAACTGTGCCGTCCGCTTTCTTCTCTGGTAGGCAGGTGTGGCACAGAGCAATGCACAAGATGAAGCGGATGGCCTTCTTAGAGAAAGCAGTGTTGGGCTTCTTGCGGATGTACTCGATCAGATCGTCGGTCTTGAGCTGGGGCTGGGCGTGGCTGGGCTGTGCGGTCGATGTCCAGATCGAACCAGATCTTCGAGGAGCACTGGCGGTGGATGCTCGTCCGTATGTGCTGTGATCTTCTATGTAATCTGACCTCATGGTGCTGCTCGAGGCTCGAACAGTCTTCTTCCCTTTGTCGTGATGGGCATGAGCTCCTGACATCTGTCTCCCTCTCTCATCTTCAGCCTCGCGTTGGACATCCATGTCATGTAGCCAGGCCATGCCAGCCACACTCATCTTGCGGAAGCGCATGATGTTTTCTGTCAGCGTGCCTGTTTTATCAGAGAAGACATAGCTGACCTGACCCAGGTTCTCGAGAATTGTGGTGGTGTTGGCGACCATGGGTGTATTCGATACGGGGTCATACATGTCGATGTCCCTGAGCAGCATGACCTGTCCAAGCTTGACAATCTCCAATGAGACGTACAGAGAGAGGGGGATCAATGTGTTGAACTCGATAACAAACGCAACGAGGATTTTGCCGAAGGGCAGAACGTAGTTGTCCAGGTACCAGGCGGATTTCTCGGTGGAACGCACCCAGAGGATATTGCCAAGGGAGCAGCCGAGGGCGAGGATGACGACGAACTGGACGAGCAGGATGATGATTTTGTTAACCTTGGCCTGCATGGCCGGTGCCTTGGCGCGCACGTTCTTGTTCGCGTTCATCCGGATCTTGCACTCCTCGCCGGTGTTAATCACCAGACCAACAGCCTCGTTTGTGTTCCGCAGGGTCGATCCTCGGTACACCACTTGATTCAGCGTCAGGGGCATTGCCTCTCCGTTCACAACAGCTCTGCCCTCGTAGTTGTAGAGGTCCAGGTTAGGATCTTCGGAGACGACCTCAGCCTCGCAGGCCTTGAGAGCAGACAGTGCTCCGCAGTGTTGCGTAAACAGGGGGCAGGACTGCTTGCTCTTTAAGTTCGTCTCGCCGTCGAGAGCCATTGTCTCGATGTACGCAACGCCATTTGGGCCTGTGGCGTGCAGGAGGATGACGTCTGCAGGCAGTTGTTCGTCCCGGCGCAGCTTGATAATGTCGCCCACGCGGATGTCCTGCCACTGCATCTTGGACCAGTGTACGTCCTCATCTTGTGACCATGGCGGATTCTCGTCTTCTCGTTCGAGCACCTCGCTTAGATCCTGCATCTCCTCCGCCTCGCCTCTCTGCCTGCGAAACTTCTCTCGGAGCACCCCCCTGCGACGTCTGCCATCGTTAGAGATGCTGCCGTCCGGATCCAGCACACAAGCCTCTGTCCTGTTCTCGAGCTTGTCCATCTTGTACCTCCTATAGTCATCCCACCCCTCCTTCGCCATGCTGAGAGCAACAAACGCCAGCAAGGGCCCAATCGTGGTATACGTGCCTGTGGTGCTGAGACCGGGTATCATCTGAAGAATGCCAATAGTAAGGAAATATGCGTTGGCGAGTTTGCTGAACTGAAAGAACAACTGCTTGGGCAGGAAGGACCAGACGGTATACCTGCTGGACCTGATGAAGTTGGATATAAACGGCCTGCCCCGTCGTTCGTCCACGAGGCCGCCCTTTCGTCGTGCTACGCCCGGGCCAAGCGGGATGTGCCTACCATCAGCACTCGGCGGCAGGGGTTTCTGGCGCAAGAGCCCCTCAACGATCCATGCCTCGTACCACTGGGCTGCCATCTTCCTATAACGGGATGGTCGATGCCGTTTCAGCCGTCTTGCCCTCATCTTCTGCCGAGCGACCCAATCCTTGGCGTCAGCGATGGTCGCATTTGCCTCGGCCGCTCTCTTGATGCTGTCCTCGACATCACCAAATTGCAGCCGTCGGTGGCGTGGCCGCGTGGTCACGGATGGCGGTTCAGCAAAAGAGACCCTGCTCAGCCGGGACTCTTCCTCCTCAGCACCACCTTCGAGCCTCTCGCCCCGGCCAGGCCCTCTCCTTGACCCGGCAGCATGCTGTTCCCGGCTCTCGCGCCATCTTCTCGCGGCCTCAGTGTCTTCTACCCTGCTTTCGATCGGATAGAGGTCCGTGTCGAGCCGCAGCTGTGGTTGGTGGTGGTGGTGGTGGTGATGGCGTTCGCTGCTGCGAGGGTGCAGTGCCTCGTCCAAAAACACAACATGGCCCCCGCTCTCGCTACGCCTCGTGTCCGCGCTGCTTCTGCGTGACTGTGGCTGTGCTCCTGTTCCCTCACCCGCCGCACCACCAGCGTCCTCGCCTGCGGACGAGCCAGCCCGCCTGCTTGGACCTGATGGTCGGGTAGGTACTAGCGTCTCTGCCTCCTCGAGGTTATCGAGCTCAGAGCGCAGGATGTCGATGCTGGTCCTGTGCCTGTCATGACTGTTGTGCCCAGTCATGATCATGATGATGATGATGCTGCTGCTGCTGATGGCGGACGGCAGCCTGATGGGGGCAGTTGACCGAGATTTGACCAGACGTCCAACAAGCCTCTCTCCTCGACCCGGTGTGGACAGAGCAGGCACTCATTGAGAGACGAGGGAACCTTCCCTCTCTCGGTCCTCCTAAAGATCAACGTCGGGATACAAGTAAGTGAGACCAGGTGCCTGTCACCTTTGGTTGGGACTCGGGGAACGTTGTCTTGGAATCCCGAGATGAGAAGAGGGGATTGATGGGATGTCCGACTGAAGATAATTGTACAAGTATAGGAATAGGTGAAGATGGCGGACGACTATAAAATCCAGCCCCAAGAGCAGACAAAGAAAATGAGCTGTGGCGCGGGGCCAGAAGCTCACACGCAACACCACCTCTTGGGCCAGGTACTGTAAGAAGGTCTCGATCGAGACCTAAACCCTACGACCGTGGTTGGCGGCAGGGATCACAAGGATCCGAGATCACACGCCAATGTGGCGCCAGCCAAAGAAGAAGAAAAAAAGAAGCGTGGCTGAGTGAGGAAGGGAGTGAGTGACTGAGGGAGGCAGGCTGGTGACGTGGACGCCAAGTGTAACGAAGGATTGCAACAGCGCTTGAGGGAGTCGCAAGGAAAGAATGAAGAAAACTCTTGTGGTTGTGACTGAAAAATGGTCTCTTCTTCTTCTCTGTCTTCTTTTGCCTTTCGGTGCTTCTGCCCTGGTTCGGGGTATCTTGGCGTGGTTGCCCCTCCCATTCAGGTCCCGCCGCCGCGGCCGCCCACTCATCCACAACCCGGTGACCTCATCGTCCAACGCAAGCAACGGCGGCACAGCCCTCCGCGCCTGGCTTCCTAATTTTTGCCCCTCCCCTGTCAAGCAACAGGTACGGGAATGGCACATCCGTTCGGCACACAACGTCCTCTGGTTTCCTCTCCAGCAAAACTAGACCAAAACCAGACCTATACTATTCAGAGTTACTCAACTTTTACCCCATCTTTCTTTTTTCTTCTTTCGTTTCTTCTCTGTTATCTTCCTCACCCCAAGTATCCACCTTCCCTCCACGCCCAGAAACTAAACACTTTTAGCCCTCGGGTAGGTGGTTGTTTCTGGGCTTCTGGAAGCCAACGGATCAAAGTGCATTGACAGTAGAAGCGAAACCCGCAAACATGCATGAACCGGGCCCTTCCATTTCCTTTACCCCCCTACCCCGTCCTTTTCTTCTTCTCCTTTTGTCTTAGGACACAGCGGTGGTGGATGTGGTGAACGAGGCTTGGCGCGCTGGGTTTTCTTCCTCTCTTTTGTTGCCTTTCTAGAAGGATGAGGAAGAAGAAGGGGGAGAACAAAAAGGAGGGATCACAGTGTAATCCCTGTGCTGAGGGAATGTCTCAGGCTCCGCCTTGTCCCAGCCAACACAACACTCTCACACAGCCTTGGCCTGGTGCAGCTTTTTATAACACACATAAGCATTCGATTTTTGACTACCATGGTACTGCATTACTAGCTGACACGAAAATGTGGCTTACATGGCTCAAGTACCTTGGACTACGACAGCGCTACACGTCCTTCCCTGACAGTAGGTGTGAGGTTGCTGTGAATAATACGAGGTCTTCGAAAACGTTCATGACAGGTTCTCAGGAGGACAGTCACTGCGAAAGAGCATCGTGCAAGATATTTCAGGTAGTAAATTTGCGCTCAAGGAGACGATTTCCAAATAACGTTTCCATTCCAGCCAAGAACGCCTTGGCCATGTGCCCCTACCCTGTTGCCTGAGAGTAACTATACTGCAGTTTGAGATCACGCCTTGTTTCTTGCTACCTCTCTTTCGAGAGAAACCAGGAGACAGCACACGCGGCTAGGCATGAGCGACATGATCGAAAACTTGGGGCGAAGAAGAAAAAAAAAAGGTCTCCAATCCCATCTCCCAGAGATTATTCGGCGGCTCCCGAGAAGAAGAACAAGAAGGTATGATGAGAAGTGCGGAGAAATCCTTCGGAAACGATACTTTGGTCGTAGTATCCTTTCGTCCGTCCGCAATAAGTATTAGCCGCCTGGGCATTTCCTCAAGATCCTTCAAATAGATAAACTAGCTCCCGTTGCCGAATGTGCGCCAAACAGAGATTCCAAGCCTCCCTCTTCGAGGCGTCGCGACGTCTGATATCCAACACTGGTAGTACCCGACGACAATAGCTATTAGGTGCCCAGGTAACTCATGATAATGAGCCAAGGTCGATGCGATGCGGAAAGACACACAAGACGCAAATGGCAGTCGCAAAGAGGAGAAAAGAGAGCACCGTCGCTTCGCTGTGCCAGAACCACAATTCTCAGCAGATCTGAAAGCGAACAAGAGGTATTGATCGTGGCTGATGACGATCACAAGCGACGGATAGAAGCGCAGAAACGAATAAATGCGATCGGTTGGTGCAGATGAAAAAGGAAAAGGACTGCTATGATCGACGTGCGACGCAGCGGGCAGATAATAAAAAATAAAAAAAAGATCCGAGCATAGATGACCACCTGGTATAACTTTCCCCAAACGCCGATCCCACTCCCTAAGACGGCGCCTGCTTCCCCCTTTGCGCTCGGTCAAAACACAAATGCCCGGGTATATACGACGTTTTTCAAGCAGCCTGGACCTCGATCCGTGTCCTGAGTGGATGGGGCCCTGGATCGAGATTCATCAATCATGACTCCGTGACGGGTATGCCATGATGTGGCATAGCCTCCGGTGAGAGGCTTGCAGAGTCAGCCGGGTCAAATGACACGAGCTGGTTCATGTCCAGGTCCGCTTGTGTTGTCTCGCCGAACGGTGAATGAGGCGGGTGCATAGGAAGGTTGATGGTGTGCTTCGAGTACATCTCGTTCAGACTCGTCCCGTCGTCAGAAACAGCAGACTCGTGGACCGGGTACAGATCTGCCGACGATGGCCGACCAACCATGGACAGAGGTGGTGACTGGTCGACGATGGCCGGGTCTCCGTGACCGTGGCTGGTGAACGAGAGCGGAGACACAGACTGAGGCACGAGAGGCGACGGGTGGACCATCGGCGACAAGAAAGCGCCGCTGTAGGGGGTGTTGTAACTCGAGGCGGGCATCGGCGTGCTATCGGGGCCCTGGGTGAAGTAGTTGGGGCTTGAGTAGTCTGATGGAGAGGGCGCAGTGGTTGCCGACATTGGGTATTGGCGCATGTCCAGCCCAAACCCGGCTTGTGTGTCAATACGCAGGTTGGGTCCCAAGCCGCTCGGCTGCTGAGGAACAGGAGCGAAGATGCTTGGGCTGTGGGGTTGCGGCTGGCTCTCACCAGGGTGCTGGATGAAGAACGACGGCATGGGTGCCTGCAGCATGGCAAAGTCAACAGGCATGGGGACCGACCTGCTGCGCTGGCGTTTGTGGCCGCGAGGCATCCCAGGATGCAGCGACGGAGGAGCACCCCACTGTGTCTCCTGGTACATGCCCACATGAGGGGCACCAAAGCTGGGCTGCGAGGACGGCCGGTTCGTAGGCGAGACAGGAGCCGAGATGGAGATCGCATGCATAGCCTCGTAGGGGTTAGTCGAGTGACGGTTCATAAAGGCCTCCAGCGACACAAGCTTGGCCAGCTGACCGCTGAGGACCTTAGGGTTGCCGCCGAGATGGTGGACAAGGCACTGTGACGCCTGCTGATCCTCGGTGAAATCTCCACATTGGAAGAAGCCGTTGGTCTGCGGTGACGAGTCCATGAAGAAGTTAGGGGGCCTGTTCAGCTCGATGACAATGCCACCGAGCTTGTTCGGGTCGCCATCATTGTTCTCGAGGAAGATTGACTTGATGGACGCGAAGGGGTACTCGATCTTGTAGCCAGCCTGCTCGTTGTTGATGTAGTAGGTCATGGTACATTTGTCAGGCGAGTAGAAAATGATCAGGTCCATGGTGTTTTGGCCCACACGCGTCCACTTGCCAATGCTGAGAGAACGGCAGGTCAAGTGATGGATTACTGTTGATTCTATAGTCAGAAACCATCGGCGGCGGCAGCAAACTCGGACGGGATACCTGGGATTCCGCAACTTACAAACTTTGCCCTGGCCGTTCTGCTCTCCGCCGAAGGGGATGCTGCTAGGACCGTAAGGCATGAGGCCACGGCCGAGGAAACCGGCGCCAAGACCCTTGCCAGACTCCATGGCCTGCATAGCCAGGTAGGTCCGCATGGACTCGGGTATCGCATCGAAATCCTCGCCGGTCTCCAAGCTCTTCTTCGCCAGCGCCTTGATCTTGGCACGCCTGCACAATGCTGTCAGCCCTCTGCTGGGCAAGGGGGTCACGGGTTGGAAAAAAGTCCAGATACACATACCTGTTTTGGAACCAGATCTGAACCGACCGCTCGGTCATGTTGATCTCGTCCGCGATCCGCTCTCGCACGTTTGCCGTAGGAGTAGGGTTCTTGTTGAACTCCATTTCCAGGGTCGTCAGCTGATCTTGTGTTGCGCGCTGTCTCTTCTGGTTCTTTTGCTGCTGGGTCAAGGTGCTCTTCCTTGGGGGCCGTTTTGAGACGGAGTTTGGGTTGTGAGAAGCAGATGTGGCAGATGAGGGAGTCTGGATGCCAACAGGGTGGCCGCCCGATATGGGGGTTCCTGTGTTGGTGGGCGAGCTGGCATCGTCAGAGTGAGATATCGAGACAGCGCTCGTCGGGCACGTCATGCCCTGGTCTTCCATCATTGTGGCCATTTCGGGCTACGTATGCTGAAAGCTCGTGTATTAATGGCAGCCAAGGCTTATTCGAATAGGCCAAGTGTGATAGTTCCTTTCTTTCTCTTTCTTTTCTGTACAAACGAAATCGGGTTTATGTTCTTCCTCCTCTAGGATGCGCGCAATGGTGTAAACTGCGGCTTGATTCGATGAGCAGACCGCCGAAAGGGGGTATACTAGCTCGTCTGAAAAGATGTGGGATCGTCGGTATCGTCGTCCGATCGTGGTAGCTCGAGAGCCAGTAACTGGGGTGTGTATTTGAATGAGTGTGGTGGTGAAGCAGTTGAAGCCCAAGATAGGGAGTGTCGTCCTCAATGTATTGCTGCTGAGACAAGACTGGACAAGGTGAAAATGAAGACAAGCCAGCACACGAGCAGACAGGCAAGGTGAGGGTAAGTAACTGTGGATTGGATTGAAAAGGCGGGCAGGGTGGTTCGATATGATGCCGATGTCCGGTGCTAGAGCTGTGGAAGAGGCTCGTGCTTGCTGAAGCGAGGCGGATACGGATCGTTCTCTCTTAACAAGTCGCCGCCAAAAGAAAGTTCAAGTCCAGTCAAGGAAGAAAGGTGGCGAGATCAGGGTACTACTGCTAGCAAGCCAAGGCGATGTGGGATCTTCGCGACAACCGAATGAATGTAAATGGATACGCCCGGAAGGATTGAACGGGGTGATCCGAGAACAGCAAAATGGGGCTTTTAGGGAATGACTGTGGTTAGAACATAGAAGAAGCGGGGGAGGAGAAAGAAAAAAAAGGAGAGGAAGAGAGGGAAGAGAAAATGTCGAATTCAGCGACAGAGTGGTTGTAGATTGACGGTGAAGGATCACGATGGACAGGAGAGAAAGAGAGAGGGAAAAAGGGGGAAGGGAAGGGAAGGGGGCGGGCAGGAGGGAGGGAAGAAAAAAAAAAAAAAAAAAAAAAAAGGACAGACCAGTAGAGCAGGAGGAGAGGCAAGCGCAGACGACAGGGGAAAAGGTGAGTTCGTTCGGGAAAGGGACTCTAGGAACACTGGCCCGAGGAGAGAAAAGGGAATAGACCAGGAAGCCCCAGTAGGTGGGGTTTAGCCCCCTTGTCGCCATTCACAGCTGCGATTGGCCTCATCGTGCGCCCTCGAAGGGGGGCCACAGAAAGAGGTGGGTCTGGTGTGGACAGGAACAGGGCACGACAGGGACGGTCAAGGGCAAGGGTAGGGGCAAGGGCGGTTGGGTCCACGGCGCAAAACGGGGCATGAACGGGTACCTGGACTCACCATCCTCTCCCCTGTTCCTGCCCTGACCCCCTCGCCCCCCCTACAGCAGCAGCGTCAGCACAGTCCTTTTTTTCTTCATTTTTCTTTCTCTCACACATTTTTGTCCCACCTCTGTGTCTCTTCTGATTCCTCACCTCCCTCTCTCATATTCCATCCATCTAGAGTCACAGTCACTCCGAAACTTTCCACCGTCTTGCCCTCCACATCCCACATCCCACATCCCAATCCGCTCGCCTCTTTTTCTGTACCCACTCTCACTCTCGTACTATGCACTATGACTTGTACATAGTACTATAGAGTACATATTCACTGGCCAAGGCACGGGATCCAGGAGTTGCATTACAATGCTTTACTAGTATGGTCCTAGGTCTCACAGGAGTTCCACCACAATGGGACCGCCTATGAACCAACCTCGCAGGCCGAAGCTGACCAGGTGAAGTCACGAGAAAGAGGGTGAGAGAGAGAGGAGAGAGGAGAGGAGAGGAGAGGAGAGGAGAGGGTAGAGCTCTGTGGGGGGGCAGACGTGCGAGGCTTGGCTCCATCTGTCCACATCAGATGAAAAGTCCCCAGACCTACCCCCTTCCTCTCCCCACCAACACCGAGGACAAGCTGTGGCTAGCCAGGCACCAGCAGATACACACGCCCCCAACACTACTGCAGCAGAGTTTATGCAAAGCTGGTCTGGTCTGGCCCATCATGGGCTGCAGCTTGCCTTGTAACCGTGAACCTTGAAAAATAACCGGCATCCTCGGAACTCCTGAATGATCCTCGCCCACACAGCGCGAGATGCCTTTTCCCAACGTGGCATGACTGACGATCAGTGATGGGTGACCGCACGGGTCGGTGGCTGCTGTGCAGAATCTCTCGAGGACCGAAGGAGCACATGGTTACACACTGTACAGAGAGCACAGTCAGCTGTCGGCCGCCTCTCAACATGCCCAACAGGACGCCTACACCACCGATCGGGAGGACCACCACACCATGAAAGCTTTCCTCTCCCTTCTTCACCACCACTACAACTACAACGTCTCCATGCAGACAGTCCCCGTACCTGCATTAGCGTCAGGGGACCGTTTTTTCCTAAAAAAGACTGGCCGCCCGCACTAGACGCTACGCCGTCCAGGGCAAGCAGGCGGCCTGTTGCGCTGATCCACGGAGGATCGTTTCTGTTCCTCGCTGAACTCACTAGCCCATTGGTCCGCCCGCCCAGGAGCTCTACTAGTCCCCGCAGCCAGTGCGGCTGGGTTCAGCCCGTTCGTTCTGGGCTGTCTTTTGTTCGACAGGTCGTGAGTCGTGACGACCAGCAGTGGCTATCCCCGTACAAACAGCTCCGGCCAGATCCTGCTACGTACCAAAAAGTTTAGTTTTGCCTACCCTGGAAACGAACAGCTCGCGGTACAAAGTGCCACGTCCTCCCTCTTTGACGCCATGATCAATCACCGACCCATCGTTCAATGTGAAAATCATGCTGGACGACGTCGGTATCCTTGAGGCTGTGCTTCGCATTACTCGCGAGGGGTGGTTTGAAGCACGAAACAACGAGCAACCGCCAAGTATGCGAAGGTTATTGTGGGTAACGGACGGATAAACACACTTTCAGAAGACACGAATCACTGTTGGCTTTAGAACGGAGAGATTGGGGGGGGGGGGTGGTCGACATGGTGTGGGGTTACAGTCTGCCCTCTCGACTCTTTGCACCGTCCACTCTCCACACTAAATCGCCAGCACTGTGTTAGACGATCACCAAAGCATCCAAAGCACCGTGCCGTCATCATACCATGGCAATCGGCTACTGCTCTTGCGTTTCTGGCAACGGCAAAACCAAGCTGCATTGAGAGATCCAGGGCACAGGCAGTTGGTAGAGAGCAATAGCCTGGCTCGTCATGATTGTGCCGCTGCGCGATATTGTCTCTCCACCTGTCGCCTGCGGGCGCGACGATGGTTACAAGTTTCCAGGGACCGAGACACGCGCGTCACCGCCCGCGCGAACGTTCCCCGCTAGTCGCATCACCTGGGCTCCGCTACGCCGCAGGAGGCCGCAGAAGCTGAAGGGTCATGAGACCGACTGACAAGCTGGGTGAGGCGCCGAGCCCCTCTGGAGAGTTTGGAAACCCTTCGAGAATCGCGCCATCAAGGCAAGAGTTGATTGACTGCTGCAACAATCAGGCTGGCCTCACGCCATCCTCTACCCTCCTCAGGTCTGTGAAGGAAACCAGCGGCAAAAACCTTTTCTTCTTGCGCTACATGAGATGTGTGTGTACCACATGCCGTGGTACAGCAGGATGTACCTGTCTCCGGCCCAGATGCCTTGCGCAAAGCGTGGGACTAGGAGCTCCATGAAGGGGGAACCGAAAAGGGGGGAGACGGTGACCTCTTGGAAGTGGCTTCTGGAGGAACGCGGCCCATGTCACAGTGCATACTTCAGGAACCGTCATCTCTGACACTGTTACAACAATGCCACCCCAGCAGCGTTGTGTTGTGCTTGCACTGACTTGCGATGGTTGTGTGACTTGTGCACAGATGCCTCGTCAACGGCCACTTTTGACAATTTGCCTTTGCGCCGCGGTCTCGTCTGACGGTTCACAATACTAGTTTCCAAGCTTGTCAACAACGGCTCAACTCATGACGAGCCTCGACTGCCGGGAAGGGATGTCAGACACTTCAGGTCAGCATGAGCAGGTTTCCAGTGCGGCATTCGCTTGTCCAGCGCCAGAAAGGAAATGTCATACATAATAGTACGCTGGTCTACAGCGGACTGACTTCGGTGGCTACCAAGATTGGAACAACTCTCTTTGTATGACGACCCCAGCGTCAATCTGCTGTGCGAGTTGAATGCGTGCCACTTGATCATAAACATTCTGGGACTCAACAGATTGGGCAACCTAGTTCCTCTCTCGTGGTCACTCGAGAAGCCGGAGTGGATCCTATCCGCTTGTTTTCTTCTTTTTTCTTCTTGCCCTCCCTCATCGCCCTTTGGCCGTACGGGTAGCTTTCCCATTATTCAGGTCGCTTGGGGAACCGCATACCGTCGCAACAGCCATCCTGAAGGAATCCATGGGCTCAAGGGATTACCTAGCATGACGATTAGGACGCAACGAAGCTTGACTCTGCTGTTGCTTATCAGAGTTGAACCGTCGAGTTCATTTTACACAAGCGTTCCGCGGGCATGTGCGGCAGCCACCAGCGACAAGATGTGCTGTCTCGCTCTCCGTACGGGACCAACAAGAAGAAGAAGAAGAAGAAGACAGAGACAGACTTCTGTTCGCGGTGATATTCGCGGAGAGATTCGGGCTTCAGGAGCCTTCAGCAAAGATCTCGGCTCGAGGCCGTCAGTACGCTGTGGCACAGTGCCAACACATGTTTTTGTCTTGCGAGTGGCTTCCCCATTGTCCTTGCTTCACTGCGACGTGACCCTTGGGCATGGTGGAGCTTTGGGACTTTAGACTAGTACAGTCCTCCCAGGGGTCCACAGCAGATCTCGTTCTTTCGTCTGAACTTTTGACTGGCCTCGTGCAACTCCCGCACCCTTCTACTGTGGTACCATAGTATACTGTCAACTCGCGACATGTGTACATAAGAGTGCCACGACTTCGGGAGACGATGAAAAGAAGAACCCCCCTCTGCAGCCGACTCGGTTAGACATCAGGTCAGCCATATTTCCAGCCCAGCCCAGCATGCAATGGTTACTATGTACCCCATCTATGCCTTTGGTGGGGGTCTCCCGGTCCCGACAAAAGCGCTGAGGGAGGCGGATCTATCTGCCCGGCTTGCAGAGCTTCCAGTATGTCACGAGTCAAGATGGCTGTGGGGCGTGGCACCTGTCCATCCCTTTGGTAGCCTCTCGGAGTCGCCATGACGGTAGGTAGAATCGGGCTCTGGGTTGTTTAGTGTTTGTGGGGTTCTCCTTTTCTGCCCCTTGCATTGACAGGGCGGGAAACGTTGGTTGATCCGTAAACCAGCCCCCCTCCCCTCCCCCAAGAAAAACGTTACGGCGCCTTGCTTCGTCAGCGACTGCTCCCCCGCTTCGCTGGTTGGCAAATGCCGACGTCGCGCAGCTCTTTGGGACCGAGGCTGTGGCCTGCCACTGATGCCTTGTACAGTCTTGTAACGACCCAATGAGGGAGAGCTCTGTACTATAATAGAGCGTCGAAAGGACCAAAGTCCCCTTCTCCCTAGATGATTGGTTCTCGGGAGACCCCAGATCAGCCTTTTGCCCTCCTCGTGGTGTAGGATTGAGCCTGCGCCTGAGATTGTATACCTACGCGACTCAACCCACGACGGCCAAGGGGCAGAGAAAGGATCATCAGCGCCATTGGTGCCACTCGTGGCGATCAGTGGTCACGCGGCGCCGACGGAACAATCCGGTCTGATGTCTATCATAGGATCAGCCTGCAGTCTTCTTCGGGCTATCACTACTACTATAGCACTACTGCTGCCAGTTCACTGCATACTCCCCGCCTCGTTGAGGTCTGAGAGGCAGGGCAGGTCCCCTTTCTAAGCCAGTCTTGTCCGACACAGGACAATGCTCCGGTTTGACAACGAGCGGGGCTTCAGCCTTGTCCTGAGGCAAGCATGACGCGATGTGGCAGTGTTTTCCTGCGCCAGGCGGTCAAGCGGCTCAAACTCCCCCTCAACACACCCCCCGGCACGCAGAGAGGTCTGAAGCTGATGGCTATGCACCCCAAGCCTCGTCTCGGAACATATACCAGGTGATAGAGTCAGTGAAGGCTCCGCCAAATCCACCTGGCGTAGGATCACAACGGGGTGGTTTGTGAAGTTCAGGACTGAAGTCTACGAAACGGGAAAAGTGGCAGCCTACTACAGCACTGGAGTGCGCTCGATCGGGCACACATACCTAAGCTTTCCTAAAGTCCCCCCCCCCCCTCTTCTCATGCTTGTTCACCTGATAGTCATAGTAAGCATGCCCAATTGTCGAGACGATCAAGAGGGTATAGTATTGGTATCTAATGGCCGTGCCTCCTCATCATCCGTTAGCAGTCGCCACCATATGTCCAGTACTGCAGGATATACGACGACAGAGTGATGATAGACACGGCAACGGATGCAATGCAGCCATGAGGCGGCGTATGGATTTTCGACATCGACCATGCCTCCTCCTTCGGTCGAGCTACACAAGGCTGGCAAGCTGGCTGTCTTCATTTTGCACGTACATACGGGAGACGTCGAACCATGATGTTGGGTCTTACTAATACCTTCCCTTCTGAGCGCTAATAGTATACGGATCGGTGCCATTTTTGATATCTGGATGGGGATAGGAAAGAGAGGGGGGGGGGGAAGAGAGGGGCCCAATTGGTCACAACGGATCGTTCCGCCCGTAACACACAGTTCTTACTTCTATGGTACTACCTGCAACTCTAGACCGAGGATGTCGTTTTTCTATGGAACCATCTGCTAGTCGATGACGCCGGCAAAGCCAAAAAGTGAGGCGCAAAAGCTGGACTGGGACTCTTGTTCGTCCGATCTCGACAAGTGAACCAGCTGACTGGGTCTTTGCCACCATGTCAGTGTCGATCCCCCTGGATCGTCCTTCTCCATCTGGTATCGCCAAGCTGAGGCCAGACGATGGCGCTTGCAGCGGCATGCAGAGGAGGCAAGGGAACCCTCGCCGGCTCCCCCCCCCTTCTCTCCCCAAAAAGAAGATGCTGCTTTCGACACCTTATCGAGACGCCAAGAGGAGCAGCAGGGCGGGCAGGATACACATCTTTCCTTTCTTCCAGGGTTGCATTGCGTCTTGTGATGATACCCAAAGGCGCCATCGGCCTTGTAAGCCTATCACATTTGTTGTTCTGCCCACAGCACGTGTCGAACATATGAAAAGCCCACCACAAAGGGTTCAATTCCGACATTTCTTTCCCTTGAAACCCGGTGTCCCAGATTCTGGATCTCAACAGGGAGTAAACGATCAAGAATCGTCAGGATGGTGGAGCTGAGGACGAGAGCGGGAAGGGGAATGGAAAGCCCAATGCGGTAGAAGAAGAAAAAGAAGATAAAAACCAGAGCTAGACTTTCTTTATTTAGACTTCTTGGCACCAGATAGCTACGCCGCTGCCACGATCACACGTTTCGCGCGCGACTGCGGCCCCCGCTGGAGGGGGGGGTGCAATCACAGGGCAGGAGGGGGGGTTGGATAGGAGCCTTGGTTTGTTTCATGGTGGGTAGATGTAGAAAAGTTTGCCGCGTCAGAAGCCCAGGGTGAGGTGCGCAACATGAAAAGGGGGGGTTTGTGCTTTTCTCAAGCTCTCGGCGTGCAAGGTGTTGTCACAACAAACGTGTGCCACGCCATCGTCGTTTGGCTGCTGCTCGTTGCCCCCCCCCCTCCGCCCCACGACCCCCTCTGGCCGAGGTACTAAGTGAAGATATTCCCCGTTCCCCATACGACGAAGGTGGCACAGCACCACAAATGGCTCCAACAAAAAACAGTTGTCGATCACTCAGGCGACCATGGGGAAAGGGGGGGGGGGGGTTTCGACAGGTCCAAAGAGGTGGACTTTTATTGACTCTTGCTTGGGCGATCTTTGCCAGACAGACAGTTGCCGGATGCAGGGGGATCCTGCTCGGAGGCCGAGAGGCTGAAAGGCAGGATGGGGACATGATTGCATGTGATTCCAACTCCCTCTTCCCTCTTTTCTTGCGCTTACGCTTGGAGAGAGGTGGGTTTGCTACCATTTGAGATGGCAGGGCTTGATCACCGGCCTGCCTTGGGAAGTTCCCGACTGCGACTACAATGCGTACCTTCAAATGGGGGTTCTTCATTACTCCTCTCTCCTGCTATTTGCTCTTGCCAACATAGGACCGCCGCGCCCTGGAGGTCGACTTGATGCAACGCGTGGCCTACCATCCCTCGTGCTCCTCCTGCCGCGGATGCGGATGCCCCGTGATTTCCTTGAGAACCTCCCTCGTCCTCGCGTTATCCTCAAAACTCAGATTGATCAGGTCCACCACCTCGTCTACGGTGAAGAACAGGCTCAGCTCGCTGTCCATCCACAGGAACCGCACATCCCGCAGGTTGGACTGCAGCACCTCGCTAAGGTACTTGAGCCGCATCCATGATGGCGCGTACTGCATCGTCTGGGGCGCCGCGTGCTGCTCTTCTTCTCCCCCTGCCTTGCGGCGGCCCGGCACGAACAGGTCGTCCAGCTCGGTCACACTCGCGATCAGCTTGGCGATATTGTAGGCGTCCTCCTGGCCGATGGACGGCGCCTCCATGACGTCCGAGATGATCTTGAGCGAGAGAGCGTCTACCAGCGAGCCGACGGCTTGATACCAGGCCGACCTCGCCAGGATGGTCTCCCAGGTGAGTGCGAGAGACCGTACGCGCGTGGTGGCGGCGTCGACACAGCTATCAGTATCATCCTGCATGAGAAGGCTTTGTTCACCTGGGGATTGCAACTATTAGCCAGGGGCCCGCAACAACAATAGCAACAAAACAGCAACAAAAGGAGTGGCGTTTCAAAGCAAAAAAAAAATTCCACAAACCTCCTAGCAGATCCCGGAGGACGGTTTTTTGTATGTTCATCTCGTTGCTATACGCACGGGCGGCAAAGCTTTGGAGCATCTTGATGTCGTTGTCGAGACGCAGTGATCTCTGTGCTTGTGTGCTCAGGTCTTCACGTGCCTTCCATGATGCTGCGAACTCGCTGAGCTTCTCTGCTAGATAAGTTGTGTCGTTGTATAAAAACCTGCTGCCATGTCAACAGCCAAGCGCGAGGGTGAGAGAAAAAGGCCCTAAAGCTTCTGTTCTTGGAGACTCACATGTTGCCTCCTATATCAAGCGCATAGTAATAGGGGCCAACGGCTCGGAACATGGCCAGTGCCAGGGTGGGCAGGGCGAACAGGCCAGCGGCAGCTTTGGCCACAGGACTGCCCTGATGTCTGTCTGATGTCAGCCACCGAAAGAAGAGTGATAGAAGAACAGAGAGCACATACTCTGTTTGCGTCAAGATTGCGCCATCCTCCAGAATGGCAAATATAAGCTGTAGAACAGGTTCCGGCATTGAAGAGATGTTGTATGTCTCTTTGAGGGTCATTTCCCTTTGTCGCTCGGCTGGCGTGGTCGCTGAGGCTGGTTGTCTGGCCACAGGCGCGCTCTGGGGCTCTGCCTGGGTATCGTCATCCCCCCACCCCCATGCCGCACCGCCCTCATCGTCGTCGTCGTTGCCGCCATTGCCTTCTCCCTGTTTTAATGCTGGGGTTTCTGGTTCTGCCGTCTCCTGCGACTCACCCTCGTCGCCCCAGGCTCCCCATGCATCTGCCCCGTCCTCGTCCTCGCCCTCTGCCGATTTTGGGGCCTCTTCCTTGGTCTCCTGAGGAGCCGCATCTTGCTGATCGCCTTCATCGTCCCATGCCCCCCAGTCATCGTCTTCGGCAGCGGCGGCAGCGGCAGTGGCCGGTGCGGCTGCAAGCTCCTGACCCTCAGCGCGCGAGACCATCTGTTTCTCAACCCTCTCCACTTTCTTGGAAGATCCGAGCCCGCCAGACAGCCGGTTTCGTACCGTGTCTAATGCAGTTTCTCTACACTTTGCGAGCCAGACTTTGGGCGCATCGTCGACCCATTCCTGTAGTTCATTGAAGCCAGACAGCCGCAACTCTGTGAGTCTCATACAGAAACGCTTCGCAACCGCCATAATGCTCTCAAAATAGTCCATCTCCTTCAGCGATGCAGGGACAGCCGGGTCCAGCCAGAGAGATATGATCCGGCTTGCGATGTCCGGCATCATCAAAGTGGACAGAGAGTCGATCAGGTCTGTCGGGAGCCGCTGCGAAAAATAAGAGAGCACCGTATCCATGTCGGCGAAGAGGGCGTCTATCGACCGGTCTGCTGGGCCCTCTGTTCGCAGTGCATCACCGTCGATGACAACGGCTGGCAAGGCCTCGCTGCTGACATCCATGCGAGGCGCCACGATGGCCTGGTCAATCTCATGCCACAGCTGCGCCATGCGCTGATCGACCTCCTTGTATGCCTTGAGCCCGGTAGCAGCATTGGAGAGGTTCATTGCCTCGCCCTCCATCGTCTCTCGGACCGAGACGGTCCTCCTCTCCATATCGACGTGCACCAGACCCTGCCAGACATGCTCGAAGACCTCGTGCACGGTGTTCTTCAGCTCCAGGGCCCTCAGGTCCAACAGCCGCACAACGCGCACACCCTTTCCGACGGGCAGTGTATCAAGAGCCTCCCATGCCGTCTCGAGGAGGCCCAGCGCATCCAATATGCGCCGCTCGCCACATGCCTGCCCCGCCTGGTCAAGCAGCCCGCTGACGTTCTTGATGGAGGCGAGGGCCTGGCGTACGCGCGTGTTGTAGGCAAGCTCGGCCTGTAGGAATGCGACCTTCTCCTCCGCCTCGAGTGTTGCCTCCCCGGAGACGGCGGGTTCGGAAGCCTGTCGTAGGATGTCGTTCGCGGTCTGGCGTGATCGGAGAATGTCGGACTGGAGGGAGGCAGCGTTCGCTTTCCAGGTCGCGACGTCTAGTTCGGTCTGTTCATTGATGGTGTGTATTTCGGCCTAGTTTGTGCTCGTGTCAGTGAAGATGTCTTTGCAAGATTTGGGTAACCAAAAGAGACAGGACGAAGAAGGAAAGAAAACAAAGGTAACGAACCTCGAGGGTGGATTTGGCCTGTGAGAGCGCCTCGATGGCCTGGGGGAGCGCCTCAGAGCTTAACTTAAGAGCCGACGCATCTTCTTCCGGGAATGTGCCGCTTGTGGTGAAGTTGACAAGAGCCTGGCCAAGGGCGCCCGGCATGCCCTGTGCGCTCATGACGGAGAGAGAGGGGTAATACCTGTGTTGAAAGCACAAAACAAAAAGAATGAAGACGGTGACGACGATTTGCGACAAGCTGTCAGGAAGTTGGCTCGTGGCAGGGCAGCAGGGGTTGTTGTCCCAGCAGCTCCGCCTACTGTAAGCTCAGCTCCGATTAGCCCACGCCAGGGGCCCTAGGCCTGGCTGCTTTTTTGCTATGGTTTAGTAGAAGTACCATGGTATCATCATTGGCAATCCCTCTGAGGATTGTCTCTGTCTTGGGGTCAACCATTGGATTATCGCCTTAGCAGAGTTGTATCCTACGCATGCTACGACAACTACATGAGGCAACATTCTTCCAATTGGCAAAGTTGCAGTGGCACACATAGAAAGTTCCCATTGATAAATCTATACACGCTTGAGTACTGTACTGAGCGTGTACCATAGTATGTTCTTGCTGGCATGAGTACTTAGTATGTATGCTGCTGCGCCTTGAAAAAAAAACAAAAAACAAGTGTACAAGACTGTAGATCAAGGTTGGACGGTAAATACACAGTAGATCGATTCACTTGCACTGAGCGACCAAGTAATTCCTATGAGCCCAGAACTCTTGAGTAACTGTCGAGCTCAGGTCAGGGCTTCTTATAACCCTAGCCTGCCCGCTAACGGCGGGGATAATCGATATCTTTATCGAGTTGCCCCTCCACGATGACAAGTACTGCAGACCTTCACCCACGTTTGACCAGCAACAGACTCACTGAACGAGGTCAGTCTCTGCTTGTTTTCCATCTTTGCTTTCTATTGGAAAGATTATCTTCTTTCTTTTCAATTTATAGGCCCGTAGGCTTTGAATCCCAAAGAGTTCGCCATACATTAGGGCTTCTTCTTCCTAACGCACTTGTTGTCAATGTGCGTCACTTTTGACGCTGCCTATCACCCTCTCTTCCCTTACTTATCCTACTTACCTTGAACATGCCCCATTTTTCTCTCAGTCTAGCAACAATACGCACAAGGACTTTTCCATGATCATTTACTTATACTTCTCGAAATCTTTACTGACGCTCTACCCTCGGTTGGCAGTGTGCAAGATCCAGCCTGATAAATACAGCACTATAACCAGGTAGACAGCGTATCACTGAATCCTACAGGTCATCGATCGATCCTGCCTCGTCCCTCTCCAGGGGCCGCATCGCCATACCCCCCCGGGAAAAGAAGGACAAAAATCCCATCAGGCCAACAACACACACTTTTTGCTGCAAGGTATGTCAGCTTGGTCTTCTGCAACCATCAGATCACCCAAGCACACACATTTACTCTATCGCTCATGACCATACCCTGTCGTGCAGCCTAACTGCATGTCTTACCCAGTGTCCTTATTCAATCGGCGATTCTCTTCGTTTTGCTTCCTTTTTTATCCTTACCCCCCCCCTCCCTACGTCGACCCCTCCATCCATCCAGCCCGCTCATGCATGAGCACAACATCTTGGCCTCCCAACGCAGGTAATGTCATCCGGAATCCATGTCCCAACTTGGAGGTAGTCTGGCCTGCCGCCCGCCCGGTGCTTCTCGCACTCCAAGCGGCTCCAGAGGATAGCCGCCGCCTCATATGAACATGGCCTACTTGGCCAGTCTACCTAGAGCTCTGCTCCTCGCCGCGTTGGCCGCCCTGCTTGCTTCTGTCGCTCTGTATCGCCAAGGCGTAGACCCTCGGTATGCACTAGATTGATGTGACAACGAGCACATACATCAAACCACGTACCCCAGCCTTATAACCTTGCACCGCTTGTTGGTCATGTGCCATGCAGAGAGATGCGTTTGCCTACCGCCCTATCACCTGCTGGCCCCGTCGCGCACCCTTCCCCCCCCCCCCCCTTTGCAACGCCCGAGATTGTCCTCTGTTGACTGGTCGTCATACATACATTACACACACACACACATATATATATATAGAACCTCCCTTGTTTCTTCTAGCTGTATAATCTGTTGGGCTATGTACTGACCCTCTCATTCTAGGGACGTTAGAGGGTTCTTCCAGAATCTCACCGTCTTCACTATGGCACCTGCACAGAAGCCTCGGTTCCACAAGATCCAGGAATTCAAAACTGAGTATGCTCCAACCACCATCACGCAGTATGAGTCTGTGCGGAGTGGTATGCAGGTGATCGTGGCCGACCGCGAGGGTCCAAAGATCAATGGTTACTTCACCCTGGCGACGGAGATCCTGGACGACTCTGGGGCACCCCACACGCTGGAGCACCTGGTCTTCATGGGCTCGAGGAGCTACCAGTACAAGGGGCTCCTCGACAAGCTGGCCTCCAGGGCCTATTCGAGCACCAACGCGTGGACCGCCGTCGACCATACCGCATACACCCTGGAGACTGCTGGCTGGGAGGGTTTCGCCCAGATCTTGCCCGTCTATCTAGAGCATGTCATCCTGCCCACCATCACCGACGAGGCCTGTACCACAGAGGTCCACCATATCGATGGTGAAGGCAATGACGCTGGCGTGGTGTACTCTGAGATGCAAGCTCTGCGCTTCAACATGGCCGAGCTCATGGACCTCAGAGCACGCCGCATCCTCTACCCAGAGAACGTCGGCTTCCGATACGAGACGGGAGGTATGCCGGAGCAGCTGCGGGACCTGACGCCGCAGCGGATCCGCGAGTTTCACAAGGCCATGTATCAGCCTCGAAACCTGGCCGTCGTTATTGTAGGCGAGACGGACCATGAGAACCTGCTCGACATCTTGGACAAGTTCGAAGAGAGTATCGAGGACAGTATACCTCCACTTGACGCTCCTTTCAAGAGGCAAGCCACCGCTGGACCCGGCGACCCCGTGGTAGACTGTAGCTTGCTGTTGCTGACGTGAATTTCCAGGCCTTGGATTGACTCTGCTCAGCCGCCACCTCTCAAGGAAACCGTCGTAGTCACAGAGGAGTTCCCTGAAGAGGACGAATCAACCGGAGATATCGCCTGCGCTTTCTTCGGCCCCAACTGTAACGACCTTATTGCTGTTGCCGCCCTCAATGTCCTGCTGACCTACTTGTGTGGCTCGTCCGTCTCGGTCCTCGAGAACATCATGGTGGAAAAGGAGGAGCTGGCCAGTTCCGTGTCTTACTGGTGGGACGCGAGGCCCAACTCCACCATCTGGTTCCAGCCTACAGGTGTCGCCGCTGAGAAGCTCGAGTTTGTCGAGAAGAGACTGCACGACCTCCTGAAGGACGTAGCCTCGAAGCCCCTCGACATGTCATACATGAAGGAGTGCATCAGCCGCGAGCGGCGACAGGTCAAGTTCTCGGCCGAGAGCTCGGAGCAGTTCTACTCACAAAACATCATCTCTGACTATCTCTTTGGCAAGCGGGATGGGTCGACCTTGAGCGACCTCAAGACGGTACGAGAATATGATGTCCTGAACCAGTGGGCTGATGAGCAGTGGCGTGGGTTCCTCAAGACATGGCTGGTGGATGTCCATCACGTATCTGTCCTTGGCAAGCCCTCGATGGCAATGGCGACCAAGCTGAAGGAGGCCGAAGAGGCACGTATTGCCAAGAGGAAAGAGGAGCTCGGGGAGGACGGGCTGCGAAAGCTGGCAGAGAAGCTCGAGGCAGCCAAGGCCAAGAACGAAGTCGACATCCCTCCCTCTGTCCTCGACCAATGGCCGGTGCCTGGCACCGACTCGATACATTTTATCGAATCAGCCACGGCAAGATCTGGGAAGGCAAAATCTGTCGGAGTGAGCAAGGGCACAGCTCAAAAGCTCATCGACAATGCCAAGCCAGGCCTGCCCTTGTTTGTCCAATACGAACATGTGCCCAGCAACTTCGTCAATGTCGCCCTCCACATCGGTACTTCCATAGTACCCGTTGAACTCAAACCACTCATGTCCATTTTCATTGACAACTTCTTCAACACCCCCATCAAGCGCGACGGAAAGCTGGTCGACTTTGAAGATGTGGTGATGGAGCTCGAAAAGGACACGATCAGCTATGCCATCAATGGTGGTGGCAAAGTATACGATCCCGAGAGTATTTTCATCAGTCTCCAGCTGGAGCCGGAGAAGTACACGGCGATCATTGAGTGGGTGCGTGCTCTGATGTTTGACAGTGTCTTCGACGTACGAAGACTGAAGGCGAGCATGTCGAAGGCCCTAGCCGACATTCCCGAGGCCAAACGTGACGGGAGGTCGATGTCCCTGGAGGTGGACTGGGCCCTGCACGTCGAGAAGTCATGGCTGCCCATGGCCAGGCGGACACTCGTCAAGGCTGTTTATCTCCGCCGGCTGAAGAAGCTACTGCAGAAGGAGCCAGAGAAGATCGTCGAGATGTTCGAGCAACTGCGCAAGTGTCTCTTCACATTCGAAAACGTCCGGGTGCTGGTGACCAGCGACATCGCCAAATTGAGTGACCCTGTGCAGCCGTGGGACAGCCTCACCAGGCTTCTTGGCAGCGAGAAAGACATGGCTCCTATCATCGAAACCCACACCGTGCTCAACTCCGAAGGCAAATCACCAGGCAAGATCGGCTCCGTGATTATCCCAATGACCAGCCTGGACAGCTCATACAGCGTCAGCACCACACAGGGCCTCAAGTCGTACAATGACTCGAGGGTGCCAGCGATGCTCGTGGCGATAGGCTACCTCGAAGCGGTGGAGGGACCGCTGTGGAACGCCGTGCGAGGCAGTGGCCTTGCGTACGGCACACACTTCAGCCGAGAGCTCGATTGGGGCTTCCTACAGTATCGTGTCTACCGATCGCCTGACGCCAGCAAGGCGCTCGACATCTCGCGGGAGACGGTGGAGAAGATTGCTACCGGCCAAGTCCCGCTGGACAGGCATCTCGTAGAGGGCGCTGTCAGTGGGATCGTGTCTGGGTTCGCGGACGAGCAGTCCACGATGGCGGATGCAGCTCAGCAGAACTACATCCTCAGCGTCGTCAGGGGGCTGGGGCTGGACTGGACGAAGAAGATCATGGCACAGGTGCGGAACGTCACGGACTCCGAAATACGGCAGGTGATGAAGGACATGATCATGCCAGTGTTCCAACCCGGGAAGAGCAATGTGGTGGTGACGTGCGCGCCCATCATGCAAGAAGTAAGTACTCTCCAACATGTGCCGACCGGCTTTCCTATAGGCTTGCAAGAAACTGACCTGGGCTCTCTCTGCAGAACATGGAGAAGGCTTTCAAGACCATGGGCTACGCCACGCAGGTCAAGGCCCTGTCAGACTTCCATGAGGACTACGGTCTAGCTGGAGGGGATGACGACAATGAAGACCCTGAAGAAGACGAGGATGAGGAAGATGATTCTGAAGAGGAGGACGAGGATGACGACGACGACATGTCTGAAGAGGGGGACGCCATGATGGATGGCGTGGATGGTGGATCAGACTTTGAGATGGAAGATTAGAACCACTGGCATGCATAGCAGCTGAGTAATGCGCTAGACACTAGACTCATTATTCATGATAGAAATACAGAAAGACATGCAAGAGCGGCGGCAAAAGGTGATATATCCGAGTGAATTCTTGGCCGTTAATGAGGGAGGCATGAGAGGGTCTCAACCTGCCTGGACCTAAGTCTGGGCTAGACGGTGCTACACCGATGAAAGGATGATATCGATCATTGGTAGGAGGATTGATGGTGTAAAATATTGAATTGCTATGATACCAAGTATGAACTGTAATCATCGTGTGTGAGGACGCAGCAGCACTATACGTCTTGTGGTCAAATGACTTTCCCTTAGTGGGTTCCAGACCGCTGCTGAGCAAGCGGCCTGGCCCGTCAACGGTGGGGTCCCCCAGGTTTGCCGGATTCGGCGGTCACCTATCGTCCGTGACAAGATAGTACTATGGTAGTAGCAATAATATGTCATATCCTTGACGTCTTTCGCCCGGGGAGGAGGGGCCATCCAGGTTCCGATGAGCGGTCAGTTGTGAAGCCTTCCTGTTTCTGAAAGCTTCATAATCCTCAACTAACAACCCAACTGGTCAGACCGCAGGTTTTCTTTCTTTTTGTCTTCTTCCCCTCCCTTTTTTTTTTTTCCTTTTCTTCCACTTTCACTCCTTTTCTTTGCTCGGAAGCCTACCCTTTCAAGAAAAAGAAAGAAGAAGAAGAAGAAGCCGCCCGGCAGCCGACAAATCCACCTTCGCTTCCACCACCCAACAAACAACCCTCCCTTCTCAGCACACTCACTCTCTTGCTTATTAAGATGGAGTCTGGTGGTGCATCGCCAATGCCAGGGGCAGTTACGCCCTCCAAGACCTCCAAGCGCAAGATCTGCGTGTACTGTGGCTCCTCGCCTGGGTCTAAGCCGGAGCACATGGCGGCTGCAGCGCAGCTTGCGGTGGTGATGGCCGCCAACGACATTGGTTTGGGTAAGTGGTGCTGGGTGTCATCCTTGTTGTTCTCCTCTGCTTGCCCCCCTCCATGAATGTGTATTGCTGACACAAGGGATTCTTCCTCCTCCTCCTCTATATATAGTCTACGGCGGCGGCACAGTCGGCCTCATGGGTGAGATCGCCCGCACCCTCGTCAGCCTCTCAGGCCCCGACGCCGTCCACGGCATCATTCCGGCCCCCCTGGTCAAGTACGAGCGCGACCCCACCTACACCTCGACGGTCAGCCACCCGGCCAACGGCGACAAGCCCCTCGCCATCCCCGAGGAGTCCATCTTCGGCCGCACCACCGTCGTCCCGGACATGCACACCCGCAAGAAGATGATGGCCCAGGAGGTCCAGGCCGGCGGGCCCGGGTCCGGGTTCATTGCCCTGCCGGGCGGGTTTGGCACCATGGAGGAGCTGCTGGAGATCTGCACCTGGAACCAGCTCGGCATCCAGCGGAGCGGCATCTGTGTGCTGAACGTGAATGGGTTCTATGACGGGCTGATCAACTGGATCGGGAAGAGCATTGACGAGGGGTTCATACGGCCTGGGAATGCCGAGATCCTGGTGTCGGCTTCCACGCCGGAGGAGGCGGTTAAGGCGCTGGCTGACTACAAGACGCCGGACTCGGTGCTGAAGCTGTCGTGGGGTAACGAATAGACGGGGATTCTTGGCTGATATGAGATGACGCCATGTCAGGTCCATGGGAACCGGGGATGGTATGAAAACTATATACATACACACATACATGGATAAGACGGGCGGATGGGATGGGAAACTGGAATGGCAAGGAAGGCCGGAACATGGCGGCGTTGGTGCAAGTGTTTTATTTTTACTTTTTTTCAAGAACAGAGTTACAGACAGACAGACAGACAGATGGGCATGCGGGCGGCAACGTCTTCCAGGCTGCATGGGGTCATGGGCATCATGCGCTGCTGGCGGTGGTGTATAGAATGGGTCTCACAACACTCAAGATACAAGGATTTCTCGTAAATCTAGTCGATAGTACTATGTATTTATTATGAGGGAGCATTGCTTCAGAAGGAACGGGAAAGGCAAAGAATGAAAAAAAAGTGTGTCCAACAGAAGTCGAAGGCTTCTTGCTACCAATATAGATTGCCCTTATTGGAAACACGCATGTCATCTCTACTGCCATGCAGCATCATGAGCACGTTTGTTTTGGCAATTTTGCTTTGTGTCATTCATTACCTCTGGTCGAGCAACCTTTTATGCGCCGCTTCCATGTCGTCTAATTTCGTGCATGATCATACAAGTGCTCTGTATCTGCCCATCGCTCTCTGCCCATCTCTTCCTTTGCAGTCTCTTGACAACCTCAGCCGGTAGAGACGTTGTCACAGCTGCTCTCCTCACCAACATCTCCAGGGTGAAGAACGAGCAACTAACTGTCGACATCCATGCCCTCAGCAGCAGCCGGCGCACCACCCTCCGTCTCGCCCTCGCCCTCGCCCTCATCCTCACCATCACCACCAGCCTCCTTGTCATCCGCGACCGAGTCAATCCAGGCCTTGACGTCCTGGCCGTCATACACCTTGAACGGGTCGACACTCTTGACGCCGTCCTTGCTGATCTCCAGGCCCACAATACCCACGCTCGTGTTCTCCACCGTCAACTCGCGGTCCTGCACCAGGCTCTCCTTCAGCGCCCGCAGGCCGTGCCTGATCAGCTCCTCCCGGTCGCAGCTCGCAAACTTGTCGAGGTTCTTCTCCAGGTACGTCCGGGCCATCTGAGACCGCCCACCGATAGCGAATGCCACCATTTCCTCGCACAGGCCCGAGGGCTGGAACTCGAACAGATGGGGGCCCTTGTCGTCGACGCCGGCGACCAGCAGCCCGACGCCGTATGGTCGCTTGCCGTAGTGCTGGGTGTTGATCTGAGCCTTCTCGCCGATCATCTCGACCAGCGAGCGCAGGGGCATGTCGCGGCCATATGTCAGGCGGTGGCCCAGGCACTGCTGCTTCATAAAATTGGAGAGCACGCGCGCGTCCGAGGCGAGGCCGGCGATGGCGATGCCCACGTGGGAGTCGATGGGAAACAGTTTCTTTTGGTACGAGGAAAGTTCTTCGGCATTGCGCTGCACGGGAGAGAGGGCGGTTCGGCCTGTGTCAGTCTCGTGCTGTGCTGTTTGGTTGTCGGGCAAGGAGGGGGAGGGTGCGACGGTCATACCTTGATGCCCACCAGGACCGAGTGTGACTTGCTTGCTATTCCCACGACCACTGAGCCTTGCTTGACCGCCTCTGCGGCGTATTCGACCTGGAATATCCTGCCTTGTGGCGAGCTGTGCAGAAAGAAAGTCGAGGTCAGCAAGGGCGAGAGTCCAGCGAGAGCGCGAAAACCAGTCAGAGCTGCGCGGCTTACAATGTGACGGAGTCGTTGTCGTAGTTGTTCCTGAACATCTTGGAAGCTCAGTGATGTGACGTAAGGGAGAATGGAAAGGTTTGAATTGACGAGTCTGGGAGAGAGGGGCAAAGGTTGTGGGTTGATTGTAAGTGGACAAGAAAGTCGCGATGTGGTTGTGAATGAATGAGCTTCCAGGCCGAGAGAGAGAGATGCGTTGTAGTGTGTGGTTGCAGGTGCAAGGCCTCAGAGGTGAGCTAAAGGCAAGGCAACTTCGAGCTTCGTAACGGACTGAGCTCACTCTGCTGGGGCGCCGGGGGGGGGTGCAAGCTGAGGAAGACTAGCCACGAAGGGTTTATCGCTGATAAGCAACGGGCTTGGGGGGCCGGTACTGGCAGGCGTGGCAGGCGTGGCAGACGTTGGCAGGCAGCGTCACGTAGGCCCCCTGTTGGCGCCTGTTAGGCCCACCCTGGGGCTGGCTTGGGGGGGGGTTCGCTCCTCAAACAATGACCCCAGCTTCCCGGCAAGGAAAGCTGCTGCTGCTGACGACGTCAACCTCATCGTCAAGTCTGACTGACTCTTTCTTGTCTCTCTCTCTGACCCATCGTCGCCCAGACCCCTGCAGGACCCCAGCTTCGAGCCTCGCCATTACGACGTAAACACCTGCGAGTCCCTTTAACTTATATATACGAATTGTCATATAGACCAGACGCCGTCTCGCTGCTCATCAGCCCTCGATCACCTTCTCGTTCCCCCCTCCTCACGTGGCATTGGCCAAGGCCTTTCTCCCCTTCCTTCGACATCGACTACAACCTCGTACCACTCCTCTCCTTCTGACCCCAGGGATTACATCCAATATGCCCGGCCTCAAAACTATTATCGCCCTCTCCTTCGTCCTCGCCGTCGGGTTCCTGTTGGTCATCCTGTCGTGCGCGCTATGGAAAAGGTACTATCCACTGCTGGTCGTGGCAACCTACATCATCGCGCCACTGCCCAACTGGATCTGCAGCCGGTGCGCCAATCCGGACGATTACGTTGAGAGCTCAGGGAACGCCGTGCTGGATCTCGGGAGGTTTTGTACTGGGTTCTTGGTCCTGATGGGCATCGGTAGGTGTTGACTTCTGGCCGAGAGGAAGAAGAAACATTCATGGTGGTTTTGGACAGTCAGTCAACGAGCATTTGCTAACGGGATATTGTTCCCTTGATGCTATGTAGCCCTACCCGCCGTCCTTGCGCATTCCGACCTCATCACCACCGGGGCCATGGTCATGTCCATCGCCGGCGGTCTCCTTATCTACGGGACCATAATCAGCTTTGGCATGTTCTTCCAGGAGGAGTCGGACTTCTGACTAGCCGGGGAGGCCGAGTGAAGGCCGACGTCGACAAACCAACGAGCAGTATCTACGGCTCTCTGGCAGGGATGGGATGCTGCGTCTTAATAAAGAGACGCTCGGGACAGAAAACCAGAAGAAAGCCTTGTCCTGTGTCAGAACTATCAAAGAATATATTCACTGTACGATTCATCGGTCTGTGGACGGGGCATCGTGGGGTGATTTTTCCCCTCGTAAGGCGAGGTTTGGGTTTGCTTTTGGGTTTCTCTGGGTCAGGGGGATTGTTTTATTCTCTCTCATGTGGTGCTGGGAATTAAGTACTTGCGTGCAATGCATTTGAATTTCGATCTCTCCACCACAACTTTCAGATTGAATCATCCATGAGGAGGGCCTCCTTCAGCCCAATCTGGAAAAGCAAGATAATTATCGTCTCTGGAAGCGAATGTTCACGATGAAGAGAACCATTGACGGCCCGATAAGATAAATACTAAACGGCAAAGAAGTGTTATAAGTAAGTGAAATACAATTCATCTATAATACCGTTCATTGACTAATAGGGCACCGAACATGTACTTGAGATATTATTTCGAGTATAGCCATGGCTGCTCTGCTGTGGCCTTCCACCGCAGTAGATTTCTCTGGTGAGGATGCATGGCGTCCACTATGTTGCAGGATGCAGGCCACTAAGACTGCTCAGCTGAAGTTGCAACACGCAGCCCATGTCAGCTTTTGATCCCGTCGACTCAACAATCTCCTGTCGCTATTACTGAGAGTCATTTCTGTGACTTTTGATCAGATCAAATTTTAAACGAGTCCATTTGTTTTGCTCAAGCCTGCCGAGCCACAATGTCGCTGTGTAGTCAGTGCAAGATCATCTCGACGGTGCCGGTCAGCAGCGATGAGGAGGGGCACGCGGTGTACATCCACAACAGCGCCACATTCAAAAAAGCGGTGGGCGACGGCTGCTATTTCTGCACAAAGGTACAGAAAGAGATGCCTGAGGATGTGCAGAAGCTGCTGGACAGGCCCGGCTTTCCAGGTATATGCTGCCGTATCTGTGAGAACCAGCAGAGGTACGGCATCGACTTTTCTATCCCTGGAAAGCAGCAGCTTGCCTTCTTCTGGCTGCAGGAATACACTGGTGAGGTTGTGATGGAGAGACAGAGAGAGGATCTCAAGGCTCCTTATGTACGAAGAAGACTTGACACAACATCATTCTAATTTGAGGCGCAGATCTTGCAACATCTGTCTTCTCCGACACAACCGACGACGAGACGTGCTGGAGACGGATCGAGGGCTGGTACAGGACCTGCAAAGAAACTCACGCAAAGTGCAAACCATCAAGCACCAGTGCGCCAAAAGGAGGTGAAAAATGGCTCCCCACCCGGCTACTCGATACAAAGGATGCAGACAGCGGCAGCATACGCATCGTCACCACGGCCGACTTCCAGCAAGGTCCTTGCGGCCAGCACACACCGCCCTACCTCGCCCTGAGCCACTGCTGGGGCAAGAGGTCCTTCATCACACTGACCCAGCAGAACAAGGCCTCCCTCCAGAAGACTCTGCCCCTGGACCATCTGCCGCCCAACTTCCGCGACGCCGTGCGCACCACTCGTCGCCTAGGGTTCCGCTACGTGTGGATCGACTCTCTGTGCATCATCCAAGGCCCCGACGGAGACTGGGCAGAGCAGGCCCCTCTGATGGACCGCGTGTACATGAACGCCGAGCTCTGCCTTGCCGCCGCCGCGTCCGAGGACGCCTATGGAGGGTTTTTTCGGAGTCGTGACCCAGCGGATCTGCAGCCCTTCCGCGTCGACCTCCAGCTCCCCGGCGATGCCTCCCCATCCTCGAGCAGCAGCCACCCCCAACTCCGGCCCTTCTACGCCTACTGCGGCGGCCAGGACCCCACGATCCTCTGGGCCGCCTCGGTCGAGCGGGCCCCGCTCAACAGACGCGGCTGGGTGCAGCAGGAGAGGGTGCTGGCGCCTCGCACCGTCCACTTTGGGCAGACGCAGGTGTTTTGGGAGTGTAGACAGCTCCAGGCGTGCGAGGCCGGGCCGGACAGCGCGCTGGCGGGGTTCCAGGAGGCTATGGTGAAGAATTGGGAGACCAAAGGGCCCGATGCAATTGGCGAGCGGGCTAGGGAGAGGACGAAGCTGTCATCGTCACCATTGCCGCCGATCTCTGCCACGGATGTTTATCTTGCTTGGAGGGGCATCATCGGGTCCTACTCGAGGTGCGCCCTTAGTATCGACAAGGACAAGCTGGTCGCCGCCTCGGGGCTCGCCAAGGCGTTCTCGAGACACCTTGGCCAAGAGTACGTCGCAGGGCTCTGGCGGGGCCCCTACCTCGTCAAGGAGCTGCTCTGGACCAGGGCGAAGTGGAACGTCGGCAGCCGCACCACGGCGCGGCGGCACAAGGAGTACCAGGCGCCGACGTGGAGCTGGGCGTCCATCGATGGGCCCGTGGAGTGGGGGCTCCAGAACAGGTTCGAGGACTGTGCTGAGGTCGTCGGGGTTGTGGTGGACACCGTCACGAGCGACCCGACTGGTGCGGTGAGGCGTGCTGAGATTACGCTGTCGGGGTCCCTCGTTCCGCAGCCTCAAGGGTCTGCGCTTGTCGGCGATTATAAGAGGTTTATGGATGTGGAAGGGGAGGACTTGGCCGTGCCTGGTGATGGGATCTATTTGGCTCCTCTGTGTGTTACCTTTTTGGGTACTACATGGAAGTCTACGTGGGGACTTATACTGACAGATGCTGGTGCAGGACACAAGGGGAAATACAGGAGGCTTGGCTTGTTTTGTTGCGTGTCACATTCAGCGATTAAATGGTATGGCACGAGTGATGCTGTCCAGTTCACTATTGTCTGATGATGATGATGATGATGATGGGTGGTTGCATTGTAGACGATACTGAATATATATCTGTGCTATAGCTCTCCCTCTTTCCTCCAGGTCCTCTTGCTTAATCTTATTCGTCGAGTTGAGTCTAGGCCCTCTAAATCATTCCCAGAACACGCTGTTGAGTCTATGCTGTAGTAATCCCTCTTGTTGAAACCAGTCCCGATACGTTGAGTATCAACATGAATCCCATCCATCTAAACGCCTCGCAGGAACCCCCCCCCCCCCGTCCATAGAAAATATCCCAAATAGTCCTTCAAAATTCAAGTTTTAAGCCTCCTCCTCCTCCTTCCTCCTCTGTAAAGATGCTCAACGGCCTCGCGAGCTTCACAAACATTTCTTCCCTCTCGCCCTCGGGCGTGCTCAGGATCGTCACCGCCCCTCCGGCACCAATATGCCACACCTCCTTCTTCTCTTCCCCATCGTCACGCACCACCACCGATGTGGACTCATCATCCCACCGGAACATGCTCCTGATGGTGACGCTCCAATCGCCACGGCCGGTGACGCACATGTACCCCACGACCCCCGAGTACAGGCTTCTCTCCTTCCCACCGCCTTCCACCTGCTGCAGGATCTCACAGCTCCGCTTCTTCGGCGCTCCCGTCATGCTCCCCGGCGGCAGGCTGGCCGATAGGACATCCAGTCCCGAGTAGGAGGCTCCAGGGCCCCGCGGCAGCTGACCCTCGACCCGCGTGATCATCGTGTACACGGTTTGGTACTCCTCCACCTTCAACAACTCCGGCACCGTCACCTTGCCCGCGCCGCATATGCCGTGTAAGTCGTGCCGCACCAGGTCCACAATCATGAGGTTCTCGGCCTCCTCCTTGGGAACGTGCAGGATCGCCTCCGCTTCGGCCAGAGTCGTGGCGCACCCGGCGCTGCCTGGCTCGGTCGACTTCTTGACCGTGCCCTTCATCGGCTTCATGGAGCAGAGGCCGGAGCGGTCGTACTGGAGAAACCGCTCTGGTGAGGAGCTGACTAGGGTAGCGCCTCCGAGGCGGATGTACGAGGCGAACGGGGCCGGGTTGCGCCGACGGAGGGTACGGTAAAGCTGCCAGCATGATTCGGCTGGTGAGCTGCCGGTCATTTCTGATCCAGGTCGCTTTGTTGCTCCACCTGGCCGAGAGGCTGGTGTTGTCGCATGGCGGCCATTCCAGAGAGGCTTGCTACCAGGAGTGGTAGTACTAGTTCTTGTGATTCTGGTCTGGTCGGTGAGACACAGCTCATACGAGTCACCCGCTGCGATGTACTCTTGGCACATGCGAACTTTGGCCTCGTATTTGGCAGGATCGGGCTTGTTGATAACCGTGTGTGTTTTCTTATGAAAGTCGCGGCATGAAGATCTCTTTTCATCGTCGTCGTCTTGATGACCGTAACGCCATGTCTCGGAACTCTGCAGCTTCTGTGCGGTCGAGTCGATCCAGGAAAAGTCCGATTCCAGATGTTGTACATGCACGACACCTTTTTGATGGTCAAGAACAATTGATTTCTTCACCCATGCGAGGCAGACATCGGGCCTCCTGTGACCTCTGTCCCTGGGAAGCTTTATGTCGATGTCGCTGAGTCCTTGTTCGTACGTGACGAATCCGACAAACCCTCCCAGAAAGGGCACATCATTCTCATCAGGCACTTCATGTGGTCTATTGTCCATTTCGAACCGAGTCCGCCTTGCCTCGTGGATTTCGGCCAGGAAGTGCCACACTGTCTTTCCCGGTGCCAGAGTGATGGCTTCTCGGGAGGCAGGTAGCACACCATTGACAAGAGTGACAAAATTGTCCGTTGTGTGATGTTCGATCCGCATGGACTCGTCCACATCCACTGCCATAATACTAAAGCGCCCACGAACGTCCACGCCGATCTTTGGTGCTGGTTGGTTACTGTTCGCGGAGTCGAAGATGATATTGCTTTTGGCTCTGTGAGAGTCTAGGATCTCGGCGATATGCGGGGCCTCGATACCTTTGGGAAGCGAGAAACATCGAGACTGGAAAGTCTGAGGGGTGTTGGAGTGCATCAACTTCCTCCAAATTCGAACTCCTCTTCCCTCAGGGTCCAGATGCATGGAATCTGCTGCTTGTTGGTGGAGGCTCATCCGGACAGCATTCCTCGCCAAGGTGTCCCTAAGATCCGTGTTGACGACTCTTCCTCTTGCCATGTTCCAGCGCCTGGCCTGGTCGAACCAGTTTCGTATGACCTTGTGGCCTTCCTCCTCGGTGCAGACTGATTCCGGGTGATACTGAAGACCCCAGAAAGGCTTTCGACGATGCTTCAGAGCCATCAAGATCCTCTCGGGTCCACCTGCGGCATCACACCGATCCTCCTCCACCCACGCAAGAGGCACAATATCTGGTTGGCCAACAGGGCTCTCCCATTTTTTTGTACCCTCCCAGTCTATGATCGAGTCCTGACCCACGTCTGCACAGAGACTGTGATACAGCGTGGCCTTGAAGTCCCCCAGACCCTTGAAGATATCCGCCACGTCGTCACCTCTCGTGGCGCTGCTGCATGTGGGCTGGTGCTGTATCGTCCTGACGAGTCCGTGCAATCCCCTCTTCAGCCTCCTAATCTTGCCGCCACAGGCTAGGACGAGGCTCTGGAAGCCCAGACACACCCCCAACACGGGACAGATGGAATCCTCATCCAGTTCCCACACCAGCTGCATCAGCCCAGCATCGGCTTCGTTCCCTGGCGACCCAGGCCCTGGCCCACACACCACCGCCTCATAGTGACCAACTTCGTGGCTAAGTTGTTCCTTGGAGATGGGTGCGTCAATAGACAGGACGTAGACGTCCACATGCAGGAGAGATGTGAGCAGTGAGGTGATGTTGTTTGAGAAGGAATCGTAGGCGTCGATAAAGAGGATCCTGGGGCGTGTAGATGACATGAATAACGGTCCGTCTGTGGATCCCATTGTATTGTCTCATGTGTGGTGAGAAAATAACGGAAAGGTTGTTGGTGACTGGCCGACTCCTGCCACCCTCAGATGGTCGAATCCAAGACCTCACAATTCGGTCTTGGCTCATAGGTTCGAGGTGATCATGGCGAGTGCTTATTCCTTCGTGCAAAGTGACACTTGCTGCAGTTCGGTGACTTTTCTACTCTTCTATGCGTCAGACTTGCTCGGCGAGAAATGGCGTCGGCCCTCCAGGTAATGTGGTAATCCTGTTGGATCGATGACCAATGCTTCTGTTCTTGACTGGAAATCCCTTTCATATGAATGGACGAATGAGTACGTGGAGGGGTATCAAATGAGTGAGGAAGTAGACTGCGTGGGAAAGCGAGAGACTGAGTCCCTTGAAAAAAGAAGTTTTGATATTTAAGCATTTTAGGTTTAGTCCGCTCAACGGCCGCCCCGAGAGCACATCCCTGTAGGGAGGGTCTTTGAGACCGCAAGGTTTGACCCAGATGCGATAATTAGTACAATTGATTGATTTATCAGTACTAGCGTATGTCGAAGCCTGGACTTTGTTCTAGAAATAATCCGGCATTGTCACTTGTTCTTGAGGGTTGAATAAATTATTGAGAAGAATTGTGAGTACTGGGCAGCACTGACTGGACAAAATATGCCTGGTCTCACGCCAGTTCTGAGGTCTTCAGCCTATTGATCAGCATTGAAACCCAACTTCATCATTATGAGATATGTGAACATGAGTAAATGGGATACTCTAGGACAAGATGCTGCCATGCCTTTCTCATGTTCTTGATTTTCTCCTTCTTTCTTCCAGTCTGTGAAGCATAATGCTTACTGATTTTTTTGATATCTCTTGGATCATTAATAAGTACCATAATCTCCGTCTATTAACCGTTCTGGAGACATTACCTGCTTATGTACTTTGTCGATATAATCAGTCTCTCGATTTCAAGCCTTGGAATAAACATGAGCATAGCATAGATAGTCAGCAGGTATGAAACGAAGTACACAGTTATGTAGATACTCAATACCGTCACAACCCTTTGGACGACATTCTTGGGCAGGATACGGCTACATGCTCCATGCTCTTTCTTGCCTACAAACTTGGCTGTCTCCATCTCACCTACTTACCTATCATACAAGTTTTATTGTCTAACTACAGTTAATTAGTATCTCGTTCAATAGATCTGCTCTGCTCTTGGACACAGTTGTTCCACCAGCTCTCTGAAAGGTGCTATGTCTTGCAGGCATAATTACTGGATAATGCGAACAACCACTTTGTTCAGCTTCACTTGCAAACAATGCCTACTAATGCTCTACAGCAATATTCAATTTACCTCACACAACAGGCGTCTTGTTCTGAAGCACAACGGCCACCAAAACAACTTCACTATCCATAGACATCTCCCTGACTCACAATGCCATTGATAGAGATAGTCTCTTGATACTGTTGAGTATATATTATACGCAATAGACCCAACCACACTCCCTGATTGCCTCCAAATCCCAAACCAACACAAAGCCAGAACAGCCTCCTCACTCACACATCTCTCTCTTCAAGACACGGATCGAAATTGTCCTCAAAAACTCTCCTCTCTTCACAAAAAAAGATGTGTATCAACAAGATCTACACCTGCCCAGGTGGCTGTTCCTGGCGCTGTGACACAACCCAGGAGCCATGCCTGACTGAATACTACGCCAGCCTCCTCAACGTCCCCAGCAACCATGAGGTCAAGGAGGTGATCATGCCTCTCCCCCGTGAGCACCACCGCTACTTCCACTGCGGCACCGTCGGCTGCCCCTTCTCCCCAGCCTTCCGGAACGACCCCAACAAGACGGACCCCCTCAACCTGCTCGGCCCCGTCTGGCAGTGCCCCGGCTGTCCCTACCTGACCCCGCGCAGCGACAGCCCGGGCGACCTCGAGGCCCTGAACATCATCGTCATCGAGAACTGCCAGCAGCGCGGCCTCTGGCCCACCCCCGCCCGCTCCAGCTGGGCCGACCACACGTGCCCCGGTGAGTTCTGCGCCTTCAACCCGCAGTACATGCAGCAGTGCCAGGACACGCTGACCGCCCTGCGCCAGGGGCAGGACCAGGCTGATCTTGCGCTGCAGCAACAGTACCAGGGCAAGGTGGACGAGGCTTTCCATAAGGCCCGCCAGTATGATGCCCTGTCTAGTTTCCTGGCCTCGGACCTGGAGGTGGCTGAGCCGCCGCTGGATGATGCCCTCATGGTGGACCTGGACTTGGTTGGTGGAGAGAATGACCCCCAGCCAGCCGCTGCTGCTCCTGCTGATCCTGCCCCTGCTGCTGAGCCTACTCTTGCTGATTCTGCTCCTGCGGAGCCGCAGATCCTAGGCAGCGATCAGGAGCTCAACGCCGTTCTCGACTTCCTTCTCGCCTCCGAGCCAGCCCAGGGGGAAAAGACCCCCGAGGCCCAAGGTGCCAACGAGCCCAGCCCAGCCATGCCTGAGCAACCCATCCCCATCATTGACGTTGAGTTTGTCGACAACCAGCAGCCAGCTAGTACTACTGATACTGCTTCTGCTGCTTCTGCTGCTCCTTCTTCTCCTGCTCCTGCTCCTGGTGCTGCTTCTCGGGCCACGGCTCGCCGAGCTGTGAACCACCGGGTCAAGTGGACGCCCGAGATGGACGCCCGGATGCGCGACCTCCTCAGCGCCGGACGGTCCTTCCAGGAGGTTGCCGATGAGATGGGCCGCAGCCACAAATCCGTCTCCCGGCGGGACATTAAGCTGAGGACCGGCAAGTAAACGGCGACGCCACGACGCAGCGCGATGAGACTATGAGACTCTCTGGAGCTGATGGTTGAACCTCGCTCACTCAGAGACAGTTTTCGCTCCTTGTTTGGGCAGACCGATGAATCCTCTCCTTTCTCACTTGATAGGTCTCTCTCTCTCTCTCTCTTTTTTTTTTTTTTTTTTTTTTTTTTTTTTTTTTTGTCTCTTGTTTCTGGGTGCACGGATAGATCTCTCTTTTCTTGTCTTTGGTGGGCGCACTGTTAGGTACCTCTCATTATTAGCAAATAACCATTTCTTTAGACAGAACTCTTCCTTACACACTGCAATTTTTGTGTGACGACTCTCAAGTGCTGACCATTTTAATTTTTTGATGACTCAAGTGATTATTCGTATTGAGGAAAACAGCCTCGTACTTCTGAAGTCGAGCAACTCAAGCATTTGACTTCCCTCGAACTCTTGACGGAGATCGGAATCATCTCACAAGGGAAGCAAAAGAGTGCCTGTTGCCCTTTCAATCATCAAGTCAATGAATTCCCTCAAGCCAGTCAGCCTGTTGTAAGCCCACGACGTCAGATAAATGCTCAAGTAGTCAGCATTTCTATCTATACACAGGCGGCCAAAACCTCCCCTCCACCATGATGCAGAGCCCCGACCACCACCAAAGTTCCAAGCGCCTTCGAGGAGGGGTATGTCCCTCCTCCTCTATCCAAGAACTCCACTGCATGCATCAAGGAGAGAGACTCGCTACTACTACTACTACTACTACCACTCCCGATCCTTTACGCGAAGCCGACAGGGTTGTCTTGAATGCCAGATCCTCCTCTCCCTCGCCCCGAGTGCAAGGTCCAACAGCTCCTGCGTGCTCGACCGGGGTCTGCCCTCTGGACCGGCGGGCGTGGCCGTCACGCTGAGCTTGGGGGCCCGCACGGATCCCCTCCGCCTCTCGTCCTCTGTCGTGGGCCGGTACACCCTCGTCTCCTCCACGGATGCCGTGATTTCGAACTCGCCCCTGCACAGCGCGGTGACGCCGAGGAGCACGTCCGTGCTCTGTTTGCCGGGGAGTAGAGGGAGGAACTGCTGCAGCGTGCCGTTCCAGGCGAACTTGCGCGTATAGTCGAGCGCGACGTTGAGAGGTCGGTGGCAGAGAGCCGGCATGAGCCGCAAGGTCGGGTAGATGGGCTGCTCGGTACGGTTGCTGATGTGCACGCGGATCTGAACAAAGTCGTCCACGCATACACAGTCCTTGCTGCTGCTTCGCTGTACCCCCGGCTCCGCGGTAGCGGAAACAGTGTCTGGTCCCGTCGGTGCAGACGGGTCCTCGACCGACACCTCGATACCCACCTCGTCCACCTTGATGGCCTCGATCATCCGTGTCGTGAGGCGCATGCTGCGGAGATCAATGTTGCCAGTGCGCATAGGCCTGTTGCCCGTTTTCCAAGTGCCTTTGAGGCAGTCCAGGATCTTCTCGCGGTACCAAAAGGCCTCACGGTTGCCCCTCTCCACATCGGGAGAGATCTTGCTCGTGCTGACAACGAATTGGCGATGTCGAGATGGATTCAAGGCAGGTATGGACGCATGCGGGTCCTCGAGATACACTCGTCGCACGGGCACTATGACACGGCTTGTGTTTCCAGGCAGTATGTGTTCCTCAATGACTGCGCCGTCCTCGATCTCGAGTTGGGCAATCATGCTGCTCGGCCATGCATTGCGTAGGTCGAGAAGTAAGAGACAGTACTTGTCCGAGGTAAGCACGTGACTCTCCCCTCCAACCTTGCTCGTCCTGGCCCATAGTGGTTGGGGTATGCTCCCGTGCAGCGGCAGCACCTCCATCCTCGCAATCTCGACGCTTGCGTTGACGGTCACTGTCAGCTGCAGCGAGACCTGGCGCGTGAAGAACTTTGGCTCAAGTTCTTCAGGCGGCACGCCAAAGTAAGCATAGTCAATCAGTATGCCCGCACTCGTCAGGCCTGGCTTGCCTAATATCTCAAATTCGACAGTTGCTGTCTCGCCAGGCGCGATGTATCTCCTGCTGACCGGCTTCGAGAGCCGCAGGGCCTGTTTCTTGGCCAGGATGAGCTCATACTCATAAAGCTCGGCCGGCGTCGCATCGCGGTTGTTGAGTGCGGTCTGCAGCTGTTCCTGTGTGGAGTCTTGGAAGGAGAAGAGGAGGAAATCGGCCGGGGTATCGGATAGATTCTGAAGTGTGACGGAGAAAGTCTGCCGCTCTCCTTCCAGGATCATAACTGAAGATTGAGGCAGCGTCGTCGACTTGACGATCAGGACAGGCTGCTGGGAGACGACATGGACGTCGATGTAATGAGGTTTCGGGAGAGGGCTCGAGGGTGCAGGCAAAGACATGCTATAATCGAGCGCCGCCAGGCCCGTGGCTTTTACCTTGGGCTCTGTGTTCAGTGACCAAGGCTCTGTAAAGATGGGAAACCGCCTCTCCCTGCAACCCCTCACGCGTATCAATGCGCCCGTGACACGCAATGAACCAGATGACTTCGGTATACCGGTGATACGCATTGACTGGGTGCGATACGCGCCAATCAGGGCTTGTCCGGCCGTAGACTCGAACTCGACCCCCTCGGTCGCAATCTTGGCGCTCACGATATCCACCTCGATGTCGTAAGGGTTTTGTAATGTGACCTTGAACGTCACGGGCTCGCCAGCCACAAGATTGCTGACCATAGCCACCTTGTCCGGCTGCTTCTGAAATGGGTTATGTATGAAAGGATTGACGTCCTGAGATGTTCTGGTCGAGGAGAACCCGGGGAGCTCCGTCTTTGCGTGCTCGATCGGCGTGCGCGTGATGGGCTGGGGTTCGAGCTTCATGCCCCGTAGGAAGAACTCGTCCCAGTATTCGGCCTCCATATGACCCAGACCTATCCGCTCCGTCAAGCTGTGGGTCTTGGAGATATTGGTGACGAGCCGGACCTGTTCGTCGACGGAAATGCGAGGCGCAGCATCTTCCTGGCGGGGACCTGGTGCTATGCCGCTGCCGGCTGTCCGCATGAGGTCGCTAGAGAATTTCAAAACGCCGGCAAAATCGGGCAGTGCCTCAGAGAAGTTAATGCAAGCCCGCAATATGTTCACCTTCAGCTGGCCCATGCCATACAGGCGGGCAGCCGCCTGCTTTTGTATCCGCTTGAGGCATGCTGCATCCGAGTCTGGATCTATCGGAGTCTCACCGTCCTTGGTGACTTCCGACTCGATAGGCATATCGAATGCCACCACTCCGTAGGTCCTTATGACCAGGTCGAGGAAGGCATCGATTCCTTGCTCGATATCACTCTCGGCCAGCTGGAGGACTGCTCCATTGGAGTGACCGTTGATGTTGTTTAGTGCCACCAGTCCGGCCGCTGGGTGGATCCCAACCTCGGCGGCACCGCGTGTTCTCGCCTCGACAAGCCCTCCAATGACCACCGAGATGAGCTCTCGTATCACCATGGCCTTTTTTCTCTGATACCCCAACAAGCCCAGCACAGTGGCAATGCCGCTCAGGATCGTAACGCGGTCTGGCGTGGTCAACAGCTCGGCTCCCGGGCCAGGAAACGCACGCATCAACGTGGTCACGATGACCATACGGGGCGGTGTGATCATGGGCCGTGGGCATGTCGAAAGAAGCTTGTCAGGCGCTGTCCCTACGATCATCATGTCGAGCGACTGCCCACCTAGCTTACCCTCTGCGACGTGCAACGCCGCCAGGATCCGGGAAAACCTGATGATAGTCTCAGACATGGGCAGCACAGGCAGATGCTCTGCTGAGATCCTAGAATAGAGAGCAAGTATCCTGTCCAGCAGGTCTGGGAGAGCATTCTGAAAGCGACGTAGGTACTCGGGCTGGCTGGGGTCGGCGTTCTCCTCCTGCACGCCGTTGGCCGCGTTTTTATCCTGGGGCAGGCAGATGGACGGGACGACAAATTCTACACCAGCCCAGCTCAGCAGTAACAGGCTGACAGTGATGATCTCGAGCGCTTTCCCGTGCCAGAGATGATCATTAATCGACTTGGCCACGGTTGCGCCCTCCATGGCCTCTTTGAGCGAGTCTGTCCACCGACCCGCCTGCAGGTACATGGACGCCATGAGGACCGTGATACGCGCCTTGCCCTTGTTGCGCCATCGCTCGTTGACGCCGCCGGAGCCAAAGCCGTGTACGGACACGCGGTCCTGGCTTGTGCTGCGAATCCCCTGCGCCGTGCCTGGTCGAGCCGATCCCTTCTGCTCTGGACTTGCTGGGTTCGATCTCTCCTGCACGGCCGGTATGTCGTCGAAGGATGTGGGCGGGTGGGCCAGGGCACTACTACTCCCTTTCACGGGGGTGGATGGCCGGTTTGGAGAGGCTGCAGGGGGCGTGCTCTTGAAAGGGAGCGGCATCGACAGCCTAGGTGAGTCCTTGTGCTCCAGAGTGGCGTTCGCAGAAGCCGACCGCCCTATGGCGAACTGCGAGTTCCGTCGCCGTATAACTGGCTCATCAGAGCCATTTGTTGAGGCGTTCCCCTGGCCCGGCGACTCGAGGTACGCCACAGCCTCGAACGACCTCGCGAGGCCGGTCATTTCGGCCAGCAACAGCGTCGAGACATCGCACATGATGGTCCTCATGGTGGTCCTCTTCCACTGGTCGGGCGGCGGTATAGCCACGATGCCTTCGGGCAGGGGGATTGGGTGGTCTGCAGGATGCGTGTAGTCGAAGAGCAGGAGCTGGTGGACGAGGGCCTTGGGGAAGGAGTCCCTCAGATCCTCCAGCCCCTGGTACAGAGCTCTGATATTTCGATCCGCAAGAGTCTCGCCGGTCTGCGTCTTGCTGAAGGGGACCTTGTCCACCTCGGTGCCATCAGCGATCGCAAGGATCACAAATATCTCTCTGTACAGGTCGAAGGGCAGCAGGGCAAGGTGCGAGGGCGGCGGTACGTGGGTAGCGAACTCGTAGAAAATGGCGCCGTCGGGGAAGGCCAGCGGCGAGAACATAGCTGAAGCGGGTGGCCAGCACAGGTCAGCATACGTGGGCATAAACAAAGAGCAGGCGCTTTCTGATTAGAGGAGGGGCTTGGTACTTCTATTCGGCCGCTTGTCGGCGCCCACATCGCGAAGGTGAACGACATGTTCGCCCTGCAGCGTCTCGAGAAAGGAGGCGAAGCGGTCTGCCTTGATCTGTCCGATGGGGACACACAGCGTCTTCACCCGCGCAGGGGCGATGGGCAGAAGGGAGTCTGCGCTCATGGTTTTGACAGCATTCCTTCTGTCTTGTTGTGCGCGCGGGGTTTGGTTCTATATGGGAGCAAGGGCGGTTGTTTGTCGTGTATGGCGCATCGAGAAGGAAGGAAAAGAGGAGGGGCGGAAGGAGGGGAGCACAATCAACGGCTCCGTCGTGTGTGGCGCTCAGACAGGACAGAGAGGAGCTGGTCAAGGTCGAGGTGGAGAGCATGTATTGGCTTTGTGGGTATTGGATGTCCTGTCTGCTGCTGTTCCGTCGACTCGATCGTTGCTCTGTTCGCGGCCCTGCTCAACGAGGGAGGCTGATGGCGCGTGGATTCAAGGGTGTGTAGGAGCGAAACAATATAGTGAAGCTGGACTTGTCAGCTGCAGTTGTATGTCATCCTTCTGTAGCATGAAGTATTGTGTACTAAGTTGAGTAAGTACAGTAACATGGTACAGTGGTGGGTGAACCCTTGTCGCCCAGATCTCCAGGCTAAGATTTACAGGGATGCGATTGGTTTAAGCTTGGCCCCCAAGTGCTTGATGGCAATGCCTCTCAGCCTTGGGAGAAGGAAGTCTCCCATAATAGAGCCCAGCCAACATCGAGAATTTCCTCAAGACTTTCCCTTCTCTCTCTCTTTCTCGAACTCTCTCTCTTTGCTGATGCACCCTGGTGTTTATAGTAATCTACATACTGCATCCAATCTATGTGGTAGAATACTCACCCTGCTGACCCGCCCACTTTGGCAAACCTTAACATCTTTAGGAGTCTTAGACTAAAACCCTACATATCAAATCAAATCAAACCAACCATGGAATAGAAATTAGGATCTTACACACGACCATCGTGGGCCTCGATTGGGAGAATTGTGTATCTAAAGATCTGCGTCTCTTGCAGAGTATGCATCTCGTCTGACCGTGCCGCCCCCCCCTCCCAATACAGAGAGAGAAAAAAGAAGGAAAATAGATAAGGTGAGGGGAGGGCGCAAAGAGCTGACGAAAACCCATTAAAAAGAAAAAAAAAGAGATCCAATGCCTTGTTTGCTCATGCCCACCCTATGCCCCCGACATGTGAGCATCCGTGCCCTCGCCCGTCTCGGGCGCCTTACCTGCCCTCGCCTCGGCGTTGAGTTGGCTCTCGAATATATCCACCGCCACGCTGGCCTCGACGAAATCCTCCAGCTCCTCTGTAACGGTCTTGAGCTTTTCCCTGACCGCAATCGCACCCTCGAACCCGACAATATGCCTCGCGGGCGGGTTCTCTTCACCTCCAATTGCCGTGAGCACGTAAATGGTCTCCATGAGGAGCTGGTCGTACGAGGCCGAGGGCAGCTTCGTGAAGCGGTGCACGATTTCCGTCTCCCAGGGCTCGATCGCCGTCTCTGGATTCTCGTTTAGGGCCTTGGTGAGCATGTCGCGGATTGACGGTGCGCCGACAGTATTGAGCTCGCTATCGTAGCATGGCAGCTGTGGTGCAAAGATAATCTTGTTGGTCAGGTCCAGTATCTCCTTGTTGGGCTGCACGATCGTCACTTTGAGGTTGAATGGTCCGATCTCATATGCCAGAGAGTCGCAGAATCCTTCCAGCGCCCACGTCGCCGCCGTGTAGGTAGCCATCCCGGGGGTGCCAATGTGTCCTCCGATGCTGGTCAGGATGATAATGTGCCCGGTCTGCTGAGCCCGAAGCTGCGGGAGCGCAGCTTTGATGAAGTTGACCTGGGAGAAGTAGATCGTCTCGAACTGATCGCGCACGAGATTCTGGGTTGCAGGCGTTGTTGAGAGTTCCTCGACCGTGCCAACCACCGCTGAAGGACCGGATCAGATGCAGCACAAGGTACAAAACAGAACAGCCCACAGGTTGCAGAGCTACAGGTGGACTTGGAAGGGGCTCACCTTCAAATTTGCAGCACAGCAGGATATCAATTTTCCCGAAATGCAGGATAGCCTCCGCAACCGCTGCCCTACATAGGCCCATGGACCTGCCGTCACATCGTATCCCTCGTATGCGATCCTTCCAGCCCTCTCGGCCTTTTCGACTGCTCTTGCACTCGTTGATCAGCTCTTTGAATTCAGCACTTCGCTCCTCGTCTTCTATCTCTTGCGGCGGTAGACAGGCCACCACATAGTCCCCATGAGCGAGGAGCAGCTTCATCAGCCGTACGGCTAGTGGTGATAGCGCCTGCGTCAGGAACCATGTCCTTGGAGAATTATGAGGCGCTATGTAGTGTCCGTTAGTGTGATGTTCTTTTCATTCCACGGAGGTTTCATCATCACGAAGGGGGAAGACTTACGGAACGAAGGCCCTGAGCCGTGGCCGTGCCTGGGAGAGCCTCCTGCGGATGCTTTTCGTTCTGCCATGTCCTTGAGTTAAACGAAGACTCTTGAGGAATGGTACGCATGACAAAAGAAAAGACAAGGGACTATGTGCGTCAACAATATAAGACCGCGAAACAGCTGATGGCCGCGTCAATTCAAGCGCAACCAGAACCGAAGGTGCTCACGGGATGATCACACAACATGACAGCAGCCGTGCAAACACAAACACAAACACAAGGCAAAATGAAGCGGCATGGATTCCGGATGAACGACAGCAACAAAGGCTATAGCCAGGCTGCCGTTACTTCTTCTTCCGTGGTCCTGGGGGCCTGTGGAACAGTTTGACAGGGTGATGCTAGATGCAAACTTGGGTCTCCGTCTCGCAAGGACGTGAAGGTTGGGAGCAAACATGACAGGTGATCGTGGTGCCCAGGGCGAGCTGCAGGTAAACGTTCGAGTTGGTGGTCTCAAGGGAGGGAGGCGAGATCACGGACTGCTGATCGCTGCTTGCGCCAGGAATATATGTCAGGGGTGATATGGAAAAATTGGCAGAGTCGCACCACCTCGTCCTAAGCGGACCCGCACGCCTCGTCGACCTGGTGGCTGATGAGGGCGGGTGAATAATGCATAGAGCATGCTGCTTGCTAGTCGTGCTCGCGAGGCCGCATGACTCTCAATCTGGGTGTAATTTCTGCAATGCGAGGGTGTGTCGACATCGACATGCCATTGTCCCTGTCGAACTTTGGCCAGGGTGACATGGTGCATTTACAATGCCTGATCGAACCGATCAGTCACGGCAGTTGATCATCCGGCTCCCGGAAGCCAAAATGCATTGCCTAACATCACGGTCGTCATTGTCGACAAATCGCGAGCTTCACAGCTGCCGGTCAAGGACGGCCGAATGCAAAGGCCCAGCACAGGTGAGCTTGAAAGCGCCCCTTTTCGGAGACTCTCTCTATCTCTTTCGGTATTCTTCCAGAAAGAGCTTGGTTATGCGCTCGCTCGCTCGCTCCCACGATCTGCACCATCCAAGAGCAGGACGAGGAAACTTGGCACTCCGCTGTGTCTGTGAAGAGTGGCCGGGTAAAATGGGATGTTCGTACAGAGGAAGGAGAGAGGTTGAGATTGCAGACAACATGGGAGGCTCATTTCAAAAGATCGACATCACGAGAGATGAAGGAAACCTAAAAAGACAATAGACGTACCGTGGCTCTTCTCGCTTTCAGAATTGCTTCGCGAACGCCGCCCGCGCCCATTAACGACCCCAGCGCTAGCATCTCGGTCGCCATCTCCGTCTCCGTTCTTCTTTCTGGTCTTGTCTTTCTCGGATGTTTGCTCAGGCTGTGACTGCAGCTGCGCCTGCACCTCTGGAGATTCCTGAACTCGGTCCTGCTGCGAGTCGCTGGGGCTTGGACGGTCCAGGGGGTCGAGTTCTAGATCATCGTCGGGCCCCGGCGTGCTGTCCAGCGCGACTTCGATCTCATCTGCAACGTTGACGGCCGCCTCGAACGCCGCATCTGACGCAGGCCCTGGAGTAGACATTGGGACCTACCACAAAGAAAGACGCAGTGCAACCACCACGCCTGGGCTTGGGGAAACCGCTGTCCTTCTTCCAATGCTCAGCTCTGTGCCACCCAGAACCCCCGAGACGAGACAGGATCCAGACCGATTCCAGACCGAGCGAGACTCAAGATCCAATCCGGCTTCAGCTCAGGAGCGGCCAGGAACAGCGCAACATGGTACGTTGCCTCGTCAGATGTCGATGTTGTCGCGTGTATGTGTGTGCGGGTGTTGGTTGACCTCGGAATGCTGGCCCGTTCCCAGATCGAGCGAACCCTTCAGACGAGGGAGGAAAGGAAAAAGAAAATACGGGTTCAAATTCCCAGCGGCTGCCTCCCTGCTGGCGCTGCCTCGGCTGTATTCCAGGAGTGACAGCTCTAGCTTCTGCAACTCACGGGAGAAGAGTGTTTGAGGCTAACTGGAGCTTGTCTCGTCTGCCGGTCATTCTTCTGCAGTTCCGTCTAGCCGTGATGCATCCAAAGTAATCCGGGCAAGTTTTGCGGGAATGGTTGAGCCCCAACGCCTGGAAGTCAGGTAAGGATCCCCGCCTCAGCAGAGACTGGTCCCCTAACGTCCCAGTGGATGGGAAGGCCCCACCTTCTAAACTGCAGTGGGTGGTGTCAGTTAGTATGCCTTTCAAAGACCTGTAAAGCAAACAAGACAAGCCCTTACAATTCTGGTGCTTACTACAGTATGATATACCTATAAACAATGGGTGGGAGGAGTGTCACACTTTACTCGCCTTGTAGCACCTATCGCCTTGCCCTAATGCCAGACCCCAGTACTATGGTATTGCAGTGAAGTACTTGGGTACCTACTACAGTACTCTCGCCGTGGCCGTGGCAGCACCCGGTGCGTAAGGATGTACTCAGGTATCTTGAGCCGTCCGTGGTACCACCATTATAGTGTGTACGCCTGAGGGGCAGCGGGTAGATATACTTAGTACCCCCAATTTCTACCGCTGGCTTATACAACCGCCGCCATCGGGTGGGGGTCCTGCAGCTGCAGATCTGGGGAAACCTTGAGGACCCCTCCTGCCCCTCCCGGTTCGCAGCTAGCTCCCAAGCTTTGACTCACGTCATGAAAAGGTCCAAAAGGGAGGGATGGGAAAAAGCTTGCCGACACCGGGCAAATAATTCTTAGTCCAGGATGACACACAGGTCATCATCTCCTCTCAACAATTCTTCGCATTGAAACATCTTGAGGGAAGACAGACAGAGATTCGAGACAACCTTCTTCATCCAGCGTTGACTTGTCCCTCTACCTGTTGCGTTGCGTGATTCTCAACTGTTAGCCACCATATCACCACCGAGTCGCCCTTGTTCTTTCAACACACTCCCCCCCCCCCCCGGGCTTCCGCGACCCGAAGAAGAAACCAGAAAAAGAAACATGCCCACCCGCGAAGAGATCACGTATTTCGGCGCCGGCCCTGCCTTGCTGCCGACGGATGTCCTGCAGCAGGCCTCCCAAGCACTCCTCGACTACAATGGTACGGGCCTCGGCATCGCGGAGCACTCTCATCGCTCTCAGCTCGCCACTGATATCATTAACAACGCCAAGGCCGACTTGGCCACCTACCTTGACATACCCAGCGATGAGTACGAGATCCTGTTCATGCAGGGCGGTGGCAGTGGCGAGTTCTCCGCTACCGTGTACAACATGGTCGGCGCCTGGGTCACCCGGAAGAAGGCTGAGATCCTCGCTGCGAATGGGGTCGACGAGAAGGACTGCCAGGCTGAATTGTTAGAGAAGGAGCTGGCCAATGCTGTCGGCGGGCTGAAGCTGGACTATATCGTCACCGGCAGCTGGTCGTTGAAGGCGTACCAGGAGGCGCAGAGGCTGCTGGGCCCAGAGCATGTCAACCTGGTCTGCGATGCTCGGACCATCAATGATGGCAAATTCGGCAAGATCCCCGACCAGAACACCTGGAAGTTGTCCCCCGACGCAGCCATGGTGTACTACTGCGACAATGAGACTGTTGATGGCGTTGAGATGCCCAACTTCCCAGAGATCCTGGCGGCCAAGGCTGACGGGACTGGTCCCATCGTTGTGGCTGACATGTCCTCCAACATCCTGTCGAGGAGGATCCCGGTCAAGAATTACTCCTTGATCTTTTTCGGCGCGCAGAAGAACCTCGGATCCACTGGAATTACCGTTGCCATCGTCAAGAAGGATTTCCTGCCTCCTGCGGTGCCACAGCCAGCGCCAGCTCTGCTGCGGAAGCTTGGGCTTCCCATCGGGCCAGTAGTGCTGTCCTACGAGACGATTGCCAAGAACAACAGCCTGTACAACACGCTGAGCATCTTCGAGTATGCTGTGTTCCCCCACGCCACAAACCTAATCCATAATGAACCCTTAGACTAACAGCTCGCAGTGTGTACATCGCCGGCTCAGTACTGAAGAAACTCCTGGCTACTTTCCCTGACAAGGTTGACGGGCAGGAGGCAGTCGCTAACAAGAAGGCTCAGCTGATCTATGCAGCGCTCGAAGCACACCCTGGAGCATACAAGATCGTGCCTGACAAATCTGCCCGGTCCAGGATGAACATCTGCTTTCGCGTGACCAAGGTGAGAAAGATACCGAGCCCGGTTATCACACGACACCGACGTCATCATGTTTGCTGACGCAGGCGCTGCAGGGAGGTAATATTGACGAGGCTGAGAAGGCATTCCTCAAGCAGTCAACTGACTTGGGACTCACCGGCCTCAAGGGCCACAGAAGCGTTGGTGGTATCCGCGCCAGCAACTACAACTCTATTGCCCTAGAAGGAGCCGAAAAATTGGCTTCTTTCATCAACAAATTTGCGACGGCATGAAGTCCGTGTGCAAAGGTATCCGAGAGATGCGAACAACCTGGGCAAAGTCATGGTGCATTCAGTACGGCGTTCGGGAAGGGAAAAAGCAAAGTATCGGTGCACACCGACAATAGACTGAAAGCATCACCGCATCAACGCAGGAACGGCTGAGCTGTGCTTCCAATTCAACATCTGCACATCGGTGATATGACACATGCATTTCTCAGAAGATATATTATTAATTAGTGTGTCTGCACTTGGCAATATGAACCCTTGTCACAACCGTCAACGTCTCAGAAGCGCGATCCGGTCCTCCCACCATCCCTTGGAATCGTCCCTAGGACCTTTCACCATTAAAATGCAGCATGCGCCAGCGTCCTCAATAATACAGCAGCATTACAACCTATAGATTGGCTCATCTGGCGACCGCGACGATCCGGTATATCTCTTCTCTGGCGTCTCCATGAATGTCGGCATCCTTGACGCACTCGTGTACAGACTGCCCATCCACGTAGCATTCTGCTGAGCTGCTGTTGTCCTGCTCTCAGCACGCTCTCTCTGATTTTCATCCATGATCCGCAATAGGTCTTCCGTGATACTGAACAGCTCATCCATCTTTTCCAGGCTCATACCTTTCGTCTCGGGTATCAGGAAGTAGGCAAAGAAAAACGTGAGGGCGCAGAACGTGCCAAAAAGGATCCAAATTGCCTACATGGTGGAAATAAGTCAGTTGGTCGTTTCGCGGTCGCAGCGGATGTAGGAGAGCGAGACGTACAAAACCCAACGAGTTCATCATTGTCAGCGTCGACCGAGCGATGAGGAAATTGATCAACCATTGCGTCGCCGCCGCGATGGCGACATTGAGGGTACGAAGCCGCGCAGTTGGGATCTCGGAGACGTAGATCCAGCAGCATGGGCCCCATCCGAACTGGAAGAAACTGTCACGTCTGTCAGCCCTTCTTCTGTTTTTCTTTTCTAATAAGCCTGCACACGCGTTCGATGTTGCTCACCAGACGTATAGGTAGACACAGACGATCGCAACGTAGCCTAGCGGGGGAATCTGTCCGACGGTCGTTAGCTGTATAGACTCAACACAATAACCGGGTGACGGTTGTGTCTTCTTTCTTTCTCTCTTTCTTCATATATTCAAACTCACAGATTCCCTGTTGTCTGGATAAATCTTCTCATATATCCCAATCATGTACAGTGTCACCGCCTGCCCGACGCTGGATATCAGCAGACTCTTGCGGCGGCCCAGGCTGTCGGCTGCGAAGAGCAGAAAGGCCAGAGAGGAGACCATCTTCATCTATGCACACCAACAACATTAGTTCCTCCAGATGGGCGATGTCAGAGCTGGGCAAAAACTTACGACGCCATAGATACCAGTAGCAAAGAGCTGGGCTCTGGTAGTCGGAAGGCCCATGTCCTCGAAGATCTGTGGCGCGTAATAATTCTTTTGCACACGAGTGTCAGTGCTTATTCTTCACCTCGGAATACTAGCAAAGAAGTATCACCGGCAGCAAGGAGCTCACGAGGGTGTTTGTCCCGGTGATCTGCTGACAGACCATCAGTCCGATGGAGATGAGCGCTCGCTTCCGGTTCCCAGGGATCAACCACATCTCCTTCAGCAGTGTCCATGAGGTTGCTCCATCAACAAGTCGGCTCTCCATTTCGAGCTGGTCTGCCATGTCTTGGAGCTCGCCTGTGATGTACTCGTGATCGGACGGCAGACTAGGACATAATCAGCGACAGGACTTGTCACCACCCTGCGAGTTGGTGCTCACTTCGACAGCTCAGACAGGATCCGGGCCGCATCTTCCCACTGGCCGTTCCGGGCGCACCAACGTGGACTGCTCGTCGTAAGCATATTCCTGATAGACGTGCTGTCTTCTATAAAGCTTCCAATACTGATGGACACCTACCTCTCGGGGCATAGGATCATTGAAAAAGAGAGGAACCTGCGCATTCTGTCAGTTGCCTTCACGACAACGATGCAATCGTTGAGAAGTTAGCACTCACACAGCCGGAACCGCCTGTAAAGATAATGGAATTTGGTACACAGCAGCGGTGCTGTTGTTTTCCGACATTCCATAATTGATCCTGGGCCTCCTATGTCAGCCATACTTCAGTTCAAAGGACCATTTTCTTTACTGACCAGAAGGATATCCCAGTGCCAGTGACGATGAACAGTTGGTAGAAACCTGGCCCATGGATCAACAACAATCAGCAACAGCAACAGCGGTTGCGCCCTCAACAAACGTCAGAGACCTACCAGTGAGCCCACCCCGAATGGCTCTTGGCGCACACTCCGAGACATACAACGGCGTCAACATGGACGCGGCCCCCATTCCGAAGCCCGCAACCAGGCGACCCACGTACATGCAGGGAAGCGAGCCGCTGGAGCCGGCCTGGAGGGCAACGCCGATACAGGTCAGGAAGCCTGCGCCGACGAGGGGCCACTTTCGACCGAACTTGTCCGCGAGGAGGGATGCCTGTATACAGCCGTGTTGGTATGTCGAGCTTCCCGGCGAGTGGAATTTGAGGGGAGGAGAGGGGGCTCGGAAGAGAGAGATCTACTCACGAATAGGCTCGCGAAGAAACAGCCTGCCTGGAGGGTCGATACGACTGGCGAAACAACGTTGTTAGATATTGTTTGTCCCGCCCTGGACCGCTAGAGGGGACTTACTGTTCTCGCTGAGCAAAGGGTTCTGCGTGTCGTTGTAGTGGTAGTCTCTTGATGGTTCAGTTAGTCCGGACACACCTCGCTAGGCATTGGAGCATGGTATACTTACCTCTCAAATCGAGCGTATTCGAGGATTCCGCTGATCGCACCGATACTGGAGACCCGTCTAGCTTAGCATGTTTTGTTCGGCGGCGGCGGCGGCGTCGGGTGTGTACTTACTCCCAGCCGAAGAGCATCCCGCCAAAGCTTTCATCGGAGCTTTGTATCAGCTTAAAACTACATGGTTCCAGGCCGAATTATGGTGGTCATACCAGGCTAAAATACGTAGAGTCAGAAGACATCATCAGTACCGACGAGGCTGAGAGGGTGCCGAAAGAAGTTGACGATGCACTTGGACTTGCCTGAACATGACAATGTGATGACTCGCCATCCGTAGACCTCGAGGGGACTATCAACATATCCTCAGTCCATAGTCTCAACAATATAAAGTCGAGGAGAGAGACATACTCTGTCTGCATAGCATCATTGTGAACAACACGCGAGAGAAAGTTCGCGAACAATCTACCCATGATGACGGAGCGGAGATCTGTAAAGAGTGTTAGAGGAATGAAAGAGATTAGAAAGGGAGAAAGGTCTATTTCGAGGCCTTGTTCTAACACAAACACCCAAGCAAGAGATCAACGATCAAGGCGGATCAAAGACTATATAGATATAAAATGATACTTCGCTCGTGGCGATCCAACGGCACACCACATTGCTTAGGCATGAGATCATCTTGATGAAATGAGCTCACAAAAGACCTCATTCATAAGGGATCGATGATGCACCCCAACATGTTGGTACACAGGGGACATGCGCGTATTCTTCCGGGGATGCACTAGTTTGAGGAGCCTTGTGTAGTACAATTTACTTCGCCAGTATTTGACCAGTCACGGGCGTACGGGGTAACAGTAGTCAGCCTCTCACGGCAATATCTTCTCTCCATCATTCTGGATCATTCTCCCCAGGTCTTTCCTCATTCACCATGGAGATACCGGCGGCTATGCAAATCATTGACGCCTGAGAGATACTAATAGAGACGTACATCTTGGGAAAACTACGCGTAGCAGGCCTTTCGAACATGTTGCTATCCGCCGCATTACAAAGACAAATCTTGTCTACTATAGAACTTACACTCGAGAGTCCAAGAAAAGCCTTCTTCGTCTTTGGCCACACATGGGCGCACTGAAGACTTGAAATTGCTTCTTCTTCTGTTACGGGCGAGCTCTCACGTGCGCCTTCATCTCCTGTTATCTCACGCGTATTCTTGCCCTCTTTCATCTCTCCTTCTCGGGTCGTTGATATCTCCTGACTCCTGATGACCAGACCACTACTCTCTCACGGGCACACAAAGTTTTTACGAGTCCGAGTCCTTGCGTTACGATGTCTCGAAGATCCCTGTTCATTGACTGCCAGATCTACTTGGCTGCAAGAAATCTCACAAGATCCTGCACAGAGAAAGACATCAAAAGAAATAGAGAGACAGAGAGAGAGAGACTGGCCGCCCTCGCACAGCTTAATTCTGACCTATCTCCTCTTCTAGCCAGCGTGGAACAGCAGGCGGCCTCTCCCACCCGTCCAGGTACGTCTCCTTCTTGACCCCCTGAGCCGAAGGTTTGGCATAAACAGCCGAGACGTACCACACCGCGGTCCCGGCCCTGATTGTGTGCTGCAGCGTCGGGATGACGGTGCGACTATCCACCAGGTTCGAGTTCGGGTCGGCATTGACCAGCGTCGCCTGCCTCCCCGTGCGCTCTCCTTCCAGCGCCCTGATGCCCACCGCGCCCTTGGACACGGCAAAGGCACCCCTCGCGCCAGCCGTCCACGCCTCGGGGGTGTTCAGGTCGTAGTTCCCAATCAGCTTCGGCTGCGTCCCTTGGCCCTGCGCCGCGTCGTACAGATCCAGAAACCTCCCGTCGGGCTGCCGCTCGTTACAGATGGCAAACGACCCGTCGGCTGTCATGACCTCGCGCCCGGCCTCGATGTGGTGCGCGCGGAGGTGCCAGTTGGGGTGGGACTCCTCGGTCGGTATCAGGTACGTCTTGATCTTGACGTCTGCAAAGGGCCGCCAGACTGACACCAGCACGGGCTTGTTGCCGTCGTCGTCGTCGTCGCCGCGGGTCTCGATGGCGGCGTACTCTGACACCCTGCGGGTCTTCCAGTACTCGCCCCCGTCGTCGGACAAACCGAGCTGGGAGGCCAGGGCGTACTGCTCCAGTGTGAAGAGTCCTGGGGGCGCTGAGTAGCCGTATGCGCTGCTGTAGGCAAAACATCCGTATTTGGCGTGGGTGCCTTTCATGGGATAGCCACATGCCTGGCCTGATGACAAGAGCATGCAGTGTCCGCCAATATTCCTGCCAAAGGTGTTGGTATAAGTGAATATTAACCATGGTCTAAGCACAAGTCCAGACTCACGTCATAATATGGCCAGGCTGTTTCAGTGATCTTATCTTTGGGATGACATCCCATTGGGACTCCTCTTTAGAAGTCCAGAACGGGTGTGTGTCGGGTACAGCGAGGCAGATAAAAGCCAGACAAGCCCAGTACTGAAGAGGGAGAACGTATTAGCAAAATGAGACCAGAGAACAAAAAGACGCAGAAAGAAGAAAGAAAGAAGAAGAAGAAAAGACAAAAACCCAGCACGCATTGAAGACTCACAGGACTGCCCGGGCTATTGTAGTTCTCAGCCATATACATATTAGGATACGAGTACCCAATGGTCAGCGTCCCAGACGAGCCCCAGATGTTAGGCTGCGTCTGCCACCAGCGCAGATGGCGCAGCACAATCCCCTTGACCATCCCCCACGTCAGAGGCGCGGGCAGCTCGACGTCAGCATATGCGAGGGCGCCCCAGAACGAGCACATGGCGAAGCGATATCCAACACTGCGTCCAAAGGGGATCGCCCGGCCTTCTTGGTCGAAATAGTGCGCCAGGTCGAGAGCGACCACCTGCGCGCGCTTCTTGAACTCGGCCGCGCGCTCTGGGTCCTCCTTTCCGGCGAGGTTGGCGTATAGCAGCTGCAGGAAGTGGATCGCAAAGCTTGAGGAGTAATAGTCCATCTCTAAAGGTGCGTGCACGTGCGTGTGAGTGAGAGGATTTGGGAGGCGATGACCAGGTGCCTTCATGACCGGATGGAAGGGGGACAACTCACGATGAATGTGCTCGGGCCCATCGTTAGACCATCCCTCTCCTCGGTAGAATGTGTTCAGGTGTTCGATGTCACTGTCCAGCCGTTCTTGAGAGAACTTTCCACCGTTCTTCTTAAGCCCTAGGTTGGCAAAGACTCGAAACCACAGCCAGTTGGTATTGGGCATGCTAGTTGCTCTCAAACATTAGCTCGTTATCCGTCTATCATCATCGTCATGGTCGTGGCTCAACTCCTCACTTCTTCTCATTGATCGAGTTCCCCAGCCAGTTCTCGACATTCGTCCTCTCCTTTTCCGACATCGAGTCCCATATCTGAGGCGCAACAGCCAGCGCAAAGCCTGGTGGGTTCCAGCGATCAGCCACACATACACCAACCTCATCCTTGAGCAAACAGGAAGACCAGCATTTTACTTGTTATAATTCTTACCTAGAGGGCACATCTCCACCATCCGCTGGTCGTTATCCCGCGGGAAACCCCAGTACTCAGGGTTCTCAGGGTCTGTTCCCGCCTTGATGCCATCGATCCAGAGCTTAGTCCCCTGGTAGTCACCACTTCCGGCCAAAAGACACGCCAGCCCCCAGAGCGGGCGACAGATCCCCTCGACTTCGGAGGCTGTCTGGTCAAAACGGACGCCCGTCGCGCCTGGAACCCTCACGCGAGCTTTCTGGGGCGAGAAGAACGGCTCGAGGGGATCCAGCAAGGTCCGGAGCAGCTCTTGGACCGAAGCACGGTCGGAGACGTTGACTTTGGAAAATGGATGGACTCCGTCGTATCCAATGACCAGGCCCGTCTTGGTCGCCATTGTGAATGTAAATTGTCTCGGAGTAGAGACTGCTAATGAGAAGGAGGATGAGGAGCTCAGAGGCCTAAGTGAATATGTCTCTGGGTTGGGGAGGAGTCCAGTATTACAGGAGACATCATTTCCAGGTACTTTACTTTATTAGCCTGACATCTCGTATGCCATTCTCCCGATCCCGATCCACACCACGACGCACATGAAAGAAAGAGTAGAGCCACTCACTCCGGTACTATTGCCGGGATGCCTGCAGTTGGAGTCCAAAGTGGACGTGATGAGTGAGGGGCTTAGAGAAATCAGTGGGGTCCTGGGAGCATCTTCCGGTGGCGGCTAAATGCCATAGTAACATCTTTACGCCGTTATAAGTTAAATGGTATTATTAGCAGCTGTGTGTACCTTGCATGATCTTATTCCAAGAGACCTCATTCGTTTGGACTTTGTTTGTTGTCAGAAACATCTGACAAATTTATAGACTTACGACAATTCATGGTTCTCGGAAATCAATTGAAAGTAGTGGCACTCAATTATCGGCAAGAGAACCTGCAGCAAGTGTTGTTACAGTATTACCACTAGTAATTATACTGACTCAGCATACGATTGACTATCAGAACGCGGTGAAGGAAAATTCCTCCCTTGATGAATCCGTGATGCTGGGCGAAAGTGCTCTTGGAGTCATCTTGGTCCCATTGAACAACTATTGATCTATTGATCTCAGCAGCAAATCAGATCCTTTTTTACCTACTGTAGTCTGAGTACCTACTGTAGTCTGAGTCAGAGAGCATCCAGAACACTTCAACCTGTATGGATGCGGTCCAATTTCCGACGCCACCCAACACAATGTCCATCACCGGCGACTTGCCATCGCGCTCAGTCGGGCCTGCGTCCTCCTCAAGCTCAAGCTCTCGCCAAATCCAAATCATGTCAGACCTGCACCTCGAGCACGGGCAACAGTACGCAACGTTTGATTTCCCCGTCACAGCACCATGGCTTGTGCTTGCCGGAGACATCGGCCGCCTGGTCGACTACGACAAGTACCACGAATTTCTTCGGCGGCAGGTTGACCGCTACGACCGCGTATTCCTGGTCCTCGGAAACCACGAGTTTCACGGGCTCACATACGAGGAGGGAGTCGAAAGGGCTCTGGAGCTGTCACGAGAGCCATCTCTTGCGTCCAAGTTGACGCTACTTCATCGGAGGACCTGGCAGGATGGCGATGATGGCGGCCCTAGCCAGGTGGTGGTCATGGGCTGTACTCTGTGGTCTTGCATCCCTGCTTCAGCGAAGCAGATTGTCGAGTCCAAGACCAGTGACTTTAGGAACATCAAGGCATGGTCCGTAGAGAAGCACAACGAGATACACGCCCAAGAAGCTGCGTGGCTCCATGACAAGCTTCTGCATCATTCCAGTAGCATCAGTAATAACACAACACCAGCCGAGCCTAATGGGAGGAAGAAGAATCGAAGGAACATAATAGTTGTGACGCACCACGCCCCGAGCGCGGACGGGACGTCTTCGCCGGCATATGCTAGCAACCCTTGGACGTTCGCATTCGCAACAGACGTGCTGCCCAGTCTGGATCTAGAGGTAGTCAAGGCGTGGGTTTTTGGGCATACACACTACACGACCGATTTCTTCTGGAATTCGGTTCAGGTGGTCGCAAATCAGCGAGGCTATGTCCTCCCTGGGAGCAAACCGCAGGATGTTACTGAACGCGAAGCAAAACGGACAAGGGAACCAAGACCAGATATCCATATATTTGACCTAGAAAGAATGATAGAGATTTAACCAGACTTTGATACTACCTATAAAGCAAGAGAATTTTAATATTACCTGAATATAAAGGTTGAACTCAAACTCCTTAGCTGCAGGTGGACACCGAAACTTTCAAATTTCTGAGTCTAAAAGGGCATAATTTTTGTAATTCAGGGATGAATCACAAAAGGGCGAGTTTCTTGGATTTGTCTGCTATGATTACCATAAAGCGGTTGGTCTACTGTCAATAGTGACCAGTGCCTATAACTTTGTACAAGTAGAATGAATGAAGTTTATGACCACATGACTATTTCGACTATTGGGAATTTATCTGGATTACTTTCTTCCACCCTCCCCCCCCTCATCCTTCTTCTTCTTATTTATAAAAATAGAAGGAAGAAAAAAAAGACATCTTTTTCAAAACATAATTCTAGAGGGGGAAAGGGCATCGAAATCAGAAGAGAGCTGAAGTGTGAAGTAATGACTTGCCACTTTTCCAATCACGATTAGTGACTTTGTTAAGACTTCTCAGAATCATTTGAGAATCTGCTTTTCAATTACGTGGGAAATGTGATTGCAGCATGAGAATCCACGGGTCTGGATGAGAATAAAAAAATGAAGATCACAAGATAAATCTAGCACTCATCCAGAGTCTCAGTAGGCATCCATTGTTTAATTCCATAACAAGAGCCCTTCATCAATCGAGTACCAGGAAACAGAGCGTATAGAGTACTGTAGTAAAGAGTAATGAGAACCTATTTGACCCAATATTCTTTCCTGCAATCCTGACAAACTGCATTTGACCCATCAGAGTGCCCCACCAAGCTGAACGCCCATGTGCATTCCAGTGCCAATCCACATGGAAGGGGGACCCGCAGGCCACCTGGCACATGCAGGTTCGGTCATCTCTTTCTCTCTTGTTAGTTCCGGCTTCGAACCAAGTCCTTCTCCCTCGACATTGGAACAAAACAATGCGACTACTTGCATACTTTCGATCAAGCTGAAGACCATTGCCACTAACACCACAAACATCACATTTTCTTTCTGACCTACAACATCAGCTTGTGTCGTCGAGGATGCCATCAACCTTTCATTACGAGGCAGCCACCCTCACTGGTAGATGATCGAGACTTGGGGCCCCGACCGCCTCCTGCTGGCAGGGCGGGCCCTCGAGCATGGCATGATGAAAACACACTCCAGTCTAGGCCAGGAGCACCAGCAGCAGCAGCAACAGCAGGTGGTTGAAAGACACGACGGACTCTCAGCACCACCACCACCTCAAAGGGCACCAGAGCGCAATGGCAGCAGCAGTCCCCAGCGGCACCACTCACCGAGACGCGATCTCCAGCCTGCAAGAGGCTGTCTGAGGAAAAGAAAGGACGCGACTGTACCAAACCACCACCAACATCACCAGCAGACAGGAGGGGGCGTGAGAAGCCCCACGAAGCAAGTCGGGTTCAGCACATGGGCCCCACAATGCCTCGTCACCGGTCAGGCCTACGAGCGCCACCACCACCAGCCACCGGACGGAAAGGCGTGGCGGCGCGCGCAGGCGGTGAAGATGCGCGAGGGCAGGATGCGACAGGCCGTGCTGGGGGCGGAGGAGTACCGGCCGTACGTGAAGGAGGAGGAGGTGGACCGCTGGGCCGACAGGGGCTGGGCGCCGATGGGTCTTGTGGAGGACACGCCCATGGGGGGCATGTCGCTGGAGATGGACCTGGCGGCGGCGCAGTGGCACGCTCGGCAGGTGGAGTTTGACCAGAGGCTGGCGGAGAATCATGAGCTGGCGCAGAGGAACAGGGAGGATGTGCAGCGGGAGACCAGGAGGATGTTCGGTGCTGGCGCCATGGGGACGAGGGAGTTTGTGCACTATCGGCTTAGACACATGAATGGGAATCCTCAATAATACGTAGTGTTCAAGAGACAAGACAATTTTGTTTGGGCTGTGGACTGTGGAGGAGTTTGGACTTGGACGCCTCATATCAAGTCCTTACAAACCTCTTGCTTCTTGTCAAGCAACATGCCGTTGTCCTTGGTGCGTTGGGTCTCGCAGAAGGCTGAGAGGCTGGATTGGGCTTATAAGATCAGTCGACAGTATGCAAGTGATCACCACAACACGTCAAGGAGCCTGCGAACACGAGGAACAAAGATGGCCGGAGCGAGAGCCTGACAGAGGAAGAATAAGAAGAAAAGAAAGAAGAAGAAAAAAATAGCTAAGGTGATGGGCTCGCTCTCATTAATAGCTTCGAAGTAGTTTGTCCCAGTGGCCTCAGGAAAAGTTGTTTGTGAGATATACACACGGAGAGTTGCGGTGCAGTGCGAAGAAAAATCAAGACAAGAGATGGGAATGCAATCACAAACGAGCGTGACTTCTCTGTAGCAAAGTGATCGGCTGTAGAGGCGATCGGAACAAGAAACTTCTGGTCAGAATGAACAATTCACCGGGTGGCCAAAGAAAGCCAGGAGGCCAAACGTGTTTAAGGCCCATGTCTTTCGTCCAGCCGCTCATCTTCGAAATGCACATGTCTCGCGTGAAAGCCCAAATCGGGCTATTGGAAACGAGACCCTCGACAAGAAAAGATCTAGGATGCCGAAGAAAATGGCAGACTTTGCTTAACTTGGCAGACAAATCAGGAGGCTACTGGCCCGTTAGGATCCTCTTTTGATGATCATCAACGGTGAGTTTTCTTGGCGGGGCGTGGCTCGAGGAAGAATGCTTTTGCCTCTGGCTGTACACTCGTTCCGGAGGACCGCAGTAGCAAGCAGCAGCCCGCACCGAACGCGTCCTGAAGAGGCAAGACGGAGCATTTCAGAACGCGTCGCCGCAGATTGCCTCTTTGATTGCGACTCGTGTTTATGTTTGAGACATTGGCAATGTTTGGATACAAGAAAAGAAAAAGAAAAGGTCGACTTGAGTTCTCGTAGCTGGAAGGAATGCTGGCGTGACGGCCGCCCGTCCTCTCTTTTTTGCCGCTGCTCTCTGCGCATCATGGCGTGTCACGCATTCCAACGCGCCCACCAAGGACCCGACCACGACTTCATCTCCCAGCAGGATTCCTCTCTCTGGTCTTGTTTAAAAAGAACGGAGCCCATGTGTTCTCGATCCAGGCTGCGCAGGAGGCCTTCTTGCTCTTTCAAAAACTCAGCAAGAAGCAGTCGCTCGTTTTCCCCCTTCTTCTTCTTTATCCTTTTGCCTGCCCTTCTTCTCGCTCCTTTTTTCTGCTTTTCAAGCAAGGCCAGAAGCATCAACTAGACACACAAACACGCACAACGCATTCTTGTTGTCGTGGTCTCTTCTTTTCTCTTCTGTCCGTCCACTCGTTCAAAAACCACACACACACACACACACACCGTCCAATATGGGAATCTCCGCAGCTCTGATGGCGAGTCTCCTCGCCGCCACGGCGGCAGCACAGGGTGTCACCGTCATTACCCAGATCGGCACAGTGACAGCATGTTTTGCCTACAACAACGTGCCCCCGACCCTCTCCGTCGGGCCCACGCCCCACGTCACCAGCCCGCACGAGAAGGGCCAGCCCACCACGGTGAACGTCGAGGCGCCCTCGTGCAACTCGTGCGGCTGCCAGGGCGATGGCTGCACCGCCTACAACATCTACCAGACGACGTACCCGGGCCTGGACAGCAGCACCGGCGCCTGCGACCAGGTCTACCACGTCACCGAGACGTACAAGGGCGTCAGCAAGAAGCCCAAGGTGAGCACAACGGGCTGCCCATTCGGCTTCACCACCACGACCGCCTCGTGCGACGTGTGCGCCACCCCTACCACGGCCGTCGTGACGTGTCCTGTCACCACGTGCCCATATGTCACGGGCCTGTCCACGCCGAGCCCTGCGCCCGCCGGCGTCTCGGCGTACGAGTTCTGCCCTGCTGGCGAGAGCCCTGGCTCGAAGGCGGCCGCTCCGCCAGCCGGCGGTTCTGCTGCCGTCCCCGCCGCTCCCGGTCTGGGCTCTGGCTCTGGAGCTGGTGCCGGCGCCGGTTCAGGCGCCAACTCGGGCTCTAGCGCCAACAACCAAGGCTCTGGAGCAAAGGCTGGTGCTGGTGCTGGTGCCGGTGCCGGTGCTGGTGCCAAAGGTGCTGGTTCTGGGGCGAATGCAGCGGCCGGCGCCAACGCTGCTGCTGGTGCACAGGCCGGAGGTGCGAACGCTGCTGCTGGAGCTGGAGCTGCCGCAACGGCCGCTGCCGCCGGCTCGAATGCTGGTGCTGCTGGTGCCGCCGGCGCGAACAGTGGTGCCAACTCGGGTGCCAACAACGGTGCGAATTCCGGTCAGAACGCTGCAGCTGGTAAGTGCAGACCATCCTCTTTTCTCCTTCTTTCCTTCCAGTTCACCTTCCCCTCCTCCCCTGCTTTCCCATCATGATCAACCATCCCTTCGAGACACTCAGGATAACTGACCCGTGACTGGCATCCAAAACAGCCCCGGCACCAACCGCCGTCCCAGCGTCCGCCAACCGCTCTCTGGCTCCCTTGGTCGGCGGCATCATCGGCTTCCTTGTTTCGTTCGTTGCTGTCTATCAGTAGTAGGAGAGCATCTGACCAGAGTGATAATGTCTCTAATCTTGTCGGTGGCTTGGTGCCAAGAGCTGCGAGGGTGGTGCTCGGGGTCATGGAGGGAATGAATTCTTTTTTTTTTTCTTTCTTTTTTTTCGTACACAAATTGATTTGGTTGCTATAAACCACACCCGTTTTCTGTTCTCTCTCTCTTTTTTCTCTCCTTTATAACATTACCAGATTATAATACGCTGTACATAGTTTTGCTGTTGAATCGTCAAAGAAGGGATATTAATCGAATGATATATGCATGGTCTGCTGGAAAAACTTGTGAAAATAAGCCAAACAATCTCAACAAAGTATTTGTGAAGTTTCCAAATGCATCCCCATCCTCACCTGGAGAGTAAAAATTGAGCCGTGGTGGTTGAGTTGATACTTGCAATTTACCGCTCATTGCTACGCGCTGGACGCGTCAAACGAAACCCTTGCTCGAGCCCTGTCCTGTGGAGACTCGCATGAGGGTCTGTGAGCTGGTCTGACAAGGCGCAAGAGATTTGGTGGTCGTTTCGTCCGAGGCATGGCAAGAGGATTGCATTATGGCCCATCTAACGCGTGTTCGTGTTTGGTTGGAATTTACCACAATCAAACTTGTACTAAGTAGTTTGCTATAGCAGGTGCTAACTGTCTGTCGTGGTTGATGATGTCAGCAAGTCAAGGATCCTCCCTCCTCTCTCCGCCGGGAGCGGGAGCAGGTAGAAAATGCGAACAAAACCCAAACCAATAAACCATGTCTCGTTCTGAATAGCGGAGCCATGCCCTTTCTTTCCATTATTATATATTTACAGCTGTAACGTACGTAGACAGGCGACAAAACTAAAACAGTATAGTCAAGTGTGAACTGTCAAGCAATACGACCCAACGCAACCACCATGGACAACCCACGCCCACGCCCACGCCCACGCCCACTGGAGGGTTTTCTCTCCACCTCACTCCGTCACATATTCGTTGGGGTGGGCTGGTTCCTCCAACTCTTTTTGTAGCTGAGAATGCGCTCATATGCTATATGACAAAAAAGATGCAACTCTAGGCGTTCCATGTTGTTGTGAAGCTCGGGCGGTTCAACCACTTTAAGCGGTCACCTCCTCCTGTGCTCTGGGTGTTGGTACATCGTTCCCCTCCCCTCCTTCTCCTTCCCCACTACCTCCTCCTCCTCCTCCTTCGTTTTCTGGCTCTAGCCTGTTCACAATGACGCTGCCCGTCTCATCCTTATCGGCCTCCGTGTCTAGTGGGGCCTCATCGCCATTTGTCTTGTCACTGCCTCTTGTCGGTGGCCGTGCGCTCGTTGTCTTGTCTCGCCTCCTCCGCCTCGCGCTCCTCTCATCTTGCGCTGTCCTGCGCCTGGCCTCCCTTCTCCTGTCGTCGCCCTCGTCGTCGCCGTCTCGCATGCCCTGCAACAACATGGCCGCCCGCTGCGCAACATCGTCTTCCTCCTCCCTGGGCGATGCCAGCGAGGTCGGCGAGAGCAGGTTGCCGGCTGCACTGCCATTGGCCGATGTGTCGTCTGTGCCATGGCTGTCGACGCTCTTGGCAGACTGGAGCCCGGCCTCTGCCTCTGGGATCTCGTTGAGATCTGGTATCTTCTGGCCCGAGGCGACCCGGACCTGATGCTTGTTCTGGAGCCACAGACGTCTCCTGCGGTCTCTCTCGTTTCTTGTCTGCGGCGCCGCAGCACGCAGCTTCTCGAGCAGGCTGTCCATTGCCCCTGCACTGCTGGGGCTGACAGGCCCCGCATCGGCCCGGCCGTTGGCCGCCACCTTGAGGTTTGCGTTCTTCCGGCGCATGGATTCCTCGTTGATCCTGCGCTGCTTCTCAAAGGTAACGTTCTTCTCACGCGACCTCTTCCACTCGCTGATGAAGAGCGCCAGCTTGGCGAAGAAATCCCGGCGAGCATTCTCGTCCGTGGAGTCTTCGCCGTAGAAGGCCATGATCTCGTGGTAGGTCCTCAACATCTCCTCCAGGTACAGGTCCATCTGCTCGGCCTTGCGCCTGGCCTCCTTCATGCAGCGCTGCACGATCTGAGAGACGCGGTCCTGCGGGTGGAACTTCTTAGGATCAGACAAGTTGCCGCTGTCGAGCGACATCTGGACGTTCCGGACGTTATCAATGTATTTCTTGGCGTCGGTCTGCAGCTGCTCGATGTTGATCTTCTGCGCCGTCATGACGCCCTGGATGTCGTCGGCGAACGAGTCCCATTCGGGGTACTGCTGCCGAACGATGCGCTCCACGAGATCTGCGAGCGTGGACTGGTTCTTGTCGTCCTTGACCATGCCGAGCCGAGCAAGCGAGCTGAGCTTGAAACCACGCGCCTGCTTGTTCGCGTCGTTCATGTAATTACC